GCTGACATGTAAACTTTGGACACAGCAGGTTGTGGCTCACAGTTAATGAAGACGATTTTTCCGAGGCTAGGACATTATCTGCATTGTACCCAGTGTTAGAAGCCCACTCATTCTTTCTTGAATACAATATTCTTCCTGTTCCTTCCCAGGTGTCTTGTGATGTATTGGGTGGTGCAGCGAGAAATACAGAATGACTACGAGTCATTCCTCCTACTAAGGAGTCTTTCGTCGTACGGTGCCCTTCGACTTTCCCCGAAAACTTGTGTTTGAGATTCTCAAAACGTAAACCAAACCGGTGGAGAAGTTGCTTGTGCGTAAACCCCGGTGAAGAGATCAACTGTAGCACCATTGCGCTCTTTTCCACATCATCTCCTTCGCTCACGACTGCCCCGATATCACCGAACGAAACAGTTTTGAGTAAGACCCTTTTTGAATGTTTGACCCTTCGAACCTGGTGCGAGGTAAGGCTGTGTCCAAACCCTTTCCCTCGTATATGAGAAAGGATGCCAGGATACTGTGCTAATGATTGTAGGGTTAGCACGTTTGGAGGGCTTGCGAACAAGCGGCTATACTGCCAAAATAAATACTGGCTAGGGCTTGTATGTATGACAAGCTCAACTTTAAATCCCCATGAAATGTTTCAGGTTCCAGGTTCCAGGACTTACATCAGCGGCAATGCCAAGTCAACTATTCACCTGCATTCTGACTATGCAGCTTCGACAGAACACTTATTACCTACTCACAATGCAACACGGACGCCACTAAAATGCATCTTGACTAGAGAATAATTCAACCCGATCTTTCCGCCATTTTCTTAGCCCACACAGCTCGCCTCAGGTGTACCCACCCAAGCACACGGATCCCGGGTCGACCCCAACCTTCCATCCATAAGCCAAACACTATGCCTCAACTTTCAACAAACAAGCTGGGTTCAGTCGCCCGGCTAGCTCAATCGGTAGAGCGTGAGACTCTTAATCTCAAGGTTGTGGGTTCGACCCCCACGTCGGGCTCAATTCCCGTCAGCGATTGGCACTCAGTTCATTTCTTTTTGATTTTTTTCCTTTCCATCCGATGGGTTTTTATTCCTCCCGTTGCACTTTCTTCTTGCAGCATTATCGACAGCTTTTTACTCCGAGACAAACATGCGCTGAAGAACTGTGTGATTCTAGGGCTGGGTCAAGGCTAATGCATCCTTGCTGGTCTGGGCAAATTATCGTGTTGAAGGCTAAGTTTATTTGGTGGACCCTGTTATCACCTTACACAGGTCACGCGACGCTCTTCCCGTCATGTTTAGACACCAAGTGACATTTTCGCACCGATAGACGTTGTTTATTTTTACGGTCTGAGGTTATGGAGTGCATGTGAACTATTGCCACGGCGACATTGAAAATGCGTAAACTGTTTCCCAAACGGTATGGGCTAATCATGACGGGCGCGTGAGTGCCATGGGTGTCTTTAAAGTGTTGGTGGTTGTGAAGTTGAGAAGAGATGAAGTGACTAGCGTTACCGTTAGGTCTAAAGCAACCAATATTGAATAAAGACACGCAGCAAAGCTTTCAGAGGTGGTGTTATGCGCTGTCAATCAAGTGGGATTTGCAATGGCACTGTATAGCACCTGCTTGCCCAGCATCAATTTGGTTTAAACATTGCCATATCAATGAGCCAAGGAAGGGCTACTTACGGCGTGTTCTTATGGTGGAAATAGTGATTAGGAAACGTTGCTTCCTGATAAATTACTGGAAAACGAGTGATCGCGCGCTTGCACCCAAAAGTTGTCGCTTCTCACTATTTTGTCTGTCTCGTTAATTTCATAGCATCTCGCCCGGTTCACTTTCTCATGCTTTTCTGATTCACTCATACCAGCTCCCATTACCATTTGTAGACTCCATCATGCAACTAGACCTATGACTTCAGCAACAGCACTCACAGGATCCTTGTGTCTGCGGGATGAAACCACAAGGGCAACCCAGATATGAAAACAGATTGTCCTCCGGGTCGAGTTCAGAGCTCGATGGTTTCACTTTAGCACTGATATTGAATAGTAGAACCATACATAATAGTAGAACCTTATATGATACCCAGTGTCCGTCATCGTAGAGCTGATAAGATCAGGCGGCGTCGCATCGTTTTAGGCAAAAAGTTGAACAACTGGGGAGTTTCCTGGGTATGGTTCCACCTGTATGAGTTCAAGATAAAACGCGAAAGCAGTAAATCCGCAAAAAGAACCGTCGAGGTGCTAAGAACCAAACCGCAAGCGCACAACAACTGGTCCTTAATCTGCGTCGTTTTCTTGTCCCGGCAGCCATGGTCTTATCCTAAATAAGGTCCATGCCGGGAGGCTTGCAAGCGACAAGAAGTAAAGGCAGCAGCATTATTTAAACATGGATATCAAGTGAAAAATTGTCCAATTGTATGCTAGATAATGCTGCAGATTGATGGATCGCACTTAAGTGCGACAGCAGGCGCTTGTTGTCTCCCGGCACGACAAGCAGAATTAACCTCCTGCGAGCAACTTCAGCTTCAAGATTATATCAACTAACCACATTGACACAAGAGACACGCCGGATGATAGAAACAAGGAGATAATGGCCGAATAGTATCAAGCAGTCGATCTCAGAGTTCAGGCGTAATACACACGCTCTCCAGCTTGGCTATAGCTTGGGCTGGTATACACATGAAAACGAGTACTGGAGCCACGATGTTGTTTTAACAATAAATGAACCGGTAAACTGGTTTGAAGACCCGATAATACGCTCGCCATGGTTCCTGAAATGCGACTTGACACAGAGTGCAATTTGTAGAAACCGGACATGCTGCGCTTGCCGTAATATTGTTTCGGCCTCTATGTAAGACAGCAGCAACCAAGGGTATTCTGACGATAAACTTTAAGAGAAGACACAGAAAGATGGGGGTTCGCCAGGTGAAATAGTAAACAACTCTGCAACCCCTTCGCCAAACACAACTCCCACCAGAGCCGACGCAGGGCCACAAGCCCCAAAGCTCTTGGCACCAAGAATAGGCGGGCACTACCGCGAAACGTGGTCATCAGTGCTGAAATCGTAGCACAAGGGCATCGGGTTTCGTGTAAAAAAAGGACAGGCGCCCCTTGACGTCGCTCTTTGATAGGAAGGTAACCCAAACCGAACCGGATCAACTTCCCATTCTTTCGGGCTCGTGACTCCGTCAGCGATCCAGTTTCAAAACTGCCTCCGAAGTCTTCATGCAAATGCTACCCCTTAATGAGAGCATCTGTCAACTCCCAAGCCAAACCTGGGATCCTGAATGGTGTCCGCGGCGCTCAAGAAAGTCGTCTTTCTCCTCGCAACTTACGAGAGCAAGGGTGTTTAGACAAAAGATACATCGAACCACCCGCCCCATCCACCATCAATTTCGCTGGTGGCGGCTATGCGCCTGACGCGATAGACTCCGAATCGGGATAAAGCGTCTCCAGGGCAGGTGCTATGTAAAGCATCGCCACACGAAGCAATACGGCGCTCGCGTCTGTCCAGCAAGGTCCAACCCTCGAGAAAAGCCCCTTTAAAAAGTATTTCGTGTTGCGCAATACTATGTACCCGGCCAACGATGTCACCATGGCGCCTCGCGGAACCCATCACACCCATAGTGTCCCGAGATGAAAGAGTGCCGTTTCCGAAAGTATAATTCATTGCATTGCGTAGGATCTGGCGGGTTTTTCGAACATGACTGGGTAGAAAGCGCTAACGAGTACTCTAAAGAGATTATGGACCAATTTTTGGTTTTATTCTCTTTCTTCAGATAAACATCAGTAATAATAACAAGAAGACGGTGATGATGAAAGTTAATGTTTCCTCGCATAGAAGCATTTAAAGAGATGCCGGCAGCCGACGAATGACGGAGTTGCCGGAGGATGGAAAGCGACTACACCTTAAGCGACGGCATTCGAAACAGAGGCCGCCCGAATAGACTGAAAATAACATCAAAAAGAAACCTCTTCCCTCATAACCCCATGTTTCGAATCAGCGGTATCCCGGATTCGTCGGATTTCACAGAGTTTCCTGCGGTCTCCAGAAAACTGGGGTTCCAATCTACTGGGTCCGAGTCATGACCAGTTCGTGTCAGGTTTGAAGGGTGACCTACTTGGCGTTGGAGACAGCTAGAATCCTTTGCTGGATCCAAGGCGGGGGTCACGTCACGGATGGGTTCCGTAAAACTCGGGCACTTGACCGAGTCCGTCCGGTCCGTGAACCGCCGGCTGAATGAAGATGGTTGTGATCGACGGTCGCTCTAATTGCACTGCATGTCCGTTGAAGGAAAAAAAAACAAACACAGAAGGAGGGAACATGAGAAAAATGGATGGCTAGTCCGTGCCCAATGAGAACTCTGTGCAGCACCGAGGGAGAAGAGAAAATACGTCACTTACCACGTCGAGGAATTGCCGAGTTCATTGATCTACTGTTGTGGTGGTACATCCTTGTTTTGTCAACAGAGAAGCTCATCTGATCCATTAGTGGTCGAGGACCCTGTGGCTGATTGACAATTGCTGCACTGAAGTGCTTGGGCCAATCGTGCTCGAGATCCCACCAGTTCGTGTCGGACAGGACGTCGGCTGTCGCATGACAGCTGCAAGGTTATCTGATCTGCATCGCACTTTCACAGAATGATCGACAGTGTCGCTGGGACGAATAAGAGCAAATGGGATGAAAGATAATCCATATTTTCTAATAAGACCAAATTCGTTCTTCTCTCACATTATCAACTAAGAAAGGTATCAACCCATCCCTCGTGATCAAAATTTTGCCCACGGAGGGAACTGGTATCGAAAAACACAATGAAAACGCCATGTGCGGAGCTCATTTTCCCTCCGAGCTTGACCGGCGTGGTTTTCCCCGGCGGAGCAAGACTAGAGCCGAGTCCCCGTCTTTTTATCCTGTCATGACCTATATGCACGTTGAACCCAAAACCCAAAACCCAGGCGATTTAACAGATATTGAGAGATCCGAGAAATGCTGTCGGGAAATCGCTTAGAAAAGGGCGGCAACGGCAAGACCACCGAGGACGGCGAAAACACCAGCGGTGGCCTGAGCACCAGCACCGGGGTTGGTAATGGTGGCCAGAGTGGTGCTGGGCCTAGTGGTGTTGCTGGCGGGCCTGGTGACGCTGGTGACGACGGTAACAGGGGCGGACTGGGTAGCGGCGGTAGGGGCGGCGGTGGTGGGCACAGCGGTGGTGCTGTTAACAGCAATGACAACCTCGGAAGAGGAGGCAGCGCGGGAAGAGGAAGGAGTGGCAGCAGCAGAGTTGGAGGACAGAGTGACGGTAGCGGTGCCAGCGGAGGAGGTAACGGTGGTGGTGCCGGAGCTGGATCCCTCACCAGCAACGATGTGGAAGGGGTTGGAGTACTGGAAGTCGACGGAGGGGTTGGCCTCAGACTTGACGACCAGGCCGTAGAAAGCGTCCTTGCCCAGAGTGCTGGGGATGGTCCAGCTGTACTTGCCAGCAGAGTTGGGAATGCCGGCTAGGTCATGTCAGTGATGCTCTTGTTTCCAAGTCGGTTGGGGGAAAACTCACAAGCAACGTCAAGGAGAGGAACCTGCTTGTCCTGGGTAGCGCCACCGATCAGGCTGATGGAGACGGTGACGTCCTTGAAGGCATCGGGGGTAGTCCACTCGATAGTGTAGGTGGTGCCGGCGTTGATCTTCTCGTTAGGAGTAGGCTTGTTGACGGGGTTGAAGTTAGGGTTCTGGGCCAAAACATTGGCAGCGAAGGCCAGGAAGGCAGCGGCGGAGATGGTGAAGCGCATTTTGGCTGATTTGAGGTGGTTGAGAGGATTGGTGATTAGAAGTTAGGTCTATATAAGAAGACGGAACAAAAAAGTCGAACGAAGGACTGGAAGAAAGCGAGTAGGTAGTAAGTGAGAGTAGGTGCCTTTCGACGGTGGGCTAATGAGTGACTATATAAAAAGAGTGGCAGGCTGAAGCCAGAGGATGAGACGCACACGGGATGGTGAGTTTGACTGGGCTGTGGTAAAGAAAGAGAGAGGAAAGAGAAGAAAGATCAGACGAAGCGGAGGGATAGGAAAGAAGAGGAGGTGAGCCTGGTGAGGTGAGCAAGCACCGGGGGCTAGGCTCACGGGCGGGCGGCAAGGGGGGGGGTGTGGTACAGGGTTGACGGGCCATCCAAGGCTCAAGGTGCTTGACCCATATCATGGTGGAAAGAAGGAGGGGTGACTTCGAGGCATTCGTTGCCCAAATAGGCTAGACGGGGGTGATGGCCTCATCGGTGCTACTACTTGTGAAGTCCTGGAAAGGGAGACAAACGTTAACTAATAGGGTGGTTAGCAGGGCCAGCAAGCAGGACAGCACACCTCACAGCAGTTGGGCGCAAAACTCCTGTCAACTTGCGTGCCTCGTCGTAGTTGTCGACTGCGCCGCCGACACAGCGAGCATGGGTATTCAAATTAACGAAGAGATTGGACCCTCCTGATTGGGTCGCTGCGGCATGGAGAAGGGGGGGGTGGACCTGAGAAATTTCCCAGGCGCAGGTACCTCTGCACCCTGTTCGAAGATTAGCCTACTATGCACTCCGTGGGACAGCACCCTTCCCACATAAGGCACAGGACTCCTGTGGTGATTTAAAGCGCGCGAAGGTGCGATTGGCGGTACGTACCCCTGAAAGTGAACACCATCTGAAGCGTGGAGTCCCAGCACAACTCGTGGAGCGGCTGCTGCATTTGGAGCAGCCATTGGGGGCAGCGGCAATAGCCACCGCGCAGCCATAACGCGGGACTTGTGTGATCCTGCTCTCCTGCTGAAGGTAACTTTTCCATTAAGAGCAAGAGAAGATCCTAGCCGAACAGGGCTGAGCCAACGCGCTTTCCGCTTCCCAGCTTATGGATATCAGTTCCCCACCAATGAAAAGCCCGGCGCATGGTCATTGCAGGCTCCATTCTTTCACAGTCCAGGGGGATATTTTTTCTCTTTACTACCTACAGTAAGTACTAGTGTTGTCCAGTTTGCCGCTCGTCACTCCTCACTCGGCAATCCCACTGCGCAGCGGGTCGCGATCTCCTTTTTTTTGCTCCGAACCTGCTGCAGTGCTCCAGAGCACCATTGCTTTCTGTTCATGGGTTCGAATCGCTGCCTGCTGCACTCATCTCTCGATGCCCCTCTTAACAATGGCCTTGCCAGGCCTGAATGGGCATGGGCGCCTTTTTAAAGAGTCGGGTAAGCACGGAACTTTCCCAAATCGACCTGGATAGACGCAAGCATCAAGCCTTGAGATGCGGCTGGACTACATAGTAAGGCCAAAAGAAGAACAGGCCAGGCCGCCAAACAAGAGCCAAGTTTCGGACATGGCGTGCTAGCCAAGGTGCACACGCACGCTGGAAAGAACAAAATAAGATAGAAGCTCTACATTGTAAGGAGGGAGGGCACTGACATGGTAGACGTGCACGACGAGCCGGACTTCGGCCAGGGCTTCCCCTTCTTCACCCACTTCCCTTCAATCCTCCCATCCACACTCTCGCCCCTACTGGGAATTGCCCCGACCACCCATGGACATTGGGAATGGAAAGGTCTCCAGCCGGAGTCTTGTCCGCGTGAGCGCACACGAAATTGAGATGATGTGACGTCTACAGAATTTCAATGGAGCACCCGGCGTTTAAACTAAGCAATTCCCTTAACATGTTTCTGGAAATAGAGGTCGCCCGGTTTGCAGTATACAATACCCTAGCGTACCTACGGAGTGCGTATCTCAAGTACGTACCGGGTTTGTAGCACGTACCATCCTGCGTTTAAGCGACGCGACCACTGCAAGGAACAAGCAAGAGACAATTAGTTCATGGGGCCGCCTGAACTTGGCACTCCAACCGCAACCACCAATTCCATCGTCCAGCTTCTACCCTCCCGTCATCCAATCGCTCAACCCAGTCAACGGACTAACACCGGCCAGGTGTCAAAGCAACTCACTTAATTTACTACGCCGCAGCCTAGAGTCCTGCAACCTGTTGTGGTTCTCTGATTTTCTCGCCTCGCAGGCCTTCTACTAGGCAGGCAGAGGACTGCCGTTGGTACACCACTTACAGACAGAATAATCGACAGGGGGACATCGGACTTGATATGCAAGAAAAGATCTTTTGTGTGTGCGAGTGTGTGTCTTCGGCCCTTCGAAAACCTCACTATTAACCACCAAGCGGCACTAGCTGCCAAGCGAGAGCAGACGTTACATGGCCTGACGCCAGCTCAGAATTCCGAAGCCGTTTTTCCCGCTCCTAAGGCTTTCAATAGCCACTTCATCACGTCACTTCGCCGTCGATACCAATACCACTCCTCATTACAGATTGCTGCTGCATCGGTTTATGGGATCCTCATGTCGTAATCGCAACGATGTAGCAAAAAGCCTTTCGCTGGCACTTTGTGTCGCGGATCCTGCCTACGCCACTCTCAAGAATCCAGTCTTACTCTGATGCGTCTTCACCCATGTCCATGAAACGTGAGGACATCGTGGGCCCTCGAGACATGTTGGAGTCACTAGGCCGTGCCACAACTCTCCGCCCCAGTCAGCCCCGACGCCCACCCTCCCCCGGACGCACCCTTGATGCAAGGCGTCGGGCAGAAGCCGGAGGCAGTCAAGTTCAAGGTCGCCGACCTAAAAAACCTCTCACGTGCCCGCGTCAGCACTACCGTTACCATGATGCTCAGGCTTGCAGCTTCAGCGTGCGACTCGGCCAGTTGACACTTGTGCCCCTACAGCCACACAATCTATTCAACTCTGTGTTGATGGACGGCTCGCCCATGTCGTCGGGTCGTCCGTCAGCAAGGTCTCCATTGCTAGCACTCCCTGTCAGAGTTTCAACATTGAACTCTATTATCCACAATTCACCTCCCGCAGGCGTAGTTCACTGCTGGCGACGACTCGCAAACCGTGGGTCGTCAAAATGAGAGAGCATTGATGACGGGGCAAAATGAAGTCAAATACCCCTTGATCGCCCGGAAGTTGGCATGGGCCAGGACAAGCCATGTCGGACGAAAACAATGCAGTACGACAAGAATAGCTTGCTGCAGAGGCAAGCTGTAACCTTGAATTGAGGCCATTCCCATAAACCCTAACCCTGGAATACAACCTCTTGTTCGGATTATCCCTTCCATGGCTGTCGACTTTTGGCAGGTTCTTGCGTTTTATGTGACTCTAGCGACGCAGTCAGCGTCGTTTTTCCCCGTATGCGGCCGAGTACGAGCAGGTGGACCGTGGTCACGTTTCCACGCTCTAAATCGAGGTCTCCAATTTCCTGCGGTCGAGCGGCACAGCGATGATGTCCACGACAAGATCTTGCGTCGCAAGGCAGTTTTGATTAAGCTCACAATCATACCTCCCGGCATTTTCTGCGAGCATGCAAACTACACTGGGGAAAAATCGACGTCTCGGCTGCGGTACCACGATGTCAGACACACGCGCAACATTACGGTTTGTCCGCCGCAAAGTGACGCCGTGCCTGTGATAGCCAAGGTTGACGGGCAACCTTGTCAGCTGCAAGTTGCATCACGATTGCATACACAAGGCAACTTTATTGAATGCATCTCAGCCCTAAGCCACTCTCTTGATGCCAGAAGCGGATAGTGTTTGTTGTTGGTGTAGTAAATGAAGCACGGTACTTTTCTTGTCCTGATTAGTTCTCGCCCCATTAATATCGTCTCCGGGAGACTTGTTTCCTCATTGAGCGTTCTAGTACCTCAGAGGTCTTGGACACTTCCACTGACATGTTCTAATCAATAGCCTTTTGCAGTCTCTGTCCAAAAGAACAGGGCAGGATTGGCCCGCCCGTTGGCCGTTGGAATGCCCATGGGGTACTTCATTTTCCCTTAGTGCAGAACCCTATGTTTGTTTATTACGGCTACCTTGCTTATTATTCGTCATGGTGAGGCGCCGCGCTAAGATGAAAAGAATCTCTTGGCCCGAGGCTGAAGATGGCGTACGCCACTTCAATTCCATTATCTCGCGACCGATCCTGTCCGGCCGCCAGCGGGGGTTCCGAGGCGGAAGCGGGGACTCAGCACGTAGAGCGGAGCGGAAGTCGTGATGACTTCATGTCGGACCGCCAACAGGGAAATTCGGCAAATAGCAGGCACTACGAGAGGAAGGAAGGCATTTTAATCTAGCTAGTTTGAAAGCAAAAAAATACTTTCTCTTGCTCCGCGACAAGTGTTGCCGGTTGAGGCTGTGAGACATTGCGGGTCAGTCACATCAGCTTCGCCAGAAGCTTCGCCATCGATGCGGAGTACACGTCCACGTGACCATCTCCAACATTGATGCATGCTGAGACCGAACCGGCTGGAAGGTCCCATGGAAGCTGCTAGATGCGCGTACCATTGAGATCACAGGAGTGTCTCGTACAACCACACATCGCCAAAAGCTTCACTTGTGATCAACATATAAATAGCACTGCACCTCCTTCGGGAACAGCTCCGTCAAGCATACCCAGGAACGACGCGCCTATAAATTCATCATTTTTAATCACACCCACACTACATCACTCACCCAAGCCTCCTAAAAAATAAAAAAAAATGACGAAAGTCACAGAATTCATCGTGCTAACCCTCAAAAACCCCTCTCCCGAGCCTTCCGCAGCCTGGGCTGACGTGACCGCAACTCTCAAATCCGTCCCCGGCGTAACGGCCCTCTACACAGGTCGCCAACTGGAAGATCCTTCCAAGACGGTTCTGGTAGTAGATTGGGCGTCTCCGGACGCTTTCTCCTCCTTCGCGGCATCAGAGAACTACACGCCATGGTTCGCCTCGCTCAAGGCCATCGCCGCATCGGACCCGGCGCCGGTATTTTATAAAGTCCCCTTCGTCTCGGACGGCGCCTCCGATCCTAGCGCCGTACTACGCGCGCCGTGCACCGAGGTTTTTGTAGCTTACGGCGTCGAGCCCGATTTCGTAGGCAAGACGGCCGAGTTCGCCGGTGGACTGTCCAAGGGCACGGTCGAAGGGTTCCATGGGCACGCGTACGGTGAGGTCTCGACGCCCCTTGCGTATGGCGCGGACGGCGAGAGGGGTCCAGCTGTCACATTGCTTCTCGGGTGGGATAGTAAGGAGGCGCATCTTGAGGCCAAGGGCAAGTCTGGACGTAAGTCATACCCCCCATCTCTGCCTATGCTCTTTGTTGGATGAACACAATGTTGACTTGTGCGCTGCAGCTGTCTCTGACAACATCCACTTATTGAGATCAGGACGCAAGGACATCTCCATGGTAAGTCACACTGCCAAAATACCAACCATCAACAAGGGAAATCTCTCTGACAATGGACAGTATCACGTAAACCTGAAGCAAGTCTAAGTGAAAAAAAAAAAGCTTGTCAGATTTTCTTTTGCAGAAGGAGACTAAAGCTAAGAAGATTGGATAATTACGACTACTGAGGCTGTAATCGGCCATGGTACTACGAGACGAGTGACAAGGACACTGTCACAGAGCAAAACAGCCCAGATAGCCTAAATCACGAGAAACACGACATTCATAATGCTTACCTTACCTGCCGCCGTCCATGTACCAGTACACCCTGTTCGTGAGTAGCAAATGAGCATAGTAGTCGCCGACTCACAGGCTTGTTGCCGATTCGTCATCCACAAATATACGCACCGTTCACTTCATTGTCTTGCGCCGGAGACCTTGAGCAACACCTGCAACGAAAAGATTAGCACTCTGCGTCATGGATGAAAGCTGAGCTCTTAGTGTTCGGGTAACCGGCGGACTTCATCTCCTCCGCCAAATCGCGGGAAAGGAACGGGAGCAGAAAAGGCTACCTGCACTATGCTCTGAAGCAGGGGAGGGGGCCACCCGGGTCAAGGTGTAGGTAGTCCTAGGAAAAAGAGAGATTGGGCAAGAGACATGACAGTTGGTGGCGGCGAAGTTAGGGCGATGGCGGGCTAGGATCACGGAAGAGGTCTCGGGCTCAAGAGGTTAAAAGGCTATCATGTCCACAGGGCTGTGTATGCAAGGCAGAATGGATAGTAGGGCGATAGGGCGACGGCAATGGATAGGGCGCGTGACAGTGATGGTAAGGATGGAGGCAGGGAGTCAAGATGTGCTGGAAAATGGATGATGAAGTAAAAAGAGAGTAGTGCACTATTAAAAGTAGTACCTCCTCTAAAAGCACCTTTGATCAGATGAAGTTGATCGAGATCCGTCCCCCTTCCCAGATGTAGTAGCCGGGGTCCCGCGACGGTGACAACGCCGGAGACCAATCCGATATCCCCCAAGCGCGGCGATGATGTTTCGCGTAAGAAAAGAAACTGTACCAATCCGCCTAAAATTTTGGTTTGCCGAACTAAAATGTGAGAGTCAGTAAAGTCATAAACGTCGTCAACGTTAAATGCGATGCTTTTCCGATTCTGGAAGTCTTGTTAGCGCTTGCATCGGACACTGTTACGCAGTTGTGTCGACTTACCGAGACGAGAGTATAGCATGTACAGCGCCATGCGATTGCACTCCTCTGTTCCCGTGATGGTGACCAGCCGCTCGTTGCTGTTGTCTTGCGGCTCGTTGATTTTGATCACGCTGCCGCTGATCTGGCGTATTTCGTTGATCTTTTGGCCACCCTTTCCGATGATGGCGCCGACCATGTCGTTGGGGATGTAGATCTGCTGTGTCAACGGAGCTCCGGGCATAGCTCCTCCGTGCATGGGCTGGGCCGGGTGAGCGCCGTGTGGCTGGGGCACAGCAGCACCCGCGTGAGGCTGCATGGGAGCGGCGGCGCCGTAGCCACTGGCTTGGGCTGCACCGTAGTGAATGGGCATGGCCGGGTTTGGCTGAGCGGCATGAGGGTAGGGCTGCGCGTACGGCGCGGCGGGGAGGTGGTGCTGAGCGCGAGCATCGTGTCTCCGGCTGTAGTTCTCACGGTTGCCAAAGTTGCCCGTGGTGGGCTGCGGGCAGTACGGGACGACCTGCATGCCGCCGGGTACTACACCAGCAGGGCCGCCACTCCGCGTCGCATAAGCGGAGGCAGCCGGGCCACCAAATCTGTCGTTCAACTGCTCGAGCAGAGTGCTACCAACATAGTAAGTCGCGATATGGACGGCATCAGCAACACCCATGACTACTAGCGAGCGCTCAGTGGAGAGAGGAAGGCAGGAGTCAGAAGCGTTAAGCCGAGCTCCAGAAGCTTCCTGGATCTCGCGAATGCGCGCGCCGCCCTTGCCAATAATGGAGCCGATCAAGATATGCGGGATAAGCAAGCGGAGGGGATATGTCTTTGACTGAGCGCTTGACGGCTCAGCCAAGGGCTCGTTGTTGAGTGTTCGAATGATGAGGCCAAAAGCCTGTTAAAAAAGTCAGCGATACATGTAGATGACGACGGAGAAAAAAAGTCAAACGGACCTTTGCGGCAGCATCGACAACACCGCTCACTGTCAAGATGCGCTCAACGGCACCCTTCTGGTAATCGCTCACAGTACACTTGGCACCAGACATCTTGCGAATGTTGGAAACATTCTCTCCGCCCTTTCCAATGACCGTGGCAGCCTCGGGGCTGGAAATGACGGCGCGGATGTGGATCCAATCCCTCTCGTCGTGACTCGCAGAAGCAGAAGGAGTCGCGGGAACAACGCCAGCAACAGAGCTCTGGATGGGCTTCGTCTCGGTGCCCTCGGACTCGGCCTGCTCGGACTTGGCCTTCTCGCCGTTCGTCTTTTCCGCGCCGTTCGCGTCCGTTGCTTCAATGACGGTGCTGTCAAGCGGCTGAGCCATCTCGACCTCTTCATCATTCTTCAGTATCTTGTCCAAGGCAGGTCGCTTAGCTTCGGGCTGATCGTTGCTGCGCGAAGGAGAGGATGTCTCCTCGAGGGGGCGCTTGGCCGAGTTTGCGGGCTGGGTGGGTGACGCAGACATGATGGGCTAGTTGTTAATGTCACACACAAGTTTTCGCGATTCCGTAGCAGATTCTAGAAGAGCTTGTATTCGACTATCTACACCACAACGGTTTTCAAAGGAAAACGGGCTGGTGTAGTGGCGTAGTCGGGGTCGGGTTCAGAAGAGTCTTTTTTCTTTTCTTCCGGTGAAGTGGCTGTGCTCGTGGAGGATAGAGGTCGTAGGGCAGAGGATCGTGAAGTTGAGGCAGGTCGGGGCTGTGGATTCAGGATGACTCCTATCCTTTCAGGGCCGTGGTAGCTTCCGAAATCGTGAGAATCGTAGGGAAACTCAGGTCAAGCGGAGGGAAGGCGATGTGGGGAAGCAGCGAAATGGGTAGGATGTAGATGATGATGATGAAGATGATGATGATGATGGAAAAAGAGGTAGAGAGAAGGTGGAAGGGGGGAGCTGATGGTAGACAAAGGTTGTATGTGGGAGGCGATTCGGATGCAGAAGCTCAAACCTTTCTCCGTCAAACTAACAGTCCAAGCTGCGAGGCAGGGAAGCTGCAATGTAGTTTGCGACGGTCTGTCAAGTCTGCAAGCAGAGCTTTGATATCCCTTTCAGCGATGGTTTTCACTCTCCTTTTGCTTGAAAAGCCTTGCTTCAAGCAGTTTGCTGATGCTGGTTGTTGGCGATGCGCCGACAGTCGGGTCAAGAGACCAGAGCAGGCAAGCTTGGAGGCGGCGACACGACACGTGAGGGGAGAGCGTAAATGGAGCCGATGCGCTGAGCCGCGAGAATTCTACCCACCAGAGAAAATGCGACAAGATCAAGGTCGAAACGGAGAGGGGGCAGCGAAGGGAGCGAGGATTAAAAGAGATGGGAGGAGAAAACCGTGCAAACAGATGGATTGGAAGGGGGTCCGGATGTCTCGAAGAGGTTTGGGAAATGGGCGAGGGCAAGATATTGCTGAAACCTCAGAAAAAGATCGGCCTGACTGCGTACGCAGGCTTTCGCTCGCCCGCTCGTCAGGGCCAGGCCAGCCAGGCAAGCGCAGCCAACAAGGCGGGCGGATGGCCAAGGTCCAGCACAGTACCTGGACGCACGGCCCTCTCATCGTTTTCCCCACCTGCCCACCCCTTCTGAGCAAAGCAGAAGTGGGAGCCACACAGTGACAGCAATTCGTTCCGGCAGATTAAGCAACATGGGGGGCCTTTACCCCCGGGGACCCCCAAGGGCGCGTTTGGCCACCTGGTACTGCGACAGCGCATCTTCTGATTGGCGGAAGCAGTCAGCCGCACAGTGTGTTTCGGGTCCCTCCTACCAACTAATTACCTGCGAAAAAGTGTGAGTCCCCCAGGCCCTCTCCGCCCAAATTTATGTAGCCCGCGGCAAGTGCGACTTGCCTGCTTGCGGTGCCCGCCCTGCATTGAGGATTTCCAGTGCCTAGCATTGGTCATAACTGCGGCAGTGCTTTACACGCACACACACATAACAACATCCTTACCTGAACGCGCATACACACCGACGCCGGCATCGCGTCCTTACCAACGGCCATACACTAGGACTCAGAAGCTCACCAAAAAACCTGATTGCGTCCGACAGCCAGTCACCGCTCTTTCTAGACGAAAACCACATTGCTTTTTTCTTTCTTTTTCTCATTTCCCCAAGACCCAAACTATCCAGATCGTTGGAATCTACCCCGTCGGTGTCACTTGTCAGCGTGCCAGATACCCAGACAGACAGTCGAGACAGTGCATCATCTGTGCTGTGTCTCTCTCGCACCGGCCCTACCTGTCCCCCGGAATTCTCGATAATACCCGACACACAGTGACACCTCCTTTGAAACAGTCAGAGGATCTAGCGCCCAGCTTGAGAAGTACGCCTTGTTCTTTCTGACAGGGGTCCTATTAGGTGCTCAACGCCATTGGGTATATCTGCGACCCCAACGGGCCGTGTGGTCTGGACGGCTAGAAGGCTTCGCGTGCTACCGTTGCTTAAAGTGTTTCGTTTCTTCCAGGGCACCCTCTAGAAGTCGAGGGTTACCTTTTGGCCAACATTGGCACCGACTCGCCAACTATCAGACGGTTTGGACTGATTCAAGGTGCTAGAGCCATCCAAGTCCGATCCGAAAGACAATCGGACGCTGCCCAGCATGAGCGAGTCTCCCCGTCCCAGCAGCGACAGGTACTCCATGAGCCTGGAGCAGAGCTTACAAGAACTTCAAGAAAAAATCCAGCAGCACCGGGAGGAACTTGCAACCGTATGTCACATGTACAGCAACATTGATGACTTGTTTGTTAACTCAAGATTAGCTTCAACGCAATGGTAGACCATCTGCCCAAAACAAGCCCGGCCCAGGCCCAGGCCCATATGAGGTCATGAAGGGTGCCTTTGAGCAAGTTGCCAACACACCTCCTTTCGTACCCTTCTCGGGGTCTGTCTTGCCCGCGCTCGTGGCCCTGCGGAAGACGCATCAGACTATTGCAGAGTCGCGAGCTTATCTGACCAGCCAGAGAGCCTCACTTGATCAGGCCAAACACAGGCTAGAAAGCGAGCAGGCGAACCTGGCTGACCAGAAGCTGCTACAGCAGAGTTTGGAAAAGCGCATCCAATCGCTCGAAGATGAAGCCGAGTCTCGGATGGAACTTTCGCCCGAGCAGGCCGCCAAGGAAAGACTAGACGAACTGAAGCAGAAGAGGCGGTATTACGACAAGGAGACTTCAAAACTACTCAAAGCTGTGAGGAAATTCATCGATGACCATCTAGCGGCACAGTTGGCGGCGGAAGACCTCGGTGGACCGGTCGTTGGTGAAATGATGGAAATTGATTCTGATCAACTGGTTGCGGGTTTCAACGCCCAGGGTCGGCCAATGCAGATAAAATCCAAGCCGGATGAGGACAAGCGACAGAGACGTCTCGAGGAAGTCTGGGGTCTCCCGCAAGAAGACGGGAAGGATAGGCGTGGCGAGGTAGATGAGGCAACAGCGGCAGGACGTGAGATGCGCGAGCTCATAGAGGAGCTTCTCAACCAGCTCGTGGAGGCCGGGGGCGAAAACACGGGCGCCTACGTTAAGATCCCGAAGGAGACGGCAGCGGCACGATTTCTGGTCCGGTCCAAGGTCGCACAGTTCCATCCTAGAGATGCCACGAGGCTCAAGTTGATTGATTTCGGTAGAGAGCTAGATGACTAGGAGGGCCCGGAATGCCGCGTACCCGTGTAAATGCGTCTGCAGATCCCCCCGTGTGGGGAGGTGAGCAGGGAGGCAATCAAACAGAGATAATGACGATAGCATATCCATCATGGGTCCTTCAATGTCAGAGAAACACTCCTGTTGTTAAGCATCAATTCTCTCGAGTCAGGACATATTGTTCTGACAGGCTCATTATCGTAGGTAATGCTCCGTCCATCACAGTGCGGGCTCGTCTTCGGCTACGCACATCACAGTGTTCAACTTTAAACTCGGCACGTTTTTCCGCATTTGGATACGTATCTAGATTGAGTGAAAAAAATGCTTGGTTCTTGAGATGAGAAACTTGGCATGTATGCGTCAAAGGTAATATTGACACTGAATAATGCAAAAAAAAGGAACAACGAACAAACTTTGAGGCATTCTGGAGTTTATGAATCGCAGAGGTTTATGAGGCGGCCCTGAGGCTCTACTGAGACCCTGATGGATCGTCGGAAAACTGAATTAGAAACAGAACTTACCTGTCCGTACCTTTAGGATGGCAGCTTTGTACCATATTATGTTTCCTTATGGACGTAAAGCAATAGCTTCAGGGATTAATAGGTAGACCGCGTTATGATTGGCCAATGCCTCATCCACGTCCTCACGCGTCACCGCGACACCGCCAAAGAGCCCACCTATTTTGGTGGCAGCTTTACTAAGGTAAGCTTGCTTGCTTGCTTGAACATGCCTAGCAACACCTCGTCGTCCCCCCTCCCACTTCACTGAAAGACGACACCGGTTTGACACCTGTAAACTTTCAACTCCGTACGAGAACTTTCCCCCCCGCCGAAACACACCAAAAAATGACCTCAGCTGAAGCCGTCAACGCACCTCAGTCTGTTGACCCTCCTGCCAAGCGAGTCAAGACCGCCTCCGACGACGCACCCGTCCCCGCCGCCATGGAGCCCTGCCCGCCTCTCCAAGTCAAGAAGCTCTCTGACAAGGCTCGCCTGCCTACCCGCGGCAGCCTCTTCGCCGCCGGCTACGACCTGTACGCCGCGAAGCCGACCACCATCCCGGCCCGTGGCAAGGCCCTCGTCAGCACCGACATTGCCATCTCCGTCCCCGCCGGCACCTGTATGTTTCCCCGTCTCTCCTTGGCCGAGGAGCTGGAGAAGTAACCAAGGCTAAAGATTTTCTTTCCTCTCTACACAGATGGCCGTATCGCTCCCCGTTCCGGCCTCGCCTCCAAGAACTTCATTGACACCGGCGCCGGCGTCATTGATGCCGACTACCGTGGCGAGGTGAAGGTCCTCCTCTTCAACCACGCCGACACCGACTTTGAGGTTGCCGAGGGCGACCGTATCGCCCAGCTCATCGTCGAGCGCATCTTCACCCCCGAGATTGTCGAGGTCCAGGAGCTCGAGGAGAGCGTCCGTGGCGCCGGCGGCTTCGGCAGCACTGGTGTTGCTCTTACTCAGTAGAATTTTGTTTACCCTGGTATATGGATGAAGAAAAATGGGAGGACTTTGCTATTAGATGATGGTTCAGACTCGGACAAGAGCGCCATTGCCGCATATACACCGTCACGAGCGGAAACGGGGCCAAAATATAGAATAAGGAGAAACAAAAAAATAACATGAATGATGACAATGCCACGACCTTAAATGCCTTTTTCTATCCGCGCCCCCATGCAGGTGACCTATGACCCCGACCCCCTATGAGCCCCTGACCCCGCCAATGTGTATGTGTAGTTGTATCTTTTTGTATCATGTTGTGTCTTGCTCTTTGGTCTATATTCTTCTCGCTCGGAACTCCACGACCGGATCCCGCAGACACGCCAAATTCCTCACCAGCTTTAGCTCGGCACTCTTACTCTTGAGAAGATGCAGCTTCTTCTGCTCCTCCTCCGTCTTGGCCTCCCCGACCGCCCTGACGGCCTCCTGCATGCCCCTCGCCGTCTGCGTGAGCACCTCGTGCATGCTCGCCAGCACCATCTCCGCCGCTCTCGCAAGCGGCAGGTCCAGCGCGTCGACCTCGGGCCCGCTCAGCCACGACTTGGTGTCCTTGAGGCTCTTGCCGCCTGTCGCGCCTTGGCTGACGGACTTCGACGCCGCCATGACCGCCTCGCGTATGCGCACCGTCATCAGCGCCGCGAACATGTCGCCCGTGCCGGAGAAGTAGGCGTCGATTGCCGGGAATACAATCTTGAACAGCCGCGGCTCGCCCGTCTCCGGGTTCATGGTCGACCCAACGACGGAGAGGTGCGAGGGCGGGTGGTCCGGGGCCGTGAAGGTCACCGAGGTGATGACGATGTGGGGGATGCGGTACTTGGAGTGCAGGGCGCGGATGGCGGATTGAAGTGACTCCATGTCTGTGATCTTGACGCCGGAGAGCAGCCTGTCGACGTCAGGAGCGGGGTTCTCCGGGAATCAGATAATGTGAGAAAGGAGGGGACATACTCGGCTTCAAACTGGTTTGGCAGGATCAAGTCCGCATGTTCGATGAGCGATTGGTATGCCGGCACGACCTCCTCGGCCACGTAGAGCTTTCCGTTATCGCCCATGACAGGGTCCAGGACCCAGAAGAAGCTGCCGGCGTCTGACTTCGCCTTCAGCTCTTTGGCGATGTCGCCGACGGCCATGACGGCCTCGGCACCGGGGATGTAGCCCGAGAGCATCATGTCAAAGTCGTCGAGGTACGACTGCTTCAGGCCCTCGAAGAGGTCGCGGATCTCCTGAGCGGAGACCTTGGTGCCCTTCCATTGCCGGTAGCCCGTGTGGTTACCTCACATAATATTAGTTTTCTTACCCGAATGAGCCTTTCACCTGTTTCTCTCCTAAGATAGACAGACTCACTGAACTGGACGGTGTTCAAGGCCGCAACGTCACAGCCGAGGGACTGCAGCGTGAACACCGCAATCTTATTTCCTACATTACTAAACGGGCCGTAAGCGCTGTGTGACTCCAGCACCATGCTTGACGTAATCAGAGAGGCAGCAATGACCTGCGATGCGACTCACCCAGATACAACCTTGGACACAAGTCAGTCACACGGGCGCATGAGTGAAGGGGAGCATTGAGTGCCTCACATGACTAGCGACGGCCAACACGCGCGTGTCAGGAATAGGCAACTCTGTAGTCATGATTTCAAACGTTGTGTACTCAAGCAAAGATAAATGTGACTCGTCTATCCGTTTAGATCTCTATGCCTTGGCCGCAGATATCAGATATCAAAACGCCGGATCTCGGAGGGAGGGCAGATGGTGAGCGATCGGAGGTGAGATGCGGATGCGCGGCAATAATGCGTTTCAACTGGGGAAAAGGAGGGTATACCACAATTAAAATGAACAAGAATCAAACGGTCGAATCTGTGAGTCAAAAAGAGTATATCGCAAATAGAGGGGTAAATTATCAGTGATAGAGATTCCTGGTATCTAGGGGTCTTTTTTTTCGAACCGTATCTGCAGTTGGTTCTTTCAAAGTGACTAAGTGAGATTAGACTTGGACCCAATGAAATGCGGTTCCAGGTTCTTCTAGGCTCTCTGACTCTGACGTTACGACCTTCAGCCCGTCCAATCCGATATTTGCAAAGGGTCCTGAGCCAAGGGGACTCTGACCCCGCCAAAAGGGCGCCGAAGAACCCCGCACTAGCCCAAATTTGGGAAGTCCATCAGACGCATCAGAAGCCTGCAGCCGCTGGCAGCTGGCGCACCTTTAGTTTTCACCCACATAACGAGATAACCGAATGAGCTGAGAACTGCTATGAGGTCATGGAATGGTTTACGCAGAAACAGTGAATCTCATTATTGTTCGTGGTCCTAAAAGTGCTTTTTGCCCTTCGTCTACCAACATATCCGCATAGTCTCTAGAACATGCAAAAAAGTCAATCCAGAGTGACAGGATAGGATTTGTGCCCTGTCCTCCGGTTCCGTGCAACGCCCGCATTAGAATCTCATCCCATCATCAATTACTTGTTTACTCCTCGTCACCGATCTGTAGCATGGTTAGCTTACTCGAATTTTGGACGTCTGGAATCTTTCAACACTTACCTTTGGCGCCAGGTAGAAGCGCAGGTAGCTCTGGCCCACCAAAGTGTACTCAACGAGTAGAGGTACCTCGTTGGACAGGCAGATCTTGACCTGCTTAGAGATAGCCGCGGCCTTGCAGAAGTTGACAAGGTACTTGAGAGAAAAGGTCAGGGAGACAGGCTCGGTAAGCTCAATGTCGACGTTGAGCTCGGGCTTATCGACGTTTGTGTGGCTTCGCAGAGTGACGGATCCGTTACCAATGTCGCCGTTGCATCCAAACTTAACACCGTCCTTGCTCGCGTCGATTGTCACTGCAGGGACCGGCGGGTTAGAAATCATCCTAATCAGAGTTATCCACCAGGCGTCCACTGCTTACCCGACTCGCTCATGGCCATCAAGTCCATGCAGATACGTCTAAACTCAGTGCTGGGCATGGTAATAGTCGCGGCATACTCCGTCTCGGGAATACCGAGGTGCTCCTGGTCAATGTCCATCAACTTGAGGTCGTACTCGCTGATGCGGTCGTGCTCTGAGCTCTCAAAGACAATGTTGAGGCTGTCGGGAGCATCCTCGGCCTTGAGCGTCAGAACATCCTCGCCCTGTGCGGCACGCAGAACCTTGGTCAGCGACGTCAGGTTGACGCCGAGAGCGATGTTGCGGTCGCAACGGTAGGGGGAGAAAGCCTCGGTCTTGAGGGCCATGGAAACGAGCGCAACGTGCGAGTTGTCCATGGCCTGCAGCATAATGCCCGAGTCATTGCAGTCGAAATTGCAGTCCTGGACAAGATCCTTGATGGCGTCCACCACCTTCTTGAGGATGTCGGCCTGGTCGAGTCTGGCTTCAAGCATTTCTGCGACATGTTAGCAAGTTGGTCGTAAGACATTGGCAAAAGAAAGAAATCGGTGAGCGGCAAGAGAAAGAAAAACACTTACTGGCTGATTATGTGGCGTGAAAACTGAGGAGAGGGGTATCAGAAAAACCAAGGAAATCGAAGACGAAGGGCAAAGATGATCGTGAGCTTTGGGCAAAAAAAAGTTGAGCGTCAAAATGGTTGAGGGGTTGGTAAGGAAAGAGAAGTCGCGAAAGCACTTTAATGGGCAGACACGTTGCGCGTGGTGGGCTGCTTAAGAGGGGAGACGCGTCAAGCATTTAATAGGGCTCGACGCCAACTTAACGCGCGGGGCAGAATTGATGGTGGCACGTGCGTCTTCCACCAACGTAAGGCAGGCGGTAGAAGCAGGCAAGTACGCTTTGCCTGTCTGAGGTAGCTTCCCGGCGCCGGGCTTACCGGACTCCCTTGCTCAGGGGAACCTCAGCCCCTGAATCGTGGCTCCTTTCCCTTACCCTGGCAACAGCAGTCCTTTGTTTAATACATTCGAGACAAAAACATTGGCAATAACAAATTTCTCCGTGGCTTTGGACAGGTGTTCTCAGAGCCAGGGTATTCTTTCAATTGATGTACTTTTCGATTATCTTAGGTTACTAAGTAGTCTGAGTCTGTACAGTTTGGCCAGAATGTGGCATCAGTGTCGTCATAAAATACAAATGAACGATTTCAGCGAGCAATGCCTCCCATCCCTGAACCCCCAATCTCCTTCTATATGCAATCGGCAAAGTGAAGGTCTTTTGCACGAATTATATGATAATAAAAAAAGGAAAAAAGGAAAAATAAAAAATCAAAGTCTCAATGACTGTGTGATTAGTTGGTTTCCTGTTCCAAAAACGCCCGTTGTCTGTCGTCAAAATGTCATGTCCTCGTCACATCGAAACGATGCGTGACGGATTCGTCCCAGTTCGCGGGCGGGGCCGGAGGTTGATGACCATCTCGAGCTCCTTAAGCATGCCTCTATTGGCATCCGCTTTTTCTTTCAGCGATTCCCGCTTTTCCCGGTCTTCCCTCATCTTGATGATGCGCTCTTCTCTAGTTAGTAGGCTTCTCGGCCGCGGTTGTGCAACAGCTTCAAACACCTCTTCCATGTCGGGTTCTCCTGAGCTGCTGAAGTCGAGGCTAGACGGCGATTCTCCATTCAATGCTTTCAAAGCTTCAGCGGCGCCGCCTTCTTCAACAGTTGTGAGCCCACTGAGTGAACTTGCTGGAGAGAGCAAGGTACTCATAGACGAAAGTCTCTTCTCGTTCCGGTCGATACCCAATGCAAGCGCCGCTTTGCCCTCTTCCCAGGCTTGCATGAGAATTTTTAAGTCTGCGCCAATAGATTCGTACTGCGCCATTAGGTTGGAGCCAAGTTCAGAAATGTCGTCGGACTCATTGAGGCTCCGATCTGACTCTTCTCTTAAAAGTTGCAGTTTAGCCTGCAACCCCCGAATTCCGCTAGATAGTGAGTTGAGTTTCCGCAGCTGAGACCTCCATCTCTCTCTGCCGGGCGTCAATGGCATTTTTGGAGTTGGTGGCGCCGGGAATGCTTAGGAAATGTCAGCTACATGATATCACCTTGTCGCAGGCAAGAACGTACTCTCTTCCTCACTCAACAGTCTTCTCAATCTTTCATACGCCTTTTGCGTAACAGAGTTAAGCGTACGTAGAGCCTCAACAGTTGTTGTCCATCTTAGCAGATCGCTGCTGTCGCCATTCGCATCTAGAGCCAGCAGAGCGCACAAAAACATCTTACGTATGGTGTGAAACCGTGCGGCAAGTATCTTCAGCGTCCTCAGGGACTCGGGGTCGTCAAACTCGTTCTCCTGGAATCCTTGCTTGGCATCAGACATGTCGAAGTCGCTGATGTCGTAGATGTCGTAATACTTCTCCAGGTCGAGTTGCTCCGAGAAACCTTTGACCACCAATACGGTCTGGTCATAAGCGGGAATGACGTCTGCAAGGCATGTTCGCAAGGCTTTGCGAAGGCGCACACACTTGCGAGTCTGTGAGCGATCCTCAATTCGACTGATAGGCGGCAGTGGCGCACTCCTAAACCTTGCGTCAGCCCATCATCATCACCGATAGGTGAATCAGGGAAGAGACAAAACTTACAATCGGTAGCCTCTGGACACAAGTTCCACCTCCTGTACCAGGGCGATGGCCGCGCCAGTCGCGGCGTCGAACTCCTGAGAGTTCGAAACAAACGCTGTGACCTCAGACAGTGCTTGTAGCCGTCTGTACCTCAACCACTGCCTTCGCATATACACATGGGCGATCCCTGCAGCGATCACGACCACAAACAAAATGACCGTAACTCGTTTCTTGTTCAATGGCCCTGAACCCGCGATCCAGTTGAGCGAAACGGCCAGAGCCAAGGCTCCCAACACAGCGGTAACTGCGCCCGTCGAGTCCAAAAATTTGTCGGTCGAATTGCCGTCAATTGCGGGATTGGTAGGCTGGGATGATGCATGGTGCTGGGATAAGACGGAGTGCCCACTCAATAGCTGGGATGCGATAATAGTATAGCGAAATTGCTCGAGGAATTTCGAGTTGTCGGCTCGGTCAATCCTGGACGCTACCGCGGTCTAAAAAAGGACACACAACAAGAAGTCAGTAATTTCCCCATGTCGCACAGAAAGGGGTTTTTGTTTTTTGGTATGCGCACCGAGTAGCTTGGTCTGTATGACTTTTCGGAGGAGGATTTAGACGGAATGTTTATCTGGAGGGGATTGTTGCGAAATCTTGACCTAACCATGGGCCGACCAGTCGGCGCGAAGTCAGGGCTCGAGGGAGGAGACGCATCGTATGCTGGGTCATCGTATGCCCATCCGGCCTGCTCGTCTTCGCCTTCATCTGTCGCGCGCGCATTTCCGTCAGTCGACGATCTTGTAGGTCATAGGGTCGCTGTTCCGGGAGACTGCACTCACCACGAAGGTACTCGGCGAGCGGCGTCTGGTCGAACACAACGGGCTCCATCTAGCGACTTGGCGGCAAGTATCGACGAGGCACCTGCAAACAGCACGGCCATCTGTCGCCGCTCTCTTCAGTCGTCGTGTTGCCGCTGGGTCGTGGGATCGTGACGGACAGGAAGCAAGAGGCGGTAGTAATCAGAAACCATAAAACAGATTCAGGGAAAACCGCAAAACATGTACAATCAAAATATGGACGGCTTCTCGGGGATATATACGAATCGTATGTAGGATACGTAGTGTAATTGCGGAGTGGTACACAGGGGGGAAGGGAGGGTTGGAACTGTTCATGGCGCCAACCCAAAAGTGACCAAAGTGACCAGCTGCCACTCGCGAATTGGGAAGGAACCTGTACCCCTGTATGCGATTTAAGGTGCAAGGGGTAGGTAGGTCGGAGCCTCGGTGGGGTGATTGCATATGATCGGCTCCAGCCAACGATGAAGAGTACGCACCGAAGCTGTGGCTTGTGCGCCGCTTGTTCTGTATTATTTGCATATTAGGGACACACGTATTCCGTACATGGGACGACATTGTGCGGAGTCGACGCTCCACTGACATTGACACCTAGGCGCTAATATAGTACGCCGTTCCGGTCGTACCTCCTCGCGCTACCCCGGCAAATATGAGTAAGGAACATTGTTACACCGCTTCCCGGCCTTCCCGCCAGATCCAGAGTTTGATCAGGTCCAATTGAGTTAGCGCCCGCCGTTTGAATTACCTAATCTCGCCCACTGAGCTGGAGCTCTACCACACTACGACGGACAGACATCATCCACCCGAACACTGTACGCAGTGCATCGTCGGTAGCAGCACATAGCAGCACAATCGCAAGACCAAGACTTTGGTGTCGCTTCAATAAAACAATTCCAGCGACCTGAAACCCGCAACCAACCGCAAAGATGCCGACGGAACGCGACTACCAAATCTCCCCTATCGTGCAGGAATCCGTGATGCACAATACCAAGGTGGGATACCTCTCTCAGAAAGGCTATGCTCTGTGCCATCGCAGTGATCGCTGACGTTTCTCTTTTCTACGCAGGCCCTCTCGAATCTCCAGAGTCTTACGGCCTCTCTATTCGGCGTCGCGGCCGGAATACTGGGTCTTGAATCCTACAACGGCTTCCTGTTCTATTTTCTCTTCTCATTCTTCACCATCTTCCTAGTCTACATCTTCCGCATCGCGCCGCAATCAACATCCGCAGGCTTGCCTTTCCTCAGCACGAGCCGATACTTTAGGGGCTCCTTGGAATTCTGGACGAGCGGCTTGTTTGGTGGACTTCCTGGCTTCATTCTCACATGGACGCTGTTCTATGGTCTTGTAAGGGCATGATAGAGTACGAGTAATAAAGATGACATGGCCGGCGTCTGGGCGTTGAGGGACTGTTCGCCAATTACTTGTAGGAAACCGAGACAAAAACGTATATTCATGACATGAGCACGTATAATGAAGGAACAGCTATGAAGAAGAAAAGCAACGCTAGCATGGTACAGCAAACAGACAAGACGGCTCCCGCATGCTATGGCGCCGCTTTGAACAAGAAATGAAGAAATCCTCCCTATGTATAACCTAATCAACGATTTCTACAACAGTGCCAACAAAGCCCTCCAAACCTGATTTGTCGTTGCGGCCTCCTTCGAGCACGAGAATTTGCGAGCCTAACTCAATCCACTCTCGACTCGTGAGCAATTCCAAAGTGACTTGGACACCTCCTGTGAACTCCGGTTTGACATCAGTCACTATCTCATCATGTTCGTTCATGTTGAAAATGTCCTCAGCATCATCGGCAGTCGGGTTTCGGGAATCATACTGTTGCGATATCCTCGAAACACCCATGACTCTGGCTGCTGCACGGACACTTCCAACGTAAACGTTAACCAGAGACCCATACGTGAGAGATGCCGTGTTGGAATCTCGGAACGACGCTGTCAGTCCACTGGCGGCTTGAAGGGACATGCCTGTATCGACCATGTGTTTGGATGGAATCGCTAGGACCATGCCTTTCCTGATACGAGGCGTCGTCGACAGCCGCTCAAATTCACCCTCCGCCGAGCTCTCGAAAGGTACCTCTAGAATGATTCCAATGGTGCCAACTTGGCCTGCCTCCAGAGTATTGACTGGGAGTCTTAAATTGCGTATGCTGACAATCTTGGCCTGGTGCCATTCTCCTTTGATAGTTGAGGCTGCAACCGTATTCCGTATTGCAATCTTTGCGAGCTCCGATGAGGATGGATGTGATATTGACAACCCATAGTTTCCGGGAGAAGGCCGGTCCTCTGGCGTCATGCCTTTGAAATCGTCATCGCCCGAAGGAAAGGGCCCAACGACAATGCTATCGCCAACAGAGAGCTGCCCGAATCTCAGATAGCCAGACACCACCGTTCCCATGTCATTCTGGTTGGGGTTCTCAGCCAGTGAGGCGTAAGATGCAGGTAGACTGAACGTATCGTCGATGTGGAAGAGACACGAAGGTTGCTCAGGGTTCAAAGCCATTCCTACGAAATCATGCGCAGTGGGCGCCGGGGGGAGTGGCAGGTTCTCCAGGAGAGCGTGCGTCAACCCTATGCCGGCACCACTGACGGCGCTTGTAAGGACAATAGGTATGCATTTCAGCAAGTCACCGCCCTGTATCATCTCTGTCGTGAGAGCTCTGGCCTTATCGAGATCAGCAGAAGGGATATTAGCCCATTCCTGAGCACCACCGGGAGCAGGCTGTAGAATCTTGGGGACCCGGCCTGCTTCCTTGATGTGCGTTAGAACTTGTCCAAGCGTTCGCTGTAGGCTTGCCTTTGTTGCCAAATCAAGCTTTGTGATAACAATGACCAGGGGGTTTTTCAGCTTCAAGCATAATTCCAGATGAGATTTAGCAAGGTCGACACCGGCACCAGCAACTCCAAGTACTTCATTGGCTGTGGAACTAGCACCTTCTTTGGTTGAGCTGGCTTCGGCGTCGTCAGCAGCCAGACAAAGGACTGTCCATTGAGGAGCCCAGCCGAATAGCCCGCGAAGGATTGTACGACGATAACGAGGGTGGCCAGCAGAATCAGAGACAAATACAAGACGTCCACTTTCAGCAATGTCATGGATGTCGATCCATGATTCCACATGATCCTGAGAAAAGTTGAAGATGGCGTGGTCCTTGTACCCAATGAGCTCCTGGGCTACTGAGCTGGTCAGTCCAGAGGCGACCTCATGACGGTGCTTGAACAGGCTGATCCGACTCTTTCCCCGACCGTTATCGAGGGTGCCGGTAGAAAGCGTACCCAAGAGAGTGGATTTGCCCGATGTTGTAGGGCCTGTGAGTGTTATCCTAAGCTGGTCGGTTGTAGAACGGCCCCTGCTGGGTAGCACGACAGGTTCGCTGGCCCTGGGGCTTGGTTTGGATTCCCGATGGCCATTTCCAGAGCCCTCTGTCGAAGAATGCTTCGTTGAAAAGTCAGGAGTAACGAGCGCCTCAACTACCCAAAGTCTTGCTTGCCGACTTATCTGTACCGGCTGCGATGCGGCATTGTCAACCAACTCAGGTGTCTCAAGCCACTCGCATTCTCCCACTATGACGTGACGAAGAATTTCAACTCGACACCCTAGCGTAGCAGCCATGACCGTGAGAGTGATAATGCTCTCATCCATTTCATCCTTGGTCAATCCAACCAAGGTCCCATCATCAGCAACGCCGATCTCATATAGAGCACCACGAGATTCCTCGAGGCCTGGAAGAGGTTTTTGCGGCGTCATGGCATGGCTTAAGTCAGTCGTGTCATCAGGCAGCTTCGGGACGATTAAGTCCTTCGGGTTCAGGGCGTGGTAGGCGCAAGATTGCTGCAATCTCCAGAGTAGCTGCGTCGTCAGTTGCTGGAGGCGTACTTGGCGACTCTGGCTAGATGATGATAAGGCCACTGGGACGATCCTAGACGGGCGGGTCGGAATGGCAGACGTCTTGGGGTGCTGAGAGGGCGATTTGCCAATGGTGCTCATGGACGTGTACGTTCGCCGTGGCCGAAGTAGTAAGTGGAGCTTGTATTCAGTTGGTCCCTCCTGAGGCTCAGCTTCCAGTTTGGTGACCCCGTAGTCAGACAAGTGGCCAGCTTGCAGTCCTCCCTCTTCCAAGTTTGGTTGAGATTTTGGTTTTCTCCCTGGCTCTTCAGGAGCCAGCCATGGAGAGGAAACCCGCTGAGGGTCGGTGTCGAACGTAAATATTGATCCGGAGGCCATTTTCGAAACTTGGAAGGAAGTATATGCGCAGAGTGGTTCTATGTACGAATTGCTAGAGATAGACTATGTCGATATGGATGTATAAACCGGCTATGATGAGCTATTGCAGAAATACGGATGACAGAACGAGTTGCTATACGCGGTATCATCTTGACAACGAAGGTGATTTGTTGATTGAAACGGTAATCAGGGAGTGCCGTTGACAACAGGAGAGAGTGAGCTCGACCGAGCCTAGTTGGAGGCCATTGCGAAAGCGCGAACAGAATGGAATTAAACAGATAGTGTTGGGAGGCGATTTACCGTTGAAGGCGCATCCAAGATAAGGATGACTTTAATTTGAACGATGTCGAAAGTATCAAATGACTGACATACGGTATGACTCGGAGACGGCGAGGTCTCAGCCAAGGTGTGACGCAGCAGACGGCAAGGAGGCATCGATGGGTGTGGCTCAACCATGCGGAGAAAGTGCGGGTAACGCACTAGCGTACAAGTATCCGCGGTGAATCACTCCACGCAGTCCACCATAGTGGTTTTGACATAGTGGTTTTGCTTGGACCAAGGTTATTGCCGCCGCTTTACTGCACCAGCCTCATCTTCATTGCTGTCTCATGGATACAGTGATTGCTTGGTATAGAGCCATCGTTGAAGCTCCAGATACAGTTTTTCCCAGATCCTGTTATGCGAATTGAGGCGCGTACGGTTTTTCCCCACGCCAATCCCACCTCGGCTGGTCCAGAGAGTGAACAACAACACATGCCGCCTCATGTACTATGTAATTGTTAAAAGCGGCAGCTCAGACTTCAGCTCACTGGCTCCATCTGCTGCAGAGTCAAGACCCACTTGGGTACCAAGAAGTCAGAGGCTAACCTACTGGCGACAGCCTACCTGCTCCTTGCTATTTCTGCAAGCACTACGGATACCGACACAGATGTCAACATGTTTGTACCTCGGTACCTCTGCGCACCTAGGGTCTTTTACGCTACTTGGCTGCCCCTCCTAGAACGGACATGGTCCTGAAGAAGCGACGGATGGAACTACGCTGGGCGGACCTCATTAGTTCCCAAGGCCTGGCGTGGCCCTGTTGATCTCCCTTCTCCTTTTATTTGACGAGATCAAATGCGGACCAGTTGTCTGCAATTGAACGGTTTTACTTTTTACAAAATGAGAAGAGACGAAGCCCTGCTGGCATAAGCAGTTTATGCTTTCTAAGGGCACAGACAGATGAAATGCGCTCAGCTTACTCATGTTCCCACCCCATCTGTGACTGCTCGGTAGGTCTGATGAAAGGAATTTGGTTGCGGATAAGACAAAGCCCGAGAGACAAGCTGAAAATGACAAGTCAATGGACAAGAAACACGAAGCCTATTGCGCTAGGCCCGAGGCTGAGCCAAGCATGGGGGGCTGTCATAGGCTCATGGCGACCGCCATTTTTACAGCCCGCACTGCGCCGTAGAAGTATTCTTGACGTGCCTACCGCAGGCACTTACGTCCCCGCCATCCTAACTGGCAGCTATTCTCTCCGTACAAGCTGATCGTCTCTTTCGAACCTTGCCGGCAGCCCCCAAAATCGCGAATCGCTCCCCGGCAGTAAACAGCACTGAACCCAGCCCAATTGCATGTTGTGGGCATGTCCAGGCGCCTGTGCTCTGGGTCGCTGGCTGGCACCCCCCAGCCCAATCTTTTCCGTTCTCCGTCAGGTTCTAAACCTCCAGGCCTGACGATTGTTTTATGGCTTAGACCCTGAGGGGCGCATCCGCTCGCCTTCGAAACACACCCAAGACGGCCCCAATTTTGCCACATAAAGCTGCCCGCTGACGGTACCTGCTCCTGCCCCCCTGTCGCTCGCTCGCTCACTGTCTCCAGTAATTGTCCCATCCATTCTAAAGGCTGCCTCTGCTACACCGTGTCCGTCCTTCGAATCTTCTCCAGACCTTCTTCTGACTCTCTTTCGATTAGCTTTTTGCAAAGCACATTGTCTTGTGTGTTTTGCTTTCTTCCAGAATTTCTCTTGGCTCATCCTATCTCGAACCCCCACCTACCGAACCTAGAGTATTACACTGTCGCAGCTATCATGAAGAAATTCGGCTTCGGCAAGAAGGGCGGCGACGACGGCGATGATGCCAGCCGCTCTGCCCTCTTTGGTCGCAAGAACAAATCACCAGCTCCCGCTTCCGATAACCCCTACGCACAAGCACCTGGTGGTAACGACCCCTACGCCCAAGACACCAACAAATATGCCAACATGACTCCTTACCAGCAAGCTCGAGCGGGTGTGTCTCCTGCTGGTGCTGGTGCTCCTGGAGGCCTTCCCAGCGGACCCCGTGGTGGTGGTGGTGGTGGTTATGGCGCTCCCCCACAACCAGCAGGAGGTTATGGCAACGACAAGTACGGTGCTGCTGGTGGTTATGGTGCCAACCGCTACGACAACAAACAGAACGCTTATGGATCGAACCAATACCCCTCAGCCGGGGCTCGCGGCCCTGGAGGCTATGGAGGCTTGGGTCGCACCGACAGCAACGACACAGATGCTCAGCGTGATGAACTATTTGGAGGGGCTCAGGATCGATACCAGCAGAAGCAGCAACAGCCTGAAGGATACGGCCAGTCTGCCACCGGAGACGCCAATGGAGGCTACGGAGGTTATGGCGAGAGTCGTGAGCTGACGGCAGAAGAGCAAGAAGCCGAGGAGTATCGTGCGACCAAGAACCAGATCAACGAGACCCGACAAGAATCAGTCAATACGGTCAACCGAGCTCTGCAGGCTGCCTTGCAGGCTGAAGAGACAGGTCGCGCAACACTCGCAAGACTAGGTGCTCAGGGTGAGCGTCTACACAACACAGAACGGAACCTGGACCTGGCAGCAAACCACAATAAGGTTGCCGAGGACCGCGCCAAGGAGCTGAAGACTCTTAACCGTAGCATGTTCGCAGTTCACGTCAGCAACCCCTTCACATCCAAGTCGCGTGCCGCGGCGCGCGATCAAGCGGTTCTTGATCGTCACCGATCGGAACGTGACACCCGTGAACAAAGTAGACAGGCCGCGTTCCAATCCAACCAACGCATGGAAGATGCCTTCAAGGAGATTTCCCTTTCAGGCCGCCCTCAGGCCAACACGAAGTCCAGCGCAGCTGAGCGCTCTAAATATGTCCTCGAAGATAGTGACGACGAGGGCAATGAGCTGGCTCGGCGGCAAGAAGACGAAATTGATCAAGGCCTTGGTCAGCTTGAGGGTGCCGTTGGCCGTTTGAACGGCTTGGCCAGAGCGCAGATGAAGGAGGTTGATGTGCAGAATAACCTGATTACGAACATTGGCAAGAAGGTACAGTCATTTATCCCATTCAAGACTCATACGCGGACAGTGACTAATGACTTTTACAGAGCGACGCTGTGGATGATCAAGTCAGGATGAACAGAGAACGCCTGAACCGCATCAAATAAATCGGCCAAATACATTGCATCACAAAAGGGCACGAAATTGGGAAGCTGGATTACTCGTGAAAGAAAATACCATTGGCAGTAGCCCTTTCCCTATAGATTGGATGCGCTCCTTAGCATATGAGGTACTGGCCTTGCCGGAATTAGAAATCTTCCAATTTGTACACCTCGTGCGCTGGAACTTCATACGGGTGCGCGCTGTGTCCATTATTAGTCTCCATTGCATATAACTCGCCGAAACCCGGAATTACGACACCTTTTCAAAGCTGCTACTGCAGCCTTTGTGACATCATGCCCAACGCAGAGGATCTCAACTCTGTACTCCAAAACCCGTTCGAGCTGATCAGCGGCGCCAGTATGAGGGTTGGCTCCTGCGGCTGCGACGGGCATGAATTGGCCCTGGCCGGTGAGCTCGAAAGCCACCTGGACATATTTGCCTTCATCGTAGATGCCGGCGCCAGACTGGAAGACGGCGTCCTTGGTCGCAACCAAGTGAGAAGCTGAGAACAACATCACGCTCAGCAAAAGCATATTGAAAATAAATCCTTTGGGTTCTTCCCTTACCTGGAACGGTGTACACAAGCTTATAGCGGTCTGCCATAGCTGAGGTTGTCGCGATGTGTCGGTGGTGAGAAACTGCCAGCCTGATTCTATTTTGGGGGGATCCTTGAAAGAATGGGGTACCAGCCCAGAAGAGGGGAAGCGTTCGAGAGTGACGTAATATGCAGTTTCCTCGAGAGACGAAGCTTAGAGCTGCGCTCTGTAGCATGGTAGCTGCAGACAGTTTATTGTGGAAAGAAATGGCTGATGCAGAGCGTCTGAACATCCGACTACATATTAGTAGTACTTGAGGATATCCATCCATCTGCATTGCTGTAGAGTATATCTAGCTCTCCAGAGACGCAACGGGTGCATAGCACTTAGTCGCCCTGTGTAAATGCGGGGCACTCGCCCAATCAGGAATATGATCCAAGCCAGGGTCTGAACTAGGGGACCCTCAAAAATTCTTCTTACAACCATTCTCACCCAACTCGACGACTGCAAACTACCGTTTGCTCAATTCCGTTAAGATGTCGCCAACACCGGATGGCGAGCGCGCCTCCAAAAAGAGGAAGCTTAATGGGAAGCATGTCCTGAAGGTGGGAGATAAAGTGATATCTCTGGAGGGTTACTTCAACCCTCCTGCGAAGAAGGAGCCCCCAAAGAAAGAGGAACAACCACAAGATGCTTCAGAAAAGCCAGAAACTGAGGCCCCGGAACCCGCAGCGAAAGAAGCAGAGAAGCGTGACAAAGCTTTCTCAACTCCTAGGAAGCACGAATTCAAGCGGCCTCATGACAAGGGAAGACCCAGATCAGATCAACGGGGGCCAAGATGGAGAGACGACCCGGCTCTGCTTAAAATTCGGCAAAAACTGCCTATGTGGGCTCACCGAGAGGATATCCAGGCCCGAATGCGACAAAAGGATGTCTTGCTCCTTGTCGGTGAGACGGGTTCCGGAAAGAGTACTCAAGTACCCCAGTTTCTGGTCAGGGAGCCGTGGTGCAGGAGACAGATGGTTACCGTTGAGGGACGAGAGGTGAGTGTTGGCGGCATGATTGCTGTGACGCAGCCTCGTCGAGTCGCCGCCACGACATTGGCTCACCGCGTCTCTCGTGAAGCCGGCACGCCGCTTGGTGAGAGTCGTGAAGGCATGGTTGGTTATTCCGTTCGTTTTGACCATCAGGTCCCCAAGGGAACTAAGATTAAATTCCTTACCGAGGGTATGCTACTCCAAGAGCTGCTTCGAGATCCCAGCTTGAAGCAATACAGTGCCGTGGTGGTTGATGAAATTCACGAGAGAAGCGTTGATGTGGATCTCGTGTCGGGATTCCTCAAGCAGATTCTCATGAGCGATCGGAAAGGGCGTGGTGGCATTCCGCTTAAGATCGTTGTCATGAGTGCCACAGCCGATGTGGAACGCATCCACGGATTTTTCTCTACCGACAAGGCTGAGACAAGCGGCGGCGACATGGACGTTGACAGCGACAAGTCTAGCTCGGTGGAGATTCTCAAAATTCAGGGTCGTCAGTATCCGGTCAAGACAGTACACACGCCAAAGCCCGTGCCAGATATTCAAGAGGCACTTTTGAAGACCATATTCAAAATACATACAGAGGAGCCTCTACCGGGCGACATCCTTGCATTCCTTACGGGTCAAGAAGAAATTGAATCGACGCAAGCGCTGATTGAAGAGTACGCCGCGACATTGGCATCGAATGTTCCCAAGGTCAAGGTCCTCCCACTATTCGGTCAGCTTTCCATGGAAGGCCAGCATGCAGCATTCCAGCCGATTAAAGGTGGCTTCACCAGAAAGATTGTGTTGGCGACGAATATTGCCGAAACGTCCGTCACCGTGCCCGGAGTACGCTACGTCGTAGACGGTGGAAAGGCCAAAGTTAAGCAGTTCCGTGCTCGTCTTGGCATGGAATCCCTCCTGGCTAAACCCATCTCCAAGTCGTCCGCCATCCAAAGAACTGGCCGTGCTGGTCGTGAAGGGCCCGGAAAGTGCTTCAGGCTGTACACTGAAGGGACGTTTGGCACGCTACAGGAAACCGACTTGCCTGAAATCTTACGAATCGACGTCCTTGGAGCTGTCCTGACCATGAAGGCCAGAGGCATTGATGATGTTCTGGGATTCCCGCTTATGGATACCCCTGATATCGACGCTATCGAGCGAGCGCTCATCAGCCTCCACGGTCTCGGTGCATTGGCAGATGACGGCACCATCACTGAAGCAGGCCGCAAGATGGCGGGCTTTCCCATCTCCGCCCCTTTGGGCGCCGTCCTTTTGGCTTCGGCTAAGCCCGAGTTTGATTGCGTGCTCGAAGCCATTGATGTCATTGCCTGTATTACCTCCGGCGACGATATATTTCATCAGTTGCAGTCTGAGGAACAGCGGGAGGAGATCGAGGAGTTGCGCAAAGAGCTCTATCGTCGCGAGGGCGACATCATGACATATCTTACGACGATGCAACAATACGCTGCCGAGAACGCAGACCGCATTGAATGGTGCAAAAAGAGAAAGGTCAACATCCGCAATATGAGAACGGCACTCAACATCCGCAAGCAGCTCCGTAGCTTGTGTCTGAAGGAGGGCCTGCTTTCCGAAGCGCCGCCGCCCGACCCCCAACCCTTCAGCCCTCTCCCGCCTGAGCAGGCAGAGGCCCTTCTAAAATGCTTCCTTCGTGGCTTCGTTTCCAAAACTGCCGTCTTGGCACCGGACGCGAGTTACGTGACGTCGCAGGGCAAGCACGTTGTCGCAATCCACCCATCTAGCGTTCTACACGGGCAGAAGAAGGAGGCCATCATGTTCCTAGAGCACGTGTTTACGCAGAAGAACTACGCCAAAAAGGTCAGCGTCATCCAGGCGAACTGGATCGTAGAGGCGCTAGAAAGCACCCCATAGATGGAGAAAGACTTTTCATGGTTTACATTCTAGCTATATGTGTCATAACCGTACACTTGTAATCAACAGCTTTCATCAATATAGTACAGGTACAATCGCTGAGTACGGCCTCATGCTCTAAGCTTGTGAAGAGTAATTTCTCAGTCTCGGCTTATTATGACTCCTCTTGACTCTGCTTGTTCCTCTCACGAATCGCCTGCATGAGCTCGTACAGCTGACCGATTTGCTCATCTAAGGTTGGGATTCTCAGTAAGACTAATCTTCGTTATGTTAGATGGAGAGCGGTTGAAACTTACCGCTCATCTTGGCAACCTTGACCGGGTCAATTTTCTCCCCTTGCCACTTATCACCCTCAATCTTCTGAGCGTACAATTGCCACTCTGAAAGGAAACCAATCTGCAAGTCAGGGATGCATTAGCGATTCAAGCACAAAATTAAAAACAAACTGCAATCGGACCCAAAGAACATGTTAATTCATGAAGGAGAACTCATACCAAATGCGCCGGGTTATCAACTGTACGGTGCGCACGAAACTCAGCCTTGATGTACTCATCACCCAGAAGCCGCATCTCACCGGGCAGGTACTTGCGGTGGGCGCGGAGTAGGCGGCGGTACAGAGGAATGGGTGGAAGCAAAGCCATGGGGGCAGGCGAAAGGCCAGACTTGGGGACGGCGGCCGAGGCCATCCTCATCACGAATGATGGCCGCATCTTTTCGTCGTGCGTCTCCTTTGGAAAGGGTTTACCGCGGCTATGTGTTTGATGTGGTCGGGCGACAGGAAGCTCAAATTCTGCGGTAAAAGAGAGTTTTGACTCTTTCCTATTAAACTCTCAATGGAGGAGCAAGATTGGATTGGTCTTCTTAGTTTCGATTCGAACTATGTCGAACTTCGTGATGGGCTTTTGCGTGATGAACGTTGTTGTCATTGATACATTTTCCGAGGTCAAAAGGACCCATACAGTGTTGTTTTCTGAATCACACGCACTGTACGATTGCACATAGCAGCGGCCTCTTTGAACATGGTTGTCATACTAAAACTCTGGAGAGTCTTTAGATAAATGTCTTAATTCTTTCACTCCAACTTCAACAGTATAATCCTCTTGTCAAGAGTTTTATTCACTTCCGTCAAGCTTTGAATGTACATTCAGGGAGTACATCTGAATTGACATGGTGTATCTATGATTTGAAGACTTATCCTTCGATTTTAACAGAGGCCCAGAAAAAACATTTTACCACGACAGCGTCGAAAGAAAGCTGTCCGATGATGCATTTTATTATAAACTTATGCTTCACCAAACAACCACCGTCCAATAACGTCTCTTAGTTTTCAGGGCTTCATGGATCGTAATATATGTCAGAACTATAAAGATATCAACGTAGTCATACATGCATATATTCGACATCGCCTAATACAAGTATCTGTCGTTCATGCCCTGCGTAGCATAATTGCTGTCTGTAGTATGCGAGTATGCTTCGCCCTGCCATTGCACCTGCACCTGCTCCTCGGCGACCAAGGCCCGGCCGTTCCTTATTTTCTCGAGGTCTCCCTTCGCTTTAAAAGTGAGAGGATGTTCTTCTCCAAGAACATCGAGCCTGCCCTCATAGCACTCTTCCTGAAGCTCTTCCGCCTCTTTCGACTGATCCATCTGATACAGTACTCCTGCGAGACACTCAATTGTCACCAGCGTGTCCAGATGTGTCCGCCACAGCACCCTGTCACTCGCATCCAACACTTCACGAAGTATCTTCTCTGCCTCATCAAGCCGTTCCAGCTTCACGCATCCAACGGCCACGTTCCGCTTCGACTGCAGTGTGATTGGATGTTCGTTGCCTCTGAACCGCTCATCGACCTCAAGCACTTGCCGCCACATCTCATCCGCTGACTCATGCTCACCCTTGGCAGACCTTAGCGCGGCGATGTTGCTAGTGGCGCTCATCGTCATACGGTGGCCCGGCCCAATGTTGGGGTCGTTAGAGCACATCGTCAACATTCGCACCTCGAGCTTCTCGGCATCCTCATTTCTGCCTGCGAGCTGCATTGTCATCGCCAATGCTGCAACAGCCCGACGGAACTGGGGGCTCCGATCACCCCTTTCCTCCTCCTGCTCTATGACCATGTTGAGAATCTGTTCAGCCGTTCCTAGTTGCGCCTGCTGGATATAGACCTCGGCGAAGTCGATGCTGATGCTCTTCACAGCTTTTTTCGCCCACTCTTTGTTGGAACACCTCTCCACCAAACCGATACACTCGAGAAATACCTGTTCAGCGTCGCTGAACTTACAGCATGTTTTGTGCAAATTGGCAAGATCCCATAAACCGGCGACAACCAGCCAGTGCTCGGGCTCGAGGTTCTCGCGCCTCTCCTCGACAACCTGTTCGAGAACCCAAAGTGCTTCACGCCACATGCCGACTTCGCGGAGGAGCCTTGCATACTTGCTGTCCTGTCTAGTCTTTTTAAACCAGTCAATATCCTCTGACCCGCGGCGCTCGACTAAAGCCTTGATGTGTGGTAAAATCTGGGCAAGGAACCTCTCATCCTCAAATTTGAAGTTTTGATGATACGAGTCGAAGATGATGGAGCGAGCCGCCTGCTGCTGGAACCTGAAAATGTCCATTCGCATCCGATCACGAGCCCAGGAATGCACCAGTGCGTGCATTGAGTGCCATTTTTCGTTGACTACAGACTTCTTAATCAGTGAGTAATTCCTCAGTAGACTAATACCCTCTGAGTAGTTGCTGGAATTCCACGTTGCATCATCTCCGAGGTTAAAGAGTGCCAGGGGTGCCTGGCTTTCCATATCGCCAAGCACGTCCTTGTCGAGTTTTCGATTCGTTGCAGCCCTGCTGAAAATCTCATCTGTGAGGTTTTCGTTGTGGTAGAAGCAGAAGATGTTGAGAACCCGTAGTGCGTTCAAAGCGGCCCGCCCCTTTCTGTTGTCATCTTTGGACAGATGTAACAGTGCCTCATACGATAGCTCAAAAGTTCCGTACACGGCCGGGTTGTGCTCGAACGCACCGGGGGCCAGCGATGAGTCTTGCATCAGCTCTTGCCGTCTCTGTTGGAACTCGAAGTGGTACGCGCTGAAGGGGCAATCCAGTAAATTGATGTATGAGCCGGCCTGATCGAGAGCCAGTGGCAGGCATTCCAGCTCTTCGATGATCTGCGAAGCGTACCACTTGTCGGTATCGTCAAGGTCTTTCTTGTTCCGATGTGCGGACTTAAGAAGCAGTTCCATAGCATCATTCTCGTTCATTGTATCAATCGCAAATGTCTGATCGTCATTCAGCCTAGGTTGCATATCCTCGCGCCTGCTTGTAAGGAGTATGTTCCCCGTGTTCCCAGGCGGGATCCATTTGCTGACATCGACGGAATCATTGTTGTCGAATATTAGGAGCCATTTACTGTTCTGTGTCATCCACTTGTGAACGCCCTTGATGTCTGGTCGACTATGTTCCCCACCAATTACGGTCTCTGTCACTTGTCTGAAGCTCTCATAGATGGAATCTTTGGTGGCGGCATTAATCCAAAATATGTGGTTGAATCTAAAAAGGAAACCATTATCATACTGAATTCAACCCGGCAATTTAATAAAGAGCCTGGACGCATAACGCGAGCACGATGGAAAGAATAATGAACCGATACGTACCGGGATCCGTGTAAGTCCCTGAACCTCACTGCAATCTGAGTCTTGCCGACGCCACCCATGCCCCAAATCCTTAGGAGTCTCCTGGAAGATGGCGACCCGGCAGGACAGTCGAAAAAGTATTTTTCCATCTTGTCGAGAATCTCTTCCCTGCCCGTGAACTGACCACTGGTGATGTCGGTCCTGTTTTGGACGACTCGGTTGAAGGCATGTTTATCAGACTCGTCGGATCGTGCTCGGACTGTCTCATGTTAGATATTCGTTTTCTGTCAGCAAAGGAAGTGCTCACTTGTAGAAGCTAACCCCATATGAGCACCGTCCTCATTGTGGAGAAGGCTGACAACTTGGTCGATCTCTGCTGAAACATCGGGTTTCTGGAGATATCTCTCTGTTGCTATTCGTAGCAGATCCATCTTCGCATACTCGTCCAATGCAATATCCGAAGCGCCTTGATCTAGGTTGAATCGAAAGTAGGCATTTGGAGTACCACTAAATCGTTCGTTGAGTTCGTAATGAGTAGGTTCGGTATCAGTCAAGTTCTCCTTGGCATATTTTAACAAACTCCAAGAAGCGCGTGAAACCATGGCACCACTGTAGGTCTTTTGCGGTTTTGAATCCTGAACAGAACCTTGGGCGGCACTTTCTGCATCTGGGCTGACATTTACTGCCTTGTCGTTGGCCTTGAGGCCTGTTCCCAAGCTCAAAAGAAACCCAAGCTTCCGTTTAGTGCCCAGCTGGGCCTCCGCTTCTTTGAGAACAAGTTTGGCCGGATTGTTTACGGCGAGCGCGCCGTCAACGTAGATGTTCGAAGCGGCCTCAACTTTGATCGAGATGGGCTTGAAAAACGTCGGCGCCGCTGTCGTTGCTCTGGCAGCTTCCCAGATTTCGACGTTGTGTGCTTGATTGGTCGTCCCTTTGTATGTTCGAAAGAGATAGGGCTCTTTCTTTTTGTCCTGGGTAACGGAGCATACGAATACCAGACCTTTTTCCTTGCCTTCGTCGATCATTGCGGTCGATACCAGTTTCCTTTCGGCTACAATGGCCTGTATGCGTTTCTCGAGTGTTTTCGCTTTGTATGTCCGCTTGATTTTCCGGTTTCTTTGACTGAAGACGTCTTTTGCAAATTTCATATAGTAATCAATGGCTTCTTTTGTTGACATGCCCATGCGGCCAAGCATGATGGCAATCAATCTATATATTCATGTTTGTCAGCTTTCATGTTGGTTTTACCCTCCACAGTTTTTGTTGTTCACGTGCGAACAATCAATGGATTTCCAGAGACCAGGACAAGTAAAACCATAGGAGATGGAGCAATGAAACGCCGGACCAACCCGCCAGTGCTTGTGCCACCTATCAAGTGGAAATAGTCCTTAGGCTTGGGCAACTCTGTTAGACCGGCTATTTTCTGGAGCCGCTTCATGATCTCGTGTAGTATGATGAGCTCGGATATCCCCCTAATCCCGCCCCCATCGAGCGATAGTAGGTAGACCAACTCATCGCTGCCCATTGTAACGGAAAGCAATTGGATGAAAATAACAATAATAATAATCAAACACAAATATCAACACACTGTGGTGTTCATCAGGGTATCGCGATGTCGTACAATCGGCGATCGCAATTTAGAAAAACCAAAAAACGTCCGCATGTACAATTCCAGAACGCCGGGAGACCAAGTACTTATTCAATCGGTCCAACCAACAGAGGAGGCCTGAAGACCCGGGACCGCCTCGTGCAGAATGGTTGATAAGCGCCCAACAGGGGGCAGAAGGGTTTAGAGGGGGGCATGGCCACGCAGGCGTACACCAACGTGCTCGAGACCATTCCCTCTCTGGTCCTCACGTTTCATCGAGGCAGTCTAGGGCATGTCGGCGGCCTACGGCGAAGCCACTTGATGACTCGAGGCGACCCGAGGGGACGGTTCTGCTGCGGTGCGTGGCCCCGAAGCTGGCCAACTGGAATATCCGCCCAGTCTGCCCAGTCTGCTCAGTCTGCAGGACCCCCCTGGTCCCAGGGGGCGGCGTTGGAAGTTGGCCGTTGAGGATAGACATGCGCGAAGGCAGGGGCATGCCGAACTTGAAATTAGCAGATTTTCAGTATGGTTTTTTTTGGAGACGTCTTTTTTCGATTCCTAGTTGTTGCTTGCGAAGTCGTCACTGTTGATGCTTCAACTCATGAGACAGATGGGGACTATACAAACGGTTCGTGCTGTAAGCGCCTTTACGGGGCGGATCGGACCGCTGAACGGGAGAGGCGCTAGAGGCGTCATTGGTGCGCGGATCGCTGTTCCCTATGAGCTACTCGCCCACAGTACACCGCACTTCTTTTAGGTACGTAGTCAGCCTACAGCCTCCATCCATGCTGGCGGACCAACAGGCTTTCTTCGGGCAAACCAGGAGGTTGCGTGTGCCGCTGAAATTGCTTGAACATGCACAGCTGCGTTCGATGAAACCCAGTTACTCCTATACTCCGGTTCACTGACTGGGAATGGACAGAGCAGTCCCACAACTTTCCTGACCGCTGTTCGCTTTCAAGAAAAACACCCTGAAGGCAGAAAAGCTTTGGAGTACGGTAGAGATGGAAGCTATCAGCTGTAGAGGTTCTCAACGGTCTGGATTGCAGCAGGCCCCAGTTTCGCAACCGCTAGCGCGTGGCATTCGTCTTATGGTGACAACCTTAGGCGGAACGACCGGCGAGTTGCTCGGCTTTCAGTACTCGGTCTTTCCCAGAAGGCGTCTGCTGTCGATATTCTAGACTGGCATAAGTCATGCTCAGTTGGATTCGTTGAAGAGAGCGTTGATGATACTCTCTGAGCTGCCTAGCTGCAACCAACCTGTGGCTCAGCGCCCAAGACATCGGACGACTCTCGCATCCCTCGTCTCCAAGGTCTATGTTGCCATCCGAGGCATCAAGACAGAGCAAACAACAACACACCTTCGGAAGCAAATATTATAGTCACATGCCAGATAAAACCTAGAGCCAGGCTTGGGCGTAAGAATTAGCCCTCACATTTGCCATGCCAAAAAGCCCATCCTAAGTGAACGCCCCCAAAGCCGCCCCAAAGACTACGCCGACCCGCCCCAGCCGCAATGAGAAAAGAAAAGCCGGCCCTGTTTATCCTTGAGAATGAACCTAAGCCACCCTTACTATGATGGTGGCGCGCCAGCCTTGAGCATCTCCATCTCAGGCAACGTGAACCCATTGCCCAGATACGCAAACCGGTTTTGCCTCGTATTGTCATACGTATACACCCAGTCTTCACCTCTAAAATGCTCTAGCATATGAATGAAATGCATTCTGCTCCCTGGATGCAAGCCTATCACGGGGGCGTGGACCTCGCCTTGCTTGTACCATGACCTGCACCCGTCCGAGAACGCCGTGCGAGGCATAAAGGCGGTGATGTGTTCAAAGTAGTCGTCAACAGCCGCCTCTGATGGTGCTATCGACCGAACACCTTCCGTCTGGCACTTGCGAATCGTGTTGGCGATGTAAGTGGCGATATGCTCGCTAAGGGTAAAAACATCGCCATGGGCAATCGGCGCGTTGGGGCCAAGAAACTCTGCGGACAACCTATTAGTAACAAAAAGTACGAGAGATAGTAGATTTCAACTCACTAAAGTAGTTGGGCAGGCCGTCTACGGCAAGAGACATGTATGCCTTGGGTGTTTGCTTTGGCCAGATGTCCTGCAGGTTGCCGTTACGGCCAACGAGGGGGAACGAGGGTCGGAATGAGGAATCGAACCCTGTGGCGCAGATTATGGCATCGACCTCGAGGACTTCTCCGTTATTGAGTTGAATCCCTTCAGCCACAAATTTTTTAATGTTGTCGGTGTGAAGAGAGACTCTTGGGTCGTGGAAAGATTCGAGGTACCCTGGGGCAGGAGTGAGCCGCTTACAGCCAAGCGCGAACTCGGGTATGAGCTGTTTGCAAAGCTTCTCATCTCCCCTAAGCATTGCAGTCATGAATTCCTTGGTCTTGGCCAACGCCCATTTCTGCTGAGGGCTCCCTGCTACTAGAGCAACGGCAAACTTGATGTTGGAGTCCATCTCTAGCGTTTTCGCGAATTTCGCGCAGAATTCAGGGTCGTTCTTGAATCGCTCAATCTGTGCTGGTGAAAATCGTTCCTCCCCGTCCATCTCTATCTGTTGGATAAGTGGTGCCGAAGGACCCATCTTCATCGTGGCAACACGCGGGGGTATAATTAGAGAAGGCGTCCGGATGATATGATGAAGCTTGTTTACGTCTGCTTTTGGGTTAGCATGGGTGTGGCATATGAAAGACGACGGTAACGCTTACGAGGTCGAATGGCGGGAACTATTTGCACACCAGACGCTCCGTTTCCAATCACAGCAACCTTCTTGCCTGCATAATCGAAGTCCTTGGGCCAGTTGGCGCTATGGATTAGTGTGCCCTTATAGTCGGATATGCCCTCCACGTCAGGGTATTTCCACTTGCTGGTCTAGTCAGTGGCTGTACTTGAATCAAACGACAGTGTAACGCACTTCAGAATGCCAGTTGCGTCGATCAGAAAGTTTGCTTGGTCCTGGAAGACGGAGCCAGTCTTCAAGTCCTGTATTTCCACTTCCCACATGGCCTTTGACTCTGACCACGACGCGGAAACGATCTTGTGTGATGTCTTGATGTACGGTCGCATCTCCTCGTCGTCGCATATTTGGCACAGATATTCCCGAATCTCGTCTGCAGGAGCGAAGAAGCTCGACCAAGCAGGGTTTGGCCTCCAGGAAAATTGGTAGTTGTGACTGGGCACGTCGCACTTGCATCCTGGGTAGCGGTTCTCGAACCATGTACCTCCTACGTCTGCGTTTTTTTCATAAACCACAAGCTCATATGTTGAGGCACTGAGAGTATTTCTGATGGTGCGTATCATGTTAATCCCGCTAGCCCCAGCGCCGATGCCGATAATGCGAATAGGCCGCGGCGTCCCAAACGGCGCTTCATTTATTGAGTAGGCGGTGCTACCATGAGCCGGTTGGCAGGATCCTGTTCCATGGCCGTCGACGTGGCGGGAGAGCTGGGGAACTAGTTGGCGTGTCATTGTGATATCGTTGATGTTGTCGAAGGCTAAGCAAGCAAGAAGGGAAGGAAGATCCGGCTGGTTTATAGTCAAGTTGAAGAAGAGGGGCTAAGAGCTATACTGCGAAGACACTGCCAAGGCCTTGCAGGGCACACTCTTATCGAACAAATGAACTTCTGTTACTCGTTTGGTGGAGTTACGAAAAAGGAAGAAGAAGATACAAGCAGTTGCCGGAGAGATGCGGAATTTGACAGGTTCGGTGCATTGGTCTGTACGGAGAATAACCAATAGGCGCAGCAGCCGTTGGACCAAAAATGTATGCAATGTGGGAGAAGCAACGAGCCAGGAGAAACAGAAACACTGCTTGCCATATGCAAGGCAGGTGAGTTCCGAACTGGCCAATAAGTGATACTAACACATGACTACACCACATCACTTGGGCCAACGCTGCAGACAATATGGCAATCAACCAGCACAGCGGAACTCTCGTAGCGGAGCAGCCTGAGAAGAGGCAACTCACATGAGACAACCCGGTGGAGCTGAGGTCGTTCAATGGGTAAGGTCTCCTCCATTGATGCTAGGTTGCGGGTGGAGGTTCGTAACGAGTGTCATTGTTGGTCGATATACGACGGGCAGTTTGTCTACCTTGGCTGGTGGAACGGCAGTACTGTGGCTGCAGGCAGCCAAAGAGCGTGGGGACAAGGCTGGTCCTTGATCAAAATGGACTACATGGCTTGTCTGCGAGCCTGCTAGGCTCATTGTGGCCAAGCAAGGTTCGATTACAAAAGGGCCTTGGACTGGATGTCGTCGTAAATGGTCCAACCACGACGAAGGTCCAGGCCGAGGGGGCTCCGGGGGGATAGATCCAGGTGCGGTGAGTGGCGAATCACGACCCTCGCCGAGCTGGGTATTGGAGGCCTGGAGCCAAAAGATGGATTCTGAGAAGTGCCGTAAACTAAAAGAGCTTCGTGTGGGCACTCTTGAGAAAGAGATAGGCCTCCATAGCAGATTTCCCGGTCCCGAGTGGGAATCTTGGAATCCTTCTACGTAGTACGGATAAAGATATGGGGAATAAGGTTAGACAAGTCCATCCCCAGCTCATGTGTCGACGCACTGCTCGGCTTCTGGTACACTGAGTGCCGACGGACATCTGCGGGTTACCGTGGCGTCTTCTTGCGCGAATTGGAGGATCAGACATCGTGAGCCAGTGTTGGTGGGCCGCGTGGGCGGGAGATTATGCGCCGCATCCTTATTGCAGAGAGGCGGCGAAGCCGCGTTTGCTGACCACTGAGACACAAAGATCTTGCGGGAAATGCGGCACCCACACAAGGATGCACAGGATTGAGATGCGTGGATGGTGTTTGGCAAATAGCTGCAGCTGAACCGTGCGGCAAAGACTGCTTGGCTGCCAATAACAGAGGGCCACAGCCTGGTCTAAGACTTTTCCTGTCTCTTCTCATGTGCTGGAGATGCAATAAGACAGGCAGATGCGATAGGCTTAGTTTCGGGAGGTTATGCGGATGTCAGCCTATCAGATATGCACTTTTGCTCCCTTGTCATGCTGCCCGGCGCGGCTGGGTTAGTCCATACTATAAATCTTTGCAAAGCCAGCTGAAGGCCAAGAGGAGGCTCCAGAAAGACAGAAAGATGAAGGGCATTGTTTCTGCTAGGTAGGAAACAGTTGATTCGGGGCTGCAGAACGCCTCTGGTGTTGATCCTTGCCCATTGGCTGATTTGCGATCAAATGCTGTGTTGGAAGAACAAAGAATGCCAGCTTTCGGCGATGGCAGGTGCGGTCATCCCGTGACGATCGCTAATATCCAGGAGCGGACCCTTGCCCTAGCACCTGTATCGAGTACTATATAGTCGCTTTACTTCCCCGTTCTACCCTGCACTTGCAGCCAACAACCCGGAAGGCTTCTTGCTGACTGTATCAAAGCCCACTTTCAAAGCTTGATTCAAGGTTACTCTACATTCTGCACACAATTCATTTTGATGCGGCTACCTTTCTACTGCTTAACGGACTTAATATATCTTAGTCTTGATGACCAAATGTGAACCACTCACCAATTGTCTTCTTACACGGAGCCAGCTTATAGTTCAGCTTTCCTCAGAGAGATTATCTATACTCCCTTGGCAAGTGGCGACACCTTTTCGTCTGAACCATTCGTAACAGAGGATTCGAGCCACTTTTTGAGGCAGTCGCATGAACAGCGGGTTTCCTCGAAATCTTTACTCGGATTTGTGACACAACTTAAGCGTTATATATTGATTCGGAGTCGCGAGCCATCAACCGCCCACGTTGAAATGCTGTCCAGCGTCGTTGCTTGGCTTTATAGAGTTGTAAATTGATCGCTACCCGTGGGCCTATGGTAGGATTCCGCCAGATTGACGGGAAAAAGTATTGGCAGGTGCAAATCACCAAAGGCTCCGATTAGAAGTGGAGGTATATAGTGCCACCATGGAGTAGTAGCAGTTCAGAACAGTTTCGAATTATCATTAACTTATTCTCTCGCTCCTCAAGCCAGTTTTTCACGTTCATTTCACTTGGGTTGCACTTCTTTCTTCTTCTCCCAGACGTTGGCATAGCCTTCACCGGGCTAAGAAACACTGCGTCTGATTGTACTCACGAGCTTGACGTTGTTATTAGTGATAACCTCCCAGATGGCTATACACACCAGGGGCGTCATACCGACAATCATGGCAATGAATAGTTGAATCGAGACACACGCCGTGAAGATTTCTCAACTTCAGCCGGATACTGACTGCTGGTTTTCTTGAACTGGCATAAACATGCTGCGTTGTTGGCGATAGACTCTCTGTCTTCTCAACAGTAGTCGTCATAGCCCCGGACTTTAGCCTCGGGCCGCTCAGGTGGTACCACAAACTGTACATTATCCGTTGGCGGCTTATCGACACAACTCATCTCTGATGGCTAGCCAGCATCACGTTGCTCAGCCCTGTAAGTGCAACACCCAGCTTCATCCTGCCCATAGCTATTCCTTTTCCCATGTATTCTTCTGGTTTTCATATGCGATCCCAGAATAATCTCACTCCGTTCAGCCTGGTGATAGGTCCGACGCCTTTTCTTTGATCATCAATTAGTAATATCAGCCATATTGAGGGGCGCAAAGCAGGTCACGGTTTGGAATAGCTGGCGGGCTGCAACCAAAGTGTCAAATCGTGTGACGGTGACTATTAAGTATGGCACTTCTAAGTCTCTTTCAGTGCCGGTTTGCGATGTTTACAACAACGCTTGCTTTGAAGTTTCTGTTCAGCGGCTTAAGCACCAAGGACTAAAAACTAAACATCGCAGTTGTCCTATATATTCAGTCTCAAGGAAATTTCTTATGACTTACGAACCGACTTGTCAAATAAGCTACAATTGTTGGTGCTCTTCTAAGTACACTATGCACTTACAGGTAATGAATGGATTATTCCGAAAAGAAAAGATGTGATTGTTTGAACAATAGACCTTCGCCCATAGCCTGATTCTGGTGTGCAGCATGAGGTCCACGTTTGCCTTAAGGGGATTCACAAAAACGAAAAAGCGAGGAAGTAATTGTATGAAAGAGGAAGGGGGGGGGGGGGGGGGGGACCACGACGTTGGGTTTATGTGGTGTTGATAGATGTGGCCCAGCACCCATCTAGAGTAGGGCGTTACTATCTTTCACCTTGATACCAGGGAACATGAGAACAAATTATAGATCGTAGGCCGAGCCACACTCAACTTTACCCTCTCTTTTAGTGCGGAAACGTGTCATGCCGACAACCAACTCATAAGACCAAGCGAAAGCAACCCCAACCCTCGTCAAGCTGATATGAAGACTGATTCTTCATTCTAACCAATCTATCTGAATAACCGGGAAGCGGAAAACAAAAACTTATCAAGACTTGTTTTCAAACTAACTTATCAAAAAAAAAAAAAAAAACCATAAACTAATATTCACTAATCATATTTAGGAACTAAACAACCCAGACGACAAACCTCGGTGAGCCTCCAATGGGAGGCCGCGCATCGCGAAAACCAGCACGACCCCGCCCCCACATTTTCACAGGTTTCCTTCACTCACTCAGCTTGTTTGTACGAATATCTTTTCGGGTCAAAATTCCTGCAACCCCGTGGCGCATCACAACATCCTTACCTTGAATTTTCCCCCCTCCCTTCTCCCCAAGAAAAAAGAAAAGAAAAAAATGTCGTTTTCCTTCGGCTTTGGCGGTGATGACATTGAAGAGGACTCCGCCTCGGCCTCCGCGCCCGCCGTCGCCGCCCCGGGACCTGAGACCCCGGCGCACTCCGCGGCCCCCAGCGCGAGCTCGTCCGCCTTCCCGGTCCCGGGCAAACCACAGCTGCCTCCCACCGGCCACGATCTGCAGCACATGCTCTCGAGGCTGCCGTCAAAAGTTGCCTTCAGCACCCTGGACGTTGCCCTGGACGATGGCACCACCATCGCGATCCCCCGCCGCGAACTGTGGGACGTGCGGGTGCAGCTCATGGCTGAGGATGAGGCCGCCAACGGCGAGGGTCCAGAGGCCGAGGGATTGGGCAGCCACGACGTGAAGACGGGCGTCTACGAGGGGGGCTTCAAGAGTTGGGAGAGCAGCGTTGATCTGGTCAAGGTGCTCGCCAGCGGCCGGTACCTGGACGCGCTGAAGCAGAGGCCTCTCCGTGTGATTGAGGTATGAAATTCGCCCCCCTTCCCCCTCGCTACGAGGCTACTTTGGCTACTTCTCTCTGGGGGCTAAGTGTGTGGCAAAAGAGAAGAGATGCTAACGGGACGCAGCTTGGTTGCGGTACGGCGCTGCCGTCCTTGGCCATCTTGCAATGGACCATGAGGGACTCGGCCGCGAGATCGCCGCTGCTTCTCACGCTGGCCGACTACAACCCGACAGTATTGCAGCTGGTAACGCTGCCCAACTTCATTCTTGCCTGGGCCCAGGAGCGGAGAAGCCAGAGCCCGGTGCTGCAGGAGGCGTTTGCGCTCGAAGACGAGCTGGAACTCACGCCCGAGGTTCTACAGCAGTTTCAAGACTTCCTTACGTCCTCTCAAATCTCTCTCAACTTCATTTCTGGCGGCTGGTCCGAGGAGCTGGTCGGCCTCCTGTATGAGAGCCAGTCCAAGCTGGACAAGACCAACGCCAATTTCGATACCCTACTCCTCGGGGCCGAGACCATCTACTCCCCGTTCGCATTGGATGCATTCAATGAGATGGTATTTGCTGTTCTTAGCAGGGAGCAGAGAGAACGCGGCAGCGACTGTCAGTCACAGGCGCTGGTTGGGGCGAAAAGGCTCTACTTTGGCGTCGGAGGCTCGCTCGACGACTTTGTCGATAGGGCTAGGGGGAAGGGTGCGACAGTGACTCAAATCGCGGAGGAGACAGAGGGTGTCCGGCGGGGAGTTGTCCGTTGCACGCTGAGTTCGTCTGGTTAATAGACCTTGTTCCAGTCAAAGCTGTCAGTGTGACGCCTCTGTTTATGGTATTTGTTCGCCACTGTCAGGATAATGCTGTGTCCCTGCCTCAACGGTGCTGCCCGTCTCGTGGCACGAATGCCTCTGGCGTTGCGGCGTGGTTTTAGTTGAACCCATCACGGGGCGTTTAACTTGAAGGCATGGGACTTGTTCAGAACGAAGGCGTTGGCCGCTTGGCGAGAGCCTTGAGGCCGTATCCGGGACCATGCATCATTGGGGCTTGTAACGCCTTCACAGGGCCATGGATCCATCTGTCGTCCCAGATAGCGATCTCCATGAGCCTCGGGGTTCGATGGCACCAACCAAGACCGGCCCGATGAACACTGGGCATTGGGCATGTGAAACGTCAAGCCTGGTTGTTGGGTGTAGATGTGGCGTTGCAGAATATTCATCAGCCCTTTTTCTTTCCCTCACTGGCCTAGCACTGATACTAGGACTGCATCACATCTCCCGTTCCAGTACCGGCATTCCCGCCAGCAGCATCGGATGGTGCTCTTTTACGTCATCTTAATCAAGCAACAATTTGTGGTAATTCGTTGAGGGGCATAGCCATTCCAGTTGGGTGTCATATTGAAACGCTCCCTTGAATGCGAAATCCCTTTGCTTGTTCTGTCCTGTCCTGCCAAGAGTGCTTGCCACGGAGTGTCATCGACGTAGTTGGTTGAAAGGATGTAAGGCAATCAAGGAGCGCAGAGAGCCAAGCCTGTCACGGATTCATAGTGTCCCTCAGCTTGAAACGAGAAGGAGAGAGAAGGGGGAGGAATTGACAACTTTGATACCTTTGGCTGGTTGGGAAGCCCAGCAACAGACTCCCAATAAGCTCACCGGAGTTGCATTTCACTGCAAACAAGGTTGGTACTGACCGATGCATCGAGTCGTTCGGGTGACATTCGACGCATAAGGTGACAGACTGATGCTACAGCGCGTTCCGTTGTCGGTCATCAGGGCTCTACTTCAGATGGATGGTCTTTGGGTTTGATATGGAGAACAGACGCATGTACGTACAGCGATATGGGACAGGGTACGGTCAGGGACTGTGGGCAAGCCGGGAACTGTTAGTGTCCGAGCCCGTCGATTGGAACTCAGGTACGAAGGTCCAGGGCGCAAAATGCAGGTACGGTGCAAGTTGTGAAATAGCGCGCATACTGGGGAGATTTGGCCAATGTTGGTCTCCACAATGGGTCTCTGACGGGGCGCATTAAAATTGGATTCTTCCCCCTTCAGATATTGGCATCTTGCAAGGAAGCAATTGGGCTGCCCCGAAGTCGTTGCATTTTATTGAATAAAACCATCTGAACTGTACCGTCTGCCGCTGTGGGAGCGAGATTATGGCCCTTGCCCTACTAGTATATGACAGTGCAACATGGAATATATAGCACATAATCCGCAGCAATATGTGTGTAATGTATACAAGTTCCACGCTGGGGGAAACCGAAGTTCCCATAAAAAGGGGCCGAATGGAATGGGCGGCACGGGTTAAACGGGTGCAGACGGATAGCAGAATCTTCTTCCGGCACCCCTCGGCAGATCCTCATCAGGTAATTATGAGGTAGGAAGAGGAAGAGTTACAGGCTCTCACCGTCATGATCTGTAGGAAACTGTCCCTTTACAGACTACCAAGTGCCAGACTATCGTCGATGATCACAGCTGAGCAGTACACCTGAATAATAGCCACCTCTCTCTCACCTAGGCGTTGCCCCCATCAATTAAGTGTTTGCATGGGGAAAAGGAACTTGCGTCCGGAGCTGAACCGCTGTCTCATGCATCCGTCGGTGCATCCATTAGCAGAAACAAACAGCCAGGATCTAATATCTTCCACTAGACATGAACACGGAGAAACACAAAAAGGCTGGGGAAGACGTAATTGTCGCCACCAAGTAATCTGTAGGACCCAGTACATCAGGGTTAGGGATTAAGGTGTGGCCGTTTGTGTATGTGTGTGTGTGTTTTATTTTATTTTATAGATGCTTGGAAATACCCGACCCTACAGCATGCGTCGTCGTCATCCATTTATTTATTTTTTGACGTGGTGGGGGAACCTTGAGCTGTCAAGGCCAGTCTGCATCGATGATCAGATTACAGACGGGTCGTTACTGGTCGGCGGTAAGTAGAGTTTTGGCCTCGGGCGATCGAACACGAGATGGAAAGGAGGGTGGAGGGATGGACGTTGTTGGCTGCACACGCAACTGCTGGCTGAGCATGGCTGGGCGTCAGCGAACAACATGAACATCAAAAGTAGGAAGTACTCGTAGCTGGCTGGACGCTAATACTCTCTACATTCCTCTGAACGCCAACGAAAGAAAAGGCAAACAATAACCCAAGAAGGTGCAGGTGGAAGTCACTGGCAGCCTGCGAGAGTCTTGTTTACGAACGACGTGACAGTCGGTGTTGAGAATGAGTCCTCCCTTGCTGCGCCTCAAAACACCCAGATCGACAGGAACCCTCCTCGTCATCGGGCCAGAACGAGCAGAGCGGGTAAAGAGAACATGGGCGAGAGTCAGTACTGGCGCAAATCAGGGCAGGCAGGGGTCCTGGAGCCGCTTGAGCCAGTTCCAGCGGGTTTTAGTGGGTGTCACTCGGTGGACTGAGGCGAAGAGGATGCGAACTGGATCATTCGGCCATTGAATTGTGCCATCGCATCGCGATAAAAAGCGTAGGTGACAGGCGATGGTGGACAACAATCACTTATAAGGGCCAACCAAGTATAGGTCCAGGTGCCTTGCCCCTCAAGCTGGAAAAGGACCCTCCCCCAAGGGACCCCAGCCCCCAAGGCCAATAGGGAGGCCCGGGCGACTCCGGGGCACATGGGAAGCCAGACCGGGCAAAGAGAGGGGAGACGTTGATCAAGTCTCGAAAGTCGCTGGGACGAACTAGAAAGTCTTTTTGCACAGTACTTTTTCTGGCTGGCGCCTCGGGCGGCGGCACGCAATCGTGTAGTATGGTGTACTGGGTAGTAATAGTGTTGACTGGACAGGATTTTTCTCATGCTGTCTGGTGTCGCCACTCCCAGCTAACGCCTCCCCAATAGCTCTCATTCAGCTTTAGGGGTGGCCAATTCATTAGGTACAGACCAAATAGCCGAAGGAAGCAGCAGTAGCAACAGTGCAGCAGTGAAGAAAGAATAGGAAACGCCCAACAGGAACCTGAAGCTTGGTCCTCGTTAGTGTGTGGCCTGGGTTCACCAGGTTCCCTTTCTGTGACAGGGGTACCCTCCAAGAATTTTCCATCCCAGTCCCGATCAGGCTAGTGCTGAGCCCTTGTTGCTGGGGTTGCTGGAAGAGGTACACGCCCAGGCCATCGTAGCTGCCTTCTCATTTGCGACGAAATGCATTGCGCCGACTGGACAACGCCCACAACTTTGTGCTAGTAGCTCGCGCCCAGGTGGGAGCCGTCGCCGTGATGCCTGCGCCGTTGTATCCCACGAAACTACACCAGAAGGAGCGCCGCCCGCGCATCGCGGTTACTGTGTGAGCTATTGTTGTGATTCCATCATTGCTCAATGCCGCAAGGAAGGGCACCATCGCACTTCTGTCTCACCTTCCGTCCTGTCATTATTAAACTCTCTTGCGTTCTTCTTCTCCTTACGTCTGATGATCTCTCATTCCATCCATCTTCCACACAACACTCAAAACCCAACACATCTGCTGTCGATATACACGTACATCCTCCACGCAGCACGATTGCCCTGGAATCCAAATTTCTCTTTCCTGGTACCATTCGAGTAATTGGGAAAAGATCCGTGCCACCAACACCACCACCATCACAGGTACCCTACTGATGTAAGTCGCATGCCTCCGCCAGAACCCGCACACCCCCCTTCCATGCTCTACCCCTGATCGTTCCTTCGCCTAATTTCACGCCTTCGAGACGGGGAAGCCTTTTTCTACTCCTGGTCCCCCCTTCACCCCGTCGCCTGCTTCTCTCTCTTGTCTCCTCACCAGCCTTTCCCGACATTCGTTGTTGACCTTTTTTTTGCGATTACAGTAGTACGATACCTAATACACCTTTCCACTCGCTCAACCAACACTATAATCTTCACAAAAGAAACAGCCCACTTCGTCACAATGAAGAGCTTCACTGCTGTCCTCGTCGCCGGCTTCGCCGCCCTCGCTCAAGCTGTTAAGCTTACCAACAGCGACTTCAGCGTTACTGCTGGCGAGCCCTTCACCATCACCTGGTCCGACGCCCAGGGCCCCGTCACTCTCACCCTGAAGAACGGCCCTAGCAACAACCTCAAGACCGTTACGGCCATCACCTGTGAGTGTCTTGCTTCCGTTCCTGGCTGACAACCTCACTGACCCTATCTTAGCTGGTGCCTCTGGTTCTTCCTTCACCTGGACTCCCTCTGCCAGCCTGCCCGCCGACACATACGCCATTGAGATCACCGACGGCACCGATACCAACTACTCTAACCAGTTCCCTATTGTCGGTGCCTCTGGCACTGCTGTTGCCTCCGCCTCCGCCTCCGCCTCCGCCAGCGCTTCCGTCTCCGCTGCCGCCTCCTCTGCTTCCTCTGCTTCCATCACTTCCGCTGCCACCACCAGCGCTGCCTCTGAGACTGCCTCTGTCACCGCCGCTGCCAACTCCACTACCGTCGAATCTACCGTTACCACCAGCACCCGCGCCAGCACCCGTACGTTAACACCAGCTCCTCGAAAATGTCAGATCATGCTTGCTAACCAGCTAAATAGGCGTCTCCTCCACCACCAGTGGCTCCACCACTGCCCCCACCACTGTCCCTGGTGGTGACGCTGGCCGCATTGGCTCCCCCATTGCTCTCATCGGCCTCACCATCGCTGCCATGCTCTACTTCCAGTAAGCGTGTGTTTGATGACGTGAAGGGCCGTCTCGAGTCCCTTGACCGGTATATGATGGGAACAAAAGGGTTTAATATATAGTAATGCGATCCAGGAACGATCAGGACAAGGCGTTGCATTTGGGGTCTAGCTTGATTAAGTAGCATGGCTCTTTCTATGAAGGGGATGATAGCGGATGGCGTACCGCAGCTGTGTATTACATTCAACTGGGTCTGTATACACGCATAGTCATTCAGCAATTTGATGCATTGTTGCCTCTTAACCTTTTTGGTTTTTGCTCTAAGTAGTATCATGGGTTCAATCTATTACCTGTCATCTGTGATCGTGTAACAGCTCAATTGTATGACGCCAGACTCCCTCCCATACTTGCATTGTCCGTTCCGGCTACATGCATGGCATGACCGTTCGTCCTCGGTGACTTGACATCCTGGTTTCTCTCACATGTCCGTACAACCACTCAGATGCCAACCTGCAGCAAAGTCTGGGGCATACCCGATTGTGGCGAAGGATTCAAACGCCACCGCTGTCGTCAATTTACAAAGTCCCAAGGTGGTCATCCGTCGTCGCATTTAGAAAGTCAAGGGTCTTTCTCCCCCTTCCACTCCCGCATTAAGATTCCCCAGAAAATCAAGAAAAGGCGCGACTGTTTTGACCCAGACTTGCTCTCCACGTGGAGAGGCTGACGCCGAACGTGGAGCCGTAAGGAGAAAAAGGGGGGAAGGAGGTAGGAAGAAGCAAGGGGAGAGAGAGAGAGGATGGATCAACCCACGTCAGTTTTTTCTGCTCCTCCGATCTGCATGATTCCCACCAGGCGCCAGGACAAGTCGAAAGAAGAAAACCGGGAAAACGCGTGTTTTATGAGCTAAATCAATGGAGTCTTCCTTTTTGTTTTTGTCTTGCCGATCTACTGAGCCAAAATGTGAAGTTTAATCGGTGGAGAATGAGGCTGTAACGGGGAGGTCAACGTAAAAACTCTGGCTTAGAACGTTTCGATATTCTGGTGTTGTTCTAGTGTTGAAAAAAAATAAAAATAAAAGGGAAAAATCATATTTTGAACTATGGATAAATGATATGCTACAATGCGTGTTGCTTGGTTTTGCGCAGAGGTGGCTTGCTTGTTTTGTTATGTACACGATATCTGACCTTGAAGCGCAATGTGACAGGACAGACGAGAACAGGAATACAGTGCATTCGACGAAAATCGCAGCGGTGGCGCCTCCTTTTTAGTGTCTATGTTTTGGTCGTACAGGGCGGGAAAACAAAAAGTGGGAAACTCTGTCTGAAGCTACAACATGCTTTTTGATAATGATACAGTTGACTCTGGCTGGGGTGATCACCTGAGACAACTCACGAGACGTATTAGAGGCGGCTCTTGGACTGGGCCTTGGAATCGTCAGACGCAATGAGAACGACGACACATATATCGTCAATCTTGCCGCCATGCCAGTTCTCTTGCGGAAAGTACTTTTGCACGCCCTTGGCAAAGGGGCCGTCGATCTTGCGATTAAGACTGGCTGACTTGGCCGCGGCTGTAACCTCCGCCGCTAATACGCTTTGCAGCGTGAGAAACTTTGAGGGAGGTCGCTCTGTAGCGTCTTCGGACGGCTTGGTAAATGGCCTAAGGTTATCCACAACCCTTACCCCATTTTTGCTGTTGAGCCATGCACCAGTAGAGGTCATGACATGGCTAACGATACGGAGAATATCCTGGTTAAAGAGGTTGTCCCAAACGCCGTCCGTCGCAAAAACTACTATGTCGCCGTGCCGGAGACTGTGCTGCGTGACGTCAGCGTCAGCTGGGAAATCGCAGAGGTTGGCACCGCCGAAAGCCGCCATCCGGGCGGCTACGCTGGGCGGTACAATAGAAAGTTGATACGGCGTATTAAAAGCGTGAGTCTGGGGTTCTGAATAAGTATGGACAGCGTTCAAGCGGAGCTGAATGAAGCCCGAGTCGCCCAGGTTTGCAACGTCAAGATTTCCGTCTGGCGAAGCCACCGCGACACATGCGGTGCTACCTCCAGCGACAACTGTCTCGTCTTCGCATATTGCCTGATAACCGGTCTGCATTAAGGCCTGAGCCCGTAGCGGCTCCTTATCGCCCATGCCTTTCGTCGTCGAATCGTTTTTGGCCGAGCCGTGGCCGTAAGCCGTCGAAGCCATGTAATCACAGAAGCCGTGGGAGAAGTCTGCGGGGTCAACTCCTGAATCGACCCAGCCTCCAACACCATCAGCCACGCCCATAGCTACTGCCCCCGAGTCGCCCACTCTGCTAACGAAGAAGGCATCGTGGCCGCTGTCGGGTCGGGATCGCTTATTGCGAGTCTGCTGGATACGATTATAGGGGTTGAAGTGGAAGATGTGTGTTGAGGGATCATATGGGCGGTCCTTTCCAGTGAATGAGGCTGCAACGTGGAAAGAGAGCTTCGATGTCGACTCGGAGTCCATCTTTCTGGTTGCTGACAGATAGCGCTGGGAGAGCAGTGCCGGGAAGGTCGCTCTTTGACGGGAAAGGTATTTCGGAGAGGAGGCACAGACTAATCACACAGTTAGCATTCTATCAATGCGGTAGAAGGAAATGGGGACGTTGGCCATACTTTTTGTCAAAGGCCTTGAGTTAGGGAAGAAAACCAGAGGCTGGCGCAAGACTATCACCGTTGCGGCCATTGCTTCCAATGTGCGGCGACGTGTAATGTTTTGTGAAGATGCGTTTTCGGTGCTTCCGCAGTCCGCATGTTAACTGCCCGCAAATCAGGTTAAACGGATACAGAAAACAGCATGGCAATACTGCGCTGCCAGATCAAGACTCTAGAGGCAGCAAAGCAACACAACGCGCACGAGCACAATTGGACTGGCAATACGCGATATGGTGCTGTAGTGAAGGGATGCAACGTCCGGGTTTGATGTCATTCGAAAAAGAACACCCCAGATTTGGCAGGGATGACACCTCCGCCGTATTCCCGCCTTTGATCACGTGACTGTGGTAGACATCCTGCGTTGCGTTTACCCGAACTGGCTGACATAAGGTAGAGCAGCAGATGCTCAGTATGGGGCATTAGTATTATCATTGCGGGAGTTCTGATTGGCCAGCTTAAGACCTCGGATACACTCAACTTCGGAAGCAGCAGCCAAATCTTCGATGATGGTTTACTTCGCCTGAACGCCACTCGTAGGATAATCTCAAGGTGAACTGGCCGCCTCTTCCCACTCCGCGCCCCGCCAACTACCTGGAATCACTCATATACCTTCTGGTGTTACAACAGCCATCTTTTCTATTCGCATCTTTGTGATCAATCCCTCTCTACGTCAACCGCCATAATGGCAGCTCTCCGCTCTTCCTCCCGAATCCTCGGATCGGCCACCAAGGCCGCTTTCCGCCCTGCCGTCACCGTTCCTCGTCGTGGCCTGGCTACCCCTAGCGATAGGGTGCCTGCAACTAAGGAGCCTAAGATGAAGAAGTTCACCATCTATCGCTGGAACCCCGACACTCCTACCGAGAAGCCTCGCATGCAGGAGTACACTTTGGACCTCAACAAGACCGGACCCATGATGTTGGATGCTTTGATTCGCATCAAGAACGAGTTGGACCCTACCCTCACCTTCCGCAGAAGTTGCAGAGAGGGTATCTGTGGTAGCTGCGCGATGAACATCAACGGACAGAACACTCTTGCTTGTCTTTGTACGTGGCCTCAAATGTCCAGCGGCTGAGGCTTGACCTAGTCATTGTCTTAGGCCCGGAAGATGACGAATTGTAGCTAACATGACTTCCAGGCCGTATTCCTACCGAGAGCGCGTCCGATGTCAAGGTCTATCCTCTTCCTCACACCTACGTCGTCAAGGACCTTGTTCCCGACTTGACCCAGTTCTACAAGCAATATCGCTCAATCAAGCCTTACTTGCAGAGAGACACTCCTTCCCCTGATGTACGCTTATTCGCCTTTGTTGACCCAGTAGACACTAACTCTTCTTAGGGCAAGGAATACCGCCAGAGCGTCGCCGACCGAAAGAAGCTGAGCGGTCTCTATGAGTGCATTCTCTGCGCCTGCTGCTCGACCTCGTGCCCGTCTTACTGGTGGAACTCTGAGGAGTACCTTGGACCTGCTATCCTTCTCCAGTCCTACCGCTGGCTGGCCGATTCCCGTGACGAGCGCAAGGCTGAGCGTAAGGCCGCTCTCGACAACTCCATGAGCCTCTACCGTTGCCACACCATTCTTAACTGCACACGTGCCTGTCCCAAGGGTCTTAACCCCGGTAAGGCTATTGCCGAAATCAAGAAGCAGATGGCTTTTTAAGAAGCGAGCGGATGTTGTCTACGGGTTGGAGTCATAATCTTGGGCGGCGCGATATTGGCTGTATACTAGGTAGTGTGTACTTTACGAGCATGGCTGGAGTTTGAACTCCTTGGACACACTAAAAGGGGATTCTGAATTCAGGCTTTCTTTTGTTTCCGTTATTCTGCGGCTACTGATGAGAGATTACCCGTGTCCAATCGTGCTAGAACGAAATGAAGCTAGGGAGGAGTGTGACCCCAGACTGCTATGTTGGCTTATTGGTGGGGGCAAAAGGAGGCAGTAGAGAGAGAGAGAGAGAAAAATTAAGGAAGTTGCCACGTTAGAGCTGGCCAAGGAACGGCGGCTTCACGATAGATACCTGGGGTAACCTCAAAGCTATTTTCAATCATTTTTTTTTTCTTTTTTAATTACAGTTGTTCGGCACGTGCCTCGATTTTTTCGGCGCAAAGTCGCCAATTGATTATTGGTAGCACAATAAAAGTTAACCATTGAACTATCAACTAAATTCAGACAACTGATGTCGCCCGATGAAGTGTGGCAATGCAATAATCACTCGCGATGGCGACTTCCTGGTCGTGAAGTCATGGACTTGGGGCGCTCCATCAAAGGACCCAGTTCCACCCGCACCTCGGCAATGCGATTCGGCAAGAGCCGCAGCGAGAGCGAGTAGTGCTACTAAGAGCTCAGCGAGAGCAATTGAACGCAATTAATGAGGAGGAATCGATAGAAAAATGATTGTGTGAACTCGAGAATAGCCGCGTTCAATGTGACTTCAATTGACCAACATGCGCCGGCAGTATTGTTGTTCTTGCGGGTAAACATAATTCTTCAGAGCTGTTGATCAGTGAGGGCTAAGCTTTCGTCCGGTCGCCCTGATGATACCCCGGAATCGGAATTTGACGGGACTTACATGTGAACCCGGGGACGCCACACGTGGCGTTTCTGGAGTGTGGCTGCTTGGTTAACCTCGGGTTTCCGTAGTCATCACCAATCCACTTTCAGTGATTGGCTACTTGCAGTGTGGAATACTCTACAGAAACCTCTCTCAGGTCTTCCCCAGTACTTTCTCATTTCACCTGGTTGTTGACATCGACTGGAGGTAGCACCTCGTTCTGGAGACCGATCCCAATTGAAGGTGCGTAGGGAACTCTGACCCCAGGAAGCTTTACTGGCTGTTTACTAACCCACTAAGCCCCAGGCCTGATCTTTCTCTTTAGTCAACGGTTAGTGCAACCCGACCTTTCCCATTCATCCGTCCATCCACCAACCATCCATCCATCCGTTCAATATTCTCTGGCCATCGTGGTTTTTCGCCATCGCCCCTCGCAACTCGAAAATTGATACCTGCGAATACGGTGATATACTCATACTGATACACTGCAGCAGTGTTAGCATCAATCATGGCCTCCTCAATGGCGCTGAGGAGATTTGCCGCCAGACCTGCTGTAAGCTACTACCCTTTCTTGTGGCAACCCTTCATGGGAGTCTCGGTTGAACGCGAGAAGCATTCCAGCTAACAATAACCAGTTCTCGCAGGCGCGCGCATTCTCTACGACCAGACCTGCCGCGCGGGTCTTTGCGAACCGTCCTCTTCGTGCGAAGGAAGCTTCTCCCTATGTTAGCAACAAATACCCCGTGATCGACCACGAGTACGATGCTATCGTTGTTGGTGCTGGTGGTGCTGGTCTCCGTGCCGCTTTCGGTCTTGCCGAGGCTGGCTTCAACACTGCCTGCATTTCCAAGCTTTTCCCTACCAGATCTCACACTGTCGCCGCTCAGGGTGGTATCAACGCCGCTCTGGGTAACATGCACGAGGACGACTGGAGATGGCACATGTACGATACCGTCAAGGGCTCGGATTGGCTCGGTGACCAAGATGCTATTCATTACATGACCCGTGAGGCGCCTGCCTCTATTGTCGAGCTTGAGAACTACGGCTGCCCCTTCTCCAGAACCGAGGACGGCAAGATGTGAGTTGAAGTTCTTCACGGAGGATATTTGCATGTTTGCTGATGATACTTGTTGTACAGTTACCAGCGTGCTTTCGGTGGTCAGTCTCAGAAGTTCGGCAAGGGTGGCCAGGCCTACCGTTGCTGCGCTGCCGAGGATCGTACCGGCCATGCCCTTCTTCACACCCTGTACGGCCAGTCTCTCCGCCACAACACCAACTACTTCATCGAGTACTTCGCCCTCGACCTGATCATGCAAGACGGCGAGTGCCGCGGTGTCCTTGCCTACAACCAGGAGGACGGCACCCTGCACCGTTTCCTTGCTAACCACACTGTCTTGGCTACCGGTGGTTACGGCCGTGCCTACTTCTCCTGCACCTCTGCCCACACCTGCACTGGTGACGGTATGGCTATGGTCGCCCGTGCCGGCCTTCCCAACCAGGATCTCGAGTTTGTCCAGTTCCACCCTACCGGCATTTACGGTGCTGGCTGCCTGATCACTGAGGGTGCCCGTGGTGAGGGTGGTTACCTCCTCAACTCTGAGGGTGAGCGCTTCATGGAGCGTTACGCCCCTACTGCTAAGGATCTTGCCTCCCGCGACGTCGTCTCCCGTTCGATGACCATGGAGATCCGCGAGGGCCGTGGTGTTGGTGAGGAGAAGGACCACATCTTCCTGCAGCTTAGCCACTTGCCTGCTGAGGTTCTCCACGAGCGTCTGCCCGGTATCTCCGAGACCGCTGGTATCTTCGCCGGCGTCGACGTCCGCACTCAGCCCATTCCCGTCCTGCCTACCGTCCACTACAACATGGGTGGTATCCCCACGAGATACACCGGTGAGGTTATTACCGTTGATGAGCAAGGTAACGACAAGGTTGTCCCTGGTCTGTTCGCTTGCGGTGAGGCTGCTTGCGTCTCTGTCCACGGTGCTAACCGTCTCGGTGCCAACTCCCTGCTCGACTTGGTCGTCTTCGGCCGTGCCGTCTCCCACACCATCCGTGACAACTTCACCCCCGGTACCAAGCTCAAGCCTATTGAGGCTGATGCTGGTGCTGAGCACATTGAGGTTCTTGACAAGGTTCGCACGTCTGAGGGCCCCAGAACGACTGCCGATGTCCGCCTGGCTATGCAGAAGGCTATGCAGACTGAGGTCAGCGTTTTCAGAACACAAGAGTCTCTGGACGAGGGTGTTCGCAAGATGATTGAGATTGATGCTCAGTTCCCCGAGGTCGGCATCAAGGACCGCAGCATGATCTGGAACTCGGATCTTGTTGAGACCCTTGAGCTCCGCAACCTCCTGACTTGCGCGTAAGTACAGCCGTTGTGTTTAGTCGTCATGTGAGATGCTAATCAGTTTACAGTACTCAAACCGCCACCTCTGCCGCTGCCCGTAAGGAGTCTCGTGGCGCCCACGCCCGCGAGGACTACCCCGATCGTGACGATGTCAACTGGATGAAGCACACCTTGTCCTTCCAGAAGCAGCCTCACGGCAAGGTCGAGCTCGGCTACCGTGGCGTCATTGCCAACACTTTGGATGAGAACGAGTGCAAGCCTGTTCCTCCATTCAAGCGTGTGTACTAAAATGTTTGGATAGACTGGGTGTCGGGGTGTTTTGGGATGCAAACTGGAATGTCAAGACAAAGTAGCAGTGGAGGAAGAAGGGGAAGGCAATCATAATACCACGATAGTTAAAGTTAATGATCGTGGATGAAGCCGTGTGGGGGATACGTTACCTACCCTCCGGAATAGGCTGTATGGGTTTGGTACATACACCGCAGGCTTTTGGGCTTTGGCTCCGGAGTTAAAAACGTGTAAAGTAGGAGGAGAAATTCATTTTGTTTAAAGAGTACATGATTCAGATCAACCCAGCTGCCCACGTCTTTTCACCAAAATCGACCGTTTTACTAGTCAACATGCTGGTAGGGTCGCCAATGCAACTCTGAGGCTCTGCATGAGCAAATGACCTTTTGCCCTTTCTTCGGGAAACCCCCAAGAGCCTATTTTGTATGTTCCGGATGTTTGTTTGAATGTTATGGGGGCTAGACCAGAGCTTGACTTTTCTGCCAAGTTGACTCTCCTCCCACCCCTCTTCTGCGCGCCCTCGTAATCTTTGCACATCACCGCTAATAATACCCTTTTTCTTGTTCTGCATAAGCTAAGCTTCTGAAGGGTTTGCTCATTGTCCAGACTAAAGTTACCACTTCTTGTCATTGTCTGACCTTGCTTACATCCCTCACAGAGTTGTACACCGACAGATATGTCCCTAGGCTATCAGCCCCCTCCATCGTTAGTTTCTGCTTCGTTCGTTCTTATGATGCTCTTTACCTAGGCGGAAAACGAAAAGCGGCAGCCAGCCAAGACGGAAGTGGCTTTATAAATTACATCCATCTAAGCCTGTACCAGCAAGTCTCTAGAAACAAGAACAAACAGGAAGAAGACTAAGGGAACGGTGACAGGCGCTAGCATATGCAGGTGAGACAACGTCTAGATGCGGAGTCTTCGAGCCTTTTCAAATCCCAAAAACACGGTGTAAGCATTGCTATCTCTTTATCAACACTACATGATTCATGCCGCCACGATTTAATTTCATTTTTTTGCTATTCATTTTAGTTTTCACTTTTTTTTCTTACTCCTTTTGCGTCAGACATCCCATCAGGTCGTGATCCTTCATGCCGTAGGGTCCGCTGGTGGCGGCCAGGGCATGCCAATGTCGCTCTGGGTAGTTGTAGGGCAGGGAGGCGCCACAAAGGAAGGCCAAGGCTTACAGTCGGGGAAGCATCTTTTATCAATCTTAGCGTACGGGTCTCGTGGCTGCGGAACGATTCGAACTTACCCTCCGTACATCATACCGCAACTGTTGATGTAGTCGGCACAGACAGTGCGAGTGCTGCAGTTGTCCGAGGTAGATGTCGGCTCGGGAGGGAAAGTGGTTGGAGAGGGAGGTTTCGCAGTCGTCCTGGTGAAGGACTTGGTCGGCCTGGGAGGCCTAGGGCAGGGTGACATTTTTGGCTTGGTCCACGGCTTGCAAGTATCGTAACATCTATGGGTCGTCCAATATCAGCGAAACTGTTGGTTCGCATAGCAAAGAGAAAGTGACTTACCCTCCCCACCTGACAGAGGGACAGGCTGGGTTGATGCCGTCGATGCATAAGGTTTGCGGGCACTTGGTAGGAGGCTTCTTGTCGCCAGCTTCGACCTGTGGAGCGGCAGTGGCGAGGCCGGCAACGCTCACGATTGATACTAGGAACTGGCTAAGAAGCATCCTCAATTGTGATGTAAGTAAGAGTGATAATAAGTTCTGGTATATGGCGCGTGTAGTCGATGATCGAGCTTCAGGTTGGTGTTGAGTTGGTTGTGAGTCTGTTGATTTAGACTGGACATCCAGGTTGCTTTATACTCTCATGTCTGGGCCTTTGACGTTATACATCCACCAACGGAGAGTCGCCCGACTACCGACTGGAATAGCCTCCCAAGCGGGAAGACGGAGGCTAACGGAAGTGGATTTGCGAACTGTCTCGGCCACAACTAAGGATAGTTTCCTTGCCAGCTTTCAGAGAGTGGCGCTCCAATTGTTTGCACAACCGCGAGGTGGCTTTGGTTCGATATCTGCCAAGTCGTGCCTACCCTGTGCCGGTGTGTGTGCCAAGACCAAAGTGACTAGACCAGATACGATATTCTATCACACAGGGCTGTAATGGATGGAAGGGAGACAGAGCGCATGCGGACGGGGAAGAGAAGTAGCGCGCGCCGCATGAGCAGGTGAGCGGAGCAATGGGTGGCCGTTCATGATCCGCGATTGGCAATGAGGTCAAGGTCTCAGTCTTCGGCTGTTTTCGAGCGTTCCAGTCTTATCGATGCCCTATCAGATGGAGTCCATCCTGTATTGCAGAGGGTAAAAGAAAACAACAAGCACTGTAGAGAGTTACACTAGCATTGATTCTTTGTTTGTAGTACCTGTTGCTGTAAATTTTGAAGTAGATATCTTGGGCGGCGAAAATGACTACCAACAGTACGAAAGTTTTGTTTATTAAGCAAACGGCCAATTTGTTGAGTTGAACTAAAGGGGGAAAAACTAAATCATCACCAATGATCAATCCAGCAGTGGCTTGGAAAGCTGTTGGAGGTTTGTTTGGGATGAGGAAGTCGCAAGGCAGCTTAGCACAGCGGCGCATGTCCGTCTGTGGTTGGTTTGTCGCTTACACAAAAGTCTAGATGGTACGCCCCCCAGCTTCTCGTTCCTGCCAAGCCACTTGCCTCGAGGGGGCGTCGATCTGGACCCCTTACTGGCGAACGTCTTGGGAGAGTATGTAGGGACTAACAACCCTTGATATCCGAAGGGTCGCATTCGGAGGAGACACACAGGCTAGGCTAGAACGGTTTTTTTCGGTCCGTTAGTACGGAATTCTGGGTGTATAGGAAGGCTTTTGTCCTCAGCTGGGCTACATTCCGTATCTTGCTGGAACCGGTTCAATGGCGGCAGTCCTAACTGGAACCCAACTGCGGCCATGACATGACAGCTCGGGGAGGGCGACACTATAGCCCTTGTTGGCATGACCTGAGGTGTCGCGAATGCTCTCCCCCATTTGGAAGGAATGCCATCGGAGGCCTGCAAAGACCTATGCTTGAGAATAAGTTGACCGCCTAGTGGCTGACGGTTAAATGACATCAGTCCAATTACACGAGATCGGGTTTTTGTGCATATATGGACCCAGGAGGGTAGAGAAAATGAAGGGATACTTCTCTGTACGAGAGAAGCTCGCCCGGGGCCTCTAATTCCGGTTAGAAAGAAAAGAAATATTCGCAACGTGCAGGAGCTATGAATAACATTTGCTCATCAACTTCCTAGTTGGATCCCCTCTACCCAATTGGGAAAGCTTGTCCAAGACATTGGGTGTGCCTTACCTTGCCTTGAAACCTAGCAACAGCTCTTTTTCGTTCCCGCTGTCAGCTAAGACAAGGATACGACGGTGGCATTGCGGGGGGATCACCGACATGGAAGGCACATACTGGTATTGAGACATGAGGCGCTGAGTAGAACCTTGGTCGGCTAAAGTGACCTACACTATCGCCTGATGAATTCGCCCGTATTACTCCATTGCCCATGTGGCCTTGTCTCTTTTACAGCCTTCTCAGGTTTCGTATCAAAGGCGGGCGGCGCTGTCGCCAAGGACGAGGGGTGTGATCTTCGATGCGTCCACAGCGCTATTTCTGTCGATAACATCTACGTCAGCCTACCTGTGCTTGGGCCAAGACACACAAGAGGTGAAGTGTCTCGCCATGTTAACGTTTATAACGGGCATGTAGGTCTCAGTAACTTGGTCATCCGCTTAAATCTTCTACGAGCCGCGGATGCGTCGATTAAGAGGAGCGGAACACGAGGAGCGAGCTCGGCTATGACGAGTGTCAACTTACAACTACCTCCCTTCGAAAAGACCAAATAGCAGGTGATCATCACTGAAGCGTCTCTAATGGATCGGCAATCACCTCTATTTTTAGGTCGCAACAGCACGCGCATAGCAACACTCAATGACTGTATTTGTAGATTACGAGGTGAGATAGTCTTAAACCTTTAGGACTGGCTTTGTTTGAACCCATCATGGTATCGGAACCTCATCAGCACCTTTGCAGTCTCTTGACCAATGTTTGTGACGATGTTTGGATGCCAGAGACACCTCTTGCCATGTCTGGAGAGTTGCATCAGCCATGGCATAAGGTAGAAAACGTTGCACGACACCAAACCGAGGCACTTCTTCTCACAGCGCGCACGTCTAATTCATGCTACGTTGCACTATGGGCCAAAGGTCCGTTTGTCTCTCGGTTTCCCCTCGTCTGATGCATCAATCTGCGGTTCACAGCACTATTAGGTAATGTGTCAAGCAGAGGTATACGCTACCTTATTACTAGAAGATTCTTTGCGGCCCAATAGTTATCAATCTAGGACACCCACCGTGTTTAAGCCATGTGAATGGGTAACCGTCTGCGTACTAGGCAAGTCAACACTGGCAGCACGGCATCATCAACTCAAGTGACCACTCGGATTTGCTATTTTGTTTTACCCCTGAAGAACGCCGGGGCTGGTATCAATCAATGCTGTTTAATGTGAAAAAAAGTAGGCACCACGTTTGTAAAAGACAAATCCCCTTCAGCTTATTTCTTCTCCTCAAGGTATGCCTTCCAGCCCATGCTCTGAAGCTTGGCTGCCTTCTGCTCCACCTCGGAGGACATGTTGCTCATGTATTGTGCCATCTTTTGCTGGTACTCGACGTTGAAGGAGCCGAGGATCTTGACTGCTAGCAAAGCGGCGTTGGTGGAATTGTTGATGCCAACAGTAGCCACTGGGCAGCCACGAGGCATCTGCACGATACTCAATAAGCTGTCGTGGCCGTCCAGATGAGTAGCCTTGACAGGAACGCCAATAACCGGCACAGTAGTCTCAGATGCCAGCATGCCAGGGAGATGGGCAGCGCCACCAGCTAAATACTTTGTAAGTCAACGTCTAACAAGCGGTCTAAGGAGAAACATACCTGCAGCAATCAGAACTTTGATACCGCGTTGAGCGGCAGTCTTACCCAACTCCACCATGCGGTGGGGGGTGCGGTGCGCCGAAGTGATGTCCAGATCGTAGGGAACCTCAAACTTTTCAAGGATCTCAAACGCACCCTTGAGGACGTTGAGGTCCGAGTCAGATCCCATGGTGACAACTACAAGAGGCCTGTCCGGGTTACGCGAGCTAGTCTTCTTGGCGGGAGACTCCTGGAGACGGAGCTGCTCAGAGGAGGCATCGATGCGGGCTTCACGCATGTAGTTCACTTCGTTGATCAGGGGCGCAGCCAACTTCTCTAGGTTCGCACTAGGAGAGTAGGATGTGACCGTGATATGGCCAATCTTGCGAGCTGGCTTAGAAGACTTGCCGTAGAGGTGAAGGAAGATGTCCATGTTGTCATCGTACAGGGATGTGGTGAGGTCAACCAGCTCCTCGTGAGAGTCTTCACGAGCACCACCCAAGATGTTCAGCATGATGGCGCTAGAAACACGAGGCTGCAGTTTGATGGATCGCGGGAGCAAGTCCAGAATAGAATACAGCTGCGCTTTGTACTGAGACATGTACGGCACGGCCTCAATGGTCCAGTGACCGGAATTGTGAGGACGAGGAGCAACCTCGTTGACGGTGATAGTGCCTGGTAGAGTGTCAGGTCATGTTTTACTTAAGTCACTCGAAAATAACTCACCATCCTTGAGCAGGAACATCTCAACAGCAAACACACCCCTTCCCTTCAATGTCTTGACAACATCGCCAGCCACCTGGCGCGCCTTCTCACATACCTCAGCGGGGACGGTCCGGGGAGGGTAGAACACCTTGGTGCAGATGCTCTCCTCGTGGATTGTCTCGACGGCCGGGTAAGTATGGACCTTTCTCAGCTCACCGTCCTCGTCCTCAGTCCGGACGACCATAACGGCCAGTTCCATTTCGAAAGGCACCCACTTCTCAGCGTACAACGACAGCTTGCCCATTGCCTGGATAGCCGCCTCGTAATCTTGAGGCCCGTTGACTTTAAAGTTTCCACGGCCATCGTAGGAGCCTTTACGCGCCTTCAACATGAATGGGAAGCCGAAGCTCTTGTAAGCAGCCGTCAGACCTTCCGGCATGGCGGGGCCGGACTCGACAGCCATCTGCGGGGCAATGGGAAGGCCCGCCTTGGAAAAATGCTCCTTTTGTAGATACTTGTCCTGGATCAGACGCAAAGTCTGCCACGAGGGGTGAACGGGGACCTTCTTCACAGTGCCCGGAGCGGTGATGACGCCGCGGGTTGCAATCTCTTCAAGCACCTCTGTGTTAACGTGCTCGATCTCGACAGTGAGGACATCGCACATGGCGGCCAATTCTCTGATCTTGGCAGGGTCCTTGAAAGAGCCGGTGACATGGCGGCTGTTCTGGTTTGCCATCTTAGCAGGGCAGTTGGCCTCATCCAGGATGGCAATGTCGATGCCGAGGGGCCCTGCGGCCTCGCACAGCATCCTGCCAAGCTGGCCGCCTCCAAGGAGGCCGATAGTGGGCTTCTTGACCATTTTCGAAGGCGAGAAAGTGGACTTCGTGTAAGTTTTAAGAGAATTGGGACCAAGCAGAATGCGATGGTCAGAGGCAAGATGGTTAAGAGTGTTTCCCAAGGGTAGAAACGACTCATCAATCCCGCACGAACTCGGGGGGATGGAGTAAAGGTTTGACACGAAGTTTAGAGATTTTGGCCTCTTTGGGAAGGCGGTGAAAAAACACCCCGCCGTTATCGTCACAGTTGAGCCCCACCCCCACTATGGCACTGATGGGATCGATCTGGGTTATGCCATAGGGTCCCCCTGCTCCGCCAAAGAAAAATGCCGTGGTTGCGCTCTACTCGCTATAATCCTTCACTTTTAGTGGGTGCGTCGACTCACTCACCTGCTTTCCATTTCACACAGGCGAGGCTCACTACGGGTGTGAAATAGCCAGCATCATGGCGGCCGAGTTATATGATGGAACTATTTCGGATAGGATACAGTGAGTGTGGTACTAAATCATGTCTTTCATTTGTTCTTCGCCACTGAGACGCTAACTCACCTGCTCTCATGCAGTCCTCTCAAAATCTTCGATGCAGCCAAGAGCCAGGACAGGTTTCTGTATGTTTCCGCACCTATGGTGAGATACAGCAAGGTGATTCATTGTCAGATCCTTTATTAGACAGAATATTAATAGCTATTAGCTTGCATTTCGCCAAACTGTCCACGAATATGGAACCGATATCTGCTGGACACCAATGATCCTCTCCAAGGAGTTCAACCGCAACCAGTTTGCGCGTGACAGTGGTTTGTAACCATCACTTCATGCAAGCACAAATTCGTAACTAAAAAATCTCTTAAGATCTCACAATTTCAACCCGCGGCGTCCAACCGCCAACGATTGTCCAGTTTGGCTCAAATAGCCCTCTGGAGCTCGCCCGTTCATCCTCACTGGCCGCCCCCTACGTAAACGGCGTCGACCTCAATTGCGGTTGCCCCCAGTCCTGGGCTTGCGCCGAAACTCTCGGTGCCGCACTTATGGAGAAGCGCGAGCTTGTTCGTGACATGGTCCTTGAGACACGTCAACGTCTGGCTGGTGACGGCTGGCATGTCGGCAAGGAACGCGATGTTGATAGCCCGAAAGGGCGAAGTATCAGTGTCAAGATCCGGGTCCACAAGGATCTCAGGTCAGTCTCCATAGTCCTCATGACCGCTTTCATGACTTGTCATGATAAAAGATACCAACCAGTTGACCGATTTACAGAAAGACGATGGACTTCATCGACACCGTCATTGGTAATCCCCATGACCGCAACATCGACTTCCTCACCATCCACCCCCGTACCCGCCAAACAGCCTCTAGTATACCCATCAATACCGAGTCCCTCGGTATCCTCCTCCAAAAGTATGGCGATACCCTTCCCATTCTCCTCTCCGGCGATGTTTTCTCCATGGCCACCCTGCCGCTGTCTACCGTATCCAACACGCAAACGCCGTCGCAAACGCCACAGAACACAACAGCAGCCAGCGAACTCACCCCCTTCACACCGAGCGGAACCAAGCTCGCCGGGCTCATGTCTGCTCGTGGAATTCTCGCCAACCCAGCGCTCTATGCTGGCTACGAGGCTTGTCCCTGGGAGGCTGTTGAGTCTTTTATGCGTCACGTTATCCGCGCACCCATTCCTGTAAAGCTGGTACAGCATCACCTCCACGAGATGTGCGCACCAGGTATGGGGCCGGACAAGAAAGCACTGCTCAACAAGCAGGAGAGAGCCACTCTCCAAACACTGGGCAGCATGCTCGACGTGATAGATTTTATGGACGATGCGATCAACCGCAAGACGGGCAGGACGGATGGGCTTAGACGAGAACCTATAGATAGCTCAAAAATACCTGTCTCGTGACCGCGCTGGCTATATAGTTAATGTGTGATATTGCGACAGGTTTTTTTTTTTTTTTTTTTTAAAGTGTGGGTGTATTAGGAAGCACGGCCGAGGTATCTCATACCTACGAAAGTGTCGCTCGCGTCATGAGTTCTGCCAGATTCCCGCCCTCCCGAACGCCATACTGTCGAGTACTTCCTAAGTTCCAGCCGTGAGCTAGGATGCTCACTTTTCAAAGCCACCTAACTTATCAACGTGCCTTATATGGTACAGTTTGGTGGTCACGGACCCGGAGTTTCAACCCCCTCTGGCCCCAGTGCCACACGCTGTAAGATTGATAGACCTCCCAAACGCCAGGTCCCTAGATAATTACAATATCCCAAACAGATGCTATTTTTAGTCCAGAACCTCTCCCTCGTCCTCGTCAGAGAGTCTCGCGCGCTTCTGATCTCGACTTTCGGTGTCTGAGTCGACCTCCTTTCGCTTACCAGGAGACGGAACTCCGTTGCCATTCGCTCTTTCTGGCTCCTTCAGGGTGGCTTGTGATCCAGACTCAGTATTTGTGACGTCATCACGGCCGTTGACGCGAGCTCTGGGACTTTGTGTTCCCCTATCGAGCTCAAACGGCGTACCTGCAGTCGAGGAGAGAGCATCTAAGCTCATCGGGTCCCTGGGTTGTCTGGTATTCTCCAAGTCAAACGCTGGTGATGGTAAGGACGGGTTTTGTTTGCGCAGTGGGTTCTCCGTGTAGAACTGTCGTACAATGTCGATTGCTCGAGCACATTTTTCCTCGTTGCCCTTCAAGGCTTTCCACCATGGCTCGCCATTGACGTCTTCTATCTTTTGTTGAGTGTGTACGCTAGCGAAGAAAATCGCGCAAATTGCAACATCGCGAGCCTCAAGCAACAAAGGGATAGAGGTCAGGCAGGCGTCGTTACAGAATGCCCAAGCTGACTGTCGAAGGTGCTTATTGTGGACAATGTCGAGCCGGCCCAGCAACTCGAACAGACGCTGGTAGGGGTTATCTACCATAAGATCGAATGTGAGAAGCTCTAGCATCAGCTCCTCATAAGCCAGAATGCTGTCTCTCCACCTCCAGTATTCTTTGCTCATCTCGTCAATCATCAGTTTCGGGTTCTTTTGCGCAACCTTGGCGACGGTGATGATTATTTCTTTTGTCTTGCGGCAATTTTCCTCTGTCTTATTCGCAAGAAACAGGGCTGTAGCTGCGATGTTCTGTTCGAATGACTCTGTTAGCTTCGGTTCCATTTGGGCTTTCTGAGTTCCTCGTTTTGACCTAGGAAGGGAAGAGTGCGCCTGACGCTTGTCAGACCCGACCTGGATCATTCCGGAAAACGTAGTAGAAAAGGCGAAAATCTCACATAATGGTGGATGCCACCCTTCTCTTCAACCATGCTGTATCGCATATAAAATCGGTGGAAGAAGACACCGGCGACCCAGAGAGTAATCTGGGGCAGATCTAGCAAGACGCCTGCTTGATAGATGAAGTTGACACCTTTCGCTCGCCGAAGCCGTTCTTCTGCTGGGGAGATTCCGTCTAAGACACTCGGAGTGCTCAGCGCCTCGTCAACAGTGAAGTACCATTGATTTGGTGGAGGACCGGATGGACTTTGCGCTCTGGAGCGCTGCGGTGATCGCGCATCTCGCTGGGATTGCGGCCTTGGCGGTGATGTTCGAGAAGAATGTGTCGGCGGGGATGGAACTGCCGGAGGGACGTCCGGGCGGCGTGAGGGAGACCTAGACTGCCGGTCTGGTCGTGGAGGCCCCGAAGGAAGATTCGGGGGCTGGTAGCCCTCTCTTGATGGCCGATAGCGATCGATACTAGCCATCGCCGCAAAGCTGTTAAGGTGAATTCAGGCGGGCGATTGGTATTATGTGTAGTGATAAGTTGATCATGGGAAAGTGCGCGGTATCGCAAAAGTCGTGATGGCGTTGGATGATGATGGAGTACCTGGATCTCGCAGATGTAGTGGATTTTGGGTCCTGTCGCGTTATCTAATCGCGAATTGAACGCCACGTGACCTTGGCAATTTAGGACCCTGCGCTCTAATGTGATAGACGTCCGTGCACTGCCCAACAGACGTTATACCAACGCTTCTGAAGCTCTCAGCTCTTGAATGCATGGGGTATCTCATTATTCTATTGGTGATGTATTCTTCAAACATCCCGTCTTTCCCTTCTCAAATTCCTTCGCCGTCATTGCGGCCCCAAAGCTTAACTGTCCGGTCATGTCCTCCACTAACAATCCATTTTCCGTCTCTACTCACGTCTACACTTGCAACCGGACCGGCATGTCCACTCAGTGTCTGAATAACGCCCCAGTTATCCGCTGAGAATATCTTGATCTTGGCGTCAAATCCTCCAGATACGAAAAAGGTACCGGCCTTTTTGGGTTGCTGCGCACCCTTCTCATCAACACCAGGAGGGTTGCCGTCGATCGGATCGTCCGTTCCCCGAAACCACCTGATATCGGACACGGCCTTTGCATGCGCTCCTAGATTTGCTGTCCTCTGCACCTTTCGGACATCCCAACACTTGACCCAGCCGTCTGCCGATCCTGACAGAACACGGTGTCCATCTGAACCCCAGTCAAGCGCGTAAATCGGCTGGATGTGCTCATCCAAGATCATGACGGTCCGACCCGATCGCAAATCCCAGATACGGCCGATACTGTCGAGGCCAGCACTAGCAAGAAGGGAGCCATCCGCATTGAAGCTGACGGCATATACACCCCTGGAGTGACCTTCCTGAAGCAATAGTTCGGCAGTCGTCTCCACGTCCCAAAGTCTCCATGTAGTGTCATCGGAAGCAGAAGCCACATACCGTCCAGAAGGATGGAACTCTACGCGAGACACGCGGGCGCTGTGTCCGGTGAGTGTTGAAAGGGGGGTGTCCTGTTTTAACGACCATAGGTGAACCACACCTTCAGCTCCTCCAGAGGCGAGGTTGACGGTGTCAGGAGAAACGTTGGAATCAGGCAAAGTCGAGCCTGGATACCACGATAGGCCACTGATCTTGTTGGTGTGTCCTCGCAGATTCATCTTCTCCTCCAAACTGGGCACCTCAATGAGCTTTAGCCCGCCTCCCCAGTTGCCCACTGCGACAATCTCCCCATTTGGCGATAACCTCGTCATGCTGACATGCCTGTCGCCGGCTGTTTGACTGCCCTGGAGCTCAAAGGCCTCCAGTCTCTCCCTGATCTGTTTTCGAAACTTGACGTGGGTGCGCAGTGGGATAGTCGACTCTGCTTTCTGGAACTGGACTCGACGTTTCGCTCGGGGAAGGGAGAATTTCGCAATGTTGATGCGCGCTTGTAACAATGCCTGACCTCCTGGCGTGTAGAACTCTTCGTCTTGCTCGTCCGCGTCTTCGTCTGCCGCGTCTTCCATCTCAATGTCCCCACTCTCAAGGCCAGCCATCTCCTGCTGGATAGCAAGAAGGTTCCTTAGACGATCTCTACGTTCGGGCTTTCCCTCTCCAAACAGTGTTATAGGCTCGCCTAGCTCTCTGAGTTTTGCGCGCACTCGATTGTCGTCGGTGGGCACAGCAATGCTGGCTGCCAGTTTCTTTCTCTCCATCTGCGCCAGAACGGCAGACGCTTTCTCAGGCGCCACGCCGGATGCCGCCGAGGGGATCTCGTAGTCATGGTCAGTAGGAATATCCTCGAGCGCGATTCCTCTGTCCTCCTCCATCGCCTCCTCGACGTAGGCCTGTCGCGACGGGTGCATCATCCTGGGCGAAACGGGGGCGTATCACAGCCCGAGTGCACAGTATCTGTAAAGAGTGGTAATGTGAGGATTTAGAAAGAGAGAAATGAGCTTTGGATTTGGGGTGGTTAAGAGCCAATGGCAGCCTGAAGAAAATGGCATGTACTGGCTGCTAAGGTACCTCCTAGCAAGCTTCCAAGTCTAGTTCACAGTTGTTGCTGGCTACGGTTCAGCCACCTCAGGTATTGAAGCTCCACCAGCAAAATTTATGGTTATGTAAGCAATAGATCCTTGTTCGGGACGACCAGAAGTGTGGATTTTATCCTTTTTTTTTTCTCCTGTTACGATACCGCCCCGCAGCTCTTCTACAGCTTACTTCGCATCATTTTACCTTGAGGTTCAAACTATGTAAATGCTTGGGCCTTGTTGTTTCGTTAGTAGTCTAGGTTTTCAATCTTTCCTCAGCATGTTGCGCGTGCTCAGTGGTCATTTCTCACATTACGAAAAACACCATCACGTGAAGACACACTTTGAATTACTTAAACCCGCTTGGAAGTCCTTCTAATCAGCATACGCTTACAATCGAGCTTTCACTTCGGTTTCCCCCAAAAGAGCTTTTCTGACATGGCCAAGTGCTATATCCATCACAGCCCCCAAACGCTTCATGGCCCGCTCGTCAATCTGATGATGTAGTACAATTCTCTTCCCGTCAAGCTTGATTTCATGCTGCTTACCCAGCTCATTCCATTCGCCTTGTTCAACGCCGCATTCTTTAAGATCTAGCCAGGCCATGTTTGTCTCGATAGGCTTGAGCAGCCTCCCCCCTCTCATTGTCCACATCCTACCTACTCTCTGTGCCATAATATGGCTGCGCTTCAGCACACCCCTACGGTCCCGGTTCCCAAGCCCAAAGTTCTCGTGAACAGCCTGCCGGGCGGCAGCAACAAGGACACCAGCTTGCCTCATGCCGCCGCCAATACTCTTTCGGATACGGCGAAGTCTCTGAATCAACTCAGACGACCCAAGCACCATGGCACCCATTGGTGCACCCAGATTCTTGCTGAAATCCAGAGTCAGAACGTCACAGCACCTCGCGAAATCGTCCAAGGTACCCGCCCCAGCTGAGACTGCTTCCCACAGGCGAGCACCGTCTATATGAACCGCAATATCATTTGCCGATGTCCACTCCTTAATTCTCTGTAATTCTGTAAGCGGAACTACCACGCCGGAGCAAGTGTTTTCCAAGCTAATGACCCTCGTGGGGCATTTATGCACGTCATCTGTCAAGACCGCGTGCTTTCTGACGTCCTCAAGGGTGAGGTAGAGGCCGTTCATGGGGCGAATCGCTTGGATCAAGGCGCCCGATAGGTGTGCAATACCACCAGCTTCCCAGTGGATGATGTGGGCGCTGGCATCGGCGATGATGGCATGAGGTGGTTGGTGCAGCAGAGAGCGAAGTGCAAGTTGGTTTGCCATGGTGCCTGAGAGCACGAATGCTGCGCTCTCGTGTCCGCATATCTTTGCCATCTCCTGCTCAAAGTTTTTCGTCGTCAGGTCCTCGCTATAGACGTCGTCATGAAGTGTCGTTCGAGTGATGGCGAAGAGCATGCCTTGGGAAGGAGTTGTGATAACATCACCTACGGCCGAAGTGTGAGAAATAGTTCAAACCCTGTTCCTCCCAGCGCACCATAGGACTCACTTCTGAAGTCGAAGGCCGAGCCAGTCTCTTGGGGCGAGCCCCAGAGGACAGAGTTATCTTCATTGTCGGACATTTTCAATTCCTGACTTGATTAGGGTGAGATATCTTCCGTATTTAGTATGACTCTTTGAGATGAGAAGCCAAACAGTACCAGATTCAGACAAGACGACCATCAATACCCGAGTTCAAGCCTCGATGCCTTTTGGCATGTGACTTGACCCTCTTGTATTATATGATCTTGGCCTGCAAGCCGCAACTTGCCCGGCCAGTTAGGCTACGTGGAAAAGAAAAGAACAAAAAGGGGGGCTTTTTTTTTTTTGATAGAATTGTGCGTCTGCTTTCGAGTTTGTCACACTAAATCGCCCCCTATGTTCTGCAGTCAGACGCATGACAATCCAATTCAAGACTATATCGCACGTCAACTGTCTTGGCTGAAGGGATCGTAAGGAACACGGATGCCTAAAGAGTCCAATGCCCAATGAGCAGTCCTATTAAAACCATTGCGTTTAACACACTTCTTCGGACTCGGCTCAGGTCTGTTAGGGATAGATCGCGAAAACAGCTAGAGGTCGCAGTCCGATTGGGCGTTACCCCCAGGGGCAACAGTCCAAGTGCTTATGGCAGATGTAACCACCAACGGTCTCACATGCAGCCTGCACTGCAATCCTTTCAATAATCTCGAAGCTAAAAAAGAAACCAGTCGCCTTGGATCGCGAGCCTTGTGGTGAGGGGTTTTACGATGAGTAAGGATTGCAAGATCCGGGTAGGGCTCAAGGGATTCTGACTACGCGAGCTGAAAGGTTGGCACTCGGGATTCCTCCTTGAACGGAGGCGATAGGGGCGAACGTGATGCGTTTCTGGGTCCCAGCACGTTTTCTGCAAGATCAACGTCGTCAACAGGCGGTGTAGAATATAAGCCATTAAGGTATGTGTGCTTTTCTCGTCAAACTAGGATGATGCAGGCCTGTTCTTTCCTTCGTTCTCATTAGATATTTCGTCCCTCCCGATCCTTAATCAGCCATCAAACGATCGAAAATCGTGAAACTGACCGGCGTTTTCTGTTCACCTCGTGTACATTCATAAAGATGACTCATCTTGAAACGTTCAGTTCCAAAGATCTCAGCTCCGAGAAAGGCAGCTACAGTGTTCATGAGACAGACGAGTCGACTACCCTCGCACGCTTTGGCGTGGAACGACGAGATGACGGGTTGATTAACTGGCGACGAGATTGCAAATCGCATCCTCGCAACTGGTCTCTGGCGAGAAAGACGTTTGATACAACGGTCATCATTCTTTTTGAACTATACACGTGAGAACCCTGCGTTTTGAGCCGCCGCCAGGTGTACACTAACACCTGTCAGCACCATCATCAGCACAACGGGCGTAAGTCAGGTCTTCATGATATGTACCAGTAATATGCAAAATCAATCTGCAGATCGGATGGGCCCGAGAGGTGTGACAGCTGGTCTTCAGGCAAAATTCGTCGCGGTTGTGCCAAATCAACGACACACCACCCCTTTTTATCACTTTACCACCAGGATCCTCATAAATGCAGACAACTCATAGGCTTCATGGTGACATTTAACGGGCTCCAACATGTGCTGATATTATCATCTAGGCTGTAGCGGCGACAGAAGCCGCACCTGAATATGGAATGAGTCGACAGGCATCTTTGATAGGCTTCACCCTCATGTAAGTGCTGAAGATCCCGCCAGCTTACCTATAATCCAACTAAAGCAGGTACCAACTTGGCCAAGCAGTGGGTGGTTTTTTGATTCCCCCATTTTCAGAGCTCTTCGGCCGTCGTCTCCCTTATCTGGTATCCTGCGCCGCGTTCTGTATTTTTAGCCTCCTCACAGGTGTAGTACACCACACGGCAGCAGTATACGTAGGCCGTTTCGTCGCAGGTATTGCATCAGCTGTCCCGTCCGTGGTGATAGCCGGCAGTGTGGAGGACATGTTCAATACTAAACGTCGAGTTTGGATCATCGTTCTGTGGAACGCAGGGACGACGGTCGGCCTATGCTTTGGACCCATTTACGCCGCTTACATCTCAGAGGCAGTGGGATGGCGATGGATCTTTTACAGCGCAGCAATTGTCACTGGCGTTTTGTTCGTATCCCTCTTTGGCATCAAAGAGAGCAGGCCCAGTCTTCTGCTGGGTCATATCGTTCAACGAATGGGCGAGCAGACGAGCATTCAAGACCTGAACTGGCACAACCCTGACGAGGCCCCTGACTTCAGGGCGCTGGTTCAAATCAGTGTAGTCAGACCGGGAAGGATCTTACTCACCGAGCCCTTGGTTATCATGGTTGCGCTAATCTCGGCATCGTCGTGGGGGATGATATACTTGTTCACCGAGTCACTCACCGTGGTCTACATTTCCCTTGGGTTTACCAAGACTCAGGCTTCACTCCCATTTCTTGCTATTGCTGTCGGGGTCATCTTCACTTTTCTACCTCGTCTCTGGGATATGAAGATTGTTAAAGATCGGCAGCGCAAACAGATTCCTGTCCAACCGTAAGACTTAACCTGGTCAACTCATGGCGCCCCTTCAAAACCAAAATGCTGACTTGCAGTATCAGTGAGGATAAAATCATCGGCTTCGCCTTCGCAGCGCCTGCTCAAGCCATTGGTTTAGCGTGGTTCGCGTGGACCATTCCACCGTTGATTGAAGACGTTCACTGGATGGTTCCCACGGCGGCGTTGGTTTTTGTAGGATTTGCGGTTAACGAGACGGCCCATACACTTAGTGGCTACCTTGCAGACTCCTATCTGCTGTACTCGGCGTCAGCGTTCTCGGGCCTTGCCTTCGTACGCGCCGTCGCGTCAGGGTTGATGCCACTCATCGCACACGAAATGTATGCTGGCTTAAACGCCAATCATGCAGGTACAATACTCGCGGCGTTGGCTGCTGCATTCTGTGTGACGCCCTGGCTATTCTTCCGGTTCAGCAAACGGTTGAGGCAGAAAAGTCCCTTTGCGAGATTCAGTCTCGAGACGCATTACAGGACGAATGTGGAAGCGAACTGAAGCCGGATGCTTGAGTTGCCGACGATTGGGAGGATGGCCAGGGGAGGCGAGAGTACAAAAAAGGTGATAATGGTCATAGTATCGTGGCAGTCCCTGGCCATGGAGCAGGAACACTCTTAGTTTGGTGGCTTATTTAATCAAGCCTGTGTGACGTTGCGAGAGCGGTTCGTGTTCCAAGTTTCAGCAGGGTTAGTAGCGGGAAATCACAGCACCTTATTCAGTGGGAACAGGTGGAGAATTTGTGTTCGTGGTTTGCTGCCACGAACATGTGGTTATTCTTAATGACCGAATCTGCGTCCATCCACACACGCAGTGATGTTGGTTTGGCCAGCAACATGAAAGCTGTAACATGCCAAAAAAAAAAAAAAAAAAAAAAAAAAAAAAGCACCAGGAAAGTTGATGAGTGAGATTACAAGTCACATTAGCAAGTTATTGGTTAACAATGAGGGACCAGCGTCCGGACCATCCTTTTGCCAAACCTGACTAAGACACCATCCGGGACAGCGTCGCAATTTGCATTCCATGTTTCTGGGCTCTGTCCTCTCCGAGACATGCTTCAGAAACATTTCTTCTCCCTCTGATGTCTCCCATGTCTCCCCTAGTGAGGTCCTTTGTTCAAACGTCAATGCACAACGATTAGCATTCCTATCGAAGCACTGTAAGTGTACACTATTGTTGATATTCCATCACGCAGTTGAGAACCAAGCCAAACTTTTGTTTTTAATTTCTTGGTGATACAATTGGTTAGGGAGGGGCATAAAAATAGCAAATTTCAGGCAAAATTAGCGACCGCCGACGCTATTATGTACGTGTTTGATAATGGATAAGACCGTTGTCAGACCACCCAGGCACGGGGCACCCCACAGTCGGTGACAACCCAGGGACGTCATCAACATCGTTCTGCCCCTTTCTCCCGACAAATTTTCCCCGTTTAAGGGGCGAGACAAACCGTACGCAGTCCGGAAGAGAGAGCGAGGTAAGGTGGCCTCTTCAACAGGGCACTTGTAGATCAAGTCGTTGGAGGGATTCCGACTGTTACATTATGCAGTATCTCACAGAAAGAGACCACCCCGCTCCGCAGATGCCGTCGGCTGCTTCTGGAAATAAGCAGGGTTACATTAATGGTACCGCTGCTACCCGGGGCTACAATACGGATGAGGCAGGCGGAGATAAAATATACAAAGAATCAGGTTATACAAGGCCTACTGAGTCGATATGTTAGTGGAAAGAGAGTACCTTCCGGACACTGTGAAATCAACGAGCAGGTACTCCGTACTCCGTTGTAGCGAGTAAAATGGCAGGCACAAAGCCCCGCGACCACCAACAAAAGCCCAGAAAATTTGGGCTGACTTGAACAGGGCAAAGGCCACAACAGCCCCTGCGCCTGCCCAATCAGAGAACCTGAAATGAAGACCCAGCGCGGGTGGTGCCCAAATTTTTGGCTTCCGCCGCCAATCCTCCCCTCCAGGCCGCCCACGCCCGCTGCCCACTCTCATGTGAAGGAAAAGTCACTCGCAGGCTGACATGGCCTAGCAATCTGGTTGGTTGGTTCCTGCCCCAGACCCAGGACAAGGTACTTTGTCTGCAGTGGTGGCCTGTCCCGTCCCAAGCCCCGGGCCCGGTAAGGAATGGCCTGGGCGGGCAAGCGGGCTGAATTTTCTTGAATTTCTCCCGCAGCCCTGTTTCGAACTTTCCTCCTTTCCCTTTTCCTCTCCCTTCAACACCACCATTTTGGTGAAAACTTATTCACTTACAGACCACGAACCGCATAGAACGACCAACCACCAATGCATAGTAAAAAAGGGTCATACGACAACTCCAGCTCATGCTTCAAGCGACAGATGCGCACCCCGAGCCACAAGAAACTCCAGCGAAACTACGAATCCGAGCCCCGCGCAGATCCCGAGCGACGACGAGGCACCCTCCTTGTGCTTCCTATCTAAACCTATAACGAAAGTGAAGGCCATCGCCAGTTTCGGGCGCGAACGGGAAGCCCACGCGCGCCCCTCGTTTACGGGCAACATTCACTATTACAAGGAGAGACCTCCCTAAACCCTCACAACCACCCGAGCCATGATTGCCAAGGCGACGCCCGCACTGAACACGGTGCGCGGCTTCCAAAACACCCCCGTCACCTCCGGCGACGAGGACTCCGACTACGGCGCCTGTGCTACCCCGCCCATGTCCGTCAAGTCGAAGCGGGCCGGTCGCCCCGCCCGCCTTGAAGACGTCGTGAGCGCGAACTGCAGCCCCATCATGCGCGGAGCCTCCTCCCCCGCCGTCTCTGGCATCGCCAAGCTCCGTATGCAGATGGAGCCCCTCAGCCTCGATGCTTCCTCTCGCACTAGCACTATGAGCACTATCGTAACCACCCGCAATGGTGGCCACGGCGAGAACGGCTCCTCCAACGGCCTGGGCATCCGTAGCGCCGCCATGAGCCGCACTGGCAGCCACGACGGGACCCCAAGTGAGGCCGGCAGTGAGCGCTCCGAGGGCGGCTCCACGAGCTATGAAATCAACCTCACGCATGACTACGTTGACGAGAGTGTTCGTGAGCGGACTGGGCAGATCATTCCGATCGAGGGTGGTAACTCCCCCCAGCGCAAGATGACGACCGACGACTTCGAGCCTCTCCGCTGCCTGGGCAAGGGCACTTATGGTACTGTACTTTTGGTCAAGCAGCGCAACACCGGCCGGCTCTACGCCCAGAAGCAGTTTAAGAAGGCGTCTTTGACTGTCCACAAGAAGCTCATCGAGCAGACCAAGACGGAACGCCAGATCCTCGAGTCGGTCAACCGGCACCCCTTTGTTGTCAAGCTCTACTACGCCTTTCAAGACCATGAAAAACTCTACTTGATTTTGGAGTACGGCCAGGGCGGTGAACTCTTCACCCACCTGAGCACCGAAAAGATGTTCGCCGAGCCTGTCGCTGCCTTCTACATGGCAGAGATGCTTCTCGCCATCTCGCACTTGCACAGCACCTTGGGCGTTGTCTACCGTGACCTGAAGCCGGAGAACTGCCTGCTAGATGCCGAGGGTCATCTGCTGCTTACCGACTTCGGTCTGTCCAAGGTGGCTGTCGACCCCTCCGAGGACCACTGCAACTCGATGCTGGGTACGGTTGAGTACATGGCCCCTGAGGTCATTCAGGGACAGAAGTATGGAAAGGCGGTCGACTGGTGGTCGTTTGGCGCGCTTGGCTATGATCTGATGACCGGAAACCCGCCTTTCCGTGGCGGCAACCACGCCAAGATCCAGCAGAACATTGTCAAGCAGAAGCTCGTCATGCCCTATTTCCTCAGTCCCGATGCTAAGGACCTCTTGACGCGCCTGCTCAAGAAGGATCCGAGCAAGCGCTTGGGAGCCAACATGCCCAAGGACCTGCAGACCATGAAGAACCACCGTTTCTTCCGCAAGATTGACTGGAAGAAGCTGGCCGCCAGAGAGGTCGAACCTCCTATTCAGCCGTTGATCACTGACCCAGAGTTGGCCGAGAACTTCGCTCCCGAGTTTACCGACTTGTCCCTCAGCCCAGTTGTGACGTCCAAGGACCACTGGAACTCGCTCTCAGGAAAGGAGGACGACCCGTTCGGCGGCTTCAGTTTTGTTGCATCCAGCAGCCTTCTGGAGAGTCATGCCTTTAGATATACCACTGAGGTCTAGAGAAAGAAGGGCATGGCGACGGCGGTTAGACATCGTCAAGAACATACATCGTACGGCGTCTTTTGATAAGGAAACGCAGTAGCAATGAGCGATGGAATTGGGAAAAGTTTAGAACACTATTGGGAATGGTGCGACGTGCGGCCGGCCAGTATGGAGTTATTGAAGCGAAGCAAGTCTGATTTGGACGTCGAGTCCCATCCGATACATCCGTATCGATACGGAACGTGAGCATTGAGAAATGTCTTTTTTATTCGTCTTCTCACATTTTCTTCCTGGAAGCAACAATTCAAGGGGTCCCTATTCCCTGTTTACTGGGTTATTGTACCCTCTAGCTTATTTTTTTTTCTTTCTTTCACTTAGCTATCATCGTGATGGAATACATGCGAAGCTTTCTGAGTTGTTTTCTTGGCGAAAAGGAGACTTTGATGTGTAGAGTTTTGAAGGCAGTCATCCGGTCTTGATTTTGCGTTTCCGCCTCTGGGTCGTTCCCACTTGTTTCTTGGCTGTCGTCTATGGCTACCCGCAGGTTCCATGACTTGAATTCTACTAGGTCGTCCATCTCCCCCCCTCCCCTTTTTAAGGTTTCGACTACAATCTTGATGGTGAGTGGTAGTGGTAAGGAGATGGAGATACCGACCCGGCACAAGCTGTGTAACTTTGTTCTGCCTACAAGGCTGTTCTTGCACCGGCGATACGACCTTGGTGTTGCGAGTCTTGCGTTCTTCTAACATCTCATCCACGTTTGAGTTTGGACATCAAGCCATATCTGCAGTGGAGGATACGACTTTCTCGACATCTCCAAAAGGTCAATGTCCTAGCATCCCGCTCCCGCTCCCGCCGCCGTCGTCATGTTGCGATGTTCTGGAGGGATGAGCTTCGGCCAACGCGGATATTTGTGTGTATGGGCTTGTTCCTGTAAAACAAAAAAACTTCGGATTGCTGACATTCAAGGGCATCAAACGCACGTACTCGGGTTGTTTTGCACCCGTCCGGTACGCATTACGAAGGATTGATTTTCACTTTGCGAGGAAAAAAAAAAAAAAGATCGGCCTATAATCTGTGTGTTTCACAAACTAGAGGCTGCGGTATGCCTTTGCGGAACGCCAGCTTACTCTGCAATACCTGCAAGCTTCTCAGGTTCGGACGGTAATAGTCTCATTTTCTTTTCCACCGTCTCACTATAAACGCACTTTTCTTTTTGCCTTAATGTGACTGAGAGCTGTCAGGCCAAGATGCGAATTGCGGAACCATCTAGCCCATTTTTGCCTCTGCCAATTTCCCCTTTAGTTAGATTAAAAAAAGTCAATTTAGATTTGTGTGATTAGCGTCAATTTTGGGCGATCTTTATCGCTCCTTTTACCAGTGTTGTGCAGTATCTTTTGTCTGGGGAGCTTGTTGTGAGCTGATTTGAGCTGGGAGGGTATAATCTGAAGTTCAAATCCCGGTGGCGGTGCTGCTTAGATCGAGGACAACGCTTGTCGTTTGTGAACGTAATTTTAGTACTTTTCCCCCCCCCAATAAGCCAACAAGAATAAGGTAAGTGCCATGAAGACTAGGTGGAAGAGAGTCGGGGTAGCCGGAGACTGCGGACCCCGTGAATGTTCTTAATGATCATTTCACTGTTTGTAAAAGCTGGTGGACTTTTATATCCATGGTTAGCAATGTCCCACTGACTAGGGCACCTGGGTCTTAATGGCCTTAAAGGAAGCTTAAATGTCAATTTGGCAGCTACTCAGCCTCCCCCAAGCCTGGCCTGGGCAAGAACTAGACTGGATATCAAAAAGGCGGTTGTAGGAGTGGATACTTACCGGGGTAACTCATGTTCGGGGCGGAGCGATTATTACACCTTCGCCAGAACGCAGCGTTGTAATGCAGTTGTTGGCCCGACTGGCCAACGACTCAGCACCCCAAGGACAGGCGGCACATACAATTTCCCATCGGCAAGGGAAACCCCCCGCACGCGGCCCCACTCCGGCCCCCGTGGTCGGCTAGAGACATCGAGATTGTCGTGGCAGGTAATTTTCGCAGAGGGTGCACTTAACAGGTAGAGAGATCGTCGGTATCAACAAGGTTTTTCTTGACGGCGTAATGACAAGATGGCGTCTGGCATAGTGATAGAGTTGCTGACCAAGAGAGTTCTCGGTAACTTTTGCCAGTCGTTACGGACTGCCTTGAGTGTGACTACAAATGTTTGGGGTTTAACAATTACCCAACCATCATCTGACGTACTGCAAGCATCGGTCATCCCTCTGTTGAAGGTCAAGCTTGGGACGGTTCCAAGGAGTGGTCTTGCAGTGAGGGAGAACTCAAACGAGGCAAGTCTTGGGCCGGCTTGGAAGGGTCTTCGCAGATGCAGGGCGCGCTGGAGATAATGCCAATGCAGTGTGCCAGCTATCAAAACAATTTTCCGCCAAGTCCAACGAGCAATCGGATTTTCTCCCCCAACTGCAGGCCAGGATAGGCCTAGAGGCTTTGAACGATGGCAAACAGTCTTTGGAGAAAAACTTGGCATCATGGACTGAGCGTGGGGAGCAAACCTAAGCCACATACCATGACGCAACTTCTATGCTGCTTTCAGAATGTTGTGTTGGTGAGGCTTTTGCATGCCTTGACAGTTGGTGTATTTTTTCCAGTGTTTTGTGTGTTGCTTCTGCCCTGGGCAATGCTTGGAATGCCCAAACCTGTGGTAGTACGACCTCTCACCAGAGTTTGGGCCTGCCATTTTGTCACGGCAACTGCAAAGTCGGCCCGGTTTGTTGTTAGGATCAGTTAAATGCAGCTTTGTCCTTCTCGTGGGGCATTTATCCGCAGCTAGTTTGCGAACACTCAGTATTATCGGACTGTGCGAGGCGTGGATTGTGTCACAAAAAGCGGACGAGAAGACACGGACAATCATGTTTGGCGAACTGATGTACAGCTCGAGTTCGTATGCGTCATTACATTGGCCAAGAATGAAAAGGAACATGGCAAGTGCCTGCGCAACGTCAGACGAGTAGGCAGGGACGTGTGGTTGTAAACATGTACCACACATAAGCAGTAAGAGGGTTTCAGGTTTTAACACGGCGTCAAGAGCGCGCGGGTAGTCAGGCTCAGATCGAACCCTGCCGGTTTGGGCAAAGAACGTGCTATCTCTAGCCAACCCTGCATGAGGTCGAACGGGGCCTAGAATAAGGAATGATGGCAGGGCTGGAAAGGGAAGAAGCATTGCGTGGCCTGCGTTGGTGCTAATCCGCGCTTGTCGCACTGGTGCCGTGGTAGTTGGGCGTGTTTACAAATCGGGACAGGCGGATAGGTCCTTGCTGGACGGTTTGATCAACAATCTAAACGAGCTTTGATGGTGTTGTCCAACACCTTTCGGTGAGTCTCTTCAGTCGTACATGCCTGACGGAGAAGTTCGGATATTCTCTGATATGTCCAAACATCCACACGTGGCTGACAGTGAAATGGCTGCATTCCTCGGCCGGCGGCCCTTGGCGTTGACCGACAGAGTAAAGTGTAGAGGAAGAACCTGGATGAGGCCTCTCGGGAATGAAAATAGAATTGGACTTAGAGAGAGCATATCCCCAGCCGATATGGCTTGAAGAGCAGGGTGTTTTAGTGGTGAACTCGGGCTGGGATGCAGCCATAGAGGCAAAGAAGACTCGAGCAATGCCGAAAGCTGCGGCTGCCGTCAGAAAAGCCCCTTCCTTGGCGACAACGTGCCTCGTCAGCAAAGCATGGGAATGCGCCTTATTTGGCACGCCGCTTCTCAGCATCCTTGGTATAGGGGGGGGGGGGGATGCTGTCCTATGGCGACCACACCTAGGACATCTTGCCGTCCGGGTTGTGGGCAGTAGCGTCCGTGTGCATCACAGCCATATGCAGGCAGTTGAGAGCCCGTAGCTCAGGGCCATATGCGCTCCTACTTCCTGTTCCCGCTCCTACTGGCCTACTGGTGTAGGTTGGTGGTGCTGACGGTGTAGTTTGTTCATGTGGTAATTGCTCCCAGTGTTGGGGGCCCGGATGTGCGCTTACCACAGCTGATCGGTACTCCGCTCTGTTCCCACAACTTTTGGCTTCCTTTCGTTCGTCCATCTCTCCCTTTCAGAGTTCCACCGTCTCCAAGCCAAGCAATCATCATGGAATGCTTGCGTATGCTTCCTCTCTTTATTGCACTACAATCTATCCGATATCTTCAAAACATTGTTTCTGACCAACGCTTACGGCAGCAGAGACCCCGGTCGCCAGTAACGGCACTTTTTTACCTCCGGCCGGAGGGCTGAGTCCTGCCCAGTACATGAGTTCATTGGTCTGTTCGCCTTGGCCTTTTTTGCTTTCTGGCTTGGCAACCTAACACTGGCATTGGTATTGACATTTCAGCAAACTATGTACACGCATATGCAGGGTATCGATGACTATCAAACCAGACGTCTCGTTTCCACTTGCTACCTTGAGTCCTGCTACCATAATACGTGAAAACACGCGGTAAACTACTTTTGTCGTGCCCTCATTTCGGGGATAGAGTTTAGGCCATGTTCGCGAATCTTTCAATGCCCATGATCCAAGAGAGGAGAGAGCGGGAAGGGAAAGAAAACACACACACACACACACCTACACACACACACACACACACACACACACACACATAACAAAAGAAGCGCCCTTCCAATACGCTAGTCCCACTTATGTAGAAGTCTGCCGCCTCTCGCCAGGATGCTCCCGGCCCGGACTCCTAAGTCCCTTTTCTTACATGCTCTAAACATCCTCTCGTTATTCGGGTGTGTTTCTTCACCTTGCGGCGGGGGCAAAGAAGCGGAGGTGCTCTTCCCACTGACTTCGTTTGCCTCTCCGCGCTTCTGGTCTCAATCTACAGTGCTGGGGGGCAATGATCGTAATACCTCAGTCTTGCCAATAATGATTGATGCCGCAGCAGGTCCAGCCGAGTCATAGTCTCATCCCAGAGCGCCGGCTTGTCCCAGGACCCCTTCCTCCTCTAGCATCGAGCTTGGGCAGCATGCTATCCAATGAGAGCCTTTCCGATTCTGTATGACGCGCTAGAAGAGGGTAGCAGACCAGATCCAAGACACACTGCAAGGGAGCCGAAATGATGACCAGGGGCACCAGTGCCTGATTAGTCTCCCCCACCCAATTTTTAGGCTTTTGCTTGCCCGGGGGAACGTGTTGTACCGACCGGGTCCGTCAACGCGGGTCCATATCTCTCCATGCCCATGGTCAGTCACTTTTTACATTGCGACACTAACAGATCATCGTGGTATCAAGCCGATGACAACCTCTGGGCTTTGTGGCTGTGTCTCACTGAAGTATGCCGACGCGCATGCGCTGATCTCTAGCCTACTCTGGAGCTGTTGTAGGACGGTGAAAACTAACGACCTAGACACAGCTGTCCCATAGTACTTCCCCGTTGCTTCTCAACGTGTAATCCGATAGAGCCTGCAGCAGGTCAGGTTAGGTATCTCATGCATGGGTTACGGTTACTCCAGGGGTCACCCCAACGTGGCTGAACTGTCACAGAGCAGTTGGACCGCTGCCCGCACTCCCCCAAGCCAAGATTCAGTATGAGGCGGATGGAGTAGAGACAAGAGGAGAATGGCATGGGGCCAGGGCCAGGTCCTGACTCCCGGAACCGACACCAAGAGCCAAAAAAACGAGATGACTTTGACTAGTGTATCGAAGACGCTGCCCATTTCCTGCGCCAAGATTCCTTGGGTGACGGCGTCAGAGGCAAGAAACAAGTGCCATTAAACGCAAATCATAGCCAAACGGTTGGCAGAAACGAGACCACAAGTAAGAGGCAAAGCCACCGTGATTGCTCCGCTGCGTCCTGTCCCATCGATCCGACGCTTTGATCCTAGCACCGCACCACATCCTGCTATCGCTAACGTGCCACGGAGCTGGATTGCCGCCGCGTACCTGTCGTTTGTTCATAAGAACCCCGGAGCTCCCACCCTTTCTCTACCACACTCGCTACAAACTGCCGTGTTACTCCTTCAACGACAAGCCCGGAGCCTCCCTGCATACAAACACACAGAGACGTATGTTACATTCCAACCCCGTTACCATCCTGGGGGCATCTGATTTAAACTACCATCAAGTCCCGCTCCATCATACTTGTTGCCATTTGTGGGCCTTATTCACGTCGTTGCTAACCATCCCAACTGATCAGTTTATCCCCAACAAACCGCCTTCAAGTAGATACTGGTCATTATGAAGGCCTTTGCTGCCTCAGCTTTGGGTGCCGCGCTCTGTGAGTCCCCAGATACATTCCTCAAACCGCTGGTCACTAACAGCCTCCGAGATGCGGCTACCGCCTCTGCCAATCCCATTGAGGCATGCCCCAACGACATCTGCTTCAGCGTTGCCGTCCCCCAGGCTTCCGCCAGCTCTGGCTCCGGTAACCTGTACTTTCAGATGAGCGCCCCTACCAGCTATCAGTGGGTTGCCCTCGGTACCGGCACGTCCATGTCCGACTCCAACATGTTCATCATGTACACCGATGGCGCCGGCAATGTCACTATCAGCCCCCGTACTGCCCGTGGCCACAGCATGCCCACAGTGTCCCAGAACGGTGCCGACCTCACGCTCCTGGCTGGTTCCGGTGTTGTGAACGGCAAGCTGGTCGCCAACGTCCTCTGCACGAACTGCGCTTCTTGGAGCGGTGGCTCAATGTCCTTGAACTCGGCCAACACCAACTGGATTGCGGCGTGGAAGTCGGGCAGCGCCATTAACTCGGCCAGCAACAGCCAGAGCATCCAGCAGCACGACTCTCACACCAGCTTCAGCCTCGATCTGTCCAGGGCTACCGTCCAGTCCGATAGCAACCCGTTCACCGGAACCAACAATGGTGGCAGTGGCAGTGGGAATGGGAACAGCGGCGGCGGCGGCTCTACGAGCGGTGGCAGCGGCATTGTATTTAACGGTCGTGGCAAGTCTGCTATCCTTCTCGCCCACGGCGTCATAATGTCCATCGTCTTTATTGCCTTGTACCCTCTTGGCGCCATCCTCATGCCCCTTGTGGGCAAGTGGATGGCACACGCCGCATGGCAGTCTGTTGCGTTCGCTCTGATGTGGGCCGGCTTCGGCACTGGATATGCCTATGCCCGCGATAACGGCTATGTGAGTTGCTTTCTCTTCTGTAAAATTGGGGATTCCTCGTCCCCCCCAGGGTCTATTAAAACCCACTCCCACTCGACCTCCCTCATCCAGGATTGTAAGCTGATATGAGTTTGTCACAGCTGTTTGAGCAAACTCACACCCTCCTTGGCACTGTGGTTGTAGCCGCCTTGGCCATCCAGCCGTTCCTTGGATATGCTCACCACGCGTACTTCAAGAGGTTCCAGACCCGCGGCATTGTCAGCCACATTCACATCTGGTACGGCAGAGCTCTCATAGTTCTTGGCATTATCAACGGCGGCCTCGGCCTTAAGCTTGCCAACACCCCTAATAAATTCGTCATCGCTTATGCCGTTGTTGCCGCCATCCTCGGCCTCATCTGGATTGGAACTGCTGTTTGGGGCGAGACGCGCAGGTCTACGCGCATCAAGCAGGAGCAAAGCCACGAGTCCGCCGATTCTCAGCAGCGCATCCCCTACCGCCAAAAGAAATAGACAGGGTAACGCCGGCCGGAACCCGACAATGACAGTAAACATGGTATCAAAGAAACAGACGAGAGCAATGACTATTTGCATCTCTTACATATTGACTATGGCAAGGCACGCTTGTGTACTCTCGATAATAGTTATTGGGACTTGGTGTATCTCACGCAGGTGATAAGGTGGCGGCACCTTGTAGTTTGTCAAATTGGAGTTTAAAGGCGTTATGTAGTGGTACCGTCTCAATGACGACGGGCCTATGAAATCATGATCACTTGATCTTTTACCAGGAAATGATCCGTTCAGCTTGAACTATCTGTGACTGAAAAAGAGAGAGACGTCAACCAAGGAAGTTGAGCAAGCCATCGACACAAGCCGACACAAGCCTGTGATCACTTAGACCAGATGAAAAAGGATGAGACGATGACGATAATCGTTGACGTCTGTGAGGGGTGAGGTCATGCGGAAACACGATAAAGAAGCCCTCTGCAAGCTAGCCAAATCGCAAGGAGCTTAGGCCAAGCGAGCCCAAACGTTGGTGTTGGTTCTGTGAGAGCCTATGATGTCGGTGGACAGACAGGTTCCTTGATCAATCAGGCGAAACGCTTTCTCTTTGGCTGCAAGAGCAGTAGCAGCAGCAGCAGCCGCCGCCGCCGCCGCCCGCCTGCCGCTACAAGCAGCCAGAATCGGCCGTAGAGATACATCACGTGATACTGGTCCATTCCTGCTCCTTGTTTCCCCGAGCCTGCGCCAAAGCATGGTGGAGAAGAGGTAAGAGTGGGGGCAAAGAGCAAGCGTTCCCATCCAGGACGGAGGGAAAAAATAAAAGTGGCCTGAGGCACCTGCAATCATAGCGGTGATCACTGCGTCGTCCAACCGGCTTCTGGCTGGCTCGTTCACTCCAGCTTTTTACGTCCCATCCGTACAAAACCCTCAACCACCTCTTCCGTCCTCACCCCCTTCCCCCCGGTGTTGTTCCCCCCCAATTGAGCCAGCCACACCCACATTCAAGATGCTCGTCCAATTGTCCCGAGCTACTGTGAGTCTGCCCGTTGCCTTTGTTGATGCTGATGGAAATGTTGCGGTTCGCCCGTCGGGCGCGGGCGGCCGAGAGGAAAGACGAGAAAAAACTGACCACCTGAGGTAATAGCGCGCCGCTTCGGCTGTCTCTCGGCTGGCGAGGCCCAGCGCCGTCCAGATGAGGGGATTCATTGCCCCCACGGTCTCCCGAAGAGGTTCGTAAACCCTTTTCAATTTTTCCCGTCCGTCATTTCTCGTTATAATCAAAATGGAGGGGGAGAGGTTCGATGGTGGCTGGCGGTTGTTCGGATTGCCGGTGCGGCTAAGGGAGGCAAGCTCCGAAGCTGGGGCTGGTGTGCGCTCCAAGTGACGATATCGGCCATCATCAATCAACGACACTCAACCTATGTTTCCCATCCCTATCCGATACCAACATATAATTCCTCGATACCTCATCCTGCCTGTCGCTGTCGTTTTATCCCCCAATTGAATGCACCCGTCGTCGTCGACCGCTGGGAGCACAGACGCTAACCCCGATTGCCCGATACAGCCGACTTCGTCCAGGAGCTTTACCTCAAGGAGCTCAAGGCTTACAAGCCCACTCCTATCAAGGAGTCTGACGCCCAGGGCCAGGTTCAGACCTTCAACATTCCCCAGACCCCCAAGTCCCCCGAGGAGGCCGACCTTGCCGCCAGCCTGAAGGAGTACGAGAGCATGGCCGTCGAGGTCGAGGGCCAGGACGCCGAGGCCGTCGCTGCCGGTGGCCAGCCCGTCCAGCGCGACTGGCTCATGATTGAGGAGGATGAGGAGGAGGCTCACCACTAAACGGTTTTCCCCCGATCCACACCCTTATACGAAAATAGCGATTTTCTTGCCGTCGCAACGAACAACAAAAGGCCAACCGACCGACGACATTCGAACATGCTATGGTTAGGGGAGCTTTCCTTTGGGGAAAGTGCTTTGCCGAAGGAAATGGCCCCCCCGAACCGGAATGTAATCTGCCGTTTGCCGACGGACCGAAAGGAGGGGGGTGTTGTGTGTTTTATTTAGGGGAGAGATTGGAGAGGAGGAGCGCGAAAAACGAGGGGAAGGTGTGCTGGGAGGTGGTAATCCCGTGTATATTGTCCAACTGAACCTCGCTGGCTAGGAAATGCTATTTGCATGCACTTAACTGCGCTTCGTTTCTGTCGCGTGTCTGAGACCGACGGCGTCCCCACGCTTGGTACTAACTTGAGTTCTCTTGCCTATCAGCAATGGCAAACCTACCAGGAGTAGGCGCGTTAGACCCCTCCATCGTTTGCAAACCAGTGTCTTTGCAAGGTCGCCAGTGACATAAACGCGTGCCGAAATCTCCAGTTGTCTCTTCCCCAGATTCGTATTCTATCAAAACACACAAATATGTCCATAGTGGGCATGTGGACCCGGAATCTTCCGGAACGATCTCTCTCCATCTCTACATGACACACAGTTCTATGCTCCTAGAGACTGACAAATAGCCAAAGTCAGGATACCTTGAGAGCAATTACCCAACATAGAAGGGTGGGGAAAAGAAAAGGGTTTTTTCGGAGGGAAGTACCATTGACCCCCAAAACCATGGGGGAACAGCCATCTCGTTTTGCATGATGCCAGAGAAGTCATCCTCGAGGAGAAAGAGTCATTGTGATGTGTACCGTCAATGCGGTCGATCTAGCAACTGCCCCAAAAAAAAAAAAAAAACAACAACAAAAGGACCTCATACTCTTGTTATGGATCCACTTCGTCGTTGAACAACAGCCGATTACACCTACTGTTATTTGAACTTTTTGATTTTCTCTGGATGGTCTTTGCTTCATACACACACATACACACACACACACACACACATATATATCCATACATATATATTCTCGTAAACTCTCCCCACTCTCACTCACATACAGTAGTATCATGGGGCTTTTCAATTTCTCGTCATAGTGAACGAGTACGGGAGCAGTGAGGCAACTCTCGTCTTGGGTTAAAAAAGAAAGGGGGTTTGAAGAAAAGTAGGGAATTCGACAACACATCACAGGCCAACTGAAACGTCTTGAGGGAACGGTGTCTTTAGCTAAATTAGTTTATTACAGACAACATTGCTTCATGCCGTTACCTGTTCTCTCTCTTTGTCTTTTCTTCCTCTGTTCTTCAAGACCATCAACCTGTTTCGTCGTCGTTATCGTCGTCGTCGGCCCTGTCCATCATCTCAAGTCTCCTGGGCTCATCCACAACGTTAAACAAAATAAGAAGACCTCTCAAGCAGCACGTGCAAAGCCAACTCGATCCTGGAAAGTAGAAAGATTGACTCTTTGAGATACCTGCTGCCAAGCGTGAGACCCCTCCCCTTTCAGCGCTCTGCTTCCCCCTCCTTTCATCCCCATTGTCATCAGATGCAACTCATCAGTTTTTCTTTGTACCAGGGCAGTTTTGGCAATGGCAAGGAAAAAACACAAAACCAATAATAAAGAAGACATGCATGCATAGAATGAGTAAGGCATCGTGAAAGTGAGAGATACCGTAAACATTGGGGATAAGACAAAAAAAAGTCACCAATGTTTGAAGGAACCACTCGTTGGTATCCAGAGTCTCATCAAGAAGCATTTTGTGCGTGTGTAAGTGCTTCGATCAGCTTAGAAAGCAGCATTCTGAAGGCCGATCCAGGATCCCGAATGTTCATCGCTCAGCCCAAAAAACGCCATGTACCAATTACACCCTTAATTATCACATGCAAAGCTGACCGCCCTTATGCACTGAACCCATAAATGTTCGTTTTAGACTTCGTGATGACGACCGTGTGTGTGTGTGTGTGTGTGTATGTTTGTGTGCGTGCGCGTGTATGTGTGTTTTTTTTGTGTTTTTTTTTTTTTTGCTTGCGAAGAAAACAACAGGCTGCAACAAACTTTTTCTTGTTCTCCATATAGAACCAAGAAAGATTTTATAAAGAGAGAAAACAGCACCGGGAAAGGCTGACCAAAAGCAAGATCCTCAGACATCAAAGTGGCCACCGCCAACCATCTGCTCGTCGTTGGTAGTTGTCCTCACTATGCCACTCATACGGTTGCCTCGTTGGTTCATGTCTTCCAGGTCGTCCCAGTCATCGTCGTCTTGATGATGCGAGTCGCGCATCTCCTCGTCATCATATCGGTTCTTATCCCTCATGTGATCGTCAAGGGCACTCTCGTCGACAAAAGTGAAGCCCTGGAAGTTGGCTTGCACAGACGGCGACAGGGGTGTAGATGTAGCGAACCCCTTTGAGAGAGCAGCTGCCCGTTCGTTAAGAGAGCCGTTGTTGTCTAGGGCGTTGGTAAATTCGGGGTCAAAGTAGGAAACATCCGTAGCAGAGGTCAATTTGGGCTTGAAGGGCGGCGTGATGAGTTTCTTGGCGAGAAGGTCCCAGTCGATATCGGCAAAGAAGGGGTGGCGCTTCAGTTCCTCCGCATCGTCTGTCGCACCCAGACGGTGCTTGGGGTTTCTGTTAAGTAGACCCTTGACAAAGTTGCGTCCCTCCTGTGACAGCGTATCCCTGGGGAAACGGACTTTACCAAACGCAATGTTCTTGTACATCTGCTGGGTGTCCTCTGCGTAAAAGGGGCTCCATCCGCAGCACATCTCGAATACGAGAACACCCAAAGACCAAAAGTCGACCATCTTGGTGTATCCTGACTCGTCAAGGAGTACTTCGGGGGCCAGATACTCTGTTGTTCCACAAAAGGTGTTGGTCGTGTCGTTCTTGGTGAGGTTCGCCTTGGACAAACCGAAATCACAAAGAGCAATGTGGCCGTTGGCATCTAGGAGAATGTTTTCGGGCTTCAAATCTCGGTAAACGATGTCATTGTTGTGCAGGTGCTGAATGGCCAAGATGAGTTCTGCAATGTAGAACTTGGCTCTTCGTTCGTCGAACCGGCCTTCCTTCTGCAAATGCCAAAACAGCTCTCCGCCAGACATGTAGTCAGTGACCAGGTAGAGATCCGACGGCGTCTGGAAGGAGAACTTGAGGCCCACGATGAAGGGCGAGTCTGACATTGCTGTCCGGACCAGGATGTTGCGCTCGCCAACGGTGTGAGCGACTTCCTTCTTCTGGACAATTACCTTTTTCGACAGGACTTTCATGGCGTAAATCCGCTCAGTGTCCTTCTTCCGAACCTGGTAGACCTGTCCGAAAGTGCCCTTTCCAATAAGCTTGAGAATCTGGAAGTCCTCGGGTCCAAAGTGCTTCCTCTCTGTGCGTTGGTACACAGCTTCGACAAAAATCTCACCAGTGGGGGCGTTCTCCGCCATTGTGTCGGCATGGCCTTTAAGCGTAAACCAACCGCGGACCGGGTTGTTAGAGTCCCGGTTTGCCTGGAAATCGACGTGACCCAGGAACTCTTCGCCATTTGCGCTGTGGTCGTAAACCGAAATATCCACCAGCATGTTAGAGTCCACAACATCGCTGGTCTGGGTTAGCGTATGAAACACGGCGCGCAGGATGGTGTAAGAGGCACTTACAACTCTGCTTCAGCGTCCCACTTTGGGCTGGTAAAAGATCGCCGAGACTTGTTGCGGAACGTGTTGTAGTCAGAAATACTAGTGTTGCTGCTTTGACGGCTGCGCATAGGGATGGACATGGCGGGCCGCCCCGAATCGCTTCCTTGCCTCTGGATCGGAATGCCTCCCAAGGACGGCGCCGGCAGGTTTACATCTTCCTCCTCCTCAACGGACCGCGGGCCTCCTGAGATTAGCTCGCTTCTTTGGAAAACAGCAACAACATAGGGATCTCTAGCACGTCTTAGACCCTTTGCCTCCACGATCTTGATCGTGAGCTTGCCCTTCGCTGCGGGGACTTGAGCGCCGGTAGAGCCTCTAGGCGTCTGGGTGCCACTAGGAGGTGCCGTTTCATTACTGCTTCTCTTTGAGCCCGATCGCTCTTCCTGAGATGGTTGAGCTGCCGAGAGGGCTCGAGTGGGAGTTGGCGGTCCGCTCTTGAAACCCGCGACTTGTGTTAGCCTCTTCAGCTGATCAAGTGAGGAATAGTTGTCAAAGGGAGTGGCTTTCTGTGCTGAACCAATCTGGGGGTGTGTGGGAGACACTGGTGTGGTGGGTTTGGGGAGGCTGGGGTTGGATATGTGATGAGCATGCACAGCCGATTTGGTGACCACGCTTGAGGGTTGGGACATGAGGGTAAGGCTGCGGCACTTTGTTGTCGAGAAGTCTGATGAGCTTTTTTGGAGCAACGGTCGCGCAGATGAAGATGCAGCGGATCGTGTGTCTCCGTGCCACAATGACAGACTTCTCGCAGGATACCCTATCGACGACCGTCTTGATATCGGCGGGGTCGGATACTGGTGGGCTCCTTGCAGTGCGTTTGATGCAGTGTGTTGTGACGCGGTTCGTGGCTCAGGATAGGGGGTTAATGGGGGCATTGGTTCAGAATCGCCACAGGGCACAGCAACCACTGAGCTGACCTGAGAGGGCGTTCCATTCATCTCGACTGGGTCGGTTGAGGGACCGTAAGGAGACTGCCCTCGCACAAAATCCGACGCGACAGGGGCAGATACAGAATTGTGAATAGAATCTGTACGAACCTGGCCGAAGTAGCTCATGATTCCCGGCAAACGTTTGTCATGGAGGTCGGGCTGAGGGGTTGCCACGCCGGAGCGGGGCGTATCAAAGCCGATTTGGTCCGCTCCATCATCGTCAGCCGCGGCGGCAGACCTGCTTCGGTGGTCAACAGTGAGATTCATTATTATTGGTGTCGGTAAGTGCGCGAAAGTATGAATTTGCAAATAAGACAATAGAGAGGGGTGGTTGGACACGCTGAGCAATAGAGCGAAAAGCGGAGGTAAACTGGAGTACGAAGCTAGCTCATGACGGCTGCCAAGCCCACGAACGGTCTGCTAAGGATGAAGAGTGCTCGAGTAAGGCACTCGAGGCTTAATGGAGGCGGAGGGAGAGAATATGTTCTTTCTGCCCATGTGCCTGCCAGGCGGAAAGGGACGGGGAAATTTTTTTTCTTCGTCCTCTTTGGCCGGGTGGAAGCAAGGATGCCGTCGCAATAACTAGTCGCGTAGAGCAACTTGAGGGGGATGATGCAAAAGGCCAAAAGGGAAGAGTCGTCGAATAGGAAAATGGGCAAAGTGGGTTTTTTTGTTCCGAGGACGCCCCGTGTTGAGTTGAGGGCCTTTGAACACTAGTCAAGGTCCTGTCCACCGGGGGGGCTTTCTAGTGAAAGCGATGGCGGGGCAATATGCTGGGCGCTCGCGCGAGGGGAAGGGGACGGGGGCGAGAGGCGGACGAAGAGGAGAAGGTCCAGGAGTAGAGGGGCAAAGGGTCAAGCAGAAGAACCGGATGCCGACTGGGGAAACCAAGGCGAAATGGTACCACTACGAGTTGCGCCTACTGCGACTGACGACACTGATGCTGCCGCTGTCGCCGGGCATTGGGCGAGTCAGGCTTCAACTTTGGATGAGCCTCTCTCTCAGCAACAACAGCTCTGGCTGACTCTGGCTCTTTAGACGCCCGCCCTGGGTCCTCAATTTGCATTTTTAATGTTGTCGCCGCATTGGCGGCCGAACGAAAGGGTTCAGGTAGGCATGGTATGGGGTAGAGGTACCATACCTCAGCTAGATAGGTAGGTAGCTAAACAGGGGAAGGGAATGGGACGAGGGGTAATGCAGTGATTTGCATGTGCAAGAGACTGGATTTGTGTGATGAGAGAGGACCTGGATGCGTCGTTTCTCACACGCGACATGGTCCTCGGAGCCAGGTCAGCAAAGACCAAGACCCCCCCCCCAGGTCCGTCAGGTCAGATTGTCCGGTGCCATCAGAATGGGCGCGCAGGGGCCATAGGCAGAGGAGCAGCAGTAGCTTGGTGAGTTGTAGCGGGAAAGGGCAGGAGGAGAAGGCACAGAATCGGCCAAAGGAGGGGAGGCGCCGGCTAGGCTCAGTTTGCTTGCAGCATCGGACGGTCGTCCGGGATCGTCTTGGAACCAGGAAGCGGTAGGCTGGAAGGGCCGTTGACGGCAGTCTGATGCCACTGACACTAGCCAAATGGGGGAACTCCAGTCCTCCAAGCATCAGGAGTGGGAAGGAGCAATGAATGGTCCATGGCCCAAAAGGCTCCTCGTCCGCCGACCAACCCCTCCATCGCCACGCTTTTGGGTAGCATGTGTGTGCCACGAAGACAAGCCGCAAGGAGGGGACAACCTTTGACATGGGAGGCTTATTATCAAGGGTCCAATTCCAGGCCCAGGCCCGACTCCGTCTTTCACCAAGGCACAGCAACAGTAGCCAACGAGGCCAGGAAAGCCTGCGAAAGCTTTGATGACAACGCATACTGGAGCTGTCCATGATATGAAAGAGACGTAGACATGACCCAATTCATGGACAAGAACCTATCTTGGCAGGAGCTCCTTGAGCTTGGGGAAAACCACCTACATGAGCCTTGCAGGGGAACATGGCCGAATAGGAAATGTAGCCAAGGTAGATATCAAGCGAATGAGCAACGAGCGTCACAACTCAAGCCGGACTGAGGGGGGCGAACTAGCGTCCCAGCTTTGACTAAGCCCGCGTCGAGGTAGGCCACTGGCCCGGGGTAGTAGCACAATGCTCAAGTAAAGGTAGAATTGGTGCTCTTATTCCTCCCCCCTTCCCCTTGGGATGGGGGGGAAGAATGTTGTGCAACGTAACAGGGCCAGGAAGGAGCAAAGACATGGAGAGACAAAAAAGCAACAGTGAACAATGTGGGTAGAGTCAGACAAAGGTGGAGGTGTCGGATGCGTATCAATCGGTGGGTAGGCAAGGTAAGGCAAATCAAGGCACAAAAGAAAGACGCATAAGAAAAGTGCACACATACTTGGGGGTTGGGCCTGACATCATCATTGCCTGTGTCGCCCGCTTCAATAAGTCGAAGCCACCAGTGCCGGTGTTTGCATGTGCGCCCTCAGATCCAGACATGGTGTGCTGCTGGCTGTGAAGAGATGTTGTGAAGACGACAAAAGTGAAGGCCTAGTCGAGGCAGAGGCCCAGATCCGTAGTGGGCGTCAAAACAGGCCAAGATATCGCAGTGTTGCCGACGGATTGGTCGCCGCAGGTGGTGAGCGGCAGCTGCGTGTGTGCGTGATGACAGTCGCGCAGGTGCGATGGTGGTGGCAAGTGGTGGTGTTGGTGGTTGAACGAAGAGAAGGCGGCAGGTGCGGTGTGGTGCGCAGGTGTTGTGATTTTTTGGAGTTGGAATTGGAGACTTTTTTTTTCTTCGGAGGCAGAGGGGGTGAGAAGTTGGGAGGTGGGATGGAGTGGAAGTCGGCCACGGCCAGTGCCACGGTGAGGAGTGCTGTGTGTTGTGTGCTTCGTGGGTGGCGTGTGCGTGGGAGTGGATGCAGGTGGGTGGAGGGAAGAGGGGAAATCGCAAAGTGAGTCTAGGTAAGGCCTGTTGTCTTGCTTCCTCCGCTGCTTGTTGGCTGCGCCAGACTGGCTGCTGCTGCTGGTTCTTTGGTGTACTTTGACCTGAGCGAACAGGGCAGCAGCTGGCTGGTAGTGTGGGAGGTGGGGCGATGGTGAGGGCGACAGCACTGCGCTGCGCAGCGCAAGCAATGGAAAGCAATAGACTGACTGGTCCTAAGGCCCAAAGATGCCAGGGGAGCCTGTGATGGCGAACGTCCAGTGATATTGCGGCGGTCCCGGCAGGCGGATCGCGAAGTGGCACCGGACGCGGAGGGTTCGTACGGAGAAGTCCCCCGATTCTGTACCCTAGGAAGGTCTGGTTTGAATCGAGGCGGGGTTGGCAGGCTGACTGGCTGGTTGCTTGTTTTTTTTTATCAAGGTGAAAAATTAACGAATTATAATGAGGCAGGGTAGCGTAAAGATGCCTTTAGATATGGTAAGTGGGTTGTAGAATGTGTGTATAAGTCTGGCTGACAGCTTAGAATGTAAGATGAGGCAAATTAAGGTGGTGATGGTGGGTGGCGGCCAAGGTAACCAAAGAAGAGTGTGCCTTAGGTAAGGTACGACAAGGCAAATACCTTGCGCGCCTGTTCAGGCAGTGACGGACGAAAGGCGTCTGTCATGGGCGACGCTTCCTGCCTAGATGTTGGGGGGTCGAGGGTTCTAGATGCCTGACGATATGGCCGGGGTTTGGGTGTCTGGGGCAGGGCTTTAAAAGAAACCGGAAAACCGGGCAGTCCAGCCTCAGGTTGACGATGTGTGAGTCCAAACCATGGAAAGAAAGAGAGACCCAGCAATGAAATGCGGCTGGCTGTCAAAGGTAACTCCACACATCGCACACAAATACCATGTACAGTCGAGAAAGGGCTGGTACCTCTCCATACACTAGGAAAGAGGCAGTCGTCGGTACGGCAAGAGTACCTGCCTCTCTAATTTGCAGACTGCCAGGAGGGAAGGAACCACCAAGTCTCTTGATGGCTGCCCTATACACTACACCAGACACCTTTTTAGCTCTGTGATCTACAGCCCGGCATGCCCTGCTCAGAAATGTGCTGGTTCAAAGGCACTTTCCCTGGCCTTGCTTGGGTTACGTCTTCCCTGTATTATGTTCTTTATTTTCCTTTGCTTTGATCTTTTTCAAGAATTTCTACTAATGAACGAGGATCCCATTCCACAAATCAACTGTGAGTAGATGGCCAGGGCTCTCCAGCAGCCTCTTTGAATTAACAGCTCCTCGACTAACGGCATCCCGACCGTCCACTGAGAGCAAACGTAATCATTGCAATTGCTTGCTGTAGTGTCCTCCACCCCGAAGCCGGTGCTCATACCAGGTCTACGGAGTACATCGATCCTTCCACCTCATCCATCCTTCCCCTCGCTTGTATTCTCTTCTCCTTTGAGCGGCCTTGTTAATGACACATGGTCGGGGGTACCCAAGTACCTTATTTTCTCTGTCTTTTACCTACTTGGTTTTTAGCTCCCACCATCGTTCGCAACATGTATCTTTGCCAAGCTGAAGTCACTCATTTTGAGGTAAGTCAGTCGGTCGAAATGTTCCAGGTCGGCTCGTCCGTCACGCCTCAGTTCGGCTAGGCTTGCTTAATACAGGGCAGAGGTGTGTTCCACATGACTTTCTAGAACGGACCGATCAGACACCGTCGAAGGAACGTCCAACGCGTCTGTCTGACCGAGCTTTAAGCCGCAAACGATGAAGCAATATCGGATGTTACGTCCACGGCTGATCTCATGTGGCATCACATCTTTTTCAGCCTGTGATACAAAAAAAAAATTTCAAAATTTAAAAGGAACACAATGCCCTGCAAATGGCCATCGACTTGCTCAGGTCAGGCGTGTGGGGGTAAGGCCACGGCTTCCCTCCGAGACCGCCGACCAAGGGGATCCTCTCGGGAGCCCGACCCGCCAGCGGGACATTCCTTACCTCAGGGTGTACTAGTATGGTGGCATGGACAAGCGAACCGTGGGGTGGGTTGGGTGGCCGGTATAGCTGACTAGGTGGATGACTCAAGGCGGCTTGCAACAAACGGCAAACCAACATCAATTTGGAACGAAGCATTGACTACAACGAAGCAATGCCTTACAATGCCCAAAGTCACCCGAGACTTCTCTCATTGCTTTTCCCATGCTCGCTGGTAGCAAGATTTGATTGCCTTTTTTGAGTCAACAAGGGGCTCTGCTTTCTGCCCTGGCCAATTCATTCAGCCGCCACTCGCCCAATTACACACGGCTCCATTCTCACTGTGCAGTTTTTTTGCCAATATCTGCCCTCCAGTCGTGAGTTGCGACGCAAAACACCGCCAAGGTCTAGAATGTCTTGGGACAATCAGTCAATTTTCTGACCCCCTGGTCCTCCACTGCCTCCATGGCAATGCAAAAGCCCAAAAAAAAAGTAATATCATCCATCAGCATACAAGGCGTTACGAGCCGTATACAGGCTCAGCTAATCTGCTTATCAGACGCCATTGGTGGTGTTCCCCGGTCTGAGTTACTGCATTACTATATTTGGTCTCTCTTGTCCCTGCTCGGGTGGCGAGTTTGCTGTGAGAGAAATAACAAATGGTATTGCTGCGTAGTCTGCCCTATCACCTTTCGACATCCCAACACTCATGCTTCTACGGATAGACACTCGGCCGATTGGCATGCCTACCCTACGACACCACTGAATGCTTTCTGCAGGCTACGAAGTGACCGCCTGAGCCCTACCACTGCAGCTGAGGTAAGAAAAGGATTACACGCTGACTCAATGTCTTTCCCCAAAGAAGAAGGGGTTCAGGTCACATCGGGATACGCGAAAGATGCAAACCTGCACGGTATTAAGCGAATGCTTGCCTCTGTCACCTTGCGTAGCTTCGATGCCTATTTCCATCTCTGGCCTAACTGCCTAGTTACACGGCGTACAACCCACCGCTCGGCCGCTTGGCCTAGTAGCTTATAGCTTCGGCATGAACTGCGGGATAATTGCTGCAGCGACTCGTGACTCTGCAACTGCCTCCTCAGGCGAAGGTATCGGTACCTGCACCATGATTGCAACCCCACGCTTACTTTGAAATGCCCTGGAACCCTAGGTCTCGATGTCCCTAAACTCCCAGCCATGATTTATCCAGGGAACTTCGCCGGCTCTCCCTCGTCCTTCTCCCCCACGCATGGGGAAGACGGGCACGCGTCAAACAAAGACTGACCATATCTTCCCCGCCGTTCATCTGGGTGGAGCAGCCGGCCCGCCGCTACGTAACTGGTGGAATCCACTACGTCAACCGCGCCTCTATGTACTTCGTTCTACAATCCAACATCTCTGCCACCATCCGATCCGACGTCGCCCAACGTTCGAGACACGCCGACTTTGTGTCGACGAGTCATTAGGCTCAACGTGCACACCCTGAAAAATGCCATGGCTAACTTGTTGATCTGCCCGCCAGCTAACCAGTATTGGAGACTATCTTCAAGGTAGCAGCCTCCAGGAAATCGAAACTGGGACAGGGTCATTAATCACAATTCGCAATCCGCCCACGAGGCCTCTGGCACTTCCCAGTGACATTCCAGCCATGGCTGATATCCCTTGGGCATGCCAGCTATCTTCTGTCTGGCACACATGGTTGACGTATTCTCAACAAGAAAGCTCAATGCAGCCAATCCCCAGTGCTTGCTGTCCAATGCCAGGCACAGCTGTAGAGGCCGCAGCTTCCCTGATCCTGCAGTTTCTGTACGCCCAAACTCTCTTTTGCCCACCCCCTCTCTAGGCAAATTTATGTCTCTCGTCAACGTTTCGCAACCCCAACCCCGAGCAATCCTCGTCCGAAGAATCCTCGACCCGACCCGCCGGATCTGCATCTCTCCAATCCCGCGCTGCTGCTTCTGGGAGAAAGAAGGTGACTGTCCAATCTTTGAACTGAGTTTCTCTCGACCTCCACCCCTCTCCTCGCATTCTTCGGGAGCCATATGCCGAGTAACCTACGGGCCTTTTCGTATGAGCTTTTCTGTATTGCGAGCCCCTCCCCTCTCACATGAATGCGGACGGTCTTTTGAGGAAACAAGTAGAATGAGTCGATAAGAAACAAGCTTGAATAAGCTTTGTAAGGTTAAAATATCACCCCGCAAGATCAAATGTTGGATCTTGGGGTTGAGTCTTCAAGAGGCGCCTTGCGATGCTGGGAAGCTATGCACATTTGACGCAGAGCCGGCGTCGACAAACCCGCATTCTACCGATGAGGGGTAACTTCCTAGGCTGCCTTGTGTAATCTCTCGCCAGCGATATAGATTGGCCGACAAGGAAGGGCTATCACAGCGCTTGGAGATGAACCCCGAGCTCGGTCATTTGTCGGAACTGTGGCACGTTCACTTTTATGCAACCAAGTGACTATGCGCTAGATAACCAAATAGGTGACAACTTTGGCTAATTGAGTCATCGATGATATTGCGCTCCAAATTATTTTCAACGCGAGTTTCTTTCAGGATGGTAACATCCCGACGGGCATGTGAACATTCATTCCTGAGGTCCAGGATTAATCGCAATGAATCGGGCTACTTAGTCGTCCTGTACTTAGTATCCCCGGTCAACTACACTCACGTTAGTAAAGAGGTGTTCAATTCGTCGTAAAGCAATGTGTCTGTCTAGCTGCTGCAGTTTGGCAACGAGAGTATACTCATTGTATGTTGACACGGTGTGGAAACCTCGGTGAGCTTTTCTGATGTGATGGCTATACCAATTGCGTCCTACAAGGTAGCTACATCACCAAGATATTGGCGGCATTCGAACCAACCGTAAATTAAGAACGGAAAACTTATCAAAAACACAAGGATTGCTGTGCTGGCGTCTCTTATATCTCTATGATCGTTATGGCCGTATAACCTCCTGAGTAACGGCAGCAGCCTCCTTTCTATCCCCTCCATGTACGGCCATCAAAACGTCAATGCTCCCTGAAAATAGTCCACCACGAATATATGCCCGCCCAGCGTATCTCATAATTTTTCAGCCATCAGCGCCATCTCTGGACTCAGACCTGGTGATGAAGACGATTCGGCGCCTCTTAACCTTTACCCAGACACCATCGTTCATTTTGACCCAGCGGAAAGTCTTGGTAGAGAGTAAGATCCTGGGAGCATGGAGAGCCTTGAGACAGAGCGGTATTTGGCGGTTGCGGTAACTCTCGGCCTGGTTCTCTTTGATGTTGTCCAGTCTGATGGTGGAGAGCTCGGTTGGGTCTGGGGACAGAGGGGCGATGGCGATGTCCTCCGGTCGAGGGCGGTGGCGGCGCTCTGCTAGGGATTGCTGTCGGAGAGGATCTGGATTTATCAGTCAGCCACGTGAGTATGTCTTTGTAAATAGTTTCATTATCTTCAGGATGGGTGGCTTTACCTTGCTTCTCAATGGATACGTCTGAAAAGGCTGTTTGAGTTGTATATTGAAGACTGAGAACTGGGCTAATCAGCTCAAGGGTGGCTCCTGCCTCGGGGTTCTGCAAGGTATTTGAAGTACGCATTTTATTGCTGTGGTACCTTTGGCACATGGTATGGCGTTGAGTTTTCTGGTTTTCAAGGTAGCGTCTTTCTCCCACTGGTAATGTGAAAAAAATATCATGCTATTTGATAATTTTGTCGAACATGAAAAGAGACAGGAAGTAAATTAAGAAAAACACGCTCACAATCGAAGTAATGAATTAACAATCGTAGAATGTGAATCAGAGCAGATTGGGTCCGGTGAGGTTTCTATCTGATGTGTGGACGGACTCGTGATAACGCAACACGTTTTATGAAACTTGCGCTCACTAACTTGGCAAACAGGCAAGTTCAAGTTGGCGCATCCACTAGTATTTGTATTAAGTGGATGTGATTTTTGGTTTCTGAATTCGCATGAGATGCCTGGTAATGCAGTGGGCTAGAGATAGACAGGACGGTGAGGAAAACGGGTGAACAAGGATGGCAAGTTGGATGCTTTGTCGTGTTATTCACCCTCATTCATGCTGTCCTTGGCTAAATGTAGAAACAAAAAACCTTTTAATTTCTTTCGTCTTGTCTTCCTTCTCGGGACATTGTTCTCCTCCCCGTTGTTCCGTTCGTTGAGAAAATAGAATAACTAGACGGCGGGCAAAGATAGCTTTCTTCAACATTTACAATAAATTAGACCTGCAATTTTGCCATAAATGGAAACACGCTTTTGACATACAACTGTGTATAGGCCCAAGGAGGCGTGAAGATCCAAAGGAGTTTCTAAATTCCAAGACAGGCAACCTGAGAAATTGTAGTGTGATATGAGATGAGAGTACTCTAGCTGGAAGTACATACTCATAAACAAAGGATGTATGTAATATTATTACTGATTGTTTATATATCACTTGTAAATCTACTGAAGATATTCTATTGACATGAAATGTTGAGTTTCTCGTTCGTTGACATGGACAAATGATGGACTTATATTCGCAAATTTAGCTTCAATAGAAGATGCCCCCGCACATGAGTCGAGGTCGGTGCAGGGCGATGGTTCTGACGAGTTGGCAGAATGCAGTCAGGTTCCCAAAAGAAACAATAACTCCTCATTTTCCAATGTTAGATACATCCAAATCTGTGTCTATCATTGGGTAAGGGATATCTCAGTGGCGCAGGGTTCCGGCGAAACTTGATACCATGGATGGAATTCTCAACAAATGCTTGTACAATGGGGTTATCGTCATGCCTTGTGCTCTGCGATGATCTGGTCAAACTTCCTCTCCACCTCCGGGCTAGAACATTTGGGATTGTTCCTGACATCAGGAGCTTTCCTAGGAAGCAGGGGGTCCGCGAAGTGCTCTGCACAAGTGGTCAGCATGCGTCTTTCTTATAGCCTTCACAAGTCGTCTAAATTGAGGGCTCGCCATTTGACTTACTAGGATCGAAGCGTTGGTCGACAAGCTTGGCCTTGAATGACTCGTACTCATCCCTGAACTTCTTGCTATTCCAGTTGGCCCCCGCCTTGTCGTCCCCGGCGCTGCCTCCCGCCTCCGACCCGGGAGTCTGGAGCTTTGCGGATGTAGCTGCCATTATTACTGATTTAGCGTTTCTTCTTTCGAGTAATCCCCGATGTCTATGGTTCATTAGGTGTTATGATATTCTGTTGTAGAATCGTATGTTATGCTTACTGCGTTGCTTTCTTATTCGAAGGACTAATTCGGTAATGGTTTGTTCCAAGCAGAGGCCTCCTGTACAAGATGGAGAGAAGGAGTAGAATGAAAAGACAAGCCAGGTAGATGCAGATTCGAACGGTATATGCTGCACGAGAACCAAATCTTGTAAATTGTTTTCAAGTTCGAGAGACACTAAATCAACCTGCTTATGCAGTGAGCTTGCAGAAGTGAGGTGGCATGGCACGTCGTCTTGTTCTGTCCAACGCACGGCCCGGGTAACCCCACCATTCCATTTCAAGGGTGTTTCCAAGATCGATGGACCGCCTGCTGACGCCTACCCCCGGTGCTGCCCCTCCACACAAATGCCCGGAGGAGTGACCTAGAGGGTACTTGGCCTTTGGCGATATTTTCCGCATAGAGAAAGTAGGCGTTAGGTAGCTCCGCTCCGCGGTGAAGCTAAAACCAAATAAAAAAAGAGCCCGTTCCGTCAGGTCAAGGACCACCAAGTTTAGGGACTTATCAACTTCATCCCACCTTTTTTTTGGTTGTGCATATTTCCATCTACATCGTGAAGCTCAAATACCTCCTTATTTCCACCTCCATCCTTAAGAATCTCTCAATGCTACCACTTTAGCTGCCGAATCTTCTGCCTCCTCAGGTCAAAGTGCGCTTCTCTTATTTTCAGCAACTTCCCTAGGCTACTTGCAGGCTCCCTTCAACCAGAGGCAGTTTGTGACACGTCCCCGGACTTTCCCGCACAATCTGCAGATCAAAAAGACCAAATAACATACCGCTACAATGGTTAAGAAGGGTGCTGCCCCTGACGCCTGGGACGATGACTGGGAATCTCAAGCCGATAAGCTGGACGCCCAGGCGCAGGTGCTGCCCGAATCGCAGACGCCCCTGAGCAAGGCAGAGCGCCTGGCTCGGCATGCAGAGTCGAATCGCAAGCTCTGGGAACAAGCGTACGTATTTCCAGTGCCCCTTTGCGCCTCTTTCTGGCAAGCTTCCTAAGGCTGTTTCCATTCATCCCACTCCATTGCCCGAAAGATAGCCCAACTAACCTATGGCTGCCCAATAGCGACTCCCCTGCGCCGCTGTCCTTCCTTGACTCTCAGCCTGCTGTACCCCTAGCCACGGGCTTCAAACCGCAGGTCAAGGTGCTCAGTCGCAAGCCTGCACCACAGATGATCGCCCGCCGCGACCCTGTCACCGGTCTTTCTCAGCTCTCCCTCGCCGATGACGACGATGCAGATAATGCGTCCGAGAAGAAGCCGCAGCTCACGCCGGAGGAAATCAGGGCCAAGCAGCAACGTGAGCTTGAGGAGAAGCAGCGCCGGTATGAGGAGGCCCGCGCCAAGATTTTCGGCGAGTCGAACCCTTCTTCTGGTGCCTCCACACCCGGGACCGTCACGCCACCGAGAGGGTCTGGCATTGAGGGTGGCAGAGGGAGCCAACGAGGCAGGGGACGCGGTCGTGGAGGTGGTCACAGAGGCAACTCCAGTAGGCAGGAGGACAGCAGAAGACCCGGCAGTAGGTCTGACGCTGGTCGTTCTGAGAGCGGCCGCGAACTTTACGATCCCAACTACTCTTCTAGGGGTGGTGCCTTCCTACAGAAACGCGGGAGCGATTCTGGCCACCAGTCAGGACGGTCTACTCCTAGAGACGACGATCAGCCTAGACAGGCTATTCGGGCACCACGCGGACCAGATGGGAGTGGAAGAGGAGGATTCGGCTTTGCCAGTCGTGGCACCAAGGAAGGTTGAATTGCTATATACTATTGACAAACCAACTACCAGCCCCCGCCAATCTTTCCCGCCAGCTGGACGACGCGCTCTGTCTCGCTCGTCTTGTCCTTGCCCACATCGCTAATAACTTCGCGATACGTGGTGAGCGCCAATCTGCCCAATTCTATGCCAGTTACGCCCGCCCAGTGCGCCAGGGTATCTCGAATGTAAGAAGGCGAAATCCCATCAACAACGTCTCCTCGACACTCACCGTTCTGAGAGACAACGTCATCCCCTTCAGAGTCCTCAGCTGAAAAGTATGCCTCGTCAACCTCGGCAAGAAAGTCCTTTTGCTCGAGCGGGCCAGGTTTGGTTGTGAGCCCCTTGCGCTCAACGATGATAGGGTCGTCGACCTTGATCTGGCCACCGCCATTTGTGCAGCCGCCGGGGCAAGCCATCACCTCGACATATGCATACTCAAGTCCAGCAGGCTTGCCCGTGGGCCTCCTTGCGGCGCCAAATACTTTACCGCCAGGCATGCGAGATGGCCGCGCGGGCTTCAGTTTGCGTACCAAGTTTTGAATGTTACGGAAGCCGTAGTATCTAGCGGCTTTGAATATCGGGTCTCCCGTCGAAGATGCAACAACGTACTCGACAACGTCGGCGTTACGTCCTCGAATGACTTGGATTTGTGAGTTGGGGTGTTTGGAGGCAACCGTTTGAAGAGTAAAGTAGAGGTTACCGCCCGACGAGCCCGCCACCGGAGACGAGCGGTGGGCCGCGCGTTGAGGAAAGAGGAACTTCTCCAGGCGCGCGTCAGGGAAAGATGCGCGCTGGAGGTTGGGGTTACCTCGGGGGAGGTCAAAGAAATTGAAGCCTCTTGATTCCGCGAGCATGAGAACCTCTTTGCTTGTGATGACACAGTCGACATCGCGGACCCCACGGCCCGGCGTCCCGTTTCCTGCCCATACCGCATCTGTGAGCTCCTCGCGACTTGCCTCCAGCTTCTTGTCGAAGCATGGCATGACGGCCAAGTGCCAAATCCTACTGGGTGGTATTTCGAGCTTCTTACTTAGTGTCGTCTTTAGCAACGTGCCCATCAACGCTTGAGGTGATTTCACTCGTGACAAGTGCGGGAGGACGTAAGGATGCGTCTTCTCGGCATAACACACCCATCCCGGACACGAGGATGTGAGAATTGGCTTCGTCGCCGAAGACGCTGGCGCATCCTCAGCACCAAGCACCTCATCTGCACCCAGGACCAGACACGCCTCACGCGCAACGTTTGTGTCTACAACCCACGTGAAGCCATTATGCCACTTGCCTCCGCTAGCAAGCCCGTCCGGTCCGCTGAGTAGTCTTTCAAGCATGTATCCTGCCTCCTTCTCGGTGGTACCGTTGCCCGCAGCGGCGGCCAGACTAGCCCTCGTCTGAGGCGACACGCTCGCCACGAACAACTTGCGGTTTTCGTCCTCGAGACCGTCGACATGGAATTGTCCGTTCTCATCGGGGCCAACAATACGCAGCGACGAGCCGAAATCAAGTGTGTTGAGGACCTCCGTGTGTGACTGCATGCTCACCAGGACGGCCTCAGCAGAGGTGACACAGCCTGAGCAGGCAAGGCAGTCGGTAAGTGATATCTCGGCCGGGGCCGTAGCAGCTGCTGCCGAACCCGGTTGGCCGTCGAGGATTACTTCGTGCTCGAGAGAGGCATCTTGTTGCGCCTGCGGTGCGGCGGGGAGGGTCTCGATGGGCTTGATGCAGGCGACACCTGGACTAATAAAGTCGTTCAGGTCGTCTGCCGAGAGAATCGCACTCATTGCGCCTGGTTGGAGGGGCTGTCGGTTCCCGTCGTGGATGTTGATGGCGGTAGAGGGATGGAAAGAATTGCGGGCAGTGGCTTCAGGAACTTTTTTGTTTGTGACACACGACAAAACCCCAACTCAAAATCGAGAGGCAAACAAATAACGTAGAGAAAAGAGGCAAAAAGACTGGCAATGAGGCCGCCTTTTTGTTATGCGCTTTTACTAAAGAGGGTCCCTTGCCTGTACGTCTACGTTTCCGCGAACCCGGAGATGCGTAAATGGGTAACTATCAAAAAGATAAAATCGGACACAACGTGATTGCAAATCAGTCCCCCACCACTGGATTGGTAGAGGGGCGGGCAGATATGTCAGTCGGTGCGGTTAGGCACATGCGAAATCGGCAGAGTGGCGGATTCGGAGAGAGAAAGAGAGGGAAAAAAGAGAGTGGGGTGCGTCTTCCCCCGCGGCATCGGCCGGCACCCTAGCTTTGCTGCGAGTAAAAGAAATACAGGGGGTTTCTTCAGGTGGTGCAGCCCGATGACAGGGAGCCCAGTTCGCCCCATCTCAGCTACTATGGTAGGAGACATCGGAGCCAGGGGGCAACAACGCGCATGCTCGTAACGCCTTTTCCGGGCCGGGGTTGAGGTACCTCAATCCAATGACGTCGCTAATCTTGCTTTACGATTCCTGAGGTCATCCGCGCGTGCAACGAAGCTCGTACGGCTTCATTATATCGGCCGCAAGCCACTGTAGAGACCGGCAATTCGCTTTCATAGTCATCCTTAATCCTTAGCACAAACTAAACTCGAATTATTATTCGCTCAATCCCTACAATGGATGTAAGGACAGTTTTCATCTCAACTTTGACATATCCCTAAGCGATGCTGACCATACATTTCGCATCAGGCGATATCAACATACAGCTTCGGGAACCTGGGCTGGCTCTCTATTCAGGCCCTCCCGCTTATAGTATGGCCGCGCTTCATTGGCAATCTTCTTCGGCCAGACGACTACCAGGGCGCCGTTGCTACCTGTGAGTTTCTCTCTCCCCTCGGCTGATATGTCCATACTAACAAAATTCCCAGCTCTTGAGGACTACTTCGCCCGCTCCCTAGGTTTCGCTCTTCTCACTCTAGCTCTTCTGATTGTCACTCTCTCGGGAGCTGTCCCACTTACGTCTGAAGACCAAAGTCAGCCCCGTCCCTCGCTCCTGCAATGAGAGTTCCGAGGCATACTGACTCGCAGATAGCCCCCGCCGGAACTATATCCCCCTACGCAAACGCTGCCCTGATCCTCTCCTCAGTTCACCACGCCTCTGCTGCCTTCTATTGCTACAGCAGATACCTGCGAGATGGCCAGACGGCATTTGTGCTGGGCTGCTTCGGCAGCACCATCTTCGCCGTGTTCGGTCTCTGGGTTCTTATGTTCGCCGGCGACAAGTCGCGCCTCAGCAAGAAGCATGGCTTCGACAAGGACACTAGCTCGTTTCCTTTCAAAAACGCCGAGTCTTACAGAACCAAGAAGAAGGGTCTTTAAAGTACAGTGATCTGACCATGCGTTTGGTCCTCCCAGCAAGTGCAACATCTTTGGCATGGAAAGCTATGTAAAGGGTTGGGTATGTTGGAACGTGACACAGCTCAGCTGGGTACAGTTTGGTAGTTGGCCGCAAGATAGCCTATCGGAAACGTGTATGCCACACTTCGGAAGTCGGCGGCGTTGGCAAAGATACAGTGGTTAATATCAAGCTGTGACTCGGCTGCATGTTCGAAAAGTTTCCCGGTAGCAAATTGCTGCTCGTTGAATATCACTAAGCATAAACCTTTCTACTAGTATACAGAAGCGCCATACTCCCCTTTACGTCCATTCCCCAGCCCGCCGTCCTTAATCCACCAATCACTTACAAGGAATCGCATGTCTGTCCGTTTGGGTCTTTTCGAAAGGGGGCTATGCCAACGCTCTTGATCTCTCCGCGCCTTAACCTTTCATTTTCCACTTTTAAATAGCCCCGGCCGGCTTTCTCGTCGATGTGTATTCATACACTCTCTCATCATGACTTTTGCTTCGCATGCGGGCATGGTCCTGTATGGGCCTGTGCCGCCGATAGAGGTGTATTTGGAGGCGTCGCGCAGAAAACATCGAAACTCCCAATGTCAATAATTCCCCTCGTCCTAATAGTTGCCTTGTTGCTTGTCCTATGTGCACCAGCTTTTTGCAGGCCTGTGCAGACCTGTGCATGCGTGACGACAAGGTAATAGTAAGAGAACTCTTTGTTGCAGTAAACACAGGGAACTTTAGGTTCACCCAGTCCCAATGGAATACCCTTAAATCGGCCCATCTCGTCCTCCTAGGTGGAAGCATCCGAATAGCTCTCTAGTGTTGATGCCCGAACCTAGCTAGCTGCAGCAACTTCAGCAGAGCTGGCTCCGTTCGCCAGAGGCTCTTCAGCTGGTGCCTCCTGACTGGATTCTGCCGCATCACCATTTGTGGCCACGGCGTTGCCCTCCTGGCTCTCGATAACACCAGAAAGCTGCACGTCTGCGGCTCCAGATAGCACAGCTGCTTTGCGCGAGTGCCAGTCAATCTCACTCTGAATAACTTGGGAAAGGAGGACTTCTTTCTCCTGCCACTGCTCTTTGTATTGCTTCTCCCAGTGCTTGACTTCCTCGGTGAGTCGCGCAGACTCCTCTTGAGCCCACTTGACTTGAAAGCGGCAGAGCCTGTGTAGCTTTTCAAGAGGCATCTTCAGCTCGTCTGAGGTGAAGCCCTGATCCTGAGTCAAGGGCGTGAAGAGATCAGCCGATAGTTCGTCGTCTTCTGCGCCGTCATCAATAGAATCATCGTGGCCGGCAGCGTGCGATTGTGGAGTTTTAATAATAATCTTCAGCTTTCCTTTGCCGATAGGACCTGACTGCATCGACTTTGGAACAGGGTCGGAAGGTCGCAGGGCCTCCGTCTCGTGGACAGTTCGCATATGCTTCGCCAAGGCGTCGGACCTCGTGAATGAGCGATCACACTCTACAATTGGTTGGGTCAGTTGGTTCAGGATGGGTAATAATAGAAGGATATACCTGGCAGGTAGCAATAGAACGGCTTCTCCCTAGTATGAGAACGCATGTGTGCCTTCAAAGCGTAACCACTGGCATGCGCCATGCTCTTCCGATTGCAACCATTCCACTCGCATGTATACTTCTTCTGACGACTCTCGATATGATCGTTATGAATGTGCTCTACCAGTTTGTCCATATTGCCAAGATCACCCGCGTCGCACCCTTCCCAAGCACACACGGTGACCTGCTCCTGAAAGTCTTCTTCATCAAGCCTAGCGTTGATAGGAGAACTAGGAATATCACCGGACGTGTCTGATGAGACGTCCGACATGCCCTCGAGCGGATCTGCCTCGGGTTCGGGCTCGGGCTCATGTTCGGGTTCATGAACTACAGCAGGGGAGGTTGTTGAGGCGGCCCCTAGCTTCTGTCGCTTGGAAGGCCGGAGAAGGGATTCGTCCTCGTATTCGTGAGCCTCATCCTCGGAAGGATCGCTGTTGTCCATCGATGAAAGAGGCGACTCGGGTGGCGTTGAGTCGCGAGCCATCGTGTGTCGTTTGATGAAAAGTTTCTGTCGAAGGATGCAGGAACGATATCAGGTGGTATGTGATACCAGCGTAAGATTAATTCGTTGATGGAAATAGGAGAACTGCGACCAATGCAGTCGTTATCATGTAGTCTCCGTAGATGACGGGTTGAAGGGCTTTCCGGTTCGCGATACGAAAGAGAAAAAGGCCAAAACAATCGCTGGGAAATCGCAACGGACTCACGACTGCTCCTGACAACTTTAATGATGTTTGCGCCTCGATCGCGACGACCGTGGCTCACGGAGCTCGTCTGGTGGGTCCAGCTGAGCCAGCTACGAATTTCTGGAACACAATCTACCAACTGGACCCAGCTGTCAAATAACACTCTTGCCAGTGCCTGACTGCCCGGCAGCTAGGCTCCCACGCAACCCAGGCACAACCCCTGTAATTTGGGGTCTTGAAATCCTTCCTGTATTTTGTTTATGCCCCTCCCCCACCAACATCACAACCCGGACAGACTCTCATTTTGCGCCATTGCCACAACCTTGCCCTGAACACCTCAACACATTCTTCTTTGCACTAAATCATCATGGCGACTTCGCGCAAGGTGTTCTCCCTTGAGGGAAAGGGTCTTAAGCTCGACACTGCTGCTGACCTCGAGCCCCATATCGCCGAGTTGCGCTCGACGGATGTGGAGGAAGTCAAGTTCCTCGGCAACACTCTGGGAGTCGGCGCTTGCAAGCTCCTCGGAGAGGTTCTGGCCACCAAGAAGAACCTACAGGTTAGTTTTACAATCATCTGTTTGACGTATATGTGCGCATACTAACTAAGGTGACGCCAGTCCGCTGACCTTTCCGATATCTTTACCGGCCGCCTCCTGAGCGAAATTCCCGAGGCGCTGTCCTCCCTCCTTACCTCTATCTTGAACCTCCCCAAGCTCACCACGATCAACCTTAACGATAATGCCTTCGGTATCAACACCCAAGCTCCTGTTGTGGCGTTCCTAGCTTCTCACGTTCCGCTTCAACACCTTTACCTGAACAACAACGGTCTCGGTCCCCACGCTGGTATCCTGGTCGCAGATGCACTCTCTGAGCTGCACGCGAAGAAAGAGGCGGCGAGAAAAGAAGGAAAGGAGGTTCCTGACCTTGAGACCGTCATTTGCGGTCGTAACCGTCTGGAGAACGGCAGTATGCAGGCCTGGGCCAAGGCCTTCAGCCTCCACAATAAGATCAAGGAGATCAAGATGGTTCAAAACGGTATCCGCCAGGAGGGTATCAGCCACCTCATCAGTGAGGGTCTGAACCACGCGACTGAGCTGCGTATTTTGGATCTCCAGGATAACACATTTACTCTTTCTGGTGCCAAGGCTGTCGCCAGCGTCCTCCCGAACTGGTCACACCTGCAGGAGCTTGGCCTCAACGATGCCTACCTCACTGCCAAGGGTACTGCTCTTGTTGCCAAGGCTCTTGCTAAGGGGAAGCAGGACAAGCTCGAGGTCCTTCGCCTGCAGTTCAACGACATTACGTCCAAGGCCCTGACTGGTATTGCCAGCGCCGCTGCAGACTTTCTGCCTGCGCTGAAGAAGGTTGAGCTGAACGGTAATAAGTTCGAGGAGGAGGACCCCTCCGTCATCGCCATCCGCGACCTCCTCGAGGAGCGTAAGGACAAGCTCGGTGGCGATGTAGTTGATGAGGACGCTTGGGGTCTTGACAGCCTCAGTGACCTTGAGGAGGAAGATTCCGACGACGAGGAAGAGTCCGAAGAAGAGGAGGAGGAGGACCTCGAGCCCAAGAAGAGAGCCGAGATCCTCATCAAGGAAGCTGAGGAGGCTCAGGAGGAGCCCACTGTCCAGCTTAAGGACAAGGAGGTGGACGACCTGGCCAAGAAGCTCTCCAAGACGGAGATTTAAAACCAGACGAATTATTCCCTTTGATTTATAAGTTTAGAAGGTGGAACGCAAGAGGAAGGCCCCCATTTACACGGAGAGACACGATACCCCCCAAAAATACACTTCATCCCCCCCCTTACCCGTAACCGCGATGATATCGCAATTTCGAAAATCAGGATTGGAGTCGCGCAAGCTGAGTAAGAGGAAGTTGATGTGTTGTCTTTAAACAACATTCGAGCCCCTTCTCGGCATTGACGTGTGCGTGCAAGGTACCGGCCGTGCATTTGGGCTGCAGCATCCCGCAGTTCCCCGGCCATCACTCCACGATCACCCCACGCATCTGGCCGTCTTGGATACAGACATATCACAAGAACAATGAAACCAAGTCGCGTGAGCTGAAAGTAGATATATAAAATGGGCACATAACTTGAGCCCTGAGGACTACAGTAGGATGCACCGGTAGAACACAAATTCAAATATACCAATCACATCAATACAATCATCGACTTGTTGATTTAATATGACGGGATACTACCTTTTCGAAACGACCGACTCGGTTATCGAGATCCTTTGGGATGTCGCGCTCGTCTTCTTCATTGTTCGCATCGCCTGGACCTACTTCCTCCTTACCTTCTCAACAGGCACGCTGCTCTCTTGGGTTATTTGCAAGTACCAGGCACAAATGCTGCCTGCCTCCAAGCAACACCTTACAACGCCCGACACGGAGCTCATGCTTGTGCCCTTACAGACCGTCATTTGCATCATCTGGGCGCGCTACATCGTCGTGGCCTACGAGATACCGTGTGTGGCATGGTTCAGACTTGCCATTGGCGGGCTGGCTGCGTCGCTCATGTTCGCGGCCGAAGGGCTTCTTGGGCTGGTTTTGTATGAGAAGGGTTACGGGGACTGGATCTGGGAGTCTAATGGCAAGGCATGGTTTGCGTTTGCTGGATTTCTCGGGGCTTTCGCGCTGATGCCCACTGCGATGATGGGATTAGAAAGAAAGGTCGTGAATGAGGGCGAGAGGGAGTTTGGAACCGGCAAGGGGTTGTCGGACGCCGTGTGAGTCTGGACTCGAACTCTTTCAACCTGCGGGACGCTGACAATTAGATATGATCTAGACCTACAGGAAATTCCACACCCGAGGGCGGCCTGGAGAAAGATAGTTAGGGATGTGTTTCATGGCTGGATTGTATGAATTGTCTCCTATCTAGCGCTGGGGTCCCTAATAAGGCGTTCGGTTGGGCCTATGGTGTCACTACTTGTCATGGATTCAGATCCCGAATCATGTTTAGACACATTCGGTCATGTGGTATCAACGAGACTATTGTAACATGATTTATTGGCTGGGTCAAAGAGTTGGGGCGATGTTCATGTTTGTTGGTGGCGCGAGGTGTAAACTTGGGCGTTGGACGGACCGTGACGCAAATACTGTACATTTTCCGCCAGTCTTAAGCTTGTAAGACTCGAACAGATTTGGAGCCTTCTCATCGTCTTACAGTGACAGTGATTTCTCACATGAAAATAATCAAATTAGAAGCCACTTTATTTTCCAGGTCTAGCTTAACGTAACGCTCACCCCATTCATTTACAGCAAGCTGGCCTGGATCACAAGGCCCAATAGTGGTGAGATTTGACAGACCTAATGGGATGGCAGCTGTCAGCGGAGCGAGCGAGTTGGGGTCCAAAGTCGCCTGTGCGCCGGGCACTCCCGCTGTGGCATTGTGACAGGGTTCATTCTTCAGGGTGGTCAGTTTATGAGAAATGTGGGCCAATGCGCCAACCGCACTATCATAGGAACACAGAACTTCAACCCTTAACTCCGACCTACAACAACCTCCCTTTTGCTGACATCTTAGTCATGACACCCAACCGCTTCAAGGAACGCAGAGCCTGTAGGGGTTTTATGGTGAACCCAATATTTCTCCCTGCGAGTATCAGCTGAACATGAAGCCTTGTCAGCACAGCAGGCAGGAGCTTTGTGGCATCGGGGCCCTCCGGCTAGGCTAGAAGGGCAGTTGTATACGATATCGTTGTCTTTGGCACCAGAAGCCGTTTGGCTCTAATAGTTCCCTGGTTTTAAGCTGAAAGAGAGACAGCATGCTTCCAGCAATTCCATGGGTTTTGAGGATTCAGCCCAATGTCCAAGGGGTTCTGGTTGTATGGAAAGCTAAGCACGAGAAGTTTTGTCCTGGCACGGCGGGCTGCAACCTTCTGCCCTGCCCAATGCTGCCCGCCGCCTCGCCCGAGGACATTGATGGCTTGAATTTTTCGGCATGTTTATGGATAGTTTGCCCCCTGCCAGGTAAAACCTCGTTTGGTCTACTGCCGTTTCATTCCATTACCTGCCACAACTTTATGGGGGTTGGCTAACTGTGCCATCCACCAAGAACATTCCTCATAATGAAGGCTTTTGTCAGTTACCACCAGCCTCCAAAGAGGTTGATAATGTTACAATAAAAACCTTTCTTATCTCACGGGTTTTCTGTTTCCTCCCTCTCTTGCCTTCTCTCTTTGTCTTAATACTACCAGCCTGGTTCAGACATTGATCCGCCACCATGATCAGAACAGCTCTCCTCTTACCACTGGTTCTCACCATTGTAGGTGCTGTCCCTGCAGGAAAGCAGCTCGCACCAAGAGGCGGTTGTGGAAACCCGCATACTGTCACAGTGTCTACGGCAGTGACAAGAACAACATCAAGAGGATCGAATACCTCAAGTCCACCTACACTGCCCTCAACACAAACTTCAGCGTCTACACCCCCAGCATCAAGCAGCGGAGCTACTAACCCCCCTTCAAATGGAGGAACACCTCCAGCAAATGGCTACAGAAATGTTTTGTACTTCACAAACTGGTATGTGAAACTCTTCCAGCATCCTGATGCTTGAGCTCACCGATTTAGGGGCGTCTATGGAGCCAATTATCAGCCATCAGATCTTCCCGCCGACAAGGTCACGCATCTCCTCTACTCATTTGCAGACATAGCCTCAGATGGTGAAGTGTAGGCAGCTTCTTCCAACAACTCAAAAGATAGTAAACTGACGGGTACAGCAAATCTTCCGACGCATGGTCAGACACGGATTACTTGTACCCGGGCGACCAGAACACGCCAGGCCATGCCAACGGTTGTGTCAAGCAGATTTACGCTCTCAAGAAACAGAACCGGAAGATGAAGGTCGTTCTCTCCATCGGCGGCTGGACCTGGTCTTACAAATTCGTTCCCGTAGCTGCCACCGAGGCTGGCCGCCGGCGCTTCGCGACATCTGCCGTCAAGCTGATGGCTGACTGGGGCATGGACGGTCTCGACATCGACTGGGAGTATCCGTCTTCCGCCAAACAAGCCTCAGATTTCGTTGCTCTACTCAAGGCCTGCCGCGAGGAACTTGACAAGTACGCCGCACAGAACGCCCCTGGATACCACTTCGTCCTCACCGTCGCCTGTCCTGCGGGACCTACCCACTACCAACAGATGGACCTCCGGGGCATGGACCCGTACGTCGACGCGTGGCACCTCATGGCCTACGACTACGCCGGATCTTGGGACACGACGACAGGACACCAAGCCAATCTCTTCTTCAACCCGGCAGCCCCGCAGGCGACAAAGTTCAGCACCGAGGTCGCGCTGACGTACTACCTCGCGCAAGGCATCCGCTCCGACAAGATCGTTCTGGGAATGCCTCTGTACGGCCGCTCATTCCTAAACACCGACGGTATCGGCCTTCCGTATAGCGGCGTGGGCCAGGGTTCCCTCGAAGCGGGAGTGTGGCATTACAAAGTCCTCCCCCGACCGGGCGCGACGGAGACCTTTGACGAAAGGGCCGGCGCTGTCTATAGCTATGACCCAACCTCGCGAGAGCTGGTTACCTATGACAATGTGTTGAGTGCGAACTTCAAGACGAATTACCTGAAGAACAAAGGGCTCGGTGGCGCCGTATACTGGGAGGCAGCAGGAGATAGGAAGGGCGAGGGAAGTATCGTTGGTGCGGTTGCGGCTAACATGGCGTCTTTGGACTCGACCCAGAATCTGCTGAGTTATCCCACCAGCCAGTACGTCAACATCCGGAACAACTTGGCTTGAATTTTAAAACTCCCCTTTTTCATTCTCTGTATGTTTTGTCAAGGTATCACGGGCGTCTTTTGGGTTTGGGTCCGGCCGCGTTTGCATTCTGTCATTGGGACGCCAAAGTCGAACCGCACAGACGAGCGGTGGTACGGGTAATGAGCGACGAGTATAGTATAGTATAGTTATGAGTTGACGAAGAGTTGACGAAGACCTCTATAGGATGGCGTAACACATTTACAGGTAGAAGTCTGTCAGAAAAAAAAAAGTTTTGGTGTATATTACGATGTTTCTCGATACATTCTAAGAATGATATTGCTTCGCTCGGAGCGCACCTCGTAAGCTGTTTTTTCAAACGAAGCTTCAGCTTTCGAGTTTGGGGAAGTGCCCTGCCGTGAGATTGATATTTCGACTTTCTCCAATAAAAGTGTGCGGTACTGCATTGCAAAACAAGTAAGACATTCATTGAGTGTATTTCGATTCCCAAGGTTTCTTGTGTGATCCAGTCATGGTCACTACTAATACAAGGAACACATTCAACAATCTTATTATAAGGAAGTGGGCCATATGGTAATGGGGGCGGCCAAAGAGGCTCTAACCCCCGGGGGGTTGTGCAGAATTCCCACTCAAGTAGCAAGAAATGCCACCATGACTGCATGCCTTGTTCTTGGCGCTTGTAGCATTCCTGGGCATCTGGCTCGATCAATTAATCTATCGTCAGAAGCAAACTGTATGATTAGAACTCCGAGTCACGGCCTAACCCTCGTTTCATTGTTGCAATTTCCGCTAGGAAGCGTGCCCGTCTTTTGTGTGAACGGGTCGTCAATTCCAAGATAACAGGCAATCACATTGCGGGGCATGGAACTGTTATTGAGGGCTCTGAACAAAAGTACTGCTGTTAGTTACCATGGTCGCTGTTTTAGACGAACGTTTGCAATTCGGCCCTGCGGGCCCATGGATACAAGTTAAACCGGACCCCCTCTGAAAATTGGCTTAAAGCGGTCGGCCATTGTCGGGTGTCACCTGTTACTTGAGGACTTGTGAAGGTAGAATGACAAGTGGGAGTAACAAGGGATTGCAAGGCGACTACACTAAACAGCGCTGAAAAACACTTGGGTGCTTAGCTCTAATGCTTCGGTAAGAGCCGAGTACTGGGTGGGTTTAGTGCTGACTGAAGGGGAGCATCCGCTGGGTTGTGGTGCAGATAGCGTGGCTTAGAAGGGCTAGCTGCCCCTAGACATTCGTGGAGCTCCATTTGGCCTTGCAGGGCAATTTTGGGAGCCAGAGAGGTCCGAATAAACTTCTCTGGTCGCTTCAGCTACTGGCTGATCGCCATCCAACCAGACAGTAGAGTTGAGATGTCATATCCAACAACCCAAACAAGCGGGTATAGTGGCGGCGAAAGAGTGTTCCTCATACACTAGTGTAGTATAGCAGGCAAACCTCTCAGGGTGGCAAAGCTACCAGCTAACGCTGTACAACGCTACAACCATAAATGATGGAATGATGACAATAGTTTAGTTTTCGCTGTTCTGGACCGTATCGCCAAAAGAGCGAATTAGAGTGCTATTGCTTACTAATGCCACTCAAAGACGGCAAGTGTAAGTAAGGTTGGCTCGGCAGTATGGAAAAATCGACTCGCGCAATGATCCTAGATTACGCGGTATTGGCGATAGTGTGGTTTCCTGTAGCGTTCGTGTCATCTAAAGGTGAGTCATACGGAGAGAGGCCGAAAGCGAGTGCATGAAAGTATGGCACCCTTGTCGGCGAAGGAATCTCATGATTGGTTTGACGGGGCGACCGACTTGATCGACGAGGAGCTGTTTTTTCTTGACAGTATAAGCGCCCCAATTTCTTGTGTAACAATCGCAAGCGATAACAATTTGCCTGTCAGCAGGTGACATGATGTTGATGCAGTCATGTTCAGTGCATATTCATATTGAGTTGAGGCGCCAAAGATGCAGTGACACAAGCAGTCTATTGGAGGCCTGGAAAAGTATTCATCAAGTGGGTCAGGATTCGTCTACCGACTATCGATGCACCTACCACCTAGTGCTCTTACCGGGGCTTGCAGGGTCAATCGTCCTTTAACCCTCCAAGCCACCCCGCTTTCGTCATCATTTTGGGACCTACTATGTGTATGCCGCCGAAATTTATCCTGAACAGGCCAAATTCAACAGAGATAACTCGTGTGTGTGCGCTAGGAAGACAAGGGTTTCATATGATTTTGATTACTAAATCTTGGTGTGGGAGACACATAATTTTTGTATGAGGTCTTTAGCACGTTTTAAAGAGCATACTCGACCTAGGCAGTCTGCATATAAGTCGTAGGAGTTGGTACCCATGTTACACCGGCACAAATGCCGCCGCCGGATTGCTCCGTCCTATGAAGCAAGGGTCAGAAAATGCAGAATGATGCATGTCTTTGCTTCCTCGGCCATTTAGAACTGCTCTGATAGTTTATGACTCTTATATCTTTTGAGTCTCTAACACGGGCTACGTCAAAGTCATGATTTGAGTACACATGTTAGACGTCGTAGTTTCTTAGCATGATCCACCCTTTTCTCCGTTAACTCCGGTGCAGGTCCAGACGGCTGCTAAAGTTCAGGGTTCGTAGCCAAGCTGCCGTGAGTGGGCTCTCCCCTACAGCAAGAAGGGAGCTGGGAAGTCCTGGGCACAGCCGGGCAAGGGGCGGCACGCTGCCCGTGTGTACTAATCACCCCATCTTGATGAATACACGGATACCGACAAACCTATTTGCTCTCCTCTACGTTGCCTTGGAGCCTGGGGGGGCTTGCTGGGGTGCGATCCCCCACCAGCGTCGCATTTTAGTGCAGCTCTAGTGTGCCTGCCAGCGAGGCACCAGCAGGCGGCGTGTGCCTTCGGAGACACTGGGCTGCCATCAATGGATCAGCACCTTGAATTGCCCTTAAGAGCTGGTACGGTGAGGAAGGAGGTGGTGGGACCCCCAAAGGACGACCCCCCGCCCTTACGTACCTACACGCATACCATACAACATGGCACGGCTCAGTGAACCGTGAACCCCCTGCCAGGCAGGACATGGTTGATCAGATACTTGCTGATGCTTTAACCGTTGATTTGATCGAATCTTTTTTGTCTGCGCAGTGGCAGCAAAGCAACTTCACCTCTTCCCCTCCATACACTTCCTCTGTTCTCGCCTTCTTTCCCTCGCGACGACCACCTCGTACCTTACGCGCCTTTCGCTGCAGACTTTCTTACGGCATCCCCGACAGTACTCGTCATTTCCGTGGCTTGATCACTCCTTCCATTGACTTGCATGTAGAGCATTGGCACCAGCAGTGAGTTGTGACTTGCTTGGGCATCTTCGGTCGCCAACCAATGCGATCCATCCATACCAAATGCTGACGCAGTTTCCATAGCCATCGTAACCCTACGATACCTCAAAACTCCGCTAAACATATTCGCGCTGACTCCGCTGTGCTCCCGCTCTCTGATACTCGCCACAAACTTCTACGGAAACCTGCGGGAACTCGTCTCTATCCTCCACTGCGCCCTCTTCTGCTGGGTTTCTGAGAAGCCTACCGACCCTCCATTAGACCCTTGCGCGTCGCCGGGAACACGCCCAATCTCACCTCTTTGGTACACCTGATTCGTGGACCGGTGGAGTTGCATTGTATCCTCCATCTTTTGCTCGAGTTTGTGGCGACTTTCTGCGCATATCGAAACGTTGCATGGTTGGCGGCCTGATCATACACAAGTCTGCTCATTCCAAGCCGCACCAGTCGACAGGCGGTAGCAGGGCTCAAGGCAAGGCGACGCTTGCCCATCGCAATCATAGGCTCTGTCTTGCACTCGTAGAAGTCCAACCAGTGGGTCTGACAGCGCAATACTCCTGATATATGCGCATGACCCTTGGGCCAAGCCCTTGTTGGAGTTCGCAGAATCTGCACGAATCTCATCGCTCCGCCCCTGAAGATCTAGGCTGCCAACAGTTCGGTGACTATCTTTGGGCTCTTCTGTTGGGGGTCTGACAACAATCTAGTCGGACCTTTTGACGGGTGCGTCTTCTATAAGGACTGGCATCGGTAGCGCATATTATCTCTGCCGAGTTTTGAGTCGTATCGACGTGTGTTCCATTCAGGTGGCCGAGATTTTGAACCCTCGACACACAACTTTCAATTCGTGGACAGAGTCACCCAATCGTCCTCGAAGCGATTCGCTGATTCACGAACTCCGTTGTCATGACACCTACACCACCGTCCACGACGCCCTCCTCGGGATCTGGCCGTTCTCCCGAGGAGCAGTTCCGAGTCGTCAGGAAGAGAAACAGGGTACCCCTCAGCTGTTACCCTTGCAGGACCCGGAAGTAAGTTACGATCCTTCGGCATGCCATTCCCTCATTTCTCCATTACTAACCCAAATCACAGATTGTAAGATAACAACGGAGCGCGGTCCCAACTATCCTAATGCTAATGCTCTCCCAGAAAGTGTGACAGGAGCCACCCATGCAGTAACTGCGTAAAACGTGAGGGTGCCGATACGGTGTCATGTTCTTATGCAGCTCCTGCCACGCGTAAAAAGAATCAAAGTCAAGGCGACTCAAGCCCTGATGACATGCAGAATCGTATTGACCGTTTAGAAGGCCTAGTATTGTCTTTGATGCATGGAGGTGCGAGTATTGATCCCGCAACCGCAGCAGCAGCAGCCGCCGCCGCGACTGGCGCTTCGACCAGCAAATCGACGACCGACAGTACCCCGGCCTCGGCAAAGATCGAGAACGACGAAGAGGCAATGCGGGAAGATGACGATGGCGACTACAGTGACCCGGATGGCGGGCTTGCAACCTCCTTGGGCGTGTTAAAAGTTGACTCTGATAAGGGCAAGTCCATGTATATCGGTCAGGAGCATTGGCATACGATACTGGCGGATATATCAGAAGTGAAGACTTACTTCATAAATCACAAAAAAGAGCTGGAAAGCAGCTACGAGAAGGTTATGATGTCCAAGCCCCCCAGCGCCAGGGAAGGGCCTACATTCTTGTTGGGTGCTGCACCCGCTACGGAGATTGAGCTTCGGGCAGAACTACCGCCTAAATCAGCCGTGCTAGCACTCTGCTCAAGGTACTTCAACTCTATGGACAATGCGGTGAACATCATCCATTCGCCAACCTTCCAGCAACAACTTCGGGCTCACTGGCAGGATCCGTCAAAAACACCCATCATGTGGCTGGGTCTTCTCTATTCGATCTTGTGTCTGGCTATGCTCAGCTACCACAAGGTAGGAGACGAGCCACCGGAGTGGAAAGGAAGGACATTGGACTTGGCGTCTGAGTACCGACTGCGCACCGTGCAATGCTTGATTGCAGCCGATTACACAAAACCTGTTGAATACACGGTAGAGACAATGCTCCTCTACGTTTTCGGGGAATACTCGTCGCGGTGGGATGCCGATCTGGGGCTCTGGTTGATCGTCTCACTGCTCACCAGAGTTGCTTTCCGAATGGGCTACCATCGTGATGCAAAGTGGTTCCCCTCGTTGACACCATTTCAAGCTGTAAGTTCGCGTGCGTAAAATTCTGCTTATAAACGCTAACTATACTTAACAGGAAATGAGACGGCGGACTTGGGCATTAGTAAGGATGGCAGATGTTGTCTTTTCTCATCAAGTGTCGTTGCCTTCCATGATTTACGGACACGACTGCGACACCCAATTTCCGAATAACATCTTCGATGAAGAGTTTGGGCCTGACACTAAGGTCTTGCCCCCTTCACGGCCAAAGACAGAGCCAACCCCCATAGCGTATATGATTGCCAAGGTCAAGCTTTGTATTGAGATGGGCGACATTCTGCAGGCAACCAACCGAGTGGGCAGACAAGTACCGTACGACGAGATTCTGCGGTTTGATGCCCGGCTTCGAGAAATTAACCAGGAACTGCCACCCCACCTCAAAGTTACGCCCTTGGAAGGCTCACGCGACCCAGTAACCCTGATCATCGCGAGATACAACATCAACATTCTCTATCTCAAGATCATTTGCCTGCTACATAAGAAGTATGTTCCTCGGGCTAGGCAGAACCCACGATACGCGTACTCCCGTAGAAGCGCAGTGGAAGCTGCTTTGGAAACATTGCGGCATCTGGTGACGCTTGATCGGGAATCGCAAGCGAATGGCCGACTTCGCTCGCTGAGGTGGTTTGTCAATTCGATTGCTACTAAGGACTTCCTTCTTTCCGCTATGCTGGTTGCTCTTGACCTTCACTTCGATCGCGTAGCTGAGACGAGCAACGATCGGAGAGCATCAGAGTCAGCAATGTTCTGGACACCAGAACAGAGAATGGAGATGATGGGCAACCTTGAGAAGACCAAAGAGATTTGGAAAGGGCTTGCCGACACCTCAATCGAAGCCTACAAGGCGACTAAGGTTCTCGAGATCATGCTGGAGAAGATCAGGAGTCCCAGCCCTGAAGCGGAGAAATCAAAGAACGAACAATTCTCGAGCTTTGACAACAGTCCTGAAATGCAGACGGAGCACAACGCTGCCGTGACGCTCGGTATGCTTTCTGGGGGGATGACGCCCAACACTGCAGCCGCCATCGAGAGTTCTTTGCAGACCCCCAACAACTTCGGCGGAATGGACTTTGGTATATCATTGCCAACGGCAGGTACAGGATTCACGCCGAACTACTCTGGGGGTGATTTTGGTGTGAATGGCGTGGGGTCTCCGCTCTCAATGTTTACGAACCTCGAGGCGAACGGAGATTTCCCCGCCAATTTTGATTGGGTATGTTTTTTCAAGTTTCTTTTACTGGTGGACATGATGGACTAACGAATAGCAGAACGCCTTCGAGTCGTTCACGCAAAATGCGAACTGGGGGGGTGACGTTGGCTTCCAGCAAATCTACCCAGGGCAGTCTTCTCCAGAAACGGATGGTTCCGGAAGGCCATATAACGGCAACATCGACATGGCGGGCTAGTTAATCGAGCCGAGAAAGATATGCGGAGGAACAGAAAACAAAAGGCTAATGTGACGACGAGACCAATGACAGTATTGGCAAGGTGGGAACGACCGGGATCATTTGGTTGGGTGACAGGGGACGAAGAGACGAAAACTCCCCTTTGGAAGTGATTTAGTAGGATAAAGGGCCGGTTTATTGGCCTTCCCCATAGTCGCGTTGGAATAAATACCCTGCTCTTTCACAACTTCCCTCACAACATGTAGCTGGGCAGGATGTGATCAGAACGGACCGATGCCATTAAGGTAGCGCGATATCCAGGAGATTGGTCTGGCGTCTTATCAGATCAACCACGTGGCTATGGTTGGCTAAAAGAACGGGGTGACAGTTCGAAAGAGGCATGGGTATGGTGACGCTGGAGATGCCCTTCGGCGCCGATGCCAGCGGTAATGTGCAGGAGTCGGTCCGTCCCCTGACCCGTGGTGGTGGTGAATTGGTGTGTGTAGTCGGCGACATGGCGGAATCTGCAGCAAGTGCCACACCGTTGAAGAAGTGGTGTGGGGAAATATGGCTGGCTTGTTCGTGTCTTGGAGGTGGGGAGGGGGCGGTGCAGACTTGCCGTGTTGGGAGCATCTGACCCCGAATTGCTGGCTTGAGTGGTGGTCGCTCACTTGATATGAAGTCCCGAGTCATGCCGGTAAGGTGGGCAATATTGTGTGGGATAATTCAACTCCGCCAGGCACTTCTTTTGAAACGAGCAGCCATAGTATTCCGGTCTCCCACAACTTGGCAAGAAGGCAAGCCTTTTCTCTCACTCACTGCACATCATTGCTTGGTTTGCATGATCTTAACTTTAGCCTATCCATCCAATACGAGAGATTACAATTCTTCTCAAATACCCACTATCTCTTGGCAGCACCGACGCTGTGGTGTCTGGTCGAGGTACCGGGGCGGTGAGGAAAGGCACACCCCCGCAGATAGGGCCGATCGACCCATTTAGACCCCAGTTAATACGACAGTCTCTGCTGAAGAAAGGAAGGAAAATAAATAAAAATAAATAAAAACGTGAATGGGGCCCTTGCCCTGTTGACCTTGGTTTAAAAGGTCAACGAAGGGCGGCACAGGCAGTGCCTGAGGAGGCCTGGAAAAGAAGAAAAAAAAAAGGAGAAGAGTTAAGGCAGTCCCTGCGTCATTATTTATTAAACTGCAAGTGCCAGTTAACTTGGTTTACTTGAAGGTAGTGGGGCACCTCCTCTGCAATTCAAACCTTGTTTGACATCCACGACTCGCATTTGGTGTTTCTGTCCGTCAAAAACTCCATCTTGGTGCCTCCAACTTAACCCAAAGTGCACAACTTCATCTCATATACTTTGGCGCCACGCTCTTAACTCCCCGGTCACCAACGGACAGCAGACAAAATAGCCCAGTGAACTACCTGCCCGCACCGGGGATCCTTGCTTGGCTATCTGCAGGAACAGTCGGGACGTCGAGAAACGACAATTATGGAAAGGACTCCTTAATCGGTAATTTCAAAGATTAACGGCTGTCAAAGTCTATCGGGGTTCGGGTTACTCCGTCATGGGCAAGGCAGAAAGCACAATATAAGTCAACGTTCTACGACGCCACGATACCAACGATCTTTTCACGAGACGACGTTTCTGTACACACTCTTTTCTTGTTCTTTGTTGTTTGTTCTTTTTTTTGCTCTCTCTTGTTTGAAGTCACTCTTTCTATATTCTTTTATCAGCCACTCTCTTAGCGAAGCGGAAACGCCGCGACGTCGACAACTATGAAGTTCCTCTCGGCATCAGCCTTGGCGGCAACTCTTAGCACCGGTGTTTTAGCCTTGACCCCTGCGGAATGGCGGACTCAGACGATTTACCAGGTCATGACGGACAGGTTTGCTCGGAATGATGGATCGACGACGTATTTGTGCCAGACTCATGTGCAAAAATACTGCGGCGGTACGTGGAGGGGTATCATTGATAAGCTGGACTACATCCAGGGTCTTGGTGCAACAGCCGTATGGATCTCGCCCTTTGTCAAAAATATTCAGGGCAGTTCTATGGACGGGTAAGTTTTACATCTCGACTGCAACCTACATCATGTAATTGGGAGAAGATCTCATGTGTAAAACGGGGAATTCCTCAAGATGGAAAGGGCAAAAAGACAACTACGATCATGAGGTGGAGCTAACATGGAACAGCGAGTCGTATCATGGCTACTGGGCGCAGGACATTTATCAAGTCAACCCTTCCTTCGGCACACCCGACGACCTCAAGGATTTGTCTGACGCTTTGCATGCTCGTGGAATGTATCTGATGGCCGACGTCGTCACGAACCACATGGGCTGGTTTGGTCCCCCTAACACGACGGACTACTCCATTTACCGCCCCTTCCACAACGCTTCCGCTTACCACGTCCCGCCTTGCTGGATCAACTATGATGACCAAGACACGGTTGAGAGATGCTGGCAGGGCTCCAACGAAGCTTCCTTGCCGGATCTTCGCACCGAGGACCCCCACATTCGCAAGGTTTTCAACGCGTGGATTCACCGCATGGTTCGCAGGTATGGTTTCGATGGACTGAGGCTGGACAGCGCCAAGCATGTCGAGAAATCATTTTGGCCAGGTTTTGAAGCTTCCGCCGGTGTCTTCGCCATTGGCGAGGTTTTCCATGGAGACCCAGCCTACGTTGTACCGTACCAGGACTTCATGAGCGGAGTGATGAACTTGCCCGTGTACTACTGGGTCACACAAGCCTTCCAATCCACAACCGGAAGCATCTGGAACCTGGCGAACGGCGTCAAGACTCTTGCTTCTACTGCGCGTGACCTGACACTTTGGGGTGGTTTCCTTGAGAGCCATGATCAACCACGCTTCCTCAGCCACACCTCCGACAAGACTCTGCTCAAGAACGCGTTGACGTTCACCCTCCTCATGGATGGTATTCCCATCATCTACCAGGGGCTGGAGCAGGGCTACACCGGTGGTGGTACCCCTTTGAACCGTGAGGCGTTGTGGCTGTCAGGGTACAACACCGAGTCGGAGCTGTACCGCTGGATCCAGAAGCTGATTGGCCTGCGCTCGGCCATGATAGCACAGGATCGTGGATATGTCTTCTATAAGGCGCTGCCAATCTACACGGACGACCACATCATCGCCATGCGGAAGGGTTTCGACGGCTCGCAGGTTGTCAGTGTCTACTCCAATGTCGGTGGCAATCGTACATTTGGAGTGGCCCTCGGACAGGAGGAGACCGGGTTCCGTCCTTGCAAGCTGATTATGGAGATCACCAAGTGCCGGCCATTCGTGACGGATTCAAGCGGCGTGCTCAGGGCTGAGAGCGGAAGCGGGGGACCGCTTGTGTTCGTCCCAGCTGAGCGGGTCATGGGCACGGGTATTTGTCCTGGTGGGATAGGCAAGCCTCCTCCTCCCCGTCCTCCCTCTCGTGCCCGTCACAGCAACCCTCCTCCCTCGGCAACGACGAGCATCGCTTTTGAGAGTACTGTTTTTAACTTAGCTTTGATAGGACGTTTTAATAACATGACTTCATCCTGCTTGGCGTCCCCGCCGCAATGCCTTAACTCGACTGACAGCTCTACTAACGACACGACTGCGACGAACTGCACGCTGCCCGTGACTGTGGATAAGAAGAAGCACAGCGACAAACACAGCGAAAGGCACAGACTTCGACACAAACTACGACACTAAACAACAGCAAACACTTGTAAACAACATTCCAACTTTCGTGAACGTCAAATTCGATTATCCACTGTGAACAACAAATGTCACCAATATTCTTTAACGCCTCATTTTCCTATTGTATAATCACCGTACCCATCCTCATATCTCGATTTCAGCATCCGCCTCACCAACGGGCGTATGCTCGGTTCAATGGATGAGAGGGAATTAGAAGGCTTTTCGATTCTTCCTCGAAGGTGGGGCTAGATGTTTGCACCAAAGGCATCATGTATCGTTACTGAAGCCTCACCTCGAGTGTGCCACTAACTTTTTTGCTCTTTTTTATTTCACCCTGTCGGCAGGAATGCATGCATGGGACAAACCCTGTGGCATTGCTTCTTCACCCAATACAAAACCAATTTGCGAACAGTGTGCTCATCATTCTATACTAAGGTGAAATGTACTGGTTGTGTGTAAATACAGTGAAAAAAAGAGGACGAAATAATGCTCATCATGCCTGACTAAAGTAAATGCCGTTTTTCTCATGACCCAGCCGACCAGCCAATTATGCAAAGATAAGATAGTTGTTGAATACAGGAATTAGAAGCGGATGTGAAGACATGCCTCGTATTTAGGCAACGTTGAGGGCCTGCTTGGCCGCCACCCAGTACTTCTCACGGTCATCATCCAGCGCGGTGCCGATGCAGTCCATGTAGAGCGTGTAGCCCCTGATGGTGCCCTCCTTGAGCCCCTCGCGCGTCTTTGCGTCGCACTGGGTGGCCAAGAACCAAGCGGCGGAGCCCCAGGAGTACTGGTCGGGCAGGACGAGGTCGAGGATGGCGTTCTTCTTGTCGTCGGGCAGCGTGTTGGCGTCAGTGGTGCAGCCGGCGATATCGTCGGCCTTCTCCTTGAGTTCCGGGAAGGAGCGGGCGTAGATCAGGTTGTACTTGGGCATTTGCAGGTTGCGGGTGCCCTGGCCGGGGCGGCCGGGCTTGGGAAAGTGGTTGCGCTCGAAGCGGAACTCGCCCGTCTCCAGGGCCATCAGGCTGAGGACGCCGGCAATCTCGCCGGGCGAGGTGATGTTGTACTTGTCCAGGGCGTCCGGGAGGAACTTGACGGCCTCGTCTGCGGTGGCGCATTCCTCCGCGAAGTCAGTGACACCGGCGCAGGAGGCGGATTTGGGTGCGACTTTAAGAATGACGTCCTTTGTAAGTAGGGAACCGGCGCTGGGGGCGGGGGTTGTGTTGGCGTTGCGGACCTTCACCGGCGAGGCCAGAGCCAGGCCAGCAAAGGCGGCCATGGGGAGTAGGTTTGTGAAGTGCATTTTGCGAATGGTCGTTGTGAGTTGAGGTTGAAGGGTGGTGGATGTTGTAGAAGCTAGATTGGAGGCGATGATGATATTGGTGTGAGTGTGACGAAGGCTGTCGATGTCTGCGACGTTTAACTGTGATTGTTTGTAATAATGGTTGTGATATAGGTTTTTTAGGACGGGAAACAATCGGCTTTTGTACACTTCTCACGGATGAAGCAAACGACAGGAAACAATGAGAGGACAGTTACGAGAAGCGAGCGAAGGAGGCTCAAGTGAGTGGCACAGCCAGAGCAAAGCGAAGTGACGAGAGGAAGGCGCAGGGGGAGTGAGAAGTTTGTCTTTTTTTACCCCAGGATGAGAGTCCGATTGGGAGCAAGCCCCCTGAACACAGCATCTAGTGACGGCTCAATATCCCGAACCTACCAGCTTACCTGCAAGGTACGATAGTAAGGCTGGTCATGCGTCCGCAGGAGCCAGGTGCCTTGATCTCGTCTTGAATCCTCCATACCCATCCGTTCTCTTCAAGCGCTTACACGAGTGGAATTACACCTTATTTTCCCCACCAAGGAGTGACCTTGCACTGCGGAATTCCCTGAGTGGTCGACATGCTATTGCCCTTTTGAGATGACGGCTGGGAATGCCCTAGAAAGGGGGGAAAGAACGTTAACCAGAGATCGTCAGTGAGGCCTTGGTGAGATGACCGTGGTGAAACGAAACAGGGGCCAAGCCTCCGCGCTCTTCTGTCAAAAAGCGCAGCTACACGCCAGCGATTGGCTGTGCGTTGCGGCTTATGGTGCGGAGTTCCCGTTACCGGGGGTGCACTTTAGAGGGGCAGTCAAGTGCCGTTGGTGCCGGAAGAGCAACAGTACACCCTTATTTGCCTCCCTATGCCGTGTTTGTATTCGAGGACTGTCAACGGGACCAAGAAGCACCTTGCCGTGATGGTCTCGCCATTTTGAAACATCCGGCTGAATTTTCCTTGACGTGATGGGCTGTCATCCTTTCTCTGCCTAACGAGTCAGGGGGAGCATGTCTTGCAAGTCCGTGGTAAGCGGGCTCGGTTGACGTTGCAGATAAAAAGTGCCCAGAGATGATGATCTGTCACGGTTCATGCGTGTTGAGATGGACCACCAGGCAAGTGCCCAGCTTTGAGACTGGGGGGAAGCCCTTTGGGGCACTGGATCCCAGGCTTTGAGTTAGAGTCGGATTTAGCAAGACTAGGGGCATTGTTAATTTTGGACGAGCATGACAAAGACTCAGTGGGGATAGTAAGGATCGCAATTGTCAGAAGAGCGCGAAGCAATTGTGACAACCCAGCAGAATTGTTAGAATTCGGACTACTGCTGAGTGAGACAAACAGGTGCCTGTCGAAGGATTTGAGGAAGTCCGAACTGCCCCCCCACTGGACCTGTTCAAAGCCTCAACAGAGCCACCACGTTTGTCACTCAACTGAGTTTAGTTAGGTAAGCACTTCTTCCTTTTAGGGGACCACAGGCCTTGGCGCCTTGTCGGCATTAGCCAATGAGCCGCAGCCCACCCCAACGGCCTCAGCTGCGCCATACCAGGCCGTCGGCTCCAGCGCCGCTCGAAGCTCCGACGCGACAAGTCAAGCAAAGCATTTCCGTCGCGACCAGCAACAATTCACCCAACCCTTATCGACCACTCATCATCGGTTCCATCTCCGATTCACACGATCGCAAATCTGTGTAATCAGCTGAAGCGGTCAGTGTAGCCACATCTTGCAGTCATGGGCGAAAACCAATCAAATTCTACCGCCGCCAACGCGCAGCAACCAGCCCCGACAATGCAGATGTACAGGGAGGAGCAAGCTCGGTTAAGGGCCATGCTCGACAAGCGGGCCGCCATCGCGAGACGCCTGGCAACCATCGAATCCGATATCGAGCAGAAGGAGACAGCATACCTTGACAGTACGCCGAACGGTAACATCATTGCCGGGTTCGACAACTATATCAAGGGCACAGGCGCGGCTGCGCAGCGACGAAAGGCTGGCGCTACGGAGCAGAATCGTGTCTTCTCGCGTTCGTCCATCTCATATCGCCCTGGCAGTGTAAGTTTGTCCCGGATCACTTCGTCCCTAGGAATTGCTCTAACGGGAACTCTAGGAGGCTACCACGCCGGGCTCTACACCAGCTTCGCACGCCCCAACGCCCATGTCCACATCTTTCAAGGACGGCTCTGGATCGAACCATGCTACACCGACGTCTGCGACCGCATCCAAGTCTGGGAAGAAGAATAAGAAGCAGAATGAAGAAGATAGCGACCACGATTCCCAGGCCCCGAACAAGAAGCGCATCAACTTTGGTGCTGGCCGGAAGTGAGAGCTAGATCACGGACGAAGGTTTGTTTCGGCGCATTTTCCGCGCCCTTTTCACGATATTTGCGTTTTAGTGTTATGGGATTTCGAGAGATACGTCTTGAAGGGACGACCAAACCACACTAGGTGTTTCGACATCGAGGCAGCCAGCTGCTCTTGATCGGGGTTGCGATTTCACCTTCAACTGCTGTCGACAGTTGACCAAGGTTGATGGCACATGCAACAGCGGTCCAGGTCAAGGGCGACAGCAACAAGCGTCTGCGCGGCCCCATGACAGCTAAGGAGTTCCGGATTATGATACCCTAAAACCTTTTTGAAAAATTAGAATTCTTATTTAAGAGGATCACTTGCAGAACCTCCGGATCAGTTGTTCCTTGTTAACAGGGACAAGGAAATTCTCAACAACGCGGGTGCAACTGGATGTTGCCATAATTGTCCAATTGGCCGAGGGCTAGCGTTAGTGAAGGGCACTTCTGCGTCGAGAGGCGGCAAAAGTTCCTGGTGGGGACGGACTTTTGAGTCTCTTAAACAGTCTGTCAGGCCACTGTAATCGCGTTGGGAACCCAACCCATGACTCGGCTCGGCATTGCTTCCAACCGAATGAAGCTGCTCTATACGAGCACGCGTTGAATCAGCGTTTGAACTGCCTTTCTTGGCTGACGGCGCGGGGCTATTGGTTCCAGGAATACTAGGCATAATTGGTGAAGACGAGACAGGTAGACAGATACCTCCAACTTCGATCAAGACAAGACACGTTCAGCTTCCACTATCTGCATAATCTGGTGCGCTGCACTACAGTGTCTTGCTAGCATCAGACATCAATCGTCTGTTTAATAATTCCGGGCCTCCACATAATCCATCGTTAACCACCAGTTATTCGAGATCTCTTACCGTCTGCTTAACACATTGCTCTTCAATTCTTTTAATTCTAAGAGGTCTCGAGGTCGTAGGGATGCACTATAGTGAGGGGTTGAGGGGTGCCCTGAGCCTGACGCAGCGCGTGAGCATGGGGCGTGAACCTTGTTGGCCTCTCTAACAGCCGTCGCTAGCCTGGTTTGTAGCTAGTGCGGGGCTCTTCAACCGAGCTCCATGCCAGGTCCCCCATTGTCATACGCCGCTGAGAGAACATAGATCAATCAGCATACATCTATAGCACTTCTCGCACCTTGAAATCCTCTGCTACTGTCTCCCTTTACCTAGTGAACTTTGCAATTCTCCCGGTGCTACATCTTCCCTCACTTCCTCATGATGACGATACAAGCTTCCAAGTTCACCCCGGAGGTTCTCCTCTCGGCCCCGCGTAGGTCCCCCGGCATTCCCAACCCGGCCGGCACCAAAGTGCTGTACACTGTAAGTTGTTCTGGCGATTCGAGCTCCGTGGCCGCCATCGAGGCTCTTTTCAGGCATAAAACACTTCGCCAACGTAATCTCTGGAGCACGAATTGACGCCTTGTTAGGTCTCGACATACTCGTTCGACTCCCACAGCAAGTCATCCCAGACTCGTGTTCTTGAGGTTGAGACCGGCCACTCCACTGTCCTATACGAAGATCAGGCTTATAGTGATGCGACATGGCTTTCGGACAACGAGATTCTGCTCTTGAGGAGTGGTGAGAAGGGAACGACCAGCCTTGTCCTTGGAAACGCTACCGAGCCGTCCGTGTAGGTGTTCTATCCCGTGTACTTGTCGGATCCGTGCTGACACTGTTTCTTACCAGAGTCAAGGAGATCCGCCACTTCGAAGGAAGCCTTTCAAGCTTAAAGGCAAAGCGACTATCCGACGACAAGGTCGCAATCGCATTGAGCGTCCTGACAACCCCCTCAGGCGCCATGTACCACCCGTCGGCCGAGAAGAAGTCATACACGACCGGAAAGGTTTACTCAAGCTTATTTGCCAGGCACTGGGATACTTGGGGAAGCGAGAATCACAACTCCATCTGGTACGGACTTCTTAAGAAGGATGGCCACTCATACAAGCTTGAAGACCCTGGTCTGGTCAATGCCCTTGATGGCTCAAAGCTGCAGTCCCCCGTCCCTCCTTTCGGTGGCACGGGTGACTTTGATATCAGCAAGAATGGACTCGTCTTTGTTGCTCGGGACCCAGAGATCTCCCCTGCGATATACACGAAGACGGATCTTTACTTCATTCCTTTAAAATCCTTCACCGAGGACAAGCCGCCTGTGCCCCAGATCGTCAAGACGAGTAAGCTTCGCGGCTACTCTGCCTCACCGGTATTCTCTAGGGATGGCAAACAGGTTGCGTTCACGAGAATGAAGAGCGACCAGTATGAGACGGACAAGCCGAGACTATTGCTTATTCCAGACATTTTCGACTTGGCGAGCGTGCAGGAGTTCTACGAGACGGAAGATGGTGTTGGCGGATGGGACGCACGACCTGAGTGGATCACTTGGAGCAAGGACGACTCAGAACTCTACGTTTCTGCGGAGGAACACGGCCGCGCGAAGCTCTGGAAGCTGCCCGCGGTACCGCACCAAGCGAAGGACCTGCCTGTCGCTATCTATGAGGAGGGGTCAGTCGTCGAGGCGAAGCTGCTGGGCGATGACGGCGACAAGCTCTTCATCAGCACATCGTCCAGAGTCGAGAACTCTGCCTACTCTGTCCTGGATCCGGCCAGCAAGAAGGCCGATCTGGTTTCGTCGAGCTCCAAGCATGGCAAGTCGTTTGGCCTGTCCAAGGCACAGTGCGATGAGTTCTGGTACAAAGGAGCTGAGGGCTATGATGTGCATGCCCTGGTGGTCAAGCCCTCCAACTTTGATGAGAACAAGAAGTACCCGCTTGCATTCCTTATCCACGGAGGACCACAGGCTGCGTGGCTGGACAGCTGGAGCACTCGATGGAACCCCGCCATCTTCGCTGAGCAAGGCTACGTTGCGGTCATGCCTAACCCGACAGGAAGCACCGGCTACGGACAGCAGCACACCGACAACATCCAGAACGAGTGGGGTGGCCGGCCATATGTCGACTTGGTCAAGTGCTTTGACCATATTGAGAAGAATATCTCGTACATTGACGTCAATAATGCCGTTGCTTTGGGCGCTTCCTACGGAGGTTACATGATCAGTAAGTCGCCATCGGTCCCTTAAATATCGGTTGACTGTGCTAACTACCAGCAGACTGGATCCAGGGTCACGAGCTCGGAAGGAAGTTCAAGGCGCTGGTGTGCCATGACGGTGTATTCTCGACTCTCAACCAGTGGTCTACCGAAGAGTTGTTCTTCCCTCTCCATGACTTTGGAGGGCCGCTTTGGGAGAACCGGGAGGGCTACGAGAAATGGGATCCCGCTCATCACCTCGACCAGTGGGCAACCCCAATGTTGGTCATCCATAACGAGCTTGACTACCGACTGCCCATCTCAGAGGGCCTGGCCATGTTCAACGTGCTGCAGGCCCGGAATGTGCCCAGCCGTCTGTTGATGTTCCCCGACGAGAACCACGTAAGTGCCACCATCTTTCAATGCCTATTCCGCAAGCTAACTCGGTACAAGTGGGTGCTGAAACCAGAGAACTCACTGGTTTGGCACAGAGAAGTTTTGGGCTGGATTAATAAGTACACGGGTATTGACAAGTCTGAGGACTTGGCCGTGAGGTAAAAGTAGGATGGCACAAACTGTTGCACCTGATGGTGGGCCTAATGACTGAGCTGCTTGGACAGCTTTGGTGGATAACCAGTGTTCGTCAAACAAAGGGTGGGTTTTGGTCGAAATGAATTACCCAGTGGACACGATTCGTAAAAGTTGCATCAATAACAAAGTTTCGAAAAGGGCCATCTCATCAGTGACTTATAACTTTTATCATTTAACGAGAGCCACCTGTGTAAATACAGTACCCACACTGTCAATCACCACCCTCCAGTGGCCGGACCTGCCATTTTGCAGGAGCTTCCTGCTGTGGTTCGCTGGTCCGAGCTCCTTCCAACAAGGCTGAAATTTCGCAACACGCACCTGCTTGGTCTCGACGGCTTGGACGAACAATCCCTCGACTACGCAATATTAACGCGAACAAACGACCGGAAACTGCGGCGGCTTCGTACCGTAGCTCTTGCGACTCAAAATCTGCGCGCCGCAGCATCATGCGAAGCTCTCCAACGCAGCTTCAGAATCGATGGTGACGGACGGAATCGCACCGACTCGCCCTGCCACAGCATTCGCGATTGCCTCTAGACCCTCACTCCTCCTCTGTCACGCCGAGGGAAGATAGAAGGCCATTTTTCGCACCCAGAGTCTCGAAATATCCGATAATCACATAACGGACTAAAGAAAACAAACCAAAAATGACACCCCCGCCGCTCCTCTTCCACGCTCTTCTCCGCCCCGCGGTCCTCCAGATCCTCCGCGCGACGGGCTACCACGCTGCGCGCCCCGTCGTCCTCGACGCTGTAACAGAGCTGGCTGCACGGTACATGTTCGCTCTGTGCCAGGCGACGGCGCGCCACGCCGCGGACAACAACCCAGAGGGCGACGTGCCAGGTATCGTGGATGTGCGCATGGCACTGCAGGAGCTGGGGGCTGTGCCGCCCGACGACGTGAGCGCGGAGGGAAGGGGTTCGATACTGGGAGAGATTCTAGATGACATAATGGATGAATGCGGCACCGCGGCGGCCGAAAGTGGCGGCGACCTGGCGATGGCGAATGCGGTTGCTACGGTGGCCGAGAGGGAACGTGTAGAAGACATCCGAGGTGTTGAGGAGTTTGTCAAGTGGTTTGCCGGGCCGAGAAACAAAGCTATTCGTGAGGCAGCGGTTGGAGACGGGGAACTTGAGCTTGGTGACTATCTGAACGGTACGTTCTCCCCCCCTGATTTATTGTGATCACCACACGAGGTGTTTTGCAGACGAGTGAGACGAACAGAAAGCTGACATTTAGACATAGTTCTGAAGAAGAAGCACAGCAAGACCGGAGAGGACTCCAAGTATCACGGCACGATACTGGGCAAGGGCAATGATGTAGGCGAGGTTCAGGTAGAGGGAGGCGACCTGCCCAGCATCCACACTTGGCGTGCCAAAATGCGTGGGCCCTCAGCAGCGGGCGCTTTTTCAGCGACATCGCCACAAATCAAGGAAGAATCAAGACCGCCGAGCTCAGGGTTGAGCTCTGTTGGCGACAGGTTGGGGGACGACCGGGACAGCATGGACTTGTCATAGGAGACGCGTCTACGGCCTACCCGATCGCGGTCCCGCCGGCTCAACGGGGCCAGCGGCGTTCAGGCTCCAGTTGAGACGACTAGGCCGAGGAAGAGGTCGAGGGCGGTGTGATTACACGGGCATAGCGCGGCGTTATCGGAAGGGTGTGAATCCTCTATATTTTTATTTCCCCCTTATCATTTATTTTGGACAGGAGACATCACAAAAGCATCGTCTTTGAGGAGAGTTGCCCTGGGTTACTGGACGATCCTGGGACGCATTATACATTCATCTTGGACGGCCTATCCGAGGTTATGGGCGGAGGCGTAAGACACTAGCTATGCTAACTCATTGCAATTCATGAATCCATGCAGAATCTGACAGGGTCGTCTACAAGAAACGTGCTCTTGGTGATATTGCCCCCATCGGTAAACCTGGAGACTCGTCTCAGCGCTTGAACTCGGTGGCGCGGTCGAGGTTGAAAGCGGCGCTGATCAAGGCCAGGTGGCTGAATGCCTGCGGCGTGTTGCCGAGCTGCTCGCCGCTGCGGGCGATTTCCTCGGAGAACATGGTGAGGTGGTTGGAGAAGCTGAGCATGTTCTCGAAGAGGTTGACGGCCCGGACGAGGTACTTTGGCTCGTAGACGGATGCGCGCGTCATCGCCTCGACGAGCCAGAATGTGCACATGCTAAAAGCGCCCTCTCTTCCGCCGACGCCTGGGAGGTGACTTGAGTGTGAGCGGGGCCGCGCAAAGTGAGGGACGGGGGGGTTTAGAAAGAGATGAAGGGGGGTAATATAACTCACCATCCTCTGAAAGTTCGGTGTCGTAGCGATAGACGAGACCGGTGCTGGTCAGGCCGCCCTTCTCGGGGGGCAGGAGGATGCGGTCCATGGTGTTGAGGAAACGCGGGTCGTTGGGCGCGATGAAGAAGACGAGAGGGGCGATTAGGATCGACGAATCCAGCATCGTGTTGTTCTCATAGCTCTGGACGAAGCACTTCATCTCCTTGTTGTAGCCTGCGGATCAAACATTGTCAGCTATTCCATCAACCTAGCTCGAAGGGCGAAAAGAGAGAGAGAGAGAGAGAGAGTCGGTCGGAAGGAAGAGAGGCGAACGAACCTTTCTCCATAATCTCCTCCATGAGGTTATCACGGGCCTCGAGCCACTTGGCGCGGTTTGGGCAGGGGAAGTTGCGTTTCTCTGCAAGGCGGAGGCCGCGGTCGAAGGCTACCCAAAGCATGACCTTGGAGTATGTGAAGTTTTGCTTGTGATTGCGGACCTCCCAGATGGACATATCGGGCTCTTCTTTGGTGTCAGCAGATGTCGGTCGTGAGTTGATTTAGGGATGGAGATCTTACTGTCTGTGATCGTAAGGACGTAATCTAGTTCAAGGTGTCAGCGTGACTTGGCTCAGCAGATACGGGATCAGATAGCAAGGGATCACCTACCTAGCATTTCTCGAACGGAACACCATTGGTCCCAGCTAATGGGCTTTCCGTACTTGTTGTACAAGTAGATACCATCCATAAGCTCGCCGTAAATGTCAAATTGTTGATGGAAAGCGGCTCCGTTGCCGATTCTGACGGGACTGCTGCCCCTGTAGCCCTCGAGATGGCTAAGCTCGACCTCCGGAATATCGGTATCGCCGCGAATGGTGAACATGATGGGCAGCTCGCCATCCGGGCCGCGGGACTTGATGAATCGTTCACTAATAAAATCCATGTATGCGTCCGCCTCGGCAGAGAAGCCAAGGCGGAGTAGGATGTAGATTGTGAAGCTAGAGTCGCGGACCCAAGAGAAGCGGTAGTCCCAATTTCTACTTTACTGTAAGTAATAGTTTGGTTGTTTTTGGATAAAGTGTGTTTAGGAAGATGACTTACCGGACACCCCCAATGTCTTCGGGAATTGAGAATGTTGGGGCAGCAATAATGGCACCCGTTGGCTCATATGTCATCATCTTCAACAACATCAAGCTGCGGTTAACCACTTCGCGCCAACGGCCCTTGTACTTGCATTTGGAGATCCAATTGTACCAGAAAGACTGAGTATCGTGCTGCTGCGTGTCCAGAACCGCAGTGGTAATGTTCTCGGTGACATGGTTGGGAATGTCGTTGCGGAGGACGAAAGATATGGCCTGGCCTTCTTCGATTTCAATGTGCGCGACTACGCCCTCACCCAGCAAGCCATCACGCTTCTCCTTTTTGAAGGTGACTGAAGGTGGAGCAACGGATTCGACATCTGTGACGTCCACAGTGACATCTAGCTGGAGCTTGTAGTGCTCGCTGTGAAAAACGGCTGTTTTACTCGGGCTCTTTGCAGTGTGAGTTTCTTCGAGGATAGTGGTGATGTGGGACTCAGTTGCGTATTGGAAGGCAGGGAACAGTTCAATGTCTAAGAGGCCCGTGAGCGAGTGAGTGAGATGGATTACGGGAGAGGATGCTCACCCATCTCTAAGCGGCCACGAATGCACTCGACACGACGGACGAGCCATTTCTTGAGCTCTTCCTGGATTTTGGTGGTCTCGCGAAATGCGCTTTGGCGGCTGCCCTTGGACAAGACTGTGGCCGTTTTGGGCCGTGGAAAGAAGTCCACGACGTCGACGACGCCGTCGTCATGGATGTATCGCGTTTGCAATATATTGGACGAAGGCAGATATTGCTGTCTTGACGGTGGTCAATAAAGCGAAGCATTACGCACAAGAAGGAAATTTCTCACTTGGTAGTACACTGCTTGGACGCAGGAGGGCAGATGCTGAAAAACCCTCCTTTATCCTTATCCAGAAGGCGACAGAAGACACTGGGGGAATCAAAGTCCGGCCTGGGGAACAATTTGTTAGAGATTCCTTCTCACATTGTCTTTATTAAGTGAATCCAATGTCGTGGTAATGCCAGTTTCTAAAGTAACTCGGGTGTTTCCTCGATACCTCTGCTCACTTAAACAGCTGTATCCCGGGAGAATAGTCGGCGTCTAGCTTCTACGCCGGCCCCATGCATCACAGTTTATTGTTAGCTGGCACGTCACGTTTTGATGACACCAAGTGATCAGGTAGAACTGTGTAAGTCTACCGCCAGGCATCAAGACAAAAAGCGAGATTTATCCCGTACCAGCACATAAAGTCGACCGAGCCGTTCATACCGATGAGAGCACATGTATGCATGTTGCCGATCATTCCATAGTCCTCAATGGGCAGGTAGCCGGCGTGGCTGCCAGCCGAATGTCTTGTTGAACATTGCTGAGCCATGACGTCGGGTATCAGGGTGCGGGTCGGGATGATGATGCAGACGGATTCTCAAACAGAGGCTTGCGGATCTTGTTTAGCTGCCGCAAAAGAGCATGAAATAAGAACAAGTACTGATAAAATGGGCAGATGGATCAGTTATCCAGTATGCTTTGCTGTTTATGTCTACGAACTGTTTGCAAGGGCGGATGCGTTAGCATGAAATGTGCCAGAACGCATGAAGTTAAGCTTCAGTTCTGGGTCCAGGGTAAACTCCGGCGATTACAGAAAGTCGGAGAAGTCTACAATATGCAGCTGTCGTGGGTGCTGAGTAGGAGCATGCGTCAAAGAGACCAATCCGAGCGGGCGGCTTGGTCACGATCGTAATCGAGGATAGACATCTACTAAGACGTCGATCTTGATTCAGCAGCCAACGAATGATGCCTGCGCCGGGGGCTCCAGAGCTGTCTTCACTGATCCTCGACCAATAAGCAATATTTGCAAGAGCTACTAAGCGGCGCTGATTGACTGATTATCCCCAAGAAACCGGGGTGAAAAATGACAAACAGACCCCATGATGATGTCGAACTGATGACGCTGTAAGCCGGGTTGCAGGACCATCCAGAAGCCGCTGGATACCCACTCGGGGAAGCTCTGTCGAATGGTGAGCTGTCAGATCTGCAGCCTAAGCTGGGCCAGGTACACAGCTACCCTGCCCAAGCCAAGACAGGACCGTAAGCTCGCACCGACGCCAATATCCGTTGCCCGTGCCGGCCGTTCGCCGTTCGCCGTTCGCCTACTTACTACTATGCGTTGCTTGTTGTTTTGTTCTTCACGTGGATCTTTTGGAAGTTCTCTTCCGGGCACCCACAGCAGTTCTTCTCTCTCACCTGAGTCGTAAGATCTATCGGGCGGGGGTTCTTAATTACCATCCTATTACGCAGTTGGTTTAGGGCTGAATGACGGCTGCTGACATCATGAAGTCTGGGCATTCTCATCCGCTTTCTGCTCAGTGTGTGCCCAAGCTCCTTCTGTATCCGAGACATTGGGGTTGGGGTTGAGGTTGGAGTAACTACCTGAGCGGAGGGAAAGAGGGAAGAAAATGGCAGTGGGTAACGGGAAAAATGAAAGCTGCTGCTGTCTCACCCGAAATTTTCAGGTTATGCCCGGGAGATTCCTGAGAGGGCGGTTGGTGTAAGACAGAGACATTTTTCCAACGGGCATCAAAGACCGACCAGCCAACCAAGAGAGTCACCCAGCAGAGCTTCGCGGGGAGGTTGGCAGAGCCTGTCTACGACCAACCTCTGTCGAGGCCCATGCGGGAAACTGTCAATCGATAGTCCCGCTTTAAAAACCACACAGGACTGCGGCGTTTCCAGCCTCCCATCGTCCGTGGGTGAATAGTAGCTTGGCTTGGGCATATATGTAAAGGCGGGAAGCTGGGAAATAGGCTCTTGTCTCGAAAGGCAAGTGGACGCCGTCCGAAGTCAAGGTTGTTGCATGGTTGTACCGTAGTAGTACTGCGTGCTAAGGTGCTTGGTGGTCTCGGAAGAAACGGGCCCCAGAAACAGAACAAAGCGATGGCTGTAAACTGTACCACAGTACCTAAGAGTCACGTAGATGTAGATTTTGTTGATGCAACACCCGAAAAGAGTTGTAGCACATTATTGGATGCTGGGCATCATTGGTCGGCCGCAGCGGATTGGAGCATCATCCGGAAATCCGGCTTGAAAGGAGAAAGCGATAAAATTGATTGGGAGATTTGCTAGAATGAGCCTGAGCGAGAATGATAGAACTTTTACCGTGAATGCAACATGGCAAGTGGAGTTGGACTGGGCAGTTGGTCACCCGAGCACCTTCTCCCCTTGACAGCTCCATTTGATGTGTGCCTTGCACAAACGACCACATGGCTAGATCCTTAGCCGAGCCAGCGGTTGCGCTTTTCAGCGGTGTTGTGCACTGATGTGCGATCGAACAGGGCCCCCAGCAGCAGGGGAGGGGCGACCGGACTTGTGACTTTGAACGTGAGAGACGACTGGACCAAGCTTAAAATCGAGGTTGCACATCGTAGATTTGTATCGAACCTAGACGAACGGGTGTGTGAAACTTGGGGAACACTTTTTGGATTCTTCAGACGACTTTTCCTGCCCCCTTCCCCCTAGTCTCAGGTTGCCGGTACGGATACTATTTTCAATTTGGTAAAGGAGGAAGGGGAGCTAAAGAGGTCCGTCTTTTGGTCCGTCATCTGGCCCAGCATATTGTCAGTAACCTCGCCTAAGGTAGGGGGGCAAGATGAGGTCAGGCAATCTTAAATCTCTTACAACACACTTAAAATCCAGGAACAGGAGCATAAGCTGGCCTGAACAAGTGTGCGGACAGCTATGCAACTGAACAACAGATGGGGCTTAACAGGATGACTCAATGCGCGCTGGGTCATACGGATGAATTGCCATTAGGTACCAATGTGTCAATGGCAAGACGGGCTGGATCTGCTGGCCAAGCTGGTATGTTAGGGATGCCCCAATCTTTCCTTCTGGCTGGCTTCCAACGATCCACGGTGGCCCATGATCACCAGCTCCCGAGGTGAAATGGGGATGCGGATGGGCTGCACTAACATAGAATGGTGGCTCCTACAACAAGGTCAGGTAAGGTACGGGTAGTGTGCATTGTGCTGCTTTGCGGTGTGCTGGGCTGGGTAAACGGGGGACCCGGAGGGACCGCGGATGGTACCTGACTTCCTGCATTTGGTGCTTGCATTTCTCGTCGCATTTGCCTCCCCTGCCTTGGAAAAACAGGCAATCAGTGATGCACATCGCTGTGAGCTGGCATGTCACAGGGAGTTGGTGGAAGGACATCCCTGAAAGTGATCCTGACCGCTCTGAGAAGCGAGGCCAGTCCTGTAGCAGCAATCCACGAGCCGTATCCACTGTGAGGCGCGCCAAGCCCGTCCCCATATTTCATCTTGAAAGAAGAAAAAAGCTGAGAGGAGAGACATTGGCACTGCCAGGCTGCCTGCAATTGGCTCGGCAATTGGCGTTAAGCCTACAGGTACACAACAAAGCCCGCGGGAGAAACCACTGCCAACACCGTTTGGCAGAGACATCGCAGGCAGACTGGCACTTCCGCGCTTCAGCGTGGAAAGCCCCTCCCCAATGTACCATCTCCCCCCCCAGCCCACTAATCGGTCAGTGTGGACGCGACACTTGACTGGAGAAACGATCCGCACCACCGTAACCGTCTCTCGTCTCGGCCCCAAATCTTTCTCCTCTTCAAGGCCTAGCCCAGCACCAACCCGAAGCAATCCAAGCACCAAGCACCCAAGCCCAGCTGGCCCAGCCCACGTACAGCCAGTGACTGAGCCTAGCTCGTCCCGACCCATTCATCTAGTTACACCCCATACCTTTAACAAATGGCATATGTTCTCTAGCCCCCAGCCGTGAACCGCCCGCTGGGATCCAGATATAATCATGTCCACCTCCTCGGATTCCTCATCCCTCGTGCATGTGCTGCCTCCCGACCCTAGCCACTCTACTCTTCTCAGTGCCATATCATCCTCCCCTGATCCCATTGACCACGACGACACCCTCTCACCTCACCAAGACCATCAGAGCCGCCGCCTCCTGAGCCCCTCGCCGCTGCTCTTACCACCACCTACCGCCCCCTCTCCTGGACACGCGACCACCTCACCTGCGGATGACCCCCGGCCACGAGACGTCACTGCTACCAATCCCGCCCACGCAGCTCCGCGCCTGGGCTCTTCCGACTCCTCTGCTAACCAATTACCCTCTCGCCAACAATCTCCGGTCGCCGCTGGCGAGGGAATAGAAATGGAGTCCATTAAAGGGGGTGGCCACCGCCGACGCCGCAGTAGTCTGATGCAGAGCGCTGGCTCTAGCAACCACAACCGCAATCCGTCACGAAGCCGAGGGGGTAACTTGCTCGAAGAACCCAAGATTTCGGAAGAAGACGCTGGCGCTAAGCCATCTGGCTCAAAAGACATGGACGATGACAGCTTCTCCGATGAGGACCTTCATGATGACGAAGAGACGGGCCTGACAAAGAAGGACAAGAGGAGGAAGAAGCACAAGAGGAGAAACAACACACGATTAGACCAGAGGATCGTACAAGGAGGCATTACTGCCGAGGAGAAAAAGGAGGCAGATCAAAACGTCGTCAGGAGGTCAATGGTCAACATCGCTTTGATCTTGCTGTGGTATTTGTTTTCACTCAGTATCTCGCTGGTAAGCACTATCCCCCCTGATATCGTTCCGTCATCTTCATGAGCTGACATTCGCCTGCTACAGTACAATAAATGGATGTTCGATAAGGACCACCTCAACTTCTCTTTTCCTTTGTTCACGACAGCATGCCACATGTTGGTACAGTTCGGCCTTGCATCTTTAGTTCTGTTCTTAATACCCTCTCTGCGTCCATCGAATGCGCAGCGTCACTCCGATCTGGGTCGCTCACGGCATGAATCTGAGCCGGAACGGCCTTTAATGACCAAGATGTTCTATCTGACACGCATTGGTCCATGCGGTGCTGCGACGGGTCTCGATATCGGACTTGGAAACACTTCTTTGAAGTTTATCACGCTCACATTTTACAGTAAGCTTGAGTCACCAGCTGTACAAAAGGCCATTTGTCACTAACAACGCTTCAGCCATGTGTAAATCATCTTCCCTAGCGTTTGTTTTAATTTTCGCCTTCCTATTTAGATTAGAGAAGCCGACATGGCGTCTTGTTGCCATTATTGCGACCATGACCGCTGGTGTGGTTCTCATGGTTTCTGGAGAAGTCGAATTCGACCCCCTTGGGTTCATTCTTGTCATTTCAGCCGCTTTCTTCTCCGGTTTCCGTTGGGGCTTGACTCAAATTCTCTTGCTCCGCAACCCTGCCACTTCGAATCCCTTTTCGAGCATCTTCTTCCTCGCACCGGTTATGTTTCTCACCCTTATTGTTATTGCCATCCCTGTGGAGGGATTCCCTGGGCTCTTCAAGGGTCTAGAGCTGCTCGTGGACAAATGGGGCGCCTTCATGACCCCCTTGTTCCTTCTCTTCCCCGGTTGCATCGCCTTTTTGATGACCGCCTCTGAATTCGCTCTGCTGCAGCGCACCTCCGTCGTCACGCTCTCGATCGCCGGTATCTTTAAGGAGGTGGTTACTATCTCGGCCTCTGCCATCGTCTTCCATGACCGGCTTACCCCCGTCAACTTTGTCGGTCTTATTACGACCATAGGCGCCATTGCGGCATACAACTACATCAAGATCACAAAGATGCGCGAGGACGCCCAGAAGGAGGTCCAGCGCGACCACATGGAAACTTCCGAATCTTCTGGCTCGAGCGGCAGTGACAATGATGATGGCGGCGAGGAGACGGGCCTATTACGCAACAGCACCGACTACGAGGACAATCTTGTTACGGCAGACGGAGACATCTTGCCGAAGCCGGGACACACGACTCAAGAGTCAAGAACAGCCAGCGCGCACCGCACAGACTAGCCTTGTGGCTGTATAGTTGCTCTGTTTTTCTTTTGTTATTTATTGAGGTCAAAAATAAGACCTGCGTTTGAAAGCCAGCACAGCTAGTGGTTGGCTAGCAGGAAAGGCAAGGAGTTTATTCGGACCTATCGGTCGGGGTCTATCCCTCCCGATATGGTGATACAAAGACGTATATCAGGTCATATGTTAAAGACCTTGGGTACACACGAGCCAGAGAATGGCAGAGAGAACTTGCATAACGCGGTGGATATACCATACTAGCGAGAGTAGAAGACGGCAGGGACGGAAAGTGCCAGACCACTGGGTCTGACAAGGAACCCTGAGGCACCTAAGTAAACACTGACGATATTTAACACAGGGGATATAAAAATTACAGACTTCAGGCAATTAAAAAGTGTCCAAAACCATAGCTTCTATTCGGTGTGATGCGATGCAGTCAACACGGGTATGCTTCTGTCTCTAACTCCCCAACGCCGTCATCATGCCAAAGAAATACCAGAAACTAGATACAATGCCACCTCTATCGTTTCACAGATAGCTCTAGCCGAACGAACTAACCAAGAAGCTTGAGGCCGTTCTTGGTCTTCTGGCCAGGCTTGGTTACGCCATGGTGGTGCGCCGGTCCAAGGTGGGGCTCGTAGCCGCCGGAGCCCTCAGAATGCTTGTTCCCGCCGCCGCCACCGCCGTGACCAGAGTACTTCTTGTTCTTCTTACTACGGTTATGGTGGTTGTTTCCCTTGACGTTGGTGATCTTGATCTCGGTGTTGGCCTTGCGAACGACAACGGGGTGACTCTGGATGTACTTTCCATTCATCTCTTTGGCGGCCTGGAAGAAGTCGTCGGCGTCGCTGAACGATACAAAGCCGTAGCCCTTGGACTTAGCGGTGCGCTTGTCGCGGATGACGCGAGCCTTTTGCACAGATTGCCATCGCGCAAACGCCTTCAGCAGAGAATCATCCGTGACTTCGCCGGCGAGATTGCCGACGAAGAGGCGCAGGTGGCTTGGGTCCCATTCGGCGAGGGTGTCGTCGGTCCACTTCTTGCCGCCGCCTTCTCGGACGACCGTCTTCTTGCGCTCTGGGGGCGCATTGGCTGCTGCTGCCGCTGCTGCGGGGTCTGGGATCTCGGCGTTCGGTCCTGCCGTGCCAGCTGTGCCGCGACCAGCTGGACCAGTGCCGCCTGCTGATGTCGTTGTCGCCGAGGCGTCCTTAGAGGTGTACGCACTCTGCCACTGGGCTATTTGCATTGCCATGTCTGGGTCATATTCGGGACCTGCAGTGCCGGGAATGGGGAACGGATTGCGGATCTGCGGCGTGGCAGAGTAGGACGCGGTCGAGGGTGCGGCGCTGTAGCTTGTTTGTCCATAGCCAGCGCTGGCTTGTGTATATTGTTGATATGAAGGTGGTGCCTGGTACGGACCCTGGCCACCTATGGAGGGCGAGGCATGTTGAGAGTAGGATGGGTATGAGGAGCCATAATTGGCGGCTGCGCTGGAGTAGCTCGGTGCGCTCGAGTAGGAGGGTGCCGCGGAGGGTGTCGTCGCAGCTCCGAAGGCAGGCTTAAATGCGGGTTTAAAGCCACCTGACGACTTTGAAGGTGGAGGCCGCGCGGGCAGGGAAGGGTGGGATGGCGGGTTGTTGTTGGAAGAGCCGCTTGAGATACCTGGAGGGGGCGGATAGGCCATGATGAATGACTGCGGATTTTTTTCTTGCAAGGCGCGAGTTTGCGTGATGTTTATGGCAACGTACCTCTGAGCCCGGATATTCCCGCTCAAAGAAATTCCCCTTTAGCTATTTCTACTGAAGCCGGCGCTTGGTTTCAGGCGTTGTCGCAAAAGGCAAAGAATCCGGCCGTGTTGGTGATGTTGGGGAAAATATGACGAGGTTGTCGCAGCCTCGGCGAACGCTCTGGAATTTGTGGCTGGTGTCGGAGCTGATAAGATCACGTGATGAGTCAGTGGCTGACACGAGGCTGGACATCGTCGGTGGTTGTCTTCCCCTTTTTTCGGAGAGTGGATCCGCAACTGCCGTGGATCACGGTGCTTATATAATCCGATATACAGCAAATGCCGAGGTCCCTCCGTGCAGTCCATCCGCCAAGCCCAAACCTTCGCAAAGGTGAACGGAAAACAAGACGGAATTTCCGTCTTAAGCGATTTCTTCCATGTGGTTTCGTCCCGCTCGGCTGGGTTCGTCACCCGCCCGATTTTTGCGATCCTGTTCCTGCATCAAATACATTTTATCCGTCGATTTTTTTTGTCTAACGGACATGCCGGATAATTGTTAGTGCAACTACTGCAAACTACGGATTGTCATTCATAGCCTTTGACGGAGAGACCAAATGGATGCCACTACGAGTCTCACGGTCAGGTCCATGCTAATCCAATAATGTGCGTGGATTCCAAGCGGAGCTCTGGCGGAGTTCTCAACCGACGTCTCCGACCCGTGCGACTGAGACCGATCCAAGGCCCGAAGGCGGCGGTACGGTGTTAGGTGTTTAACCCCCACCTAAGATTGTCCCTCGCCTTCCTTGACGCGGCCCAGATTTGTGAGCACAGCCGAAGACAAGGTGGTGGGATGGACGTATTTACCGTCAATTTGCCTCCATACACACCTTGAGGTACCTTAGGAGATGGAGGTGCGATATTTTCTGTCCTATTTTCCCGCTGAGCAAACCGGGCGTGGGTCCTCCCCCCAACGAACCCAATAGATTGGATTTCTGCTTCGGCCAAGCAGTCCAACTGGAGGAAATGGAGGGGTTTTACGGCCAGCTTCGGTTTGGTTGGGACCGACTTGCTTTACGCACCATTGAAGCGCATGATGATTTGTCGCATATGTTGTGCGAGGGCCCGCCAACCGCTGTCCTATCCCATCAGGGATAGTAAACGCGAGGCGCATGCGGATGCGGCATCGCTGCCTTGCTCCTTCCACAAGCGAGGGGAGGATGCCGTTTTGTGGTTGAATGGTAAGGCTGCATTTTTGCGGCTTTCCGTCCGCTTCCAAACTGCATCACGCCGAGAGCTCGCATTTGGCCTCAATGGCAATGAGGCGACACTGGCATTTTCAAGGGTCCATGCCCGGCGTTTCTGGAAACTGTGCTTTGCTGGGACGGGCCGGAGCATGGGGAGTTTTCACGCTGAAGAAACGGAATTTCCTCAAATGCAGTCCGGGGCATGAGGCACAGGCTGGTTTGTGCAGGGCAGCTGCTCGAGGGATAATTTGACCACGATAAGCCATTTCTCTCGCTCTCGCCTCTCGTCGGTCCCCCTGCCTAGAAACGGTCCAAGAGCGAGCGAAGCGAATGAGCGAGAAAGCGAGGACCGGAGCTCCGTTGGGAGGGTGATAATATATGCCGCCAGTCCATTACATTCTTGCGTTACTTTACGCAAATGGGTATCATGGGCAGAGCCAGATTAGCATGAGTGCCCCCCGCGCGAAGTTAGGCCGAGCGCAAGTGATTCCTCCGCGGCCGTGGGTTACGAAACGTCAGGGCCTGACGCATCAAGTTTGAATACCGGAGTCGCACTTCTATCCCTGGAACACATAGAGTGTGAGGCAGAAACCTGCGGCGGCCAATGGGAAAAGGTGCCTATCGCCGAATCGGACCACAACTGGACGGATCCAGAAGCGCCTTTTTGCAGGAGTCAGGGCCGTCTTTCGTCAGGCTGGCGCGCCTCTGCTTGACTAAAACATTCGGCGTGGAGCAGGCATGAAGGTCGTTGCTGGGCCGCCATCCGCCGCGCGGGCCGGCTGATGGTCACAATGCGGTAGCAGTGTACACCGGTGTCGCAGCATAGTGGTGAGCATAGCAATAGGTCAAAGTTGATAGCTGTTTACGGTATAGTTAAAGCATGCTGATGCTTGGTGCAGTCCTTTCCGTCTGGTACCCTTTGCTTACACAGTCCATGCATCCATGAACAGCAAATTTGTTTGTGCAACCGCTCCCGGCTGGGAGAAATTGGGTTGCTGACATGAGCGAGAAATATGAGGTAGCAGAGAGCATCGTCATAACTGCCCCTCCATGAAAAACCATCCAATTGGAGGCAGCACGAGGCCCCTCGATGGAGCACTGTGACTTGTGGTGATGTATGCGTCCCTCTTCTTTTTCTATTTGGACGGAACAGCTGGAAGCGCATGTGGGAAATGTGAAAGATACATCAACAGTACCTTCGTCCCATGAGTAAGCTCCGCCAGCTCAGGCCAACAAAGCCAATCAGTCCAGTCATCCTCTCAGTCAAAGCAGCCCTGTCGATGGTCAAGAGTCGCCTAGTCCCGCTTTTCTGCCCAGTCTTTGGTCTGTTACCCCCCAAAAAAAGGTGAGGTAAGCCGTGGGCGTTTCCTGCTGCAGCGATGGCGGCGATGAGGCAGAAGGTACCCCAGCAAGTACGGTCCGGGCTTCTATGGTAGTCAATGTACCTTGGTGGGAGTGTGCAGCTTGTCATGGGTGGCCCCTGCCCCAATGCAAACCACCCCCCTCCCATTGTCCCCTCCTACCCCTCCGTCGACCCTCCCCCTACAAACTTCGTCCGGGTTGACGAAAGCTCCAGCTGTTGTCCTTCTTGTCACATTTCCCCTAGAGATAAATAACTCGACGCTCCCGCAATCATCGTTGAATCGCGCGTCTGAACCTTTTCTCTACCAAACATACCCCTATACTCCTCACCGACCACCATCCATCATGTCTGGACCAGTGTAAGTATCATCATTTGCTTCATCCCCCTCCCCCTCGTTCGCCAACAATTACCCCACCACCCCGCTTCCAACCTCCGATACTCACGGGCACGATGATGCTGGCCAATTCCCGCATATTGTCGTCTCATATCGTGATGCTTGGGGTTTGGACGGGTTCACGGGAGGTGTCAATGGACATTGGCCGCAAGCTATTAGCTTCTCTCACACAAACCTCATGCTCATACAATCAGCGCCCGCCTTGCCAACATTGTGGCAGGCGTCGTGCCAGCCCCGAGGTCCCGTCCCGCTTCCTTCGCGCCCGAATACCCATACCACACCTATGAATGCTCAGCTAACAAATTGCAGCGCTGACCTCGGCCTTATCGGCCTGGCTGTCATGGGTAAGATCACCACTTTGTGACTTAACTTCTATTGTAATCTGACTCCCGATAGGCCAAAACCTGATTCTGAACGCCGCTGATGTAGGTAACCCTTCCAAAGTATGGAAAAGAGTTCAGAGTTTGCTAACTGTATACAGCACGGTTTCACCATCGCCGCCTTCAACCGTACCGTTTCTAAGGTCGACCGATTCCTGGCCAACGAGGCCAAGGGCAAGTCCGTTGTTGGCGCTCACTCCATTGAGGAGTTTGTTTCTAAGCTCAAGAGCCCTCGCCGTGTCATGCTGCTCGTCCAGGCTGGCAAGGCCGTCGATGACTACATTGAGACCCTCATCCCCCTTCTTGAGAAGGGCGACATCATCATTGATGGTGGTAACTCTCACTTCCCCGACTCTAACCGCCGCACTAAGTACTGCGAGTCCAAGGGTATCCGCTTTGTCGGCTCCGGTGTCTCCGGTGGTGAGGAGGGTGCCCGCTACGGCCCCTCCCTGATGCCCGGTGGTAACGAGGAGGCCTGGCCCTTCATCAAGGACATCTTCCAGGGCATTGCTGCCAAGAGCGACGGCGAGGCCTGCTGTGACTGGGTCGGTGACGAGGGCGCTGGCCACTACGTCAAGATGGTCCACAACGGTATTGAGTACGGTGACATGCAGCTTATCTGCGAGGTACGTCGAATTTACCCACTGTCTCAGAATAACCAATGATTGACACCAGCTGTAGGCCTACGACATTCTGAAGCGTGGTCTCGGTCTCTCCCCCAAGGAGATCGGTGATGTCTTCACCAAGTGGAACAAGGGTGTCTTGGACTCTTTCCTGATCGAGATCACTCGTGACATCCTCTACTTCAACGACGATGATGGCACTGCTCTCGTCGAGAAGATCCTCGACAAGGCCGGCCAGAAGGGCACCGGCAAGTGGACTGCCGTCAACGCCCTTGACCTTGGCATGCCTGTCACTCTGATCGCTGAGGCTGTCCTTGGTCGCAGCTTGTCTGCCCTCAAGGACGAGCGTACTAAAGCTTCTACTCTCCTCCAGTATGTCGGCCGCAACAGCAAGTTCGAGGGCAACAAGGAGCAGTTCATCGACGACCTTGAGCAGGCTCTGTACGCCTCCAAGATCGTCTCCTACGCCCAGGGCTTCATGCTCATGCAGGAGGTACGTCGTTTGTAACCTCTTTTCGTGACACAATGCTAATATCCTTTACACAGGCTGCTAAGGAGTACGGCTGGAAGCTCAACAAGCCTTCCATTGCCCTTATGTGGCGTGGTGGCTGCATCATCCGCTCTGTCTTCCTTAAGGACATCACCAACGCTTACCGCAACAACCCCGACCTTGAGAACCTCCTCTTCGACAACTTCTTCAAGGACGCCATTCACAAGGCTCAGCCCGGCTGGAGAGACGTCGTCGCCAAGGCTGCTCTCCTTGGTATCCCGACCCCCGCCTTCTCTACTGCTCTGTCCTGGTTCGACGGCTACCGCACCAAGGACCTCCCTGCCAACCTCCTCCAGGCCCAGCGTGACTACTTCGGAGCTCACACTTTCAGAATCAAGCCCGAGGCCGCCTCAGAGAAGTACCCTGAGGGCCAGGACATCCACGTTAACTGGACCGGCCGCGGAGGCAACGTCTCTGCTTCTACCTACAACGCTTAAAAGGTTTTTTGGATGGGTTACGAGTAGACATATGGAAAGGGCACACTATGATATCTGGTATAATGGTGCCAGGCGAAATGAAATGAAATGATTCCTCCCATCTGGACCGCTCTTGAATGCATTAGCTTTGACACAGCCGTGAATGTTTCGTGATGGACGTAGTAGCCCGATGCGTAACTACTCCAGGTCACTTATAAGTCGGAATACCATATCAACAATGGGTAGTTTTTGTCTCAAAAGATCGCCACAAGCCTGTAATATTTCAAAGATATGGCTGAGGAGACAATTGTAGCAAAGCCAAGGACAGCTTACAAATGAAATCCCGCTGTGATTGAGATTTGTCTTTGAGGAAGGGCCACTTGCGTCTCATACATCATTTTGGGCGACACTGAAACGCGTGCACGGACCAGAAATCGAAACGGTTTTGATTGGCTTTGATGCGACAAGGATCCTCTCAGGCACCTCAGCCTCGTCGCGAGAAATTTGGGGACGCGAAACGACCTACAAGCAGTCCATTCATCAACCTCAGCCTTCCCACTTGTCGCGAGTTCATTCATCGACGTCATTTCGCGCATATCTGTCTTTTAATCTGGAGTTGCAGGCCAATGTGGAGTTTGACTGCTCTGCATTATTGACAATCGACGCATCGATAGATATTCGCCAGGCAGTACCGCACACAGCACCTGTAATCGCGATTCGCCATGGCTCAAGATCCCAGTGATGGAATTGATCAGGAGCTGGTAAGCTGCACTGCGCCGCACCCGTGTCTTCTGAAGACTATTTGCTGACAATCACTAAGCTCAGTCATGCTCACTTGATCTCCGCCAACCACTATGCCGACCAGGCGCGCGTCGATTTGAATCAAGTTACGAAGTGGTTGATGGCAGCCCCTCAAGTCGCGAAAGACAAGGCCCCGTTCTTTTGGACCTACCTCGATCGACCCCGCGATGGACAAATCTACCTCACATGGCAGCCTCTGAAGAGGCTTGGAACCAACTTCGCTAGCGATGGCATGATATGGGGCCCCGAACAATACCACAGACAGGATGTTGGCAACGGACTGGTATGCATCTTGCCATCACGCTGTCAATGTTGGCAACTAACTCTTAAACCAGTCTCTCGAAATTCACTACGTTAAATCTGGATTCATTCCCGGCGAACAGGTGGCTATGCACGCCCGTCGCAGGTTCCGCCTTGTGCCTTCGCAGACTGGGGTGATGAATGCGCCGCAGCCCGATATCAGCCTCTGGATTGTTCACTACGGTCCTTCCGACCCGCCTGACCGCGTTCCTGTCAACCTGATTCCCGTTTCTCAAGAGACTCAGCACATTATGGCAACCCGTAACCACCTTCAGAAGTGTGGCCAGATTGCACGCAAAGATTTCATGCTGTCGGATCGTGCCAGCTGGCCAACAATACAGTTTCCCCGCAATGGTGGGCGACCTCAAATGTATAACCCTCCGGCTCAGTCCCGGCGTGTTCCCCAACAAATGGCCTACCCTCCTTCGGGTCCTCAAGGCCGCCGTGGCCGCCAGTCCCAGGCACAGGCCCAAGCTCAGGCTCAGGCGCAAGCGCAGCAGCAAGCCCTGGCTCATGCTGAGGCTCTTCACGACGATGAGGAGTTGGAGAAGGACCTGTTTGACCATCTCACCCCAAGAGACATTTCCTTTGCGCGCTACCAGCAGAACCACGAGTGGATGGAGGAGATTGTATCTTCTCCCTACGGACTAGCCCAAATTGCCCCCCCGGATCTTGGACTTGGACTTAAGGGGGAGCTGGCGTCTCTGACTGACGGTATCTTTACCGGGCAAGGGGCTAATGCTCTCACCGAAATCCCTCAGAAGCCGTATATTGGTCGGCTAGAACCTGGCCTTGCTGACGAGTTCAGGAAGAGGGTCGAAGAGCACCTCGAAACGACAAAGGCGGAAATGGAGAAGATGAAGGCGGAGCATGCGAAGAACTTGGCTAGCCTTAAAGCTAGCTCTGTATTTGTAGATGCAGAGAAAGAGGTCAAGAACTCTGTCCAGGGACGAGGCCCGGAGATTTGGCGTCTCGAGGGCCACTCGACAGATGCGGACGATAACACCAGCTCATGGTCGCAAAAGCACAACAAGAAGGTAGATGAGATTGTCGCCCAGGTTGAAGCCAACCTCGGCCGGCAAATCGAGGTCCTTCACAATGTGCACCGTATTCAAGATGGCGGTTTCCAGGAGCCTGCGCCAGAGCCTGTCAAAGAACCCACACCCGTCCCGCCACCTGCAGCATCCCCGCCAGCCACAGCAGCTGGTGCCGACCCTAGCGACCCTGCATCACGACGACCTTCCCAGGCTGATTCCCAGCACAGTGGGGTGATGGTTGGCGACTCAGATATTGATATGGGTGGCACTGCGGCAGGTCTCCTAGACCAGATGCACACGGGCTTCTCGGCCACTTCTACTCCCGTCAACAACTTCCCTACTCCGCAGGCTCACCTTTCTGCACTTAACTCAACAGCCGGTACGCCTGCCAATGCGAACGCGCCGTCTCCAGCACCAGCTCCTCCTACTATCCCTGAGGAGCCCGAGGTCAAGGCTGCTCCCAGCAGTGGTGAGGACATTACGATGGGCAACACTGAGGCCCCCAAGGATTCATCCTCCACCGCGCCCGATCAGGGGACTGGAAGCGGAGACTGGGTGGTCGTACCTAAAGGGGGCGAGTCTCCCGATGCCGCGGCGGCCGCTGCCAACACTGCAGTTGAGAGCGAGGCAGCGAAGGCAACTCCCAAGGCGCCCTCTGCTGCTGGAACACCTGCAGTAGAAACCCCTGGTGGCTTCAGCTCTCTAGGCGATCTCGATTCTGCCGGTGATGCGATGGCCAGTTACGGAGGATCCCTGGGCGACGGCCTGGATATGAACGTGGATATGGAAGACTCTGCTTTTGGTGACGCGTTCCACGGCATCTCGAACACCAACACGCCAGGAAACCAATCAGAGGGTGCTTAGGATCCACAGGTAATTTTTTTTTAGAAAAGTACTCGGGATAGAGACGATGTAAATGTAAGACGGCAGTTGGTTTCGTCAGAGGGTCTATCAAATCGCTGGCCTCTGCTTGATTTTTCTCATTGGCTGTTGTAGGTTTGTACGGTATTACACGAATAGGCGACTGCAGAATGGTATGAATGAGGCCGCCTAGGCCCAAGTAACTGAATTCTATCTCACAAATATTTGCTCCTGTCAGCACTTAATGCTTGATTAACTTTTCGTGCCTACAGTTACGACTCTACCCTTTTACCTAACTCTAGTTGTAGGGTTTTAAGCCTTGATGCAGACTTTCAAGCAGGAGAGATGCCAGGGGGACAGAGTTAAGGCCAATGATTAACCATACAAACGGCAGCAGCGTCAGGGGCCTACATGAGCGGTCAATTGTTGCGTAGCATTGGTATCATGAATGAATGTGTGCCATTTTCCAGGAGGCGCGCTTACGGTGCTGGTCCACTGTCACATATTTTTCGGCTTGAATTAATATCCTCTAGCTCAGGTAACAATTTTAGATCTCAAGCACGTTGAAGTCATTAAATTCATTTTTATCCTTAAAGCAGTCATCTTTATCACACCCACTCGCCGTCATCCGAGCATTGCTTTCGCGCCTCACGCTGTTGTTGACTACCTACCTAACTGCTAACAGCAAAGGGCAAATGTTACGTAAGAATTAAATCTTAACATCGTATTGGCCAAGTGCAACTGTCGTTCAATGCCAATAAGCCATCGGTTCTGCCTTGGAGGTACATTATCAAACACGGAGAAAATAGTGATACATGGTGGTTCGTCTCTAGAACAGCCGACATGCCTTGACAGGGGCATGGCTGGTGGATAGTGTTAGTAGAATTGCCGTGGTTCGCCTATAAATCCTTAGCGTGGCCCCGCCTGGCGACTTGGTTCCGAGCGGGAGGTTTGAGTTTCATCGGCTCTAGGACGACGTCTCAGCCGCCGCCTTGCACTAGCCCCCTGTCATCCTGATTTCAACTTCCTCGACACCTTGAGATGTTTTTGATTTCCGCTGAGCCTTCAAACGAGGATTGGACGAAAAGATATTGCCTGAACTTTCTTGCATTCCCTTGCGACATGTCAAGCTTAATCCGAATTTTAAGATGAGAGCTTTGGGAGCTACGGGCAACTAAATCTTTTAACGTCAGACCCAGGCAGGCGGGCTTAAGACATGAACTTGCGCAAAACGGTTATAATACCAAGTGGTCCATGACGACGCGCCCAGCTGGATAACGGCCAAGTGATGCAACAGGCCGGGATCGCGAAACCAGGCTTTGCCTCTTAAGATCTCTTATCCCCTCTCCTCCACTAGACTTACCGCTCCATCACGATATATGGGCGTTTCGCAATCCTCCATCACTGGCATGGGTGGCTACGAGTGGCTAGGCACCATCGGAGAAAATGTTTCTCAATGCACTGAGGCCTTGACCCGGTCAGCCAACCTATCGTGCGACCTTATCCCCCGCTCCTGGGCTCGTAGCGTGTGTCGGCCGATGAGACGCCCCCTGCACCCCTGCCGAGCTTTTTTTCCCAACCTTGAGATGACGTCCGGGGGAGAGCCTCCTTGGTCTGTCCTTGGTCTGCCACAGATCCTTCTCCCCTGTCTGGGGTTGTGTTGACTTACACGCAACGAAATGCATATCACAGCCACCAACCCAAGTTACAACCCTCTGGGGATGGCTCTTCTTGCCCCCTTTCCTCTGGTTTTCCATTCTTGTTCGCTTCTCACTCTTTACTTGCTCGTCTTCTCTTCTAACCGACTCTTTTGTCGGTTAATTATTTTCTTTCTTTAGTTGCCGTCTGCAGGTCAGCTTTCTTAAGCAATCCTTTCATTACATTCATTTCGTCTCGAATACGATACCCGAGCCCTAGTTGGCCGTTTCCCTTTAATTCTCTTCCTGGGTGTTCCAGGATCTTTGACGACTAGCCGACTCGTAACGATCTCCTTCTTCTCAATTAAAGCTTCTGACGATATGCGGTTTATGAACTCTTTGGTTTTGCTCCTAAGCATTGCTTTGGCCAACGCTCAGTTTACGAAACCCTTGGCCGGAGATTACTTCGATGTTGGCGAGCGATTCCAAATCGAATGGCATACAGCAGGCTTACAAGAGCCTATCAACATCGACTTGGTACCTAAGGGCGTGATTGATGGCTCAGTTGTTGCTGAGAATATCGCGGGTAAGGCTGGCTGATGGGTGGCTGGATAGACACAACTGCATACTAATAATGCTGGGCAGTGCAAATTCAGAATGTCGGCCGACTGAACTGGACACCCGACGCATCTATTGCGGCTTTTGATGGTTTTGTGATGATCATCACCGATGCTGCCCAGAAGACCGTTACCTCTCAACCATTTAGTATCAATCAGCTTTCCGAGAAACCCATCATCCAGACGTTTGTTGGCGACAAGGTACAGGTTCTCACCAAACCAGCCTCTCCCCCTAAAACCGTTTACTCCGGATCTCTGCCGCCCGAGGCCACCCCTGCTGGACTTGTAATGGCCGAGGCCAACCCAATCAAGGCCGTTCCTTCGAACGGTACGGATCCTGAAACGACTTCTGCTCGAACTCGCGTCAAGGCCACTGTGGCCCAAAGTGCACCGGTCGAGGCCAGTGTAGCTGAGTCTACAGCTTCCACGACTGCCGCTGCTGAGACCAATCCTGTCAAGAATAAAGCTCCTGAGAGTGCAGCTGTCGAAGCCAGTGTAGTCGAGACTACAACCTCCAAGACTGCCGCTGCCGAGAACACTCCTGTCAAGAAAGCCCCAGAAAGTACATTTGCCGAGGCCAGTGCATCCAAAACGACCATTGCTAAGACCACTGTCGCCAATGCTACTTCCGCCGATGAGGCTACTACGCCTGTAGAGGCCACTGCTTCGGAAGCCACTCTCTCACCGACAAATCCTCCTGCAACCACTCCCTCAGCAGCCACCTCTTCGGAAGCTACTCCTTCGACAACCACGCGTGCGACTGACGGCAGGGGCAACGGCAGAGGTGGCGGCAGAGGTAATGGTAGGGGTAAGGGTAAAGGCAAAAACAACAACGGACGGCTTCGGACCAGCCAGCTCAACGGTAATGGTACCCAAGAAACGCCCTCGCCGATCTTTTCGACTATCTCGCCATCAGCAGGTGTCCCTGACTCAGCTTCTCCATCGCCTGCTCCCATCAACAACCAAACCACTCCCGCTGTTGGTGTACGTAGCTTTACCAATTTTTCCATCCTTCATGATCAAATGCTGACCTTCGCATAGGCATCTACGAGCAAGGTGGCTGCTCCAACTGAAAACAGCCGTATCTCCATTGTGCCGTCAGCCACGACTCCCACCAAGAGCGAAACCACTACTCTTCCTCAGGTTCTAATTCCGCCGAAAAACACCACGACCAATGCACCAGCGAAATCTGTCTCTCAACCGGCCGTGATTGTCCCTGCAAATACAACCACGCCAGCTGTACCGCCCGTGGTTCCTACAACACAATCCAAGATCGTTGTTCCCGCTAATACCAGCACCGCAGCTGAGCCGCCTGTGGCTTCTGCTACTCTTCCCGCCGTACTTGTTCCTGCCAACACGAGCACTCCAGCAGTACCTGCAGTTGGATCCACGATTTCTGTTCCTGCAAACTCAAGCATTCCGGTTACGCCGCCAGCGGCTTCAGCCACTCTGCCTGCAGGACTCGTTCCCGCAAACACTAGTACCCCAGCTCAGTCACCTGCTGCTTCAGCAACTTTGTCCGAGGTTCTCATTCCAGCGAATACGAGCACCCCGGCATTGGTGCCGGAAGTATCTGCTACTCCGCCCGCAGTTCCTATTCCAGCTAACACAAGCACTTCTACCGGATTGCCGGCTGTTCCTGTCACAGAACCTGCGGCTGTCGTTCCCGTTCCGATTCCGTCTGCTCCATTGGCCAGTACAGGTGGTGTGGAAACACCCGGAGTTGTCCCTCCCATCGCCACGTCGAAGGAGTTGCCTACTGTGGTGCCATCCCAAGATTCAGGGCCTCTCAACCCGAGCCAATCTGATCCTACTGGATCACCAAGTAGCGTCGGTGTCCCTAGCTCGGGCACACCACAGCAAACACCACCTCCCACCACAGGCGGGGAAGAAAAGAATGGCAACAAAAGTGGCGATGACAATGGTTCCGGTAACGGCTCCGGATCGGGATCCGGGGATAACACTGATGGCAGCCGGTCTGGAGGTAATGAAGGCGACTCCGGCTCTGGCTCTGATAGTACCCAATCTTCGGCCTCGAGTACTAGGCCAACCGCAGTCCCTCAGCTGGATGAACCATCTGAACCTACTGCTGTGCCTCGCCTTGGTGCCATCATTTCATTGCCTTCATCCATGGTGACTTCTATGGTTCTTGCAACAGGAGTCCAACCTCAAGGCGTCGCAGCTCCAACAAGTGGTCTGGTATTTGCAACGACGCCAGCTTCAGTCCTCACCACGTCCGCTGGTAGCCGGGAGATACAGAAGAGCTATGCAACCGCATTTTTCTGCGCTGCCGCGGCGTTGATGACCACATACATGCTGTAAGTGGCAAGAGAGAAGAATGACGAGATAATAACGGTATGGAGACAGGCGGGACGTCATGTAGGAAGAGAGGGCATTCCTTGTCTATAATTGTAAGATGTTGAACCCAGGTGGTTGAGTAATCCAATGGAGTAAGAAATGTTAAAAAAAGAAGTTAACAAAAGGCACAAACCGCACACTGAGCTGTGCTTTAAGCCCTACGGCGGGTTTAAATTTCGATGTTGTAACACAAGACTTGGCCCCGTTCTATGTGGCGAACCCCCTTCAAATAGACTCCTTCTTTGTCGTAGGTGTTATTAAAACTACGTGTAGAAAGTTCCTAATGTCGCAGGCCTACGCTCTTTTTCCCATCGGCGGTGAAATGTTTGATGGCAACCACCCTGGACCTGCTTCGGCATAGCCAAGGCAATCATATAGTTTCACCTGGTGTAATTCCATCACTCTAACTCTCTGTTCTGCAATGGTCGATATTGCCCCGACAGTACCCCTTTCAACAGTAACTTCCTAGTGTAAGGCGAGGTATACACCGTCTTCTCCGCCCAATTTGTCAATTTGTCTACGGCAAGTAACGATGCAACTCACCCAATGTCGAATGCCTGGTGACAACCGCAAGTATGAAATAAATAAAATATTCCTAGAACACAGTCAATAATAGCCTATGTGTTGACGGTGTTTTTTCAGGCGCCTGGGACCCAAGTGCTCCCTGCACCTCTAATGTTGTTGAGTACGGCATTGCAGATGATGAGCATCGTTGAGAAAATTTAGATACATGCTAATTATCTAGAAGTCGAGGGAGTACAATATGTGAGACTTCCCAAATTAAAAGGTTGAACTAGGCATTAACGGGGCCTATGTGATGACTCTCTTGATGAGTGAGTAGCGCGGGGGGTGATGTGGTGGCTTTATTGACGCCCCGATCCGGTACCACAGTTTATTCTTCCTTGCATTTCGTCGATGATACCCGAAAAGGAGGTTTGCCGTTCTTGAAATCCAGGTTCTGTCAGCGACTCTAGGAAAGATGAGAAAAAGGGTTATGTACTAATCGATCCTGACTACTAAACCCATAGCGATATTATGAACTCAAACAAGAAGGAACAAGGGCATTTATATGAAGGACCCTTTCCATGCTTTGAACACCTAAGCGCTTTCGGTTCCATTTGTATTTGACTGCGATTCCACTCTACCCCTTAAAGTCGTTAGAAAACCCTCAATGTTGCCCTAGTGATTGTGACTCAACTACAAAACTTGCAACTCAGCTTCGGATAAAATACCATTTCAGCATCCCTTGCCACGCATGTAACGACACGGCACTATGGCCCAAGAACCATTTCCTTTCAAGTACACAGTATACGGCGGCGGCTTCAACGTCAACCACAAGCCCAATTTCGCCACTACAACCGATCGAGAGGCTAGGGCATGGCAACTTGAGTCTTACATGGTCAGCTGCATTAACGGCTCTGCCGGTGAGAAAAACAGACGCATGGCTGAAAACAATATCGACATTCAGTGGCGTCAAAAAATCGCCGCCTAGGGAAAGACGTTAGAGTATGCCATTCACGATACGATTCGAATGCTGGCCCCCACGTATAGTGGCCTTTTGACTTTAGTACGAATCTGGCGACAAACTGTTGAAGGTGAAAAGGAAGGCGATCTGGTTGTCGCCATAAGTGTCAAGCCTTCTGTTGGCTCTTCTATTGGACAAGTACGAGAGCTTCTATACCCGCCTATCCTAAAACTCCTCGCAAGGTTAGTCTGCAGTTTCTCCTCGACCACCCATGTCTTCTATCAATAATGGAATTTCCTTCATTAAATTCCCTAAAACTTGGCGTGATCCCATTACCGCCGTACTTCCTTTCATCTAGCCTTATGCTGACTATTTTTTCCAGCTCTGAGGTTGAGAGACCTGAGATTGGAGTCCTAATACACGACCCGACCCCAGATACGGTTATTTTGAAACCCCTTTTCGAAGACTACGTAAAGTATGGTCCAGCCGATAGTGAGCCGGATTCTAACGTCAATACTATCCATTACCCCGGTTTGTTAGCAACCATTGACAGCCTAAAACCAAATCCAGATGTAGTCGAAGCTCGTGCAAGCTCAAACATTGATTCGGACCCTGCAAGCACTAATACGGACACCGAATCAAAGACTGGTTTCGGCAGCCGCAGTGTCAGCTCGCAGATAGGCTTGGATTTACCTGGTTCTGATGCCTATTCGAATCAAGATTCATGCCCGATAAAAGCCAGTGACATTTCAACCGGTCTGGAGCCCATAGCACCCATGGTTATTTCAAGCCCTGTTATAGGTCCAGCTAAGTCTAGGGGCGACACTTATGAGTTCTGGGATACCTTGGACTTTGACGATTCTTCGTAGGCATGGTCATCGAATATCTGTGTCAGTATACTTGGGCAAGCTAAAGGAGTAGGGTTTGTGCACGACTGAGTAGAGTCACTTGTTAATGTATTGACACAACCCACCCGCGTCGACTGCAGAAGCATTAGCCACGCTGTTAGTCACCTTGCCGCATAACTTCAGATGTAATTATGGCGGCAAGACATTGAGCATAGGATTGCCTCATACAGGAATAGGAGGTTAGTAACATTCGGAGGTTGTAAACAGCACCGGCATGGGATAGGAATATTTCATAATCGACTGTCATTGATCATTATCAGAACATTTCGTCTAACTAATTAGGCAACTGACATCTCTCAATCCCTTGATTCTTAGCTAGTTTGTCAATCATCGGCAGTATCAGGGTCGACTAGGTGATGTTGCCCTTCTCACTTCGCGGTTGGGCCTGCCTTGCCTAGAGAACAACCCTGACTGATTGAGACTCAGGGGCACACGGCGTCATTGGCCACCCGGTAACGACAGCATATACCATCGTATGAAGTTTGCAGGGCCTATCACTCGAAGACAAGTCCCATTTGTTGCCGAGGGACCGGGCCGAATGGGACCATGGTTGCCAATGTTGACCGGCGACATTTGAGGGAAAGCTCAACAGCTGGCAAAAGCCGGGATAATATTGAGGGCGCAGGATGACCACGACTGGGTACGTATACCCAAAGAATCAATAGATAACGCCGGGAGGATGTGACGGGTACCATTCTTGGTGGTGTCGCAACATATTGCTCATGGCCAGTCTATCTACGAGGTAGCGGCGGTCTCGGTGGCCTTGATGCTGTAAGGGCCCAAGAAGTCGGGGCTGTTGGCAATTTCCTCCTTGACCTGTGCCGAAATGTTAGTCTGCTTGTGATAAAAAGTTTCTTGTCCACTTACAATATCCAAGCCACCAACCAACTCGCCGTCGACCCAGAGCTGAGGGTAGGTAGGCCAGTCCGCAAACTCCTTCAGTCCCTGTCGCACCTCGTCGTCTGCAAGAATGTTGAAGAAACCATACTTTACAGAGTGTTCTCTCAAGATGGCGACAAGTTGTCTCGAGAAGCCACATTGGGGCGAGCTTGGCGTTCCCTTCATGAAGAGCATCACAGGCGCGGCCTTGACGAGGTCTGCTAGTCTCTTGAATAGCTCCTCCTTGGCCTTGGCCGGGTCTACGGCCTCATCGACATCCATGGTGGCGCTGGGGCCATTCTCGACGCCCGGGTTTCCGTTCACGGTGGTGGCGCCGGCGCCGGCAGGCTTCTTCGCGTGTGTCTCAATCGCATTGCGCACCTTGACGGCACTGCTACCGCTGACCGTCTCGAGAACCTGTCCGTTCCGCAGGAGAACAAGGAAGGGTACGGCAGTGACGTTATAGGTCTCGCTGACTTCGCTGAGCTCTTCGGCGTTTATGGAAACCCAAGAAGTCTCTGGGGGGTTGGTGACGGGGTATTCTGAAGCGAGCGTCGAGAGCACAGTGGCCATCTGCGCGCAAGGGGCGGCCCATGGGGCGTGGAAGGAGATGATGTGGAGGGTCGACGGCGGTGTGGAGGCGATATGCTTCTCCCAGTCTGCAAGACTGGTGATCTCTGTGATCGTCGACATGATGCTTTCGTGGATCGCAAGCTTTGCGTGTAGGACTTTGATGCGTCGCGCGGACTTGCAAAGGAGAATTCGAGACAGGAAGGTGCAGAATGGGTCGCGTGGGTTAGCGAAAATCTGGAAGGACCTCTGGAGGACAGACAACTTCAATCGGACGTCGGATCACGAAAATGGAAAGGTCAACGGCTGATAAACCACAGGTCTCCGATACGTGGAGGGGTATATGGAGGGGCAATTTCGTGAGCGAGATTTTTGGGTGGCTGCGGTTATGCCGTATATAGAAGTTTACGCGGTTAGAAAATGGCTTATATGCATATGATGATACAGTTAAACGGAAAATAAGTCTGTTGCGTCATCTGGCGCAAGATTTACGACGCTTAGTTGCATTATTGAAAAACTTACTCAGCCAGGCGCTCTTCAGCTTGCCCCACCACAGCATGAGGGGGAGGGCCGGAGCGGAGAGCGAGAACGGCACGCAGTTCATTGGCAAACCCAGCACAGTGGTGCCACTGTACCCCATTTACCTGTATTAGTACCTGAGCCCACTGTACGGTTACCCCTCTGCCTGTATCCGTACCTAAGCTGCCCTACCTGGCCTCTCTCAGGCGTGTCCCTGCCCCGCTTCGACACTTGGCAGAGAACAACTGCGCAACCCGCTGCCCGCGTATGGAAAGCCAGTGGGACCGTGCTTCACCTCCCAAGTTCTAGTTCCACCTGTGCTGCGCCTCTCCAACTCTCGGCTGCCCACGACTCTGCAATACAGGCGGTTGGTTTGCTACGTCAGCTTCTTGCCCGTAAGACACAGGCGGCTCCGACGGAGATCTGTACAACCTGCCCTCTTTCTACTTCCTTCATTTTAACCCCATTTCTCCCAATCTCACCCACCTTTTGATCATCTAACGACTAAAGACCACTGCTTGTTAAGCTCATAGGCCAAACTCGCAATGGCGTCACTCAACCTGTCCATAAACGGACCCTCGATCAAGAGCAGCTACCAGAGCGTCATCAATGGCCCGCCTCCGAGCTCCAGCTCACCGACATACGCTCAATGGGCTCTGTTCTCAGTTCAAGCCCCTCTGGCCAATGCCTTCCAAGATAGCGGTGCTAAGGAGAGTGTGCTCAAGGTCCAAAGCACTGGAGGTAGGTTCCCGGTCTTCTCCCAAGCTACCGGCGTTGCTTGGTGAGACATGCGCTGACATTTGGTTTCTCTTGCAACAGATGGTGAACTTTCGGAACTGATCGAGGACTTCAACGAGGGCCGCATCCAATTCGCTTTCGTCAAAGTTAAGGACCCCAACTCTGGCCTTCCCAAGCACGCCCTGATTGCCTGGTGTGGAGGCGGTGTCCCTGAACGAACCAAGGGCTACTTTACCACTCACACCGCTGCTGTGTCCAAGATTCTCCACGGCTACCATGTCCAGATCACCGCTCGTTCGGACAGCGATCTCGAGCCAGAGAGCGTGATGCGCAAGATTGCCGATGCCTCCGGCGCCAAGTACTCAGCAGGCGGCTCCACGGCTTCCCCAGCCCCACCGCCAGTTGCTTCCAAGCCCGTCTTCACTCCTACCACATCATCGGTTGGGTCTGTCAACCCAATCGTGGCCGCACGAAACCGCAAGCCGGCAAACGTCGACGACGATGGCTGGGGAGCAGATGCTCCTCCGGTGACCCGGTCGCAGCTGGAGAAGGTTGCGCCTGCCTACAAGCCTACCAAGGTCAACATGGCCGAGCTCACGAAGCAGCGACAGGAGCCGTCCCATTCGAATGGAAGCAGCACTCAAGAAGACCGCAGCGATGTTGTGAGGGGTGGATACCAACCCATTGGCAAAGTAGATATTGCTGCCATCCGTGCAGCGGCTAAGGAAAAGACCGACGACCGGCCAACTCCCGTAAAGGGTGCGTACGAGCCTGTTGGCAAGGTTGATATCGCTGCTATCCGCGCCAAGGCACAGAAGCCTTCCGAACCAGAACCCGCTGCCGAGGAGGATGAGCGACCTAAGTCCCTGGCCGAACGTAGTGCCGCATTCAACCAATCCCAGTCGGAGCGACTTACGTCTCTGCCGAAGCCAAAGGTAGCCAACAAGTTTGGGGGGTCTACTTTTACCGGCACCAAGGCGCCCACACCCGGTGGTCCCGGATTCGGCGCACCTTCTGTGCCGTCTGCTGCCCCTGTTGGCGCTGCCAGTCGAACCTTTGCTGACCAAGGTGGCAAGACGCCCGCTCAGCTCTGGGCTGAGAAGAAGGCTAAACAAGGAGGCTCGGTTTCTAACGTTGTGTCGCCTCCAGTTACTTCTCCCATTGGCGTTCAGAAGAGCGGCGAGTGGAAGAGTGGCTACACTGGCAAGTCCTGGGCCCCTGTTCAAACTGGCGATTACGGACGTGGCATTGCTGGCAAGCTGAGTCAAGAGAATACTGGAGAGCAGGAGCGTGAGGCGCCTGCCTCCCCTAGTGGTGGCGTTGGTGCTCTCCGTGACCGCTTCAAGGGTACGGCTCCCATTGCCGTTGGAGCTGCCGGCGTCGCTGGAGCTGCCGGCGCCGCTGCGGTCTACGCCTCGCGCGACGAGCCTGAGGAGGAGGAGGATTCCGCGCCTCCTCCCCCGCCTGCCGACAGTCGCCCTGCTGGTGGATTTGCCCTCCCTGGCATGCCTCCCCGGCCCGCACCCGAGGAAGAAGAGGAGGAAGAGGAGCAGGAGCCCTCATCACCCATCCGTGTTGCCCAGCCTGTGGCTCGCGGAAATGACGTTGAGTTGGAACCACCCGTCGAGAGAGAACCTCCTAGACCTATCCCCGTTCAACAAATCGAGGAGGAACTGCCGAGAGAAGAGGAACTCCCTGAAGAGACGCACGATGTTGGCCGCGGTGCTGCTGAGGCTGTCGCAGAGCAACAGTTTGGTCAGGAGCAAGTGACTGCGGGTCAAGCACAAAGCGGTGGTCACCGTGCTCTGATTCAGTACGATTACGAAAAGGCGGAGGACAATGAGCTTGAGCTTCGCGAGGGCGAGTATGTCACCAACATCGAGATGGTTGATGAGGACTGGTGGATGGGTACCAACTCTCGTGGCGAAAGCGGTCTGTTCCCCAGCAACTACGTAGAACTCGTTGACGACGAGCCCGAGCCGGCACCGGCTGCGCGGAGTGCACCTCCCCCAGCGCCGGCTCAAGCGGAGCCGGAACCGGCGCCGGCGGCCGGCAGTGGCCAGACAGCCACGGCCCAGTTCGATTACGAGGCTGCCGAGGACAACGGTAAGATGAATTCCCGCCACTACGACATGAGCTGTCTCTAATTAATAAGCAGAACTTTCGTTCCCTGAGAACGCGACGATCACAAACCTCGAGTTCCCTGATGAAGACTGGTGGTTCGGCAGCTACGGCGGAAAGCAGGGCCTGTTCCCCGCCAACTATGTCCAACTGGACAACTAAGTATGGGTTGATGACAGCAGATAGAAAAGTCTTTGTGACGGCCAGCGAATTAGTCTTGCTTTGGACCCCCCTTAGATAGCTATTTACATTCTTAGGTTGCAGTGGGTCCAAGGCACTTGGTAGGAGTTAAAACTCATTATCGTACTGCAACCTGCTCCTGATCTATGTTTGGTTGTGATAATTTGGTGTTATCTTTTGGTCACAGATTCTGCCAGGCCGTGAGTCTGCTCGACATAATTCCATACCATCCATGATCAATTTGCTGAGTAAGTAGTTTGTTGTCTTATTCCGTAAATCTGGGGTAACGAGCTGGTGACGCAAAAGTGCATCATAGCTACGACAGTGCCAATCCGAACAAGAAAGGAGATGCTGCAATTTGAGGTGCCTCTGTATGTACGTTGTTTTATTTTTGTGTCGATAAATACAACAACAAAGCCATTAATGCGGAGGGATAATACGCGCCGCCCCCGGGAGAACCTCATACCAAAGGAGTGAGAGAGAAGACGCGCCGCAAACGCCAATGGGTGTAACAAAGTAAATCGAGATCACGTTATACCCATCATGAAATCCCCTCTTATCCGACCGCCTATCCCATCATTCGTCCTTGCATCCCATTTCTTTAAGCCGTCGTCTGCGAGGCCTTTGCGCCTTGATAGCCATGGGAAATCGTCGGTGCCTTTCACCTTTAAAAAAAAAACAAAAAACAAATAAAACCCAAAAAATCTCCTGCCGGCCGGCCCTTTGACTCCCTCTGAAAGTGTCGAGCATTACAGTTTTTTCGTGTCGTTCGCGGACCCCACTTTCCAAACATCAAAGACCGTGGTTGGCACACGACAAATGTCAGTTGGGTCTTTGGGGGGATCTTCCCCATCCCCTCATTTGTTTAGCAGATTTCGAAGCAGCATTCGCAACTGCGGTGATAATTAGCACATGATTGAGGATGACTAGGTCTCATGAGTGGTGGAGGCTTACCATTCTGCGCAACATTCGCACGTCTCATCAATGACGCAGCAACAGCACAGCGCGGCGAGACATGCTGTCAGACAGTTTCCGCCGCCCTGCTTCTTCCTGGGCGCCTGCTGAGGAGGCTGCTGCTGGTACTGCATGGGTGGCGGGCCGCCTTGCGGGTAGTAGCCGCCTTGCTGCTGCTGGTAGCCTTGGGGAGGGCCATAGGACTATCAACGTGTTAGTTGGCTGTTCATTTTTTTGAGGCGCAAGCCGGGCGCAGGCATTTCTTGGCCCAAAGCGGCGAAGACAGGCACTGCAATCCTTCAACTCGCAAAAGAGTCAACAAGTAAAGCTTACAGGTTGAGGTTGCTGAGGGTATCCGCCACCAGGAGGGCCGTAGTTCTGCTGCTGGTAGCCGCCCTGGTTGTAGTAGTCGTTGCTGGCCATGTTTGTTCGAGTGATGTTTGCTTTTACTCCTCTCGTGTTTGGTCTTGGTTGGCTTCTGAAACGAAGTCGCTGATGGAAGGAGTATGAATGAAATCGATTGATCAATTCAAGAAATGCGCGAAAAGTTGAAGGTGCGAAAAGATAGGTGTATGTATGAATGTGTGTGTGAGTGTGTCGTGGGTGAGATTAAATCCCAAGACTCGAAGGGAAAAGAGTGGGCGAACCTATGTCGATAAAAAGGCCCCCAAGTGGCCCCAGTGACAGGTCTTGGGTGCAGCTGCTGGGTACCTAAGAAGGCTGTGGAAAGCTGTGCACCCCTCCCTGCAGAAGGGTGCAGTCGCTGCTGTACCCTTACCCACGCCCAGCCATCGCAGGCACAGCCTGTGCTTCGGGGAGAGCGAAGCCACTGCGGGGCCGAAATCGAAGCTTTTTCCTCGCCCACTCGAGCAGCCCAGGTCACCCACTGTAATTAGCAGACCTTACAATTGGTTGGTGCATTTAACTACGAAGCACTGCGTAATAGAGAGAAACAGCGGGGATAGATCGGCATGGTATTCCCGACCAACCTTTAATGAGGCCATGGATTGATTGCGGAAAAGCTCTGCGCCCTAGTGCGAGATGCCTGACGCGTGAATCTTCCCGAAGAAGTGAGCTGCGGTATGTCCGTACAGGGCCATAGAGCCAGCGCAGCCACACTAGTTTAGCTGGCTGGTTGACGAATGAGTAAGGTGTTTGGGTGGGTGTGTGTGTTAGTGTTAGTGGCGGTGGTGATGCGTCCACCTTTTTTTTCTCCCTCTGGTATGGTAGCCTTTTGCGAGTCGGCGCCAGTCCCATGCTTTGAATTACAGGTATCTTCTGTCGCTGGGCGTCATCCGTAGGTAGTGGCGGAAGCGTGGAAACAGGCATCCAACAATCACTACCTGACGGTAGTGGCGGCCCATCCTTTTCGCGCCCTCGCGTCCACTCGGTTTTCGTATATGGCGAAGCATTGACAACAGTAACACTCCCAGATTCGGTGTATCGGTATATGCCGCTGAATTAAGCTCGGAGTTGCAAATGTGGGCGAGAGTCTTTTCCATCTGCAGAACCGCTTGTTGCACGTAGCTAAGCTTTTGGCTAGGACGCCCGTCATTTCTGCCCGTCTCTGGAATCGTCTCACCAAACATTGATACTTTTCGGCCCACGTGTGGGTGCAATCAGTCACACGCCCGCTCTTTTTAGCATCACCGGATCTGTCTCTGCCTCTAACGAGACAATCGTACGCATAGCATCTGGCCAACTTCGACCATACACGGCCCGACATGATCTTCTTTGACATAAGTCACTCAGTCACTCACTCAGCACGATGGAATCATGTACCGGGGATCAAATCCCCCACTGACGCACCAAGTTAAAACATCAAGTGTCACTGTTTGACGACTAAGCCGGGGGAGGACTGCGGAGTCACCACTTTTCGCGCTACATACTGGATCCGAATCTTCAGACCATTATCGCGACAAGGGACACAGGGGACCCACCCAAGCACTGCGATTACTAGTACTACTCTACTTATAGTGTATTATGTACACAAAAGTAGTACCATGGCCCTGCTGTTTTGCTGACGAAATGCCGTATCCGTACCCCATGCAAAAACCTCGATCTGCCACTGGGACTTCGTCCCTCGCCCACCTAAGGGTAGCAGGCAAGGTGCACCGCGCCCACCGCTAACGTGACCACGAACCAACGGCTGTTGCCCACCCCCCAGTCAGCCAAATCGGCTGGAAACGTGCCGCATTTCCACGGGGAACCGTATCGATCTGACAGAATCAACTGGTCTTGCGAAACTCACCACAAGGGTTGCCCCGCCGGGCCCTCTGACAGTTCGCCCTGGAACCAAACAATGCAGGGCCGTAAAGCAAAGGGAATCGGTGGTGGTACCTGCCCTAGGCGCGCCAAGCTTTGCGGCAACGGCTGTCTCGACGTTGGGCCCAAACTCTCCCGTCCATCCTTCACCGTGTTTCCGTCCTTGAACTGTAGCCCTGGACCCGGCCTCCCTTTCTCCTACTACGTACGTACTAGCAGTTTGGTCGCACAATGGAAAGAAAATAGAATAAGGGCCTGGACTATACATTATTCTCCTCGAAAACGTAGGCGTAATCTACGCGTAAACCGCCCGCCAACGGACGCGACCGTTTCTCGTTTAGTATGAGCAAGTAATCCAAATCACACTCGCTAGCCCACTTGCTGCACAGTGGCTTAGTTACACACGTCGTTGGGCTCACCCAAACTACTTGCATACCACTCTAGCCTCGGAGCCGACACGGGCGTTTGTCGTACACCCCTTCTACTCACCTGGTTAGCTGTAATCAGTCATTGAGCCATGTTCAATCAGTCAGTCCCATGCAAAGCTGGAGCCACATCGTTCACGAACAAGGTAACCCGGAGCTCGTTCTCGGGTCTCTCCGACGTTCGTAATTAAGAAAGTTTGCAACAATGAGAGCAACGGAGACGGAAAGAATTTTGAAAATTCCGACGAAAAGGGGGAAAAGAAAAAAAGAAAAAGAAAAAGCAAAGACGCGAGGTGAAAACCCGGGAATTACAAGGGAAAAAAAAAGGAAAAAAAAAAAAAAAAAAGAAAAAAAAAACCACCACGCCGATGAGGAAAGACAAACGTTTGATCGTCCAGTCAAGCCTTTGACAAGCATTTTCGACGAGTGGAGCACCCGGCGAACTCAATCCATCTCCGCCCCCTTCCCACCCCTTACCCACCCCTTCGCGCCCTCTCTCTCCCTCTGTCTCCCTCTCTCGTTCTCTCTGTCAGCCATTCCACTCACCTTGTCTTGCGAAAAATTGATATAGCCCTTGCAGAGCGGTGGGGTGTGTGCTCGCCGATCAGCCCAGTCAAAGTCCAGCGGCGTAACCCCCAGTGGTGCCAGATACTCGGCGTCGTGCCAAGAAGGATGGCTGCCGGGCGGATGTGAGATGCATCGCAGACGCCAGTCAGCCTGTTGTCTTAAAAACATAGTGACATGAGCGAATGGACGGGGCTCACTAGCTTTTGGTGTGCACTACAGATTACGTACGCACGGGACGACGTCAGATGTTGGAAAATGTCATATTGCTTGCTGTATTTTTCTTCGCTCTCAATCGTATCACACGTTCGTGTCTCTATAGTACTTTGTAGATGGCGCAAAATGCTCAACACGTATTATACACTATTCAACCAATGTTTCATGCCTTCATGATTACTTCTCCGGCCTTTTCCACCACATGTCATCGTTCGTACCTCGGCAAGGGTTCTGAGCCTCCTGCGTGGCCGGACTGTCCAGCGCCAACTTCTGTCCTGTAGCTGTACTGCTCGCCGTAATCATCTTCATCGGCAAGCGCCGGTGCCGATGGTTCTGGTGCATCTGCCGGCGGCGCTGATGCGCTGGGGCCTGCGTCATAATCGTCTGGGAATTCCGGCGGAGCACTGGCTTCGTTCATCAGGCGTTGCCGCTCTAGTTCTTGCTTGTCCTCCGCTCGACCTCCGTGCCCGGTAGACAGGTCATCCAATGTCGGTGCTGAGGGCTGCACAAGACTGTGATTTCCTTCATGAGGTGTGGGCGTCTCTGGCGGTGGCTCATCTTCAGCATCGTAAATGTTTGGCTCCGGCGGTGCTGATGCTCCCGACGGACCTGCTGCCGAAGCCTGAGGCGGTTGGCTTGGCAGAAGTCTTTCTTCTTGGCGTCGTGCTCGCTCCTTTTCCGACAAGTTGTTGTCGTCTTGAATTTGTGGCGGAGGGATGTACGCGGGCGCCTGCATCTCTTCCGGCGGACTCGTGGGCTGTATTGTAATTGTCGGCCGTCGATTCAGAGGTCCCGGTACCTGAGGGGTAGTTGGAGGCCAGTAACTCTCGCCGTCGTCCGCACGAATATCGTCCAGTGGCCAGGGACTTGTGATCTCCTCCCTGCTCAGTGACTCTTCATGCAGTTGGTATGTCCGTACAGTATTACTCCGCCCACGTAGCCTCGTGCTGTCCGTCGTCCCCAGAATGACCTCGAACACCACCGATATTACTCCTTTCTCGCGCCGTAACCGGTCCGTGTCTATTACATTGCCACCCCAGGACGTGAGCACTGCACTGTTGCCTTCTGTAACGCCAGATCCAGGGGCAAACTGTGCCACTCTCGACTGGCCGCCGCCTTGAAGCTGGCTTGCAAGCCTGCCACCTAGGTCGACCAAGACCTCGACCTGGTACTTGAAGCTCACCATCTCACCAGGCACGCCTTTGATCGTTGGGAACACATCTTCAGGTACTTTGACTGAGGCTGTCACTGTTGTTTCTAGTGTTGCAGGGTCGATGATCAGAGGAGCGACCGATTGTGATAGGTCCTTCCGAAAGACGCTGAGCGACGAGGTGGAAGTCAACGACAGACCACCGAGGCCCGTCCGTGATCTTGGGTAGTAGTCCTCCTTCGCAAGCTTGCGAGTCTCTTCTTTCGTCATTATATTGGCGAACATTGAGGCTGGAGGCGCCGTATCAATTCGACCTTGGCGGTACATGGTGACTATAACACCATGCATACTCTTTATCCTCTTAATGTGCTGAACAGAGACCTTGACCGATACTGTATCTCCCGGCAAAGCACCGCCTTTGAGCATCTCAATGGTTGCCGTAATCGTTTTGTCGTCCACGGCCTGCATTTTCGAATTCGTCAAAGAATTGCTAGGAAAACGAGGTTCGGCTCGTGTCAAACTGATGCCTGTGCTGGAGCTGATGGTGCTGTCACCGCTGACTTCGCTCTGTATATCTGTATGAGTCGGGCTACGCGGATGCTCAAGCGGATCGTGTGCGGGCTCGTCATTTGACGCTGCCGGATCGGGGGTGACTGCTTCGCGTTGTTCCATGTCAGACCCATGCTCGGCTGATTCCAGCGCGGTAACAGCCTTGTCGCCTCCTGTCCTCTTTCGTCTTGATTTCTTGGATATAGGCTCGAGGTAGATGGTCCTGGGGCGTGGGGGCGCAAGAGGTCCGATGTCTACCTGTTCCACCAGCTGAATTTTGCGGTCGCAAGTCGTCGTTGGAGATATCGAGGTCGGTCGCGTGAGCGTTGCTGTAATCATGTAGGAAATCGTCCCTCGTTCAAACTGGCGAGGCGCGTCAGCGATGCTCTTCCGCAAGACTTAAAGGACGGAGCCCGGACATACATCAATGCTGCTGGGCAACCCCTTTTCAGGGAATACTAAATCAAAATTGAATTCATATTTCGAAGCCTCCAACCTCCCCTCACCGCTGAGCACCTGCTCGTCTTGAAAGAGCGAAGCGTAGCCATTTCCATGGTACTGTGCTGACGACCGACCGGACAACGCGGGATTCGCGACGGCTGGCTCACTGACGGCGGGCCCCTTGTGAACGCGAACATAGCCATGCAAAGTAACGGTGAGGTGAGTGATGCGGACCGGCTTAACAACCGTCAAGACTACAGCGCCACGAACATGGTCGCCGGCCGAATACTGACGGTGGGGATCGTCGGGGCGGACGTGGAAGTCGGCCAGATTACGCGTACGCGAACGGATTGGCAGGGCGAAGCGGGAAAAAAACGAGCGTGTGGACGAGGTTGTTTCTTCGACGGAGCCGTTGGAATGCGAATAAGCGCCCATGTATGCAGCGACTTGCGGGCCGGGCCTTTGGCTGTGTCGTGGATCGGTCGGAGTCGGTGGTGGTGATGGGGGGCGGAGATGGGGGTCGTGGCCGTGATGTGGTGGTGATGTCGGTAGCGGCAAGGGACGGCAAGGAGGTGGTGGAGGCGCGAGGACGGGAGGCGAGCGATGGACGGAGATGTGGGAGGGGGCGCAGCAAAGGCGACGACGGTTGCACCCTCAACGTCGACATGCAACGACGGGATTCGCAAAGCAGCGCCTAGTGGCTCGCAGCGCTGAGGTGTAGCCGGAGGCTGTAGCCTTAGGCGGGGGAGGAGATGGCGAGACAAGTGAGCCTGGCTTACGAATGGGCACTCAAAGGCGACAGCTCTCGACTGGCGGCAGGACCGGGTCCACGAGGTCTCGTTATGTCAGGACGGTCAAGGACCTGTGCTTCGCGATGGGACTGGGAGGGGAATTGATTTGATGATAGAATACCAGGCTGGGATCTGAGAGATGCTGGCAGCGGATTTCTTGGTTGCATATGCCAAGAGCGAAGAGGGAGCCTTGCCAAGAAAGCTTCGCTTTTTCTGGAAATCTTGAGGGTTCACAGTCTCAGATTGCCCGTGGGTGCCGGGAACCAGAAGAAGAACAGCCTGAGGCACGGGAACGGGGGGGTAAAAGGGCAAAGGGCAGTTTGGGCAACGAAGAGGGGGGTGCCGGGGCCACGTAGGTGTGTTACTGTGCCGCGTACAAATGGTGCGCGCCGGATGTATATTGCTTTGCGCGGGCCTCGTCTTAGTTGGTTTGGGCCTGTATGGTCTACCACATTCGTGGTAGTCAAAGTACCTATTCAGCTGGCGTGTTGGTGTGAAAGGCCGTCCCATTCGTATCAGTCCACGCCAGGGCAGGGAGGGAGGGGGCAGAATAAGTGGACGAATAAATGGACGAATAAATGGACGGACGGACGGACTTTGGAACCAGACCAGACCTTGGGGAACCGCAGGAAGGAGGAGCCTGTATCAGTGACAATGTTACAGTGAGAGCCAGCGTCAACCAACAACTTCGTGGTTGGCTGCACTAACATCGAAAGAGCCCCATTTCCAATGCGGAAGGACGGCACCAAAGAACGGGGGGAGGGGGCCGGTCGTTTTGGGCTGGCAAAGAACGGGGGGAGGAAAGAAAAACGATGAAAGGGCAAGGGAACGGATTCTTAGGCGAAACATGTTAGACAGAGAGAGAGAGGGAGAGAGAGAGAGAGAACCAAGGGTACGTACCCTTGATAGTTCAGCTTAGCCCCAAATGAAAAGCGCCTTCCCTGCCTTGGGCTGCTCGCCTCGTCATTGGGGCTGCTTCTCCTGCCTGACTAAGGAACGGGATGGGACTCGGGTACCTCGACTTACCTTCCCGGACAAGGAAGAGCCAGACATTCTACTTATGTTTTGGGCCCGCCTGGAGCGTTCTCGTCTGAGCTGCTCTGTGCCCTGCTTAGTCGCCTGCATGTTTACCTCGTGCAGCCAGCATAGTATATACATCTGATGTACTTTTTGGAAGAATGGCCGGCGTAGGATAAGATGCCGACACCCGAATGACGGGCCCTTCAGCACTCCAACGGGGCAATATAACTCACTGGACTTCAGGCAACCAATCAACCGCACAATATCCCGATGCCCGACAGTATTGTGCGGAAGTGGTGCTCTCCTGGGTTGGTACTACCAATCCAAGGCAGCCTTCAACATGAAGCATTTCCAGACATGTTCGAACCAGCCAGCAATGCTCAAGGTTTGAAATTAGACACCGGCTTCCTCTTGTTGTGTCTGCGTTCCCGCCATCGGCATCTTGAATCCTTCTCTGTTTGACGAAACACGCAAGTTGGTACAGAAATAGAAGAAGAAAGCTCGGATAGAGTTAGCAACCTTGAAGTCGAAGTAAGGAAGGGTACATGGGGTTGGTTATTTCACCTTGTTTTTCGTGGATACACAGCCAAACTCAACCGTGATAGAGCTTGCCAAGCCAAGTTCGACAGCAAGATAGTATATTTGCTGCGTGAGTAAGTGGCACACAATGAGGGCCTGTGTCGTTATACCGTTGTGGCGGCGGCGGCGGATCGTACCCGATCTGGCTGCAACCTGGAACCTACGCCCGTCGAAGGGGACACGCAGCTAACTACCTGACCCAAGAGCATAGTTGAGTACAGACAGACCCGGTGCCGGTCCGTCCACCCGTACGTAGCTCCTCCGTTTCGCCTCATCGTCTCACTTGCACGTCACATCTGAGCGTGCACCACAGTGTCGCGACTCGGCCTGTAATCATATGCTCTGCTCTCCACAAGTCTTTGTTTTGTTTTAACCGTCTGGTATCATGCTCTTGTTGTCTCGTCCTAATGCCTTCTCACACCACTTATGTATTGGCATGCGAGAAATTACCATGCTAACTATCTGTCCACCACCCCCTTGTCTCCTCATCCATCCAGCAATATCCAGTCAAGAGTTCCTGGCATCCCATGGATTGCCGATCACCTAACGATCCGCATCAAGTTCCCTCAAACGCCACGTGCTATGCTTCTTTCCGAACTCCGATTCCATGCAAAAAATGCTCCAAAGAATGCCCTCTAGCCTGACATGGTCCTAAAAGGAAAGAAAAAGGAAAGGGAAAAAAAGGGACAGAAAAAATTAATCCAACGCCTCGCCGCTAAGAATGTTGGTCAAGATTGCCGCTCCAACACCCTCGGCGATAGTTTCCATTTCCTTTTCGCCGACGCAACTGGCTACCCGCTTGTCCTCACCCGTAGGCATTGCTGCCTTGCGTCCTCTTTTGCTGGGAGTCTGTACTGCCACGAGCCCGCCCGTCTTTCCGTCAACTGCGTTAATCAGGCCCAACGTCTCCAAGCTTCCGATGACTTCGCGAAACTCTGAACTTGACAGCGGGTGCAGAACAGAATCTCTGGTGCAGAGGATGGAGTACTTTTCATATAAAGTTTTAACCGTCGGGGCGAATGTAGTTTGCGACTTGGTTGGAGTTGCCAAGCCATTTGCCATCTTCGCCGATCGGTTGCGTTTCTCAATGGCCACCAATGAGCACAGTGCAGCCTTCTGCTGAAGATTCAGTGCCTTAAGCCGCTGGTTGGTGCCATTGCTAAACGCTGCTTGGGTGACCTTGTTCAGATGTCCAATGGATGCCCGCGGAGCAGTCTCTGCCGTCAAGGCTCTCAGAGACGCTGCCGCAACATGGGACACGCTTCTGGATGACCCCCCGAAGGCGGAAGTGTTGGCCTTTTCACACAAAGGCTTTCGCGAAGGTGTCATCTGCAGAACTTTTTCCCTTGCTTCGGTTTCGTGCTGCTGTCTAGTTTCTGACTCGATCAGGTCAAGTGCTCGCCTGCAGATCTCAAAAGCCTTTCGGAGGTCTCCCGTCTGAGTTGACACCTTCCGCGAACAGAGTTCAATAGCTGCCGGGTGAATAAAAGGGGTCGATGTCTGCTTGCTATCACTCGGGAGCAACGTCATCAGGCGAGTAGTGATGATGCTCTTGATCTGAGCTGCTGAATACGGGTGAAAGGGGAGGAGAGACGGTTTGAGGTTCTTGGATTTGAGGCGTGGCAGAAATCGATCCGTAAGGTCGAGCGCATTCGCAATGCCGATCAAAACGAGTCGCGATGGCTGCTGCAGGGACCATTCAAACAGCCGGTATAGGCTCTCTAAGCCCATTGTCAGGATGTGGTCGATCTCGTCCAAGACGACGAGATAGACAGGGGAGTCTTTCTTCTTCGTCACAAAAATCTTTTGCAATGCTTCCATTGCTGCCGTCTCCTGCAGGTCGCTTTCGTGCCCCAAAAGATCGAGCAAGGTGTTGTAAAGGTCCTTGGATGACTTGATGCTCATGCAGTTGATAGTTGCTTGTCGCACGGTTGCCGACTCCATCAGCGACTCTGTAACTTCTTTTACCATCGCACTCTTGCCGGTTCCAGGCGGCCCACTAACGTAAAGACATCCACTGGCACTGGAAGACGAGCATTCTTGGACAAACTGTGTCAATTGCTCCCGTTCTTGTTCTCGTCCCACAAGTTGACCGGGGTCGGCACCGCGAGCGAAAAGTTGTCGCGCAGAGTGGTAGACAGTTTGAAGAGAGCCGGGAGTTAGTGGGGACTGCGGTGTTGTGCGCTGGAAAAGTCTGCCTGCGGATTTGACAACCTGTCGAGGAGTAGAAGGGGAGTTGGCAAACACATCTCTGTGTCGTGGGGTCTGAGGTGTGATCGGAATTGACTTTAGGATAGTCTGAGAATGGCTACGCCTGAGCGTCTTCGCGGTGGGCTCGACATAGGCATCATCCTCAAGCTGGACGTCGCTTTCGGGTGTAGCAGTTGCCTCTGGATCCGCGTTCTCGTCGTTCTCCTGTGCAGCACGGGTCTGTCGTCTCGTACGTTTCGCGGGAAGCTGTACTTCTTCTATGGCAGAAGTCAGAAAAAAGCGTCTCGGCCATTGGAGCGTCTCGTCAAGCTTACCTTGGTCTTGGACACTCCTTGTCCGCTTGCCAAGTGAGGTACGAGACATTATAATGAATTACTGGAAAGAGACACTAGGTATTTGATAGTTGACATAAAAACAAATTGGGAAGGCACTCTCGAGGCTTTGACGAGCATGAAATAGAAGAAGTTGGTTAGAATGGGTTTGCGGCTGCAAGTGGAACTGCAGAGTCTTAATTAAGTGGTAGGCGCGCGCAGGAGCGATGACCGGGGAACGACGCGATCCAGGGTCGCGGGTCGCGTTCTAACGCGATTTCAATTAAACACGACCTTGAATGTGGCTAGTTCAACCCGTGCCACCCCTGCATGGGCGGCGCTTCTTCTAACGCTTGGTCCGTGCCTGAATCCTGTCGCTTACCTAATGACTGGAACACAAGGCGAAGGGGCGCAGTTTGTCAGTGATCATCTGCCATTGCCTTATCACCCCTGAGCTCCACTACGCTTCCCCGCGAAGTGTGGCAATTGAGAGACAGGAGCGGAGTTGCCCGGTGATAGTAGCATCAAAGGCGGTCTTGCCCGCCTTCAAACGATAGTGCCAAAACCATGCCTCTTTCTTCCTGTACTTTCTGAACCTCCTCCGTAATGATCCTCAGAGCTACATACCCTCTTTCAACTTTATCATTATTGGCGTATGGTCTTGGGTGACTACTTTGTCTCACCTAATACAGCTCAGATCTCACACGCGGGGCGACTAGCATTCTTGACGACCTTTGCTTGTTGCCCCTCTTTCATTTGACTTCATTCTGATCTGGAGTTACATACCATTATTCTTACCAAAACATTGAATAGCTGCTGTTTCAATTATTATCATGATCGATATAGGCACGCAAGGGTACAACTCCCGTGTGGAGAGCTTCAGGGATGAAGAATACCCCATGTTGAAGGGTATGTAGTCAAAGGTATTGTGATAGTTACTTTGGGTCGCTAACATGCTGCTTAGACTCAATCTATCTAGACCATGCTGGATCAACTCTGTATTCGAAGTCCCTCATAGACAAATTCTCTGCGGACATGATGTCGAATCTACTAGGCAATCCGCACTCAGCGTCTTCGCCGTCCCAGTACACAACTTCCCGAATCGAAGACATTCGCCTTCGACTTCTCGGTTTTTTTCATGCTGATCCAGTAGATTTTGATCTGGTATTCGTGGCAAACGCCACTGCTGGCATTAAACTTGTTGCTGAAGCCTTTCGGGCGTCACCAGACGGGTTCTCTTTTGCGCACCACGAAGCATGCCATACCAGCATAATAGGGGTTCGTGAAGAAGCGCGTAACAGTGAGTGTCTTGATGATTTTCAAGTTCAGAAATGGATTTCTGGGGAGAGTCCTTTTCCCGACTCCAATTTTTCTCAGCGAGACGTGCTTTTTGCGTATACGGCTCAGTCTCATATGGATGGTCGTCGTTATCCTTTGGCGTGGACAACCCTGTTGCGACAATCAAGTGCCTCATCAAGAGGCCGGTTTTTCACCATTCTAGATGCCGCTTCGCTAACTGCGACTTCCCCCTTGGATCTCAGTGACGCAGATTCAGCTCCCGATTTCACCATTTTAAGTCTTTACAAGATATTTGGCTTCCCAGACCTTGGTGCTCTGATAGTTAGGAAACAAGCTGAGCCAATTTTCGATAACAGGCGCTACTTTGGTGGCGGCACCGTCGACATGGTCGTTTGTAGTAAGGAGCAATGGCATTCGCCCAAAGCTATGTTCTTGCATGAAAGACTTGAGGATGGCACACTACCGTTCCACAGCATCCTCGCGCTTGATGCTGCTCTTGATGTCCACGCGACGCTATACGGAAGTATAGTAAAGGTAGCATCGCATACAGCATTCCTGACGAGACGCCTGTATAAGGGGTTGGCAGCCCTCCAACATGGCAACGGTCTCTCGGTGTGCACTATCTACTCGCAACAGAACATCGACGGAGCAGAAACCAGTAGCGGTGGACCGCTGGTTGCATTCAACATTCGCAACTCTTCTGGGGCTTGGATTAGCCTGTACGAGTTCGAGAAATTGGCAACCTTGAAGAATTTGCACATTCGAACAGGTGGTGTCTGCTGCCCTGGAGGCATCGCCTCAGCGCTTGACTTGAAACCATGGGAGATGAAGAGGAACTTTTCTTCCGGTTTCCGGTGTGGGACAGAACAGGATATCATAGCAGGCAAACCAACAGGTATCATTCGAGCAAGCCTTGGCGCCATGAGCACGATATCCGATGTGGACTTCTGTATTAGCTTTGTTAAAGAGTTCTATCAAGAAAGAACCGCGCTTGCCGATGCCATACCCGTACAAAACACTTCCACTCCGCTCATGGGGCTTCAAATTCAAGGGATTAACGTATATCCTATAAAGAGCTGTGGAGGTTATCCAGTACCTTTGGGAACAGCATGGGAGGTGAAACCTGAGGGTCTGGCATGGGACAGAGAATGGTGTCTTGTTCACCAAGGATCAGGGCAGGCTCTCAGCCAGAAACGATTTCCAAAGATGGCTCAGCTCAAGCCCACATTTGACTTCAACAACGGAACACTCTGTATCACCTATCGGGGGGAACAAATACTGCAAGGTCCCAACAAAATACTCATTCCTCTTTCCGAGAATCCGGCTCATTTTGATTCAAAGGCCTCAACTGGAAGAAACTCTCGCGTCTGCGGCGACAAAATTACACCGCAAATTTATAGCTCCTCCGTCATCAACGGCTTTTTCAGCGATATTCTTGGGGTTTCGTGTTTGCTAGCTCGGTTTCCGGCAGGCGGGCAGGGTCTTGGTTTGCGCCACTCCAAAGCCAAGTTGCAGAAGCATCAGCAAGTCAGGACAGCGGCACCAGCGTTATGCCCGGGAGCTTTCCCAGAACTGCCGTCACCCCCAGATTCGGACTCAGAGCAACCGTCTGGCAATATTCTTCTGTCAAACGAGAGTCCCATTCTCTTGATTAACACAGCCAGTCTGTGTGCATTGAATCGCGATATTGCAGCAAATGGTGGAAAGGCAGTGCCGCCAGACGCATTTCGAGCCAACCTTGTCGTAGGGACAGCAGCTGTGGACTCATGGCAACTCTCATGGGCTGAAGACATGTGGACAAGTCTCTCAATAGGGCAAAATGAGTTCAGTTCAATGGGGTCTTGTCGAAGATGCCAGATGGTATGCGTCGATCAAGAGACCGGCGAAAAACACCAAGAGCCATTCGTAACTCTAGCCAAAGTTCGAAGGTTTGATGGGAAAGTCTATTTTGGCATACACTTGTGTTACAAACCATCCAAAAATCCTGAAGCCAAGCAATCACAGTGCCCAACCATCCGGGTAGGCGATTTTGTTCAGGTAAACACCAAGACGCGATGACAACCCTCATCATTCAAGAGCTCCACAAATACTCTGTCTGTATGAAATGATGGTACGGTTGGTGTAGAGGAGTTAGTTGGTCGCCGTGCTTTGGTTTTTTATTTTCTTTCTTTAACGACGATAAGCAGAGACCGTTGCCACTTCAGAAATAAACATCTTGAGCAACCCCTTGCAATTGCCAGCTGTGGGTTAATATTTCACAGGGGTCAATCAAAGGTGATGTTTGCTATCTACGGTGACGGCTTCAATAACCGCTCAAATTCTTTCCTCATTGGAGCCTGAAAAAGACTTTCTGGATTGGGAATGATGTTGAGTTCTCGTATTGGCATGTCTGTCTCCTGAGACGAGGTAGTATGGTCTACCAAAAACAAGGTTACATGTTTTCATGTCGCTCAAGTTACCTGGATGGGTTTCAATGTTATAAGTGCTTTCTATAACAACTTTATCTTCGGCCTTTTTTCTTTGCTTTAGAAACATTGAACGAAAGACCATGACCAAGTCATGGGCAAAAACGGCCCAAAGCTTGTCTCCGTGCCGCCACAAATCTCCTGGATGCCGACACTTTAATTGATTTTAGGCAGCTTGGCTGACTACAGTGCGCCGTTTTGAGACACCTGATCTTACTGTCGACCCGCGTCCGTGCGCGGTGTCCTGTCCTGCAACTGCAAGGCGCACTGGCTGCAGCTCGAGTACATAGCCAGCATGCCGCCTCCCTTCGAAATTGATCATCCATCACCATTAGGACTCTTTCTCTCCGCGGCCAGTTCTACCATGGTTTGACTCCCCCAGGTTCGTGGGGCTATTCCCGAATTCTGTTCGCCTGTCTCGTCGGCTATTTCGGTAGCCTGAAGTAACGGCATCCCCCCCCCCGCTTGGTTGCTTGCTCCCCCTCGTCTTCAAGCTTCCATGTGACCAACGCATGGCCTCCGCGACGTTTCGCCGAACTTCGCGCCGTTATCTCACCAACATGTCTTGGACATTCTGACTATTGGTAATATTGTGTCCCGAGAACAGCAAACTATTGCATGGGCTATCCTGTCAAGCCACTGGCTACACTTGGATGTGGTAGCTTTTCCTTGTCGTCAGGTGATTGCGCCATAATCTGCCACTGGCGATCGTTGGTCCAAATGGCCGCGAAATAAACCTGGCTTCAGAAAAGTGCATTGTATGGCTCGGCGACGCCCTCAACTTCTTCGCTTCTCAGCCCTGCAAAGGTATGTTGATCATCTCCTTTGCTGCGTCTGCTTGTTGTCACAGGCTGTCAGGCTAACTTCGCCGGTTTAGTTAGTCTTGCAGCATGCCCGTTCGATCGTTGCGATGCTGGGTTGAGCAGAGTGACAACTATTCGATATTTTGAGACCCCGCAATCCCTATTCGGTCCCTGCTGTTGCGCACATTTTCACCTCGCATGCCCACTTGCACGCCCGGCCATAGTACGTGACACCATTCTGGCACCTAATATGCTGGCTCTAAGTTGGAGCGCTTTAAACACCAGAAAGGAACCTTGCAGTCTCAATTTAGGTCGAAAATGGGGGGGGATCATAGGGACCAGAAAGATGCAGGACAAGGGAAATGAACGCCAGTACAGCGGTTTGGACTAAGGAGCAGAGTACACCTTTTCCAATCTCTGGCCCCTCGCATCTCGTCCTGGGCAGGACGTAAAAAGGCCCATGACGTTGCAAGGAAGCAACAAATGAACGGCAAGATCTATGGCATTGGGGACCATTTGGTTTGCATTATGGTTATGATTCTCGTTATGGAGTCACATGTGGTATGGCCCTGGTTCTCCCTGCCTCCGAATTCTACTAATCGAGAACAGTAATGATCTCTAGACTTGTGACGTTTCCAAGGCTGGGCAACCAAAACGTACGGCTGCATCTCGTTCATTCAGTGATTAGAGGCTCGGATACTTTACCTAATTCTGATGTTTGCAACGATAATGATATGTTAGTCTTGGGCTTGGGTATGCTTGGTTCTTTTACCAACTCTGGCGCAGAATAGTGAGTCCTCACGCACAAGTTGTTAAACTCTTCGTCAGACTAACGCACATGGCAGGACACGGAAACGGAAAATAACGGCGCCTTGATCATGGTTTGTCCTGGGCAGGACGTTAAAAGGCCTCGATCTTCGATATCATCGAGTCGAGATCGAATGGTTGGGTTTGTCAGCGTTATGGGAAGACGTCCCAACGCAAGGAGGAGTGCGGATGACGATCCCATCTTCGGCAACCCAGAAACGCCAACTGGCGTTATGTCCTGGAACGCTCGGTCCTTGAGCGATGGACGGTAAGGTCGTCGGTAGAGCCAGGCAGTGGCACCCGACAATCCTTGACTACTCGGAACCAACATGATGGACTGATCCATGTTCGGTTTGAGAACTTAACTATGACGGTATGCGATCGCATGGTCGGCCGTCGTTCAGTAGCTGACTCTATATGGCATGCGGTCAACATTGGCGCACCGCTATGGAGTGACTTCCTCCTTGCGGACGACCTATCCGCGGAGAACTGATCTCATGCAAATATTCCCTCAGATACGAAGAGGTTGAACCCCCTAGGCGCTCTTGTGGGGGACGAACAATACAGCCTCCTTGGGCTCTCTTCTAAACGAGTCAACGGGAATTCTGCTGGGGTTCAAAAGTATTGTGATTATACGTACTGGGTTATTGCCCCTCTAGCGACTCTGCTATTGGGGCAGGATACTGCTGCATGATACGGTGGTCAACTGTCAGAAAAGATCGAGTGACACAACCGCTGTCGTGGAATGACAGACGGAGGCACGATCAACATCCGTCCGACGGCTCGAGATGTTGGTCCTGTCTATGTGCCGTCCAAGCGGGGTCCTTTCTGAAGGAGATAAGCGTGATAGTAAGAGCGATATGCCGAGGTCGACTTGTCAATGCCAACGACTTTGACGCGGCAGAGGCTACTTTGCTCCGGAGCCAGCATCTCGGACTAGGCCGAGGAGGACCTGCCCCACGAACCACGCCATCATCCATTTACTGGGTGCCGAATGCGTGGGGCTAACGTTTGGAATGGAGGCTTGTTGGCCTCAAGAGTTTGGGCTGGTCGCGTCTCTCAGATGCGGTCACATCTGTGGCCGTTGAAAAAAGCTCTATGCTCGATCTCAGGTTCGGGGTTCGTGCGGTGGAAAAAAAAAGTGTCAACGGTGTGACAGCAGGTGGGGGATTTCTGTGCAGAGAGAGATGACTCTTGATTCTCTATATACATATATGTTATTAGTCCTGGGCAGCCGAAATTCAAACCTGACATTTGTCCCCAATGAACAGCTCTCTATTATGTGTGCGATATGGCCGGAATTTGTTAGCTGGATTCTTCTCAGGGCTGGCTCACTTTCCAATATCTAGTTTTCGTTTCAAGTGCCTACTTCGCCTGTATGGTTCGTATGATTCAAAAATATCATCTCACAGTTCAAAAGAAGTGTGATGTCTCAGGCACCATGTATATCCACCGATGATGGCATTTGACATTCCATACTCAGTCGGAGAAGGCAATTTGCTTCTACGCCTGGCCTAAATTTTGTCGATGGAGCAGTATGTATTTGTAAGGGCAGTAAATTCATTCAACAATACATCCCATCAATCGCCCCTGGTCTCAATGTGTTTACTGTTTGTCGCCTAGTTGGATTTCTTTACCGGCAACATGGTTCTTAGTCCACTTTTCAACGAAGATTTCAAATATGTCAGTCGCTCGACCAAATGTCATTTGTTTACAAGATTGAGCATGGAAATTTCTACATCTCCCCCCTGCCTGCACACGTGAATTTTCACCGTGTACACTATCCTATACCTCAAGAACATGGCTGAAAGAATCAAAGCAGGAGGTATACTGGCGCTTCAAATAGTCTGGTACTTTTCACTAATAACTTCACCTCCTACGAACCAGCAAAACATTGTCAAATTTCCTGATTATCGTTCGTCTTTTTTTAAGTAGACATGCTCAATTTGAAGGGCAATGCAATCTTGAATGCCTCGACAACTGCAGCTTTCACTATTGGCATACAGCGATCGTGTAATATTTATGAGGAGCATTCGTAGCAATGATTTATTGTAATGGCATACTCATATGCCAGAATGCATCATCATGCCAACGCCAATGTAGAAATACAGCCATAGTCTCAAAGGACTCGAATGTAACGCCAGCCGTATCCCATCACCTTGTGAATTTCCATTAACAATTAAATTATTTAGGAGGGCTTGGACCTCTCGTCCAACTAATCGATATTAGTAAGTCGATACAAAAGAATGAGCAGGGGACGATGAGCTTACTTCTGCCACATCTGGCCGATAAATCCTGGCTGAGGCTTTGAGTCGGTCATTGATTGTCTCCGTGCAGCAGTACCATCACCACGCTTCTGATCCATAAGGCCTTGGAAAAGAGTGCCGGAGCTCTGTGCGGGGTAGGATGTCAGTTATGTCATCTCTAACGGGAACGGGGGTGAGGGGTCCATACGCGTCGGCGACCGGTAGGGGAAACGGGAGGGTTGTTGTTCTTTCCAGAATCCATTTTGATGGCGGTTTCGAAGATGTTAACTTGTATGCTTCGATCTGGGACTCGTGAAGGTTACAGTGTTTCAGTGATTGGAATCGATTGTGTGAATGAAGCAGCAGGAAGGTGAAGGAGAGACCGGGGACGGTAGAGCTATATATAAGCAAAGCAACTCAGCTCTTCCGGAGCTGGTCTTAGCTCGACCTGCCAAACAATAGAGTTACCAGAGGTAGCCGTTTAGGGTATTCCAGACCAAATCACCCTCCTTCACAGACGGCTTCGCCAATGGGGACAACGCCCACCCCTCTGATACAAGGGATGCGGGAAAGCTTGTCGATGCGCCGGTCGAACGATGACGGCCTTCACTCGTTCGCCTCCATCACCAGAGGCCTAGCTGGGGAGGCGTTGGTACGTACACGGCCGCCTGGTGGTTACATCAAACTACCCTGAGCGTTTGTGTACGTAAAACACTTTCCCCTCTTAAACTCGCCCCTCAATGGCCTATCCTTCTCATATTGCTATGTAAGCTATTATGCAAGCGCCTTTCGCTGCTCCTCGCTCCCAACTTACCCCGCGCGATATGCCTCGCCGCCGCAAATGATGGTCTGATCACGACCTGTGGCCGAGATGGCTGGCGAACCAGTCAAATGCCGGCGATCCTCAGCACAGGGGCAAGTCGTTTCCTCACATATCTGTCTCTCGTTGAGGGCAAAGCAAGGGGGAACCCATGCACGGGGCTGACAAAGCATGGGAGGCCGAAACGACGTAGTGTACAGCGTGTAATCAGGCACCAGTGAATCATGATATGGGCACGTGATGGTTTGGTCTTTTGTGGTGATGATTGACACCGCGCATATTACCTGTGATGAAGGCATGCTGATGGAATTAGCGAAAGGCGTAAGCCAAAACAGCAGACAAAAGGATTGGGTGTACAGAAAACGTACGTATGCACGAATCATCCGTGGATTCGGTGTTGGGGCCCGCTATGGACGGCAACGATCGTCGACGTACATAGAAAGTGTGGGGAATACGTCACCGGAGAGTATGAGCGCAGCCGGCCGCAAGCGCGGGGAGTAGTGCCGGCTTGCCGCAGGGACCAGTGTCGGAACCAAGAAGCCTGCAGAACCCGCCTGCCCCCTCGTCTCTGGAGGGTTCCATCTCACAACAGGCCCTCTGCCACTGCGCACATAGAATAAGCTGGTACAGTCATGTAAAACAATTTCCACCACAAAACATATTTAAAGGCCATAGGTTCTGATATCCGTGGATATGGGTGGCGGATCTGCTGGCTTGAAGAGTATTGTTTTTAATTAAAGTGCAGTGGCGGGTTTGCAATCGCTTTTTCTGCAGTGCTCTTCTGGAACCTCTTGTGTAAGTGGCTGGCCAGTCGTGGGGAAGAATTTCCTGGGGCTAAGGACCCACTTATAGCGCTCCTTGCATACAGTACATCAAATTTCTTTGTTTTCAATATAATGCTTTATGCGACTACCGGGTAGCCCTCCGCTAACGGAACTTCACCGACGTTGTGCATCCCACCGTCGTCAGTATTCATTCATTAACCGCCCAGCAATGCCTGGTTTGGGGAACGCCACAAAGATCAGCAAGGGACAGTCCTGGGACCTGAAGCAACATGAAACTCAAGGGCTGAAAAGAAAATATTGTCTCCCAGTTGTTTTGCCCGGCTGCTATTTTACCGAATTCGATTTGAAGAACTTATGCGGCCGCACCGAAAGTTACCATGTTAGAGTATCGGATTTCACTGCAAGCATGGCACAAGAACAGAGACTTTTCTTTCATATGAAGGAGTGATTTTTTTTATTGATTGCTGTCTTTGGGGAACAGGAAGAAATGAAGGTGTGGTCATAAAAAAGATTAAAAAGCAAATTCCAGATTTTAAAGCAGAGCAAGTGGGAGCCGCTAGGACTCGCGCAATGCCCGCAACAAGTTTGAAAGTTCCCAATATTGAATCGTTCATCGCTAAAGCTCTTCCATAAACAGTAACTTTCAGATGTTTTCAGAAATGAGAGTTATGTGATGATGATAGTTGTGAAGGTCGAGAATGTCGGACCAATGCCGACTAAGTTGGAACTCTTCATGGGTGTTTGTATGTGTTGACACTGTCAACCACACAGTAGCCTGCCCGAATATAGTTCCAGTTTCGACGATTCTCAGATTTAGTTGCCGATGCCAATACCGCCAATGCCGCCGGGAAGACCGCCAGTGATCTGGGCAATGATGTTGAAGAGAGTCTTGAGGGTGCTGGTGAGGAGTGTGAGAAGGCCGGTGAGGGTGGAAACCAGGTCTCGGAGGCCTTCAAGGTTGGCAATGCCAATGCCACCAGTGCTTTGACCGCCGAGGTCTGTATCTTTGCGTCAGAACGAGCCTGTATATAACGATACCTGTAGAAGAGGGCGACTTACTACCAAGGAGTTCCAAAATACCACCAACCTTGGTGAGGGGGTTCACGTTGGTCAGAGCACCGTTTGTAAGTTTCTGGATGTCGAGAAGCTGGTTGCTCTTAAGGCCGGGAAGGATGTTCAGAAGGCTGGTAGGGCCCAGGTTGTTCAGCAGAGCAGTGTGGTTGCCAAGGATATTAAGAATAGCAAGAGTCAGAAGATCACCCTGAACGGCGTTGAGGCTACCAGCACCTATGGTAGAGGTAATAGGCCCAATACCCGGGAGACCTGAGAGGCCAGTCAAGGCAAAGTCGGCGCCGGGAATACCATTGCCTGGGGTATATGTTAGCATTCGCATCAGGCTACAGACTAGTCTGTGGTGGATTACCAAGGTTCAGAGCGGAAGTGAGAAGGCTGGTGGTAAGAGCCTTTGCAGCATCCACAGCTTGGTTGGGTGGAAGAGGAAGAGAAAGGGCATCGGGTCCGGTGAACGCTGGAATCGGCGGGAGAGCGAAGCCGAGTGCACCAGCATTAGCAACACCCTTAAGGGGGTCAATCAACTTCAGAGGCAGCTGGCGCTCCTCAACATCGCGCTTCACAGGGTTGGCGATAGAAGTGCCGAAGAAGGCGGTAAGAGCCACGGTGGTAGCAGAGAACTTCATTTTGATGGTGAGGTGTTTGAAAAGCTGGTAATTTGAAGAGTGGTAAAACTGTAGACTGAAAAGTTGAGAGAAGAAGCGGCTAACTATCCTGTAGTGAAGGTGCGGTGTGATGATGAGAAGAAATGTCCTGTTGAACGGCGGAAGAAGATGCCTTTTATACTTCATCTGCCTGTCGACATTCGCTATTTGAAGCTCACTTAGTTCTCATGTCCTGGCACGTCATCTGCTCTGCCTTCCGTCTTCGTCGTCATGTTCTCATCTCGCCCCTGTTCACTAAGGGGTGGGATGATTCTGAACGTGAGAGTGTTCTCACTCAACCAGCTGTCTACTCAGCATGCCAGACTCGTGAAGCCTCAGACGTATTCCCATCCAGGCCCATCACAACACTTACACCACCACACATAGAGTCAATATCGGTTCAGCTTTCCAGCCGCTGGACCCTGAGCTTAGGGCTAGGCTCTAGCCAAGGCGGTCTAGGGAGGGCGGGAGGCTTCGTCCGAGCACCTTTGACAACTCCCTCCGCGAAACTTGGCCAATAGGACCTTTGTGGCTGCCACTATATCCTGTCTCCATTAGTCTGTCTTGTCTCTGATGGGCAACCTAAACTCAAGACACATCCACATGAGAAGGTACGTGACATCTTGTCTCCCTGGTTTGTCATTGGCGTCTCTCATCTCTGCGAACGGGATGGGAACCTGCCCCACAGGCATCACTGTCCCCGCCAAGCCTCGACTCTCTGTAGAAGGCGCGAATCTCTATACTTATTCATACCCCTGGTGAGACACAGCCGAAAATCTCGGCCGAAGCTGTTGTGACGTTTGCGGAGAGGACATATTGTCATCAGAGTCAGCCAATTCCGAGTCCGCCGTTGTTCCCGTCGCCGATCACCGGTAGACCTTCATACCATATTTCTTTTTCTCTCTCTTCTTCTTCTCAATATGTGATCGTAAGGTATGAGGTCTACAGCATCTGGCAACACCTACAGAGTCGTTAAAGACCACCAGAAGATAGCTATTCAACCGACACACATTGATAATGCAATTTCTTGTTTTAGAGTTGATATGGCCTGGAGCCTTCGCCTAGTTGCTGCGCAGCTTGCTGACTAGTCCCCTGTTTTCGTCCGACTGCAATCGTGATAGGTGAGGGTCTTGTTACGTAGTTAATGGGAGGTAAGAAAAATTTCAAGTTTGTTTTGTCTCAGCCTTTGCACCCCTTTGACCCCCAACTACCTCCTTTCCCGCTCTTCCCAACGGGGACTCGCATTCCAGAGCTTGCCTATTAAGGGACTCAGACATAAGCGGCTTGAGAGACGGAAAACGTGAAAAGTGACAGCTTTCTCAGGGATTAGTGGTCTCACCAGTGATTATCGAATCAAAACGCGAGCCACAGTCACACGGACATCCTCAAGAATCCATACTTGGCAAGTGGCGGTCATGGGCCATGCTAGACACATCTTATTTTGAGCGAGTCAACTGCAGTGACGTTGGAATGGCTTTCAACTCTTGCGCAATAGCTCGCCATTGAGATGGCAAGACACAAAGGGCATCATTGCCAGAACAAGACACTCTTAGATTGAGAAAGTTGATCGTCTAGACATCCCACAACCAATGTAGATGTGTGTTCTCTTCGAAAGCCAAGACAACTGCAGTCTTTGTTGGAATCAAGCCAGATCTGACCCATAGTAGCCCAGAGACATGAAGGAACGAGAATTTTCCTTAGGGGCTGAATCAAAATTTCGTACTTGGCCGGCTGCAAGCCGTCTGGAAGCTTCGTTGCCAAGGTCAGAGAGCCAACATGAAGGCTACGTTGCAAGATCATCTCCAGTCAAGCTAAACACCATCTCAAGTAGCCAGGGATATCGTGGGTGGAATGGATTCACACATTCAAGACTAAGCTGCATGCTCTCCTGAGATGCTGCGAACAAAGACAGTATATCACCCTCTGTTGCTCATGATTAAGACGTATTGCACGTACGTAGGTGGACTCAAAAAGTTCACTCGTTGCCTATCCATCAAGATGCGTGAATCTTTGGAACCTCAACGTCATTCCCGTATTATCAATCGGGTGTAAACACAACTCCAAGTTAGAAAAGATCAACCAGGGAAAGCATGCGCCCTTACTTCTGATGTCTATGTGCTCCCTAACAGTCTCATCGCATATACTTGTCTCTTAGCAGATTATGCTATCGTCAGTTTTGGTTAAAGCTTTTGTGAAATGTGCCTTACGGCCGCCGCCTCTTTCGTCCAGCGCCTGTGTACGTCATTCCGGCCGGCTGGCCGGCCATCCAACCCACAGGGCTGTCTTTCTAGTTGATGTTTCTTTGCTGCTGTAAGTTAACTTTGGCAAATTCATAGTTCAAGGCTGAAGTTTCTCGGCAGGGCGAGAGCTGCCACATTCCGGGCTCGTCACCAGCGTCTGGTCTGGACCATTGTAAAGTACCCAGGAGTATGGCTCATGGGCCCTTTGACGAGCAGACTGGAAAACTCTGAAGAGAGACAGACATAAACTAATTCCCGAATTGGCTATGACTGAGAACTCTTGGCCCAAGCAGGTTTCATCAAATCTTCTCCGTTGTGGCGCCGCTGCACTTGGACACGTCGATCTTGGCTCCGTCCTGCATTCCTCAGCCGCCTCTCGCTGCCCTGTATCCGCCCACTGCCACTCATGCTTTGAATTAGGTGAAATGCCGAAAAACGTCCTGAGAGTAATGCCGAACAACGTATGGCAAATCCCTTGTGTCTCCACTGCACGTGGGCCGCCTTCTGGCCTGTCAACTGCTCGCAGCGATTTACCTTTGATAAAATGATGCATTATGTGATGACCCGCCTCATCAAGCTCGGGGGCGGCATGCGCCTTCCAGAAATTTCCTGTTCGCGGCGAGCGAGAAATCTCCACGACTTTACATAATCTTCCTGAGCGGGACTTGAAAGTTCTGACTCTGGTTTCTGATGGCAAGATGCTTCAACAAGCCTCCCACGTCCTTCGTCTATCATTACTCCACGATGAGAGCAGCCTCCATCCCACTCTAGCCAGGAAGGAGCGGTGGTCGCTGGTAGGGAGCAGATCGTTGACTCGTGAACAAGGATTCAGCCTCAAAGGGAAGGGCGGCTGGGTCTAGACGGCATTTCAAGACAAACTGCGGTACATCTCGTGCAGTTTGACTGGTTGAGTCGCCTTCCAGTCATCCAGTGCGTGCTGATCCTCCTTATTCTTTTGATATCATACGATAGATCTCCGTTCAGGATTCTCCATATGAGACAGGAGGACGCACGTCTTCTCTGCCGATGGGGCTAACACTGCCAGAGACATATGACCTTCGATAATCGACGTTGATGTCGGCATTCCAGCTGTTGGACGATCTTTTGCGGATCGTACTATGAACAAGATTGCGATGTGTTCCGAGTTTATGACAACATCCAAACCATTCGAGAGTTTGGAAGCCTTGTTTGGATGATCTTATCCCAAGATCTCATGGGAGATTGAAACGTCTCTTGGCCGAAACCGAATAGCGGATTTGCCCCTGTGGAAGGTTTTGGCAATGTCGCAGGTCGATGCTGGAACGTCATCTGGGAAAAGTTCCCAAAATCTTGGCTGTTGAGCCTATGAACTATGACAACACCTCTTCCCATTCTGATGTATGCATCCATGACAGTTTGTGCAGTTTTCCATCCGAAAGACATTGTTATCATCTTACTTAGCAATGAATGTCCGACTGTATCCTCCTTCTAAACATGCCTTGATAATCCACCGGATCATCAAAATGTGTGGTTGGAATCTTCTAACCTAGAAATATTATCAGCATTGATCGGACGTTGGCGAAGCTGAGATATGTCCGTTCTTTTGCTTACAGCCATCGAGATTGAAAGCAGGGGGAGCTCTAGTCATGTAGTGGCTTTTTGGTACCCCCTCAATTTCTGAAATAGTTTCCAAGTGATGTCCGTCACCTTCACTGATTTCTGAAATTCTGAGACTCTAGATCTTGCTGGTACCTAAACACAAGCGTATCAGCTACGACAAGTCAGGGATGTGTATTTGACAACTTTTCGCTGCAGGTGCCGATTATCTGAAATTGGGTTGTCTTTGCTGTACCTCGTTTGCCGTGTTAGTTATTCATTCAGATTCCATGTTCATCAAGAGCAATTCCTGCCTTGGGTTGAAAAGGTTTAAGTTGAAAATCGGCAGTGTGAAACTAGGCGCAGGCAAAGTTGAAAGCCCCAGGAAACTTGTCGTTGAGAGCAAGGTAATCAAAACTGACAATCAGCTAACGGCAGTCTTTCAAGAGAATTCCAATCTTATAGACATTTCGCGAGACAAATGGAAATCAGAATGTTCGAAGTCTTTGAAATCGTTAGAGAATGACCAAGCCTAGGGCCGGGGGTTCGCAATGTTGAGAAAAACCGTTGCCAAAGAAACGCATTGTTAATATGTACACCATAAACACACTGACTGAATGTCAGAACAAATGCAGAAAGACTTGAAAACAAAAGAAGCAACTTCCGAGAAGACTCCGTTAGTGATGTTTGTTCTGGCCTACTAATTTTTAACAACAAGAGATATGTTGTTGCATGGATAAAGAAAAAGAAGAAGAACAGCAGCTTCGCTTGCTGGAAACAACAGGGTTGAAAGGAATAAATAACCCATTGTCTCTGCTACCTGATTTTTAAATCGACGTACACTTGCTTGTACCATGACCAAAGAGAATCAACATAACCGCATCTTAAAATGCAAAGGATTGTGCCATAGCCTCAGACATTGTCCATGAAAATACTAGAACAAAGTGATGTTAAAGAGCAGCTCATAAAGCAGTACAGAAAGATAAAACCCAGGACAACGGTTGTGTACAAGGTCATTGAGGGCTTAATCGGTACATTCGCGTGTTATTCTTTTTGTGCGGAAGCTGTTGGCCATGGGAGAGCTCAGCAGTAGGATGAGGTTAAATAGATGACGATGATTTAGAAGTGGCTCTCTTTGCTTCGGAGGCTTGCTTATCATAATACTGTCAACGTGAAATCAACTCGAATCCCCTAAGCTAGCTATTCACCAGAGATAACCCATACAACCATAGGAACGACTTTAACACCACCATCACAACATCATCACAAAAACAGCAAGAATCATGTGCTACGGGACCCTTCAGTACTCATGTTGCCACACCCAAACGACACGGCTCACCTGCCGCAAAACTTGGCGGAAGAGAACGGGATGGTTGTGCTATGCAATCGTGACCTTCATATGCGGTGTAGGCCCTGATGAGCCGTGCGATGAGGTCCGCGGAGACAAGCACTGGTGGGTCACGCGCAGTTGCCCGGATTGCCGCGCGGCCGAGGAGGCCGGCACTCAAACTAAGGGCCGTGTGCACGATCGTTACGCCAGCAAGCTAACACCGGAGGACCTCCGTCGCTCACGACGCCGCAAGGAGGAAGAGGACCGGCAGAAGGATTTGGAACGGAAGGCGTATAGAGACGATAGGATCGAGATGCAGAAGATTAAACGAGCCGATCAGGGGTATGACAGAAACGCTCCTCTACCTGCAATGCCATCATTCGCCCACGTTTCGCTTGGTGATAGATCGGGACAGCCGTTGCATCGCCTTCCGCAGCAAGGAGCGAACAAGTCCCCTTCTGCCTCGTCACAACAAAAATCACCACTGAACATCCCACACGACGAGCAACAGGATGCCAACACCAATGGATATACTAGATCAAGGAAGATGCAGGCCATCTCAAATGACAAACCTGTAGACGTGGATCATAGGTCCAAAAGAGAACGAAGGGTTGGTGGATATGGTGGATTTGACTTGAGCCCATATGGACACGACCAAATGCGACGAAACACCTTGAAAGTACACGACGATGGCCGAAACCCATACCGGCCTTACGAGAAAGATATGTCACCGAGAAATTTGACCCCTCCTAAATCTACTCCTGAAGCAGCTTCTCCATCGTCAACTGGGCAACGTCAACGCTTTACAGACAGAAGAGATCAAAACCTTAAGCCCCTGAGAATGCTCCAGTTACCAGGCTCCCTGGCTGGTCAAACGCCAGTAAATCAGACTCCCAAATATTCAGGCGAACGAAATGGTGGTGTTGAAAGACTTCTCGACTCAGCCACACGTGCCAGTGTTCGCACAGAGTCCATGGTGTCGGACTCTGACTCGTTTGTTTGTCAAGACGCTCGCGCCGTGGAGCGTGGCCGGTGACTTTAGCCATATGTAAATATGGGAAGGAAAGGGAGACAAAGTTGGTAAGTGAATGCTTCGTCCTGTTGAACTATGTACTCCTTTCGTGCGGTTTTCCGCCCGCAATTGACATAGATAGATGGAACCTCCTTTCCTTCCCAAACTGAACAATCACCGAAAGCAAGCAACACGCAAAGGTTTGATGACAATCTCATTGGCAAATGTCATAACCCAGCCAAGATACAGATCCAATGACTGACAATCTGTATACGCGTAAGCTCAAATTGGTATCTGATGACGTACTCCGCCTTGTGAAGTGATGGCGCCCGCCCGAATGCTTCCCTGCAGCGGGTCTTCCTCCCGTCAATTTCTCTGTTCAACCCCTGTATCCCCTTTCTGATGTCGTTATCCTCACTCTGCTAACACCCGTTGACAGGTGACAAAAACTGTCGGCGCCGGGCTCGCGCCTGTAGTGTGGTTTCTGAGAAGTGTATGTTTTTCTCGCAATACCATGATTGGGGTTGTCGCTGGCTGGTTTGCGTGGACGTTGACTATTGGGCCTTGCCATTCTTGGCGTCTCCGTTGGCCTTGGATGCCTTGAACTTGGCAATCTCTTTCTCAACGGCCTTGTCGACACGACCCTTGAGCTCTTGGCGGTAACCCAGCTTGAAGAGAAATTCAAGCCAGACGAAGAGAGGCGCAAGGAAGACAGCCTGAATCAGATTGTCCAGCAGGGCAGGCGCGCGTCCCTCGAACGCGCCATGTCCGATGAACTGGAAGATCCAACAGACGACGTGAACACCAATGGCGACCTTGTTCGTCAAGTCTGGGTTCTCAACTCTGAAAGAGTTGCCAGCTGCGGTGGCGGCCAAGCAGAGAACAGCTAGAATTGTGCCAGCTACGGGCTCAAGAAGCACATACAAGCCACCCCAGGTCAGTGCCGCCAAGGTTCCCAGGTTGAGATCTAGGTTAGGAACAGTGAGCCAGCTAGGGAGAGGAATGAGAGTTCCTGTGTTGGTGGCCTAAACGATTGCGTGAGCTCGAAGGTTAAGATTAATACAAAAACTCATCATCTACTTACGAGACAAAATCCAGAGAAGAGGATGATGGGAACACATGCCATGTGAATTCCGATATTGACAGTGTTGTGATGGTACGCCCCATACTTCGACGGCATTAGCAATTCAACGAATGCATTTTTAGAAGAAAAATAAAATAAAAGTAAAACAAAACTCAAAAAGTCAACTTACGAAAGTTAGATGCTTTTCCAGGTCAAGAGACATCTTGACGGTGTTGAGGATTTGATGATGAGATCTAAGTCAAGGCAAGACAGGTGGGAGAAGCCGAGGCTTGCTGCAGGACCAGAACAAGGCTGCAGGGTCGAGGTTCAGCCGCAGGCGGACCGTTGCGGGCAGGATCAGAGAAGACGGGGTGAGGAGCAGTATACGTCGCAAGGCAGTGTCGATCTTCAATATCGAATGCAGTAACTGAATGCAGGCGATACGGAGGGCTGGCGATGTTAGAGCCGTGGAGGAGGATGGAAAATGAAGGAATGCCGTCGTGTTCCGGACAGGGTTGCAATGGTGTTCATATGTGTCCCACAGTAGTGGCCGTAGAAGTATAAGCCCGTGGGGCCGCTGCGAGCGAGTTTTTGTTGCGGCTCGGGGATCGGTAGGGGAAGACAGATAGGTTTCCAGCAGGTGACAAGGGCGAAAAGGGCGGCCTCTGACTGGAGATCCGGGGGGGTTGAGTCCACTAAAAATCACTAAACGTGCATGCACTGAACATACGACTTCACTCACCCAATCTGATGCCGAGGATTTGTCGTGTGAGCGCGTTTGGGGGCTGGAAAGGCTTTCGACCGGTCAGCGGACGATGCGATTCAATTTGAGGAATACAGGATTTAGCTAGAAGCTAAGACCAGCAACTAAGCAAAAAGCTGCCCAGCCATCATCACAACTTGAAATGAAGCGGCAAAGCGTTAGGGTTGCGGTTTCTGCCGTCGATGGCGCCACCTCGCCGCCCTTCGCCCTCGTCGGCGCTCACACTGTAATTCTACAGCAGTTTTGACGGGCCTTTTACAGTACGCAAACCGGATTCCGCACTCAAACCCGACTTTACTTCCCGTCTGGACGCCGCGCTTACCCCAGTCTCTCAAAGTCTCTCAAAGGTCAATGAGCATTTCACGCTAGTGCAGGCTCTTAGCGCACGCGCAGTGGGTGTGGCAGGTGCAGGTGTGGCTCAAGAGCTTGTTCTGCCTAAGGTAGAAAGATGTGGCTGGGCGAGGCCAGAAAAATTGAGGAGCCACATTTGGCTCGCAGCAACAGCACCTCAGTTCAATCCAGGGCCATCTCAGCCTCGCCTTCTACTGTGCAACCTTTCGTTTCCTCAACCGTCGAGTCACCACGCCGACGGCGCATCACCCGAAGCGCGTTTCAGTGGCACCTTCCATTTATCGCGACCCTTCATCATTCTCTGTTTCTGTATTTTCTTGTACGAGACTCGCGCTGCCTTGACGACGTCCCACGTGCCTAGTGTTTTGCGAATCTGGACCAAGGTACGACGCTGGAAGGAAGCCGCGCCTTCATCACCTTCTTTATTAGATCAGTCGCGTCCCTCTCAAGACGATTTAGAGCCAACCCCCGAATATCCATCTAGTCCTTTTGCTGTGTCGATACCGGCGATATCAGCAACTTGCGGTGACCGAACAAGAAGTTGCTCCGATAACAACCTAGCTTCGTTTTCCCAGGCGCGCCGCGCTTTCCTCGACCATGTTTTTCCTGTATAATATGGAGCGCAGGGTAACCCTGCACCCTTCATACTTTGGTCGCAATATGCACGAACTGGTTACAAGCAAGCTTCTGAAGGACGTGGAGGGCACCTGCGCTGGCAGTTACTACATCATCTCGATCATGGATACCTTCGACATCTCTGAGGGTCGCATTCTTCCGGGCAGCGGTTTGGCAGAGTTCACCGTGGGGTACCGTGCGGTGGTATGGCGGCCCTTTAAGGGCGAGACGGTAAATGCTACAAATCTGCCTGGCTTTGTCGGGAAGCGGATTCTGACATGACCCAGGTTGACGCCGTGGTATACTCAGTCAACCATCAGGGCTTCTTTGCCCAGGCAGGGCCCTTGCGGCTCTTCGTGTCAGCACATGTAGGTCCCCGCTTCCGCGCTGGCCAGGCAGGACTCCAATGACTAACCGTGAGAACCTCTTCTCTAGCTGATTCCCTCCGAGATCAAGTGGGATCCAAATGCCACACCGCCTCAATTCACCAACAACGAAGATACGATCATCGAGCCGGGAACGCACGTACGTGTCAAGGTTATTGGTACGAGAACGGAGGTTGGTGAGATGTGGGCCATTGGCAGCATCAAGGAAGATTACCTTGGGTACGTTGTCGTTTTGGAAATCAGCCTTGTGACTTACTTACAAACTCTTCGCAAAGCTGCCTTCAGGATTAGAGTTCTCAGTCAGATTGAGAAAAGGGGCAAAGAGATGCTCTGCTCAGTGCTGCTGAAGCCGATTCCTCCGTCATGTGGGAGCGGAAGCACACTTTACCGCCGTTTTTCAACTTCATCTGCCCAAGGAAACCGCCAATGGTTGAGGGAAAAGCATAGTATTTTACTGCAACAAGCGTTGCCTGGCGAAGAGGAAGCTTTGGGCGCAAGCAAACCAGGCTTCAAGGAGGGGGTCAATCACAGTGGCACCCCTAGGCCCCGAATGGATTCCGCTGCGCTGAGCCGTTCGCAATTGAGAAGCAGAAAGATAGATAAAAGTTTGGGGAAACAGGGTGTACGCATGCCCGACCAGTTTAGCAGGTCTATGGAATCATGGCGCCAGGCCTCGGTTTGTGTATTCGAGTTGTACACTAACTTTCCCACGCCAAGAAATGAAAAAGCAAGCCATGAATATACAATGAAGCGAAGGGTGTGATGTTTTGTGGGCTTCTGGATAATAATGAGGTTGAGGTTCTTGATTTATGCCCTCAACCTCCGGCTTACGACCGAACAGCTTCAGTCCATGTCGAGTCCGATATCCTTACCAGTAACCGGGCCCAGTTGATGCCCCGCTATGCTGCACCTTTCCCCACGTTTGCCCGTAATGACCCCAATCACAGCCTACCTTACCCCGCCGCTTGGATCTTCATGGGTTGCTGATGGGCCTAACTTTGCGAACCCGCCTGGCTGTCTTTCCGGCCGGCCCGCAAACAGGCCATTTAACCACTGCAAGTTGATTGTAGCCTAGTGTAGTAGTATTGTGTTGCAGGGACCACAACCCAGCTTCTTATGGTGGTGACCCCCGCACCTGGGTTGGGGTCGTAGGGCGTAGATGAAAGGACGTATCGAGAGTTCCAAAGCCCGGGTCCGAGACAACGTGACAGACACTACATTACTTAAGAGGACAGTCTTCGCACCAGTAGCCCAGATCTCGCTCATCATCTATTTTGACCTATTTCAGCGACTAGAATTTGTGCCAGAACATGTCGGCGATGCAGGCAGCTAACAGGCTTAAATCAGTCTTCACCAAAGGCACCGGTCCGAGCTTCGGACTGTGGCAGATGATCCCGGGGGCCAATGTCTCCCGGGTACTTGCCCGGAGCCCTGGTGTGGATTGGGTCTTGGTGGACTGCGAACACGGGAACATTGACGGTAAGATGACCTCGGGGTAGCCAAGGACGCCGAGCTGATTGTGGCCTAGACGGGGCTATGCACGATGCAGTTCCCGCCATCGCCGCCGCTGGCGTATCGCCCATTGTGAGAATACCTGATATGCAGGGTTGGATGGTCAAGCGTAAGAAGCTTCCTCGGAGATTGAGGCGTTCAGGTGGAAAGCATCGCTAACAACGTGACACAGGCGCATTGGACTGTGGTGCTCACGGGGTATGGCTCACCAAGAGCCAAGACAGCTTCAAGGTTTTACTAACTGGCAAAAAAGATTCTTGTCCCGTTGCTCCGTAACGCCCAGGAGGCAAAGGATCTTGTCCAGTCTGCCAAGTTCCCGCCATGGGGAAGACGGGGTTTCGGCTCGCCGCTGGCCATGGAGAGGTTCAGCCCGGCGCCGAGTATGACTGAGTATCTGCAGCAGGCCAACGATAGCCTGCTCACCATGGTTCAGATTGAGACCCGAGAGGCTTTGGACTCGGTGGACGAGATTGCTGCGGTTGAAGGCATCGATGTTTTATTTATCGGGCCCTTTGATTTAGGTCAGCTGTGACAGCCTTTCGATTCCGGTCATATGAAGCAACTAATGGCACAACAGGAAACAACATCGGCCACCCGGTGATCAATGGCATCATGAAGAAGGAGCTGAGTGATGCCATTGATTGTATTCTTGAGGCCACCCACAAGGCGGGTAAGAAAGCTGGTATCTTCTGCACGAGTGGCGAACAGTCCAAGCATTTTGCAGACAAGGGATTTGATATGCTTAGTGTGGCCACAGATTACACAGCATTACAGTACACATTGGCGGAGTCATTGAGCATTGCGCGCGGTGCGGCGAAGCCAGCCAAGGGTGGATCTTACTAGACGACTGACGCGGCAGATAAACATGACGGATTAGCGGGTATGTAGGCTATGTTTGCTTGGCTTGTGGGCCAAGAGTATGCGGCCGCTTCGTAAAGCTACCTGCTATTTGGCCTCAACCTGATCCATCTTGGCTTCAATCTGGTCAGGATCGAACCGATGCATGAGCTTGACGGCCTTACCAACAACCTTGGGGTCTGGACTTTCCTCAGGGGCCTCGACTTTGCTGATATGGATCTGGGGTAATGGAGGGGGGTGTGAGCTTTGTGCAGAGTAAACTCGGGGTGCAACATCAGACATCACTTTTGTCGTTGTCGCTTTAGACTAACTTACTACCGGCACATCAAAATCGTACAAATCTTTCCAGCGCTTGGCTTCTGGCGCCGTGATGTCGATCTCTTTGAAGTTAAATGGTCTCCTGTCCCACACGTTGGAGAGGGCCGATTTTGCTCGCAAACACAATCCGCAATTATCGCGAGTAAACAACGTTATCCGGCATGTCTGGGCCTGTTGAAGGAGTCGTCTTGTTGGAGCAAACATGCTTGGTGATCGACCGCGCCGAAGCTTAAAGATATAGTAGATTCGCGATTGCTTCTTTATCCGGTGTTTTCTTCCGCAGCCCGCAAGCCCAGTGTATTGGGTACGTAGATCTGTTGCCGGGATGAAAGAGAGGCTTGAAGAACTGTGAAACACCCTCGTTTTCGCTGTCAGCTGACGATGGATGAACTGGGATATGACGTGTCAGACTCTGCTCATGTCAAGTCAGGAGCAGGGACCAAGTGAACATAAAACGGGGTTTTAAAGATGAGCTAACCAAGCTGCAAGCAAAGAGAGTGCAAAGAAAACGCCCGCTGAGATGTTTTCAAAATGCCTGGTTGCTGGTTAATTCGGCATCCATGTATATATGTTCGTGGAACGCTGACAATTGCTTGTGAGAAATGAGGCAACACGAAGGCAAAAAGTGTGGATTGGCTTGTGTTGTCGTACGTTTGTAATTGAACTTACACCAATGTCTTGCAAGGAGCTAGCTGGCAGGCCCGGTGTAACCTGCGACTCATTTGGTCGATTGCTACATGATGATCCATGGAAAAGGCTACCCTATACGGAAGGCGGTGAGTGCGGAGAGCTGGTCGCGTCTGGTTCCACCAGCGAATCAACGGCATCACTGCGCGGAGCTTGTGCCCAACATGCATAATTTTGAGCCGCTAAATCGCTGTGGAAGACCCCTGGGAAATTCTGGAATCCTGGAGAACATAGTAACCCCTCCACCTAACGACGACGTCGACGACGACCACCCCTCACTTACGGGGCTGTTCGACAATTTACAAACCTGCAGACCCGCTACTTCTCCCTTCACTTCTCAAACGTCACCAGCTGTCGCAACCAAAATTTATCTTTTCTTAGGCTTTAACCAAAATCCGATTATAAAAGTCTCAAATCTTCGACACACACGAAAACGACAGCGAGCCATCCCACCATGGCAGAAAAGTGCGTCCACCAGGGCTGCGGCAAGCTCTACACCGATTCAGAGGAGCCATGCGTCTACCACCCCGGCCCTCCCATCTTCCATGAAGGCCAGAAAGGTACTCACACATTGCCCACTATACACCACCGCACTGCCGATTTCGTCTTACCTTTTTTTCTTGTAATTCGTCATTTCAATGGGGACGCGATTGTTTCCGTCCTTGTCCCGTGTGTTGGGATAGGGATTGCCCTCTCTTCGTTCGTCCAATTGAAGCTTTCGCATCCCTTGCTTAATCCCATCGCCATTCACTACAATACGAGAAACCAATGCTAATTACAGAGTATTCATAGGCTGGAAATGCTGCAAGCCCCGCGTACTCACCTTCGAGGAGTTCATGACAATCCCCCCCTGCACAACTGGCAAACACTCCACCGCCGACTTGCCTCCTAAGATCGAGCAGAAGAAGCCTGATCCTGCCGAGGCTGCCCTCCTCGAGAAGCTCACATCAGCTCCGGCCCCGGCGCGCAAGCCCCTCTCTCAGACTCAGGCTCAGGCCGCGCCCTCCCCTCCCCCGCCACCCCCGGAGTCCGAGTCCGATGATTCCTCCCTCGAGATTCCCGACGGTGCCACTTGTCGCCGTAAAGCCTGCTCGGCCACTTACCGCAAGGGGTCGTCTCGTGACGGCGAGACCTGTGTTCACCACCCCGGAGTCCCAATCTTCCATGAGGGCTCCAAGGGTTACAGCTGCTGCAAGCGTCGTGTTTTGGAGTTCGACCAATTCATGAAGATCGAGGGCTGCAAGACCAAGAACCGTCACCTGTTCATTGGCAGCGGCAAGAAGAAGGGCAGTTCTGGCGGTAGCGGCGGGGAAGAGAAGCTCGACACAGTCCGTAGCGACTTCTATCAGACCCCTTCTACTGTTATCGCCTCTTTCTTTCTGAAGAAGATTGTCAAGGACTCGGCCAAGATCGAATTCAAATCGCAGTCTATCGCTCTCGACCTGCCTACCTCTGACTCACCGCCTAAGCGCTACACCGCCGAAGTGCCTCTGTTCGCGCCCATCGATACGGAGAAGTCTACCTTCAAGGTCCTTGGCACTAAGCTCGAGGTGAATCTCGCCAAGGCTGGCGGCGAGTCGTGGCCAGTCCTGCGCAGTGACGACCGTCTCACCGGCGAGATATTACAGATTGGGAAGGCGGGGCGTTTGCAATAGTTATTGGAGCACATGACCCGCAACCAACAGATATTTGTTCCATCTGCTCCTTAGGCCCGGAACAGCATTCACGCGGATGTATCAAATAGGGAATCCCGGCCAGCGAGAAGAGACGAGAGAGAGGTAGAAAGAGGTGAAAAGGGGGGTGGGGAATGAGACCTCGTCATAGTCGGGCGTAGAGAAAGGAAAAGCACGTAAGATACCTCTAGATAGGCATGTGAGACACGGCGTCCCACTCTGGGAAGCGGTGTTTGCTGTAGTCCGAGAAGCCGCAAAACAAGGAATAATGCAAGATAACAAAAATGATTCTACCGCGCCGCCCATCTCTTGGGGCATCTCTTGGGATATCTCTTGGGAATGGGGGCTGTGTTTTGCGTCCTGCTGCGTGTACCTATCATTGTTTCTCCCCTTTCTCATGGCCAAGAGGCCAAGAACATGTGAATGCAGGTCCTGGCGGGCACGTTGCGCGGCCTCGTCCATTGACTCGATCCATTGGAAGAAAGGGAGGAGAAACATGGACGCGGCGAGAGCCACACAAACATGACTGGAACCCCGTAGTAGCAAAGGAAAGACTTCTAGTCTGTTGCAGATGGATGACGAGAATAAACGATGTATAGCGTAAAAAACCCCCCCAATGAAGTTTACCTGTGCACCTCAGACCAAAACGATACCTGATAGACGTCAGCCCTCTCAAGCCCCTCGTTCTTCGCCCTTTATCCCTCCAAGCCCACTTCCGTGCGCGCGGGCGCTCGCGCTCTCGCTCTTGGTCTTTTCATCATCATCATCATGATTGTTGAGATGACGATGTTCGCAACACCAAGCCTTGGCATTCGAACCATTGGCTTTTGCGCGGTCGAGCATGATTCTTCGTGGTCACTAATGAAATTTCATTCACTCAACAGGGGAAAATAATGATCAATTTTTTTCCTTGGTTGGAAAGGTGGCCGAAAGTGGCAGTGTACACTGAACCACTCTGGCTTATCTGATTCAATCTATGCTTCCTAGTTTCATTTTCCAACCCGTACCCAGCCAAAAGGCAGAAAAAAAAAACAAAGAAGACGTGAGTCTCCCCTCCGTTGAGCTTGATGCATGTGAGAACAGAGGCACCCGGAGTCTGAGTAATTCTACCTTACATAACGGTCCAAAACCACCAATGCCGACGCTAGTAACAACACCCCTGCCGAAAATCTCATAGCCGCAAAATGAAAATGAGAGTCAGGGGTGGACTCTGTTGATAAAGATAAAAAGTCTTGGCTCGTGTAGCGGCCTGACGCATTTAGACAGAAATTCAAAAGAAAAAAAAAACCTTTTTCGTTCCTCACCAAGAGAAGTGGATTGCGCCAGTGAGCACGGATGATGGTGTGCACAGCACACTTGACACATGCGTGCACTCCCCTCTGTCCCTTTTCCCCCGTTCATCCACTCCCCCGATGCCACCGCCAGTCGATCAACCCCCTTCACTGCATTTCCCAAAACGCCAAGCCTGCAATGTGGATACAAGAGTAGTGTAAAATAAAACATGCACAAGAAAAAGAGAAGGAGAAAGGGGCCACAAATGGCAAAAAAAATTAAAAAATGACACAGGCGAGAGGGAGTATCCGCAAAAAAAGACAAGAATTGACAAGAAATGCGTTGTAAAAAATGGACCAGTCGAGGGAGACGGGACGTCGTCATCCCGCTCGGCCGGTGTCCGCAAGGAGAAATGTCCTCGACAGCCGTAGTCAGGATCGGCCTTGTGCTCCGCTCACTGTTGCCACTAAATGTCCGCTCTCCTTGAGCTCTCTTATGACTGTCTTTCCGGTAGTCAGGTGACTGTGGCTTCGCCCACTAGTGCGGGAGGACGTGGGCTTGGCCCGCCGGGCTGAGAATCTGAGCGGCCCGTAGAGTGGAAGACAGACACTCCGCGCTGTGAAGGGCCGCCCGCTTCAAAACAACGAACAGGGATCGCCTCGCCAAGCGGCCGAAAAAGGGAGAAAGTTAAAGTGGACGGACAGAAGACGTGAGGCGTCTGCAGAGGTCGGTGGGGAATGAGGGCTATGCCGTGCTGGGCGGAAACGGGCGTGTTGTAGTCATCCTTCTCCAGTTGTGCGTAGTTGAGAGTGCGGTATAGAGTAGTGTGGCTTCTCAGTTGCAGGGACTCTGCTCGTTCGTGCCTGATGTAATGACGTGGGGGTCCCTCAGACTGGTCGATCTGGCGGGATCTAGACTGCCACCTTTTTTGCCTTTGGCTTCGCCGCACCAATGCAAGGGTGGGGCCTACCGCTGCGGGATGCAACGGAACCACCACCTCACCTAGTGCTCTTACCAGCCGGGTTAGGAGATGGCGTTCGTTCGTCCATACCATTGTAAATCAGTTGAAAGCCATCGCGCCGACAGATTACAATAGGTTTGTCGTTGGAGCAACGCCCGATAATTTCGCTCGATTCTGGCATGTTGTAGGGCACTGCATCCTTGAAGTGGATGATTGGGCCGCCGTCCATGGTGAGCCCAATAATCTCGGCTCCCTGAATACCCTCGTCTTCATCACTGGCCTCGGCTTGAATAGTGTTGCTAAAATGCGTATTAGCACTGATAGTTATATCTTGGCGACGGATCATCAGGCAGCTAGCACACCAGCCCGGTGAAAACTTTGAAATGCACGTACACTTGACTCATTGGTAGCGTGTTGGCGTCGCTCATCTTCCTCTTCCTCACGGCCTTCTTCAGTCTTCTTGACATGCAGCTGTGGAAGTAGTGAAATAAGCCTGCGATAACCAGAACGGGCGTGCCCAAAGCAAGAGCCCAAGGCCTGTACATTGGTTAGGATACTGCCGAGACGATCAGATATGACAGGGAGGACACTTACGGGTGCTTTCGTTGTCTCAGAGAGTGCACGAGAGCTAGAATGACTCCGCACACGGCAATGAGAGATCCAACCTGAATCATGGTGAAGGTTGACCAGTAGAGTGACATAAGATCCTCACCATCACAGAATTGCAGTGCCATCAATGTGAACACTTCCATGATGACGGTCACCAGTGACACACACACACATGCCAGGTTGAACCAGATGCACCGCTTGACGGCCTTTTTTCGTTTTGGATCCGTGTCGGAAAGATCGCTCACGGCGTCTAATGTGCTGAGCAGTCGGTCAGCAAGGATGTTCATGAAAAGCCACAGGATTTTGCAGCGGACTTACCGAGTATAGTTCCATGCCGCAAGGAACAGCACAAATAGGTTAAAGACAAAAAGAAGCCAGTATAGAAGATCGAACTGCCATCTATGGAGTTGAGAAGCAAACCGAGCGTAGTGTGCACATCGCACAGGGTCAAACGGAGTGTAGTCTTCTTTATCGGCAGCCATCTTGAGCGGTTGACTTGGTCTGTTGCTGGGTAATGTTCCGTCGTTGTATGACTTATGTTCTTGGTCGTTTTGATTGTCGATATTAATGGTTGTTGGCTCTGTAAATATCCTTTGACGATATCGTCTGGTTGATCCGGATGACAGAAGACTGATGATGATATTGACACTTTGACAGATGATGCAAGAGGCTCTGCTTCTTTATAGGAACAAGTGGTTTTGCAATGTCCCCGGCCCGCAGGGTTGTGCAGATACGGTACGGACTAGTCCAGGCTTGCGTGTGCGGCAGGGAGGCGTTTTCAGAGCCCAATGGCTGGCAGGGGTCGTCGTAGTTCGACAAGTCTTGAGGGGCACCCCGGTGTGTTTCCGTAAAGGCTTGGGGACGGGTGGGGATATAGGGTCAAGCTCAGGAAGGTTTATCAGATAGATTGCAACATTGCAAGCTTGGGCTTAGAGTTGACATGAGAGAACAGCTCACAAGTTCCGAACGCTACTGCAACTATGCAGTCATCTGTAGGACCGCCGCTGGCCATGCACCATCTGGTGGATCCATCGTCAAACTCATCTTGTCACCAATGATGCACTGATGCAGAGTAGAGAGCGGAGGAAAGCTAGGAATAGCGCTTGAAACAAGACGACAGTGACAGCGATGTCGACTTGGCTTGCGGTGATCCGCATGTGGATGGCGATGTTGTCTGGGCGATGTCTGGGCAGTCTCTTGGCAAGATGCGCGGGATTAGACGTAGATTGCCGATCTGTAGGCGGGCTCTGGGTGACGGCCGATGTGGGTTTGGATTGGCCGGAGGTCGCATTATTCTCCGGACTAGGGGGGGCTTAGCAACGACCTCTAGACTCGCAACCCAGAAATCACTTGTGGTTCCTAAGCTCGACGACGAGCTTCCCCTGTCCTCCTCTCCGTCCAATGGAGCCCGAGGCCGCCGGTAAGAAGTCACCCCGCACGTCTCATGGACGAACCCTCAACACATTCTCCTCTCAACTCATTCCCTCCATCAGCTCAACTCTGTCCAGCATCATTCCCTTCAGACCAAGATACTCTTTCAATGACTCCCACTCGATGCCACCCTCTTCACCGTGCCTCCATTTCTCTTTGTAACCCCATGCGCAAGCAATATCATCCATGGCAGCGCGCTCCTCCTCCCGAAGCCACCGCTGATGCAACGGTATGCCAGGTGCCCAGGTGACTCGTCGCATGTGATCATTTACAGTGGTTTTGGCAACCATCCCGATCGTGCCAGTGAATCCCAAGTAGGCCAGGATGGCAACAAAGGCGAACTTCGTGGCCGTCACGGGCTCCATCGTGTTCTGGAATGCCGAGAGGTTGGAGGCAAGAGCGTAGACCCCAATTGGGGCCGCGCCCGCAGCCGAGACGGGCAGAAACGCCTTCCGCAGAAACTTCTGCCGGTAAAATGCTTGAGTTGCATAGCAGGCTTCAACGATGCCAATTGCGGCGTCCAAATTCTTGGCATCGATGGCGACGCCTAGAGCTATTTTGGCAACATTTGCCTCGATTGCCTTGTCTGCTCGTTTTGGGTTCTGCTCAACATAGGTGATTGAACCTTCAATAGCCTTGGGTTTGGGCTTTGACGCATACATGTCGAAAACTTGGGGAAGTGTCTCGGGCCTGCCAAGCCTAGCTTGGATGTTTACGTACAGCTCCAAGATCTGGGGACCAATGGAAACGGTGGGGTGGGCGATAATTTCGTACGCTGACTCGGAAATTGTGTCAACTGTATCCTTGACAGAGACTGATGGGATCGACGTGCTACCAGATTTAGCTGCACTTGAGTTCGAGTCCAGGGATAATAGGTTTGACGCAGTCGAGGCTGTAAGGGTCGAGGCCGGACGAATCTCTGACTTGGACAGATAGGGTTGAATCGCATTCGCGGCGCCTTGGCATGTTTTCAAGGCTGCGATGACCAACTGTGGAGTAGGAATCCCATCCGTAGACAGGAAGCGCTGTTTGCTCTGCTGAACCACAGCAACCAGCTTTTTCAGATCAGGTAGCTCCTTGGACGATGCCCTCGTCCCAACAGGCTTCTTGTGACCATTCTTATCCAGGCCCAACGTAGATACTGTACTGGCCAGGCGGCTTCCCTCAGCAACTCGTCTCAACGTGGTATTCCCGTGAAGCTTGGCAGATCGAGGAGAGACTATTGACGATAAGGGTGGCTTGGCAGTTTGCAGCAATCGAGTCTGTTGGCTGGCGCGTGACGAGGTCACGCATAACCGACAAAGGGCTCGAGGTTGACTAACCGCAGGCCGGATGATGGTGGTCCGCATCATCTTCGTGGCAGAAGAGGCTTAGGAGTTCGGTGTTGGCGTAGGAAGAGAGGGACCTGCGGCGGGATTGAATTGGATGACCCGGTGCACAAACAGGCGAACGAAAAGGAGGACGCGTCGTCGACCGGTCTTTCTGGGCTGCAGTAGGGCAAAAAGGCAGCAATCGGTCGTGTGGTTCGTGGAAACGAAGCCAAGAATCAAGTAGAGGGGGCGTCGAACGGGTGAGGCAGCAGCCGTGTTGCCGTACCGATCGAGATACCGGGAGAGGCCGTCTTGGGTCTTGCGCAATGGAGGGAGGTGAGCGAGTAACCTGGTAATTGTGAAGCTGGTGTGAGGCAGAGAAGAATGAAGCTTTCTACGAGACGGTCGCTCCGGGGAGAGCTGGGAGCTCCTGCAAAATTTCCACCATAGCCCCATAACCTCCAATAGCAGGAGCTTTAATTAACCCCCCTTGCCTTACCTTACAGGCGATCGCTCCGACTTTGGGAGAGGCTCTTCGGGAGCACACGCCGCCCCAATGAGGTTGGCAGCTGGCCCTCTCAAGTGGAGAAACACTGCAGGGCAGTAGTTAGTGCACCACAAGCACTGTACCTTAAGGTCACTGAAGAAACGTGGCCTGGCTACAGCCACAGCCGCTGCACCATCAGCAACTTGGTTTTGCATCACCTGCATGTTTCTTAACACCATTTGCTCCAAGATTTTGGGCCTGTGTATGTTTTTGTAGTGCTGCGTTAGGAAGAGTTAGATATACACACAAATCACAGGCTTCTTTTCTCTATTCCGGTTTATTTTCTCCATTAGACAATTGCATATTCTTATGTGGCTGCCTTTCAGATCGCGCCTGACACTTGCATCCTCCTTAGCCACAGATACCTGGAAATACAACACATACGTAGTAAGCCGGCACAAGCTGGGAAGTACCTCCTTTTCGGGCCTAACTCTCTGCCAAATGGAAGTACCTCGAAACAGGCAGACACGCCTCAGCCCACTTCCACTACTACGGTAGCACCGCCAGCGCCTAACAGCGCCGCATAATCCAGTGGACGTCCGAGATAGTACCCGAAGATGACGAAACACCACGCGGCTGAAAAGCTACCCCAGAGTATCATCATCTCATCGCCCCTGGAATGCACTGATCGACTGTCGAGATCATCATTTGCTGTTCTGTGAAACAATACCCTGTCATTTGGCAACACTGTATCTCGACTACAGCTCCTGTGTTGTCGTCGCGCTCAACTTGTCGACACAATCAACCCGTGTGAGCCCCCGCCAATCCCGACGACAACGACGACGACGACGAGGCCGGCGGCATTTTCACCACTTGTCGCAAGCCACCAGCACCCGCGATCATCGCCCTTATATTAATTCTTCTTTTCGGTGCTTTCCCCCTATCGGTAGCCACGAAAAGGACTGTGTCAACTGAGAAAGCTTCAACATGCCTCCTCCACCTCCGCCCCCTCCGATGCCAGTAATGGGTGGTCCTCCGCCTCCGCCCCCTCCGCCTGGAGGACCTCCAGGAGCCGGCAGCTTGCCGGCAAGACCGCCTGGGGGAGGAGCTAACAGAGTAAGAGCTTAACACAGAGCGTTTGTTCGCTCCTAGAGACAGTAATCTAACGCGGTTTGCAGGGTGCCCTTCTTTCCGATATCAGCAAAGGCAAAGCGCTTAAAAAGACCGTTACGAACGATAGATCCGCGCCCGTTGTTGGAAAGGTTTCAGGCGGCTCCGGAGGGCCACCTGTTGGAGGTGCACCGCCAGTACCCGGGCTAGGTGGTCTGCCCAAACCTCCAGGTGGACTTGCGCCTCCAGTGCCAGGAAACAGAGCTAGGAGTAACAGTGACCAGAGTGGCCGGGATAGCATACCAACCCCGAGTACCGGGGATGCTGCACCGCAACTGGCTGGACTGTTCGCTGGAGGCATGCCAAAGCTACGCAAGACTCGCGGAGCTGTTGACACTGGGGCAGCTGCCGACTCGTCATACCTATCGGACCCCGAGAGCAATAGCAATCTACGGTCGTCTTCTGCACCAAAGCCGCCGTCCTTCTCTGCACCCAAGCCGCCTTCGGGTGCTGCACCTGCCATTCCAGGCAGACCTCCTCTCCCACCTCCAGGTGCTCCGGCACTGCCGCCCTCTGTCGCTAATCTACGCAAGACCACGAGTGATGTACCAAGACCAAGCTCGTCCGCGTCAATGAAAGGGCCTCCGCCTCCAATTGGCAAAAAGCCGCCACCACTACCTGCATCTCGAAAGCCCTCTGCAGCACCGTCCGGCAACCCGCCTCCGCTACCCGGCGCGCCGGCCCCTGGAGCTCCTCCTCCGCCACCTCCGGCACCTCCCTCGGCACCTCCCTCGGCGCCACCCTCAGCACCCCCTTCAGCGCCACCCCCTCCACCTGGTGCTGCTGCACCCAGACCACCTGCGCCTTCACCTCCTTCTCGTTCTCCAGCACCACCAGCGCCGCCTCCGCCCCCTCCATCTGCATCAAACGGACCCCCACCGCTAGCAATGCAAGCTGCGCTGCGAGCAGCTGGACAAGCATCACCCAGTGCCGCACCCCCGCCCCCCCCTTCGTCGGCTCCCTCGCCTCCCGCTGCCGCCTCTTCGCCGCCGGCCGCTCCCCCCTCACGCGCTCGGTCTGGGTCTGGACTTCGGTCATCTATGCTTGACCCTAGCGCTTTTACTCTCGCCCCTAACGGTGCAAAGAGCCCTCCCCCATCGCGGGCGAACACAACCGCAAGCCTACATTCTGGAGGTGGAGGTAACGGACGCTACATTGTCCAGGACCCGCGTTGGAGATTTCAGGATGAAAGCATGCTTCCAAAGCCGAGGGAGTTCGTTGGTGGCCCCAAACGTTACAGGGCAGGAAGAGGCAGCAGCGTTCCGCTTGATTTGAGCGCTCTGTGAAGGAATGGATGGCTTTGGGACCGACCCTGGTCTCACCTGCAACTCTTACAAGGAGTAAGGTTCTAAGACGATCTAGCAATATACTCAGTCGGACTCCCAGCGTAAGCGTATACAAAGGTTTCCTGATGGAAGTGCTTTTTTTTCGCTACACACCTCTATCTGCTAAACCCATCCCCTGAGGAAACTGGGGTGTTTTTTTTTTTTTGGGGGGGGGGGGGGGGGGGGGGGGGGGTCCTATTCCGTGAATAGCAACCTTATCAATGATCCCTCAGTTTCATGGTGTGACGGACAGGTTTACATGATAGTACGTCAAATTTGCACGGCGTTGTTGTAACGAAACAATCGCCGAGACAAGTACCTAGATCGCTTGGCTCTTGGCGTTGGGCACTTCTCCAGACTCAAGACGATGGTTCCTAAAATGGGTTTTCATGGGGAAATACCATGCCCTAGGCAGTATCAGGGGTAGAGACTGTAGGGGAAGAAAGCCAGAAAGGCTCCAGACGCGTTAGCGTTGACGGCGATCACATCATCGATGGAGTGCGATCCTAGCAGGTTTCTTTTTATGTTTTTATTTCTCCTACTTTGATCGGCTTAGCCCATCTAGAACTCTGAACAAAGAATAAAAAGAATGCTCACAATATCTGAAATTGATTAAAGGTGGATTTCAAGAGACGAGAATTTCTTGGCCCGGAGACCGACTGTCAGAAGATCTAATCTAGCTCCATCGCCAAATTATGCTTGTAAGGGTTACTCCGCGGATAAGTTGAAGTCTCCGTCGCGACCTCCCAAGGCTCTCTGTCCAGCAAGCTTCAATAACAAACGAAAAAAAAAAAAAAAGTGAAAGGATTATCCAATAAGGAAAAAAATATCAAGAAAGGGGGGTGAGGAAGTTTGACTTTGCCTCCAAGAAAAGTCGGGTCCATGTCACGCTGAACTCCGCGAAAACTCCCAGTCTTCCTTCGTAGTTCAGAACAAGCACGTCCAGCGTAACTAAAGCAGAGTGCACCGCCCGAACCTGGCTGTCAAGAGCCCGAGTCTCGAAAGGGCAACCCGTTTCGAGCAGCTTCAAGTCGTTACGGATTGTCCATTTTCGCGAGCGAGCGATCGGAGTGGCCGGCGGATGTATTTAGTGTGCGTGTCCGGTTCAAGTAGCATTGTCCTCACCAACGTAACAGAAAACAGCTTCAACTGGTTTTGATTTTCTTCGCCCTTTACGGCTAGAGTTTCTCTATTTGATGTTGCTTAAAGGTACGCAAGCAACCACGTAACATGTCTAATTGGGATGAGGTTTGTTTCTTTGATGATTACTGTCGTCACATGTGTATTCTGCGTCGCAACCCGAAGTTTCCGTATACCATGCCTTTACTTGTATTAAACTACCGTAAGAGCTATTCGAAAGATGAAGTTGGTTTCACCTACGTCCATCGTCGCAGGGCTCAACACGCCAAGAGATTGAGGCAAAAGACAAGCTTGAAGCCAAGCCTCACCCCACCCTCTCACACGTCCTCTCAGATGCAATCGCAGGAAATTCAAAACCAGACCCTTGAAGTAAATCAGAAATGAATAGAAAATGAGTAGGGAAAAAAAAAAGCTTTCATGCCGTGCCGCCCAGCCCCTTGGCATTCCCCTCCGATCGTAGATCATTTCAGATGTATGTGAAGAGGGAAAAAAAAGGGTCACATTTGATGTGACTGCACCCACATAAACGCAACATAAACACACGCCCACGCCTATCCCCGTTTTCGTTTGTCAGGCATGTTCCGCGTTTCTCCCAAAAATAGGAAGAAGAGGTATCCATGGTTCAAGATCGTCTATATTCGTCAAAGCTCGTGCTCAAACCCATTCATGACGAAAAGAGAAGACCGGCCAAAAAAAAAAGCCAGAAGAAAAAAGTCCGGAACTCATCACGTCAGCTAGCCCACTATTACCCCGGACTCCCCCGGGCGGGCGGAGGGAAAACGTTGGAGACGTAAATAGTATCCGACGACTCATGAATCAGATGAGATGTTGAAGGATTGGGCTTCATGCCTGATTCAGGCCACAACGCTTCGGCCAACCCCCGTGCTCCACCTGAGACGACGAAGACCACCGCCGGAAGAACGAATAACTTCTCTGCCGCACGATGAAGAGTCCGCTACCGTTGAAGCGTTAACGCCCACTCCCGCTGCAGAGAGAGCTTCCTGGCGTCCTACTTCGCGGCCGATCACGTATCCTGCACCGAAACCAACCACAGAAACCAACACAACGACGCCGGCGCTCATGACCCAAGTCAACAATGTGGGACTGATGAGTGCGTCTTCGCTGGCTGTCATTTTCTTCTTCTTTGTTGCCCTCGATGAGCGGGTCTGTGAAGAGGAAGTCCTCTTGTGCTTGTCGACCCCTTCACTCTTGGGCGATGAGGGAGTAGAAGATGTGACATTCCGTGACCGAGTAGGTGCCTTGGCTTGTGGTGCGCCTTGAGGCTGAGGCGGCCTATCCGGCATGAGTTCAGACTCAGGCATGAGTCTCAATTCTACGGGTTGAGAACTAGGTCCGACGCCGGTGTGGGCTGGTGCGCCTTGCTGCTCAGTGTCCTTATACTTAGGCAGGCCACGGGCAGCGGCGGCGCAGGAGAGAAGGGTGGTAAGGGAAGCACGGAGAGCCGCGTCGTTGTCGGCTTGATATGCAGGCGACATAAAGTTCGGTGGGCCGCGATGGACCCTCGTCTGAGAACGATGGGATAGAGAAGGACGTACGCTGCTGTGCGGGTGTTGATGAACGGCCGAGTTTGCCGAGTGGCTCCGGTGCAAGCCTGATGGCGGGTGAGAAAATGCGTTGGGGTGAGGGCGGAAAACAGGATCATCGGTAACACGTCCCAGAGCTGTAGCGATCTCATCACCGTCGTCAGAATCCTCCGACTCCACCTGCGCCGGCTGTTGTTGCTGGAACGGTGCGCGCATAGAAGGCTGGACATTTTCGGTTGAGCTTGTTAGGCACCGATCCTCTTCGCTCTCGCTCTCTTCATACTCTTCCTGGCTGCTTGTTCCGGCGTGGATAGCTGTCTGGTCGACGTGGAAGGATCGGGGTACCGGTTGGTGGTGTAAGCGACGTCGGCGGGCGGCCATGGCCCCGCCGACTCGGAGACCGGTAGTAACGATCTCATCGCCGATGGATGAGAGGGATGACGAAGACGGCTGCGACGAAATTTCGACCCAGGATTCTGCAGAGAATCGTGTCAGTATTTCATTAAGGGCATTTTCAAATGCTTGAGTTGCGAGCGACTGACCATCATTCCTCCTACGAGGCCCCGCGGCGGATCGTGCTCCGTTCACTGACATCCTGCTGTTTTGCCAGTTTTGGCCAGCATGTTCGTCGCGTTGGTGCCCTTCCATCGTTCAGTGCTAGTTTTCGGCGCCGCAACAACAAACTGAAGTGCAAAAAAGGGTATTCGTGGTCGCAGTTGTAAAGGATGTCGTTATTGTAGACGACGACGTTGGGGGATGTGGCTGGACGGATGTGGGGGGGCGCTCCTCCGTCCGAAACCCCGCGTTTTGAGATAAGATTAGCTAGCGATACTTAGTATGCGGTCCGAGATGTCTGTTCGCGCGACGCCGACGATGGTTCTAAGAACGTATTGTAATGCGGCGAAAAGATGGTAGAACAATAGAGGGCAGGAAAAAAAGAAGGGTGAAGTTAGGAAGAAGGATGCACCAGACCGCTTCGACTATGGCTGGCTCACCAGGCACGCAGGGTCGGTGAGATGGTGTTGAGGCCCTGCTTGCTGGCTGGCTGTGCCTTTGGGAAGGGAAAGGGGGGGGGGAGGGGAAAGGGACCAGTCTCCATCAAAGCATGTAATACGGGGAAAGGATGGATAACAGATGCAGATGATGTACATCTGCAGCAAGCATCTGGTGCGGAGTTACCTATGATAATGGCCCGGTGCTTGTAGTTTCCGGCCACCGCACCGTGTCAGGTGCCATGGCCGCCACGCGCACTTCAGACGGCGTGTCCTAGGCATTTTGTCGCATATCGCTGCAAGCAGCCCCGATAAGTACAGTGCGAGTATTTGGGCGTCGATGACGCTATGATTACCATCTATTCCGCTGCCAGACTGTTGTTGTGGTGGTGGCCCCAGGGGCCCAGAGCAAGCCATGATCCCGCCCCAAGCATCCCACTTGCACACATCGTCTGGGCTGCCAAGTGCTGCATCGTAGCGGGGTCAGGTGCGGATGAGTGGAGTAGTCGCACTGTGGGAAGCGCGGGCTGCGCCTGCCACCACTATTAAACATTACTCCTACCTGTCAAACTACACAGTAGCACCGACACCGGCTGTTGGCGTCGGGCCTTAACTTCCCTGAAATGCCAGCAGCGAGCCTGAAGATGGGAGCGTCCGGCTCTGTTAGTGGTCTGCAATGTGCATCCCGCGACAAGGACGATCCCAAGACACGCCATGATTGTCGTCTTATAATCGTCTACCAAGTCATGCCAGATTCCACTGGCGTGCCCTCCTTTCCGCTCCACCGTTCCCCCAACAGATTCGTACCGTTTCATCATCCTGCCGAGTAGTCGAACGGCTGAGCAAATTTGCGGCGTTTGCATCTACTATTCCAGCCCACCGCGCTGGCGAACAGGTGTTCACCCGTGACGTTGTTTGGTGAGAAGGAGGGCTGAGTGACCAAGCTGTCCAGTTATGTTTTAGTGCTGTATGGGGTTTGCAGATTACCCGTCATCACGGGGGCTGCATTCGCACCCCGTGCCGCCCAATGACGCAGCTCTTTGCGGGAAGCTGAGCCACGAGGCTGCTGTCGAATGGGGTGCGAAGTCGGCCAACTCCCTAATGTAAGACAAGCCGCCGGCAAACTACGATAGTGATACTTAGTACAACCTTTGCCCCTAGCAAGCCGCATCAATCTTGCTACTACACTACTCAACATACACATATTACTTCACGTTGCAGTAGAACGAAGACAATGACGAGTTCATCAAGAAATATCAAAACTTTTGTATTACACTAGGAGCCGATCCCTAAACGCCGAGTTCTCCTGGCCGGTATGGGCCTTTTCTTTCTTTGAAAGGACAAAATGACATTCACGGGGAGAAGTATACTTACTCCGTTCTGCGTCGCGTTGCATGGTATCGTTCCAGGTTCAAAATAGTAACCAAAGGAGAGAAAACGCCTGACCAGCCACATCCACAGCATACCAAAGAGTAGACTGTCAAGAGCAACCCCCAGAGCCCACAGAAGCCGTCGTCATCATCAAAGTTGATCCCCTCGCAACGTGCCTGATGATGCAGGCACATAGAGATTCTTCCCAACATCGTGATAATAAGCCGTCTGCCCACTGTGAAGATGTTGCTGTGCAACTAATGCCCTCTTGGTCAACCCACAATAGCGTACAGATCCCGCAAATGTCTCTATGATATACAAGAGACGCCACAAGCCCACGGTCAAAGTCAAAAGCCCTCAGGTCCATCATGTCTCCGAAGAAACTGCTCTCAAAGCCCACAATTCCCGAAGGAAAGAAACTTGTCTCGAACCGACAGCCCACGAAGCCCACAGAATATGCCCGCGATATGCCCTCTGAACTATCATCATTCATCGTGCGGCTTGCATCACACCTTCACACCTTAAAAGGTGATCTTGGAGCCCTTGAAGTCACCCATGCCACCACGGTTGGTGGAAGAGAAACCACCACGGCCACCGCCACGGCCACCACCACGTCCGCCGAAGCCGCCACGGCCGCCACCGCGACCACCACCACGGCCACCGAAACCACCACGGCCACCGCCGCGACCGCCAGGGCCGTCACGGTTAGGCTTCTGGCCAGCGAAGTCCAAACGAACTGCACGGCCGCTGCGACCCTCACCAATGTACTGGCCGTTTAACTGCTGGAATGCATTCTTGGCGTCGTCAATGGAAGTGAAAGAGACGTAGCCGAAGCCCTTGAGGTTACCGCTCTCACTGTGAAGGGGGTCAGTCAGAGTGTCTTTAAATTGCAATGATTGAATGTACTCACGGGTCAGTGGGAAGGCGAACGCTGGCAACCTCGCCGATCTCGGCGAAGAAAGCGCGGACGGTGTCCTGGTCAACATCGAAGGGAAGGTTACCAACAAACAGAGTCTCGCTCTCGGGGCTGACGGTGTCGCCGTGTCTTTGGGCACGGTCTTGGGCGCGAGCCTGGTGGTTGCCATCACCAGCGGGCTTCTGGCCAGAGAAGTCAATGTTCATGGCACGGCCGGCAAGGTCCTGTCCTTGGGAGGCCTCGAGGGCGACGGCAGCAGCCTCAGGGTTGGCAAAGTCGACGTAACCGAAGCCACGGCTGCGGCCAGTCTGCTTGTCGGTAACAACGCGGGCACCAGTCAGGTCAGGGAACTGCTGGAAGGCCTCGTAGAGAGTGTTGTCATCAACAGCCCAGGCAAGGCTGCCAACGAAGAGGGTGGAGCTCTTGTCAGAGACATCGGTACGGGCCTTCTTGCCAGGGATGACGGGGTCGTCGAGGGCCTTGCGCTTCTTGGAGGGCTCCTCAGCCTTGGTCTCAGTCTCAGAAGCTTCCTTAGAGTCAGAGGATTCCTCCTCCTCATCAGAGTCGGAAGAGTCGGAGTCGGAGTCGGAGTCGGAAGACTATTATCAAATATTAGCTTTTGTCAAGGCAAAAGAAATGGAACAGTTACTTACGGCGTCGGCCTTCTTCTCAGTCTTCTCGTCCTCAGAAGAGTCAGAGTCGTCAGAGTCCTCCTCGCTGGAGTCACTGTCGGAAGAGTCCTTCTTAGCGGTGCCGTTGGTCTTGGCAGCACCGTTGGCCTTGGCCTTGGGGGCTTCCTCCTCAGACTCAGAGTCAGAGTCGGAAGAGTCGCTCTCGCTGTCGGAAGACTCAGCGGCCTTCTTAGCGGCCTTAGGAGCGGGCTTCTCCTCCTCAGACTCGGACTCAGAAGAGTCGGAATCGGACTCCTCCTCGCTGCTGTCGGAGGACTCAGACTCAGACTCAACCTTCTTCTTGGACTTCTTCTCCTTAGAACCCTTGACGGCAACGTCCTTGGCAATGGCCTTGGACTTGGCCTTAGGGCTCTCGGAGGCCTTGGTGACACCGGCGTTCTTCACCTTGGTGAGAGGGTCAGAGGCCTTGCTGCCCTTGGTGGTAGACTTAGTCTTGCCCATTGTGATTGTTGAGGGTGGAAGGGAAAGAAGGGTATCGACGGTGTACAAGGGGATTGGAGAATGGAAAGAGCAAAAAAAAGCTTTTTCCAGAGGTGAGAGGATGCTCGAGGAAAAATTCAAAGCTGTCTGGAGGCGGTAGCTTGACTTATAAGGCAAGGGTCCGGTGGTTGGGGGCGAAGGGTCTTGCGACAGAATTTTTTTTGCGATTTGCCAAAATTTTAGCGGGGCATCCCTCGACCGGTACGGGCGGTGAGCAAGTGGCTGCGTGGGTGGTGGGTACGTACCGATTGTCGCAGCAGAGTCGCGCTGGGGAGGCGGCTGCGGGCCTTGAGCCTGCGAATTAAGGCTGCCGGATTCTAGCTGACCATTGGTTGCTAGGTTCCTCCAGTTCCGACAGCCAGCCAAATCAAACCGGCCCCGAATTCGATCACCACCACCGCTCAACCTCTCGCCGAGACGCTTTTCGACCTCCGGTGACCCATTCACCAATTCGAGCCCGTTTCATACGAGACGAAACCAATCCACCACAGTTAAGATGCCGACTCCCGAGTCCGAGATGTTCCTGGCGCAGAAGCCTAAGGTCCCCCCGACCTTCGACGGCGTCGACTACGATGACACCAAAGCATTCAAGCAGGCACAGGATGCCATTATCCGTGAGCAATGGGTTGGCTCCATGATGCTGCGTCTTGTTGGAGAGGAACTGGGCAAGTGCTACAAGCGCGAGGGTGTGAACCACTTGGAGAACTGCGGCCAGCTGAGAGGTTAGTCGCAGCCCGTACCGGAGCTCTGTGTCCGCCGAGACACTAAGATGGGCTCTCTTCAAGTGATGAAATACTAACAATCTCCTACAGAAAGGTACCTGCAGCTGCTGAAGGAGAAGAAGGTCAAGGGCACGCTGTTTGAGCAACAGAACTACATCACCAAGCAGGACAAGGCATGAAAAAACTATGTCTGGGCGAGATGGATCGGGAGGGTTCCAATGTGGAACAAGGGTGTCGCTTTGATAGAGGTTTTCCTTAACAATCAGGAGGGAAAACGGAGGACTTGGCCATGTCACATCATGCCAATTGGCCGCGTGATGGGGATATCCCTCGCGCTATGTACAAATGAATCAATCAAGGCTTTTGAGGTTATGCATTTATCCGACATTTTACGTTTACTTTCAAGAGACCTTGTAAAGAAGCCGAATTCGCTGGCTTGAAAGCCTTGAATCTTGGATAAATTGAGTCAATTGACTCGCATGGACGATGAATGCACCCAGACTTGTATTTAAGAGTAGAGTTGGAGCTCTAGAAAGGTACCTTGATAGTGGTGGACAGCCTTCCATGCTAGTTGCGTAACTGGCTCGTCCCGCCCGCCCCAGAATTTTTCCACCGCACCCCAAGCTCAAGCTCACACATCCTGCAGCACCACCACGACTAGGCCTCTTCGACTTCGACGTCGAAACAACAGCGCACCGCCTTCAGACAGTCGCGTGCTCCTAATCTCCCAATATGATTTGCAGAACATGTCTGCGGCGAGCCACGGCTCTGCCTCGTCTCCAGCAGCCTAGCGCCGGCGCCCTCCTCGTCAGACCCTTCTCCCTCTCTGCGCCGACAAGAAACGCTGCCCCCGGCACGTCTGCCGCCCCGGATGCCGCGCCAGCACCGCCTGCTAACCCGGCTGCGCCCCCGAAGCTTTCCAACGTCAAGGACGAGACCATCAAGGCTCCCACGAGGCCTACCTCATCCTGCGCCCCCGGAACAGTCCTCAATGGCCTGAACTACTTCAAGGGCAAGACGGACCCTGTTGCCCTCGCCGATGAGGAATATCCCGACTGGCTGTGGACATGCCTTGAGGCCAAGAAGGAAGTTACTGAATCCGTGGAAGACCTTGCTGCCGAGATGTTCTGTACGTTCGCCCTCTCCTAACGTCCCTCGTCGCACTCTGTCAAGGGTGTAAACCTCCTCGCGTGACCAAGCTAGTTCCTTTGCTAACATGCTCGTGCGTCTACCAGCCAAGTCCAAGAAGCAGCGTAAGGCGGCTGCCAAGCGCCAAAAGGCTCTCGAGGCCAAGCTTCTCGCATCAGGCGACGTTGAGGCTCTCGCGCCCAAGGTCCCTCTGCCCCAGCAGTCCATCAACTTGCCCGGAGAGAAGGGTGGCGATGTCGACCACAATCTCCATGCGTTGAGCAAGAGAGACGACCTGCGCAAGGCAATGCGCAAGGAGCGCAAGGCCAAGATCAAGGAGACCAACTACCTCAAATCCATGTAAAGATAGTATATTGGTATCGTCGCTGGTGCCGCCGGCTACCGCAGCGATTGCGAACTTCGGGAGTCTGTGTATCATACAGAGCAAGAAAATGGGGTGGGCTCTTGTACAATATTTACTGTCGGCATGGCCGATTTTATATCATCACTGCATCGTCACAAGTTGAGAGGAAAAGATTATTTGCAAAGCACCAAAGCCGTTGGTATTAACGCGTGCTTGCTTAGTAATGTTGTTCTAGGTATACATGGCCGCAGATATGTCCATAATGTTACCCCTGTTTAAGGTCAAGCTAGATATAGCCCCCCAGCTGCAATCGAGGCACTGTTTTGCTTTTGCTAATCCTCGTCCTCTTCCTCTTCTCCTATGGAGGTCATCTTCAGGTGAAGCTCTGCCCTCAAATCCTTCAAGCGGGACTCAACACGGCCGCGAAGAATCTTGTTGTCTATCCTGGCCATTTCCGCTTCCTTTTTGGCGATCTCATTCTTGAGTTGTGTAATATCTTCCCGAACCGCCTTGACTTCGTCCAAACGTGCCCTATCGTCATCGTCGTCGTCGTCATCATCGTCGTCGTCTTCGTCTTCTTCGCTGACCGCCGACTCCTCACCGTCTGCACTGTCTTGCGCATTTGCTGCCGGTGTGCCGTTGTTCATTGTCATCGGTGTGGCTGCTTCGAATTGTGTTGCTGGCGTTCCCACCTCGGTAACTGGCTGGTTCATTTCCTCCTCAAAGGCAGCCTCGAGCTCAGCCTCAAGATCGTCATCAAACAGCTCGCCGTTGGCGTAGCCATCGGCAGGGAAGTATCCGCTGTCATCAGCTTCGCCATCGGCATCCTGCTCGTCTTCAGAGTATTCATCTCCGGACTGCATTCTCTTCTCGTCGATGAGCTCATACTTTGAAGAGACAGCTGCTGCATCGGCGGCTAGAAGCTTCTTGACTTCATTCTCCTTCAGTTCAATCTCAGATCGACTGATCACCTTGGCAAATCTTTGATTGACGGCGTCATGCATTGGCGGCGTCAAACCGTGGGGCCACTTAAATCCAGGTTGGATCATCGAGGGTAGTGGTGCCTTCTTCGCCTCCTCCTCACTCCGTACTTGTTGGAAAACAAGAAGCATGTGACAGATGTCGGCGGATTTCATGAATGTCTTCCTGTCCCAGGATTTCATGCCTTCTGTGATTGTAGGCAACTCAACCATGACAGCAGCGTAGTGCTGCCCCTTGACTATGACCATGGCGCGTCGACTCTCGTCATCGAAGAACTTTATGGCAATGTCCGCGCCGCCGTCCTTTCTCGGTAGCCCAACTTTTCCTTCTTCTATACACTTCCTCACATACTCGCAGTGCTCTCCAGGCATCATACGCAGAATGAATTGCTCTTCGATCACGGGGTCCTTCTCTTGGTCACTCGCCTCCGAATCGTAGCCATCGCCGGGCGGGTGATTTGGTGGTTTGCCTTTTGATTTAACAACAATGTGACGGCCTCCCGGGGTTGCAACATGAGGGATCTTTAGAAGCTTGATCTTCTTCGCCGGTTGATTTGTGCCATCGTCATCGATCTCGATTTGCTCGCGCTTCTTCGACTCGATAAGTTTGCTCGTAGGCTTCGGCTGTCGCCCGGCCTTGGTCTTCACAGGTGTTGGCGCGGTAGAACCGGCGGGCGTCGGTGGTTGTGACGACTTGAGCTTGATCTTCTTGCTCGAGAGGGGGGCCGCACTTGATGGTGTTGCAGGCGCACCGTTCGGTTCGCTAAATGATGCCTTCAACTTTAATTTCGGCCGGGGCGGCGGTGGCGGGGCGCTTATATCTGGCATCTTGAAAGTGAAGAAGTACACAACTTAAGGGAATATTGCTTCGAGGATATCGTGGTTGAAGAAAACGCCTGCAGGACCGGTCGTGATGTATGAGGTAGTCGCGCCAAGATAGCAGGCGCGGCCGTCCTTGCCAGTCGGACTGATCAGATGAAGCGAGCTCGTAGTTGACAGTAAGTGAGAGATAGGCAACTGAAGAACCAAGGCTAATAAGAATCTGCAACGAGTGAAGATTGTGTAGAAAGCGCCGATGTTGGCAAATGCAGTAGGGCAGAAAATGTGAAGCTTAATCGCAGGAATCCTCCAAGTGGTCGGCACCTCCTAGTTGGTTTGGGGGGTTAAGCGCACCGCAAAGGTATACATACCTTTCTTCCGGGGTGCTGCTGTAGCCTTGCAGCTTACGCGTGGTAAGTTTTAGCGTGACAATGCCTGTATCGCGCGCAACTCCACCCACACAAGTAATGCACAGACACTGACCTTTCATAGGCGAATAGGCAAGCCACGATTTAGGGATGGATTAGCTATTAACTTTATAGGACAATACATGTTTCCGTAGACGAGAAACCAGCAACTATTTGTATATCGTCTGAGTTGTAGCAAAGCATATTGGCGCCGATCTGCACCTTCAACTTCTCCTTTCTTGTATTTAGCCTCCGCTTTCCACCGTGGCCCATCTCATTAAAGCACTCTACAACTCCAGTCAATTGGTAACCATCTCAATCCGCCTCGTCTTCAACCACTTCGACAGAGGCCGCAATTCGCATGACATCGGCCCAGCTAAAGGCGCTGCATGCCATCAGACATCGCAACCCTCCTCTAGGTTTTGTTTCTCGGAGGGAGTTAGGCAACTCTTTGATCAAAGCCTGTTGCAGGTTCCTTGAGACGTCCAGATCGGATATGCTTTCGATAAAATCATAGAGGACTCGCCGGACTGTAGTAAAATTTTTGGGATTTGTCTGCTGATAACGTTTCTGAGCAGCTCTTTGCAGACTTTTGAATTCTGAGGTTCTGGTCTCAGTTGTCTTCGAGCGGGAGCTACTGGATGGCTTGATGGGTTGGGCCGCTCGTCGACGTTTAGGGGGTTTACGCGGCTGGGGCTCAAGCTCATCAAGCTCAGATGCTGTTGAAATATCATCTTCACTCTTGCGTTTCCGTGTAGTCTGATCTCCTTCAAATTGTTTAGCTGGTCGGATGACCGGAAACATCAACTCCGTACCTGGGATGTTGAAGTGTGAAGCCTGGTCTGAGTGGATTGCTGGTTGAGAGCCAGGCTGGTTGCCCGCGCGGATCTGGTCGGACTGCACCATTGGTTTCGGTTCCTGATTTACCCTGTACGATTGTATCCTTTGCTGCAAAGCCTGAGCTTCTCGCTCCACTCGACTTTCTATCTGGCGAATTTTCTTTCCCAAAGACGAATGTAGACTGGTCAGTTGGCGACCGAGGTCGTCAAGTTCTGCCCGAAGCTTCACCTGCAATTCCAGTCTTTCTTTCTCACTGACATCTACTCGCTTACTGAAATCTTCTTGTCTTTTTCGCTGGTCCCATAGCTGCTGGTATACATTGTGCAACATCAACATACTTGGCACGTCGGATGTCTGTATTGGATTATTAGAGGCAGCAAGGCCAGTGGCGAGAGTGCCGCTGGCAGTCTGTTCGTACTGGTTACTAGAGTTCGATAGGGCTTTCATACGTCTCTTTGGCGCCTAGGGAACGTTAGGACTTACTGGCACCGACTGGATTGCATGCTGACTCGCTCTAGATGGAGCGGCGGAACGTACCTCAGCCATGCTGCCTTTAGGTACTGCGAAGGGAATGCCGATAGAGAGTAGTGGAAGACCGTTTCAAATTGCAACAGTGACCAGTCAACGGCTTGTGTAGGATTTGTATTGAATCATGAATGACGTTGTTGGTAGATGTATGTGTCTTCTTGGAAGACAGGAAATTGAGGTGACGATCAGAGATTGACGAGTTGATATAAAAGTGGATGGGGGCTCAGACATACATTCACCTTCTATACTGCTTCATTCCATCACTTGAACGGAAGGCGTAGTTCCCACGGCACCAACCGTCTCTGAGCGAGTCCGGCTGAAGGTCAGAAATAAGGCAGGTAGGCAACTCATTGCGGAAGGCACCGACGGACCCCACCTATATCGCCCGGTCTAGGAAAGGCAGTGATGGAGTGGCCAGGGAAAGAACAAGGGTAAGAGGTCCATCGTAGAAGGGGCAAGTGGAAGTTTGAGACATAGCATTGGAGAAGCCTCGACTGTCAGCCAGGTCAGTTGAAGGGAGAGGTAATGAACAAGTCATTTACCAATGATCCAATCATGTTACACATTATGGTATATACATATATCATGACTTCTGGAATAGCTGCGTATCCATCTAGGCGTGTGCCTGCCCGTTAGTCCCTGCTCTCGTACCATTCATGCCAACGGCGGGCTCTTTTCTCAACGGTACCCCTTGCCTGGAACTTCTTCCTTGTGAGGAAGATTCCCCATCTTCCAAAGCCGCTGAAGCCCTGCGATCGGGAATCTCGGTTCCCCTGTTTCCTTTGACTGCAGTCCACTTGCCCACACTCGTACCTTTCTCGCGCTCCTCGGCGATCCATCCCAGGAAGAGCGCAACATCCTTGGCAACAACCCCGAGGACAGCCTTCGCCTGTATCCAGACAGGCAAGATGCCCTTTGCGTCTGACGCAGTGGACATGATCCATTCGATCGCACCCGTGGGCAACCTTCTAATCCTCTCGACACTGGCGTAGGCGGCCACCACAACTCCCTTCTCATTGACTAGGCCGCCGTAGTCTGAAGATGACAGGTCCGATATTGGGATAGATACGACGATGAACTCATCGATATCCTTCGCCTTCGCTGAGAGGATCAACTCGGGAAATACACGATTCTTGAGCGGCATCCCGAGCTTGTGCTTGATCTCGGACACGGCCACCTTGAAATCACACCATACTAGACCACCCTCTTCCACTGTAACACCAGTGCAATCCCATGTCAGCGCCTCCCTAGTCTGTATCACGTTCGGTGTGAATGCCTTCTCGGCTTCAACATGGTCATCCTTGAAGCACTTGACAAACTCCTCCCACGCCGCCGTTCCTTTGCTTGGCCTGTCCTTGTGTATACTGCGCCTACAAGCCCATGTTTCAGCGGTGATGGAGGCGTTTGGCAGTTGGTTCCGCGCCGCCTCCTTTTCGAGCTCAGCTGAAGCAATGATGCGCTCATACAGCTCAACCTGTGCCGTCGATTCGGGATATGACTTTGCCCCCTTGGCCTTCCACTCGCTCGGTCGCGAAGTGCCGTCCTTGGGTGCAACGGCGTCAATGAAGGGGACCGCTTCCTGCAGTACGGCGATGAGGAACGGCGCCAAGTCGGCGGCAGTGGCTCTTGGCGGCGGGAGCTGCTCCGTCCGGATGCCCCACAGCCGGACCAGAGGCCCGAGGTTTTCGTCCTCTGTATTCATTCTGATTTTGTGTGCTGAGTGGTCTCACGAAATCCTATAAGTAAGGAGAACTGTGCGTACAGCGATACAGATTCAAGCACTGGCTTTGTCTCGCGGCAAGCTCAGTTTATATGGTGTGGCGGATTGGCCGGCATGCAGTCAGTGTAGTAAGGTGTAGGTGCACCGTCAATGAGCAAACCTAAAACCCCACGTCTGTACGCGGCTCGTTCGTAAGGCAGTTGCGTGGGTGATAGCTTGGTATGAGTGAGCTTATAATTAGGATGAGGTAAAGGTTGAGGAGGGGGGGGGGGGGGGGGGGATGGCCTGTCCTGAGACATTGTTAAGATCATCCCAGCTCGGTGCACTGACTCTGAAACGAAACAAGGCCGACCGACCGAACATGTATCAGTTGTATGGGCAAATCGTCAACATCATCAATCGGCCGAGCCCCGCAATGAATTTAGCACCACCTGTCTTCGGGCAGCTGCTTGTGAATGGGGGCTGGCCTGCCGTTTAGTTTACTGATTGAGTTTTATCACAGCTTGCAACATAATGTTCTAACCAACTTTAGGTAAGACAGACAGTTAAGGTATGTCATAACGTTCTTTTGCATTAATATTATTTGGCAGCGCCTGTATTGGTCTACTGCCTGCGCCTTAGCGCTCTCATGTCTATGTCTTCTCTCTGGGCCACATGACTTAGTCTCATTGGCTTGCAATGTACATTCCCCAAACCCCAAAACCTGTTAAATACCCGCTCCCCCAAGCCTTTAAGGGTTGCGCTTCTCCCAGTAGATGTTGGCGGGTTCCAAGGGCCGCGTGAATAGCGAGGCATAATCGGTGTCGTTGAGACTGTCGCTGCCGTCGGGGTTACGGAACTTGAAGAGTCTGACCACCGTAGCGGTGATGGTCTGCAGCTGTGCGTTGGCAAAGTGTTCGCCGATGCAGCGGTGACGGCCGGCGCCGAAGGGCAGGTAGGGTGATGCGGCACCCTTGCTGACCAGACCATAACCGTAATCGATCTTCTCCTCCTCGTCGGCATCGTTGCGGGCGATCCTGGGGGCGTTGGGAGAGTCGGTCTCCCAGCGGTGGGGGTCCCAAACTTCGGGCTGAGGGAAGAAGGTGGGGTCGGTGGCGGAGACACCAGGGGCGGCGAGGACGTTGTGGGTAGTCGGAATGACATACTTGGTTCCGGGAACGGGCATGGGAGACTTGACGGCGCGCAAGATCGAGTTGATGGGAGCGTGCAGGCGGAGGGTCTCCTTGATGATGGCCTGGTTGAGGGGCAACTTGGCGAGATCCTCGTACGTCAGGGGAGGCAGATCGGCACCGAGAACGCGGACTTGCTCCTGGTAGAGCTCCTCCATGATGTGGGGGTACTGGGCGAGACGAAGCATAATCCAAGAGGCGGTGGAAGAAGAGGAGTGCTGGCCAGCCATGAGAAGAGCAATCATCATGTGAGCAATCTCGTGGTCGGGGACCTTGGTGCCATCCTTGTAGGTCGAGTTCATCAGGTGGGACATGATGTCAAGGCCATCAGTGCGACCGTTGTTGCGGCGGTCCTGAATGGTATCCATGTAGATCTGAGCAACGGTGCGCTGGGCCTGGTCGCGCTTCTTGTTCCAGGGAAGAGGAGCCCAGTGCAGAACGAAGTTGATGGGCGTGAAGCCCATGTCGAGGTCGTGGTAAAGAGCAGCGAGGGACTCGTCGAACTTGTTGCGGATCTCGGCGCCCTGCAGAGCATGAGAGGCGGTGAAAATAGTGACCTCGGCAACCTTGGGGGGCATGTTGACGACGCCAGACTTGCCCTTGAAGTCGGCACTGCGCTTGAAATAGTTGGTGACTTCGTCGGCGATGATGGGGACGTAGGAGCGGAAAGCCTCAGTGGTCAGGGCGATCTTCATGAACTGGAGGGGCGGGAACTGTCAGCAACATGGTTTCCGGTGAAAGTTACTTTGGGGAGGCACCTTCTTCTGCTCCATCAGCTTAGAGTTGGGGCAGTCGTAGACAACGTCGCGTCCGAAAACGGGAGTGGTCAAAACGGTGTAGATCTCTTCGGCGGACACGTCCTTGAGCTTGCCGTTGAGAATGAAGTCGTTGCCCTGGGGTCCGACAGCGACAGTGGTCTTCTTGCCGAGAAGGATGAAGGTGAAGATATCGCCATACTGGTTTGTGTATATGGGTTAGTATGAGACCCCTTTCCGAGAAGTTGTTGCGAGCAACCAAGAGGGTGGCGCGCATACCTTTTTGCGGTTGGCGACGAAGAAGGCGGGAGGGTTCTTGCCGTATGTGATGGTGCTGCCGATGAAGGGGAACAAATGGAAAACCACAGGGGGCTCGTTGGGGTTCTTGAAGAGGATCTGAGAGAGGACATTGAGGACGACGGAGACGACCAGAAAGGCACCAAAGGCGACGGCGACCTGCGAGCCAGTACCAAGAGATTGGAACTGCTGGGACAACGGTCCCGCGATCTCTTGAACGAGACCCATTCTCGGGGGTGAAGAAAGGGTCGCTGGAGGGGAGTAAAAAGAAAGAAGGAGCGTCAATTGGAGGTATCGGGCGCGGTTCTGTGTTTGCCTGCGATCCCAAGAATCTTCACCAGACGTAGCGCACAAATACCAGTGGCACGAGTGAGAGTAGAAGGGGGGCTATGAAGGTGGTTTTAAATTATCCCTTATGAGATTAGATATCTGCCGCGTTTTGTTGGGTCCCACATTTTTGCGCAAGCAACCTGTGCGACGGTCGAGCCAATGCATGGGAAAGCTCTTAGGCGGTCAAGCATCTCGCATCCCCATGGAGCCAAGAAGCTGTGACATCTGGCCACCTGGATCTGATTTAGGGCAATTGTCACAGGGGCCCAGGTCCTTTCTAGTGTCTACAAGGCTGCTGTAGTGTGTGTAGCTACCAGGAAAAGCGCTGCAGTCGCATTTTTTTTTCCCTCTTCCCCTGGCCCATCCATATCCACATGCCTTGATGCATGTTGCTCTAGGTTGCATGGCACCAGAAAATCGGGAACAGGGGTTGAATGGGCCAATGGGTGGCTCCAGCCTCTAGCCAATGAGCCGCCATTCGTATTCGTATAGAGGGGGCTTTCATTTCCTAATCCAGAAGTAGATGGTGGGAATGATTCGATAGATGCGCAACACTGAGAACTAGAGAAACCACCTTTCGGTGCCATGAAGCCACTTCGAAATTGCTCTGCTTTGTCGTCAGTTGGAGGGACTTTGTCACCAGTCTTTGCCAAGGAGCTCCAACCTATTGTTCCTTCAATTCGCTGAAACTACCCCAGTCGCCTGATGGCGGAAAATCTGCGAATCTCCCCGAGGCAGGAACAAGTACGCAAAATCTGACCACTCATGTGTGCCTCATTGCCAACCCGAATAAGAATTCGAAGGATGATGCCGCCCCTAATGCTAAGAACAACCTCACCACCATCCCGACCTGCGCCACGTCGTTGCAAGGGTTACTGTATGTTTTAGATGAGGCTGCAAGTTTCTTCAACATGTCTTCAGCTCTACATGGTTTGAATATTCGTCCACTATATCAAAAGTTATGATGGTATCCTGTCCCGCCATTCCTGTTCAACAGTGCGGATTAAGCAATCCGTATGTCAGCATAAGCCATAACAACACCTTGAAAAATAATATTTCCTGGTTGCTGCTCCGCAGCACAGCCGAACTGACCTTTCTGTATAATTTATCGACATGACTAGCAGTTCTCAACCTGTTGTCGCATTCGTTCTCCTTGACACACTTTGAGAGGCTGTAAACCCCATACGACCGGGTCTGTCGATGCTTCAGGCATATCCACCCTCGGCCTCGGGTGCTTGCTACTGCCAGCTCACACCGTTCAGCCCGCTTTTCACTCCATAAAACATTTACTTAACGCGGTTGAGACGTGTCGCCAGAGAAGCTTGGGTTCTGCCCGGGAAACAAAGTGATATCAACGATCAGAGATCTCATAACGGAGGCCGCCCCGCGTTGGCGGATCAGCTTTCCCCTGCTTGGCGGGGTAACGGACAAAACCCCTGCAGTGATGTCCTAGAAAGCGACGCTCTGGGCTTTTATTACAGGGTAGATGTCGACCGGACAAGCATGGCATTGCCTTTATACGGGTCTACTGCTCTTGACCCAGGGGCTGGCTTTACTTGCCTCTTGTACATCTTGCAAGCAAGACTTAGCTTGCTAACTGGTTGACCCGCGTGAGGCTGATAGGGTCACAGATGCTATTGATCCAAGCCACAGACAGGATCTCTTACAAGGGTCCTGTAGTAGTCTTGCCTCGTAGTCTAGGTCAAGGGCAAGCTTGGCTGCTGTCTATACACAACCTAGGGGCATGCCATGCCATATCTAGGTTTATGAGTTGTTTCGTAACAGGACAGTTGAATGGTCTCAGCGGTAGGACAACAACATCTCAAGCATGATCATTCGTACATGCTGATTCAAGGTCTCCCAGATGACTGCTTAGTAAGTGCAGTTTCGGAGGACATGTACTCGCTCAAGATTTTGGAATGTTAACAATTGCCCGGTAACGTACCCTAGGACCTACATAAGTAAGGCACTGAGACCTTTGCAAAGCTACAGCAATCCGAGTATAAAGGGCTGGCATCTAGCCGAGATCCTGTTACTCACACTTCAAATTTCCTAGCCTCACAGCGCCTGAAAGGTTGCTTATTTCCAAACACATCACCTTTTCGTCTCCTGTCCAATCATTCTGAAAGTCCACAACCAAACTCGGCCCCGAATCTGTAAGCTGTCTTCCCAGGTATGACTTTCATAAGCAGTCCCTGTGGAATGGGTCATTGTGCTTGGTGGTGTTGGCTTTTTGGGACTGAGACCTTGATAGTGAAAGAGGATGGAGACCAGAAGCTAAGAGTTGTGAGACATGAGTACCTAGAATTGAATGAAGACACTGACACATACCTGGCCGTACAAAGATCTTGGTTACAAGAATTCCAAGTGATTGGTGGCCTTTCCCGTTGTTCCTGTGCGCATATCTTTCGAGTAGTAAAATGACAAGTGACTCTCAGTCTCGGGTAACCAGGATATAATCAGACACTGTAGAGCCGGCAAAATGATTCGGAAATGTCAAACATGCAACAATAAATTGAAGAAAAGAAAAGCCATTCAAAGTATCGTAAGGCAGTGCTTTCACGGAGAACAAATGTGCGTGTCTATCACGGCGAGCACGCAATCTCCATATGCGTGTAACCACAATCAAGGCTGCGAAGGCCTTCCTCACCCCAAGCCTACATCGCCAGGTTGGCGACCACATCCCGTAGGTTACCGAGGAACCAAGCAAGCCTTCGCCGCATGACTCTTCAGAACCAGACTGAGCTGACTTTCTGATAGAAACCAGAATATGGGGGAGCTTACCAAGAGCTACCGAGGTATATCCAGTCCGACTATTTTAATCTCCTCTTTTTATCTAGTATAAATATCTGTCAAGTATTACTGTCACTTGCGGCCCCCTGAATAAGAAGCACCTGTCTTATCGGATTGGTTATTTTGTAATCTAGGATGACTCGATGTTCTGTCGGATATTGACCAGCACTACTCACTAGCTCCCAGGGTTTAACATCTCTCATAATTTCCAATACATGTCACTCACCAATTCTATTCTCCTCCAGCCGAACACGCGAGGGGATGGACGACTGCTGTGGGCAGACATGTCCTTGTTAAGCGAGCCTTGCGTTGCGCACCCTCATTCACAGCTTTGACCCGGATCAATTTTCCTCTTTGATTCTAAGGTGGATGGATATTGTCTGGACATAAGACTGAATCTCGCAATTTATCATTGTAATGTCATACTAAGGTTCTTTAGAACTTTCATTTCTGTCGAGAGTATATACAGCGGCAACCGGCTAATGTCACCAGTGGCCTTCCAAGCCTGTTTCCTCCCTAGCCCAGGGAGCGTAAAACGTGGTTGAACTTGGAGCGAATAAAGAAGGCGTACCATGGGTATCAATGCAACTCACACCATTTGAGGCCATAGTCATGAGAAAACTTACCTTCCTCTATATACTCCGATACTTATTCTTCAAGTAGTGAGGGAAAATCCAGCTGCTAACGTCTACCTGATGTGGTCAATCATGATCCAAAAGAGAAAAAACCTGGCCGTAGCTATCTTGTCGTAAGTATCTTGTATATTACGAAGTATACAGCTGCTGTAATGAGCTCACAATGAAACACAATGACAGTGCAATCGAAAGTCCACCGTACCTGGCGCATTTGCTCCTGCATTTTCCTGTTTAGGAGCGATGCTAGTCACTGATTCTAGATATATTTGCTTCTGTGACTGTTGGGATCACAAGGGTATCAGGAAGTAGGATAAGCTATTGAGGGGAAAACGGTGTCTGTTCTTATGTCTGATTTCTAAGAACTTCTGGCAAAAGTGATGGAGAAGTGACCGCGGAACTTATAACCGCCTGTTTGGCTGCCGGCAGGTCTGCTGGCGACGGAGCCACTTCAAGCTGGAGTTCCGGCTATTTCAACGGTGAATTGGTCAGTTTAGAGTTCCCACCACGTACACGGTACTTACTAGGTAGTATACACATGCTGACATTAGCTAAGATCTTCATGGAATATTATGCAGTTCTCTTGAGAATATTGGGTCTACGTGTGACTTGAAAAAACAGAAACATCACTTACTACACCTTATCTCTCTTCAGAAACATTGGATCAAACAAACCTGCCAGGAATCTTATCAAGCGACTCCGCAAGCCAGTTTAGACGTAGGGGCCTGCAAGGCAGTGGTCGGTGTCTTGTGCGGTGCTGGCAGCGGCCATGATCGTTAGCTATGTCGTTCGAACTTGCCAAGAATTAGTCTAATGCTTCTCCCATCTTGTCTTCATCTTCATTCTAGAACAAGATTTGCCGTTGCACTCAATATTTACCGTAATTACCCACTCGTTCGCGGTAATATATAACACCCATAACCTCTCAGCACGAACGGTCTATAGACCGCCGAGAACTGGAATATCTTATTCGGCGAATACATAGCCTACTACCAACATCTTCAACCACGAGTATCCTATTAACAGTCTTGTTGTGGCCTCATGCCTCCTGGGTTTTAACGACAGCTTTGGCTTGAAGGGGAGGGAGGGGGAAGAGGCGGCACTCAAGGGGTTCTTACGGGAGTTACCGTCCGCAGCACCGGCGCTTCATCTTAAGTGCCGCTGCTGCAACCCAACAGTGCTATCGTTTTCCGCGGAATAATCGGTTCCAAAGCCGTTCGGATCCAGTCTGCTGACATGCTCCTCGACGCCAAGGCTACCCATCCTAAGCAGTGCTCCACCACCGCCATCATGTTCGACATCAAGTATTCCGTGGGCTTCATTACCGCGGCCTGGACTACCTTTGGCGCCTTCAGAGATAGTAACGCCTGACCTTGGCACGCTCACTCAATCCTGCAAGGCACACCTTCCGTGATTCAACTCAGCGATGTCTGGCTTGTCCCTGAAGGCCCTAGGTGGTTTGTATCCTATGACCCTCACTACATTACCCTGCCAGGGTGACGAGAACTACCCGCTAGCCTGGGATAGCCTGGCTGAAGACGAGGAGGCCTATGAGGCTATCGGCTTGGGAAAGGAGCTCGGAAATTGAGGGATTTTTGATAGCACTGGGTCATTATGGAGGCCCTAACTAACATGAAGTGGTTTGTAATCCTATCCTCTTATACTTGGATCAGCCAAAAACCGACTTAGCTCTTTCCATATCGTACTGTTCCGCGTCAATCTCGGCCTACTATGTAGATTAGCCTGGCGGGCAGTCTAGAGCTGACGCTCACTAACGTCAAGTCACAGATACACTCTACCGTCTCATCCCTCGCTTTCGCTTTTCCCTTTCGCAATAGTCTACAGCGAGTCAGAAACCATGCTAATTCTTAATTAAATGCATCCTACAGCTAGTCCCAAGTTCTTAGAAACCTAACCATCTCAAGCAATTCCACCTATAAAGCCCTTTTGTGATTAAAAATTGAGTTTTGGTCTTGGCGTATAGTTCATCTCCTCCTATACGGTCCTTGCCTGTCGACTACAGCGATTCAGCAGCATCCACGCCAGTTATATGTTAATTAATCTGCAGCTAGTGCCAAACTACGTAGAACTTTGAATCTCCTGGTATAGGTATTTAAACTGGCTTGTAAAGCCCTTTCGTGATAGAATATAACATCTTAATCTTTGTATACTACTTGTCTCCTGCACAACTCTCGTTTCTATACCGTCACCTCGCTTTTCAGGAAGTAAGCTTCAAATATACTTTTTCCTTTCCCCCATTTTTACTCCATCAGAACGCTGACTCTAATACGTCTTAGTCAAAAAAATGCATATTTCCACCCTTATCCTTCCTCTTCTCCCTGCGTTAGCGCTAGCACAAGGAGGCGGATGTCACTTTTGGATCAGAGAGGTCGCTACATCCCGCAACGTCGGTGGCGGATGTGTCCAGAAAGGCTTTTCCCAATCCTTTGCTATAAATGGTGGCGCCTTCAACAACCGTATGAATGTCAGATCCGATCAAAACTGCAACCTGATGGTATCGGACAGGTTCAGGGGTGTCTACGTCCCTCAACTCGATGGTAGTTGTTAAAGGCGGGTGTGTGTGACGCTACGACCTGGGATGTTAGTTGCCAGAGGGGGGGTCATTTTATGAACGGTGACGAGAAAGAGATTGCTAAAGTCAAAGGTGGCAGGCATGTTGAGCGTACATATACAAGTGTACACCAGTACGCAACTCAAGCACTGGAGAACAACTGCTAGCTCAGCCATTCGTATCTAGAATCCATCACTTTCCCTGCTGCTTTGACCACTTTTGTCGCTACCTTCATCACTCCGGGCAATATAGCTACTGCGGAAAGCTGTTACGTCCAGATCTTAGCCAACGCAGTAGGTATCGCCTCTAAAGCGCGTCTAACCACCCACTTGACATGTATCACACTTGTTAACATGACTAAGTTGTGGATGGAAATTTCCGACTGTCCCTACTAATTCAACACCTGACTCAAGTGAACTTAGTATCCAATAATTTTGGGTGATAGCTTCTCTTACACATGAGGGTACTAGGCTCGTTCCATGCTACACTGAAACAGAGAAGTAAAGTCTCAATCTAGAGTAGGAAAAAAAAAGAGGGAAACGTTTCTTCGGGAAAGGGGGTATATAAACCGCTTGTCGGCAGAAACTATTACGAGTTAGGCTCTAGTAGTCACCCATCTATCGTCTTTGATATATTATATTCTTGGTTAGAGTTACTGATGCCCTGTGGGGCACGTCTACAAGACAATATAGGAAATTAGTCATGCTAGTTCATCATCGTAGAAGAGATACAGCATGCAAGTATCTTCCTAGATATTATCAAATAGCTGCATGGGACGAAGTCGCACCACCCGTTGCGCAACTTTGAGCGGCGGCCTGGCTGCTTCTGCTACTTACACCCGTTAGCGTGGCACATGTGCGAGCCTTTGAAACTAGACTGTGTGGCATACGACAATCCTAGCTCATGACTAGTACTTTGTAACATAGGAGTGACAGACTAGTAAATACTTTGTGTAGATGGCGTGTCCAATTACATACGGTATTGGGGTATTTGTACAATCGGAGGGGGGGTCAAGAGGCTGCTCTATGACCCTCAAGGTTGGAAAGATGACTTAGCTTGCAAGGAAGGTATGTAGCAAGCATACTTGACGCTGTCACACGGAGCGAATCTATCTTTGGTGGTAATGTCTTTACACCACACGTAAGAAACGCATCTCAGGGGGTCATAGTCCTGTCACTGTATAAAATATAATGCCGATACTTATTTAAATTATTTAAATAACGATTTTTTTTATTTTATTCTTGCTTTCCTAGCTAATCTCGAATGCGCTTGTTCTTTCGGAACTGCGCCTTCGGCTGTGATTGATGTTTGGTATTTGGATATTTGTGAGTTTTCGTATTTTGATTAGATGTAGCAGTAACGACCGTTGGCTGTTTATCTGTTATCAGCCTCGATGCATGCGCAATGCCGGTTTTGTTGTCTGGTATGCAACACCAGCTGCAGAGGTATCTTTGTTGTTGTAGAATCCCATAAAAAGGTTGGAGCAGGATCAAGTCCAAGTGAACATATACAAGAAATGAGAGAAAGGGGAAAAAAAAAACCAAAACCCAAGATGTCTGCCTTCGCTTTTGACGCCGTACACCTGAAACCATGCATATGAAGTAGATGCGGTATGCTTTTCCAATGACTCGGTCTGCGAGCCAAACACTCCCGCGTGTTCACGCAGGAAAAATTTGCTTTGGAGTTTGCAGTCAGAGAGAGATACCGGTCCATCCGTAGGGACCGTCAACGTTAATCCAATTTTGTGCCTCCATGGCCTTCTCCCAGCCCATCATGACGGCCAGAAGGCGGCAGCCCATGGAACTGACAGTGCAGATGACAGCATCGCTTGCGCCCGCCAGCACAGCAAGATCCATCATGTAGGCGCGGCCAATGTAGCCACGAAGACGCAGAGTCTCGGCCGATGGGGCCAACTGCTTGTTCTTGGCCGTCGCGGCATTGGAAGCGCTCATCGACGACAGGCCTAGGTTCCAGAACATGGCGGCGAAAAAACCACCTTCCCAGCCGAAAGACTCGTCCTCGAAGTGGTGCATCACATGTCTATCGGGCGCGGCTTTGTGAACCTCTTGCTTCGAGGCCAAGCGAATCTGCTCCTGCGCACGCATTGAGCCCTTGAAATCCTCAGAGTCATAGACCGTCGGATCGTCGGAGGCGAGGACAATGAACGATTTTCGCTTGGCGTGCTCGTCATCGCTGCCGTCCTTGCCAGTGCCGTTGTAGTTGGTGGTAATGACCTCCTGGGCGCGGTTGGCAATGATTTCCATTGGGATGTATGTGCCGCGATACTGATACTCAAGAGGGTGACAGTCGCCGTGTCGAACGTGAACCCCGACTACGAGACCATTGGAGTTTCCATCTCCCGAGAGCGCCTTGGTCCTGATCTCCTTGACTCGTTTGGTGACGTACTGGCTGTCATCCTTGTTAAGATAGTAAAGAGCTCGGTAGCCCTCATGCGCGAGATCAAAAAGCTCTTTCAGGCCATCCTCATCCTGCGCTCGGAAGTCGGAATGGGGCTTGGCAAGGGAGCTGGCCCACATCTCCTTGGTGGTCTCGGAGGTGACAACGAGATGGCGAGCGCTGGGCGGACAGGGAATCATCTCATGGCGTGGAGGAGGTCGGCAGTTAGGAACCGGAGGCGCTTGGAAGAGGTCGGTGTACTTGCCGTAGGCCCAGCGGGAGTCATCAATGAAGAAGGCCCTGCGTTGCCTTTGAGCAAGCCCGTAAAAGGTCCAGAGTTGCATGATTGTGTGTCCGATGCCAGCATCTGCCGTCTCCAGTATGAAAGTCATCGAACTGTGGCACAAAGGTTTCTCAACTAGCGAGTCCTTATTCTCTCCGACCAAGGCTCCATCCCGGCCCTGACCCTTGCTCGGCCATTTGTCAGTAACTTCTGGGAGAAGACCGGACTGTTGAGCTTCCGCTACATCGACAAAGTACGGGTCGTTCGGAGCCTCGGCGCTCAAGAGGTTCTGGCCGGGAATTTGGGTACGATGGCGCATGTCCCTGACGCGTGCAGCGACCTCCCTGCACTTCTTACACATCTCCCCATACTCCTTCACAGAAAGAGGGAAGTCGTAGCTCGGGGGAATCGATACTGTCCACTTGGAATTCCCATTTCGGTCGGTAATGACAATAGGTGTGGGAAAGTCAGGCAAGTCATCTTGCCCAACCATTTCAAAGTCATCGTGGTTCGAGAGGTACGACAGGTTGAGCGTCGGTACGCCAAAGCCGGTTCGAAAGGGAAAGGTCGCAAAGTAAAGCAGCAGAACCGCAAAAGCGGTCCAGAAGGTTAGGCGGAATACACGGCTGGGTCGAGGGTGGATGGGTGATTTTCTGGGCGGCGTGATGAGGGCCGGTAAACTTGGGGATGGTGGCGGAGATGAGAAGAGGAGGTGGTTGAAGCTGAAGCGGGCTGAAGTCGCAGACAGAGGAACCTTTTCCCAGTTGGAGTTGGTGTGTGAGGCTGATCTTCGTAGGTTCATCCGAGGATCGGATATCGACAGCTTGGATTTGCTAAGGTCCAAAGGGGCCGGCATTTTTGCTCGCATTATATGCAATGTTGGTGATGATAATGGTGATACTTTAAGAAGTAGAAAGGTCGTGGACTCGTTTTGGTCGTTTGCCCACTAACACGGATCGAACCAAGGGGGGTATCTTTCAGAAAATATACTGGAGCTCTAGTAAGGAAGTTGAAGCTCCGAGAAGAGAATATCGGGCGGGTTTCGACAATGTAGTTAAGGAGCGTCGGTGGGCGTCGAGCCAGGTTGTTAGGTCATGGACGGTGGGTGTTCTCTTCTTCCTTCTAGGAAGCGTTCATGATAATAAAAAGGTTCCAGCAACGGTCGCACAGAGGAGAAATCGAGGAGTGCAGGCGGCAATGCGGTGGTCAGCGCAAGGGGAGGCGAGCAATGCAGCCTCTGCGTTTCCGTACAGCACGAGACCAAGGCCGGTGGCGCGGTCGGTCGAAGAAGAGTAGGAAAAGACAGAAGAAAGTTGATGTGACCGGGGATGGCGGGGGGATGAAGTAGTTGTAGACTCGACCGACAGCTCTCAACCTATTTTTTTCTCCGCCTTTGGCAGCTCAGGGTAGCAGCTGCAGCAGCTTCAAGGGATCAAGCGGTAACGAAAACAAAAAGGGAAATGGGCCCCTTGCTTGAACTTTAGCAGGAAACGCAGTGAAGGGTACGCTCGGGGACGACCAAAGAGGACGAAAAGTGCGATGAACTGCGTGAAGTAAATGACTGGTGGTGGGTCTTGGCGGCGATCATCAGAGACCAGGGTTGAGGTGGGAAGAGCCCGAATACAAGGAGCTGCAGCGCTGCATCAGTTTGTGCTTGTCCGGAGCAACTTGTACCGCGTTCGCTGCTTCGGCCGGGATGCAGACGAAGAGGCCAGGGACTGGAGACTTGTTCACCGAGACTTGGTGACTTCGCATGCGCGCTTGCATGTGTTGCAGTCCGTCTGTCTCGACTAGTCTGTGGTATATTGTTTGCAACAATGCAACAACTTGGTGAGGTACCTGGGCCCAGGGCTCCGTGTTCCTCTTTTGGTCTTGCAAGCTCTATCCGATGCCAGACCAGTGGCAGCGAGACGAGGAAGAGGAGTGTGGTACTGAAAGTTAATTGGACGGAAGCGAAGGGGAAGATGGGACGAAAGGGCTTGTTCGTCCGGCCCTTTGTGATTTAATGCCCGGTTTTACAGACGAGACGAGACAGGAGGAGGGGGGAGGGGGAGGGAAGCGGAGGCGAGGGTGAGGGGGTTTAGTGAATTAGGCCAACAGCAAAGATGGGCCGAAGGATGGGCGGATGGGGAAGGGCGGGAGATGGGAGGACAAGAGGTGTCAGAGCTCCGGAGGTGGTATCGAGCTGTGTCAAGCAAGCCGTGCGAAAGATGTAGCGCCGGCGTCCGTGGAATAGAGTATCTGTCAGCTGTCGAGCTGGCTTTTTCTGGTCTCGTGGATGTGTTTTAGCAACCCAAAAGAAACTTGGATGTTGGGAAGGCGTCATGTTTGTGACAAAGGACGAAGCCGTGGTAGTTAAAAACATCCCATTCAGCCAGATCGTCTATAATGTCTTACACTTCCTGCCCCGGACCCCCCACCCCCTGGTGCAACAACACCGTTGGACCAACAAAAGCCGCGAGACGGCTACTCTACAAATGACGATGGGCATCTGAACCAGCGAAAACATGGACCGAAGCACCCGTGTGGCAGTGCGTTGTACGGGAGTGCCGTCGCTCACTTAATGCACGCGCGGATCATGCTCGTCGGGTTTCTTCCAGCATCATGATCGACCTCTGAATAGAAAAACTCAGATCAGGGATTCCCCTCATCTTCAGGTCCCCTCATCTTGTCAGCTACTCATCGGCGTAGCCATCTGCCCAATGCTGAAGCCCAAAGAAGCAAGATCCTCACGGGATCGTCGTACCCAAAGCCGATCCCTTGGTGACGAACAAAATCAGAGCCCTGCCCCCAAAATAAGGGAAGCGAGCAATATCCCAGGGGCGTGGATGGGCCAACTGGATTGTATTCGCTGTTGCGCTGTTGCAAGAAAAGTTGGACCACGGCGGAAAGAAGTGGACAGACGGACAACTCGACAAGCGTCCCTCAACAAGGACCCCCTGATAGAAGGGCCTCATCATCGAACTGTTATCAGCTCCGCTGGAGCAAAGCAGAGGGAGACGAGTGGAAGAGAGGGGGAAAAAAAAAAAATAGTGAGCATCTGCAACACCCGTGCAGGGGTCCAGGGGTTGGTAGAGAGCCCAAAAGGGAAGCCGGTGATGCAAGGGTAACGCATATTCCCCACCACTTGAGGTCGCCAGTCACGATTTAGAACGTTTCAGAATCACGGGGGGGCTGCTCGAGAGGCAGACGATGAGGCAGCCACTCAGAGCCAAGGGTTTCTGAGGGAAAGGCGCAAATGCAGCAGGGGCTTTCGGAAGAGATCCGCCCCTCTTGGATTACAGCCAATCAATATACATCCCGCCCCACCCTGCTACTTTAGGCGTACTGATTGCAGTCGCTAGCTTTCCTCTAATTGGACCTTCACCACTTGCATCTCCATACCTGTCTTTTAAGACGGGAATCACTTCCTTCTCTGTAAAGGCCCAACCGTCAAGTCATCATCAACAGCGCGTACTCGCAAGGGCCTAAAGGGCTCGTCGCCGAGCAAAGTGGTCCCGCAATCCGTTAGAAGATGAAAGAAAAAGAAAAGAAAGAAAAAAAAATCTTCCGAAGGACAATTTCCCCAATCTACTCAGTATAACTGCGTTTCATCTGACAGTTGTGATCCGAAGTCCCCTCCCTATTGCCCCCAACAGTTGCCGCCGCCCCCGTCGTTCCTACGGGGGCCGAAAAAGGTGAAGATGTCATGGTTAGAGAATCCCAATTCAGGATGCAGCACGTGGACGGCAGAGATGGAGAATTATAACCCCTGCCACGACCCCTTTCTGGAGTCCTCAATTTAGACCGGTGCCGAAAATGAACTTTGACAAGAACAGTGAGAGAAAATCTGCTCATGCGCCCGCGGAATCCCGTCCTAATTCGACTTGGTTTCGTTTGAAAGTTCTGAAGGAAGTGCGAAGGGGCCGGAGAAGCGCAAAACGCAAGAAGAAGGAAGAAGAGGAATAGGCGAGGACACAGTCGTTGTGAGAGATGTGGTTAACCGTACAATCATCGTACCACCGGGCGCGTTCCTGGATTGCACCACATCGAGCGAGCAACAACCGCTCGCTTCCTCCACTCCAGACATGACATCGTCAACCTTGTGACAAGAGTCAGGCACAGAAACAGAAAGTGGAAATGGGCAGCAGGTCCAAGCTCATTTAGAATGATATTTGTCCCATTCTCTGCAGATCGCTATTGCAAACGGGGACTACTTCAATTTACTTTGCCATATACGAATGGATTGTCATTTTGGCCCACGTTGTCAATTGCAACAACATGTCGTCCCGCCAGCGAAATGACACGAGGCATTCCCGTCGAGAATGCCGCCGCAAATACAAAGATTTGCAAACGCAATTACTACCGTCCAACCCAGGCAAAACTCTCAATGACCAAAAGATCAGCACTGTTCGTCTGTTATACGAGACAGCGCACCATAACACAACTCAAGTCCAATCATTAGGACCTCCCTCACGGGAACTTCCTAGGGCAAAAATTTTATAACTTTCAGCAAACTTCTTCCCATTCATCATGATCGTCCAAACACACGAAGGAAACCTTGGGAGAAGAAATGGTCTTTGACCAGTTAGCAATCAAATTGGACGTCATCACATTAAACCCGCCCACGCCCCCGTCCCCGTGCGCAAAACGGCCGTGCACCGCACCCTTTCTCGTGGCGCTCTACGATTACCCAACCCTTTCCCCCCTAACCAGTAAAACCGTTTGCGCCTTTCCTACCCTTCACTTCCGCTTCCGCTTCGGCTTTCATCTCGCGCGAATGAAAAAGAAAGTCGTCGGGGACTAAAAAATTAAGCTCCTTCAGTTCGCACCTAGCAGTAGGTTCGGCTTTCTACGTAGCCACCATAGCATCCCCCCAGCCCTGTCGGTCCCGGAACCCCCTCTCCTTTTCTCACGCTGTTAAATGGGAAAAGAGTAGACCCCTTCAACCACACACACGCACTCTCTCACGCGTCCACACAGACTCTTCATTTAAACTGCGGTACTGGGAACCGTCCCAAAGTCCGTCTGCTCCCGTCAAAGCTTCTTTTATGAGATGTGATTAGAATGCCGACCCACCCTAGCCCAGCCCGCCTGGCTGGGCATCTTGACCTGTGCCAAACCGGCCATCTCACTACTACTGGGTTGTTGGGCTGGCTGGCCTTTTTTTTTTTTCCCAGCGAGATTTGGCAGCATCAACTGAGAGGGTAGGGAGTAGTGTCTCGTCAGGCGACTTGCGTGCTTCTCGCTTAGTTGCGATTGCAGACATCAAAATGAAAATAAAAAACAAAAATTAAGAAAGAAAGATGGGGCAGAGGAAGCCTGAGACACCTGTTTGCCGTGTTAAATATGCTGGATGCACGATCCCGAGCTCAAGACTCGTCGTACCCTTGGCTTACCAATAATTCATGTTTCCTCTTTCCATATTTATATGCTGCAAGCCGCCAGCCGTGGCATCAGGGGATACTCGGGAATTTTGCCGTCATTGGAAAGGAAACCTGCATCTGATAGATCATAGTCTTCTCTTTTTCGTTGCTCCTCATCCGTAACTAGCTAGCTGACCAGGCCTGCCTTTCTGATGTACATGATCCGTCTCAATCATCTACTCAATATTAAAGCCATTAAAAGACCTCGTCGCTTTTTCTGCCGCCCACGAAACTCTTCCGCCCAAATGTTAACCTGCCCCGATGCTCCAATGTCGCATGGTTTAATTGTGACAAGAAACGTGTACCAGTTCCTCCCTACTGCCCGTATCAACACGCTAATAAAACAGGCCGACAGGTGAGGCTGGTTTCGAATAGAACGAGGAATGTGATGACCTCTCGAAGAAAGTTGCCGGGTATAAGAACAAAACCAAAATACAGGGTCGACGGTGACCCTCCCTAAACGCCTTTCCTTGCCTACGGCGAGGCACCCTGCATTGCCCAAATTGCCCATCCTTTCACGACAAGAATCAAACGGTAAGAAAATAAAAAAAGAATCTTTGACGCCCGACACAAAATCCTCACGCCTCCACTGCCGACGTCCTGCTGGGTTCATCAAATGAAGCGGTCTTCCTGAGAGGCTCCATCTTCAGCGATTGCTCTGGATGAGGCTCGAGCTTGCGTTCACTGGCAACCCGAACACTTCCTCTAGTGCCTCTCACGATATGACCAGTTTCGACGCGGTCTTGAATCATCTCATCCAGCATCTTGTTCACCTCATCGACGCTCTTGGTGTGATTGCGAGGGCCTGTCAGCGGGTGGTTCGAAGGTGCCGGAGGCGGGTTCATTGATGGCGGTGGGCTGTGCTCGTATAACGCAGACGCCCGGCCGTCCGTGGGGCCTTCTGCCACTTCTCGAGAGCGGGCCGCAGACCGCAATGCTGCCAACATCCGATCTTTATCGTCCAATCGAGCTCTCAACTCTGCAATTTCAGAATCCTTCTCCCTCAGCAGAGTCGATACGCTATGATCCTCTCCCACCATGATGCCTTTGTTAGGGGCGGAGAAGCCAACAGATGTTCGCGAGGAACTGGCCCTTCGTGCCTGCATAAGTCGCTTCTCCAGTGTCTGGATATATCTGGTCTTGTCCGCAAGGTCGGCTTGCAACGCGCGGTTCTGTGCTGTCAACGATGCGCTGCCATCTCCGTATTCGCCGATGCTGTCGTCGTCTGTTATAACGCCTGCCTCGCCGCTAGAAACCCGCTTGCCGCCGCTTGATCGACCGCTGGATCTACGACCGATTGTCGATGTCGCCGATGTCATTGATGCTGTTCTTTCGAGGAATGGCCTGCCGCCGCTTGACGTAGCCAGCGACCTGACCGAGGCCATGGACGACCTTGTGTGGATGCCCAATGCACTGTATGAGCCGCTTGCGTTAACGCCGATTGATTTGGAACTCAATATCAGACGGTTAAGGTGATCAATCCGTTCCTTGAGCGCAGTACGGGCCAGCTGCATTTCGAGCATTTGCTCTTCATGCCGGTGCTCTGCCTCTAATTCTCGGGCCTTCTCCTCCTCGGCGTCTCGGGCCCTTTCTGCCTCGGCATGTTTCGCATTTTTGTCCTTGGCTTGTGTGTCCAATTGTTGCCTCAGCTCCAAGATCTCCATACGGTATCGCTCCAGGAGAACTCTCGCCCCGCCGTCGCCGCCTGCACCGAGAGCCTCTTCAGCTCTCTTGGCATGGCTGACAATGTTGTTCTTTGCTCTTGATGCGAATTTCAAGGTGTTGATGGTCTCAGAGGTATGGGAGTTCGAGGATGCTGCACTGCCAGCCGCGCCAATCTGAATGGTGCACAAAATACTCACAAGGGAGCCTCCTGAGAGTGCACCCTGGAGCAACCTTGTCAGTTTGCTGTCTCGGTATGGCAAATGTTTTCCATCCTTGTCGGCCGCTTTCCCGTCCTTGTCTTTGTGCTCGGAAAGCTTAGAGATAACGGTGCCAAGGGTCAACAAACTCTTGTTGATATGTGAGCCCTCCGTCCGCCGCTCCTTGGACTCGGCAGCCTTCTCGGATCCAGCCAGATCAATCAAGCTGAGGGTTGACACGCGCACGCCGCCAGGCAACATTGCGGACCTCTTGCTGTCGCCCCCTCCGGGGTTTCCTGGTATCCGCTCTCGACTCTCCACCACAATCTGAACTACCGCATGACTTCGAGAACTCCTTGCATTGAACTGGGTGCTTGCCGTCCTGCGCGCCTGGTCTCCACGAGCAATCACCCTCAGAAGTTGGGTCGGGCTCTGCACAATTTCTTCTTTCAAGGGGCTGGCATAGACCCCACGTTTGCTGTCTTCACGCAACTTGATTTCCTCTTGTCCGTTATTAGCCCCAGCACCAGGTCCGGTGGACATGCTGAGTAGATCGTGAATTTTTTCGTTGTAAATCTCCAAGTAGCTGACGCGGAGAAGAAACTCGCGGGATGGAGTTTCTCGGATGTAAGAAAATATGTCGGTAATAGCCAACGGGATAACACCCGGTGAAGAGGCGGTTCCTTGCATCGAAAAGGTTTTTCCGGTGCCAGTCATGCCGTATGCAAAGACCGTTCCGTGATAGCCTTCCATCACTCGACGTACCAAGCGTTTCGCTATGCAGTCATAGACTCTGCTGTTGTCGTCATGCGTCGTGAAAACATTGTCTGAAACGCCTTGTTAGATCCAATTCCGGGTGATAAAAGAGTGTCTCTTACCATAGAAATAGTCACCGCCCTCTTTTCCTCTGTAAGCAACAAGAGATTTGCGCCCATCGACCATCCATTCGCCTTCGGTCTTGTTGTTCTCGTTGCCGCCTGCGTCTGGTCGTACTCTTACACTCACCAATACATTACCCTTACCGTCCAGCTTGGAACCCCTCTTATCAATGGTGCCGTCAGATAAAGACTTTGCCGCTGATCCATCAAGAGGGTCGTCATACGTCGTCGCAGAAGTTGAATAAGAATCCTGTGCCGAGGAGCTCCTGCTTTGAGGTGGTGATGAAATACTTATTAGGCCATCAGACATTCGGACACTTGCACTTGATATCGACTTTCCCTCGGCATTGTTGTTCAACAGGCTCGGAGCACCGTTGCTCAGATGAGAGTAGCTCGGCGTCGTAGAGCCCTTTGATTTGCGTGTTGAATTCCGCGAAGAGTCAGTACCCAGTGGACTTGGTGGTAGGCTGTTGACGCGATTGTCGCCTCTAGGCGGCTGAGGGAATGAATTAATGCTCACTGTCTTGCGCAATGTCTTTATAGAGGAATTGCTCATGGCAGAGACCGCACGCGGTTGCGGGAGTGCTGATGAGGGAGCGGGGGTCGTGGGAGGGAGGAACGTTGTGGACGAGGAGGGTGCCCGAAGGCCACTCTTGGGGTTGGGCGTAGACGGGGTGGATTTGGAAGAAGGTATGCCTCCAGTGCTTTTCCTGGTCTTGGGGATAGGAAGAGCAGGCAGAGCCATAGATGGTGGGCCATTTGATGGCCGTGACGGCCGTGGAAGCGTTGTCGCCATTCCGTCCGGAAAACTAGAAGCGGAGCCTGAACCGAGTGTTCTGCGAAGCGATAAAAGAGTCCCAAACTTGGGCAGAACGCCTTCTATATTGTCGGGAGCAGACAAAAAGTCGGTCGGTCCATGAACTCGAAGTGTGGAAAGGGGGTGATCGCCGAAAGACTGATTACGTCGATAACGAGGAATCTCCTTCGCGTGGTTGGGATTCGTCCCAAGGCCGCAATCGACGGGGAGCTGGACTGCGAAAGGCTTGTATCCCAGCAAGTTGGATACTTCTAAAAGCCAGGGACGTGTGAAACGTTATTATGCGTTGAGGGTGTGCAGGATGGCGTGGGAATTTTTCATCGGATTTCGAGGGTGTTGCTGGCAGGAGGCTTGTCAGTGCACCAGGATCATGGGAATCATAGCGGCGAGCACAGAAGTCAAGTATGACATGCAGGTGAACCAGCGATGAGGGTAACCCCCATGCGGCGGAACGGGTGGTGGCAGGGAGGGAAGCGACAAGTTACTTACGCGATCGTAGTGGGTGTGGTTGAGCGATATCCCGTGGTAGTTTGGTGGTGGACCAAGAATGGGAGGAGGAATGCCCAACGTCGAGACTTTTTTGGGGGGGGAAGATTCCTGTAAAGGAGTAGACTCGTATGTCTCGCGGAGTGCCTCCTTGCTGTCCTAAACGAGCCTGTCGCCTCTAACTGGGCCAAGTGTGGAGGGAAAACAAAGGTCTGACTGTAGTGGGTTCTTCGTCGAGCTGTATTCCTTGCGCTAGCGGGCGGCGTGCGGCGTGGGTTTTCTTTTTCGTCTGACTGGAGAGCACGGTGCCTCTGGTGCCTCGCGCAGCTAAAGTCGCAGGACTAGGATGGCGACGGGAACTCAGATTGGGCGGCAGGTCGGGGAAACTCAAAAACGGGATGCGGGAGGTAGGCAGGGTGGAGTTTCGTCCAGTGGAAATGTTTCGACGAAAGCGCTGGGCGTGGGATATGCGAGCGCGGATTCGCTGTAGCCGTGGTGTCTGAGCTCCGAGAAGCTGGAAACAAGTTTGCGTAGATGGGGATCGGTAAGAAATTCGGCCGGAGGGCGGTAATTGAATTGCGGCAGGTCTGATGCCTTTGAAAGCGAAATGTTCGGTCCGATACGATGCGATCCGATGCTTCGTGGAAAGAGAAGATGCAGGTCTCAATCAAGCGACTGAGCTGTTGGTGCTTGGCACAGTAGGAAAGAAAAGGTTACTAGTGAAGCGAGAGAGATTGGGTTAAGTTCTAATTGCTGTCAAGTGGGATCCGAAAAGGCTTGTATGTGTGTGCGTTTGCGTTTTGACAAGTGAGATGAAAAGGAGTGGTCTGGTCGAGAAAATGGAGAGGCTGAAAGAGAATGTGGTGATAAAAAGTGTGTTTCGGTGCGATTAGTGTCGTCTATGGTAAGGTGGTGGGAAATGGGAATTGGTGTCCGAGAAGGCAAGAAGAGTAGTGGCTGATTATTAGGTCCGTCAGGTAAAGTTGGGAGCGATATGGTATGTTTGAGTCTGGCCTGCCCGCCCAGTGAGTAAGTAGTAGGTCTTTTCCGTGTTAGGCGCGTTGCCGCGTTGTTGGTTCTTGAAAGGGGAGGGAATGACAAGCAACCAGGGCGCATGCCTCTCTTGCTCCTCCTCCTCCTCCTCCTTCTTCTCTCCGCCGCTGCTCCCTCCCTCCTTTCGTTGGATAGTGCCAATCTGGAAGGGCAGGTAACAGTAACGGGATGCGTTGAGTGTGGGTACGTACCGTTTTTTTTTCTTTCCCTTTTTTACCCTTCCTCTTGCTTTTTCTGGACGGGAGCTTGTGAGACCCCCACAAAAAGTTATGCGTGGATATGCCGGCAACGGGTACGGATAAAGTACTGAATTGCGCAATGTATATCAAACCAATGGATAGATAATCTGACGATCTCTTGGTATCCGCGTCAACGATAACGACAGGTATCAACAAACGAGTGGCAGGGTGAAAGTGATCGAGAAAAAGAAGAAGAAAGCTACTGGAAAACAAGTCGCTTCTGGATCACCAACCAGCAAACGTTCCGAAGGATGGAAGGGAGAACGGGTGGTAATGTTTGGGTCAAAAGGGGACGAGGGATAGAGATTTTTACTCCGCGTCTACGTTCCCTTGTCGTGGGCTCCTCATCTCCCTGCCCGTGTCGTTACCTCCTCTTCTGGTCCCCCGATTCCTGCTGCCAGGGCTGGCCTCACTGGGCCAACTATCGATGGTCGGTTTGCTCCCATTGCTCCTCCACCTCCTCCTCCTTGTCCTCCACTTGCACCCATCCATCCATTACTACGCCAAAATTGACCAAAAAATTCAGTTTACCTGACCAGCTTGGTTGGTGTCCCCTTCTGAGGCTATGGAGGGGGAGAACCTGAAATCAAACCGGCACATGGGGGACAAAATAAAATAAAAATAACAAAAAGCCGCGAAATCTCTTTTCTCTCTCCATCCATCCCTCGCCTTCCTCTAATAATTTACTACTAACCAAATGCTACATAGCAAAGGACCTGTCCAAAGCACAGCACCACTCATCGTCAGTACCACCCCGGAAAGTTTCCCTTACTAGCCCGGCCATCTTCAAATTGGTACCCAGACTTTGGAGAAATTGTGCCCCTGTCACATTCTCTGCCAGGACTAGCTCCTAGGCGCGACAGGGGTTTTGTCCCTATCCAGCTTAGTGCAAAGATGTACGCGCTGCAGCTGGGAGATACAGGCATCTCAAGTAGTCGGCATTGTTGCGGCACCCCTTAATCGTGAGGATCGCACAGACACTTGGATCATATTCGACACCTCCCACCACAGCTCTACACGCTAATGGCCTCCCTTTCCTTACCGGAAGACAATCCGCGTCGTTCTGTGGCCCGACTCCTTGCCGCTACTTCTTCTTCAGGTACCTAGATACTTGCATTCTCCTGGACCCCTGCTGTCAAATCCAAATTGGCTCGCTCCCGGTCCAACGCTTGTGAGCATGTCGCTCACTGGGCCAGACGGCACTTTATCGATGACAAGAAAGCAGTATGCACATGTGCCTACCTCGTACCCTACCACTGTTGCACGCATATCCAGTTCCTGGGCAGGAAAGCTGCTGTCGGCGTGCTTGCGATTGTGGCTCGACATTGCTCATCAGGTTGCTCGTCCCACGCCGAGAGACAATGTTTGCCACATGTCTTTCATCCATCTCGTCGGATCTCGACACCTCGGATACCGGCCTACCTCCATCGCCAGCAAGTGTGCAGCTGGGGCCTGCCTCCTGCCTCGTGCCTCGTGCCTCGAATGCTTGGCTCCGACAATCATCTTTAGACCCGCTCATCGCCCTCGTTGGTTTCCCGACATGTCCCACACAGAAAGAAAAGAAAAAGACCCTCGATTCGATTGGGGAAAAGCCAGTTGCCCGGTTCCGCGAGAGATGACTTGATCAGCAATTGGACAGAGTGCGGCAAATAGGAAAGGTCGGCCGAGCACTTAGAATGCCAACCGTGGTCGCAATCAAACATGGCCTGCGAATTGGCAGAAACCCTCCACAAATGAACGGACCACGCTGTAATTTCCGGACGCCATCACATCACTACCTCTTCCAGCCAACGGGCTCCCATGTGTGGCGTGCCCATGCGCACATCGGCCAGGCACGCCGCATGCGCACCTCGATAACGCCCATCATCTGCTGCACCCGCAGCAGGAGCCGTCCTCGGCAAGCCTAGCATGACCCAGAGATGGAGAAGACGCACGATGGCGTCCGAGTCTGTGTGACGGCGAGCACGCTAGCTGCAGCCTCGCCCACTCCCCGCTGGTCCTCATTCGCCCAATGCATGACGACTCAACGTGACCCGGTTCCAACAGTCTCTAGGGTCTAGGCCGTCACACCAATCCTGGGAGGTCCCTCATTCGAATTGATCAATCGCTTTTTTGGAGACTGAAGATCTCTTCTCTAATAGTAGCCTACCTAGGTAATCGTAACATTAGAAGAACACGGTGACAAAATCGGAGGTGTGGTACAGATACTACGGACAGCGGCCCCGACATCGAGATAACCTCAGTGAGTCGTCCCGGCGTCTCGACCTCCACTACGACAAATCTCATCTGCACCTCATTCCAAACCGCACGTCCGTAATTGACGGGTCTGGCACTTGGATCTACTGCACCTCATCCAATCCTTCGCCACAGCACGGAAGCGCAAGTGCCTCACCATGGTTCATTACACCCAAGTCACCTGCTCATCCAATGTCGTCTGGATGCTTGCTCTCCACTAAGCCGTATTTCGAAGAACATGCCGTGGCCCTGGCTCATTAATCTCAGTTGCTCGAGGCTGCTTTTGACGGGCGCCATACGTATTCGCACTCCACATTGCAGCTCAAATAGTCTTTTTATTTTATTTTTAATTCTTTCTTCTTTCAGGTTTTCAGCAGCAGAAACTGGGTTGCACGTCGTCGTACCTCAGCACAACGCTGCATGCCGTGCTACAAATTCGCCATTGGGATTTGGCACCTAACATCTTCCGTTTGGCCCCTGAGCTAGAGACCCAGTATACAGGCGTTTTATGTGACATGCAACATCAGCCTCCGTATCAATCAGGCACATTGAACCCCGGCACCAAGGTGCTGCGCCTCTGTCCTTCACTTTTGTTCGAGAAGTGTCTGACTTCTGAATGTCAAAGCTGTCATGACAATTCAGAACTAGATCATTCAGCAAGCACTAGGATCTGCGGCACTAGGCTTATGTCCCAGTTTGTGTGCGGTCGTGGCCACCTTCATGAGGTCTCAACGTCGCAATACAGCACATGCCCATGTCATATGGGATCTAGCTCGAGCTGCACGGTAGGATTTTTTTTTTTTTTCATTACAGAGAGTGACGAAGCATCATGCGAGGCAAAACAATAGTGTGTGTTGCCTTCAGCACAGCAAACGCATAGCTCACAGAATATAGTCTGAGGCCTGCGGTATTAACATGGCTACATGAAGCAGTGGGGGGAATTGTCAAGAGTAGCAGACTTCATGCTGCCCCGGGTTGCGCGTTACCTTCCATGACTCGAAGCCCGAGGTCACATCAAAACCCACCCGTTTTCACCTCAAAAATCGTATCCTCATGAACGGCTATGCGACTGGGCGAAGCATGGAGGATCAAACAATAGACACCTGGGATTGACCTAGATTGTAATGGAGCCGCATCGTCACTAACTTCATGTGTTACCCCTCACAACAATTCCGCCCTTGGCAAAAATTGAAGGACAGGGAGCCGGGGCTTTGACAAAAACCTCACTGGCAGCAGGCTTGATCCCTTAATCCAGCTCCCACATAATCAACATGACTATGTCGTTGCTCGGGCATAGACGCCACGACAGGGAACACTAGTGACCTGAATCAGGAAACACATACAAACAGAAAGTGGTTCGGTCTCCCACATGGCTTTATCATAATATTTGTTCGTGGTTGTAGACACCCATGCGCGGATAAACATGCTGCAAGGCGGCTACTTCATCCTCAACTGGCCTTATATTGCGCTAGCGGCATCAAATGCCCCCGTCAGTCCAAATCTCATAATGGCATCTCTTGATTACTGGCGCCTGGTGGCTGTTCAAGATTCGGGGCCTTTCCAAACGATTCGTGGTATCATGAAGCTTAAACTTTCTCGCTTATCGAAGATTCTAGGCTTACAGCAAGCGCACTCCTCTACCTACACTCCGCGTCTCAAAGACTTCAACAAGGCCTGCACCCATTGCTTCCTCCAATACCCAGTTGAACTCCAACCCATAAAATTCCTTCCATCTCTTGGTCCGTCCCGGCAGCACCCCAGAGAACTCTCCTCTAGCCCTCTTTGCCAGACGTGCCTCGTCATGGGCCACGCCGCCCTCCCATCGTTCCTTCAGCATAGAGACGGGTATCTCCCTAAATTGCGATTTAGATAGCAGCTTGGTGAGGTGCTCCACAGCACCGGCAGTTAGCTTGAGAAAGGACCCGTTCCCAGGGACCGCGATGGTGAAGTCGGCCCCGGAAGATGACGTGTCGGCGCGGGATAAGCGTGACGCTCCTCCCCCACCGCCAGCGGCATGTATCGCTCCTTGCCCGCCGACGGCGTCGAAAGTACCAGACGCAGCGCGTGACACTGCCTCGATGCTCGTCAAGCTGGCGCGCTCTTCGGGGCGCAGGTACAGCTTTGTCAGCGGGTTCCCTACGTCTTGTGGATGCATTTTTGCCGTAAGAAATCCTGCCCGGACAAGGGCATCAGCCTGTTTGTGATTGCAAGCAACCCGTGGCATCGTTTGCGTTAAGGGGTTGTCCCTCAGGAACTTCAAGAATGCTGTTTTTGTCTCCTCGTCAAGCGCCGTAGACGTCGTGATCAGCTCCTCTAACTCGGAGCTTTGGATAAGGGCTTCGCCTAGCCCACCACGGCGTTGTACGTAAATCTTGCGAACGACTCCGCCGCGCTGCAATTCCGCTACCTCCCGCTCGACGGCGGTCGGAGAGATGAGGAACGCATGAAGATGAGATATTGTCACCAAACCCGGCATCGCTTTACGGTAATTAAGCACCTCAGCAATGCGCGTGGAGTTCATGCCCGCCGCTTCTGTGGGGACCGGGCCGAACATGTGACTGCGCGTGTACTTGATAGCTTGTACAACGTCACGTAGCGACATGTCCGTGGCTAGCGCCGTGACAAGGCCGACATCGTCCAGCCTGTCGTGGAAGTAGTCATCTTCGGCGTCGTCAGCACCCACGTCGGCCGGTTCGGTCTTCTTCTTCTTGGTGCTGGTGCCGGCCCGCGGACTGCTGGTCCCGCCGGTTTTGCGGGGCGACGACGCTGATGACTTCGGCTTCGGCTTCTTGACCCTACCGCCGCCTAATATAGAACGTAGGCTCATATCTCGGCTACACGCCGCCTTCCTGACCGATGCAGGCGTTTAATAAGGACGATGGGGATGTTAAGGTTAGTAGGCAGGGTAAGGTAGGATGATGCGAGGATACTCGTGAAGTAAGCCGGGGTGCCCACCTCCGTTTTAAAGGGCGGGTTGCATCTGACACCGCACGCACACAGCGCCTTTCCGGATGTCAATCCGGGTGGACCTTGGGGATGGTGAGTGGCAAATCCGACGGCAAGCCGTCTTTGGTTCAGGCGTGAGATACTACTGGACGGCCGCTATAATTAATCAGCAGGATGAACCAATGGGCAGGTATCCTTTGAGCCCCAAAGGGGGGAAAGAGGCAACAACGTCCTTTGGGTACGCAGACTGCTGCTGTCTCTCGGATTATGAGGTTTGTGAAGGAAAGGTAAAGATGGCGTTTTTGGTTTATCCTGTGATTGGATCAAACTTTTTTATGACTGAGGTTGGAAACCAACGACCCTCGGAAAAGAGTTGGGACGAACATCAAACCAGACCTTAGCACAATCCCTTCCAGTGGCTGTCTACAGGATGAGCACGTGGACGGGTGAGGGGTGAAGGTGATTAACTTTTCTTGCACATTCTCTTGGAAATTATGCAGTGGCGAATGCTATAATGTCGTTGTCGATGCAATCCAGCTGGTCTGGATTCAGGCCTGCAAGTGCCACCAAACAGGCTTTGATTGCCATGTGGAATCTCTCAATCTCGGAGCAAAATCACTCACTTTCATCTCGGAGTTATTTTTTAAAACAAAAACAAAAAAAAAAGAAGAAGAAAAACCTATAGACGAACGGGAAATTTTTAAAATGATCCGCGATATGGAGTTGGCAAGCATGGCAAGTCCCCCGGCCGATTCCAAGTTTGCGGCGCAGGCGTGCCCAGCAATTAATATCGCGTGTCGGTAAGAGGGTCCCTTAATGTAGAGGATAATTTACGGATGCTAGTCGATTAATTGAGGGGAATACTGTATTTTTTTTATTTATTTTTTTTTTGCAAGGGTGAGCGGCGACTTGACGGGGTCTGGCATCGTCGTTTGCATTGGACGTTTACTTTGCACATGGACTTTTACACAGATCATGTCGTGCAGCACCGAGCAGGTACAATAGCACTTGATCTTACATGTAGACGACCGCCACTGAGTTACACTTCAACACGTCTTCTGAGGGTATTCCTTCGGTCTAATGTACGTTAACCCCTGCGCTTCGCTTGTATTATGCACCCGGATCACTCGGCGACAACCCTGGCGAGCTGACCCTCGCCCTCCAGATCTTATTACGTAGATGAAGGTCTCTCAGGATCTAGGATAAGGATGTTTATTAGTTTTGCCGTAATGATTCTGTGTAAGTGATACTACTCCTTGCCCAAGGGACGTCAAGAGTCTCGGGTTTGATGGGGAACAGCAACTTTGCCACCGCAACGTTCAGCTGCCAAGTCATCCGGCATATCAATTCACATTTGTGTACGACGTTTGGTTGTTGTGTAACTCAGAGGTTCACATCGTACAAGGTCAGAGGGATCAGGTCGTTTTATATATAGCATGAGGTTCTTGGTGTTCAAATGACCGGATCTCGCTATAGATGAAGTCGCTGTGTCTGTCATTATAGTGTTAATCTATCCGATGGTGATATGACTTTGATCTTGTGACCAGGGGAACTGCTAATGTGTGCAAAAAACCAAGCTGGAAGACCTTGGTAATTTATGAAGTTCTGATAGCCTGGGGACGCTTCTAGGAAATCAACGCTTACCAAAGGAAGGTAATTTCGGTAGACGTAGCCACAGCGAAGTCGTCCAAGACCTTCAGATAGGCAGAAATATGTACAGCCAGTATAACAGCTATATTAAAGGAATATAGGTCGAACAGTCACCTACTGGAGACCACTAAAGCTCCTCCACAGGTCTAAAGTCAACATCTAAATCAGTAGACGACATTCCCTGGTTGCTCTTCATACTAGATAATATTATATCTGATTCCCCACGAGGCTTCACAAAAGTTTGCAACAACTACGATGGATAATACACGAGAGAAGGGAGAGTAAGCTGGTAAGGTGTTGTCGCTAGTTCACCTTCGCATACACAATCGCTAGCCTTCCTTCAGATATTTAAGAATTTGTCATTGAAATACTCAAAGATGTTAAAAGTGGACAGCGTTGATGAACCAATTTACACCCCATCGCTTCATCCACCACGATATCGATTACTTTAACAGATACTAGGCTCTCTTCGTAATCTTCGACAACAGACAGCCTCAATCGTTCCCTGTGCTTCAAGCCCACATCTCCAAAACGACCAAACCTATCAGGCGTCATTGGGACATCTGAGTACGTTTGCGGGTGGGGATACCGAGGTCGGCGGATGGACTGGAATCCCCAGTACGACAGTATATCACTCAAAAAGGCATCCACTAGACTGTAATCTAATCCCTCAAGAAAAACGAGCAGGATTTCTTTCTCATTGTGGATCGCAATCATAGTGTAGCGGCGTGGTTGCCATATCTACGCCGTCGAGTAACCGAACCGGTGATGCTTACACCCCCTTGTCGCAACCAACCAACAAACTTCATCTGTTGGAGTCAACGAGACAAACTTCCAACATGGCTTGGCTTCAAGAGCGGAGCCAGCCCTTGCATTCTCAAATTGTTTTCCAACCAAGTTTCGAACCCATCGGTCCCAACAACTGATCAGCAGCTGATGAGTGGATATGTTCGCCGCATAATCTTTGCTGTTACGGAATCGCTTTACACTCACGTTGGAATCCTGCAGGTGTTGGAGCAAACAGCACAAATATGACTACAGAGAATACCACTTACCCTCTCTCTATTTGGTTTCATAATACAATGTATCTCATACAAAAAAAAAAAAAAAACAGCTGAGATTCAAGCGACGGCCAGCTGAACAGGATAATTCTAGAAACGACGACAAAGTACATCAGAGTTATTCATGCACTGTCACGAAGAGCTCGCAGGTCTCATTTACTGCAAGTGCTCACTAATAGTCGTGAATTACATCCGTTAATGAATCCTTTTACTTTTAAAAAAAAATACTCACGTCGGCCTTGGTAATTCGTAGAACCCTATCTCATGATAGTAACTGCGCAACTCGTGATACTACTTGCGCTTGCTCAGACGACTGAAAGACCTACCTGCTGGTGGTGGCGGAACCGAGCCAGACGACTAGAAAGAACGTCACTTCCGTTGCATACGGTCACTATCAGCTTCGAAATATCTGCTCATGGCCAGGGAAAGAGATATCGTGACCGTGGCTACTGTCATCGTCATTACATTTCAACTCACGCTAGCAGAGAGCAGGGCAAAATCGGCCTCCACGAAGGCTACTGTAGAAGGGTCACCGCCTGTGTCTGTGGTAACGGTGACAATGTCTTTGTGATACAGCTTACTCGTGATATATAAGCCAAGATAGCCTGTTAGTACAGTGGACATTTGTGCTGACTTATATGTGACACAATCTCACACGTTTGTATTTGGGGTATATCTGGTCGCACCATTGTCGTCAGGACTGCTTCACAGTTCAAACATATGACCAAATATATACCTATTCTTGCTTACTTCGGGAATCTGAGAGCTTCTGAAAATATTTAAGGTTGTAGCCTCGTTAAAGATACGACTTCATATGAACTGATGAATCCGTAATGGCATACAATGCCCGGTCCCTTGTGCCAGTCTCCAAGGCTAATTCTACGGTGCCGGACAGTATCAGTGTCTTGTTACTTATTACACCTATGCAGAGTACGATATGAGTTGCTTGATTTAAAAAAAATTCATCACATAGTATTTTTACACATAGAAGAAGGTCATGGGTTGTTGGCCGTCCAGGCTGCAAGCACCAAAGTTGCCAACACGACAAAGACTTAGTTGCATCTCACCCGAGTATTTTCAAAAATATCAGAGCGCGTAATATTTTCTCATATTTGCGACGTATTTGCTCGCCTAGGGAGGACCTGGCTTTCTCGTCTATGTCTTATGCAAGTTACTAGTAAATAAGAGTACCCCGCTTGCGATAGCTGTTCAATATACAAAAACATTTTGGTGTCCCTTTTTGGTATCCGTATGAACTCCGGCTTTTTTCCCCTACCCCGCCATGGTCAGAATGTACGATGTGATGGAAGTCATACGCTCGCTCGTCAGCTTCAGCGACATTCTCAGCAATTCCTGGGCAACGTCTGGCTGGTCCTTTTGCAGGCGTTCCCATCCTTCCTTATCCATTCTCCACACCACGCAGTCTCTATCCACAGTCACCGTGGCCGTCCGGTCCGTCTCCGAGAAGAAGGGCAGTTCACCGCACGTTGTGCCCGCCACGATGCTTTCCGTCAGTGACCCCTGAGGCAGATCGTAATCGGCGCGAAGGATGCCCTGTTCAATTAGATAGAAGCCCTTAGCGGGTTCGCCTCTTGTAAAGAGGACGGTTCCGGCTCGGTATTCTTTCTTCGTGAAGTAGCCGACCGCTCGGAACCAGAAGTCTTCGTTCTTCTCGCTTAGTCCTTGGAAAATTTGCAGCATCAACCGCAAAGGTTCCTTGAAACCCTGCCATTTCGTCGTTCCTAAGGGTTCTGTGTTCGCCAGCGTATTTCTAGCAGCCTCATGGAGATGATTGCGCCGTGGCGAATTGATAACAATGTCAAAAGATCCTCCATCCGACTTCGCCGGCACATCGAGGTTCGCAGATGGTGCGTGACGGTTGCCCCTCCGAAGTTCCTCCTGGCTTGCATATAACGTCTTCAGTAGCTCATTTTCACAACTCTCCAAAGCTGAGTTGAGGTCAGGGAGCAGTGTGACCTCGATGCTATTGTTGCCGAGTCCCATCTGTCTCAGGGTCCGGCCAACTTCGCTCTCCGCATCCTTTCCGCTAATCACAAGGATAATGCCCTTGTTATCCAGAATTCTGCTGATGGTATTGAAAGCTTCACCAGCGGAATAGTCGAGCCCAGTAACGTGATATAAGTCAAGTATGAGGTATTTGATGGGCCTCTGAACAAATGCACTGTCGTCAATCAGAGCTCGGATCTTTTCTTCGACACTGACAACGGTGCCGAAGAAGAGAAATCCCGTAAGCTTAACAATATAGATCTGGCGACGGACTTCCTGGAGGTAGTGATGTTGGGACGGGTTTCTGCGCACGGTTGAGCCAACAATCTCGCCCGTGTAACTGGCTCGGACAGCTGGGACCCTCGACGTCTGAATAATTAGTGACACGAAGGCGAGCAGAATGCCCACACCAATGCCGATAACGAAATCATAAATGCCCATGACGAGAACGATGACAATGACCTAGGAAGAATTAGTTTGATCGTTAACTCTGACTAGCAAGGTGTTATCGTACCGTCAGATATTCCGCCAGCTTCAGCTTTTTCCTTGGAAGCCAAACAGCCTCAAGCAGAAGCTCAAACCCTAGGTCGAAAATGAGAGTTCCAACCATCATAATAGGGATGAAGCCAATAATCTTGGGCCCGATCACCATTACACCGAACGTTAAGGCTGCCAGCATGACACCAGCAAGTCTGCTGTCGCCTCCAGACCTCATGAAGAAAACGGTGTTGGCGTAAACAAGGTAGTTCTGGATACTGCCAACGAGCCCGGAGATGAAGTTGGAACAGCCATGGAGCTTCAATTCACGATCAAGATCGGCGTTGTCTTCTCCAGTTTGCAAAGCTAGTACCGGAACATTGATAGGAACATGGAGGATACCGAAGAAGGTCAGAGCGAACATGGCAGGAACGGTCTGAAGCACGGCGTCCCACTCGACGAGATTGAACTCTAAAGCCAAATATTAGCAAGAATCTACATCGTGGGCAGCAATTAACTTACTGTACAGCGTATAGAAGTACCACCAAGGCTCATCCGCTGGTGGCCCTTCGAAGATCCAGCCATGATCGCGCAAATAATCAGGCTCAAGCGCATCCAATGAAAATACAAAGAAGTAGAAGACAATCGGAATGGAAATGATGTACAGCGGCAAGAAGTACTTCGATGCTCCTCTCGCTTGGCTGTAAAATAGGATGATGGCGAGTAGGAGAGGAGTGATCCAGAGAGGTATCGTGTCGGTCTGAAAAAGCTTTTGGAGCGTGTCCAGGTCGTACTCCAGACTGCCATCCATGCGGGCCGAGACCTCGAAGCCCGTGGCGACAAGAAACCAGCCAACACCTCCAATGCAGCCAATCAAAATGTGCCTTGGAATAAAGCCAACCATGTAGCCAAAGTTGAACTTGCCCATAAGGTAGAAAACAGTTCCCGTCATCATTGAGCTAAGTGCATAGGAGACTATGGTGGTAGCAATCACAGCATCGGGCTTGTCTTGTCCGATGTGGTCAGTGATCGTCTGGGCCATATTATGGAAGAAGGGGACGACTTCGATCTAGGGCTTTGTTTAGTAAAGGCTTGGAGAAGGAGTTATTTCCGATGGGCTTACAAGCTCAGAGCCGACACCGCCCCTGAAGATACTGCCGCATGAGAACGTCAATTGCGCAACGATGGTGCTAACGTAGAAGATGGAGATGCCAGCCGAGCCAAGACCAGCAAAGATGGGCTTGCCTAGAGGAAATAGAATCATGCCTAGAAAGGTCAGCCAAGGCAAGCCACTGCCGCTCACTTTCATGGGCCTTACCGTAAGACAAAGCATCAAGGACGTTGAGCAACAATCCAACAATTACAGCAGGCAAGCATGACACCGGAGCCACGACAGCATTCTGCCATAGAACTTGACGGTCCCAGACTTTGGGGCTTGTCGCAATTTGGACTCCATTGACGATGTGATTCTCGACATTGACAGTCAGATTTTTCAAACCACGAAACCATTGCTTTTTAGGAACCTGCTTCTGTCCTTCCACATCAACCCTGTTGGTGCTTCCGTTGGTCTCATAACCATTGGATGATAGTCTGGTTATCAAGGGAGTCTGTTCGGTAGGCTCATCTACTTCAACATCGCTCGACAGCAGCGGTTCATTTCCCAACCTGCCCGCGGACAATGTACGTTTCGGTTCGAGGGTTTCAGATTCTGAAGGCTGGGTGTGAGGCTGAGGGTCAGGCGAGGGGTCTCGGTGCGATTGAGGTGGTGATCTCTTCAGCAAGCTTGTCAAAATGGAGGGGCCATCCTCAGGGATTCCTTCCACTTCTTCCTCCGGCGATGCGGGTTCGGGAAGCTCTTGAATGGTCTCAGAGCTAGTGGGATGCAAGCTTGCTGTCTCGTCTTCCTCGTTATCCGAAATTGCGGTTTCTCGAGCGAGTTGTGACGCCTGTGAGCGTTGGCGCGAGAGGAAAGAAGGACTCTGGCCATTTTTCTTGTCTGATAAAAGGTACGATGCGAGTTCAGCTGTGTCTTCGCGAACACTGCGAGCATATTGGGCGCTGTCGACAGGAGCTAGCAGCTAACAGTTAGTGGTGGTGTATGTAACATGGCGTTTGCGCCGAGCATGGAATGCTTGCCTAGGTGGTCCCTCACGGTGCCGTGGATGAAGGAGCGGATAGGCTCGCGGTGACCGGAACTCACTGAGGACGACAGAACTCTCGTGTCTGCGCCACCAGAATGTGAGGCTCGGCCGGGACTAAGAAGCGGGTTCTCTGGGTTGTTCTCGCCAACTCTCTGGGAACTTAATGACGAGGCCCTCCTCCGCCACGGAGAGAAGCCAAGATTCGGGGAAGACATGGCTGGCTAGCTGAATTGGCTGTTGGCGGCGACAGGTGGGAGCGGAAACGGGAGGCACCGAGAGTTCGCCGGGCGCACCTCACTAGGGGTGCCAGATGTCGGAGGACCAGGCCAATGATTGCGGCGGTGACAGTTGCAGATTTTACCTGGAAATCATGGGAAATTGAGAAGCTCGAGCTGGTTGGGCTAGGCTTCACGCGGAAGTGAAAGTGTGTAGAAAGGTGGGCGGCCGCGGCGCTGATAAGAGATGGGAAAGTGTATTACACGATGGCCTGTGAGTGGGACAAGATCTACAATCAAAGCAAGGATGTGCCGTCTAGTTTTCTGTTGCTGGCATGCTGCGGTGCTGTACTAAGCCCAAAGGTCAGAAACTGACGCAAAACCTTTGATAAAGGTGTAATTCGAACGGCCGGACGTGTGGGGATTGACCCAAGGGGAAACAGTAAAGAGAAGAATGGACGGACGGAGGAGCGAGCTGCAAGAACGACAATGTTCAGTTGGTGGTCGAGGTTGTCGTCAACATGGCGCGCAGTAGCAGCAACAGCAGCAAAACACTGCAGAAAATTAGATGAACCTTGAACCAAGTCAAATTTGCTTTTACATGTGGCTCTTCGCCCCTCACTAGCCAACCTGGTACGGCATAGCACCGGTGTACCTGGCCATACAAAGGAAAGCTAGCGCACACCCTCGATGTTTCTAGCGGATATTCCGCAGTCCAGAAGCCCAGTTTGGTGCTGTTGACCATTACTGCTTGAGTCGCACTACGTAACAGCACCAGAAAAACATGCATTCAATCCTTGTCGGGGTACGTATCCATAGCGCCACCAAGACCACTTACAGCCGCTGCAGGCAACCTGGCACTTCCAGTGGACAAGCCATTGACGGAAGCACGGCAGTCCATCGGAAGCCCAGCCCAACCAGCCTTACCTCTCAGTCCGCCAGGATTTGTCTTTGACTCTTCAGGAGCCAAGGCCACACACTGCACCGCATCTAAGCTGCAGCTTTGCCCGAATTTTTAAGAGATGGGCGACAGCCTGTGGGCTCTTATGCCTTCCTTACTTGCCTTGTCCTGGTCCAAGCCCGCATCTGAAGGAGCCATTGCAATGCCCACAGTTTCATCTCCTCATCTTTCCCGTGGGGTAACGGTTTGCCAATTGCAACTACTATTTCTTTCAATAGGCCGGGTATCTACGAGAAGAAAAGAGCTAACCCTGCCCACAATCACCAGGCATACTGTTATGCGAGCCTGTTTCCTGCTTCGGCCCTCTTCTGAACTGACATTCAGGAGGGCGGGCCAAGTCAGCCACGGCGCCATGCAACGCATGATGCAATGCAGTGCAACAGACAAGCCCATGCCCTGCCTTGCCTGTGCTATTCTCTATTCCGCGACCAACATCTGCCCGGGGTGAATGACCAACTGACGAGGGCCGCCTGGCGGATGGTGGCGCCGCTAAGGTTCCGCTGAAGAGGCATGCAAGCCTATGAACGTGCCCAAAATTCAGTTCAGGCCCGTCATCAAATGTCACTGTCGCTTTGGGTCTACCTCATCTGTCGCCGATATCGCGACATCTGATGTGCATTCCCCGTACAACCTTCCTAGTCCGAGCTATGCGAGCCAATGTGTCTAACAGTGTGGCGTCGAGCGAGTAGAAAAAAGAAACAAAAAGCAATGACCCGTGGAGATGTCTCATAACTCAGAGAGGATTTTTTTTTTGCATGCCATGTGCGGGGCTTGACTCCTGCTCGTCGCGTCTGCTGGCAGAGCTTCCCATGCGTGTCGTTGAAACGTTGCCATGGCCACTATTCCCTAGGGCGGCCGCTCCGGAACTTATCCGCGCTCAAATACTGAACCCGCCCTTATGCTGCGGTTCATATTCTATTGTTGGCAGTGCCCGTCATCTGGATCCGAAGCAGGAGCGAATGCTGGGTCCAATTTGGTCCCCGCTGTGTATTCCGTTCCCCAAGCTCCTTGAATCTGTATACGTCTATCCCGTGCGTTCCACGAGACGTCAGCTGGGCATGCGTAGTTGTCGAATATTGACACTATCTTGACGCAACGCATTATGATATCTCGCCATGAATGGCGTATCGCATGACGCACCGTGAGGCGTACAGATTGTTGTACGTCTCTTTTGGTGATGCCTTTACAAGGGTCTAGCCATGATGGCCTTGCATACGTACCCCTCACGCTCCGCTGATCTCCAGTAGAAGGAGATATGAAGACACATTTCTTTTAGTGCTGCATTCTCCAGGGCTTGATAGTGCGATCGAAGCTCCGTCATCAACTAAGTTTTTGGAGATAACCCTGTGCGATGAGCCGCTCGACGTCTCCTTGCCTTACATAGAACTGACTGTTCTTTGTAAGGTTGATAGCGCTATATTCCCGGAGTCAGATGCAGAACTTCTGTGGAACTCAAGTAAACCAAACTTACCCGTACTCAGTTTGTATTTCTCCTGCATCTTTCAAGACTCTCACGTCGATGAACAAGTCTCGAGGCGGTTCCAGACTTCCCGTCAAGTCGATATCAGTCCACTGCCCCTTATAGGCAGCCAATAGGTCGCCATACTGCCTCGCATATTCCTCCTCTTGTGGACTGAGGCTGCTTGTTGGTCCGTCGGCACTGCCATTGATCCCACCGCCCAATGGACCTGGATTGCTGCGGACTTGTTGCCCTGACAGATCGAGCACATCTATACCCTTCCAAGCCAACTCTTCAAGTTTATCTGTTCGAGTTCGATGGTATGCAAGTAGGCACCGCTTGTTTCTACGCATCGAGAGATGGTTGACTAGCAGCGTGCATGCCGTTGCCTGGTCTGCAGATGGGTCGAACGAGCCCTGAAATGGCTCCAGTAGTTCCGCCACGTCTTTATCGAGATCTCTGACTTCTCGCGTCACGGCTCGTACTATTTCGGCTTGATATGGAGGCAGATGTGCAAGGTTTTGCGTTCGTTTAGCATGTTGCACCTAGACAACGCGTCAGTTTCTGTCGTAAGTCGCGTTCATAACGTGCTTGCTTCTTACCAGCTTGTTACCCAAATCTCCATACATTTTGTAGTTGAAAGATCAGTCTTACTGAGTCAATTAGAAAAAAGAACGGAGACGGAAGTCATGCGTGTGTGATAGCGATTGTTCAATGCCGCGTCACAAGTTCGTGCTCAAGTCCGCGAGTTGTAGGTAAGAGTGGAATACAGCCTTAGCTAGTTGATCAGTCGCGTTACATTGGTCTGACCGCTTTGGGAAAGCAAAAAAGTTGCCCCTCACTTAGCGCTGCCCCACCAGCGCCCACCATCAAATTCTCGTTCGAGCTTTTTGAGTCACATTTTGCTGTATGACCAAAATGCCATCAAGGTCTTGGTGCGGGGTTTTCTCATCGGCTTAAACAGCAAGCTGGGATGTAGGTCACAAGAGGCGAAAGCTATTGGTTTTACTTCTTCAAAAGGTCTTCATAACCTCGTTTGTATTCATGAAAGTCTTGGACTCGCACTCTTTCTTGAGCAGCAGGTCATTGCCTGTGCTGGTGCTGAGTAACCTCGGGTTGACCTTTTTTTGTGAGGATTCTATGGATTATCATTTCTCCACCATCATGCCTCGTGAATTCATCTCTCCCATCCCATCATAAAGCTCTTTACAGCTTCTGCATGGCAACAACGTCAGAGGACTGAACGTAGTCCTCGAACTCCTGGATCTCCTCCTGGAGCTCGTCCAGAGAGACCTTCTCGTCCTCAACGACAAGGTTGATCTGGAGCTTCTTGACACCGAAACCGACAGGGACAAGCTTGGAGGCACCCCAAACGAGACCGTCCTTCTCAATGCCACGGACAGAGGACTCAAGAGCAGCCATGTCAGTCTCGTCATCTGCTCAATCGTTAGCATCACTTCGCACAACTAGGAATCATTTGTAACATACCCCAGGGCTTGACGTCCAGGGTGACAACGGACTTGGCAATGGTCTTAGGCTTGGCCTCCTTCTTCTTCTTGTACTCAGCAAGACGCTCCTCACGGACACGGGCAGCCTCAGCGTCCTCCTCCTCGTCAGAACCGAACAGGTCGACATCGTCGTCCTCCTCCTCGGCAGCAGGGGCCTTGGCGGGGTTCACGGGGAGCTCGCTGGCCTCAGGGCCGTACACGGAGTAGGCCTTGGAGGCATCACCAGGGAGAGTGGCGAACTCGCTCTCGTAGGTGGAGATGTGCTTGTACCATCTGGCGGCGTGGGGGTACTTCTCAGCGTTGGGAGAAGACTGAAGAGCCTTGTAGACGGCAACATCGGCCTGGGAAGGAGAGTGGCTGTGCCAACCAAGTTAGCAACCATATCTTTGCCCGAACAATATGGTGAAATTTTCAAATGTTATTGGGCAAGGCGGGGTCAGAGTTGCACGAAGTGCTTGTTCGGTCGTCATATAGCAGGGTCTTAAGCTGCCTCTGAAACACGGACCAATGTTTCTCATCATGTTGATGCCGAGGGGATTGGAGGAAAGGAGACTTGAAGAGTGCGAGGCGATTCAAGCAGAGGAATGAGCTTACCCAACGATGTAGGAGCGGGTGGTGAGCCAGCTGTTCAGCACTGACTCACTGTCAGTCGATGAAAGAAAGAAAGAATTCAACGCTGCAACAACTTACTGGCAGCACCAGCATCAGTGAGAAGGTCAGCGAAGCCCATTTTTGCGGTTTTGAAGAGTTTGTAGAGAGAAGAAAGGGGGTATCAGGAAAGAAGGCAGAAGAAAGAGGGATGTGTTGAGGTTCAGGTTGAAATAGGTCGAGGTGGGGTTTGGGAAATTTTTGACTGTTCCCTTTGATTGCGGTGCGGTGCTCTCTGCTTCTGGGCTTCTGGGTTTGCACGGACCCCACTTTCTGGTTGCCCAGCGCCGCAAATAATTCCCCTCTTCGGAGTAAATATGATCCGAAGTAGCCCCTGCAAACAGTCCTAGGTGGAGACAACCTGCGTCCAGCCCACCTCAGGCAAGCAGGCAGGGAGCTCCTACGCAATTGCAGTCGAGAGCTCCGATCCAAACGAGCTCAACCTGACGCCAACCACACATCAACCCCAAACTACATCGCAAACGGTTGCAAATAACGAATCTTTCCTCTGCTGCCAGCATAACTCACAATACCTGAACTTTAAGGGCACAATATGTCGATTGTACCTATAATAACTTTCAAGGCCGGTATCTGTGAGGCCGACGTCAGTGACCTACCTGGCTTTCCTGCTCAAACCCCGGCTCGCTGACTTGATAACAGACCTCCAGTAAACCTTATAAGGTCAAGCCCCAGGCGATACCTGGCTACATTTATCTCTATTCCGAAGATGGTATGTACAGTGTTGCCCGCACTTATGAATAGCATCTAACCAACACCAGACTTGATCCACTTCTGCTGGCGTGAGCGCAGTGCCGCCATGGACGCCCCCGACCTCGACCTTGTCATGGTACCTATGGACGGCGAATTCGTTCCCCATACACCTGCCGACCAACCCACAGCGAAGACCAACGGTCGTGTCTTCGTTCTCAAGTTCGGTTCCTCATCCCAGAGACACTTCTTCTGGTTGCAGTCAAAGCCCCAATCCCGCAACGGCGACCCCAGCTGGTTCAGCCCACGCGACAAGAAGATCGGCGAAATTGTCAATGCACTCCTTCAGGGTGAGGACGTTGACGTTGGTAGAGAGCTGGCGCAAGTCCACAACACCGAAGACAGGCGGGACGATGATGATGACGAGACAATGGAAGATGCAGAGGGCCAGGGAGACCGGAACGATCAATCCCGTGGAGCTAGCGGCGGTGCTGGGCCCGGTGCTACTGGCGGCGACGTTCGTGAAGAGGGCGAAAATGCTAGAGAGGGAGGAAGCGACGGTGCTCGAGCGTAGGTTCTCTCCTATTGCATGTCTATTGTGGTTGGAGTCCAGGGTTATGAGAATCATACGGACTGCATTGGCACGGACAGGAAAAGACGTGAGGCCCGCGATATGGCGCCACCTGTACTTTTAGAGCCTTTCAAAAGACACGAGGGTTCGGAGTTTGCCATTATTCGTGGTGCCTGCGGCTTGATTTTGCCTGGTTATCGTTCATGTGCTAATCGATTCATAGCGCTGCTGGAGGCGGTAACACCGATGCGGATGCTGCTGTTCGAAACTTCTTAGCCTCATTACAAGGTAACTCTGCCTTGAGCCAATCTCAACAGGGCGGGCAGCAACACGCGGACAAGCCCTTCCCATACCTGAATCACTTGCTTCCGAACGAGATCACCATTCCGATGCTTCGGTCAGCTTCTGAGGAGTATATCGATAGTCTACTTAGCTTCCTGCCACCAGCAATACTCGTTCTGGCCACCGATTCTGACGACTTGGGTGACTCGGAGCCCACCGCCGAGGCAGCTGCAGCTGCGAAGGCCACTCTGAGTCTGGCAGAGAAGAAAACCTTGCTTGAGAGGGTTCTCAGGAGTCCCCAGTTTCATCAGGCTTTGGGCAGCCTGACTATGGCCCTTCGGGATGGCGGTCTTCCCACTGTTGCAGAGGCACTCAAGGTCAAGGTACCCAACGGTGGTTACATGAGGGGCGGTGCCATGCCCCTTGGGGGCGGTGAAGCTGTGGAGGCGTTCGTTGAAGGCGTCAAATCAACGGTCAAGGAGAATAAGCAAGCTTAGGCGGGGTCAATAAATGATAGAAGTGAATATATAGAGTCTGGGGGCTTGTCTCCGACACCAGGCAGCAATAACGATTATACGCCCTTTCAATCATTCTCCAGACAACACGCCTTGCAGTTCTTCTCGGAAATGTGACTAATGCGTGGATTCGTTCGTGACCATCCTATATGAACTGAAAGATAATATTGGTCAGATAAGTAAACAAGGGCAAAGTCACTAAGTCAGGTAGCTATCACGTCTAACACTTGCTAGCTGACTAGCTCAAGACCTTAGGTAAACGTATTTACTTGCAGCTTGCCTTAGATCCTGTGACCCCACACGACCCCAAATCCTATTCTAACATTCCGCAGTAGGTTCCCTGCACCTCACTGCCGTTGCTCCACTAACGACCCCAAGAATGTGCTTTGGATTTCGCCCTGGAGCTTAAGGGCAACAACTGTCACCTGCGACAAAAAAAAAAAAACTGAGGCCAATGTATTAGCGTTCTCTGTCTACTGTAACCACGCACACGCTCGATCAGGTCACGACCTTATCCCCTTCATCTCATCGACATGGCAGATCAATTGAAGGATCCGTTGCCGACATCCGTTGATGAATTCGGCGGGGACGAACGGATATCCTTCTCCAAGCTCGACAACAAGTACCTAGCCGTTCTTGACGACGGTACTGAGCTCGAATTTGACCCGGCGACAGCGACATGGGCGGAGGCCGCTGACGCACCTCTCGAGCCTCTTGATGATGACGAAACTGCGGCCCAGCTCGTAGACCTTACCAGAAGTGCTAGCACCGGCGCAACACCAAATGCCGCCAACTCCAGGAAACGCAAAGATTCTCCTGGCGGTATGGACGAGCACGGCAATAGCAACAACAATACCAGAAGCGGCTATGCGGGTGGCGGTGACGGTAATGGCAGCGGACGGCCCGCAAAGAAGGCAAAGCCCCCGCGCCCGCCGCCGCAGCCGCGCCAGAACACAGCTGTGTATGTGACGGGTTTGCCCGCCGATGCGACAGCTGATGAGGTGCATGACCTCTTCTCGCGCAAAGCAGGTGTCATCGCCGAGGAGATTGACAGCGGCCGCCCTCGAATTAAGATGTACACGGACGAGAGCGGTAACTTCAAGGGCGACGCACTCATCGTCTTCTTCAAACCTCAAAGCGTGGAAATGGCCATCATGCTGCTTGACGACACAGATTTTCGATTTGATGGCCCGGCGGGACAGCCAAAGATGCGCGTACAGGCGGCAGACTCGAGCTATAAGAAAACGCAGTACGAGAACAACGGTGCGGCGGCGGAAGGAAACGGGGGAAATGGCGGTGCGTCGAATGGGCAACAACAAAAAAGGGAACGCAACGACAAGGATAGGCAAAAGATCATCCGCAAGACACAAAAGATGGCAGCCAAGCTGGCGGACTGGAGTGACGACGAGCCGTCAACAGTGCCTACCGAGACCAACTCCAAATGGGACAAGACGGTGATACTGCGGCATATGTTCACGCTCGAGGAGCTGGAAGAGGACCCGGCGGCACTACTGGAGATCAAGGAGGACATTCGTGAGGAATGCGCCAAGCTGGGCAACGTGACGAACGTGGTGCTTTACGATGAGGAACGAGATGGTATTGTGTCCGTCAAATTCTCCAAGCCCGAGGCGGCACAGGCGTGTATACAGCTCATGAACGGACGGAGCTTCGACGGTCGCGTAGTCGAAGCGGCCGTGTCAACGGGCAGAGAAAGGTTCAAGAAGTCGAAGCAGGATCAGCCGAGCGACAGCGACTAATTCTGGTACGTAATGGATCGGGGGAGGAGGCATTTCTTTATTCCAGCATTGGCATGGACGGCGTGAACCGATACAGGTAGATGTTTATGATAGTGTGTGATCACCAGAGCTCAGGACCTCTAAGTAGAGCAAATTTCAAAAGATTTTCAAGGAATTTTGTATGCTATTGATGATCTACCATATGTTTCCAACGCCTTCCTGCGCCAACTCGTTATAATGATTATTTCATACGAGGTACTGTATTGTATATGAGTGCTTTCATCGAGAAGCTACCGTCTTAGACGGTCTTCTCAACTTGAATCTCAGTCCGCTCGGAGATGACGTACCAAATTGCCGCCTCAATAATCCGACACACAATCTTCAACTCGTGGTCATCTACAAGACAAGTGTCAGTGGTAACCATTTCGCATCCCTTCCCTCAGGGAAAGAGGGGTTGCCTTTTGATGAGAATACGAATCCGCAATACACGTACCTCTCGGCGCGTACACCATAATAAACTCCTCCGGCACAGGCATCTGCAGCAGTCTCCCCTTCCACGCCAACGGATGACGCTGGCCCCAGCCCTTGGCGAGAACTTCATGAATGTCCTCCGGGTGCAGGTTCATGTGCAGTGAGTGGTCCGAGTCGTGGACGTGGCACACCTCGCCGTTGCACGTTACGTTGACCGGGTGCCGCGCGAAGAGGCCGAGGCCGTGCTTTTCGAGACACGACTTGGCCGTGCCGAACACGGCGGGGTTCTCAGCTGCAAGACGTTCCAGTGTCCGGCGAAGGGCGCGGTAGTGGGGCACCGTGCCATGTTGGTCGAGCTGCCGTTGCGGAGCTATTCCGGCAACAAGCGGACGGGGCCCAGGACGGTAAGGTAGCCTGCTCAAACTCTGATCGTCACGGTGCTGTTGTTGTTGCTGCTGCTGCTGTTGTAAGAGAATGCCACGCTTGGGAAGACGGTTGGGGTTTGGTTCCGGTGCAGTGAAGGGGTCGCGGAGAGCCCATAATCTAAGCCAGGCTATCCTGATGTAGCCTTGGAATGTTGCTGGCGTGCCTCCTGGGCCGAGGCCAAGAAAGTTTTGGTAATCATTCCGCACCAGGAGCAAGATAGGTATGAGGATGAGGAGGCACTCGGCTGTTCTTGGCTCTAGGAAGTGGATAATGAGGGCCAATGACACGGACAGGGCGAATATGGCTGGTCCGTTAAGTGTGACGGATATCGGTTGCTGTTTGAGGACATAATTCACAGCGGCCTGGTCGAGCTCCAGGCCTACGCCGCAGGCATCCGGGTTGGGTAGAGGTTCATCGTGGAGGCGTGAGGGAGATGAAGTGGTTGCGATGGAGACAGACATGACTGCTATTGCTTTTACGAGATGTCGTCGAGGCGCATGGGCACTAATATGCACGGCCAGTGCCTGGCTTGAGGGTAATGGGGGCAAATAGCTTCAAGCACGCGAGCGTTGTATCTAGGAAGAGATGGAACGGGGAACTACAAAAGCAGAAAGCCAAAGGAACAAAAAAAGGAATTACAAAAGAGAAAAGGTTTAAGCCAAGGTCAAGCAGTATGAGGTAAAGCTGACCTGACACAGCCAGAAACGAGTGGCCACGAGGTTCGATTCCAAGCCGCCAGCGTTCTCGCCGCAGGTAGAGAATATGCGGGGTTCGGGAGCTGGGCCGCGAGGGTGACGGCTGATCAAGTGACGCTGGTTTGGCAAAAAGCGTCAAATGTGAGTGGCTAGTGTAGTTAGACAGAAGCTTGAACCACGCCGCATATAGCCTTTGTCCTGCAACCCATTGGGCTCGAGCGATAACACAGATTGGCAAAGTTCCCGCGTCGGCGGCAAGCTAGGGCAGGGCAAACACCAAAAATTGTACCAAGCAGACAAGCTGGAATCATGTCCTGGGAAGCCTCGTAGAACAGTTTACTTGAACTTTCCGGTTTGAGTAAGGTGGGATGCCATCCTTCGTCTATAAAGAGGTACTGACATTCAAGGGCAGATATCTCCAAAGTTCCTGCCGCAGGCATCGCATTGTATTATTTCAACATGACAGTAAGCGCATCCAGTCTCTTCGGAAGAAACGGTCCATGGCGGCTGAACTCAACGCAGAGCACCTAGTATGAGTATGACGTTGGGCTGAGGTCGCACTGGTTCCACCGCCGGTTCGGGTAAATGTTATCCAGAGCGCCGGTAACGGAGAGCATTGACAACCATCTGACGGGGGGACAGAAGCGAGAGCCTAGAAAAGAAACGCTAATGGAGGGCCGCTCTTTGGTGTACGTAGTGCAGTCAAACGAATTCTGAGTTTCCACCCCACATTTGGGGGCCACTTGAAAGGATCGGCCAAAATTCCCTAGGAGCTCTTCCTTGATTGGATGACTGTAATATGATGCAGCTACGTGTGATGTTCAGGAGATAGTTTGATCTTCAAATTATAGCGGGTTTGTTTACTAGCTGTTGGTTGAGAATGGCTGGGACAGGTGGTCGTTGAGAGCAGTTCGAGTCGGGCCTTTCAAGACGTCGCAGCGCCGCGTCTCGAGCCCTCACTATGTACTACGCAGTAGTACAGTTTTGAATGAATTCTGGAAACCCACCTACTGGCTGCTGACGCAGGCACAGGGATTCATCCGTACAGGCGAGGTGTCCAGAGAATCTTATCATAAAGTACGTCACAGTGCCTTCCAGCCGAGTGTAAGAATACCGTACGGACTATACGGACTAGTAATCGGGAATCACTCTGCGACCGCGGGTGGGAAGTTTGCCCATCCATCTAGGGAGCTGAGCGCTGGGTCACTTCTGATTTGTTCTGCTACAATGACGAGCTATTGACGAGCATCCAGGAACGACAGGCAAGACCCCTTTAAAATTGTGGCTGCGGTTGGCTATCGGAGAGTTACCAAAGAGGCTGTTGGTGGTGGAGACGAGACGCGTCAGGGCCTGTAAAACTGATATTATGTGTGCAGCTCCTAACCCTCTCACAAGCGACCAAAGGGGAGGGGAAAAAAGGAAAACAAGAATGCGAAAAGATGTGAGCACGCTGGCAAGGGGCCCGAAAACAGGGTAATAGAGTTGGCCAGGGATAGACATAGGGGGGTTGCATCGAGAGGCGACTTTGCGGAATAGGCTTGATTTCAGCAGCCTCAGCCACATGCATGAGGAGATGAAAAATGGATATGCGAATCGATATTCGGCTGATAAATCTCGGCGTGTTCTAAATTTGTTATTTCGAAATCTGGACCGCCGCTGTTGTGGCTCCGATATGAGTTCTCTCATTAGGATAATCTCTTGCTGATATCTTCTGAGTCGTGAGGTGAGGCGGCGCTGGCGTTATGGTTATGAACGACACGGGTGTTGTTGATTGAATCGTCGCCTACACGATCTTTCGCTTGGCAGCATGACGTCGACGACGGAGATTTTGGAGGAGACTGCGGGGTGCATGGATAGATCAGGAATTTCAGACTGAACACAATGGCTGGAGATTTACCTCTGGCATGCAATCGGAAAAGCTGAACACACATTCCTAGCGACCGAGAGAGACTGTCTCATGGAAGGGCCAAGACCGTTAGAATAGAAGTATGTTGAGACGAAACCAAAGAACTGCATCTGACCATGTTGCAGATTCGTCCAGTCTTTTTCGACGGTTGGATGAGTCGCGTCAAGGGCAGAAAACGATTCGGGTATGGCTGGAGCGACATCTTGCTCGTTGGGGTGTCTTCAAATTGGCCCTCTTCCTGGTCGGGCTATAACCACACTCTCAGTCGACCTGGTAGGATAAAAGCGGACCGAGGGGTCAAGAGTCCTGCTTCGGAAAGGAGACCGCAGGATAGTGCCAGGAAATGTTGCTCTCAACGGTCCTGAATTTGCAAGAGACGGGAAGTGGAACACGCTTCAGCCAGGGAGTTGAACCGTAGTGGGCAACCAGTCCCCGAAGTTGCTGAACGGTTGTCAGGGAGACCCCAGTTGAGGGTTCCAACGAGCAGTCGAGACCAAGGCGGCATCCCCCTGCTGGGCCTGTAAGCCCAGTCCTGCAAGGCCCGCATTGGCGCGCACATCCCGACTCGCTACACAGAGAAGCTTACAGCGCATGTGGTGCCCTGCAATACTACTAGGCGTATTGGTCGTGGTGGTGGTGGACGTCGGCGGTCTTGACAGGCAGAACGCAGCCTGGTGCATGGTTGCTCAGAGCAACTCTCCCTGTTGGCCAGTCGTCGTCCAGAAACCCCCACCAATTCCCCAATCAGATCCAGTCTTTATTAGTGGCAATTGCGTGGGATAGGGGGAAGCTTGCCCCACCAAAACTCCTTGCCGCGTACACTATGTCAGGTAGCCCACACTGTGTGCCACGCCAATCACTCTCGGACTGCCGAACCACTTGCAACCACAGACGGCTTCTTTCTGTGCCAGAGTGGTACGTACCTGACGTGCTATTTTCTCCTGCCTTTTTTTCCTCACGTTGTCCCGCCGTCGCTGGGGCGCTCATATCCTGGATAGATAGATCCATATTACTCAAGGTGGACTTTGCCGGCTCGAACTGACCTCTGTCTCTCGTTTCCCCTGCTGTGCTTCATTTCCATATGATGCCCTAGCATCGTGTCCCCAAACTTCATCTCCATCTTTTCCTCCTGTCTGCGTTGCTGTACTTTATTTCCCCAACGCCTACCGACTTACAAGCCGGTCTCTGTCTCCGTACAATCCCCAGTTGCCAGTTCCCACCGAACCCCCTGGGTCTTTCTCTCTACCGAGACGCTTGACGCCGGGTTCTAATACACGCCTGACTGAACAAGACGAACCGGACATAGCCCGATTGAAGGGCTTGACAGAAACTGGACTTGTTCACAACTTTCCAGTGGTAAGCACGGTTTGCGCTTGGCAATTTTCCCATCACGACTAACACGGGAGCTTACAGACCAACGCCCGCCCACCCACCATGGGTTTCCTCTCAAACCCTTTGCGGTCTCGCGACCGCAGCGGCAGATTACCAAAATACGAGCAATTGAGTCCCTTACGGACCAAGGAACGTCTTTCAAACGACGATGACGACTATTATTCCGACGAAGACTCGGAGGGCTACTCCACCACATCATCCCCGAGTGTGAGAAGCTCTCGACAGGCCTCTTCCACTCTCTCCAGCGCCGCCCTAATGCTTCCAAAGCGAGCTCTCGCAACGGCTCGCCGCCCACGAACTCACCTATACCGCCTACCGAACCGCATTATTCGATATCTGTGCTTAGGTCTGCTTACCTTCATGGTCCTTATGATCATGTCTCTGGTCCGCGCCAGCCATGTTGAGAACAAGATGATCATAGAGGGCAAGGTCGAGAAGAAACCTGACCCCCCGCCCGTATGGGAGTCCTTCGATTTCCTTCAAAGATACTACGGCGGTGTCAGGACTATTGTCCCCCCTGCGAAATACGTTCCCTCCTACCCTCAGTCTGAGGACGAAGCCCCGCTCGACCAGCTAGACATTAACACTACGGCAACTGCTACAAGCGAGGACGGCATTGATGATGCCATGAAGAGAGCCTTGCCGAAGAGCAAGATGTTCCTCGACCACCCCGATGCCATCTTCAACATTAAGCCCGAGAAGTTTACCGAGTGCTTCATCGACGAGGATAATAAGGTTCGCGTTCCGCCGATCCGATACTTTGACGGTCGCCCCCAGGGCTTCCCTCAGCATGCCGAGGGCTCCTACGAGCTGTTGAACCTCCCCGAGAACATTTGCTACGAACGTTTCGGGCGCTACGCACCCTACGGCTTCGGATACTCTGTCCCCGCAGGCGGCCTTGGCATCGGCGAACACGGAGAAAAGGAAGGCTCTGAAGACGTTTGGGAACAGACTCCCAAGGTCGACTGGCGCAAGGTTGATTGGGCTGCTGCTCAACGCCGTTGCTACCAATCAAATACGGCGAGATTCAAGCCGATGCCGCCCAAGGTTCCGGTCGCACGTGGTTTCTACATTGACGAACCGGCTCAAAATGCGACCTTGGTAACGCGCGACCCCCTGGAGAACATGGAGCCCAGCCACAAACCCAACGAGGATGGTAAAACTGATGGTAAAGCCGAGAGCAAACCTGCTGGCGAAGAGAAGCCAGAAGAGAAGACTGCCCGAACCGCGGTCGTAATTCGTGTTTGGGACGAGTACCTTTGGCGCGAGGACGATATCATGAACGTTCGTTCCGTCATCTCTGAGCTTGCACTGGCATCGGGTGGACGTTATGACATCCATCTTCTCGTCCAAATCAAGAATGATGCTGCTTATCCTGTTTTCGCAGACCACGAGGTTTACGAGCGCCGTATCAGGGAACGTATTCCTGAGGAATTCAGAGGCCTCGTCACGCTCTGGACTGAGACACAGATGTTGTCTCTCTACCAGGGTCTTTTCGACCTTTTCACCCGTGGCCCTGACCTGCCTGTTCACGGCGTGTACCGTGGTCTATCAATGGCCATGCAATACTTCGCGTACCAACACCCCGAATACGACTTCTACTGGTCCTGGGAAATGGACATTCGTTACACTGGACACTACTACGACCTCTTCAGCAAGATGGAGAACTGGGCCAAGGAACAACCCAGAAAGGGACTTTGGGAGCGCAATGCTCGTTTCTACATCCCTAACGTTCACGGTTCGTGGGAAGATTTCAGACAGATGGCTCGTGTTCAGTCCGAAATGGGCACTGACGGTGCCGATAACATGTGGAAGAACATCCCCGGCTCCAAGAACAAGGCTAACAATGACGCCACCAAAATCAATCGCGGAGAAAAGACCATCTGGGGCCCGGAGCGTCCTCACAACGAGGATGACTGGTTTGAAATCGAGAAGGATCCCAAGCCCCCGACCAGCTATGAGAAGGACAAGTACAAGTGGGGAGTGGGCGAGGAAGCCGATCTCATTTCGTTCAACCCCATCTTCGACCCGGAAGGAACTACCTGGCTTCTATCGGACGACATCACCGGATACAACAAGAACAACCGTGAGGAGCGCATGCCGCCAAGGAGAGCGCATATCATCACAGCCTCGCGCATGTCCCGCCGGCTTCTCATGACGATGCACCGCGAGACAGCTCTTAAGAAGCACTTTGCGTTCCCCGAAATGTGGCCTGCTACCGTTGCTTTCCATCATGGCTACAAGGCCGTCTTCGCCCCTCACCCTATGTACGTCGACAGAGAGTGGCCTATCGCATACCTCGCTCAGGTCCTCAATGGCGGCAAGAACGGTGCTAGCGGTGGCTCACGCACTGCTGTGTTCGGCCAGCGTGAGCACAATCTGCGTGGTCTCTCTTGGTTCTACAACTCGGGTTTTGCCCCCAACTTGTACCGCAGATGGCTTGGGCTTAAGGTCAACAACGATGGTGGCGAGGAGTTTGAAAAAACCGAAGATCCGACCAAGGATGGTTCTACCGTCGGCCAAATGCGTGGTGGTGAAGGCCGGATGTGTCTGCCCCCCATGCTCATTCATCCTGTCAAGGGAGTTGAGGTGCCGGTAGAGAAGATACCCGAAGAGGCGAAGGAGACCGTCCCTGAATCTGATCCTAGTGCATGATTCAACGGGCGCACTTCAGTGTACGACAGATGACATATTTGCGTTGTTTGCTTTCATTTTATTTTAAAGGGTCATCTTTTTTTTGGGGTATTCAGATGGCATGGCGTCTTGGGGTTGGCTTGTTGGATTCATTTGGAAGCCACATGAGAGAATTCGCGTTGATTGCAAGAAAGGCATAATGCATTGGCCGTATACATGACGTATGATGTACATAATGACTGTCAGGTTAAGAGGGAGTCATGATGGCCTCAAGGATGACCAACAAGATATTTACAATTCGAGTTTTGACCACAATGAAATATCGCATATCTGTTCTTCAAATACGTGACTTGTTGGATGCCTGGCGGCTAAACGCCGCTTTTAGGGGCGTCCGTTACATCTTCAGCCACGGGCGTTTATAGGTCGCCAGGCAGCTGGAATTCGGCTCTGGCGTGACAGGTGGCAGACGGGTCGTGTTGCCGTGATCGATCAAGACATGAACATGCCATGGGCTCGGATACGAGGCTAGCCTTGCTGTCTAGTCCCATTCCAACGTTGGGCTGGCGGGACATCGGTCAGCCTGCGCGCACTGACAGTATGTGCGAGTAGACATGTTCCCTTCAAGGTTTCGCGTTTATGGTTGAGGTGACGCCTAAGGCGTATATCAACGAATATTGATAGGCCATGTATTAGCCTCTGTCGGCTTAACTAGTTAAGCTGAAAGTCTACCGGTTTTAATTGTTCCTTTTTCTCTGATTGAAAGCGCTCTTCATACCCAGAACTGTTCGTCTGTTCATCCATTCATGTATGATAATGATACACTGTACATGCATTTCAGTATCTCTAAGGTCCCGGATCCCAAGCTTTACGCTGTCCGTCCTATTGGAGAAGACCCCTTTTTATACGCCGGCAACCTGTCTTCCCCAGCACGAGTGTCCGGTAAACAAAGCCGACACGCGCTTACACCACCCTCTTGACCTCGAAGAACCTGCGCAACCACCAGACCTGGAAGACGGACTCTCCAACGACAAGACCAATGACGAAAAGGTTCCACCACTTAACTCTGCTGTTCGTGCTCTCGGCGGTGTTACGGTGGGTGCGCTCGCGAAGGACAATGTAGGACTGCTCGTCCTTGACCTGGGCGAGAAGGTCGGAAAGGTGACGGACTGTAAGACGTTTAGTTAGACTGGTTCCTTTTCGGCCTAGTGTGGGATTGTTCAGAGAATTGGTCTCCTTACCTTCAACTTCGAGAGGGTCAGCAGGGACGTCGGTCTCGCTGACGTAGACAATGCCGTGGACGTTAAAAGAGACCTCCTTGCTGTGGGCGCCCCAATGCTCGTTGCCGAAGCAGTAGGTATACTTGCCGTCGTGCTTCGCAGTAAAGGAAAAGTCGCCGTTGGAGACACTCTTGTCAAAAGTCTCGTACTGGCCCATAGGGTTCGTGATCTGCAAAAAATGAAACCGCATGTCAGTCAATGTATCGCATTGAGCAAAGTCCATTACGCGCGAAACCTCGCGATGCTAGACCCGGGGTGATGCCGTGTCCTCATACCCAGAAGTCAATGTCCAAGTTACCAGCGCTGCCGAACTCGCGGTCGCCGACCTGGAAGGTCACGGTCATGGTATCATCCTTGTGCAGCGTCTCGTGGAAGCACTCGCGGCCGTGGGCGGGCAACTGGATGTTGTGGGCCAGGGCCGAGTGGACGAAGCCAGCTGCGAGGAGCAGCTTGGCGACTGAAGGGAAGAACATGTCGGGCGGCGGGAGCTTTCTGAGGAGCTAGGGGTGTGGGATGATGAGAAGCTCTCGTGGGTTACCGATAAGAGGCCAGACTAGCTACAGGCAGCAGAGTCACGAGCTATTCTGGAGTCGTGATGGCAGGCAGGCAGGGCCACGGTGGGAAAAAAGGAGCGACGTTGATTGTGTCCAGGCTGTTCTCCAGATCGGTTCCTGGAGGTGATCCCTGTTCCTTGAGTCTGGACACTTTGGCGAAGTTTGGTTGGATTGAGGCTGATCCGAAAGGGGCTTAGTGGGGAAACAAATGCCAAAGGATTTTCCGACACCTTTTCGTAGAGTCTGAGAGCAGACCCCTGCACGTGATGCGGGTACTCGGTGCTTCAGAAGGGGTCTCTAGTGGTCAACGTGCGCTGGAAGGGATGGAGGGTAGGGGGCAGAAGGGGGTTACCTTACGTTCGAAGTGGCTCGTGGTTGGGCTTCAGCGCTGAGCAAAGCACGCAAGGCAAGGCAGGTACCTCCCTTAGCTAGTCCTGCGGTGGCAGGCCGCGCCGGCTCGAAGTACCTTGCCTGACAGGCAGGCCAGAAGGTGGCGTTCGTTTGTAGCGGTGGTCAGGAGTGGAGACTCACAGTTTGAAAAACATGGCCTTTCTGCTCCCAAAATCACCACCAACCTCGCCGAACCGAACTTATCTTACCAAAGGCCACCCCCTCTATTCCACCTAAACCTCTTGACACTTGACTGTCTCCCCCCTTCACCGACAATCACACCAACGACCAACAGTCAAACCACCCCCTCGAGCATCCTGTCGCCGTCGCCGAGGAGCCGTTGCGAAGAAGTAAGTTGAATTGTTTTTCTATCATCTCGAGTCCTTGATTCGTCTTCCAGCCTCTGCCGTGTCATCTTTCCTGCGGTACTCGCTTTCTCATTCCCCTTTCCCACCCCCTCGGCCCAAGTTGCTCAGTTGCGCGCGTGCCTGCATCGGTCTGGTCTGGACACGACACCTCAGGAATACACCTGCGCCAGCCAGACTGAGAGCAGCCCACCATATGGCCCCCCAACCCAATATCCCTATCCCTCCCTCCCTCCACGTCGCCTGTCCACATCCACTTCTTCTATCCCGCTATCTCCTCCATTTGCGAATTGCGGCAGCCTGAATCTCAACTTCGAACTTGGACATTAGCATCCATCCCATCTCGCCTTTGTGTCAGCAGCGCCATTAGGCACACCCGTCAGTCAGTAGCCCGATCCCGCCTCTGACAAAATCTGTCCTCTCGAGGCCGTCTTTTTTTTTTCTTGTCGTCCTTTATATCCCGCCCGCACTTGCCGTTCTCGACGTCACTACCACAATCTAATTAAATTGCTCTCTGATCAATCGCGCTTACACTTTTTGGTCTTCAACAGATTACTTCTTCCTCTCCATCATTAACGCTATTCATCCGACACTTAGACATATACTACAGTCCGAATCGCAACCATGGGTCTCGCGTTTTCCAAGATCTTTGACAAGCTTTGGGGGAAGAAGGAGATGAGAATTCTGATGGTCGGTCTTGACGCCGCCGGAAAGACTACGATTCTCTACAAGCTCAAGCTCGGTGAAATTGTCACGACCATTCCTACCATCGGTACGCACACCCAGCAACTGACCCCCCTCAATCGCCCTGTCTCGTGTCATCATCAAAAGTGGCAGCCCCGCCGTCTCCTAGCCCCAATCCCAATGCCTTGATGGAAAGTATACATTTTATTAATGCCCATACCCCTCAGGATTCAACGTCGAGACCGTCGAGTACAAGAACATCCAGTTCACCGTGTGGGATGTCGGTGGTCAGGACAAGATCCGTCCTCTCTGGAGACATTACTTCCAGAACACCCAGGGTATCATCTTCGTCGTCGACAGCAACGATCGCGACCGTATCGTTGAGGCCCGTGAGGAGCTCCAGCGCATGCTCAACGAGGATGAGCTGCGGGATGCCATTCTTCTGGTCTTCGCCAACAAGCAGGATCTGCCCGTACGTTCCCTCCCTTTCGAAGCCCTTGGAGTCTCCCTTCTGTAACGCACGCGACTGACATGAACATCATAGAACGCCATGAACGCCGCCGAGATCACAGACAAGCTTGGCCTCCACAGCCTGAGACAACGCGCTTGGGTAAGACCCCGCTTCATCCTCGCTTCCAGATGGCGCGATCAAACTAACCTTCTCGATAGTACATCCAGTCCACCTGCGCCACCTCTGGTGATGGTCTTTACGAGGGTCTCGAGTGGCTTGCCACTACCCTGCGCAAGGCGGGTCACCAGTAAAAGACGCGAAGAGAAGCCGGACGGACCCCTCTCTTCTGCTACTCTCTCACGTTATTCCCCTGGTACGGTTGTAATTCGCAAAGCTACCGGTCACAAGGCAATCGAATAGTCCATAACTCATTTATCGCATTTTCTCCCTCCGTCTATCCATCCCCTCCTCCCCGTGGTGGTCCTCCATGACATCTTGTGAGCCACGCTACATTGGCATTCTCTCGACGCAGCAAGCACACATTCTGGTCTCAAAAGGACAAGTTTCGTTTTGGAAGAAAGGGGGCGTCTTGGTTGGGAAATCTGTACAGTCCTCGCACAACGCACACGCAGCACCTCTATATGGTTCTCCGACCAAATGCAACGGAGAAGCCTTACCATGAACCTAGGCTTTCTCGCCTTTTTTCAGTGCGAATCTCATGAATCGGTGTTTGCCTTTTGTTTGTTTCTGGTGTTTACTGGTCTCCCTGCCATTCTTGGTCTGGGGGACGGGGTTACGATGCAGGGCTTAACAAATGCTCTTCACGACTGGTTGATTTCCCTATCAGGGGTTGGTCCGCCTGTTAACCATCGTCCGGTATGTCGTCTTGATGGGTTGTTGGGTTTGGAGGGGTTTAGGTAGTTCTAGCCTTGAGTTGGGACAAAATCGATATAGACTTGGATTCGCTTCATATACTCTGGCGATTAGGTTCCTTGGCTCGTCCCGTCTCAACAATGTCCAGTGACATCCTTTACAGCCTCTTGCCCAATCTAGAAGCCAGCCAAAGATGTACGCATACCAAGAACATGCTCGTATCACTGATTGTTTTCCTAACGTTGTGTGTTGTGGGTACGCTACGTCACAGGGATAATGGCAGGAGGCTCAAAGAGGACAAATGTCTTAATACCAAAGGTGGGTATATGTGCACGACCGTTTGACATGATAGTGTGAACATAAGAATGAATTAATTAGTCATGAACATTCATACAAATACAGTCTACCGTATATGTACAGTTACTAAACTGGCGCCGCAATGCTGCTTGCAGCATACTTCATGAGGGGGGAATCTAGCTTCCAGAACTTCCAATGCTCCATATATATACCTGACAAAATGAGAACTCCTCCTTGATACATGGATTAGTCGTACTTCATGAAAAACATAACGAGTCTATGCCTTGGGCTTCGCCGCGACTTCGAGGCCAGAGTTGTCTGACTTGATCGAGACAACGGCTGTCTCGCCCGTCCGCAGCTCGCCGCGAATGATCTTGTCAGCGAGACCGTTACCGATCTCGTTGGTGATGAGGCGGTTCAGTGGGCGTGCGCCGAACTTCGGGTCGTATCCACGTTCGGCCAACCAGTCACGAACCTCAGCGGGGACATCGAGGACAATCCGCTTGTCGTCGAGGCGGGCTTGCAGCTCCTTCAAGCGGATATCGACAATGTCGCGGATGGCACTAAGAGCGAGACGCTTGAAGACAATGAATGAGTCAATGCGGTTGAGGAATTCGGGCGGATAGTTGGCGGCAACAACGTCCATAACAGCCTTTCGGACGCTTGGGTCCACATCGCCGTCGGGCGTCTCCTTGTACGGGTGGTTCGGGTCTGCCCCGACGAGTATGTCAGCGCCGAGGTTGGATGTCAGGACGATGATAGTGTTGCGGAAGTCGACCTTGTGGCCCTGCGCGTCGGTAAGGTAGCCCTCGTCGAGCACCTGCAGGAGCAGTGCTGAGATGTCACGGTGTGCCTTTTCGAATTCATCGAACAGAAGCACAGCGTAAGGCTTGCGACGGACGGCTTCAGTGAGTTGACCGGCGTCCTCATAGCCGACGTAGCCCGACGGCGCGCCAATAAGACGGGAGATGGTGTGCTTCTCCTGGAACTCGCTCATGTCGAAGCGGACAACAGCTGACTCGGTGGAGAAGAGGAAGCCCGCAAGCTTCTTGCAGAGCTCTGTCTTGCCCACGCCGGTAGGTCCGAGGAAGAAGAATGAGGCAGTAGGCCTGTTCTCCCCGCTAAGTCCAGCCCGCTGGAGACGTACCGCGTTGGAGACAGCCCTTATGGCCTCGTCTTGACCACGGACCGACTCGCGGAGCGTATCTTCCATGTGAACGAGCTTCTCAACGTGACCCGAAGTGAGCTTGGAGATAGGGATGCCAGTAACCCTTGACACAACTGCTGCGATGTCGTCGGCAGTTACTGCATCATGGATGAGGGTGCCATTCTGTTTCTCGCCATCCTTGGGAATTTTTTGCTCCAAAGAAGGTATGACGCTGTATCTGAGCTCCGAGGCACGTCCGAAGTTGCCCTCTCTCTGGGCTTGGTCGAGCTCGATCCTAGCTTTGTCAAGATCTTCTTGGGTTTTCTTGACGGCTTCGATCTCAGCGCGCTCAGCTTCCCAGCGCTTAGTGAGCTCTGCGATCTCTTCTTCATACTTCTTCAGGTCGGCTTGCAGCTTCTCGCGGCGCTCTTGGCTGGCCACGTCCTTTTCTTTGCGCAAACTCTCCAATTCGATCTGGATAGTCATGATTTTCTGGTCAAGGGCCATAATGTCTTCGGGCTTTGACTCGTGTTGAAGCTTGAGATGACTGGCAGCTTCATCCATGAGGTCAATGGCCTTGTCAGGGAGGAATCGGTCGGTGATGTAGCGGTTTGAGTAAGTAGCGGCTGCGACAAGAGCGCCGTCGGTAATCCGGACACCATGATGAACTTCATACTTGTCCTTGATGCCGCGGAGAATACTGATAGTGTCCTGAACAGTGGGTTCGTTGACAATGATCGGCTGGAATCTTCGTGCGAGAGCAACATCCTTCTCAATCAAACGGTATTCTTCGAGAGTAGTCGCGCCGCAACATTGTAGTTCGCCTCGAGCGAGTGCTGGCTTCAGCAGGTTGCTCGCGTCGATCGAGCCCTCAGCTTTGCCAAGGCCAAGCAGCGTATGCAGCTCGTCGATGAAAAGAATCACTTCGCCTTCAGATTGCTGGACTTCGGTCAAGACCTTTTTCAGTCTCTCCTCGAAGTCTCCCCTGAACTTTGCTCCTGCAATGAGAGAGCCAAGGTCAAGAGCGATAACGCGTTTGTTTTTTATACTTTCTGGAACGTCACCACGCACGATTCTAAGTGCAAGGCCTTCGAGAATGGCTGTTTTACCCGTGCCGGCCTTGCCGATCACGACGGGATTGTTCTTCGTCCGCCGTGACAAGATTTGAATCGTTCTTTGGATTTCAGCATCACGACCAATGACAGGGTCTAGCTTTCCTTCTTTAGCCTTGGCCGTCAGGTCAATGCCATACTGTTCCAGTGCCGGTTTCTCAGGCTCGCCACCCATATTCATGCGGTGGGTACCGCCTGGAGGATGGGGTCTGCCATTCGCATATGTCCGGATTGTTAACGTCGGTAGGAGTCTCGCGCTTCTCAGTGCAGCGGATTCGGTGAGAATTGCTCTTGAGATGAGCCGTGGTCTAGCTACTGTTGACCCGGCAAAACGCCGGGCAGTTGAGATGAGTTGCCTTCTAGCTTGCATTGAGTGCACTTGTTTAGTCCAGTAACAATAAAACACAATTTGACAAAGAGAAGAAACAATTCAACGGGATATAAAAGTGATGAGAAACAACAATGCTAAATACCCCGAGTCAACCACTGTTGTGATGTCACTTCACGAAGAAGGCAGATTTCACAGGCACTTTCTCGCACTTTCGGCGAAGCCAGGGTCGGATTCTATGGAAGCTTTATCTTATCACCACGTGGTCCACCTTGGTCTTTTGGGTCTTCGTATGCCGACAGCGGTGACTTCTTGGTTCCATAACTTACTGGTGGGGCGGTTCTGGCCCCCGGAAACTCGGATGTCCATTTCCCCGATACAGTCTCTGGGAGGATGAAAAAATAAAAAAACGGAAAAAAAGTTTTGGGAAGGTGTGACTGACCGCCTCCCCACCTGGCAGAATTCTAGCTCGATAGGGCATAGCGCTACCCTCGACCACCCACAACTCGCGTAGTGGCCCTACACAACAATTCTCAATCTGTTGCATCAAGCCCTCGCTTCCTCTGAACGCGAATCAACCACTTTTAACTTCTTTTTCGTTTCCCTATTCCCGCTAACCACCAGCAGCCGCCTCAACGAGGACCGAAAGCAATCATGTCGGCGAAGACGGAATCCACGACCAAGAAGTTCGGCTCGTCCACTCGGGTCGTCCCCGCCCACTCCCAGAAGGCGCAGAAGTGGTACAACGCCGACGATGAGCCCGAGGCCAAGAAGGTGAGTTTTACAGCGAGAGAATTGCGTTGAAATTATGTGCGGGCGTCGAATGGTCATCGGAGGATCGAGAATATCGGACAGGGTCACGAGCAGTGTTTATTATATGGGAATCCGCAAATCGCAACTTGGCATACTTCGACAGCCTGAAAGCCACCAACCCGAAAGCCACGAAAGAGTATATCAAACGCACAAAACGGAGAGGCGCAATGGAAAACTCGACAAGCGCAAGACGTTTAAGGAGGAACACCGCTCGTGACCCGGGACGACACAACTGGCTGACCCGCACATGTCAAAATTATGGCAAGAACAGCATGCTGACGAAAATGTCACAAACAGGTCCGCAAGGCCGTCCGCCCCTGGGCTCCCCGCCAGTCTCTCGTGCCCGGCACCATCCTGATCCTCCTCGCCGGTCGCTTCCGCGGCAAGCGCGTCGTTCTCCTGAAGACCCTCGACCAGGGTGTCCTTCTCGTTACCGGCCCCTTCAAGATCAACGGCGTTCCCCTTCGCCGCGTCAACTCCCGCTACGTCATTGCCACATCCTACAAGGTCGACGTCTCTGGTCTCGACCAGAAGAAGATTGAGGAGATCTCGCAACCCAAGTACTTCACTGCCGACAAGGCCAAGCAGAAGGCTGGTGAGGAGGCCTTCTTCAAGCAGGGAGAGAAGCCCCAGGTACGTTCTCCCCAAGGACGATTTAAATACGCATGATGGATATGAAGACGGAAAACTGACCGGATGTGTTCTTTTTACAGAAGAAGGAGGTCAACAGCAGCCGTGCGGCTGACCAGAAGGCCGTTGACAAGGCTCTCATTGCCAGCATCAAGAAGGTTGACCTGCTCGCCTCTTACCTGGCGAGTTCCTTCAGCCTGCGCAAGGGTGACAAGCCTCACGAGATGACCTGGTAAACAATCCAGGGTTGTCGGTAGTGTTTGTTGTTGTTGCGCGTGGCGCGGCGGCTGTGCAAAACTGGGGGGAAAATCATTCGGGTTGATGTTGTTGTAGACGACGAAGAACTTATGGCTACGGGCTGGGCTGGTTTTGCCAATTGCATTTGGAAGTCGACGGCATCGGTCACATTTGGCGTCTGTAATGAGGTTCTTCAAATCCAACACAAAGAAAGATAAAATCTGGTCCACACAACACAACGCCGAGGGAAGCCAAAAAAGAAATCACATGGCGAACAGAACATAACACCAATGGGCTTGTGATTCTCTTTATAAGATATCATGACTGAAATGGGGCATGAGGCTACGAATCGCAGAGGCATGGCTTGTACGGGACATGTCCATACTTGATCACGGCTTTTCTTTTCTAGGCCAAGGTGTGTATGGTAGACAGGACTCCGAGTTTAGGCTCTCGATTCAATGTTCTAGCCCCGTTTCGGTGGCATGGTATTAAACTTTTATTACAACGTGATGTCACGCCTACAGTCCTTTTCTAAAATAGGTGAAGGCCGACTTGCCGAGAACCCTCCTGTTCATAGCCTAGGCGCTGTCTTTTTCGGTTCTGCTGAGGTAAGTCACAACTCACGGTCGGCCCAGCTCTGGATTATGCCAGCCGGAGACGCCTCGTAGTGCTTAATGTCAACCTTGCCTGTAGCCTCATCCAGGTACGTATTGGCCTGGACGAAGACCTTGCGGGGCTGTTTGTTCTTCAGGACAACGTTCCTGACCTTGGTGCCCCAGAAATCCATATCGACATTTGTCATATCCTTGTAGAAGGCGATGCCGTTCTCGACGTCGGCGGTAGACTTGTAGACATGAAGCTTCTGGAGGTACTTACCAACAGCTGTGGCTTGAATTAGCATCTGCAGTGGTGAGTCGATGCGGAAGAACGTACCCTCACGGCCAGTGGTCAGAATCTTTGAGCGATCAAGCTTGATCTCCAAGTCAGACAGATCGTCGTTCTTGTACTCAAGCTTGCAGAAATCATCGCCAGCTTGCAAGAAGCACTGGAGATAGTTAGCAAATAATTACTCTCATATAACAATGACTTAAATACTGACCTGGAGAATGGAGTAGCGGGCCTGGGAGTGTGCCTGACCCCATTTCTGGCTCTTAGGATCCCACATCTCCAGGGATACCAAACCAGCGCGGGCCATTTGTAGGTACGCGGCGTACAGGACGTTACCAGCCTCGTTGTTGATATCCGTGCTTCCATCGCCGAAGCCGAAGATCTTAAGAACAGGAAATTCGCAGCTACAAGTGGTCAGCCAGACGGAAATGCGAAGTGACACAGCTTATCTTACCCCAAGTACATGGCCACAAGCTCAGCACGGCACTCTTCATAAGAAGCAGCAATGCTGCCGAATACTGAGCCCCAAGTCTGGCCGGGCTTGTACCACGTCGTAATGGGCTTGTTGGTCAAGGGGCTAACAGGGGGGTTCTTCTCATCGAAGTTGTAGGTTCCAGGAGACGTCTCCTGCAGAAGCTTACCGCAGCCGTGGCCTGTTCTAATTAGCGACGAAACAATTTTTGTGCTCGAAAAACGCACCGGTCAGTTCGTGGAGGCCAACCTGGACCTCGAAAGCGGGGTCCCTGTACTTCTGGTACAGCTCCAGATCAGCTTCTGAGATGAAGGGAATCTTCTCATTCGGTGCCTTGGCACTGAGAACATTGCCAAGGGAAACGTTCTTGAAGCCCTCTGTCTGGCGAATATCGTCGTAGTTGGGAATGTTGATTCCAGCAGGAATGCCCGAGCCGGCAAAAGTCAAAACCTCAAGGGACGTGAAGTCGGGAGAGAGGAACTTGTCCTTCTCAAACTCCTTGCCCCAAGGAAGGAGAGGGATCAGCTTAGGCGCAGAGGACACGAGCTCGCCAAAGGCACGGGTACGCTCGAGGTTGACAACAGAGGCAAAGCCTTCCCATTCGCCACGGATACCAGCGGGATCCCTGTAGGTCTCGACAAAGCCAAGGTCGCTTTCTACCATAGGGCCCTTGTCTCTGATCCAGTACCTTTGGCTGTCCTTGAATGCCTCCAGAGAGCCAGTGGTGAATGACTTGGCGTAGGCCTCGTGCATCTTTACTTGAGTCTCGTTATCGCTGTTCTCGCCTGCTCTCTTGATGTACTCGGCGGCAGCCTTCATCTCCGCAGCGTGGTCGCCATATACCAGCTTGATCGTCTTGCCCTTAAGGGGGCCGTCCTCAATCTGGAACTCAGTCTCCTTTCCGATGTCGCCTCCCTGCTCGGGGACACTGGTCACAGCCGAGGCAATGAGCATCTCGAATTTGCCGTCCTGGGTCTTGCGGAGTCTGGTGTTCTCTGGCAGAAGACCCTTCTTCTCCATCCAGCCGGAAACAGCATCGATCTCAGCCTGAGTGATGTGAGGCGAGTCGGGGTAGTAAGTGGTCAGGTGACCCTTGTCAGGGTAGCCAAGGTGCATCAGGCCAGGCTTATCGGCACTGAAGATGCCACCGTTGGTGGCCTTGTAGAAACGCTCAGCCTCGGGGGACGTGGCGGCGAGAGCGGCAAAAGTTTTCTCATCAGCTCTGGGAATGAACTTGGAATCACCGAAGCTCTTGTAGTTGCCATTGTTTCCAAGGAACTGAGCGGCATACTCAAGGAAGTAGGTTAACTGAGTGTCGTCAACACCAGCCTTCTTGGCGAGGGCGTTCCAGTCGCCACCGCTAGCCTTGTGAAGAGCAAGAATGAAGTCATAGATGGGCTCTGACTCTGGTGAGATTTGTCTGAGGACGATGCGGGTACCAGCAAATGAGGCTCTGAGATGACAGTTTAGTTCCCCGGACCATTGAAGCTTGGCACACCCCAATGCAGATGGGTTGCATGACTTATGATGCTGGGTGATATCCTTACTTGCTGATGAAATGAGCATAACGCTTCTGCTTGTCGGTGAGAGGTTCAAAGTGCTTCTCGATCTCAAGCCTGACAACGCTCGGTGGCGCGTCAGCGAGGTAGTGAGTAAGTTCCTGCGCGTTCATTGTAGAAAATCTCTGCCGGCAGGGTTTGGTGAGAGAAAAGGGGATGTGAGTTTTGGGTTTGACGGTCCTAAGAGAGTTATGAAGGAATGGAGAAGCAGCTCGCAAAGAGGTCAGCCTTTGGAGGGCGGTAATGGATGAAACCCGCATGAGGAGTCGAGATGGTGCCGCAGCTGGTCATTGGCTCACATGTGGCCACTGAATTGAGAAACAGACGACTTACGCCAACGCCGCCGCGGGGAAGTTACCAGCAAGCCGACCACCTGCCCAAAACGTACACTAGACCCTCTAGAAGTTTGTTAGAGTGCTACCAGCGGGGAACTCGTGGCACTAGCTCTTATAACTGAGGCACACGTCGAAGTTGTCGGATTTTGAGAAAAATTGTAGTGTGCAGAGAAATTTGATTCGGGTTGGAGAAATGTTTGCTTTTTCTGGGCATTTCTTATCCTTGATATGTGCCATTTGTTGATTTTCCAGCATTCAATCTTAAAGGCTTGGCATGCAAGTACACAACGAGCCGCGACCCTCAATGACTTCTAGCACCAAACTTTCTCTTGGCTTTCTCCATACAGTAAGTCTGGTTTTCCTATCGCCTTTCAAGCTTATTCCCTTCATCTTGATCATTTTGTTTTCCTCTTGAGGCATTACACAAGTGCTGGTTCGGGACGATTCTACCTACTTTCCGCGGGCTTGTTACTGCGGAGAAGTACCGCACTAACAACACTCTGTAAACGGAATCGGGTGAGAGCCAGTGAGCTTCGGCCGGAATGAGGGGCAGGCACTTTTGGGAACCTTTGGAAATGGAATGGACCTGACTTGTGCAGAATAAGAAGGAGGGGCACGCTGAAGCGAGAAAAAAGTGTAATGACAAAACTGAAGCCATTCCCATACGAATGTTCGCTACCCAAACAGGCAGTATGAAGTCTGGCTGAGTCACACTGTCCCCCGACCATGGTGTTCTTGCGTGGGGGCACTTTGGTGGGGGGTCCAACTCAGTCATGTCGTCTCATTAGAGTTGAAGTCCGAACCATCCTTTCGACTTGTCAGCGAAACCTCCGTGACAAGTTCAATGAGGATAGACAGTCTCCAAGACAGCTTTTTCTGCACATCAGACACTGTCATGCCACGGGGAAACTTGTAACCGCTAGCCCTGTCCATGAAGATCATTCGAGGAGAAACTATGGACAAGTGTCTATCATATATGAGATCAGATGGTGAGCTGGCTCGTGATTCCGTTCCAAGCTCAGCGCCTCCTCACCGAAGCTCCAATACTCCACCCATGAACAAGCTAGGGACTGTAAAGTGACTGAAACGGGACGCCGCGCGGTTTCTTCTGAGGCGCTCCTAAGCCGGCAAACCATCTCTAGAATGACAGATGCTTATGAACTACCTGCGCTGTTCGCCGAGTTTGGGCAGGCGCATTAATGAGGCAAGGCGCCTCGGTCTATGTCAGGCGAGACGATGTATACATATGATGCCGTTCTTGAAGCCGTCCTGCTCACCGAGAGGGTCCGGCGTGCATCTCGCAGACCGTGCCTCTCAGTTATCCTTGCATGCATGGCTCCAGAGCCAATGGGATATTTCGCGGGCCCGACGCGCACTGCGCCTGTTGCAGAATGCCCTAGGGAGGCTTGCTTGCAGCTGGTCTAAAACCAGGTCCAGACGGATGATATCTGACACGGATCGCCAGCATCCCTGCCGCTCGCCCGAATCGTACGAATCTACTACGTATCTTGTCCTCGGTGTAAGGTTTATGCTCTTGGGAAGCAGGCGAGCGGCGAGAGGCAATGTGCGCGGTTTTGACTGGCTGTCATCAAGTTGGCAAAAAATGCCGCCTACAAACTCTCTGAACTTGGCTTGCGATCGCTCGTAGCGGAATTCGATGGGCCACAGGGCCATTTACATATGCGGTAGTCTGGTCTCATGACCTGGAAAATGGTGGTATGCAGAAGTATATGGGACGCCATCAAGTTACAATGCATGTGCTTCGACAGGCAACCAACTTATGTGTCTTTTTTTTCTCAAAGGCTACATCAAACCTCCTCAAAGTTTGTATCATTATTATAGTGTTCAATGGATAGTCGTTTTTGAAGAATCACCCCGCGTCAACAAGGAGGGGCGGGAAAAGAAACAAGTCTGCGCCAGATACCGCTGGTGGCGGAACATTGGTCAGATAATTTGTCAAGCATGCTGTGCAAAACGTTTCGTCATTTCTGCCCTAGGGTAATACATTAAACTTGCGATAGCATGGCATGGTGTGAACACATCTGTTGTTTAATAGATCGAATCGGCCGGGAAGAGGAGCCGACATATGCTGCGGGCACTTTCGAGTTACGCCGAATTCTTGACCGGGGAAGCAGTGAAAGATCCCGGAGGTTCCGAGAGTTCGGACCATTAGCCAGGCGTAACGGTTAAGCGCCCTCGAAACTGAATTCGGTGACTGGGGTTGTTTAGACTGTAGGGGCGCCGGGGAACATCCGCCGTGCATTTGGGGCTTAGTTCTACACAATGTGAGGTTTCATCTTGGGCCTTGCTCTGCATCTGCCTCTCTCGTCCCCAACGAGCAAGGTATTCGCCAGGGACATACTGTGTCCCACATGTGGCCTGCCGCATCTGAGCCTTACGTATAAACAGGCGTAGGGGGTTAATGAGGATGGTAATGTCTGGCATGATATGCTGCCTGCCTGGTGGCCGTTAAGCGTTAGACAGGCCAGGAACGGTCAAGGATTAATGCGCGGGTTGAGTCGCTAGCATGGGAGTTGTCAGGACCTAGAAAATTTGAAATGACATGTCGCCCTTCTGAGTTCTAACAGTCATCACTCGCGAATTCAGACTGCAAATGAGGAGGGCCAATTTGGACCTGTCACATCAACCAGCCCACTTTCAAGATCAGAAAGCCAATGCTAAGCACAACGAGGCACGTCGGTCGCCAGCATGGCCAAGGCCACGCTCTGTCCATGCTTTACTAGGAGAGGCAGGGCAATGTTACGAAACCTACCACGTAGTACTATGTACGCCCGGATGGCCCACGCAAGGGCTTGGACGGCGAGGCTTTTTGCAGTCTGTGGGGAGGGTATGCTGCGACACTCCAGTGGTGCGTCCGCAACGTTGTCTATCACGATGCGTGAGGATTTCAAAGCCGAGCCGACAATCGATGGAGATAATCAATACCGATCATTTGGCAAACACTATGTACGCAATCTTAATAAGTGAACGACCCACTAAGAAAGCAAGTCAGCTGCTTCTTCACGAGAGCGGTGAGAGACTGACGGGTCAATTCAAATAGAAGCAGTCCGTATCTGTACCAGGTATCCGTACTGAAAGCTACGTTAGTGGACATGCCAGAAGCAAAGCGAAAGGACCCTATCCTTGTCCGCTCGCGTGTCTTCTCCCCTGACCGTTGGGCTGGGTTCGTTGGGTACTTGGCGGGGAGTGATCTGGAGTGGCTTGATCCACTTGGAGAAGGCAGTCGAAGGCGCAGGACAGAAGAGGGGGGGAGCGAAGGAAAAGGCAAAAGATGAGTGCAGAGATGGCGAACTCAGCAAGCAACAGCGCGAATTGCCTGCAGTAAGACAGGGACTGGGATCTAGCGGAGTCTTGCGGAGGGGAGGCCTGTTTATCTGGTATGAAGGTGGATGAAGACGACCAATGTGGGTGACAGGAGGAGCAGAGTAAAAGTCTCAAAATTAGGGGCGCGATCCGAATGGCTGGAATGAAGTCACTGTGATGAACGGACTCTGCTAAAACCACAATTTCTACCCAGGTGGTGGGATTGCTGCAGCAAGTCCCGGGCCAGCGTCGGGTCCCACCCGGAACCCCAGCCGAACCGAAAGACAGGGCACAACGTGAGGACGCCAACAGAGGCCCAGAGCACTACTGTACGATAACCTTGCTGGACTACGCAGAAAATTGACGTGGATGCTGATGCAGTGACGAGACCGCTAGGCTGAGATGCAGCAGGAAGACTATATGGAGCAGACGCAACGCGGCGCGCTCTCGCATCCAATGTTGAATGGACGGTATAGTCTTTCTGGTGGGCACCCTTCTTGGGTGGCAGCCATGGCCCCCCCGCTGGCCGTACATATTTGTGTGGACAGACTCGTGACCAATTCGCGAGGGTTTGTGGTCTTCAGGACGCCTGGGGAATGCTTGGGGGTAGCACTAATGGTTAGCCTCGACGTGTTAGGTACCAGTTGACAGAAGGATGCGGTGAGCTTTCCACTTTACGAAGTTGTTAAACCTATGTTTTGGTTCATTTGATTAAATGAAACACCATCCACAACGTCTACTAGTAGTGCCGGCTTGCGATAAGGTAACGTTGGCTGCGAAATCTTAATAGCTACTAGCCTACTGGGATGGTAGGGTAGGAATTTGAGGGCGGTTTCTTTGGCAGTAGAGCCCGGCTAAGACGGATTTACGGATTTTTGTCCTCCATTTCATTCCCACCTTTCACTGCAGGTGCCCCCCGGGGAAACCACGCAGGTGTCCGGCCTGCTCCTGTTTGATTTCGGGATTAGACACGGGAGGAGCCATGGAGCCCGAGAAGCAAGTGCAAGCACTTCTACGTGTAGTACATTCTACTTGGTACTCATCGTGACCCATCCTCATTCCTTCCTTATGATGTAATTATAGCTCCTCGGGGCTTGACCGAAAGCGCTTGCTTTGCACTTTCCACAGCCAAAATGAGTCCCTCGTGACCTTGCTTGTCCTGCGCAGCTCAGCAAAGCAAGCCCCCGTAGTTTGACCGGACGAGAACCGGACAAGCCATTTCCCATACGCAGCTTCTCAGTCGTCTCCTGACAGACAAGCGTTGGAGTCGTTCCCGCCCCGTCCCCCCAAGCTATTTGCTCCCTTTCGGCCCGCCACACAACTAACCCACAGGACAGTATACGCGCATGTCCAGTTTTCACCAAATTTTCGCCTCCGGTTGTCCGCCGTCCATGATTCTGTGCCTGGATTCTCCTGCTTGCTTGGGAAACTGTTGGGCTCCTCCTCCTCCTCCTCCTCTTCATCCTCTTCTTCCTCCGTCCCTTATTGACGTCCGCATTCACCGTCAAGGCATTTCCCGCTTTCGTAGCCCGCCATCGGACACTTTTCCCCCACCGAGAAATTGCCCAACGGCCGAGTTTTTTTCTTCGTGTCGACTGACCTTGCTCCAGTCTGTAGCCCCTGCCCAGTTCAGGAAATTATCTCCTAGTGTCTGTTCTAGAAAAATATGCCCCCCACGCTACATCCTCCACATCCTGACAACAACACCCCTCCTCCACCTGGCCGTAAAGTTGTACCAGCCAGGTCCATCCATTTCTGCCTCCCCGCCATTTTGGTTTCTTGACCCTTTTCATCCTTAGCATCGTCATGCCTTTTGCCTTTGACCAACCAAACTTTTCCATTTTCCTTGACCGAGCCCCGTTCTCCGCCCTCCCCGGGCCCGCGACACAGGTCCTGTCGGCATCATCGCGTTCGCCGTCGCTGACAATTAACGGCACACCCCTCTAACCCCTCGCCCGACCACAACTCATACTATGTAGGGCCCTGGAACATCGCTTTTCCTGGTACAGCCAAACCCTCTGGACCATCCTCCCGGCGCCTTCGAAACTCTGAGATCCCGCATGCACACGCACGCACCGCGCAGCGCATGCGACCGGCACACCAAGTCGTCGGCCACAGGGTACTCGGCAATAGACGCAGCCATTTCGCCCTTCCTCGACAACTGTCATTGCTGATCTCCCTTGTTGGACCGCCGTTACGGTACTTGGGCCTTTTGATGACAGGATTGCTTTGCCCACAGGTGTGGTCTGTCTCCAGTCTACTTCTCCAGTCCTCCATTTCGGCACGAAAAAGAAAAGAGCATCCCAACAATCAATTGCACTGGACATTCCAGTCTCAAAAACCACTACTCTGAGGGTTTGAAGCAAGGTCTTGGGAACGATTCCCAAAACCACTGGCAGTGCGGGATAGCCTGCCACCAAGGACACCAAAATGTTTCTATCCATCTGAACGAGCTCCCTTCCAGAGGCCGCCGCAATGCCTTCCCATTTCATCCCGCGCTTGCCAACCCCCAGATGCGACAACCCCTTAGCAACTTCGGTCCCCGTGGAGAGAGCCTGTACGTAGTCTACGTACTTGGAAACAATGCCATAGTAAGGGTATACTGGCGCACGCACACACGATGATTCTGAGCGCACCCCTCCGGAAATGGAGAAGCTCACGCCTCCCCAGTCAATTTGCGGAGTACGGATTTCTCCCCGCTGGGGTCATTAGTGCTGGTCATTGGGCAACATGACTATTGCGGCGCCACTGCTTGGGAGCCGGGTCAGTGACACGCCCCTTGCTCACCAGCCGTACCCTGGCCCGAGTGAAGTCCACTGAGGTGAACATCAGGTACTGGAACCTGCTGAACGCTCCAGGTGTTTTAGCTGCTGTCAAGCACCCCCTTGTGTCCCCCATTGGAATTTTTTACCTCATCGATCCCCCAGAGCAGTCCCTGCCATGCTCACTTGGAAAGTATAAGACAACGCCCTGCGCCTTCATCCCGTCACTTAGTTCTCGATCTGATTTCGGAGATGTCTTTGCGCTGAAAATAGAAATTTCCAGATCTGCTACTCTATCACTCGAATTTTCTATATCTTTATATTCCCCAAACATCATCGTCGTCTTCTGTATTGTTGGCTTGCATCCGTCCTCTTAGTCAACCCTTCGATACGATAGCGTCATAGCCTGACCTTTCGAAAATACCAACAACTGAGAGCCAAAATCTTCCCTTATACTTACCGAACGATGCTCTCTTACGACTCCCCAATGCCTGTCAACGGACAGCCGCCCAAGTCACCTTCAAGCCTTACAAATGGCATTCAACAAGCTGTTGCCTCCAAGACTCAGCCCATAGTTCCCAATGTTCCGACTTCTGCCAACGGCGCTGCCCACGTCAACGGATCGCTCAACACCAAGTACCACCATATTTGGCTAGTTACTGGCCCGGCTGGCTGCGGAAAGACGACGGTTGCTGAATACTTGGCCCAATGCCTTGAGCTTCCCTACATTGAGGGAGACAGTGTAAGTGTTGTTGTGTTTGTCCTTGTCTACCGCGAAATTTTTGTCTGACTCGTACAAAAAGTTCCACCCTAAAGCAAACATCGACAAAATGGCCAACGGCATCCCCCTAACTGACGCCGACCGATGGGACTGGCTCGTTGCCCTGCGCGAGGAGTCTCGTCACCAGTTGGCTGCAGGTTCTGACGGTGTCGTCCTGACCTGCTCCGCGCTGAAGCGCAAGTACAGAGACGTCATCCGCGTCGCCGGGTACTACGATCGCTCCATCCTGATTCACTTCATCTACTTGTCCGCACCCGAACACGTCCTTCTGCAACGTGTGCAGGCCCGCAGCGCTTCTACAAACCACTACATGGGCGCCAACATGGTTCGCAGCCAGTTCCAGTCCCTCGAGCCGCCAATGGCCGACGAGACGGACGTCATCAGCGTCGACGTCAGCCGGAGCCTTGAGGAAGTCAAGCGCGAAGCCTTGGCTAGGGTCACAGCCATGATGGAGGAGGAGCGCAAGCAGTAAGCTCACTCGCTCAGTAAACGGTGCATTTTGTTGGGTTTTGCGACACATCTTCCTACGGGATTGCGGGGTTCAAGGGCATAGAATTATGAGCGTTGACTTGGGAATATTCACACGGCGCAAGCATTGGGATCAGGTTTACAAAAACCGCTGGCTCCAATAGAGTCAGTTTGCATACGCGATGTAGGGGGGCAGCAGTGGGGTTCAGTTGCGGAAGGAGGCATCATCTGTCGGGGTGTTGTCCAACCTGGGTTTGCGGATGTTTGTATCATCGGCGGAAGAACACGGCAATACATCAAGTGCCAAGAGAGTAGTCAGACAAACGTGTTAATGGATGTTACCATTTTAGACTGGGGACAACGATGCTCAGCTGGCGCTTGTTTCCTCTCATGCAACGGTCAAAACGCGGAACGCTCACTGGTCAGATTCAGCCAGAAGTTTCTTGGTTTTGGTTTATCGCTTGCTTAGTCTTAATTGAAAATACAGAATCTGACGAAATACCACTGTGCAGATGTGTTGGCTCCTCTACAATATTGGGCCCAGTCATGTATTATGCCCCCCAACTTGCCACCACCACCAAAAGGAGCCATGTGCAGCTACGGGGCGGACAACGAGGGATAATCGTCACCTGCTGTTCGAGGGGGATCCTGCAGCATCGGCTGGCGTCGACTCGGTGAGGTTGTGGAGAGCGCTCGTCCACACCTTACTGGACCGTCACATTCTTCAAAGATACACCGAAGGGAGGACGTGGCTCCGGCCAAGGTAGCATCACAGATACATGAATACATAGTTATAGCGCTTGTCAGACATGCGTCGGGCAGCAGCATCTTACAGGTGATCTCTTGTATTGAACCCTTGATTTTCCCTTTTCCGACGATCAGTTCGTCGATGCCCTGTCTGCCCCCCCGCCCGATTTATCTACAAATCATTAAACGTCTAATTGTCAACTCTGGCCAACCTCGCACAACCACCACACCCACATCTTCCGTGCTTTTCATGGTACTCCGCATCACGTGGCGCTGACGCCGTCATCCTGCCCAGAGCTCCGATTCACCAGATATTCAATAAAGGTGTGCAAAAGTAGTCAGAATCTCCCCCTCCATCTCTGCAAATTCTTCATCTGAGATGCATGACCATGACGTCGGGCTCTTCCACCACCCTCCGGACCACCTCGGCGGCCCGGGCCATGGTCGCACCGTCGACTACGCGATGGTCCGCACTCCAGCTAAAGTTGGTAATGTGCTTTCTCACCACGCGGTCTGAGTCCTCGGACTCGAAGGCTGGCACGGCGCGCATACGGCCTATGCCGAGGATGGCAACTTCCTTGTCAACAATAACCGGCGAGAGATAAGTGCCGCCAATGTTGCCAATGTTGGACACGGTAATTGTTCCGCCGCTCAGGTCTTGCGGAGTGAGCTTGCCTGCGAAGGCGGCCTTTTGTAGGCGCGTGAGTTCCCGCGCAATGGAGAGGATGTTGAGAGAGCCAACGTTGCGGATCACGGGAACCAGGAGACCTGAGGGTGTGTCCATGGCCACGCCGATGTTGTGCTGACTGCGCATTACGAGAGAGGGCTTGGAGGACGGCGTCGATGAGTCGATGTCGACGCGAGCGTTGAGGATGGGGAACTGGTAGAGAGCCATGGAGACGGCCTTAATGATAAAGGGTAGGTAGGAGAGCTTCGCGACACCGTCGGCACCCACTGCCGCGCCAAGGTCCGGTGCCGTAGCCAGGACGCGGTTCAAGCGGGTGCGCAGCTGGACGAGACTCGAGAAATCGACTTCGTCAGCATAGAGGAAGTGCGGGATGGTAAGCGAGCGGGTCATTGACTTGAACATTTGCTGCTGGGTGACGGTGAGCGGGACGCGGGTCTCTAGCTGAGGCCCGGACCCGGCGGACCCAGTGGGTTCGGCGCCGAAAGGCGGGGCCGCTGGTTTCTGTGTGGCAGCGGGCTCCCCGGAGTCGCGACTCTTGACAAAGTTCTGTATATCCTCCTTTAGAACCCTGCCGTCTTTTCCTGTACCGTCAATTTCGGTAATATCCACGTTTAATGTCTTGGAGAGGTGGCGCACGGCCGGCGTCGCCAACGCAGCATGCTTGCCCTTCTGCCGAGGAGGTTCTACCGCTGGTGAACCCTGGGGTGCTGCCGCCTGATTTTGTGTTTCTTCTCTTGCTTGTTGTGTCTGGCCTCCCTGTTTATGCTCTACCGGGGGCTCTGACGTGCTGGGAGTGGGCTTGTCTTCCGTGGGAGCCGTCAGCGCGTCCAGGTCCTCCTTCTTCGCCCCGCCTTGTATGTCAATGTCGACAAAGGGCTTGCCGACCTTGGCCATGTCGCCAGCGTCGTAATGCAGCTTTTTGACGACACCCGAGAAGCGACTGGTGATCTCGACGGAGGCCTTGTCGCTCTGGACCTCACACAGCGGGGAGAACTCCTCCACCCTGGCACCCGGCTCGACAAACCATTGGATAATTTCGCACTCCACGATGCCTATACAAGTTACAATGTCAGACGCATTCACTTCACTCAGTGACAACAAGAAGTAATTTTCATACCTTCACCGATATCTGCCAGCAAGACAGGCTTTACCACCCGCAGGTGTGCTGTGTCATGAAACCGTCTCGAGGGGTAGACGCCAGCAGCTCTTGCAGCAGCTAGGCGGGCCATGCTCTTGGAGACGTGCCATTGCGTCCTGACTGCGCGGGAACCTCGTTGCAAAAACATCTTGGAGAGCTTACTGGACCTTTACAAGAAGAAAGAAAGGACAATTCGCATTTATGAACTCGAGAGGGGGGAAAGAAAGACCCAGGAATGTGCGAACTCATTGTAGGATGAACCGCTCGGCGCGGCACTGTCTCCCCCAGAACTCGGCTATTCGCGGTGTTCGGCCGTTTAAGTCCCCCATGACACAATGTGAAATGCCCCTCGGAACACCAGTAGATGGCCCGAGACCCACCAACCACCTTCTCCCCTCGTCCTTCTCCGCATTGTCCACTATCCGTATCGCTTACTAGGAAATGTTGTGTTCTTGTGGCTTGATCAGTGTGGCGCCAACCAGCCTAGCCAGCCAGCCAGCCAGCGGAGCGACGCAGTAATGGGAACCTGTGGCGCGAGGTTTTTTTTTTTGCTAGACTGCGACCTGCGGTTTGCATAGGGATATCCGTCTTCCCGCTGAGAGCCGAACATCTCATTGACAAGTAACACCCCCACAGACGGCTGCAATGGCTCCAATCGCTCCCTGGCGCACCATGGCGCTGTCCATGGGTCCCTCGAGAAGGATCTTCTCCTGCACCGTCTGCGCGGCAAGGCGACACCTAAGCACCACCCGTCCACGGCTTGCCGAAAAGCCCCAAGTCCCGGAACCGGCACCGGGCGCCGCCGCACCCGCAGAGCCGGCGAAGCCCGACCTGCCCGCGTCCGCCATCCATGCCCCCAGAGCCTATGGCAAGAAGATCAAGGACTTTACGCCGGAGCCTCTGCCGCGGCCCATTGGCATGACACACCCCCCGCACCCCGAAGACAACTCGGGTATCGACAGGAGGTCGCTCAAGGAGCGCCGTGATGATTTTGTTGACTACGACAAGCATCTCGTTCGTCGGAAGGAGCTGTAAGCTTTTGTCACTCAGCTGAACTGGATCTCCGCAGAGAGGAATACTAAACTGACTTCACCGACAGAAAGGAGAAGATGGCCCGCCCCTACTTCCGTGACTGGCGAAACATGCAGTTCCACGAGGGCAAGTCTTTCATTGCGCCACCCTTGCCTTTCAGGGCCGACATGTCCCTCTTCTTCCCCAACTTTGTCGGCGATACTCTTCAGAAGAACGCCAACCCGCGCGACACCACACGCACCCTCCTCAACAAGATCACAGTGGTAGCCATGTACAGCAGCAAGTGGGCAGAGGACCAGGTCAAGACTTTTGTCTCCCCCGAGGCGAATCCTGCGTTGCACGAGCTTATATCCCAGACGAAGGGCAAGACGCAGATTGTGCACCTCAACAACGAGGACAACTCGTTCAAGGCGTGGATAGTCAAGCTGTTCATGAATAACCAGCGCAAGCAGATCCCTGAGCAGGAATGGGGCAAGCACTTTCTGGTGCCCCGCGCCATCACCACCGAAATCAGCGAGTCGATTGGCTATCTGAATAGTAAGGTTGGCTACGTCTATCTTGTCGACAACCTTTGCAGGATACGCTGGGCTGCCAGCGGTCCCAGCCAGCCGGACGAGCGAGATAGCCTGGTGAAGGGTATGAAGCTGGTCCTTCACGAGTGGAACAAGGCAGAGAAGGCGGCGCACGAAGCCAAAAAGGCGGCTGGGGCGGCGAGAGAGGAGAACAAGAAGGCCGCATCATCATAAGTTGTTGGAACATAAAACAGCTTATTCGGGGGCTTGACAAGCCAATAGTATACGACAGTCAGGTCATAGCCTGCTGCCCACAGATACCCCGTGTTCTTTTAGTGTACAATATGCACCAAGGATACCCTCAATTCGAGAAACAAAGATGGCATCAAAGAATCCCAAAACGCCTCCGCATTCCCTTTATGCCGGTAGTTTCCCCAGTCGTAACGGCTTGTTGTGACAAAAATAGATATGACAAGAACGTTTAACCACACTTTAACTTTCTTCTCTTTTCCCCATCCACTCTTCACAAGAACCACCAGAAGGTGAGGAAACAAAAGGCGATGAAGACGCCCATGATTATACCGTCACGGCGCTTCTTGGCTGAGATGCGGCCAATTAGACTGTTGAGGCCCGGAACTTGGCTGGCGGCCATGGTGATGCGACGATTAATGCTGGCGAGGGTTTCGCGCTGGATATTGAAGCTATCCTGGACGGCGTAGGCCTGGGAGAGGACGCTATCTGTCATGTTGTGGCTGTTGTCGATGCGGTTACGCTCGGCAAGCATGTACTCGGCTTCGGCAGCCTCAGGGTTGTTGGCACGGTATTCGTCAATGTCGGAGCGGACATTAGACAGCAGATGGGCGCGGTCACGGGCCTGGGCGATGGTATTGCGTAGGCGCACGAGATCGCGCTTGTGTTCGGCAAGCTTCTCGCGGAGGAGAGCAAGATTGTTCTGCTTCAGGGCGGAGGATGTGAGGGTTGCTTCCGAGTCGAGAAGGCGGGATAGTTGGGAGATGACATTCTCGCGCTGAGGGAGGGTGATGTGTTAGTTGGGCCCAAGTTGGCTGGGGTCAAGATGTCGAACGTACTTTATCGAGAAGATCTTGAAGTTTCGCTTCTGTTGTCCTTTCCTCTTCTGTCGGCTTTGCCGGAATATCTGATACTGTCGAGAACTGAGAGTACGAGTGGAACAGCGTCTCTGTCTGCGAAGCCGGATGTCAGGGAAGCCTGGTGGAGAGATGACGATCCAAGGGAAGCAAACTGTACCTGTGTCTCCAGACTCCGCGCTTGTTGCCGCAGCTGGGCCCAGCCCGTGTTGCCAGAAACCGCAGACATAGCAGCTTGATGTTGGTTGTGGTGGTGAATGTAGGCTCGTATGCTAGACCGTCAGTGTCAAGCGTCGTCTTCAGATGGACTCAGATACGTCCGCGTGTCTGGGACTTGTCGGCAGGGACCAGATGCAGCAGGGAGGAGCTCGGCGTCACATGGCCCGTGCACCTTTAATGATTAAGTAAGGATTGACTGGTTGCGCCAACACCAACAATGTTAGGAGCTGCATGAGAGCTTGTGTCGGGCAATCACTGGCAAGACTAGTCGATTAAGGAGGTCCACGTAAGAGCAACATGGTACGTTGAGGGATCTCTGCGACTTCTTCTGTCCCCATTGGAAAGACTTTATTATAACCATACTTTGCCACTTCTGCGAAACATCACAAAAGGAGAGAAAATAGGCCGTCTCATGTGTTTGTTTGTACAAACTAGAAAAGAAGAGACCTACCAGGTAAGAAATAGTCATTGTCCGATTATCAGATACCCAGCCTATGTTCAATGGCAGGCTGTTCTTCGTGCACCGATTTGCATCGGTGAGCTCGGTGAACATGAATTTCAAAGTCAAAATTCAATTATGTGGCGGTGCTTTTATGTGGCGCAGCTGTCTTTTTGTGTCTCCACAGTGAGACCTTTGAAGAGCCAATCAAAGCTCTCATTCCACCCCGCCGGTCTTTTTTTTCCCCTACTCCTTCCGCACAACCCTATCTGTGATTAGGGCATGGAACTTTTCGCCAACCTGGAAATCCAAACTTGCGAATCGACTCCCTCAGCCTCCACGACGTGTTGATACTAACCCAGATATCCAGCGCCACCCCCCATATCAGTCAAGATGGTGAGTTGACCCTATGATGCCGATGAAATTCGCGATTCCCGAATAGCACGAGAAATTTTTTTTCCCCGAAAGAATTCGACATCCCCGCGCCCGACCGACGAACATAAAAATATATCCAAAAGAGAACTTTCGCTGACGAAGAGTCATCATGTCGCAGTCGTCCGGAAAGGTCAAGGCCAGCCAGCTCTGGAACAAGAACAAGGATGAGTTGACCAAGCAACTCGGAGAGCTCAAGACTGAGCTCGGTCAGCTCCGCATCCAGAAGATCACCTCTTCTGGCAGCAAGCTGAACAAGATGTGCGTTATACCCGTCCCTCTCGCGTCTGGTTCGCGAATGTTCGATTTGGAAGAGATGAAGAGAGAAGGAAATGTTGGCGGGGAATTAGAACAGAGGGGCTGACCTTTGAAATTTCTTTACAGCCACGACATCCGCAAGTCGATCGCCCGCGTCCTGACTGTCATCAACGCCAAGCAACGCGCTCAGCTCCGCCTGTTCTACAAGAACAAGAAGTACGCTCCCCTCGACCTCCGCGCCAAGCAGACCCGTGCCATCCGCCGCCGGCTATCCGCGCAGGACGCCGCCATCGTCACCGCGAAGGCTAAGAAGCGCACCGTCCACTTCCCTCAACGCAAGTTCGCCGTGAAGGTCAGTTAATTGGAATCTGCCTACGGGGCTGGGACTGGAAGAGCATCGGAGGACGGTTACATGATGAGAGGCTGTGAAGGATATGTCATCAAATGGCACCGTCATGCTCCCGCTGTCACATGAGCCTCCTTCTCTTTCATGTCCCAAATCCTGGCTCTCAAGTGTAGAGGGATTTAACGACTAACTCTTCTGTAGGCTGCTTAAATTAGCCAACCGCTCCTGGGTATCTAGGGTTGGGGATGAGGAACTACGAAAATGGAAACGGAGGCGTAACACGTTTTTGGCACATGGGGATCCCGAATTACTCGATGATGCATTGCATGGTCACGGAGGGAAATTAAAGGGTTTTGCGCTTTGTTATTTTCCCAGTGCTGCAAACAAATGGATTTCTCAACCGGTCATGGCAAACAAAAAGCTTGGCTCGCAGGTTTTCCTCTCTCTCTGTCTTTCTCCAAGAGGAGAGGGTCCTCCGAGTGTGTTTGGTAGCATAGAGCTGCCGACAAAAATGTCAAATGGGGCCAAAGATGTCCCGACTTCAAAATACGTTGCCCGTTTTCCAAAACATTGTGCTGTCCGTTCCCCTTGGCACTTCTAGTACCGCTTGATATGATAGCCGATGCTCTTTATATCATCTCTCGATACCTAATAGACCAACAAACTCTTTCCGGCGTTTTCAATCTCTTCTACAATGCAACCAAGCCAGTGCTGTCCCCGTAATTGTACAGGCATGCACCAATTATATCACCCCACTATCTCGCATTTTCCATCGCCTATCTAGTTTGTCATTTTCACGTCGAGGCAGCAACGTCACCATTTGGTTCTGCTCTCAGATTGCCTGTTACCACTGATGGACATAATGGCCCAGTATTGATCGTATCAGACACCTTAAGGGCTGACTATCTCATGAGCCTGTTACATCTATCTAGACCCTGGAAAAGGTGTTAGACAATAAGTGCGAGGTCCAAACTGCCGAGGAGTCACACTCGATTCAGGGACTGAATTGGACTTTTCTCTGGACAGTATAAATTCCTTACAAACAAATCGCTGAGTTTTCCTCTTGTTGTCATTCTTCCACCTGTCTGACACAACTGCTTGAGAGGCCCTCGCAGAAATCATTTAGCCGTCTTTATCAATGTCATGGCTTCTTGTTGACAGGAAAGTAAAATACTTTAGCTTCGCCTGGGCCACAACATATGTTATAGTTCACTGTAGGAAAACACAACTGAACATTCGGACATTACGCTGTTTCTTCTCTCGCCTTGCGAGGTAGGACAAGTTTGGCATGACCCACTTCGACCTGAGCCGCACGCCGGCCTTTCAACCAGGGACTTATCATACTGAACACCTGTGAAGATACAGAACTCCATGATCCCATGAAACGAACTTCCTATGGTTTGTTATATGTATAATATGTCAATAATCTTCTCATTGTTGTCATACATACCCAAGTGGCCATATGAGCTAAAACTCTGTGTCTGAGGATATCAGCTGCCAGGCCCAATGAGGTGATGAGAAGTGTGTTTTAGAGAACTGGCTGTCCTACATAAAATCGATTCCAGAGTATTAGCTATCTGGATCGATACCATGTGTTTGATCTTTGTGCGTTTTCTCTGAAACGTTAGGTTGTGGCGATTCCTCGACATATCGTGAACAGGACGGTTGCTGAGAGAAGGACAACGGCCGACGTGATAAGTAACGTGATAAGTAGGACAGCACCCTCTCGTGGGGAGAAAGAAAGAAGAAGCCATGCTCACTTTCAAATCGAAAACAACACGGGGACGCTGGGGCTTCCATACGTACGCTTTAGCTCTTGGAATCTCAACGTACTCATCCGCCACCGGTCTACGTCCTCTCAGGATGGATAGCCCTATTTCTTTACCACTGCAGGCAGACTTGCAAGGTGTCGGGATAGACAGGTATAGAACGGTGCCTAGTATTACAACTCATCCGCAAATCTCGTCTTCTGACTCCGAGATCCCACCGTCTGATCCCCACTTATCAATAAAGCTTGCTTTACTCTAACGGGGATGGATGTATGTTCTGAAGCCAAACGCCACGGTAATCAGCTACCCCAGCTTGTACCAACCAGCTCATGTTCCATTTAGAATTAAAACTAACGCAATGAATTTCTCCTTTCCGGCGAGGACATTTAGGAATGTCAAGCCATGAGACGACACAAAGTTTTTCAACATCATGCCACGACCCACTGCCGAGAATCGTCACCATCGCTAACGACGCCCAGTCTGATCCAGGCGTGTCTGTATCACAGCCGGATACTATCCGATTAAGTCATGCAAACTTGCAAAGGATCCGGGGAACTTGGATGATCGTCACCGGAAACCCCTCCTCTCCACCGGCTTCCGATTGCCCCTCTTCCGGCCCTTCATCCGACGTCATACGAGAAACAGCCACAATGCATGACCAACAGATCCTATCGAGGCTTTCCGGCTAGACTTCCTGAGGTTTCGGGCTCACAGATAACTTAACGTACGCTGCTGAAAATATTATGAACTTAGTTCAGGCGGCTTTCGTAGAAAATTCGGCCTTGCAGTGATCTACTTCCGCGCACCTTGATGATGAATCCCCTGTTCATGGAGGGTAACTAGGGGTGCTTCAAGGCCAAATAGCTGTTCCCTTCGATCCTCGATCGTATATGCGGCACCACAATAGTTTCTAGGAGAAGGAAAGAGTGAATCGAATTATTGACACCACTACTGGGTTGTTAGAAATAATACCATAGTCTCAAATGGGCAACATAATCAAACACTTCTCAGACAAACGGTGGATGAAAATTGGCGGGGAGGGTAACTCTAGTACTGGAAATAGTAACATTATCACACAACATCTATACTGATTGTTTTGAGCAATGTGTTGGTTTTTTTCATTTTACTTTATTTTGCTTTGCACTAGTAGTAGTAGTAGTAGTAGTCATGAAAGTAAGAACTTCTCTCCCCTCGTTCATTCACTCATCCCATAAACAAAAGCAAAAAAGCCGCCCTACCTGTCTTCTCGCGTTGTGACCCAGAACACCGAAACCTGGTATACCTTTCCATCCCTTCCTCAACGCCAGTCCGGAACTTTGTATCCCTTGAGGTATCTATTTCATGAGAGTGACATGCGAAAAGGTACAACCCCCCAAAAAGAGCAGTGAGGGGCCAGAACCGATTAATTCCTCCCGCTAAATTATTTCTTGCCGGGTTTGGTGACACGGCTGTGGTCCGCTTTGCGGATGTGCTGGACTGCGCCAGAATCAGGTGACATGGACACGGATATGTTGTCACCTCCATTCTTGTTCTTTTCCTTTTCGTGGACCTTCATATGCCTGCGCTGTTGATCGAGTCGGTGGAAATCCTTGTTGCAGATGGGGCAGGTAAACTGGCCCTTGACGTTATGGGTCTTGCGGTGTTTTGACAAGTTTGATGATTCTCCGAATCTCTTGTGGCAGATGTCACATTCGAGGGGCTTTTCGCCGGTGTGAGTTCTCATATGCATAGCTATGCGGTTGTTAGTCTTCACACACCCCATTATCCACAGGCACTTACTCAATGCGCTTTGCTGTTTGAAAGCTTGTGCGCAACCGGGGTATTCGCATTTCCATGGTTTTTCTCCAGTATGTATGCGCATGTGCTGAGCCAAAGATTGTTTGGCAGAAAGAGCAACTCCGCACAAAGTACATCTAACTGGTTTAACTGAGAAAGATGGTTGTTAGCAATTAGTGGGAAAGGGGAACCGATGGTTTATCTTACATCCAGTATGAGTCTGCAAGTGACGTTCCAGTTTGCTCCTCTGTGTAAAGTTTTCTTTACGTGTACATCCATCCCACAGACACTTGAAGCCAGCGTGGCCATTCTCATTTGTTTCTTTGACGAGTTGGTGGAGATGACCTTCACGGACATGTTGCTGAAGCATCTCATCGTCTTTGAATTCTTGCCCGCATACTTCACCATCCGTGGCCCATTTGCAGACGCATGCTTCTATCTTATCGGCGACTGATGTCATTGAAGAAACGGCTGAGATCTCCGTTTTGCTTGAGGTGCTAGTTGGTGACGGGGTATCAGGGGAAGCGTCTTTTGTCACAAGGATCTTGCCGACGGGTTTCGGCTTGACAAAAGACTGATGTTCATGGTGAACCATGCTGGAGGGGGCTGTTTGTGGCAGCACCAGCTGGTTTGTAGTGTGCTGCATCGGGAGACAAGGATGTTGTTCTTGAAGATGCTCAATCCAGGCCGTCGGGGTGGTAAGCTCGACACCGCACTCAGCAGGATGCAAGTCCTGTCCAGTGCAGAAAGATTCCTGCCCCGGATGGGTGTGAGAATGATGGGGCAGAGGACATTTGTCAAAAGGCAAATTCAAATCGTCAAAGTTGTCAATCAAACAAGGACGCACACAGCCAGAGCCGGGGTGACCAGGGACATGTTGTTGCAACAGATGATTACTGAGTGCCAGCCAGTCATTGCTGCCCAGGTCCATGCTCATGTCCATGTAGCTACTGGAGAGGAAGTCCTGACACGCGAAAGCATTGTCCATCGTCAATGACTGTGTGCCCATGCCGGCCGACATTCCTCCATTATGGAAAGGAGTTTGGGTAGAATAAAGTTGAGAAGATGGCATCGTCTCCAAGGGTGAATGAGGCATATGGTGCTGTCCCATGGGAAAGGATGCTAGCACACCTGCAGCAGCCTTGTCGGTAGCATCCATAGAACGTGCCAAACAGTCGATATCTGTGCAAGGCGTGGCAGCATTCTCGCATTCAGTGTCGTCGCAGACAGGGCCGCACTCGGCGTCGTGACAGACATCGCCGGCCTCGCTAGCCCCGCACTGACTAGGACATTCTTCGCAGTGAGAACTGCAGGCAACGGAAGTCGTGTCATCGTCATTGATAGCAGGGCTCGATTTGGTGTTGATCATGGATGAAAAGTCCACGTCGGGTGACAGGGTGGCATCATGGCCAAGAGTATCGAAAGAAAAGGGATGGCTGTAATTGAAGTTGGAGTAGGCGGGTGTTTGAGGCATTGACATGTTGCTTTGTCTCATTGGCAACCCAGCGATGCTCATGCTGCGGACATGAGGGTGGCTTGAAGCCCCCTGATGACTCTTGGCAGAAGCCATACAGTGGAGGTTGTATTTCTGGTCTAGACAAGAATCGTCGTGGGCGTCGTGGGGGACGGTAAGGGAATAGAGGTGTTCGGAACCTATAAAGGTCGGGTCGCCAAAGTAAGACATATTAGGCATGCCGAAGTCGTGACCGTGGGCATCGAGATTCGCAAATTCATCGTTCTGGTCGTCCATGGCTTTGCAAAGTTGTAAAGGATGGTGTAGATTTCTCAGTTGTCCATCCACTTGGGTCACCCCACGATGATCGCCGGTTGACAAGCAGCTTGGGCCACGGGGGCTGACTGAAAGTTTCTCGGGTGGAAAGGTTCGAGGGGTCGCAGAGCCGCAAAGGTGAGACCCAAGATCTGGAGATGGGTACGGATAATTCCTTTTAGAAATTCCAACGAGTCGGGGAGGGTAGCCGTAATATCCAGGGGTGGGAAACAGGTCCAGTTATGCTCTGACGACACGAGGGAACCAGGAGGGCATATAGCATATGGGTGGGATGCGACTTGGGGTGGGAAAAAAAAAAGAAGCGAGACCAGAGGAGGCGAGGCGAGGCGAGCGAGCCGTTGACCAGGCCCAGACTGGGGGTGCAGAATTATGAACCGGATTGAACTGAAGGGCATGGAACCACTGGTTCGTCCCTGCCAGCTCCTGCGGCTGGTGTCTTTTGCTGCTACTGCTGCGCGGTGTGGTGGGAAGGCGGTGTTGCAGCAACGATGCCCAGGTGCGGTGCGGTCTGAGAACCCGGATGGCCTCTGGCGCGAAAATGCGGCCTCTCAGTCTTGTGACGGAGGGGCTAACTTGCCAGCGTAACACTGGAATCCCTGTCGCTCCTGTTAGAAAACCATGCCAAAGGTACGCATATCATCTTAGAAGACGTACCTTTCCGTCTAAATGGGCAGGAACGATACTGCGCTCGAATTTTTCTCTCTTCTCTCTCTGCGTTGTGACGTGAATTGACTCAGTCGCCTACGAACACCTCCAACATCCACTCTAGCAAGGGTGAAGACCCCTCCTCTTCATATACTTATTGGATCAGGTCCCCTAGATGATGCTCAAAAGCTTATTTGGCGACGGGATGACAGGCAAGGCACACGGAGGCACCCAGTCCTTCATGTCCTCATCCGTGTCACTTGAGGATTCATTTTCCATGAGCACAAGTCCTCACGAGTGATCCTAGACCACTGAGAGGCTGACAACGTGGGGGGGGTGTGCGGGGCCCACAGGGGGGGGGGGGTCTGTAATCACTTGCCTGTGGTTCGGCAACCGACCCACTAGTTGTGCCCTTTCTCAGATGATGAGCCCCTTTTCATTGGCTACAGCTCCCATTCTGATCTTGTGTACGTAAGCAGCATCGTCACGGCCCGTTGCTGCGTTGTTGCGCCTGCGCCTGTGCGTCCCTTGGCTGGCGGGATCTAAACACAATTTTGTAAATCTCAACTCTACTACGTAGCATTCAGTTGCTTTTCTTTTTGCCTAGTTGCTGGCTGAACTTTTCGTCCAAAGCTGGACAATCGAAAGCCAATCTTGACAAACTTTTCTTCATGCATACATTCACATAGTTTAAAACAATGCCTTGCACGGTGGGGACAAGAGACAAACGATACCGCCACCGCATGTTTCCCCCCCGTATTCTCCCTCAAGTATAACGCCCCCGCGGGAGCTTATAGCCGCCTGGTTGAGTCGAATGAGCCGCCGCTGTCGCAATCATGGCTTCGATGGGCGGGGAAATCATCACATAATGCCTCAAACTTTCGAGAATTATGAACTATACTGCTTTTACTGCTTCTACTGCCTTCCCCATCATTGCCCAGATCCGATGGAAGCCGTCGCAAGATAGGATACAACGCTAAGCTTCTTTGGACTACAATTCGTGTTAGACGAGTTGTTAGGAAAAAGTCTAATTTCACCCGCCACAAGCGCCAGCGATTTCGATAGTCAGTCACACACATATAGTCGTTGTGAGTTTGTGAGACTCTCAACAGACGGGCCGACACCACGAGGCGACAGATACAGCTTAGGTTGGCGTCTTGCAGCCACAATTTGCGTTCCGCTATTTGAAACCCAATTTAACTTCAATCCCAAATACTCCGGATATATGTTGAATATCATTGCCCTTTCCACACGGTAAGCCCAGGTCGCTTTGCCTGTCTGCCTGCAGGATATAACTCTCTGGCAAACAAATGCACATCATCGTGGCGCGTCACATCTCGTACCCGGCCCTTTCCCGGGGCTTCCTGGCCGCCACGTTTGTCACGAGAGCCTGAACTTTTTCCTCAGGACCCAGCCTGCCCAAACTCATTCCCAAGTTGAAATCCCCCAAACACCAATTTTGCAAAATACGAGACGCTTAATGATGGAAGAGGCGGATGTTCTGCTCAACGAAGGTAATGCCCAGCTTCTCGGCGGTCTCGAACACAGCGCCATCGTTCTGGCTACCACCAGGGGCGGCGATGTACTTGACACCAGATCGAGATGCGCGGAAGACATTGTCAACAAAGGGGAACTAGGTTTTTGTTAGTAGGTTTACAGAAGCTCCGGGTACAAGGTTTACTCACGAAAGCATCACTCGACACGGCGACGTTGGTCAGCTTGCCGAGCCACTCCTCCCTCTCGGCGTCAGTGAAGGCGGGGGGAACCTCCTCAAAGACAGCCTCGAACATGTCACGCTCTGCACCGGACTTGGGGAGCTCGCCACTGACCAGCAGGTCGATGGCGTTGCTCTTGTCGGGACGCTTGGTTCCCTTCTTCCACTTGATACCCAGCACGCGGGGGTGGAAGCGAAGCCACCAGTTGTCGGCCTTGTCGCCGGCAAGACGAGTGCAGTGGATTCGGGACTGCTGGCCGGCACCCAGGCCAATGACCTGTCCGTTGTAGGCGTAGCACACAGAGTTGCTCTGAGTGTACTTCAGGGCAATAGTTGCCACAGTCAGGTCACGCAAAGCGGACTCGGACAGAGGGCCAGACTCCTTGGGAGTGATGATTCTGTTGAAGGACTTGGGGGAGATCTCGATGTCGTTGCGGTGCTGCTGCAGAGTAACACCGTAGACGGTTCGGGTCTCGGTCTTGGAAGGAACGTAGTCGGGATCGATCTGCAGGACGAGGTACTTGCCACCCTTCTTCTTCTTGAGGATCTCAAGAGCAGCGGGCTCATAACCAGGAGCAATGACACCGTCAGAGACCTCCTTGGAGATGATGCTGGCAGTAGGGACGTCGACGACGTCACTGAGGGCAATCACGTCACCGAAGCTGCTCATGCGGTCGGCACCACGAGCACGAGCGTAGGCCTGGGCAAGAGGAGAGGACTCAATGCCCTCAATGTCGTTGACAAAGTAGACCTTGCGCTCATCCTCCGTCAGGGGAGTGCCAATGGCCGCACCGGCAGGGGAGACGTGCTTGAAGCTAGCAGCAGCGGGCTTGCCCAGGGCTTGCTTAAGCTCCTTAACCAGAGGCCAGCTGTTGAGGGCATCGAGCAGGTTGATGTAACCAGGAGAGCCACCGAGAACCTTGTAGGGCAGCTCGCCGGAGTTCATAAAGGCGGCAGCGGGCTTCTGGTGAGGGTTGGCACCGTATCTCAGGGCCATGTACTGCTTGCCATCGGCGGCGTACTGCTTGCGGAAGAAGTCGGAAATGGCAGCATCGTAGTCGGCGGTGTGCTCGAAGGCCTTGAGGGCGTAGCGGTTGCGGCTGGCCTCGGTGATCTCGCCGGACTGCAGCTCCTTCAGGAACTCAGCGTAGTCGTTGGGGTCGCTGAGGATGGTGACACGGCTGTGGTTCTTGGCGGCAGCTCTGATAAGGGTGACACCACCAATGTCGATCTCCTCGACAGCCTCAGGGACAGTGACGTTGACCTTGGCAACAGTGTCCTTGAAAGGGTAGAGGTTGCAGATGACGTAGTCGACCTTGTTGATGTTTTGGTCGGCCAAGTCCTTCTCGTCGGATTCGAGGTTTCTTGCTAGTATGCCGGCGTGGACAGCGGGGTGCAGAGTCTTGACACGGCCGGCAAGCATCTCGGGGGCCTTGGTAATGGCAGAGATGTCCCTATAACAAGCAATCCAATCAGCACCAGTTCAAGCTTCAAACGAAGGTTTGGTAGTGGGCTTACTCAACGGGGAAGCCGGACTCCCGGATCATCTTGGCGGTACCGCCAGAAGCGAGGATGCGGACATTCTGCTGGTTGAGGCCCTTGGCCAGGTCCAGCAGGCCCGTCTTATCGTAGACGGAGACGATGGCGATCTTCTGACCCGACATCTTTGCTTTGGTGCCTTGTAATCTCGACGAAGCGAATTTGTTTGTCAGAGACAAAGGTTAGAAGGAAAAGACAATGGGGTTAAGAAGAGGAGAAGGTATAAAGGAAGGTTGGAAAGGCAAAATTTTTGCCTTACGCGATGATGCGTTGTGGGCGGGAGAGACAGCCGCGCAAAATCGGGTTCCGATCAAGGAGGGGGAGGGGCAGCTACAGAAAAAACATTAGCTACGGAAACGGTACCGGTAGCTCTGCGGGGGTTTTCTTGCTAGTACAAGTATCTTTTAGGTCACTTGCCCCACGTCGCATTGGCACCCGTTGGAGGGACGAAGGAAGCGCATGCGACAACAGTGACTTCAAGCACAAGACCAGCCTCCTGAGCAGCCCTTGAAGTGGGACATCAATGAGGGGAAACTCAGTACGCGAAGAATCTTTTCTCCGGTAACTCCCTACAAGCTTTTTTTTTTCTGCTCGTAATTCATGTTTTGTGCGATAAATGCATCAACTTGGCTGTGAGGCCATTTCACTGGAATTGGTTGCTGTGCACCAGCTACCAATTTCCCCCACCAAAGGTCTGTAGATTTGCGGGAGAATTGGAGTTTCGGCCATTGGTCCGACTTAGCGGGCCGCTCTTTTTTTTTTTTTTTCCTCGTTTTTGGAGAGTCGGAGCACCTTCTTTTAGCTCGACAGAGGACCTTCTTTCGAGCCAGTGAACCCCGCCCCCGCTAGAAGGCGGCGTAGAGATGTTACGGAGAGTGAGCACCACAGAGAGAGAGACCCAAGCGAAAGGGTGGCACAGCAGCACGGGACCCTTGCCTGCTGAAGCGATTAAGCGGCGCTAGCGCTTTCCACCGGGCGCAACTGTTGTCGAACGTCCCCGTCGCAGTCTTGGCTTCATACTGATAGACGAGGTTACCTGACGCGGCCCTCTATTTCCCCGGGCTAAACGGTCCCTAATGTAGAACGTCCTCTTATGACCCTCTTTGGACTTCACTCTACATGCAATCATTCCTACTACATACCCACTGCTGCGACAAAACCTAAGCTTAAGTGGTCAGAAGGGAGAGTACTTTGCCGCTGCGATCATACATCGCATATCACATCTAAAAGCGTATCGAACAGTCCTTACATTCGAGACCCTGCACCCCGGGCCGCCGCACAAACAACGCCGTGATTACGTACATCCGTACCGACCTCCTCCCGTCACACCCGCCGACTTTCAACCTCGCGCCATTACGCTCCGACCCGTCCCCTGAATCGCGCTCCCGAAACACCTTTGCCACCTCGCGCAATCGATCTAACAAAGGACTACCCACACCCCGCGCAACAGTAGTAGTAGCTGACCGCCGTGCGACAACAATGGGCTCCGTCTGCGGCAAGGAGAAAGGGGAGGAGAACTTCTCCTCTCCGGGTCGTCCGCTCGGCACCGCACCTCCGCCTCAGCCCAAGACCGCACCCATCCCGGCGAGAGTAGTTGGAGGCCCTCCCCGGACCTTGGGAGGCGGCAGCAGCACCTCCGGAGAGCGGCCCAACGCTGACGCAGATGACGCGCGACGCAGGGCCGCTGAGGCAGCCGAGGTGAGTCGTTTATAAACCCCCTTCTAGCCAAGGCCCCCGCAGCGTCTTGGCAGGGCAAGATTGCAGGTTACTGACATTCATATCTTTCCCAATAGGCACGAGCCAAAGCAGCAAACAAGTCAACCGGGAAACTGGGCTCGCAACTGAATGCGCAAAAGAAGCAGACGCAAACCGACCTGCTGAAGGACGCCAGTGCCCAGCAATTGAGACAGCGGGATGCTGACGCTGCCGCCGAGGCGAGAACATACAACTAGAAAAGATTAAAGTACGGAAATGGGAGAGAGGAGAGAGGAGAGAGGAGGGGGGTGGGAATTTTTCCTGAAGATAATGAGGTCTTTGCTTGGTGGGCGCCATTTGCGATAATACCTTTATTTGCCCTTTTTTGACATTACGGGCGCGTGGCGAAGGGCATATTTACTTTATTGGTTCATTTTCTCAAACGTATCTGACGAGCGGCTCTCAACTGACTGAGGGCCCCATGACACTGCTCAGCGATTGCTTTTACGTTTTATATTGAGGGGGAGTTATTTGCATGTCAAGAATTCACTTTGGACTAGACAATTGAGATGGGTTTAAACAAGGTTTTGAATTTTGATTGTCTTTTTATCATCTCATTAGCTCCGCATACCGCCAAGTGCCAATGCCTATTCCATATTGTGCCCTGCTGTATATGTTGAGGCGAACTTCCCTACGCCGACGCGCCGCCACACCAACACCCAACTTAGAACGATTTCAGTATACTACAATGAAATGATACACCTCAGCCTCAAGAGCGACCTCATACGACGTTGTAACGTCCGGAAGCAGGAGCACGGCTGTCGGCTGTAGCCGCAGCTACGGTTCCTTCGCTGAGTAGACGGGTAAGCTCGGTCATGGCAGCGCCTACCACAACCTCGGTGTCACCCTCGACAAGGATATACAGCTTGGGGTCCGCGCCAGGAGGAACCTCCTTGCCAGCCGGATAGAAGGTTCCCTTGGTCGTGATAGACACGCCAGTGGCTTCCAGAATCTTGGCGACGTTGGTCCTGTTCGTGACGGCCCATCTGGCCTTCTGCGGGAAGTCGTTGATCTCGAGCGTCGCATGGTATGCGCCGGCGTCGGGTCCCTTGTTATCGATGGGCTGGCCTGAACGAAGCTGGCCAGCCTTGCCGAGACGCTCATTAATAGCACTAATCGCGGCACTGACGGCATCGAGGGGCTGCTTGCCACCTGCAGCCCCAGCAGCAGCCGGTGCGTCCTTGGCCTTGGAGTCCGCTTCAGGCTTGCTGGTGTTACGGGATACGATGGCGGACACAGCTGACTTGATGGCAGACGCCGCATTCTTGCCCTTGTCTTCTTCAGTCTTCTCTTCTTTAACATCATCTTCCTCTCCCTCGGCCTTGTGAGTCTTGCGCTCGCGAAGACGGGCCGCCTCTCGCTCAGCATCGAGACGGTCCAGGCCTTTACCGCCGAAACCAGAAGTATCCTTGGCTTTACCTGCCTTGACCTTTTCCTTGTGTGCCTTGCGCATCTCATTCAAACGCTCGGGGACGGGCTGGCCACTCTGCTCGAGCGCCTTCGCAATACCAGTAGCGCAGTTCTCCTGTTCTTCGGTAATAAATGTCACAGCAGTGCCCTTGTTGCCAGCTCTTCCTGTTCGTCCAGCACGGTGGACGTAATCTTCGAGATGGTTAGGCGCATCATAGTTGACAACCAGCTTGAGCTGTTTTACGTCTAAACCTCGAGCAGCAACAGATGTGGCAATGAGAATAGGGACAATGCCCTTTTTGAAATCAGCAATCGTAGAGTCTCGATCGATTTGGTCTTTACCGCCATGAATGGACATGCAAGGGTAGCCCTTGACCATGAGCTCCTTGAGCAAGTCGTCTGCCTTTTCTTGGCGCTCGACAAAGATGAGAGTACGGGCATCCTCGTCTTCGTCATAAAGCTCACCGAGGAGTCCCAGGAGGTGAAAGAACTTGGCATCTTCAGGAATAACCTCTACCTTCTGTGTGATATCAGAGGCAACGACACTGCGACCTCCAACGGTGATCTCTACTGGAGATTTCAGCACCTTCTTAGTCAAGGAATCAATAATGCGCGGCATGGTGGCCGAAAATAGGATGGTTTGCCGGTCAGGCCGCATGTTCGCAAAGATCTTCATGACTTGAGGCTCAAAACCCATGTCAAACATACGATCCGCCTCATCGAGTACAACGTATGTGACTCTGCGCAGGTTCGTAACACGACCCTGATTGGCCGCTAATAGGTCAATCATACGGCCGGGTGTGCACACAATGATTTCAGCTCCTCGCTTGAGCTCGGCAATTTGCTCTCTAATAGGCGCTCCACCGTAGGCACATACAGCTCGCAAACCCATTGATTTGAGGAAAGGCTTGCAATCACGGTGGATCTGGACTGCCAGCTCGCGAGTCGGGGTCATGATGAGACCGATGGGGCCGTCAGTATCTTTGATGGGCGGCTGATCCATTATGTGACGGAACATAGGCAGGAGGAAAGCGACCGTTTTACCAGAACCAGTCTTCGCTACACCGACAACGTCGCGACCAGACATGATGACGGGCAAGGCCTGCATCTGGATGGATGTTGGCTTTTCGTACCCCAGGTCGGCGATGACGTCCAGCGTTTGGCGTGTTAGACCACATTGCGCCCATTTCTGGACAGGCTTGGGGACGTCCTTTCCGGAAACCTTGATACCATCCAGCTCCAAGCGCAAGTCGTTGGCTTCGGTTTCAGTCAAAGCGGCAAGCTCTGCCGGTTCGACCCAGAAATTCTTACGGATAGGTTGCAAGTCGAGCTTGCTATAATCGACAGTGGGAATGTCCTTCTTCTTGCGCTTGTTTGCCATGGCGAGGATAGCGTTGGCGTCCTTGTCTTCTGCCTTGAAGGCGTAGTCATCGTCACTGAAGTACGCCTCTGGCTCTTGAACCGTTTTTGAGGATGTACTTGCCTTGGTTTCCGTGGGTTTCGCCTTGTTGTCTTGCAGGTCGGCCATGAAGGCATCCAAGGGATCGACGTCATCTTCGTCTTCCACATCCATCTTTTCCACAGCTGGCTCTTCGGAGGTAACGCCGTTGGTTTCAGCTGGAGCGTCATCCATGGCAACATCGGCCTTTTCCTCTTGGGTCTCTTGCTGCATTTCTCTCTCGCGCCGTTCGTGTGCCGCGCGGGCAGCCGCAATCGCCTCCTCCTCAGTCTCAGCAAAGTTACCACCGTCAGACTCGTCGTCCTCGTCTTGATCAGCATAGGGGGTGTCATCAGTCTCGAGGGGAAGTGCGGGCAACTTCGTGAGTTTCCTTTTCGTTCCCTCCTCCTCGTCAAGGTCCAGTTTGCGCTTGCTCGCGAGCTTGTCGCCATCGGTCTGCTTATGGAATCCGAACGCGCTCAGGTTTCCCCGGTTGGCGGGCAGTGCCGAAGCTGCGATAGTATTATTAGCACACATGTTTTCAACTGCCGGCAGGACTAACGTACCCTTTGTGGTTTGTGTAACTGCAGCAGTCGATTGTTCGGGACGGCCCTCGAGCGAGCCCAATACGCCGTTCGTGCTACCGTGTTTGTGTGACGCCGCAGACTTCTTCGCAATCGCCTTGGGATCAAATTTGCCCGCGTATGGCACAGCAGGTGACGCGACTCCGGATGTAGGCTGTGTCGGGGCTGGGGACGCTGATCCGGGGGAAGCGACGACGGGTGAGGCGACGGCGGGTGAAGCGACGGTAGGTGAAGCGGCGACCGGTGAAGGCACGGACTTCTTGTCCATCTCAGCAAGGAGATTCCTAGTTTGACTTGGATTAACCTCATTCTCTTTATTGGCCTTGTTCTCCCTGCTCTTCTTCCACGCCTCCAGTCTGGCGAGTCGCTCAGCCTTTTTGTCAGCTTCGGTCTGGGCTGGGGTGGGTTTGGGCTTGGGCTTGGCAGCCTGTGAGGTTGAGTTAGCAATGTAAATATCACAGCGCAAGTATGGGGGCTTCCTTACCTCGTTACCGGCAGTATTGGTGTTCTCGGGAGGGGCGGTTCCACGCGGACGGCTGTCATCGCGCCTGCTACGAGGGTGGGAGTCAGCAGTTCCCTCACGCCGCACGCGTGCTCTGTCTCTAGAGTCATCTCGCCGCGGACGGTGGTCTCTATCGGCGTCGCGATGTCTCCGTCTCTCAAGCGACCGGTCTCGGTCTGTATATCGGTCACGAGATCTTCTCCGGTCCCTGGGACGGTCGTCTCTTCGGCTTCCGCGATATGAATCATCGTCTCGTCGGTCTATGGAGCGTTCCCTGCGGCGGTAGGAATCGCGGTCACGGTCGCGATCTCGAAATCGGCGCTGTTCGTAGAGTCTGTCAGAATCCTCTCCGTTGCGTCTTCCATAGTGGTGGCTTCTCACGTCGCCAGGGCTTCTAGACCGCGAGCGACGACGGTAGTCCCTGCCGTCATCGCGGCGATCTCTATCGCGCCTGTCATCGTCTTTGCGGTGGCGTCTCGCATTGTATTGGCTTCCTGCAGGCGATGGTGAGCGCGAGTCCCTGGTCCGAGCCATGTTGTAGGTCTCGAACTCTCTGCAAGACACTACGTTTGGTGAGAGCTACTTTTTTCTCTTCTCGCAGGGTTTTCCACTCGAGGGTGTCACCAGTGTTGAAGCTTAGCTCTGATAGCTCTTGCGGGTAGTAACTGAATAGTCAAGAAAGATGTTGTCTGAAGCTCGGCCAGGGTTGAGAAACGACGCCGATGACATTGGACAGTGGAAAGTTTGAGAGGGGCGGAAAAAGGTCGCGACGTGATAATTAGGTTGCCCCCGTGTGAGGTCAGGTCTTGCGGGTGGGTCCCACATTTACGACCCAATCAAAGATCGATGTTCAAATGTCCCAGCACCAGTTGGCGTCTCAATCACGGCAGCTCTCACCAGGCCTTTACACTGGTCAATACAATAACAGCTCGCAGCGCAAGCCATCTTAACATACACTCAACCATCGTTTGAAAATTTCACTTTCATCAACATGGCCGGCCTAGTTGGATATGATAGCAGTGACGAGGATGACGATATCCAAGAAACTATCCCTGAAAAGGTGTTATTACTCACTCACACTTACTTCTCATCAGTGCAACAGTTCATTAACCCGTCAGGTGCAGGCCGAAATCCCCCAGAAAGTTACACTTCCTGTACATCAACCCAGTTCAAGTAAGAGATCACGATGCATTTAAGCATATGTCTGTCGCTCATCTCGAACTAACAACCTCGTCAGGTGATGTCAAATCAACATCACCACAACCACCAAAACAAGATGTTCCGGAGCTGCAACCCCCGTCGGAGAACATAACGATCGGCCCGGTCCAGCAACATTCAGTTCCCCTAGGCCCAGCCTTACCACCCATGGAAACCCAGCTACCCCAGGGTCCGTCATCGCAAGCAGACGACGGCCAGGCCCCTGCCTCGCCATACACCGCTTCCCGTGCTCTCCTCCGCGACCTGACCCTGCCACCGGTCCCAAACTTTGACATACCCCCTTCGCCGCCGGGCTCTCCTCCCCCGGCCCTGAGCGCAAAGTTCACCCAGTTCCTCGATCTCAAGAAGAAGGGTGTGCACTTCAACGCCAAGCTCGCTCAGTCCGCTGCCCTCCGCAACCCAAGCCTCACAGACAAGCTTATGGGCTTCGTCGATCTCGAAGGCCGCGCCGGCTATGCCACAACCCTGCCTCGCGACGTCTGGGACCCGACTTCTGAAGAAACCCTGCCTGAATGGGCCACCAGGACGTCGCTGCGTCAGAGCCAGGAGCGGGTCCGCGCCGAGCGCGCTGGGCTGAGGAAGGCAGGCGGACCAGTCGAGTTCGTGCCTGCAGCTGCCGAGGTCGCGTCTCCCAGCAGCGAAGCCGCGGCTTCATCAGAGCAGGGCGGCGTATCTCGCCTAGGGAAGCGGAAAGCTGGCGCCTGAAGAGGGCTTGTGAACTTTCCGAACCAGCCCCATCAGCGCATACGGCATAATGCATAGTTCTATGTGATGAATTGGAAACTGTTGAGGCGACATGGTTTCCATTGCCGCGCGTGGGGGGTTGGAAAAGAGGAGCCAAGGTTCGTGCAGACGTCTCAGTTGTCTTGGGCCGAGGCGCGCGTTACTACTGGCGTAACATGTGGATCAGAACGAATGTCAGTGCTCGCTCGCTCTGAGCGTCTGAGAGGGTGTGGAAGAAGAGAGGAGTGGCATAATGATACCCCTTTGGACGATGACGCCCTCGGTTGTTGTGAATGGGTGTGCATCGTCATATGTGTCGTCAGATAGAAGGGTTTTGGAACATCGGACCGAACAGGTTCTTTGATATTTTGGACGACATGCTAGCGAGATAAGGGTCGTTAGTGGGTGGCTCAAGGGCATAGATAGTAGCGTACATGGTGCGCAAACTGCTGGAACCACCATATTGCCATTGGGGCTGATGCTGGTGGTCATTCCATCATGGTTCCATAATTGGAGTGGTCATTTTAGAACGAGGTATCATAATTCAACTACTTTGCAGCAAAAACATCTAGCTTTGCCACATATTGGTAAATAAAATCACACAGAAGCCAAGGTATCCAATTATCCTACGCGTAGCTCGTAGCTCATAGTCCGTCCATCCTCCAAGTAAATCATCAATCACACTTCGGTCAGATACCTTGCTTCCTGCAAACTTTGCTATGCATTACCTCTACGCACGGCATGGAATGGTGAGGTTGAGCGACTTCTTCAATGACGCGCCAATATTAATCTCAGTGATGACGGTACCAGAAGCCAGGGCGTCGGCAAAATATGACAGCCTTTGGCCTCCGCTCGTAACGTCCTTGCCACGGAGCGAGAAGGGGATGAGGCCGTTCTCGCAAGAGGGCCTGGTAGCCATGGCAGCCAGAACGGGAGCCTGAGAAATATTGGCATGCATGCTGACATTATTGATGCCTGGGTGCAGGATAAGGTTGTCGATAAAGACGGTACCGATATCGTTGCCGTTGAGCAGATTTGAGAAAGAAGTATTGCCCTAGGGGATTATTGTGTCAGTAGGGGGGTTAGGACCTGGATGGCTCATGAGAACTTACAATCTCGAGGGTGAAGACAGAGTGGTTGGGAATTGACACATGACCCTTGAAGTTGTCGCCCCGTTCATCAGGGGTGATGGAAATTGTGTTGTCAGTGACGTTGAGACCCTTGAAACCATTGAGACCTTAACTATGTCAGTATGGGCAGTGGAAATCTTAGGGTAAACTCTGCACGTACCCTTCAGGGTGACGGTGTTCTTAAAGGTAACATCGTATTTCCTACTGATTCCAGAAACCTGAATGTTGGTGTCGCCCTTGATGGTAACCCTGACGGTCTCGTTGTTCTGGAACCAGGTGTTGAATGTCGTAAAGGCCGCCATGTCCTCAATCTTGATGGGCTGGCTGATATTGACGGTCTGCAGCTTGACGGACTTCGTCTCAGGAAAGTTGATGGTCACAAAGGGGGTGTGCGGCTCCAGATCCTCAAGGTACATAACTCCAGAGAAAGGCGCAATGGTAGCCTTGACCTGACCATCCGATTTGAGGGTCGAGTTGATGGACATCGTGTAGGTATCGGGTGTTGTGTTGGACACGGTGATTCCGTCGACTACAAGCTCCGCATGGTCAAGCTTCTTCTGGGCAATCTTAGGGACAGCGACGAAAATGCTACAGACATTGTTAGTCTCATGCTTGTGGCTGTGAGAGATGAATGGAAGGTCCGGCAATTCGAACTTACATTAAACAGACGATGAGAACAACAGCGGCGATGAAGCCGATGAGATACGCCCACCAAAACTTCGCGCAATGTCTCATACAGGACTTTCTCTTTCCGCTTCCTCCAGAGTTCACACCACCAAGGGCGTTCTCGGAATGGGAGATATCGTTCTTGTCTCTCATGATGACTGAGTCGGGATTTGCGTGTTATGGGTTATTAGGTGTATGGCAACCGTAAAGTTAGTGACCGCTCTCTGCAAGATTCCCGACGTATGTTGCAGGAGGAAATCGTCCGGCTGAATATCTCGACAACAATTCACCAGGTCAAATCCAAGACATCAACCGACAAAGTAGTCGAGTGGGACCAAACAAGTTTAAGTACAAAGATCGAGAGATGGATTCTGGGGGAAGTGCTGGGGATGCCGGGGAATAGTAGGCACCCTTAAAGCAGACAGAAGCAATAGCTCGAGATCTTGATGTCCACATCAGGCATGTAACCCTTTCTTACCCTTGGACCCATTCGACTAAGACGCCTCAACTCGGTAGGCAGACAGGGTAGTCTGAAGTCAGGCCGGGGGTGCGGGTACCTGGGCGTCCTCGAACATTGTGTAGGTGTTCCGCGTACTCCGTACGTCTTTTACATGTGGGCGGACGGTGCAATACCAAGGTGGATGTGGATGTAATGTGTGTGTCTATCGAACGGATACTTAACCCAAGTGCGTAACAAGGACAGCGGATCGACCAGTCAGATGGCACGGCGTGACTGGATGCAGGTGGGAAAAACTGTCAGGTTACAAAATTTGACATCCCAATCTGTGCTTGGTTAAGGAAGGATGGGCTGGCGGCGGTTGACTTGCAAGGGCAGGCCGGCAGCGTTGCCAGATTGGGCGGCACGCCGAGAACAAGGTCGACACCATCTCCAAGCAGTTGCCCCGCATCGTGTGTCGACAGGAGCTGGGGTGTCCCCTTGTTCACTAACACGCAGAGTTGCAATCCTGCTGGGCCACCGGAGGCGGTCCCTCGGCATCTTGTGAATAACATTGCGCTTTGATGGGAGGCATATGAAAGTGATCTCGTGTGTGGTTGCAGTGATTTGCGTCCATGGCACAACATACAGGCTGTGTGGCTTGCCCGCCAATCTGGCAAGGGGGGGGGTTCACAACCACACCGAGAACGAAGGTTGGTCGGTACGATGGAAATGATAATGTTGGGTTGTCCATCAACAACTTACGATAGGCTGTCCAGGTTTCCTTTCGGTTGGTTCGACAGATGGGGTCACTTGGATCGATGCGGTATAGCAGAAACAAAAGGTCAAGAGGCGAGCGGGTCCTCTTTTGATGAGACAAGCTTCATCATGGAGACGAGCGAACTGGCTGGCGTTGAAATCTGCCAACAGTTATCCACACTAGCCAGTTGGCCGCTTCAAGCAGGCTTCTAGCGTTGAAGAGAATGTTCTCTCCTGCCCAATCATACATACCATCGTGGCCTCCGAAGCTATGAAGGGTTCGTTCTATTCAACCCGCTTGCTAAAGCGCCACTGATCAACGCCTTAGGCTCAGCTCAAAGACCAATAAGCATATTAACCTTTGAAATCCAGTCAGGATTTGGTTTTTTTTGGCATTTAGATCGCACCGGATCTTGGCGCAGCTACCTAAGATGGAAAGGTAGCGTAAAGTGGCATCACAAGACAGACTTTTCGAAAAAGCCTAGATGCAGCGCAAGGTATTCTTGGCCATGGAGGGATGATTTCCTGCGTACGCATACGGGCGGGGGCAAATACACCAAGTTCGTGTAGAGAAATCAGCGGAACTACGGCAAGCCAGTGGCAGGCGACCGAAAAGGGCTGAAATGGGTTGGGGATGAGCTAGGATTGGCTGGGTCGGACGAATTGTTCGGAGATTTGACACAGAAGACCAATAATTCGCCTCTAAATAGAGGCAACCAGAGGCTAGAAGGGCGAAAAGTGACTGGGACCTTTTGCGCGCGCACCCACAAAAAAAAAAAAAACTGAAAGAGGAAGAAGAAGGTGCTCACCACACCATTGCGCGTGCCTGCAGCCCGGCCGTCCTGACCGGATATTGAGGTAGTTGCTCGTCGTGTGCCCACATACCCCTGCATACCCCAGCCTGGGCACAACGGGTGCTGGCGGGGAGCGGAGACCACTGCACTTTTTTCAACGGGGACCGACTAGTAAGCGGCCAGCCGCGCAGGAGGAGGGGATACAGGGCGGACAGGCGCCACCACAGCACAGAGCTGGAACGCGAGCTGGAGCCATAGTGGAGTCTGCAATACGCACCCACCGGAATCGCACACCAACAATGGCCAACGACTTGTCCGATGGTGGAGCTAGAGCTATCCAATGCCCTGTGCGCCTGCTACTGCAAGAAGCTTTTCTGGAAGGCGATAGTTACCCAATGTTACACTCATTTCGACATCTTACGTCTTTTTCGCCTGTGCCGCACCCTTTTTTCTTTTCTTTTTCTTCTTTTTTTCCTTTTTTTTTTTTTTTTTTTTTTTTTTTGCCCCCTTTCGTCTTTCGTCTGAAGATTTCCACATCAGATCAGTCTCCTATTATCTCTCTTTATCGGCTTCATCGTGCCACACGGGATACAACGGTCACCCTTGTGCCCCTGTTCCCCTGTAGAAGCTTCTTACCCGAGTGGGTTGAGCTGACTCGATCAGCCGAATGTTACGTTGTGGATGACACTGGAGGGGCACATCGTCTTATTACCTTCAAAAGCCCCATCAGTTTCCCCGTTACTGAGAAAAGTTTGCTATGGGCTTGGCTGACTCCATGTTCCGGTCTTCCGTGGTTATGTGTGGCAGAACACGCCTACATCAACAACAATGTGAAAGAGCTTCACTAATAGATTCCTCCCTCATATATTCAACAGTTTGCGACAGGTTCTTTCGACACCCTACCTGAAGGTTCAGAGTTCTAACGCGACATCTCCAAGATGTCGCTGTCTTCGACTGCGGTCCCCGGCCTATCAGAGACCTCAAAGACGTAATTCCGTCTCAAGTCGCCGCATCGCCTGACGTTTACTGACCGAGAAATGTGCCACACCATCCACCACGTCGGGTAATCTTGTCTTCGGATCTACGAATAAGAGCGGCGTCATCGGATCGGAAATTTAAACGGGAGGAACAAGGCTGCTGGTTTTCAAGGGGATTTTTCCAAAACGTCACGACAGTCAGTGACAAGATGACAATGGTATACATTGACTAGCAATGACTGACATACAAAGCTTAATATTGCGAAATCCAGAACTCTCTACAGCATTCTACACTCATTTATGACTCTACACGGCTTGACCAGGTCAAGTAAGCCTGCGGAATTACAACGCTGTTGTGTGTGCATGATTTCAAACACCAATTCCGCCATCCCCCACCATCTTCCTCCCGTTTATCCTTCTCTGAAGATCTCGAGATCCAGGCTTACCCTGAATCGAGCATAAGGCACCTCGCATATTCGTGAGACTAAGGGCAACGCAACCGCTTGACTTGGCGGGCAAGATGCGATCATCCGCTTCCGCGTCCCTCAATGTGTCCCTCGTAAACCACCGTTGCCCTATCATCCTTCTCCAGTTGCTCTGCAGCTCTGGGGACGTCCGCATTACAGCTTCGACTTCACCCACAGGCTAACCTTGTTCTCGAGTCCAGACTCGCCATCGTAGATATCCCTCTCCACCTGGCGAGTGTTGATCTGTGGCAGATATCAGCACCCGACGTCTCATACAAGTGTTGGAATTGAGTTGCGGTGGTGTCACTTACAAACTTGGGGCCCAGCTCGCTAACGTTCTTGGCACCTAGCAGCCTCATGCATGTTTCCATCTCTGCCTTCAAGACTAATAACAGAGTTAGCGACTCATCGACGACGACTCGTTTCCCCGCACGAAGACTTACTCTCAAACGTCCGCTCCACGCCGGCCTGACCTCCTGCGCCGAGACCGAAGAGAGCGGCACGACCAATGCCGACCGCCGTCGCGCCCAGGCAAAGAGCCTTGACAATATCCGTTCCACGCTTGATTCCACCATCAACCCACACTTCGATCTTGTCAAAGACCTCAGGGCAGTACTTGCGGATTTCCAGTAACGTGTGAACTGCGGGTGGCGCCGTGTCAAGAGCGCGACCGCCGTGGTTCGACAGAATAATGGCCTTCACTTGCGGTGCGTACTTGGCCGCCAGGTAAGCATCCTCGTGTGTCTGCAACCCCTTGAGCACAATGGGCAAATCGGTGTGCTCTGCCAGCCAGGGGAGGGTCGTCTTCCATGTGAGGTCAGCTGCTGTGCCGAAGAACAGCTGCTGACCAACACCACCACCACCTGGCCGCTTCGCCTCTGTAGACTTGGAGTTTGATTCCGACTCAACCTCGAACGCGCCCTCAAATTGCTGCTTCTCATCAAGCTCACGCTTGCCAGGAACTGGGGCATCCAATGTTAAGCAGATGTATTTGAAGTGGTCTTTCCTGGCATTGATGCGCTTCAACATGGCTTCACTCTTAGCCCTATCATTCTGGACGTAAAGTTGCCAGCCAAACACCTGGCCGGGCTCGGCACCCTCAATGATTTGTTCAGGCGTCATTGAGGCATTATTCGAAATGCACTGCATCGCATTGAACCGGGCAGCTGCCTTCGCAATGCCTCTCTCGCCATCAGGGTGGGCGAGTCTTGCCATAGCAGCCGGTGCTACAAACAGCGGAAGTCCCACGTTGTGACCCAGGAGTGTTGTAGATGTATCGACTTGAGTACAATCAACAAAGACACGTGGACGAAGCAGAATCTTCCTGTACACATTGCCGTTGTTGCTCTTGGTCCACAGGTCATCACTAGCTGAGTAGTAGTACGCCCATGCCTTCTTGGGAATCTGCTTAGTGGCAGCTTCCTCGATCTCATCCATGTTGAGCAACGTCTCCAAACGGGGCGGGCCCTCCTTGGGCTTTGCGTCCTGCGGCGTCGCTGGGACGGGCTGTAGCATAGCCAGCGACTCCGGGTCTATTGTGCCAAGGCAGTTTTCAGGCTTCAGGTTCTCCTCGAGGATACCCGGAGGATGGATCGGGTCGTACTCGTCAGTCGCATCTTTGCCGGACAGCTTCACAATAATCTTCGAGCCACCGGGGTGGGAAGGGAGGAATTCGGTAACATCGTACACTTTGCCGTAGAGCACCACCCAGCAACTCTCGGGGGTGTTGTGCTTAGCCACTACAACTCGGGTCAGCAAAGGGCTGATCGCATCTCAGCAACCACCCCGACAACTAACCTTCTTCAGCAGAGAATACCTTCGACATCGTGTCAGCAATTCGTAGGCTCAACCTGGCTTTTTTTTGTTCGAAAAAATTGGGAAGGATCCTGGGGATTGACCGGGCGGGCACATCATTGTATTAAGTCGTTAGCCATTTCGGCAGGAATTACCCCGTACGTCTGGCTCAGAAACCAGGCCCGTGGGGGGGTTGATCTGGGGTTGGGGCAGTACGTCCGTGAGAGCGAACCTGACGGCCGTCGAATCACAGAGCACATTTTGGTCAAGTGCTGTGGCTAGCACTGTGGGCATGGTGGAACCCACCCGTGGGAAGAATACCGCGAGCCCGCGAAAACCCCGACTTGCACCGACTTCGGACATGTCGGCGCGGCTCTCGGCGCTAGCCTAGACCGCTTCGCTTCGCTTTGGCGCGGCAGTAGGCACAGCTACTAGTTACTACGGAGGGGACGTCATCCACGCCTTCAGCGTCACAAATTTCGGTAATTTTGCCGCTGAGCATTGCAATACAGCTTTTTCAATCGCAACGATACCCTGCGGCAACCAAAACTCTGCATACCATATCGTATTACAGCATTTGGGCGTCAACATTCAAATTCATCAGACATGCGAACTTCAATCACGACTGGTACACGAGAAGCCTCTCGTCTCTGCGCAAGATGCAGGCGACAGGCGACCATGTCCCGGATGGCCGGCATGGGTGCGATCGCCAGCACATCGTTGGCTGCACGGAATGCACGATGGGCTTCAGAAACGTCCACCGGGCCGAGCCAAATGCGGTGGATGTCCGTAACAGCAAGCTTCTCTAGGCCGGCAACGGCGTCGCCCACGGAGCAAACATCCGTGGCCTCGCAGGATGGCAGCAGCAAGCCACCCGCTACGCACTACGACTTCTTCCCGATTACGCTCCCCGACGGGCCCCCGCCCAAGGGTCATTTTCCCATCGACCAGCGAGCCCTCCGGCGTGAATTCCTTCGGCTGCAGGCTAAGGCACACCCTGACATGCATCCAGCGGAGCTCAAGACGCGTGCGGAGGCGACATCAGCACGCATCAACGAGGCGTACAAGACGCTCTCGAACCCGTTGCTGCGGGCGCAGTACCTGCTTCAGCTCCGAGGCGTCGACGTAGCCAATGACGAGACACTCAAGGTCGAGGATCCGGAGCTGCTGATGATCGTCCTGGAAGCGCGCGAAGAGATCGAAGAGGCGACCGACGAAAGCGAGCTAGAGGGTCAGCGCGCGGCTAATGACGAGCGTATACGCGCGAGTGAGGAGGTGCTGGAGCGGGCCTTCCGAAACGACGATCTTGAGACGGCGAAACGGGAGGCAGTTAACCTGAGATACTGGGTCAACATCCAGGAGAGCCTGAACAATTGGGAGTCGGGAAAGCCGATTGTTCTGCAGCATTAAGTTGGGAGAGGGAAAAGAGTGATAAGATGGGCTCTTATTGCATTTTGTAGAGTAGGGGAGAGGAAGGAAAAGTGTATGTTTAGGCTGGAGGGTGAGCTCGCCATCATCAGCTGATGGTGGGCCGATGTTGGGAGATACCCGTGCATTTCATAATTCATGTTTGCATAAATCGGTGCAAAGTAGTGCATCCCTGTCCTGAGTGTTTGGTGGTCAAAATTGACGAGTCTGAGTCGTGTTCGGCAAAAATCCCCGAACCCCTTTAGATATCGGTCAAGCACTATGGTGCTTCAAAACAGTAAAGAAACCCATGAACGCTAACCGCCTAGACTCCGATTGTTCACCGAAGAGGTGTACTTGGGCAGGCTCGATTTCAGGTAATTTTCTCATTAGGGCAATTATTGTCAAGGTGGCTGTGATTGATGTCAGGGTTCTGGTTACACTGTGAGGTCACCAGCGGAAAGAACTGCGCTCCTCTGATTATGCCTTGAGTCCTGGGAAGGAAGAATGACAAAGAGATCGACTTCTTTAGTTACGATACTAGTTGCATTTGTTACTGTATTTTCCAAGACGCTTTGCTGCAAGCTCGGATTCTAGATATAACAAAGCTTATCAACAGCCTCAAAAATGAGGCTTGTGTAAGGCAGATATCCACAGTTATTTGCGTATTCACGGAGCCAGCCTTAACTAGCATTGCTCAGCATTGAGTTAGTGTTGGTGACACCCCGTCAACTTCATGTTTGACTATTAGAGCATCATGACTTGCGGGAAGCAGTAGTGATGCTGATGGATTGCCATGGAAGTCGAATCATGCCGAACTCAATATCAAAAAGCAAACTGTCCTGCACATCCTGTACGATATCGATAATTAACCTCAGCAGATAAGTTGAATATCGGACTCTGTTTTAGCAAAGACTTTGGAAGGCAAATAATGTCACATTCCCGACCATGGACCATGGACCATGGACGTGGGGCCCCTGCACCCCTCCATCTTCTAAGCTGTTACCCCACTATCCAACGTACCTGCCTAACCTTGCCAATTACAACAGCTCAGCTCCAGCTCTGCGACTTCACCCAACAGCACAGTTCCAGATTCTAAATACACCAAGTTGTTCGCACCACACATTCAGACAGAAGGCAGTGATTTAACGACGATATAGCACAATGGCACCCTCGCAAAAGGTTGCCCAGCGGCTCGCACAAGCCGAATCGGCCCCCGGCGACAGGACGAGCGCTTACGACGCCATCATCGCCGATATCAAGTCCCTCTCCTCTCCCCCCACAGCCGCCGATGACTTCAACGCCATTCTCGACGCCTTCTTCGCCGCCTCTCTAGGCATCGTTTCGACCCGTGCCGTGCTGGCCAACTTCGTTTCCGCCCTTCGCGACCTCAAGAATGACGACCTCTGGATCGCCGTTGGCAATCACACCCTATCGCAGCTCGCAACCCAGCCGTCCTCCTTCCTAGACCAAGTCGCCTCGGTTCGCGAGCTCGTCGCAGAGGCCCACGAGAACAACGAGGACTTCCTCGACGCTGCTAAGGCCCTCGCCGAAATTCCCCTCGACAGCTCCCAGCGGAAAGTCACAAACGACGACAAGGCCCGCGTCTGGGTCCGCATCGCCCGCAACTATCTCGAGGTCGACGACACCACCGCCGCCGAGACGTACGTCAATAAGCTCAAGAATATAATGCACACTGTCCAGGACCGCGACCTCGACCTACATTTCAAGCTCTCGCAGGCCCGCATCCTCGATTCCAAGCGCGACTTCCTCGGTGCCAGTGGAAGATACCACGAAATCAGCCTGAGCCCGGCCATCGCCGAGGAGGAACGTCTGCATACTCTTAGCATGGCGGTCAAGTGCGCCATTCTCGCCCCTGCGGGCCCGATGCGAAGCCGTGCGTTGGGCAAGCTGTACAAGGACGAGCGGTCTGCAGGCCTGGACGAGTTCGGTATGCTGGAGAAGATGTTCTTTGACAGGCTGCTCGCGCCCGAGGAGGTGGAGAAGTTTGCACAGGGTCTGCAACCCCACCAGCTCGCGACGACAGCTGACGGGTCCACGGTGCTGGCCAAGGCCGTGGTAGAGCACAACCTTCTTGGCGCCTCGCGGCTGTACCGGAACATCGGCTTCGAGGCCCTCGGCTCCCTGCTCGGACTGGACGGAGAGAAGGCGGAGGAGACCACGGCGCGGATGATTGAGCAAGGGCGGTTGTTGGGCCGCATCGACCAGCTCGAGGAGGTGATTTGGTTCGAGGGCGGTGAGGCGTCGGGCCAGAAGGGCAGCGGACGGGCCGAGGTCACGGTGGGCAAGGAGATGAGGCAGTGGGATGCGAATGTGCAGAGCATGGCCGAGGAGGTCGAGAACGTGACCAACGCCCTGCAGAAGCAGTTCCCCGTAAGTGTAGACTCATTTCCATCTTTCATCAACTCTTTGACATACATGAACTAACTGTCTGGTTTAGGAATTCGTGGAGGCCAACCTGGTTGTATGAGACGACAATTAACGTATGACGTTGGGATGATGAACCTATCTGGCGTTGTAAAGGGGTGGAATACATTGGGCGTTCTCTTTTTTATGTTTTTTTTTGGGGGAGGGGATCATACAAAATGAGCATAGCACAGCAGATCATCAAGAGTTTCGTCTGAGCCGGACAAAGATAAGGCTGGAGGTGTCACCGCAGACAAGCCGACAATAGAGCACGAGAGCAGAGCAGAAAGAGAAGAAGAAGAAAAAAAGGCTCCAAAAAAACCAAAAGAGCTTGCGCCGTGAAAAATAAAAATAAAAAAGGTATCTAATCCAAATCCCTCATTCGCACAACGACGTATCCCTCGCTTAGAGATCGCGGGTCACCCGACTCCTCGTCGAAGGAGACAATGTCCTCCTCCTTGTACCTCTTTGCGCGCTTCGACCTGCGCGAGCTGGGATTCCGCTCCAGTTCGATAAAGTTGCCCAACGCCTCGGCCACGTGGCCGCCCATCCAGTCGTACCCCGCGGGCGTGAGGTGCACGCCGTCGTCCCAGTACTTTTTGCGATCTCTGTCTGGGAGGGCGTGATAGGGGATTCTGGGGTTGAGGTCGAATGCGTAGCTGGGCACGGGTCAGTCTTGCTTGGTTTTTTGTGAGTGTGCGCGAAAAGGATTTTCGCCCGTGAAGAAACGGAAAAATGCGAAACATACTAATTTGGTGCTTTATGTGAGAGTATGGCGGAGTTTAGTTTTCGTCTTCTGTCGTCGAGATCCGCGCTCTTATAATGGACCTCGGGTACAGTCAGCGCGAGTACCTTGCTCCCTTTCTCGAGGGCAGAGTCGTAGACTGCCTTGAGAGACTCGAATGTCCTCTCTGGCGGTATGTTGTATGCCAGATCGCTGAGAGGGTGGTGTTAGTATCGTCGAAGTACGAAGGCGCTGTGCGGCGGGGGTGGGCAACTTACTTTGTGCCGCCTAGGATAACGACCCAGTCGTACTTATTCTGGTTTACTAAATTCAAATCAGCATAAAAGCACATTAGAAAAATCGATCGCAAAGACATGAAGGAAATGAGAATAGAAGCGTGACGTAGACGTAAAGTCAAATATGACGGCGGGTAAACGAACCTTCGCTCTCAAACCGCTTCGCGAACGCGACGTGCGAAACTACGTCCCCCGGCATGCCGTTATCCGTCGCAATAATCTGGGTATCCGACAGGTCGTTGGACAGCTTCTTGGTGAGAGCGATGGAGTACGGGTGATAGACGGTGCCGTACGCCGAGTACCCCGCCGTAAGCGAGTCACCGAAGCAAAAGATGCGGAGCGTCTTGTCCCTGGCCATCTTGTCGTCTGCCGGCCCTTTTCCCTTTTTTCCTATGGCAAATCCCTACGCGAATGAGCTCTGAGCTATCTCGTTTCCCCCTCCCTCTGTGAACACTACTTTGGGCGATTCCCGTTGAGACTGATTCTCCTGTGGGACTTGACGTGTAGTTGGTAAGCCGTTACGATGACGAATGATGTCGTTGTGAGTATTTGATGATGCTAAGAGCAATACAGTGCACCACGCGATGATGGCGGTGAGTCAGACCGGCGTAGCAAACCAAGATGTTTGTGTCAAAATCTTGAGATGAACAACCGGGAACGTGGGATTAGTCAAATAATGCTTTTTACACACTGCAGAGGATCGGAGGTCGTTGAGGCTGACGGAGGTAAGTGAGGTCAGGTGGGGTGGCGGCGGCGTCGGTAGTGGTACGGGGTGACCTAACGGATATAGACGGGGGTGGGGGGAAGCGGGAATGGATGGGGGGGATGTGGAAGAGGAACCGCCTGTGAAGGGATTCCCTAGACGTTTTTAAGGCTGCTGCAGCCACTGGGGTATTCCCCACTACGCTTCAATGTGAGAAGGCAACAGGTGCTGCGAACACCCAAACCCACTCACACACCACACACACACACCGACGCGGGCGAACTCATCGATGACTGTGAGTGAGCACAGGCAACAGCGAGGAGGCGGAGCCTGCTTCACCTTTTGGTCGAACCGTCAGAGCCTGCTACTTTCATCATTGCGCTCGCTGATGTAAGCCTGCCTGTGCCTCTCTGTCCAAACACCCGGACAGACAACGTTCACACTCTCACTCACAACCACGCTCACACTCATTGAAGAGAATATTCCTATCGCAAGATACTACTACAACATCACACCGAAACGACGAACACTCTGTAATGTTTCACGAATTATGGGAATAGCGGATTCCTTATTGTCAAGCCTCTATCAAAGAGGTAATTGATCTATCCTATCCTAGCTACATTTCTACTACTCGTCACCGTCGAGCTTTAAATACCGTTGTATAAACATTAAGCACATGTATCCCTTGTCTTCCTCAACCTCAGATGTCTGTCGTTCATGGTATCTATTCCCCGCCCGAGACAATTTGCAAATCATAAAAAAAAAGGTTTGTGTCGTCAATGAAGAAAAGAAACTTGAAAACCAACAAAAATAAGGAAAGAAAAAGTAGAAAGAAAAAGAAAAGAGGTAAGTGAGTATGGAGATCTCATCTCCATAAGGGGGAGGGAAGGGGGGTGTGCTTGCGCGCCTTGAAAAGTTTCAGGTTTCATCATCACGCAAGTTCCGGCTGGTGCCACCGGCCCCTCTCCGTATGCCACCACCGCTCCTTGTCCTTCTTCTCCGTCGCCGCGGACGCAATGTTCCAGCGCCCCGAGCACCCTTCTTTGCCGTTCCCTATGTCCTCGCCGTGGCTGCTGGACACGATGTCCGTCGTCTCGACGAGCCCACCGCGCTCGTCCGAGGATCCCCAGTCCGGACGGAGGTTATATGTGATACGACTCTCGGCGGTGCCGATGAAGCCCGCGAAGCCGTACTTTTCCAGCAGTGTGCCGTCTTCGTCGATAATGTTGGCGAAGAAGCGCGGGATCGGACGCGCGGCCTCGAGGCGGGACTGAGCCGCCAGCCGGGCCTGGTGAAGGTTACTGCACTCGCGGAATGTCTCGGACGTGGGCGGCGGCGTGGCGGCCGTCGGTGATTGGGACGGTTTAGTCGGGGACGACGGGTTTGTGACGGGGAACGAGGCGCTCCGCCCAGCGGGGGGGCGAAAACGGTCGCTGGCCATGTCGGCCCTTTCCTGGGGGCGGCACAGAGCCTGGAAGATGCCCTCCGGGTCGTTCGGAGCGCGAAGGCTACGAAGGGAGGGAAAGCCGCTGGCGGCGATGCTGCGCGCGAGGATGGAGTCGGCCGCATTCGCATTCGTGGTGTTGCTCGTGATGTCCCAATGGAGCTTTCGCAGGGAGCCGGAGGCGAGGTAGGGCATCAGCCAAATGAAGGTGTCTTCGGGGAGAGTGGGGGCGAAGCTCTGCACGAGGGAGAAGGACTCTAGGTAAGTAAAGTTGGAGAAGATTCTGGCGAGGGCGGGTAGGGAGTCGAGATTGATGTGGCGCAGAGTCAATTTTTGGATCGCCTGGCTTGTGGGTAAGGTAGCCAAGGCCGAGATTCCGGCACTGGTAACGCCGGGGACGTGTGAGAGCGATAGCGTACGCAAGGGGGGAAGCGAAAGCAGGGCGCTATCGTCGAACGCGGTGACCGGCATCCGAGACAAGAAAAGGTGCTGAAGAGATGTCAGGTGCATCAATGTCGAGCTGACGAGGTTGTCGGGGGTGAGGGTTGCGCCCGGCAGGCAATGGATCGTGAGGGTCGTCAGGTGAGCCCAATCGAGGTGGAAGTCGAGAAAGGCTGCGCTCTGGTGCGGTTGCAGGTCTCCAGGAGTCACAGAATCGCGCTGCGGTTGCGTCATTGCCGCAGCATTACTCGACGAACTCGATCGGAATCGGTGCTGTCGTTGGTAGGGCGAAGGCTGGATAAGCCAGTCCATATGCTTGAGCCGCTTGCGAGTTGAAAGGGCGTGGAAGAGCTTGCTAAACGAGTGGTTGTATTGAGGGTGAATACCCATGAGGCGCTCAAAGTTGGGGCAGGCCATGACCAGCGCTGCCACCTGGTTGTAGTAATCCTCCAGCGCGACGCCTGCGGGCGGGCTGGGGACTTTTACGACGTGAACCATTGCGGCGAGATGAGGGTTCGCTCTCAAAGTCCGCCGCAGAAGCATCATTCGCGTGCCAAAGGTGAGCTTGTACTTCTTCTTTTGTGCTGCCGAATCGAGTCCGACCAGCTGAATATCTTCATACCTGCAATCACATTAGCAGGAAGGCCATGCTTCTTGTCATGGGGGTCACCTTACAAGGCAACTCGCGCATATTTGCACCATTTCCGCGCCGTCAAGCTGATGGAACAGAGATCCCTCATCCAACACGTCGCACAGCTCTCTTTGTTCTTGTCTAAGTGTAGCTTCTTCAGCTCACCCAGAATCAGCTCAAGCACCTCTCCAGGCAGCTTCGCAAAGATCTCTCCGGGCTTGGCCTTCTTCCTAAATGCCACGGGCTGACTCGGTCGGTTATGCAGGTAGTCGGGCTTCCACGAATCTCTCGATTCGAAGCTCGTTCTGCTGCTGTTCCATGATGCGCTTCGGGACCGCGTCTCAAAGCTTTCTCTGGGACTATTTACGCTGCTGACGGTGACGGTGGAGGCCTGCGAGAGCTTCCTTGGTCTGTTGAGCGGCGACGGCATCGCCTCGACAACACCCTTCACCTCGGTAGGCGTAGTCTGTAGGGCATATGGTGTGCGAGGGATTCGCGAACTGGTTCGTGGGGGCGGCATCTTTTCTATTAACTGCTCACGCTCCGGATACAACTCTGTTGGAGCTCCGAAGTAAGCCGGGGCGGGTCCGTGGCTGGCGGTCATGACGGGGATCGAGGATGGGGGCGCGGCGGCGGCGGCTGCGACTGAGACGGTGGTAGTAGCGGCGGGGACAGTTGGACGTGAAGAAAAACGGCCAGGGACTCTCAAGCGATTACCATCATATATGATATACGTGGAAGCAGCAGGTGAAGCGGTGGCCCGTCTCTTGTGTTGTTGAATCCTCGAGTTACTAGGGTGCGGGAGGACGTGTTAATATTAGGCAAACCCACAACGAGTGAGAGTGAGAGTGAGAGTGAGAGAGAGCGCAAACGGGAATCGGCAACAGCCCACGTTCTCCAAGCCAAGAAAGGACAAGATTCGGCAAACAGCAAGAAGCGAAAAAACAACAAGATTAAACAAGCGCCAGCATGACGTGACGAGGGGGTCTCTGTCAATTTTAATACGAAAAGCCCGGAGAAAAAAAACCGCAAAGGCCGGCATTGGTAGTGAAAAGGCTGCTGTTGCTGCTGCTGCAGCCTGAACCCTGGGCTGAGCGGAGGTTGCCTACTGCGGCCAACGTCCATAGTCTGGCAGTACAATCAACAGAGGAGCGTGGGCAGTGCTCAGACAGTTGCTCTGATCATCCTATCCCAATGCAGTTTGATGGCACTGATGGATGCCCGCTCATCCACTGAGGGGGGAGGACACATCCCACCCCTCCACACACCCCCTTGGGGCACTTGGGCCCTTGGGCCCTTTGGTTCCTGGTTCCTTAGGGCCTTGGAGGGGGCTCCTTGGCCCGCCTTTGCTAACCTCAGCCGTAGACCCGTCTTAGGTGTGTCGAGGCTTAGAAAGGCGTTTAGGGTGACGGGCTAATTCACGCCGTAGTCGAGTCGCGCAATCCGGCAACGTGGGCGCGGTGAACGACTCCCTACTTTTGGCACTTGCGCTAGGGCTTAGACTATATGCGGCGCGAAAAAAAGCGACAAAAAAAAGGGACGAGAAAGAAAGATAGAGAAGGAAATCTGTCGTGGCGCGCCGCTTGGCGGATAGTGGCGCGAACCTTGTCCTGTCCTGCAACTGGCAGAGACGCGCGCGCCATTGTTCCAGGTGGAAATTACGAAGCTCCTGAGGGCCCTGTTGGCCCCCATGAGAGCGAGGTCTTCACCATCTCTTTTCAAAGCGTTTGTGATTGGGAGAGTCCGATCGAAGTCGCAAAAAGGTGCGTGATGAACAGATGCGCAAGGATGATAAACATGATTCAATCATGGGTCTACCCAACTCTGAGCTGGAACTAGAGATTAGGGGACAAGGGGTATCTCGCAAAAGGGCCAGGGGGAAATGTCGGAAACGTGGGAGAAACAAGAGGAGCTCGGGGGAATAAAAGCTCCATCCATGCTCCAAGAGCGACGATACATTCCCATCTCGAGAAGTGACAGGTCGAAGCTGGGCGGATTATCAACCCCCGCAACCAGCAGGCTCAAGGCTGGGCCAGAAGATCTCGTGGGGAACGCAATCTAACGAGAAGACAGATCGAAACGCTCTCTGCATAGCAGGAAGTGGCTTTGTTTGCAATCACGGCGATTTTGGCGCTGCGAGATGCATGTGTTGAGTGCACTGCTGCAGGCATGGATGAATCCGCGCCAAAAAGTAAAATGCGAAATTGCAAACCCATCCAACAACTCCTGTCAGCTCAGCTCCGCTTGGAAGCCTCGGGCGCCGCTAAATGAGGCGTGGAGTAGCGCCCCATCCACTCACTTGGGAGTCGAACGACGTAACAATAGTCGGACTTGTACCCAAAGTCGTCATCGAGATTTTTTTGTAAATGTGGGCAAAGGATAAGGGAGGAAAAAAAAAAAAATCAAGAGCAGCACGCGTAGACAACGTGGATACCATGAATGATGTAACAGTGAGAGAGGATGAACCTGAAGCCCAAACAATGCTACCCCAACTTGAAGAAATGAAACAAATCTCAATGTCAGGGCAGGCTAAGAAGGCGCAGCAAAGATGCAATGCATCAGAGCTACAGTAGAACGGCAGCGAACTACAGGACACGAATGCCATGCAAAGTGAAGTGTACATTACGAGCAGAGAGCAACAAGAGGGGGCAAAGAGAAAGGGGGGGGGGGGGGGGGAAACGATGAACGGAAACGAACGAGGCAAAGCGAAAAGTGGACAAATAGAGTATACAATATCCAATGGCAGCCGAGACGGGAATGGAGACTGACTAGCTAGAACCGAACCGAGAGGGGCAAGCCGAAAAGACTTACAAGACTTCTTCTGATTTGTTGCTATTTTTGACGTCGAGGAAAACGTGTGCGTACACTCCTCGCCGAATCTCGTTGGCACGCTTCTCGTCCAGCGCCGAGAGCGACTGTCTTGCTGCCGGGACCAAGCAGGTCGGGATAATGTCGTCCTCTTGTGGAATGCCGCGATTACGATCGTAGCCGTAACCCCCGTAACCGTGGCCGTAACCGTGACCGAAAGTCGGGTCGAATCGATGCTGGATGCCGTTACTCTTCATCGCTTTCTCTGCAACTGGAGTATAGGATCTCGGGGGTACCGCCGTCGAGATCGTTCGTGGAGGTTAATCGGTATTGAAATTCTCGATTGTTGATTTCTGTTGTGGCCGTGCCTCGACGTCGGTAAGGTTCGATGGTCGCTGTCTTGTTTGACTTCCTCTCTCTCTCTTCTTTTCTTTTTCTTTTTTTGGTCGATGCGTTTTTTCCCTTCTCTTTGCTCTTCTCGCTCAGCCGCACCGCTTCAGCTGAGGCTCACACGCCGGTATGGGGAGGCAACCCTTATTTATTGTTGCCAAAAGGTCCCTGTAACTTTTCCCTTCATGAGGTCGTTGTGCCGTAATTTTAATATATTCAACGTGGGGAGCTTGGCCAGCTGCCAGTCGTACTTGAGTGGGTTTTCGATTCAGTAGCCCCGCCTAGACCAAGGTGAGGGCATCACCAAGCAGGCACACACAGGGCTGAAAAGGGGGTCAGGAATAGAAGCCCAGACCCGGACCCATTTCCAACAAACCAGAAAACAAGAGCAAGACGACGTAGTAAAAAACAAAAAAAGGAGGGGGGAAGAAATGAGAGAAATGAGCTGCGAGGGTTGCAAGATTGCAGGAACACCGTTGCTGGGTGCATTATATCTGAACAAAAGTCACCACACAAAATAATCTACGCCTTCGATAGATCCGTCAAGTCGTAGCTACGGTAAGACACGTCCATGTGTCGGGCGTTTGCCCCCAGCCAGGCCTGGCCCATCCTATCGACTTTCTTGATGCAAAGCAACGCAATATGAGGGCAGCATTTCTGCAACACGGCGGCTGGGAGATGCTTTAGTCGGCATGAATGATTGGAATGCGGGCAATCTAACCCCTCTGCTTCCCCCCTCGTCTAGCTCACCGCGCCTCCGTCAAATCGACGATATGTCGCAGGCTACCCATACAATATGGCACCCACTTTTTTTTTCCTTTGGGCGAAGACGGCCTGCGTGCACTACTGAAAGTAAAACAAGGTTTGACCAGGGTTGACGAGGTTACTGGAGATCAGGTAATTCCTTTGGTGGCGGAGCGTAAGACGAACGACGACAACGACTCCCGAATCTCGAAGCCAATAAGCTGGTCAGAGATAGCCAAGGCATATGCCATCATTCCCCGTGGCCGTTTCGCGGGGTTACGGCGAACCACGTTGACGTCCAGTAATATGACACTTGCACATGCATGGTTGTCCATTCGAAGCAACGCTTCGAGAGTAGGTGACAAGCAAGAGTGATGTGATTGATTGTGTGCGAGCGGTGGTCTCGGGCAAATAGGAAACCGTCCTGGGCCCTTGCTCCCACATCCGTCTTGTCGTCTGGTCTCATCTTTCTAGCTTGTCGTCCGGACGTTGAATCCGCGAATGGGATGTGCGATGCCTTTGGTTTGCATGCCGGCGAGTGGTTGGGGGATCCCGTCCCGCCTTGCAGCGTCAAACACACCATGATTAGGGTGTGCTGCAGCCAGCCATAACGGGATTCTCGGCCTCGAGATTTCGTTCCATGGCACGGACGGGGCTGGAGCCTCCATGGCTGCAGTATCGGATGTGCCGTCCCTTCTTTACCCTGCTTCTTTACCTTGGCGAGGAGCAAGGCCAACTCCAACATCAGGAGTAGGAGTAGGAGCAGGAGCAGGAACAGGAACAGGAAGTGGACACAAATGCAACAACACGGAAAGTCTTATCCTCTATTCCCCACCCTGAGGATCATCGATCAAAGGCTCTGTGCCGTCGCAGCGCGTGCTGAGGTTGCATCAAAGTCGCCTCGTCAATCTTGGAAAAAGATTACACGCATTCGCTTCCCGCGTCAGCTTCCCGTGTTCGCAGTAACCCTCTGCCCAGGTCCAGCGACCATCTGTCTGGTTCGTGGTTCCATCGCATCCAGGATTGCGGTTCATTGCAATGGTTCATGCGGGAGGCTTGCCGCTGAAGGGTGTGCGCAGCCTTCCTGGGCCATTTCGTCTGCACCCGCAGCCGAGGCCGAAGAGTAGAAGGAAAAAGAACGCAACTAGAGTCTGGATAGGATGGTCCCGAGAGATCGGAGCAAGGTAACTCTTTCAGGTTAATCGTTGCCCAGGTGAGAGTTGGTTTCAACGGGCGACCCTGTTGCTTACACTAGCCCCAACTAGCGCACTCAGCACAACGAGAAGAAAAACACCAGCCTCTGTACTTTCGAATGCTAGAAGTGGACCGCGTCAGGAACAATGGGCCCTTTGTCCTCGCATTGGAGGCGAGCCTGGCCTAGTGCAGTCAAGTTCGTTTCTGGCTACAGTGCTTGCGCGTCGAGTGCGGTGATGATGATGCAAGACCAGATTTTTTTACCGGCGTTGGTGCAAGTGTATAGCTGGTGCTTGCTTGCAAGTTGGAAGCGCAACGGAAAGAAGGAAAAACGACCCACGAAACTTGGAAGGATGGGAAGGCGGGTTTGCCCCTCCCGCACTCAGCCTAGAGCGGGTTGACAGTTGTGGATGGTTAAGGGAAAGCAAGCGTCATTGGATGAGCTTTCCTTTCCTTTCCTTGCCTTGCCTATCATTCTTTCTTCTTTTTTTCTTTATTCCCTCCTCCCTGGAGTAAGTGGAGATCTCGCTTCCCATGTGTAGAAAGAGGTTCGGGAGCCCCGATCTTTCTTTCCTGCGATTTTCAACCAACCTCTTTTCGCCTCAGTTTCTGGGGCGATGGGGCTCGCCTGCCGAGATCTCCGCATTGCATCATCGTCTCTTTGCCGACTGAATCAACCCTCCAAATGCTCCATTTTGCATGCCCACATCACCCCGTCACCCGGCTATCTCGGTCCCGGCATGGAGCGAGCCTGTGTTGCGAGAGTTGCGGGCTGCATGCCGCCGCCGTCTCGGCAAAAAGTCCCAGGATCTCCACATCCGCTGCCTTGATTGACTTTCTATCGACGTTACAACCCCATTGGCGGGTCATCTCCAGTATCATCTTCTTCCATCGTTATCCCGTCTCACATCCCACAAGTTACCCACGAACCTTTACTTTATGTTCAGCAAGGGCAGTGCGCCGCGCAGCTCGTCCGTTCAAACCCACCGTGCATGTCGTCCGAGCTTTATTTAAACATGTCCGTTCGTCCCAGTATCTTAGTCGACCGGGGCCACTACTCATGCGTCCGCTAACCAGGTTCCGCTGTCAACGCTCTAGTTCTTTATTTTTTCTTTCCCGTTAACACAACCTCGTGGCAAGGAAACATGTGTTGCATGGCCCAACGGGCACCGTGCCCTGCCCGTCCAAGCAGTCCTGACCCTACCGACTATGAATAGATCAGGGCAGTCCACAGACTTTTTTTTTTTTTTCACTTAACTCCCGACAGAGAAACAGCAAGTTTAGGTTCATATGTGGTCGCAGTATCCCTATGACAACCGCCGTAGTCATTTTCTATATTTTTGTCTTTCCAGGCCAGACGTCCAACGACTATGGTCCAAGCTGAAATCCTGCCTTGAGTTTGGGTTGAGACTAGCCTGTGAATGGGCCGGTAAACAATCCGAGGCCCATTGGTCTTATGGGATCCATTGTGTGTGCTACTGTTCAAGTCATCATATTCAAAGTCTGGCAACACCCTTAATCGCCGACGTGTATCAGTGAGCATGGTCTTCTTTTTTCCAACCGAGTGCCAGTGCCCCATTCCCATCACCAAAATCCAACATTGTTATGCCAGTACGTGGTCATATGCTCGTTTTCATGCAAATCGTACCTGGCGCAAGGGCTTTTCGGTCTTTTCTGCTAGCATCTTCTCATTCTCTGGGTGATCCGTCCCCGGATTTCCTGCGTTGCTTGAGACACCATTCATCACAACGTCGGCGTGTGCATTATCACCATCTTCCGTAAAGCGAACTCTCCGTGCAGGGTGGGAAGTGGTGTTTGAACCGGTTTGTAGTCCCGGACTTGGGGATCGCTTCAAGCCACTCGGAGGCCTTACTGCCAGTTGACGTTCCTTGACAGATGAACCAAGGCCTACATCCCCCATGATCAGGTCTTGATCGGGGTGCTGCTCTCGGCCAAAGCCGCCTCCGAATACTGGTTGGGGATGCTTCAATGGAATGGCTTGCGCCAGATTGTCCTTTTGGTCCTCTGGCAACGGGATGATCCCGGCGTTCAAAATCCAGTTGTAGATGGGCCGGTCATCCAGAATCGTCTTGCATTTCCAGTGCTCAATCTGGGACATGCTCTTCTTCCGCTCCACAATCACCTCTTCGATGCTTCCTCGGAGAACAAGTGTCTCAACTGTGACAGGCTTCTGCTGGCTGATACGCCTTGCACGACCTATTGCCTGTGCTTGTATCTGAGGATTCAGAACTGGATTAATGAAATAGATCCTTGACGCAGCGCGCATGTCCAGTCCGACAGCTGCCTGTGACAAATCCATGAGAATCACACTGTTAACAATGTTAGCATCTGGGACGAAGCCACAAGGCGGCCGACGTACCGAAACTCGGCTTCATGATTAAAAGTATTAATGTACTGCATCTTGCGTTCATAAGAAAGCGTTTTTGCATAAATTAGGTGTGGTACTTGTATCTGGATAATCTTCTTAGCTTCTCCATGTCAAATATCAGACACTGAACTTACCACATCGAGCAGGCTTGCTAAATACCATGCCACATTCTCATTTTCATAGAATATGATCATCTTCTCCTGCTTTTGATGTTCCGCAACTGCATCAATTAAGTAGGAAAGCTTAGCTGACACTGTGGACACAAGCTCGGCTTTCCTAAGATCTTCAGGGGGTTCCAGTGTTGGTGGAGGCGGACCATTGACGGCATGAATTGCGTTTGCTCGTAGATGCTTAGGAGTCCTTTCGCCTCCAAGTTTAGTATTACCTGCAAGGACGCATGGCGTTCTTGTTGGTCGTCGTTCGGCCTGTGATACCTCAGAGCTTGAGTTGACTTGATCGGCCATTTCTTTGTGGCCCGCCTCGAGCAGTTGACCGTTCAGCAAACTGTTTAACTTTGTCGGATCTCCCAAGGACGAGCGAATCAGCTTCTGTACGGCCATCACCATGCCTGCATCTGTGCAGCTGGGGTTGGTATTCTTCTCGTCCAAAGACCATGCCGCCCCCGCATCATTAGGAAGAAAATCTCGAACAAACACGGGTATCTCATTGAAGAAGTTGCTGAGTGTTTTGAGTGGATTTTCGATGGCAATACGGGCGATTTCCATGGCCTTCTCGAGTAATACTTCATCGTCCTTACTGATGGCAACCTTTTTCTCTTCCAAAAACTGTTTAGCAGTGTCGAGTGATTTCTGAATGTCCTCGGGCGCGAAGAAGGAGCCACCGAAGAAGCTAGCTTGCTTCAAATTGTGCAGTAGCTGAAGCAAGGCCTTCTTTTGTCGGGGGTGGAAGAAGTAATCCATGTCGGTTCTCTGAGACTGCACGGCATTGAAAATAATCATCATCGAAAAGATGTTCAGTGACAATTTGTCTTGATACGATCCTTCCAGAACGACAATGTTCTCGTTGACGGCCGGCAGCAGATTATTGAGCTCAGACAGTTGGTGCCTGATAAGCAGAGAGTTCAGCGTCGCTCGCAGAACGCCTTTTCGGCCACTGCTCCTCGAGCTGTGCCTGGGCTGCATGACATATACAGCCCAGTCTGCTGTCGTATCTTCCGTTTCCAACAACGTGTTTGACCAGGGTCGAGCGTTCAAATAGAGCGAAGCTATCGCTCCAATCTTCTCAAGATCCTGCTTCTCTGTGTTCGCTGCGGATGTATCCTGTACCAGCGCAGCACCGTCTTCATGGACGCCACTTGTGCCAGCTTCGTTATCCACACCGTACAAGCCGGGAGAAGGAGTACCCGTCACGATCCACCTAGCAGCGATGGACATCAGGTCTAAAGCAAGGAGAAGATCGCTTTTGTTCAATATTTTAGAATGTCCCAACTTGTGGCCTTCGTCGACGATGCAGCGCTTGAAGTGAACCTCAGACAAGGTGCTCCCATGCATCAACGTCTCCTTGTATATCTTCAGGAGACGGGACTGAGATATGAGGACGATGTCGTACGTTACCAGCCGTGCAGCAGACGGAATCTCTCCTTTATGGCTGGTCAAGGTAAGGACTTTGAGACTAGCTGGGTCTTCAGAGGCAACAGTGTGCTTGCTAATTTCTTGCTCCCATTGCTGAACCAGGTTGTTGGGGACAACCACGAGTGACGCGTGACTATGCCAGATTTTCCTTGGCGGTTGTTCCCCTTCTGTGGCATTACGCCGAAGGCGTCTCGGAGGGGGGGCTGGAACAGAATAAAACCCGGGATTCCGGTCGATTGCGGCGAGGCAGTTGGGAAACTCCAAGTCTTCCTTGATGCCGTAGACGTTGAAGTAAGTTTTCCAGGGAGCGGCTTTCCGAGTGACACTAGCCGCTGCCATATCTGCTAGCGACGCTATGCGCTTTCTGACGAGAATGTCGCTTCCTTGATATATGTCAGGCGTCTGGGTGGCTGAATGCCTCGTTGCCAGAATGACGGATAAACAAATTAGTGTCTTGCCGGCACCCATCTGTTCTGCCAGAATGCCACCTTTGACACCGTCATAGTACCGGGGCTCCTTAAGCAGGACACCAGAGCTGGTATCAAAGTAAAACTCAACACCATTCTGGTCTATCCCTTTGAGTAACCGTGGATCCAGGAACCGGCCCGGCTCGCTCTCTCGCTCGATCATCAGAGCAGCCGAACGGCGCTGATAATCGTACAGAGTGGTTTTCAGACCGGGAAGCTCGCTTGCCAGGATAGCGTATGCGGCCTCTTGATCGGCCTGGTTGACGATAGCATTAGGATTTGGGTCTGGTGAGGGCATACTGTTGAACATTTGCAAAAGTGAAAGGGCCTCATCTCCAGCGTCGACTCCCTTCACAGAATGGTTGGTGATTGATATAGGTACTGAATTTATCCGGCCCTTCCAGGTTTCGGGTGAACAGTCGAGTAAGTTGAGAAGAGACCCTCGCAGGCTTTTCAGCTTGCTTCGAGCTCGGTCGACAAGTCGCCTGTCAATATCGTCAGGAAGCGCATAAATCCTGGCAACGCCAACCTCTGCGTTGCTGCCGGTGACCATGAATTCCAGGCGAATCCATCTTGAAGCGGCAAGAGGCCTGTAGTTCTTGAAGGGCGGAGACGTCAGAAGCGCGTCGTCCGTGTCGTCGAATACGGCCAGTTGGGTGCTGCTAATATCAGGAACCTGGCCTGTCGGACATACGTAGGCCCAGCTTTCGTATCTCTCTTGAAATTGCTTCCATGTAACGTCTTCAATGGCAGTTTGCTTTTGACTTGTGACCAAGCACCCAATGGGGAGGTAATTCGATGGTTTCGACATCAGCGCCGAAGTTGCCACCAGGCGCCCCCGGTTTACTGAGTGATTGGGTGATGACCGTCATGCGGCAAGGCCGCGTAATAATCATTCAAAGGAGTTAGTTTGGCCTGAGGTTTTGAAGTTTGTATCGCTGGTAATAAGGATGGATGAATTCGGAAGAATATTGATGGTGCGGGTGTTTCAGTGTAAGAGGGGAGCAAGAGACTAAGGTGAGAGAGATAATGTTTGGGGTAGGAGCCTTGCCACAGTAAAATAAGGCAACCACTCACACTGACTTTCGCTCACCCATGTCTCAATGGCATACAGTGCGGCGCAAGCGCGGCTGGAACAAGGCAAGCGCAACCCAAAGTCCTTCGCAACTTAATTTTTGTATTTCTCACTTATCGGTTCTCAACTTCAGCTGAATTATCTTAGTCCACGAATTAAATCAGAAATTTGGCTCCCCGGCGCGTAAACTCCCTTAGTCGTTGTTTCATGACGTGGACATCCTACCAGCACAACCAAGAGAAGATAAACGCCGTTTCTCTTTCCTTCTTGTACCATCCGCACGATGCCTCTTAGGGCAATTTGAGGTTTGCCTTTGGGAAAAAAACCAATTAGTTCTTTGCCTTCTTAGGCTTGGCAGCAGCCTTCGTCTTGGTATCCTTCGCCTTGGTATCCTTAGCCTTTGCGCCCTTGGCCTTGGTATCCTTGGCCTTGGCACCACCCTTGGCGGCCTTAGCACCTCCAGCAGCCGGTGCTGACGAGGCCTTGAAGGCAACACTCTGGCTCGTCTTGCCGGCGGAGGCAGTGTCGGTCTTGACATTGTTGTCGAGCTTCTTCTGCTCGGCGTCGATCTTGGCCTGGTTGTCGGCACCTTGGGCCTGCTGGACCTGAAGAGCAAGAACCTCAAGCTGAAGCTTGAGCACCTTGTTCTTGATCTTTCCAACCTTGAGCGCATCGGCATCAGCGCCGGAGGCCTTGGCGATAGCGTCATTGAAGCCGCCAGCATCCGTCTCGGCGGCTTCAGCCGCAACGCGGGCGCCCTGAATGATGGCTAGATCATCCTTGCTCACGCCCTTGAGGTCTGCCTTGATCTGGTCGATCTGAGGGATGTTAGTTATTGATGCTCCATATAATACCATAACGAAAAAGACTTACGGGGAACTTCTGAGCAACCTCCTCAAGAGCCTTTCCACCAACGCCGTCAGAGACCTGGAACTGAGAGTAGTCTTGGACAGACAGAAGCTTGGCCTGACGCTTATCCAGCGGGGCGGAGAGACCGGTGGAGGCGAGGGTGAAGAGGACGGCGACCTTGGAGAAGTACATGTTGATGTTGGTTGTGGATTCGGTGTGTTATAAAGGATGTGAGTTATAGTGAGTTATAATATTTACAGTTAAGATATTGACCGGCAAAGAATGAATGGTGCAGCACTGCTGTCGAGAATGAAGGGAAAGGATTAGTACCGAGTTTAGATGGGATGAAGCTGTTGACAGTAAAAGGAAAATCAGATGTTGGTCGGGGCGAGCGGGAGGATCTTATACAATAACTTCCTATAGCAAACCTGTGCTGCTTTCTGGGCAAAAAAGCTTGTTGCTCTGGACCCCGCGGCTTCCCTCCAACCCCCATCCGATCATGGCTTTACTGGCCTAGTTGCCTGCCTGACAGGACGGTCATCGCAGGTCCCGCAACAAACACCATCCCATAAGCGCCTGGGTCCTGGCTCCTGAGTCGCCCAAGCGAGGAATACCAGTGATACGACTGCACATCGACGTCTCATCCGAGCCCTAGTGCAACATGAGGCCTGGTTCAGATGCATCAAGATTGCCAAGGACCACAAATGCCAGGGCCGGTTCCTGGCTAGTTCGGTAAGGTAGGACAAGCTTCTTTGCCAAGCATCAGATCGACTGTCAGCGTGGTTTGTTACATCGCACGGGTCGCGATCCAATGAAAAGCCTTCAAAGCTGACGTCTAAGCCGGTTGTCGGCCTGCCACTGGCAATGTGTGCAGCTCGAAGTTCGGGGTTGCGTGCCTGTTGCGAGTTTGAAGTCTGTCGAAGATCATGGTGGATCTGCCTCACACCCTTGGCACCTAATCCCAATTAGGCGGTCCTTTAGCAGCTCCGTCTTAAGAATGTGGGTCCACCTGCCACTAGTTTGCGCGTGGGAAAACGCCCTTTACAGGCCGCTAACGTCAGGTACACGGGGTCGCACAGCAGCGGCCAGGGTTTTCCTTCAACGTCTAAAACATCATCGACTTTTCTGCCCACCAGCTTCAATCCCAGAGTCGCTCCCGTCTTGGCCATCTCCTGGCCCCTGAACCCGTTTGTTACTCATATTCTTTCCTCCTTTCTCCATTTTTAATTCTTCGGATGACTACTTCCGCGAACGAAGACGGGCGTGACCATCAGCCGCCCAGCACATGGTAACCCACATTCTCTCGAAATTCTAGCCCCTTAAGAGTCCTACTCGATTCAAGCTTCTTGAGATCGTCAGATGTGAGGCAACCCCGTGGCGGCCCTCATCCCACTCGGCTGCGATAGCCCTCGTGAGTCGTGCTCTCCCATCCAGACGGCGCCGAATGAGCGTGTTTCGAGTACTTGGCTCTGCCACTTCATGCAACCCGCACCAGAGATCGGACGCACACCCTCCCGGTGGAATTCTAATTGGTTTCGGCGCCCTTTCCCGAGTCCCTGGTTCCCTGAAGGCATAAGAGAATTGCACGTCCTTAGTGGCTGCTGACCCTTCAAAGTTGGACGACATCTCATCTCGGGACGTCAAGTGAATCTTGTTCCGGATGGCAGGACACACACGCCCGCATATGCACACGCTTCTACCTGAGTCGAGAGACATTTCACCGGGAGGAACTTGCCCGGCCGATATGATGCAGACCGTTCAACAGAAACTTTCATCGCTCACGTGTTTAAGCTTCTGCTTACAGAAGAATGAACCTCTCGTCACTGTCTGGCAGTTTCGTTTGCATTGAATCAGCTTAGCGTTTGCATTGAGTCAGCTTAGCGTTCAAGTTTGATCACCTACTACACTTTACTTGGCGAAACGACGACTGTTTGTTCACTAAACAGACCCGAGGAAAGTGTCGAGCCGCAGAAATTCAAGGTAATAGTCCAAATTACGGGTATCTGATTCTAACATGACCCGCGACCGAAGCCAGAAACCTAACCATGTGTATTCGTGAAAAAAGACAATCAAAGTCTTTCCTGTAACGCCTGCCATTGTCGTGTTTCGAAATATTCCCAAAAAAGAAAAATCTACCAGTAGATTTCAGGCTGGAAAAGAATTCCAAGAAAAAAAAGAAGCCTTTTGTCGTAAATATCATCATCAAGACCAAGTGGTCACAAAAGAAAAAGAAGAAAAAGAAGAAAAAAAGGAGAATATCCCTTCCTCCCAACGCCGCTGGGTTACACCGTCTATCATCCAGATCTTTGCAGTGTCGCTCTATAGGAAAAAGAAAGCCTCCCAAAAGATGCCGATGCTTTACCCCGCTCACTGGGCAGCCCCGGGAGCCCGAGGAGGTCCGGGACGAGGAGGACCGCCAGACTGCTGTGCCGGGGGAGCACCGGGCGCCGACGAACCGGCGGCGGGGCTCGCACCGTCGGACTGGTAGACCTTTACGGAGTTGATGAGCCAGTAAGCCTGGGTGAAAGCCTGCGGGTTGGCCGCGACGTAGTCGGAGCACTGGGGCGCGAGGGCGGCACACTCCGGGTTCTGGTCCCAGACCTTACCGGCCCAGTCGCCGCACAGGGCAATGTTGAAGACGAGGTTCTGCTGCTTGAAGTGCGACGAGATGTCGCAGCCGGAGCCGCCGTTGAACTTGGCGAGCGGCTGGCCCCACGACCCGGGGTTCGGGTTGCCGGAGCTCACGTCGCCGGGGATGGCGCTGCGGGGGAAGAACCAGACGGAGATGCTCTGGGGGTTGAAGTCGACGGCGTACACGCCGCCGCCGATGGCGTTGAAGCCGTCACCGTAGTTCTGGTTGCTGGCGGTAGTCTGTCCACAGCCCGTAAAGGCGGTGCCGGCGTTGCAGTCCTTCTCCTTGAGCGTCGTGGACGGCACTGTGCCGTCGTTGTTGATGGTGCATCCGGGGCCCGTATGCAGGGTGACGGCGTTGGACTCCTGCGTGTTGACGCCCTCGATGATGTCTATCTCTCCGGAGTTTGGCCTGCCACAGTGTTAGTAACCACACACGCGACCATATCGGGAGGTACTTTCTTTTGCACCCCCCCCTTTTTTTCCAAGTTTTTTTTGTTAGCACGTACCAGTTAGGACCAAACATCCAAAACGCAGGCCACACGCCGCAGCTGCTAGTGGGCATGTGGGCAATATCGGCGATGAAGAGACCGGCATCGTAGGCCTTGTTGGAGGTCACGCGCACCGACTGGCGCCCTTGACCAGTAGTCTTGGAGTCGACGCCGAGGTAGATGCCGTTGCGGGCGTAGCCGGCGAGGCCATTGTCGTTGGCCGTCTGCGCGGAGGTGTACTTTTGAGAGCCGCGCGTGGGGTCGGCCTGGTCGAAGAAGCTGAACTCCTGGAAGAAGTTGGAGGAGTCGAAGTTGTCGTGAAGGACGTACTTTTGCGCTTGGGCCAGCCCGGAGCACAAGAGAGCTACTGCGCCCAAGACACATCGGAGCTTTTGCGAAGGCATCGTGATCTTGGGGGGGGGGGGGGTTCCTTCTTTCTTTTTTTTCCGTTTCTCTAAAGTGTATGAGGGCTTTAGATGCGTGACTAGGGGAAGGGTGAAAGGGCTGATATGAGGCCACAAAGGGGAAGCGTGTCTGAAAAGTTTGAATCAAAAAAAGGGTTCAAGAGGCCGAACAACTCATTGATTAAAGAGAACAGAGAATGCTTTGAGGGTTGAATGAGCCGACTATGACGATGTGGACGGTGTAAGTGAGTGACGAAAGTCTCTCTCGAGTGTGATTACGTCGTTGTGCGACTGATGATGCTGGAGGGAATCCCAAAAAAAAGGGATGAATCGAGATGTTGAGAGTGAGGCTGGTTTCTCAAGTGGATTCGACCTTTCTCTCTGGTCTGTCTTTATGTTCAAAGGAATGGAAAGCCAAGGCTTACGAGGCTGGGGTTGTGACGTGAGTTTCTCGGTATATTCTCAACTCTTGTTACGTCAACTGGACAACGATGGTAAGATGAGTAATGGTCAAGTGGTTGCTGTTGCCCTAATCAATAGGACCTGGACCGGCTTGGCATAACCGCCAAGGTGGTATGGATTTTGTGTGTAAAAAAGGAACGGGACGTCGGTGACGATAACTTCAGCCGAAATGATTGAAACGGCTGTGCCTCTTGGGGGCTGGTAAAGCGTAGAAGGGACGGAAGAAGTGAAGCACCACCGCTGGTGGGGGCGTGTAAGAAAGGGAAAGGCTTGAAGAGAGAGAGGGGGGGGGCCTCTGCGTGGGTGAAGACTAAGCAACCGATGCGCGAAGAGATCATGAGCCTCAACCACATGGGGGAATGCAGCCAGCTAAATACAGCTTACAGCTTTCTCTTGTGGTGGGGGCCAGGAGAACTAGCCCAGGTCCTAAGACCAAGGCCAAGACCAGGCCATCGGACAACTAATGGGGAACATTCTTTGGGTTGCTAGAAATGCGACTTGGGACTTGGGCCTGACAAGGCCGAGGAAGAGGATTGACACCGAGGAGACCAATCTCGTCCGTTCTATCTCACTTGTCCGAGGGCCATACATACGCACAAAGACATGGGGCCCAGCTTTGGGAAGCATGCTAAGACTTTTGGATTTGGCCCCTGTTCCCCTGCCATTATGCGGCTTGTTTCTCTCTCTCTCTGTGCCGGGGCGCAAACTCCTGAGCCCTTGCTGGTTGTAAATTCAAGGCATGTGTACGCATATGCGAGAGAGGGGGGGAGGCCATGTGTGGATTTGATGTGACGGGTGTTGTTCGCTGGTGACGAACAGGAGGTCTGTTTCAACACCATCTACCCGCCAACGCCTACGCTCGAGGGGCATTTTACAAGGGGAATCCCGACTAACTACGGAGCGAAGATGAGATGATAGGGGCTTCGGTTTGCCTTGAGAAGGAGGGGGACGCGGTGCCGAGAGGCGAATATGGTTGCACAAGGCGAGTCCTTTGGTTCCGAGACGAGACCCAAGCAGTTAAGAGTGGGCTTGTGCGTGGCTTCCATGGCATCATGTATATTCAACGGGGGGGAAGATCTCCATGGAGGTCCTTGCTCGTGGCGCGAGTTGGCAACGGGGGGTAGACCCTGAGGGATAGGTAGAAAGGGAAGAGAAGAAGAAAAAAAAACCGCATAGGAAGCTCAATGAATGGACCATGGTAGGGAGAACAAGAGACAGGCAATGACAAGACGTTTGAATGTCAACGGCGGGTTGGACAAGTCAAAGACTCTAAACTCGCCCGTTTTGAAACACGGACCATGCCAGGGGCGGGCAGGCGCTGGCCCAATCGCTGCGCTCCCGCCCCAGCGGGCCCGTCAGTTCTGGAGCACGCGGCACCCACTCGCCCTAGCGGGGGCGGTTCCTGTCACTCCACAGTCAGTGGCTCCCCTGTGTTGTTGTTGCTGTCTTACAGATATGGTTTGCGTGTGTGTGTGTGTGCGTGCCGTAGTGCCTGGCCACCATGGAGGTCTTCCTATGGGCCCTTGGGCGTTTTCTTTCTTTTTTTCTTCTTCTTCCGATCGCGGCCGCTTAATCCATCTTGCATTGCATGTTGCTGGCAGGAGGATAGGACCCGAGAGACGGGGGCCGAGATACCACCTCGTGTGCTAGTACACTAAAAGGCCTCCCTCCAGCAGCAAATATACACATTAAAAGATACTTTTTTATGTACGCTTAACTAATGCCTTGCAACCTGTTCCTGGCCGTCAACATCCCCCCAACAAGGCACCCTAATGCATATTTTTTCCCCTTCCCCTGACAAGACGTGCCCTTACGCTGCTTATCCAGTCCAGCTCTGCCCTGCGCCCAAATGCCACGCCGCGCTAGACTCTCCTACCCCTGCGCTTTGGGCCCTGACGTGCGTCTCTGTCGATAGTTTGCGTGACATTTTCTACAGTTCCCTTCGAAGGCGGGCCTTTTGAAACAATCTTGGACTCCTGCCACAAATAGGCACTTCAAGAGACAGGAAGTAGGAACGCAGCGCGCTGAATTGAAACATTTGCCCAACCACACTCACACACTGCGCACGATCACTCGACACTCGCACATACGCACACTACACACACTTACATGCGCAATCAGTAACATCTCATCGGAATTTGGAGAGTCAGAGTAAGGGAAATTGGAACACGCACTCACACTCATACATACATACTCACACAGACTCAAACTTAATGAGGTTTCGTGCGAACCAGGACTCATACATCACCACCACCACCACCGTCATCTACCTCACGCAGGGAAGACACAGCTCTCAATCTGAACGAGTGCATCTCAGCTGCCTGCGCAGCCGCTTCGTCCCATGCCTCCCCCCCAGCTGAAATCCCCCTCCCAAAAATAATAACTATTTCCAATATTCATGGTCTGTGTAAGCAATGTACGCCCTTGGCAAACCTCGTCCGGCCCCCCGTTCATCTCTACTCTCGGAAGGTGCTTGAGTAATCACCCAACTCCAACCACATGCATCGGACGTTGGGGGTCCAAATCCAAATCTGCGGATGGCGAGGCAGGGGTTGCGATTGACCTGCCCGAAAGAGCAGCCTCTTCTTCAGCCTCGGCGGACATTTCGACCTCCGACTGCATGAGAACATCTAAAATAGCCCAGATATCCATAAACTCTGCCCATGTTTTCCCCCAGACTCGCTTGGGATGAAAATACGAGTTTGCATGCGTGAAAACTGCACCCCGGCAGATGCATCAACAAACTCATGGCAATTAAGAAAAAAAAAAGGAAAGACAAACCGAGCACTCATCACCATCTCAATCTATCTCGCACTCTAGCCCCGTGACAAACAGAAGCAAAAAGGCCTAAGAGCGCCGTTTTCAGGAAAACCCACTCGGACCAAAACCTCCATGATTCGCAAATAAGCCCCACCAACTCTGTCCAACAGCATCTTAAATGCCTCCGTGAATCTGTAAAAGGTCAACGACGATCATCTCGGGGGAAAAAAAAAAAAAAAACAGGACAGGTGCCATCCGACCAGCCGGCGCGCGCAGATCACTATACTCGGAACCGGAATACCCTTCCCCCCCTCCCAGGACCCATCACCACTGCTCCACGGTCCCTCAGCATTGGTTACAATGCCACATGCCCGATGGCGGCCTTTTCCCCTTGTAGCAGCATGAATTCTACGCGTGTACAGAAACACTGGGACCATATCAGGGCGTTTCTGGACCATTAACATCTCACATTATTCGCCCCCCTCTGATTGTTATCTCACCACTCACCAAGGAGGCAACAAAAACACACAAACAAACTTGCAAAATATACCGGGTCCAGATACCTTCACCTTCACCAGGGGGTAGGGGATCAAGAGTACCCACGGAAGCGGAGCCGAACACGCCGCACCATCAGTGCCGTCTCCCCCGCCCGTCATTGGCTGCCGGGGGGAAAAAAAAGTCCCTGAATTTTCGACAAAAGATCCACGATAGGTCATTGATAGTAAGTCGATCATCTCATTTACACGTGTGTCCCGTCCCTCGGGTTCCCCCCCCCCCCCCTTTTCCCGGGGGCGGGATACGCACGGCTCTAGAAGGGGGGGGGGAAACGTTCTTCGTATGATACATCTGTGAGAAAAATTAATTTCCAGAGTTCGCTCCTTTCGCTTCTGTGGTTCCTTATAACCATTAACTTCCAAAGACTAAAAAGACCTCAGTGGTACAAAAGAGGTACTCACTCTCACTTTACAAGGGGAGAAAAAAAAAAAAAAGGTTGCCGGTGGGAGGCGGAGGCAAAAAATAAGCTACCCCTCTATCAATCCCGGATGTCGATCCCATGAAACACAAGGAAAGGCCTGTCATGACGGTTGAGCTTCATTCCTCCCCGTTCCCTGTTATGCTTGAAAACGTCCCTCCCCCTCCCCGAAGGCCTCGACATGGGAAGGAGCAGAGTTCTGGGTTCCCGATAGAGTTCCCGTCTCAGCCTTTCATGGTTCCTCATCCAGCCCCAAAAATAAAAAGATGAAGCATAACTTTTAGCCAATCCTGCGCGTCCCTCATGGATAGCTCTTCCTATACACATGTCAGAAGAGAGCTTTGGTCGTTTCATATTGACAGCGCGGTTGATACTAGACCATATATCACAATGCTTTACTACTGTCTCCGGAGCAAACATAAAAAGGTAGAGAAACACACACAATTAACACACTCATTCATCAACGACAGCCTAGCTGAACGATTAAAGAGTTCTGATTGGAACGCCACTAAAATGCAATCTACCTATGCCGCAAGCCAAAGAGCCGGCGTCAGCTCTTGATGCCAGAAAATCCAAGAGGCTCACTTCCGCCAATGCATACCTTCTGCCCACCTCATGGCGCACAACGTCTGGTATAACGACAAAAGGGTGCATGGCTGAATGGAAGATCATGTTGTACATCACTTCGAGAAATCGTACCCGATACTCCTGCCCGTCTTCAACTCCTAGGTTTTTTTTATTTTAAATACCGCCATGTCCATATGCCAGCTGTACTGGCTCCGTCTCATTTTTCACATCGCTCGTGACGTGTGGACATCAGAGTTTCCGAGATCCCGGGCTTCGCATGCGTATTCTGTGGTATACAAGATAGGTATCCCTATCGATAAGCAGGACATCGGAAGAGAAACACGGTCGACCAGCCGTTATTAAGTGGTCCAGCTAGATGACGTCAAATGACGCTTCTGGACCTTGTCTTAGAGAGTAGTAGGGCGTCTCAGAGCTTGACCTTTTGTCCGGTAAGCTTGAACCAGAGCACGGCGATGAGGTCCTCCTTGAAGCGCTCCCAGGGGTTGCGGTTCAGGTAGTAGCTGAGCTCGCGGTAGTTGTACATCTCGCCCCAGCAGTCGCGGCCCCATTCGCAGCCGGCCATGTTGACAACAAAGTCGCGGTCCTTCTGATCGTAGTGGATGCGTGTGTCGTTTCCGTTCTCCGAGCACGCGCCAGGCGGGAAACTGTTGATCATGCGTTGCGGAAGGAATGCTGTGTGCTTGCGAATCCAAGGCTGAGTCGTATACATTTGCTCCAGGGCGTCCTGCTCCTTGTGCTCCCATTCCATGTGCTTCTGCTCGTAGGCGACGGGGTCCCACCAGACATCGAGCATACGATCAGCCCAGGCGCTTCTCTTCACGAAAAAGGAACCCAGGTTGAAACCGGAGCAATCCTGCGACAGAATCAGGTTGACGGACTCGGGCTTGCCATCGCCAACAGGGCTTCGCGACTCCTCGTCGAGGTATGGATCGGTGAACGGGTGAGTGATGTTCAAGGGATTGTACTCGTTGATGTCGCGGTAGACGTGCTTGTTGATGTCGTTGAAGATATGGGTCTGCAGAGGATACGATAGTTCCATAACGTATGTGTTGAGATCGAGCCACCAGACCCTGTGATCAAACATGTTAGCCTAGAGTCGTAACATTTCCTATGCGCACAACATACCATTCAGCCTTGGGGTATTTGCGGAAGGCGGAGCGGATAAAGTCGACCTTCTCCCAGCTCTCACGCCATTCGTGTGCGTATCTCTTCTTGGTGCTCATGTCGACAATCTCGAGGTCGTAACCCCAGCGGTAGGCATACTTCTTCTTGTTACGCACGCTGTCCCGCTCAATAGCCCATTCGCGAGCGCCCTTCCACTCCATCACTCCTCCGCCAACGTTCGCAGCCAGAATGATGACAAACTTCTGGCCGCCACCAATCCATGTCGTTCTCCGCCAGTAGTGGACCAGGGCTATCGAGAAGTTAGCAACCAAAGTCGACTCAACTCACACACAGTCCTAACGTACGGGAGTTGTAGAAGATGGTCATCGCCAGCACGAACAAGAGGAGAATCAGCAAGCGCAGCTTCATCTTCCTACCCATGCGCGCGAAGACGCTTCGTATCCTTCCCACCAAAGGAACCTTCTGTGCCGCCCATTGCCCTCTGCCAAACTTCTCCTTCTCGGTGTAGTGGTCCTGGTTATGAAATCGCGGCAGGCTGCTGGATATCCTGCGCATATGTCTCGTGAAGAAGCCTTGGTTCTGGGTAGAAAAAGAAGGGTATCCGTTCATAGCTGAAGACCTCATTTTGGCGCTTTCCCAGGGGATCGAGGCCCCGTTGGAAGCTGAGAAGCCTTTCGGACTGGATCGACCGCTGGTGTTGATGGTTAAACCAGGGCTGGCCCAACCACCGCCAGGTATAGGGGACGGGCTACGGGAGAGGGACATTCCTGCGGTATTGGGAGTGCCTGCAACGTTCGGAAAACACGGTCAGTCAGCAAGCGGGTCCCCTTGGTAGAATTGCCCAACCCGTACTCCGTATTTGCGTCGGTGGCATGTCAGGAGCTGGGGGGTCAGGAGACAAAGACATAGTCAAGCATGGAAAGGTGTGCCATGGGTGGGAATGTGGAATGCGGGCGAGTATAGTGAATACGGGACCGACAGTGGACGTACCTGGAATCGGCGCAAGAGACTGCTGGCCTTGGCCGTGGACCCCCAGAAATTGGGAAGAGCCACGGTCGCCTGGGCCGTCAACTGTGATTGCAAGTCCGCTAGAAGCAGAGGAACGTCGTCGGTGATGTGAGCGCGTTGGCCTTCGATCGCTAAAGGACGAGGACGCGGCGAAATGCTGTGATGAATCCAGGTTGAAGACTTATGGGGGGTTGTGACCAGATGGCACTTAAGCCGCCTGGTTACAACACAAACGTGATAGAGATAGAATAGGTTCGCTAATGCGCGTAGGGGAAGGGGGTCTCCGTATCCGAAAAAAAGGGGGGTCTTTTCTGGCAAGGGCAGATAAGTCTGAGTGTCTTCCTGCAGTAGTAGTGTGCCGTAACAGTTTGGCTCGGCGTGAGGCTGTATGGGGACCACGGCGGATTATTTTGCCAGGGGAGGTGCTTATGGACGAGTGGGAAAGCGAGCCTGGCTGTGAGGGATACGGTGGCTCCGGTGGTTCTATCCAGGCGTGTGTTATCCAGTCGGCTTCGCTGATAATACGGGACGGGTGTAAGCAGGAGTAGAGGGGGAGGGAAAAAAAAAAAAGAATATTAGGGAGGAGGGTGAAAGTGGAGGAGGTCTCTTCAAAAGCTGGGTCTTCTTTCTCTGGCAATCAGACCGATTGGGGATAGAGAGGGGGAGGAGGAAAAAAAATAAAATAAAAATAAAGAATAAGGGCGTTCGCAGTCGTGGCTGCCGAGAACTGGCCGCCGCCTGCCACTGGCACTTTGCGCTGGGACAATGCGATTTTGGGGGGCGCGACGGGGGGGTCAGTCACTGTCGATGATCTAACTCCTGGGAGGGAAAGACAAGGCAGACGGTGGGCGTAGTAGACAGGACAGCAGGCAGGCAGACAAGAATGCCAACAGGACCAGGCGGGAATCGAAAGGAGTGGACGGTGTCTTTTTTTTCTTTGCACATAGAAATACATGACTCTACGAGGGGGTCAGAAGAACGCCCGCCTTTTGTGTGATTATTTGTTTTCTGGTCTCGTATCTGCAAAAGGAATGGCCTACTTGGGCAAATAAAATAAGGGAGCCCTTGCCCCCTTCTCTGTCTCTGTCCCAGTGCAGTGTCTGGCCTTACCTTACTTTGGTAAGGTTTTCGCGCTGTAGGAGCAGAAACCCGTCAGTCGTCTGCAGCGTCTAATCTTTTTTCGGATGGGGGTCTCCTGGGTGCCAAGGTGTGGTGGGTGGACCGCTGACATTACATCAGGTTCCTCGGATGCTACAAGTAGTTGACACATGGCACTAACACCAAGCTTGTGGCTTTTGGCTAGGTCCTGGGTACCTGTCCTGATTAACTGGGCACCTGAGAAGCCCGGTCTTCCAGTAGAATAAACTCTCTCGCGCCCAAAAAAAAAACTCTCACACCTTTTCCCCCTCAAAAATCAGGGCGACAGCTCCGTCATCCGAATGATGCGACAGAAGCTATGTCATTGGGATGATGATTTTCTTATCTCCAGACAAACAAAAACAACAACAAAGAAAAGACATACTGCAGATCAGGTTCAAATTCTGGCCTATCTGTGTCACGAGTACATATGGCAAGAAAGGGAGAAAGAGAGAGAGAACGAACGGACCAACGACATATTGAGAGAGGATGGCGAACCGGACCATACTGACACCCAGGGATGATATGATTGATAGCAAATAGCGCCAGCTGAGGTAAGGAGGTAAAAGGCGTAATAAAGCAACCTTTAAGCCAAGACACGAACGACAGGTGCTTCAATTGCGGGCGGGTTACCTTTTTCCCCTCCCACACCTTGCGTATCTCGTCCTTCGCACCCAGTTGGCGACTCGCAATTGGCGCGCCCAGAGATCTCGAATACCCTGAGCTGAGATGCTAGTGGATGTCGGATAATATTGGATTGCTTTCTGTCATTAGCGTCCTGCAGGCTCAAATTCGCCTATCCATAACATGCGAGGCTCGTAGTCAGCACAGGCTTAAGACACGAGTACACACACCCAAGCCGTTTTGTCTCGTGTCGGACGCGGCCATTACTCTGTGAAAAAGAGTAAATGTAATGTAGCGGTGCACAGCTCATTGCACCTCCAAACAAGGTAATTCAGATTCATGTTTGATCCTCCCGATAGATATTACATTCTAGATCGAAGCGGAGCTGCCCCATCCTCACCTTCCCTCTCCCTTGACTCTGAACCGAATTTTTAAATGAACAACGGCGTTTTGGTGACACCAGCAAACCTGGTTGTCCTGGCCTGGCTTCCATGTACCTAGTTACCGCCTCGCATTTCAATGGGATAGGGGAGGTTTGTGTAGTTGGGAAGGGGGCTCCACAGCTTAACAACCAAACGCCGGCCCTATTCAGGCACTAGTACTATGTGTGTACTCTGTGCTATGTTGCAAGTAGTAAGTAGCAACAACCCCGTCACAAAAAAAAAAAAAAAAAAAAAAAGTCGGCGCTTCCGAGGACAGTTTAGAACAATCACTGAAGGCGTCGACTAGCATTCCATGCCGTCGTCCAGAACAAAGAGATTTGAACAATCTCAAACGCTCCAAAACGCCTTCTTTCCTCTCTGTCACCTCGCGAACTGGTGGGTTTTTAGTTTTTTTTTCACCTTCTCTAATTTCTTATTTCTAATATTCTGTCATTCGCTGTTCCATTATCCCTCCAATCCGCTTCGAGGCCCTTGTGCACAATTACACAGCCACTTCATGCTGCTGTCCGCCTGCCCAGCACCTGAGACCGGACGTGTCGGGCCCTTCCTGTTCCATCATCAGCCAAGACAGGTCCCAGGGTCCTGGGAGATAAAATCATTCTTGGTTGGCATGCAACTACCTATTCGAAAATACGTAAGTTGGGATGGCCGGGAAGTCTGTGCCGCTCTTACGTATGTGGCCATCCGAAGAAGCCCAAGCTACGACGTAGTAGGAGCACTTGATATTGGGGGTGACGACGGACTCGATCACTCACCATGTAGTATGGTGATGATGACACTGTCTAGCGTTGTACGCACGGATGGCATGCGGCCCTTTATTTTTCTTGACATGTCCTGCTATTGTCTGTGCTAGTTTCAATGCTCAAATTTTTCATATCTGTCTTTTTCTCCCCTTTCATCTCCGTCATTTGGAGTTCGGAAGGGGGAGACGAGTTTTAGACTGGAATATGTAAGGTTCACTCTGTTGTCACTTGCGCTCTCGGCACCACCCGCGGAAATATACCACAAGCACACTCCTTACGTTGACTCTACGCCGCGCCGCCTCGGCGCTCAACAAAACGGCTTCGTTGTCTTCACGGAATCTTATCTTGACACTGCTGAACCACGCGGAAGAGACCTTCCGTGGCTTCGACCGGCCAGGCCTATGCGCAGATCTAGATGTAAGGGGCACAGGGAGACACACAACTCGGCCGGGAGGGTGGCTGCGTCCCGGGTGCTACTCATCGGCGTGATCCAGACCTGTCTCGGCCCCCACTGCGCCGACGAAAGGGAGTATGGCCCTTTGCCGTTCCCCGTCGAGGCGTGGATTAGATAAGCCAAAGCAATTATGTCAGCTAGTGGGATGTCACTGTTGAATCGAAAGTCGCGCACGAGCCACAATATTCGTATCTATCGCACGTTCTTACCTCAACTTCACTTCCACTAACAACAATATGATGTGCCCATCATAGACTGGCCCCAAGCAAATGAATGATTCGACCACGACAAAAGACGTAAAAAACTACTTGTAGACTAAGCCCTCTGCCGCAGAGCCTTGCAGGCCTCCACCAACCGCGGCCAGATGACTGGCCAGCAGCGCGGTCGCCTGTGCAGGCCCGAGAGCTGGTCAGCGCCACCAGAGCCAATCATGTTATCGGGATGGCCAACTGGGCGCCTACCTCATACTGCAACTGCATCGTCCAGCCAAACATCGTGAAGCCCAGCCGTGACCCATCATTCCTCAAAATGCGTTCTTTGGTGAATCTCCCCAGTCATATAATGAAGCTAATCACTCCTGCCGCGCTGGTGTGGCCATCCTCCTGCTTGTTTCGTCTTGTCAAAGGTGGTTGAACGAGTTCCCGTGGGTGGTTACGCGGTTTCCTTCTTTACATGTCTGTGGTGCGCCTATTCACGACTCACAATTGACTTCTCCCTGGTAGTATTCTACTGTCATTCGTTTCGGCCTCCTACCTGAGCCTTTACTTCCCTCTTTCCACTCTTTCTTTCTCCCTCCAATCACCCACCCTCCTTGGCCTGTAACAACCATCACATTTGTCACTTTCTCGACTGGCTTCGACGACAAAGAATTTTTCGTTATGCGATTTCAAATATCTCACTCATCTCTGTTTTGTCAACTCGACTTTTGATCGCTCTCTTCTAGAATTCAACTCGGTTTGGTTTCAGCGTCTTTATACCATCATTCGAAAATCGAACTACAGTATTTCACACAACAAACACCAAAATGGCTTCACAAGGAAGCTCAGTGCCTTCACGGCAAAACAAACAACAACCCAATCGCGAGAGGGAGGACTGGGAGGATTGGGAGGACGACGAGGTGGTCACACCCATCATGGACGATGAAGAAGACCTCATTGCGGATAAGTCCGCCGCACCCAGCCCGCTGAGGCCAAGCAAGCCGCCCTCGACAAGGTACTCGCAACCCCGGTATTCGGTTCAAAAGTTGAGGCGGTTGAAGTCTCGACAACGGCAAAAAGCTCAGAACGCGAAGGCGGGAATCAAATTGGTGACGGACATGGCAGTACTGCGACAGCAGCAAACTGCCCAAAACGGCAGCCCTCAGATACGACAACCCAAGTTTGTAGATGCTGCGGCCCTACGAGCACTCGAGGGTGAGCCAAACTCAGCATCTGTCGGTAGCTGGAACTGGTTGAAGAAGAAGTCCTCAGATCAGAGCGGCAAGTCGCCTTCCTCAAGCACAAGGTCTCCTCAGACTGCCACTCGCAGCCCTCGAGAACCAGACCTCTCTCCAAACGACCGTCCTATTGTCATTGGAATCGCCCTGCCATCAGATATGGCTGGCACGGAAATCAGTCCACAAACAGCCGTTCTGGAGACACCCCATGACTTGCCACCCAGGTACAACAAACAACCTCCTGCGGCAAGCCAAAATAATGTCACTCCCTTGACTCCTTCTCAGCAAAGATCAGTCTGGAGTCCCGACACGCCTGACTCTGCTTCTTCCTTCCAGGGTCCACGGCCGACTTCTAGTATCTACTCGCAGGTCACCGGCTTGGGTGTCCGTGTGGCCCATGATGCACCGCCAGTCCCGTCTGTGCCCTCCACTTACAAGCAGCAAGAACGGGTGGTCAGTATTGTCCTCAAGAACAATGCCGACGACTCCGACGACGACGGTGGAAGCCCCTGCACCTTGTTCGAGGAAGACGGCGTGGCCTCCAATCGACAAAAGCCGGTCAAGGCCAAGGATGTATCAAAGAGTCCCGGAAGCGCAGAGACCCAGACTCGTGGTTGGTGGGATCACGTCACGACCCCGTTTATGAATAAGAGCCCGGTTGCTACATTCAAGAGTGAATCACAGCCAGTCAAACCTTCAGAACATGACGACTGGTGGAATGAGAAATCGCCAAAGGCCAACACCTCAAAAGCGACGCACCCGGAGTCTACGATTGTTAAAACGGTAGAAATCAGACAAGTTACTGCTCCCATTCAGAGACCTGGTCTTCCTGCATCTCCCAAGCCATCACCACGGAACATCCAAGCACCGATAGTTAGAGTTCCTACTCCCAGGCGAACCCCGTCACCACTCATGGACCGTCGTGAGCCATCGCCGGCAACATCCTCTCGTTCAGGCACTCCAAGGCCTCAAGCTCAGTCAGAGAAGGTGCCTATTGCCGAGCCAAGCCCGGCTCCCTCAGAGCAGCCGCCTCCGTACTCCCCTCCGCCGCAGCAACGAGCCGTCAAATATCGTGCTGTCTTTCCTGCTGGCCACCCGCTGCAAGCACTCTATCCCCCTTCCCCAGGCCCGATCTCTCCTGCCATCAACGGCACAATGAGTTCTCAAGGAGGTATCAACTTGACCGACATACCGCTTACACCAGCACCAAGAGGCACTACTCCCGATGGACAACATCGTCTACCGGAAAGGGTCGCTGGCACATACATCCCACAAGAGCATTCCCTCGCAGCAGATGGGGACGCCCACCGTGTCGAGAGGCAGCGCCGCCGCCACGAGAAGGAGGAGGTGATGGCACGCAAGGCAGGTGGCTTCTGGAAGGGTCGCGGGTGCGTACCGACAAGTGGATGCTACGGGCGCAGCGGCCGAGAGGGCCGCAAGAGAAGGCGTGTATGCTTGGGGGTGTGTGGCGGCATACTTGCTCTCAGCATTCTCATTGTTGTCCTCTGCGTTATGCTCATCCCAGGGGGCGGCTCCGCCCCTCAGGTGGACAGCATCTTTGTCAACCTCACCAACTTCCCTCCGATGCCTACTGGAGTCCTCTCCATGGTCGGGCCGGACAATACCGCGGCAGTCACTGGATGCAGCAGCCCTTCCACCGTTTGGAGTTGCGCGCTGCCCAAAGAGGAGCACGAATCTGCGGCACCTTACCGCCCAAATCAACCTACGTTCATTATGCAGATCCAGTGGGATAACAGTTCCCAGAACCTGTGGAATGTTCCCAACGGCGCACCGCCTCGTCCCGGAACTAAGAGCACGAAGCGCGGCGAGGTACACGGCGGACTGCTAGCCAGAGCTGGAGCATACATCCGCCGTCAAAATGCCGCCTTCAAGCCCAACCCTTCCCCGCCGTCCTTCCAGGAGATGTACTTCCTCGGAAATACAACGGACGGTGTCGTCTCTGACGAAAAGGGTGGCGAGCCGACTCCGTTCTATCTCAGCATGCTCAGGTCTGTAAACGATACAGTCGGGCCCAACGCTATGGACAAGCGCCAGAGCTCAGGGGGCGGTGATATTTCCGTCAACCTTCCTCCTCCTGACCTTGAGGCCGATGGCACCGGGGCTCCAGCCCAGCTCTTCCCCCATGCTGTCCAGCAACCTGTCCGCTTGTACGATCGCGGCTTGCCGACGGAGCACTACGGCTTCTACACATACTTCAAGCGCACTATCTACCTCAAGTCTGTCACAACCCTGAACGGGACCGACGGTGAGAGTGATGTGCCTCTTGACAAGGACGGCGGTTCCCGCAGGAGCGAGGCCAAGTTCCTCGTGACGTGGTCCCAGACGCGCTTCCTCGTGCAGATCTGGACGCGGTCGCAGAACACCACACAGCTATTGGGCAACCGTGACGGCACTGAGAAAGGTGCAACCATTGCGGAAAGCCCCGGCATGATGCCGTACCCCGTCACGATCAAGACGGACACCCATGGCGGCAAGTCGGGCGAGAAGTTTGTGTGGCACTGGCCAGTCAATGATAGACAAGGTATTGATACTAGTACCCCCAAGCTGTTGCCCAACGATCTCAGCTTCGGGGGCACTAGGGTGAACCCTCGCAAGGACAGGGACGAGTCGTTTGGAGGATTCGACGGGGGCACTGGCGGTTGCCGCTGTGAGTGGGTGAACTTTGTTTCCAAGAGAGATAGCAGCAGCAGTTGATCAGTTTATGAGAACGAAGTATGGATATGGATATGGATATGGGCATGGTTATTGGATGAAACAGCACGGGCTGCAAACAAGCAAAGGCACAGGGGGGCGGTATTCAAAATGCATTGTATCATATGCGTAGTATTTTAATCAACATTTTTTATAGTACAACACCATTACCAACCGAGGCCAAATTATTTTGACAAAACCAGTCAGATTGGTCACATGTTGAGTTGTAGATGCTGTAGAATATGAAAGCAGTGAAAAGGGCTCAGCAAAAGAATATCCTACCGGTGTGGTGTATAAGTCGGTGAACCTCGGTGTGTCACTCCTCAAATTCCACGATAAGATAAGAGCTCCCAAACTTTCTCGCAACAGCTCCTGCACCAAAGCCACACACCTCAAACTACAACCCTCTCAATCTCAAAAAATCTTCCCCAATCCAATGCGTCGCTCGCCAAGTTCAACACAATGGCGCTCCATTCTCCGCTGCCGGTCAACCTTCCCTGGCCCAGCTACCTCACCGTTCCAGCGCCGCCGTAACCTCGTAACCCTCGCAATCGAAACATCATGCGACGACACCTGCGTTGCAACCCTCTCCAAAAACCCCGAAACCCACCGCGCAACACTCCACTTCAACGGCAAGAGGACATCAGACAACCGTGCCTTTGGCGGCGTCTACCCGCCCGTCGCCCTCCGCGGCCATGATGCCTCTCTCGCGCCCCTCATCGCAGAATCCCTCTCGTCGCTACCAGCAGCAGATCGTCCTACAGCCGGCCCCGCGACAACCGCCAGCAACAAGACGATAACGGTATCCGGCGTCGCCCGGAGGAAACCCGACTTTGTGACGGTCACCCGCGGCCCGGGCATGTCCGCGAATCTCGCATCAGGGCTCGCGACGGCAAAGGGTCTCGCAGCAGCATGGCAGGTCCCGCTGCTTGCCGTGAACCACATGCAGGCACACGCCCTCACGCCGCGGCTCGTCTCTGCCCTTGAGGCCCGCGACGAGAACGAATCCGTGAACCGAACAGACATCGACGGTCACCACCGCCACTACCCTGAATTCCCATTCCTCACGCTACTGGTCTCGGGCGGACACACGCAACTAGTCCACTCCCGTTCCTTGACAGACCACCGCATCCTCGCGGCGTCAGACAACATCGCAGTCGGCGACGCCCTGGACAAAGCGGCACGGCACATATTGCCCCCGGACATGGTTTCCTCGCACACGGACGTGATGTACGGCGCTCTGCTGGAACGCTTCGCATTCCCAGACTCCTTCCCCTCTGAAGGACAAAGTCAGGACCCCTCCCAAGACTGCTACGAATATACCCCGCCGGCCCGCCGTGCCGACGAAGTAGCACCTTACATCGCTCCGTCCCCTTACTCATGGACCCTCACACCGCCGCTGGCCACCTCCCGCGCCTTGTCATATAACTTCACCGGCGTAGGCAGCGAAATCCGGAGGATAGCAGAGACAAGAGGAGGACCAGACATGACGGTCCAAGAACGCCGCGTACTGGCGCGCGCGGCAATGCGTCTGCTGTTCGAGCACCTAGCCAGCCGCGTCTTCCTCGTCCTCGCCGCGGAGCCAGAGCTCAAGGCGGCGCTGAAGACGCTGGTCGTCAGCGGCGGCGTCGCGAGCAACCGTTTCCTGATGCACGTCCTGCGTGGCATCCTCAATGTCCGCGGATTCGGGCACGTCGAGCTCGCGGCGCCGCCGCCGGCGCTGTGCACCGACAACGCAGCCATGATCGCTTGGACCGGCATGGAGATGTACGAGGCCGGTTGGGAGAGCGACATGTCTGTTTCCGTTATGAAAAAGTGGTCTATCGACCCGGCCAGTGACGAGGGTGGCATCCTCGGAATTGACGGCTGGCTGAGAAGGGATAGATAGACACACGTCATGATACCCATACCCTCCCCTTCTCGCTTGCTTTGCCGTCACATCATCTGTAAAATCACTTGTACCAATATTGTAGAAAAACTCATAATAATGAACTTGTATCGTGGTCTAGTTTACAAGTTACATGACATCCGCAACCCATCTTCGGTGCCGATGCCCAAAAGGGACAGCCTGGAAACTTATCCTCTTCCCCGCGGCTGCCCTTGCATTGCCTGCCGTGACCATTCCACCCGTCCCTCCCGACCTGTCCAAGGCACATCCCCCTCGTTACCGTGTGACTAGCGAGCGGAGCCCGGTGGTGGGCGGGCGCTTCAAATGCATGGGGAGTTCCAAAGGCCATCGCCGTGGCCCCTGCACATCATCATCGTTAATCGTCCGTACCGTTTTCTAGTTCAAGTCGGCCGTAACGTTGGTGAACTCGCCCTTCTCCAGCTTCGTCTTCCAGAATATGGGGTTGGTGTCGTTGAAGCCGTGCTTGACCCAGCCTTCCTCCTTGACGTGGTACAGGTTGATGAAACCACCGGAGTAGGCGTCACGGTGAGTGGCCGCCAGGATACTACGGCTGCCGAGGTCGAGCGCCTCCTGCTCCGTCAAGTCGTAGCGGTATTCGGCGTCCAGAACACCGTAGGCAAAGGTCTGACCACTGCCAACGCAGAAAAGGTTGCCGGCCAGGCGGGTGCCGTCCGAGTCGACGTAGTAGAGCGCGGGACCCTCCTCCTTGGTGACGCCGGCACACATGGTACCCATGCTGAGGCCCATGCCCTTGTAAGAGTAGACGAGGTTGGCGAGAATCTTGGAGGCGGCAGCGACGGAGATGCGGCGCTTGTGGCGAAGCTCATGAAGACGGCACTGCATACCGAGCCAAGCGAGCCAGTACTGGCAATCGGCGGCACCACCGGCCATGGTGCCCAACAGCTTGTCGTTGATCTCAATGACCTTCTTGACCGTTTGCGAGGCGATCCAGTTGCCAGCCGTGGCACGGGAATCGGTGGCGACGATAATGCCACCCTGGAAACGGAAGGCGAGCGTTGTCGTTCCGTGGGCAATCTTGATGGGGCAGTCGGGGTTGGAGCGATCGTCTGTTGCTGCGCGGAGCCAAGAGGAGGGCTGTTATGAGGGGGCGGGGATGTCAGTGTCACCGATTCCTCTGCCATACTAGTATTCGAATTCTGGAGGGGAAAACTCACATGTGCGACAGGGGGCATGGCGAACTTCAACGAAAGAGGCGGCGCCTCACCCATAAGCTCGAGGTCCTCCTGCTCATCATCCCGGAAGGTGTTGTGTTGCTCGAAGGCCGGATGGCTGTACTTGGCCACGAGGCTGTCCATCTCGACGGTCGGACGGTGTGATAAAGAGAGGGTTCGTTTGATTAAGGGTGGGCTTTGTCAGAATCCCCGATTCTCTTCGTTGGTTGGGGTTGTAGTGGTGGAAGGGCTGAGGTGAGGTTGGCGTTGGAATGGACGATGGGGCTCTCTTTGTGGTTAACTTGGGGAGCCAGCTCAGGCAGCTCCATGCTCGCGTCACGGACAGCTTCAGCAGGGAAACTGCGTAGCTGACTGATGCCTTGTTGCCTGATTTGGAATGGCACTTCGTCTGCAAGTACACAGCAAAACGTGCACTGGCCATGATTACCTAATGGATAGCACATCTCTCACGTTCGATGTCCTCCCAACTTCACTTAACATGCGGATTCTTTACAGCATTGTGTAAGCTTTTGTCATCTTCAATATAAATTCACACTGTCTGCAAAGCAATAGTAGGCGCCCTCATATCAAGCCTACATGCCACTTATAACCATCACTTCATAGTGGAAAAAGTGCATACTTTGAACATCTTGATTGCATCCTAGCTACAAGAAATACCATGCTGGGATTATAAGCGCAGGCTAGGCCTTTGCGTGTACTGCCCGCCCGTATTTCGCCACCCACCAACCCAGCTTCCCTAACCCTTCTGACTCCATATGCCCCTAAAATCAAGACGATAGGAAAAATCCATGAGCGGGTGAAGCTGGCCACCCAGCGGCATGGAGGTATCCGAAAGCGATTAAGAGCTTTTTCAACTCAAAGGAGAATGGAGCAACTACAAAACAAATGAAACACCAGAACCAATGCACAAAACAGCTTGGGGATTTGATCAGCTAGGCGTTCCCTCCCTGCTTCGGCTTTCCCTCTTGCCCATGAAGCTACGGCGGACGATCGATTTGGGACTGTCAGGTTCCAGAGAACTGGCAGACGGAATGAAGTTGCTCTTGACGACAACTGTTCCGCTGCCGACTTTGATCTCCTTTTCTGCCCCTGCCCCGCTCTCATCGACGAAGTAAAGAGCTTCGCCCAAGTCATCGTCACTACTGAATGTGTGCTCACCCTTGGCCTCGATCTTGAACTGCGTATCGGCGGTACAAGTGCACTTAAATGTCTCGTTATATCTGAAGAAACCGGTAGCATCCTTGTGGTGCTTGGTCTTTCCAACAGTCTTGGGCTTGGGTGTTAACTGATTAATGACAATGTATAGATCAGTCGACGGGGGATAACCTGTGGCCGAGACCACAGTAAAGGAGGCGGTTCCAGCACCTGGGCTGCCGGGGTTCATACTATGGACGGAAGCCGCACCGTTGCTCTTCGTCCGGGTGTGACCTAGAGTCGAACCATTGGAGGTGCCGGGTCGCGTATCCGGAGATTCACTGCCGTCCGAGGTGGAGAAGCCGGTTGCTCGCTTGAGGCCAAGACCAGGAGTCGGTCCAGATGGGCTGTCACCATTCTCGACGATAGTTGGGATCTCAGGGATCGACGAAGGGCCGTCTGAGTCGTCATCTTTCCGCGAGAACAAGCCACGCTTGAGGAAAGAGGCGCCCTTTCCAACTCCGTGGCCCACTACGCCACCAACCTTGATGGGTGCACCCACCACACCCGTGACAATTCTGCCTGGGGCTGCAAATGTTCCCGAGAAGGTAGATGTGCCTTGACGTGTTCGCGTTACATACGAAGGGCGGAAGAGCATCCTCAATCTCACCGTGCCGGACTTGCCATCCAAAATCAAGCGACTTTCGCTTGGCCTGAATGGATCAAGTTGCTCAAGATTTATGTCAGCAGCTCCAAGGAAATCTGGCTTGTCAGCAAAGTCGTAGTCCCAGACCGTGACCTTGAATTTGGCAGCTGTTCTCGAGGGTACTGGGACCTCAAAGAACTCGTTCCAGGCAGGATGCAGAGTCTTCTTCTGCACCTTGGTCTTGTACACATCTTCGCCGTTGAGCTCAAACTTGCAGTACGGGTCGCTCTTGCCGTTGGAGTCTGCAGAAGGAAGGTCCTGGGCATCCAGGACGTCGACACGAAGAGTTCCCATGTTGTTGATACTCTCACTGGGGTCCAGTTGCATCTTGACAGGAATGTACTTGAGGCTGACCTTGACACTGCTTGGACGGTTTTCCTTGTCCTTCAACTTAAGAGTTGTTGGGTTGTTCTAGTACCAGTCAGTAACTCTTCATCGCCAGATTTGAATAAGTACTTACCAAGCATTGCTTAAGCGTGTCCAGGGTGTTTCCTTGGAGCTTGGCAATGGTATGATCCTTGTCCTTCTGGCTGCCTTCAACCTTGTCGCCCTTCTCGCGAACTTTGAGTGTCAGGCGGGAGAAATCGAGCTCTCGGATGAAACAGTCACCGATCTCTCCAAAGGTGTGCTTCTTGTGCTTGGCTACCGACGACGTGTATGAAGGGAAAGCCATATCATCAACCCACACTTCTAGGTGCGTGTTGTGCTCCGGCATTTCAGCCTCCATCAGGTTGAAGATCAAAAGACCAGACTCATACTTCAACAGTTCCTGAGGGGACAGTCTTATCTTAGGAGGGCCGCTCTCATCCCTGGATTTCCTGGGAAGGGTTGGCGAAACCGGTGTAACTGGAGTCTTTGGTGGGCTAAGCTCGAGCTCGGCGCCACTATCCTTCTTCTCTTCGATAGAGCTGAACTTGCCAGCATTGGCGGACCGAGTCGAGGTCTCAGCCGGCTTCTCAGCAGCTTCAGCTTCCTCTTCCTCTTCGTCGTCAGGGTCGGCAACGTTGAGACAAGGATAGAACGCGACGTTGTAAGTCAGAACACCCTTCGCAATGCCCTTGCCATGCAGTTGCAGACCTCCTTGAATGAGCTTCTTCTCATCGTGGACGTTGTACTCTCCATTCTCTGCCTGCGAGATGTAGTCGCCGGCGAAAACCTCAACCATACCAAGACTGCGGTCTTTGCCCATCTTCTCAGCATCCATAACCTCAAGAGCGAGTCTTTCGCGAGCGGAGTGGACCGGTACGTAGAGAACTTCGTCGAACTCGGGGTCCAGAGTGTTCTTATGGGTAACGGTGCGAGCTTTCTCGATACCTGACAAGAGCACCCTCACATACGGGTCGGACTTTCCAAGGGTCTCGAAGTTGCGAAGATCATTAGCGTGCTTGAAGTGGAAGCGCATGACACCGATAGGAGTGACATAGCCGCCAGTTCCGCCAATGGCACCAGACAAGGCAACAGGCTTCCATTGAGCCATCATCTTGACGCGACCGCTCTGGGCACCGGACAAGTGGAACCACTCCTGCCCCTTTTCCATGCATTCCAGCATGTCCTCAAGCTTGATCTGGTATTTGCCGAGAACCTGATCGCCAGTGAGATCACGGTCGTCCTTGATCGTGACACCAAGCTTGGCGTTCTTCCTGTCGGTAATAAGCATTTCCTTGGAGCCGTTGTCCCAAATAGGGTTGTTCGTCCTCTTGAGCTTCTTGGTGTGGTGAACGTCTCTGCCGTTAAGATGCAGCGTCGCGTAAGGGTTGAGAAGACCGACAAGACTCTTGGTGCCGTCCAAATCCTTCGCCTGCTCCACGGTGAACCGCAGAATACCGGTGTTAGACTCCGGCGGGGGCTCTAGACTACCATCCTCCAGCTTCTTAGGTTCCAAGACGGGGAAGAATCTGACATCGCAGGAGACAAAGCCGCGGGCCTTGCCGTCAGCGATGATTTCCAGTCTCTCGTTCTCGTGTACAGCCAGTTCCTCAACATTCTCCAAGGGGAACGAGGCGACACCGAGTTCCTTGTGCTTTCTAAAGTCATTGTAGTCGAAAACTTGGATGTCGAGAGAGTCATTGAACGAGGTGATGATGATGTAGTGGGTTTCGTTCCAGCGCGGGTTGGAGGTGTCGTTGATGTGCTTCGTGCGGGCAAGTGGTTGTCGACGGTTCAGAGTCAACACAGCGTAAGGATCAGGCGAGCCAGAGAAGTTGTCAGGGTTCTTGAGACCCTGAGCGCCGTGAAGCGTGACAGCGAGCACACCAATAGCTTGGTCGACTGGGGTGCCGGCAAGCATCTTGGCAACTTCAATTGGGAACACGTTAGGCGCGTACATCATGGGCTCCAGGTTGCCGTGAATCTGCTCAAGGATGAAAGATTCAAGACCAGGGATGAAGTTGATATCGAAGCCAAAGGTTTCACCTCCTAGTGGCTTGCAGACATAGTCGATGGTGGGCTTTTCCAAGAAGCACATTTCCACCTTCTCGACGTGGGGGAAAGGGATCTGCAATTTGATCTTGAGCTGCATGATACCGGAGAAGGCCATGTCTTCGACAATGACGTCGAGACCCTTGCTAATCATGGCTTTACCGACTCTGATCTCGAGAACAACCTTGGGATTGACCCTATTCTTGATCTGCTTGAAAGTCATGTCTGTCGTATCATTAGGATTGAAGCTGAACTTCCAATCCATAATAACCGTGTCGTCTCCGGCCTTGGGGTATGTCTTGACGTGTTCCATCCTCGGCGGCTTGGATCCGAGTGTAAAGGTCTTGAGCTTCAAGCTGTCCAAGAAAGCTGGAGTGGCGGAGCTCAAAACCTGGTCAACCGAGTTGACGATGGTTTGAGCCAGGACCGGCTGGTAGATTGGCCAGAACTTGACCATGAACGAGTTGATCCATTCAAGAGACTCGGTCTCCGTCTCAAGTTTCCTCAGGGACACCTCTCGGCTAATGTCATCGCGGAAATTGCGTCGAACGCGACGGATGGAAGTACGGTAGTAGGTTGAACAGACGGCCATGACAATGAAGACCCAGCCAAGACCGCCGCCCAGAACGGCGACCAACCAGGAAGAAATGCAGGCGAAGACAATGATGCCGGCATTGTGGTACCAATCACCATAGAACTTGTCAGGGATGTTGCTCTCGAGCCAAGTGGAGTGGTCGAGAAGGCTAGTGCTCTCGAGAACGTCGTCTTTCGGCCAGCCGAACTGAGGGGCCCAGCCAGTTCTCGTATAAGGTTCCTCGTCATTGCCCTCGGGATCTTCTCCTGTTTGGATGACCTTGCCATCCTTGTCTTTAGTAACTTCGATGACGCCGGCCTTGGTGGGTTCAGGAAGGTCGGTGATGGGTTCATTCGAATCAGGGACGTCAGTCACGATGGAAACACCCTTTGACCGTTGGGAGTGAAAGCCGGGCGGGACAGCCTGTTCAGAAAGAGAAAAAAAAGTGGTCAGCCAAGCTCCGAGGTCCAGCAGCAGGTTGATTCGCAGAAACTCACAGCTGCAGCTTGGGCGCGCTTCTCCTCGGGGCTCGCATCGGGATCGAAGGTGAAAGCCGTAATGCCGGCCTTTTTCGACTCCTCGACAATCTTCTTCTGGGCATCTTCGGCCGAAACGTTGCTCTCAGGGTCCTGGGCAGCCTCAACGACACCTTGGACCTTGAGCTCGTTCTTCTCGAGGGAAGCCATTTCGCCAAACTCTAGGCGCTGCTTCTCGCAGCTGGGTGGGCGAGTTCGAGATCAATTGAGAAGAGACTCAGCTTGCGGTTCCGTGTCGACACATGAAGAGTTCGCGGGTTCGAGAATGGGTGACGTGGACCGGTGGTCTGGTAAAGTTGGGGTTTTGGGGGGGTAGGAAAGGTAGAGAAACAAAATAACAGAGATGGGGAATGGAAACGAGGGTCTCAGGGGAGGGTCTCGGACTAAAAAGAGACGATAGATGCAGATCGGCACAAGAAAGGAAACAGGAGGGAGGGAGTGAATGCAGAGAGGCCGGACTGTGGCTGGTTGACCAGTAGTTGGAGTAGTGCAGGAAACAGTGGGAATGCGGAGGTAAGAACGGAAAGGCGAAAGAAAGACAAGGCGGGAAGCTAACGGGAAGGTAGAGAAAGAAGGGTGCAAGCTAAGGTGGCAGAGAAAGGGAGAAAAGGTGAAGGTTGGATGGAGTTTGGCACAGATACGTCAGGGTCGCTACAGGCCCCGTCGGGTTAGCGGCGACTCCGTGGCGTGGAGGTACACGTAGACGAGGTCTTTTTTTTTTTTTTTAATTCTCTTTCTTTTTTTTTGGTGGTGCAAAAAGAACCTTGGAAAGCTGGCGATCTGTCACAAGCTCGCTCACAAGCTGGACAAATTCCCACCAGCGCAAGCGTAAGTGCAACACCTACGGAGACGGGGCAAGGGGGATTTGGGGGGAGCACCTCTAGCTCCTCAATCTCCCAAGCTTCAGTAGTTGACAGCTAAACCGAAGCAGACTAAGCATGCAAAAGAGCTTGCCCAGATAGTGCTTTCACTTTACAGGTGGAGGAAAAGTAATTGCTGCTCATAGGTAATGTGGCCCATGGCCTTGGCTGCGGTAACGACGTAATCTCTCAGCTAGGGGAGGTACAAGAAAAGCCTCTAACTGGCCACTGGCAGCGGGCGGGGAACCTCCTCCAGCACTACAGGGCAGCACCCCCCTGGTCGCACCAGACCATCGGGATTGGCTGACGGAGCTGGCTTACAGGGGTAATCAGCTTAGGTTGGGTGGCCTCCCGGAAAGGTTGCACTTGGAATGGAAGCAATAGTGGTTCCAGACCAAGCGGGGAGAGGCTTAAAGCAGGACAGGTTCCAGTTGGGTTGGCTTCAATCAGGGTTTGGGGGAGCCGAATTTCCAGCTTGGGTCCTTGGTGAATTTGCAGCTGCATGCCATTGCGACTTTATCCTTGCTGGCCTTTCAGAGTTTCTTAAGTACCTATCTTACTGATGGACACCTGTGTACCTATTCGGCTGTGTTCTTACACGACAGCGTAAAAGTGCAACATCATCCTCCTCGGTCATCGCCGCTACGTCTCCGCATCGGCTTTTTGCAGTCCCATGTTCAGCTGTTTTTTCAATGAAGCGATACGTATCTCGGGCACTTTTGGCGCCAGGACGATGATTGAGGGTTCTCACATGGGACATGCTACTGCAAGGCATCCTGTTGTTTACAACTTACCATCTCATCTCGGACACTCCCTCCCTCTCTCTCTCTCTCCCACAGACGAAGTCTATATAGCATCGCCTCAGTAAGCAAATACCGGTTTTAGTTTTTATTCTTCCACTACAAAGGTACGGCACAGCCAGAGGACGCGCATACCCGCAAGGCAGCAAGACCAGATGACCAAAACTCCGACTCTCTGTGCTCGATTGCCTGCAGTGCCCCCCTCTCCTCTTGTGTGATACGCAAATTCGCGCCAGCCGGAAATGCTGAGGCAGGCAAGACGCATCGCCGAGCCCAAGCACAGATGTTCAACCACCAGAGTTGGCGCCTACGCAGTGGGTTCAACCCCTCTTGCCCCTCCTCTTGCTCACTTTTCCCGGACAAGGGCTTGCGCTCTGTCTTCGCGCCTGCGGCTGGACGGGGCCAAGGTCCTGGCAGCGTTTGCGACCCCGAAACCTGGATAGCTTACCTTACCTTATCCCAGGCCACCCTGTCCAACGGTTGCCCAAGCCGCCAACCACGTTGGTCGAATCACATCGATCCTGACTAGCAAATCCTTGCCGCGCATCCTTCTTCGATCGGACCACCGCAAGCCAAACTCTGCTCGAAGGCTGATGGGTCTCTAGCCACACTCAATAGCTATGGTGTGCTAGTGGTGCGTTCAGGTAAGTGCCACTTTCGATCTGGAAGAGTTGTAATTTCGGACTCTGCCCATGTCTCTCATGATGATACAGAGCAGCTGTGGCAACACTCTTAAGCTTTCACATATCGTTACTCGGTTCACTTGTGAACCCGCAACGGCCGTCTTGAGAAAGAAATTGCCATGGCAGCAGAATCCAGCTCACTTGGTTGTGGCGTACAGTCTCACCGTTTGACCAACCAAACCCATTCCAGCAAGCTCTAACCACGCCTGGGCCAACACCGTCGTCGACGTCATCACCAGTATCTGTGTCAAAGCAGCCTTCGACTGAGACATCCATCGCTGCCGTCTTGGCAATGCCCAGCCACCAGCGTTCCTATTGAAGAATGCCTCCTGGCACGTTGCAACCCGCCGGCCACTTGCAGCAAAACAATCCCAGTGGTCGCTGAGCTGCCCGCCGATGACCAACTGTTGACCCCGATTACTTTGATCCAGTTCAAAGTGCCTCGGTTCGTCGCCCTGGCTGCCCCGATAAGCACCCTCCGATCGACAGCACAAGACATCCTTCTATCTTCAACACGTTGTATCAAGCGCATCACTAGCTCATGGACAGGCAGGCCAACAGACAATTACCAAAATGAAACACCAATCCGATCCAACGGGGTGCCCTTTTATTGAATTCCAGAAAATATGCCTTCGGTTATCGGCTCAATTGGGATCTTTTGAAATGAAGTATTGCTACATTGTTTGCGCAAGTCACGCAAACTAAGGCGAGAGCTGTGATCTGGCACAGAAACCACCAATTGCCAGGACCATTCCATTCCTAGACCCAAAATGAACCATATTTTTCCCAAGCCTACAAGTCGTAGGAACCGCAACCCCTCGTCGGACAAAAAGATAACGCCAGTCATCATGAGGGTTTCAGAAGAGAATAGAGAAGAGAAGAAGGATCGATGCTCTCGACCAGGGCAGATGCTCGACAGTAGCAGTTCTGCCCCATGGCTCACAACGGAGCCATTAGAGATGACCCGTGACAAGTAATGGAAAGCAGCAATCACGAAACTGAGTTTCTAAATGCCTCCCATGCCTGGTCAGGGCTGGCGCTGGGCCACCCAAGCTCACGGCTTAGAAGTTGGAGGACGCCAGGTGTTCCGAATCGGCCTGAATGCTGACGTTCTTGGCAGTCGTCGTCTTTCCAGACTCGCTCGTCACCTTAACATCGACGGTGTTGGTACCGAAACCGCTGGGGTTCTCAAAGAAGTTGTACTCCTTGCGCGTCGTCTGCTGCCAAGTTGCTCCTCCGTCGGTGCTGACCTCGAGGGACTTGACGGGCTCGTTGTGGTTGAGGACTTGCATGGAGAACCAGTACGGCGAGGTGCCCGACTTGTTGTGCAACTTGATGGGCGAAGTGATGCCGCACTCAACGAACTCGTAGGAAGTCGAGATAATACCATCGGAGATGGTGCCGATCTGGGCGAAGGCCTCCTGGAAGAGATCGAGATGGGCCTCATCACACTCGGGGCACTGGTCAACGATCATGGCGGTGATGCTCTTGCCGTTAGGGCCCGTGACCTTGACGCAAGCACCGCACTTGGAGGCTGAATCCCAGGCTTGGCCAGAAAAGGCGGTTCCAAACAAGCCGGAGGGGATGGTGTAAGTGGAAAAGGAGCACATGCCGCCGGAGGTGTTACCGCCGTAAAAGGTGGACTTGCCCTGCTTGACACCACCGTTGCCGATGGGTGCCGTGGAAGCAACCGGAGCGCTAGGAGCACTCGACGACGCCGCTTGAGCGGCCTGAGAGCTCGCTGCGGGCGGGTTCTCCACGGCGGGAGGCTGGGAGGGCTCGGAGGGCTGAGACGATTCGGAGGTCTCGACGGGGGCCGGCTGAACGACAGAAGTCGGCAGAACGGGGGACAAGGTCGTGCGGCCGGGGTAGACGGTGTAGGTAACGGTCGTCGTGATACGGCTACGGGGCGGGCAGGACTTCTTGGCGAAGACCATGTTGGCGGCCGAGGCGGCCAGCAAGAGAGCGTGATACTTCATTGTGTCGAAGGTTGGTTGGACTTGAAAATGATTGTTACGGTGAGTTCCTGACCAAGGAGGAACTGCTAATCAAACTCGGTGAGAAACGAAGATGAGATCGTTTCTGTAAGTGCAATGAGGGAACAGCAGTTGGCAACAAAAGGAGTGACAGTTCCAGACCAGAGACCAGCGTGGATGAGGAAGAGGTTCGAGAGGGACAGACACAACAAGCGTACAACGAGAACTACCACACACTCCTACTCGGGCAAGGAGGGCGGAAGGCACCTTTATTTTATTAATATTACTGCCTTCCTGCAGCCAAACAGAAGAGGGAGGAACAACAACGCCACTAGCAATGAGTGAGTTAATTTTCCACTGCGCCGTCATCACACATGCACTCCTCATCCTCGTCCTCCCATCGAGCCAGCCAGCATGCAGGTAGGAACGCAAAATAGGGCCTTTGCCAAATCCACTCCCGGCGCCGCGGTGCGGTTGCAGGCATGCTTGCTGCGCGTGGCGAGAGCGTGGCTCCATCGTCATCTAAAATCGACGGGGGTTTGAAACGAGATTCCAGCGGGGGTGGACATCACGCACCAAACAAACTCGACGGGCTAGAACATTCACTCCAGAAGAGGAAAAAAAGAAAAAGGAAACCAAAGCAAGTGGACGGACACAGGAGCCGCCCCCCCTTCTCCGAAAAGCCCCTCTCTTGGATGACAGCTTTACCCCGTCATGAATCAGATAATTCACGGGGGAAAGAGTGTTATAGGGAGGATGTATGTGACACCGACCTAGGGCTGAAGCTGCACATCCCCCGTGCTTCGCCTGTTGCAAATCATGCACGCTGCACTTATACCGAGGACGGTATAAGCGCATTTTTGTCTACTCTAAACAAAATGAAGAGCGGCCCCTCACTCTTGTTTTTTGGTTTTTTTTACTTTTCTCCTGCGTCCTCCACATGTAGGCCATAATCCGATGAACATAATTACGGGCGGACGGGAAGTGCACAGATGGAAGTGGGATTCGGCCGGTTCGTCCAATGCTTTGCAGTACAGAGTCATTTGCGCAACAGCGTGCATCCCTGGCGACTAGATGAGGTAGATATGAAGAAAGATGAGTTGTCGGCCCTGTCATATTTCCCTCACCTGTGAAGAAACAAATGAAAGTAATAATAAAGAAAGAGAAAAAAAAAAAAAAAAGAGTGTGTATTATTTCCTTTCCGGTGAGTCTATTCCAGGTGGGTGAGCAGATATGTAAGGTACTTCTGTCATCTTCCTCCTCCTCATCTTCTGTTCCCTCCCCTATCCATCCATCCCCCTTACCAGGACCTGCATGACCTACTTCCAGGCACTTACTACGCAGTAACTATTACAACCACCACCGCCCAATGGATGGTGCTGCTGGGAATCAAGAGCGAGCAATGGAACGAGTTCGAGAACGATTTTCGGCAAGGTCGGGCCAGTCGGCGTGGGGGGGGGGGGAGTGGAGGCCGTCAGGGTGGTGGGTGTGGTGTGGAGCTTCTGGAGGGTAGGAAGTGTGGAAGTCACGTAGTGTAAGGGGGGAAAAATAAAACGACTCGCGCCAGGGATTCGAACATGTGCCCTGGCGATTAACGACCGTCCCCCGCTCCCCTCCCCCTCCCCCTGACAGTTTCTAAGCCCCTATAGGAAAGAAAAAGGGAAAATCATTAACACGGCGAAAGCAGATGGACTGTCGATGACAAGACAGGGCCAAGGACTTTAAGGAAAAAACAATCTTAGGCTGTTGTCGTTGGATTTGTACGCCGAGGTCAAGTTGAAACGGCATGAGTAAAAAAAACACGTTACTCCGGTCAGAGACGTCAGACCAAGTCAGGTCATAGATATCACTCCGTGAAATTCACCTCCTCGATCAAAGTGAAACCCTCGGTGAACAAAAGCTGTCTTGGGCGGGCATCTCGCCTCGAGCGGTATTGTGAGCTCCTAATAAATATATCTATCTGTGGTATTTCCATCAAGAGGAAGACAAAAGAGCGAGCGAGACGAAAACACACGAAAAAAAAGAAAGAAAAAAAAAGCGAGAGTTTTCGTGTCGTCATCACCAATAACAACGCTATCGCTGCGACCCCTCTCCGATCAACAGTATCTACTAAAGTGAAGTGTGATCCTGAGGCAGCCTGCCGCTGTCAATGGAACAGAGTCCAGAACATTAACAATCAAATCGCATCTTGACGGACGCCCACATTTAATGACGACACGCGCGCGGCGTGTCCACTTCCAAGCATGAATCAAATCCACCTCCTCGAGGTCTTACACCGGGGAATCTCCTGTTAGAAACAGCGCTGCACAAGAGAGAGAGAGGGTGGAAGTGAGCAGGGAATAACAAAACTGACGAGGCCGACCGGTTTACCGTGGAAACTGAAAAAACAGGAAACTATGTGTGCCAAAGGATGGACTTGGTTAAATGAAGGGCTTCCATGCAGACCGGAACGCCAAAACGTGGGCAAAGCAGTACGAAACAAGAAGAAGGAAAAAAACAACCCGAGGTATCAATAGCCAAAACTATCATGCTGATGAACGGGGCAGCGTCCTGGATGGTTGACGAACCAGGCCGAGATGCAGGACCGGTGGAAGCGGCAGAGACATTCTAGGCGAGCCATGGGAACGCCCACCTCAAACTCCTCGAGGCAAATAGTGCATTCGGCGGAGTCGACGCAGTCCTTCTCCGTGGCAACGTAAGGGAACATACCCGTCCGGCGCGCGGCTAGGGGCGGCGGCGTGCCGACTACGTTCTGCGGTGTTTCGCCCGTAGGCGTGCCGCTGTATGTGCTGTGTGACGTGATGCAGATGTTAATGTGAGTCTCTCGCAACGTCTCAAAGTTTGGTAGGGTGCGTGAGGGCAGCTCTCGGTGGCAGACAGGGCACTCGTCCTCTTCAGCAATTTGTGGCGGCGGGGGCAGTGCGCGGTTCTGGGCGGCTGAGGAAGATGAGGACCCAACGTCGAGCATGGAGCGGTATCGGGATGAGCCCGGGTAGCCGGCCGATGAGGAAGAGTAGTACGCAGGAGGAGTCCCCGCCAGGATCCGGTTTTGAGTGGAGGAATAAGTTGGGCGAGAGCTGGAGGGCCCGCCGGGGCCGGAATGCTGCATTTGTTAGCTCGTATGGTCAAATTAGCTGGACGTGACTGCCGTGCTTACCGTAATACTCCTAGACCTTGCATATGCGTCCTGGGGAGGGCTCGTCGTAAAGTAGCTCGAGTACCTATTGGGTGGAGGGGCGTTGCTGGACATGGCGTTGATGCTGCTTTGCGATCTGTAATGCGATCCTCGAGGCGACAACTGCGAAGGGGAGTCAAGCGGTTGTGGTGGTGTAGTATTGGGATCGGGAACGCATGGGTTGCATAGACGGACACGCTCTCCTCCACCGAGACTGCTGAAATCCGCATATCCTCCCTCACCGCTGATGAGTGAAGAAGGGTATCGCTGAGCAGCTAGGCGTGGCTGACCAGGCGGCTGCACAATGTACTGGTAAGGGATGGTGATTCTGTGAGGTGAGCACGAGTTGCAGACAACTCTACCACATTTCCTGTGCATTGTCAGCACATGAGTCGCGCTGTCACATGAAAAGGCCAAACCTACCTGCAATGATGCTTTCTAACAAAAATGCTGAACTGGGTATGACATATCGGACAATAAGTGACTTCTGCGTCGGGTTGCCAGCGAGGCAAAACGAACTCGGGAGGTCCTCTCCTTTCCTCTACAGCCTGCTGGTTTCGCGGGGCAGACTGGACAGCCAGCGAGGAACTCGACCTTCTAGGCGGCGGAGGCGGCCCTTCCTGGGAGCGATTCGATGACAAGGCTGGGCGCAGTGGCAGATCTTGTGTGGGAATATTGGCACCTTGAGAGGTTCCTAAGCTTGAAGTTCTCTCAGGTGGCACAAACTCTCCAGTGGGCTGGGCAGGCGTGGAAGTTGGTGGAAGAGGTTGACTATGACCTGAGGGTTCTGAGGGTCGCGAACTTGGTGGTGTTGGTGGTGTTGGTGGTGTTGATGGTGCCGACGGAAGTTCCTGGGAATCCTGACGCCCTTCAGGTTGGTTGATCTCTTGTGCAGAGGTTGTCAAACTTGAAGCCCTCTCAGGTGGCACAAGCTCTCTAATGGGCTGAGAAGACGTAGCAGTTGGTGGGAGAGGTTGGCCATGACCTTGAGGCTCTGAGGGTCGTAAACTTAGCGGTGTTGGCGGTGCCGGCACGGGTTCTTCGGAATCCTGAGACTCTTCAGGTTCGTTAATCTCCCGTGCTGAGGTTGCCCGTGCTGTCCCTTCTCCCTCCGTCGTTGGCTCCGTATTCGTCTCCTCAGGCCCGGGCGCAAAGCTTGTTGTTGGGCGCCGCTCAGAGATAGCGGCCGGTGTATTTGTATCCGCCACTGATCGATCCAAGTTCGCAGTCGAGGTATGCTCAGGCGTGCCCTCAGCCGTCTGAAGCTGCTCTGGCGGCTCCTCCCCCGCCTCGCTGCCTTCGTCCTCGTCGTCAGAAAGCTGTCGCTCTACTATGTGGGTTGGACAGTCGAAGAAGCGAGAGCACTCCATATCATGAAACCGAGCGGTCCTCCAGCGACACTCTCCCCGTCCAACTGAATCGTCCGAAGCATCGCTCCCTATGTGCGAGCTACCTGATAGCGAGTCTCCGTCATCGCGTGAGCGTTGATTGTCAAGGGAAGCTAGAGCAGCTCCACCGTCTGGACTCGCCATATTAGAATGTTTGCATCGTCCCCGGTATCACAAACGGAGTCTTGGAGTAGTTCGGCGTTGTTCAGATCGGATGGGGTCGGGAATACAGGTTGCAGTTATACGTCTTCATCAATCGGTCAATGTCGCGAGCGAGTCGTGGGGGGGAATCGGCAGTCAGGCTGTTGTTGCTGATAAGTCAGCATGACGAAACAAGAGTCAATATCCGAAGTGGTGGGGTCGAATGTTACCTGGGCAGAGTCGTCCAGCGGCAGTCGGGGGCATCTGAGCCTCGAAATAGTTCTGCAGCGAGGCGACAAATTGCAGAATATGCAAAAGTATTAGGTGATGGAGCGAGGAATATTTGGAGGGGCAAGTCGAGGTACGGCACACGAGCAGCCAACCTACCAATACCTTGCCTTAGCCTTCGCACCTTGATTGAGCACATGCACCACCCAAGGCGCTCTAGGCGGCCTAGACTGGGCGGGTGCTGCTTATCGCGTCCTGGACCCTCCGTCTTATCTCGCGATTGGCGCCAGCCTGAAGTGTGGCGCCGGGAAGGCCCCATTCCTTCCGGCATGGGTCCCGCCACGGTGGCTGGGGAGTCCTGACTTTGCTAATTTCAGCTCGTCCCTTCTGGTGTCTTCCCAGACCTGAGCTTGCACGCTTGTCACGCTGTTTTGTGAATCACAGCTTCAATAGTTGGAACTAGCTCATTGGCCAGGCTGATACAGGAGCAGAACTGGCCGCCTTTGGCTATATTGCACATGACCGGTGTCAAAGCTCAAGACATTTAGCACCGTTTCCTCCGGCCCGGCTGTTAGTGGGTTATAGAGCTCTTTTTATCGCCGTTCTTTGCCGCCTACCTGCGATATGTCTAAGAAGTAGTGTGGACAAGTGTAGACGTGTTTCATGCAAATTTGACAACCATTCTTCTTCTCACCAGGCTTGATGGCGCACACAATGGTTGTCCTGTTTCGTAGGGGGTCCTCGTTGAGAGCAGGCAAGGGTGATCATACTAATGTTCGGAGGGTTTCTAAGCCTTCAGTTGCAGGGCTGATTTAACCACCAAGACTCATGTAACGTCCATGCAGGACGGTAAATGCCAGTATGTCATGCCTTCTAGCACAGTTCTAATTACAAAGTGATACAAGATCGACAGATCCTCCTTGATTCGAGTCTTTCCAACTCAGAACCAACATCGCCTTATGCTTCAAAACCGGAATTAGTAAACTACATAATAAATATGAAAAAATGGTGTTAGACCTCGCTCATGAAAGTCCGATTATTGGCTTCTGAAGCCCGATTAGGGAGAGCCTTGATGAACTGTAATTATACATACAATAGTCTCTTAGGAGAAGGACACCAACCCCTGCATGAGAGGCGGGAGGTATGTTTTGTCTCAGAAACTGATGAGTAGGCCAGCTGGCGTTATAAGTCTTCGTCAAAGTTGGTCGTTGTATTCTTACTCCTTAAGTAGCCTTCTCACATAGCTCACATTTTGAACATTAAGCTCTGATTGAGCGGCCGTAACAAAGCCCACTCGCGCACATATGCGGACTGCACTGTTGCCGAATGATGTCCATCACGGCTCTTGCTCTTCATATTGTTGGTGGCTCTCGCATAAGTCGCAAGATCTACGATTCACAAGCTTCTGCTATAGCCGCTCACAAGTTTGGTTGCTGCTGAATAGACCTTGAGTTGTATGCATGCGATAGTTCATCACGCATGATTACCAATATTAAAGCTACTTGAGCCTAATCACTTCGGCCAATATTGTGAAATACAGACGTTTCACAACCCCACGCGACTAGTAACACATCCCGAAAAATACTGAAAGTACCAACCCAGCCCTTCATTTTACAAACCCCCCCCACAGGCAGTCGCTTCCTCTTTCTGAGGATGCCATATACGTGAAGATCGACAGTCCTTGGACAAGCGTCTTCCATCCCGACTGCTCAAATCACACTCTTCGAGCTCAGCTGTCCCTAACTGACCGAGGTAGCAGGGATACTGTTTCGTTCAAACACTGCAAGAAGAAAAGAAAGACCGTTTCTTAAAATCTCATTTTTAGCACCATCTACACACATCTTAAGCACCCGAAGGCTTCACATCACCCATACCAACCCCGTAATCCTCCTTCAGAACCTGGCCCCCGACCTCTAGCGGCTCGCTCTCCTGGAGCACGTACAACATGCGCGCCCACCCAGTCTCGCTAACATTCTTCCAAGCATGCATCGTCCCCCTCTGCACCGCCACGTCCCCGCGCCTCATCCTCCTCGTCTCGCCGGAGTCGAGGACGAGATCGATCTCACCCTCCAGCACGACGCCGTAGTCCAGGCTGACGGTGCGGTGCATGGGGGACAGCGCCGAGGGAGGCATGTCCACGATGCGCATGACGCTGCCGCCCGGGATGACGATGCCGGGCGGGTTGGCCAGGCGTTCCGAGTACGCCTTCACGTCTGTGTTTCCCACGAACGACGTGGGCGTTTTCTCGGTTGTGTAACCCAGGTAGAAGTTGACGTTTCCGCCGACGGTCTGCTGCGGGATCTCGGCGGGGAGTGCCGTGTTGAAGATTGCCTTGCCGTCCGTGGAATGGTCTGTGATGAAGCGCTGGGGGCGGCGGAGGTCGTTGGGAGGAGGTTGAGAAGCCATTTTTTGCGAGTTTGGGGTTTTTCTTTATGGCGACTTGATTTGAGACTATTGTCTTTGTATGATCTGGTTTTGAAGTCTTGGGGATTATATGTGGTGGTACTGCTCAGATCTAGGTGAGTGACGCGGGGGTTCCTTCTACGTCGACCAGAAAGAAATTGGGAGTCTTAACTACCCCATCGAATCATCTCAAAGCTAAATAACCGACTCTCTGATACACTCCTCGCAGCTCAACCCCGCTGCCGTGAAGCTGTTGAAGCAATGCCGGCTCGGCACCCGAGGCATGGCACAGGCTCCGTCTCCCCGCGGAAAGTGGAGGTGGGGCCGCAGTGTGAGCGGGAGGAGAGGTGGGTGGGTGGGGGTTGGGCATTTGCGGGGTGAGAGCGACGGACGCTACCATAGTGCATCTGGCTTGATGAACAACCCCCCGGGCCATTATGCTGGAGAGAGCCCTCACACTCGGTCCGTGGAAATTAAAAGACTTCTTGAGTCAGAAACGTTGCAACTAAGCTTGGGACTGAGTAGTCCGTTAGTTGAAGCAGCGGAAGACTCCGGAGGAGATCCACGATCAAGACCACGGAAACTCTCGTTTCGCGATGTTTGAAACAGTGCCTAGAATATCATTACCCTGATTCTCGGTTTCATAAAACAAGTTGCACATAACGACAAGCGCGGTAGTAGTTTGTAAATAATACAGAGTTGGGTATTCATCAGGCAACGAGGATCGCAGCTCAAGTACCACACTAGACTATGTACATGACCCCAAGGCAATTCTCTAAACCCCCTTTTATCTTACTCTATCCTCCTGCACGACGAGACATTTGGCACGCCGGTCCCTTCGACAACCTTGGCGCTCACGTAATCGTAGATGGGAATTTCGGACAGGAACTTGGTGACGTGGTGCAACGTAGGCAGCTTCTCCCAGTCGTGTCCGTCCATCTTAACGTCAATTTCAGACGACCTCGACACGGCGTGGACGGTGGCGGGCACATCGCGTGCCTCGTTCTCGTGGGGGACGACGCACGCATACTCTGCGTCCGCCTTGCCCGGTTCTCCGACGGAGGGGATGTATCTGTAAGTGAGAATACCATAGTCCGCTTCGCCGCCGATGGTACCGTGCTCCGTCTTGGGGTCGTCTGAGCGCAGGTTCTTGAGTGAGATGTCGACGAACGTGGCGCCCCTCCAGGAGGCCCTCACGCGAGCCGCCGTAGCATGCACTTCGAAGTCGATGTCGCAGAAGAGCTTGGGCATGCCTAGTTCCTCACGCCCAGAGACGATGGGGTCCGCCAGGGACTCGAAAAGCACGGGGAGGTGCGTGCCGTTGATGGATGTTCCATCCTTCTTGACGTATTCAATGCCGTGGATGTACAGACCCAGGTGGTTGTAGCCGCCGCCGCCGAGCCAGGACATGTTGTTCAGTCTGGTGACGGAGAGTGAGGCGGTGCAGACGGTGCCCGGCTCCTTGAAGCGGAAGGAATCCGTGGGTAGGATGGTCTCGAGGAATGTGCGCGATGTGAGGAACTTGACGGACATGGTGGTGAAGGTGCGCTCGAGATCGTTGGGCTGACGGCAGCCGAAAGCGTCCTGGCGCGGGCCGGGGAAGGGGCCGAAGCCGGTGGGCATTCGCCAGTACAGGTCTTTCTTCTTAGACCAGAGCCAGCGGTTGAAGATCTTTGTTGCGTGGTCGTACTCGTCGTGACCGAAGTTGTAGTTTGTGTAGTTCATCACTGGGTTCTGTTAGTACGGCTGCAGAAAAGGAAGTCGTGTGTATAACTGACTTTGAATGGCTGGCGGAGCACCTGGTATTCTGTCCTTGCCGGCTTGGCGGGAGAACTCTTGGATGGTGTGTGCGCGAGTGAGTCGGATTTCTTCATAGAGTTTGAGCCGTTCCGGCACGTCTTCGGGAGAAGTGCCTTTTGGCAAGACGACTGCGAGAGCAACAGCGTCCTCCATTGCCTGACCTGCTCCCTGGCCTTGGTCTGCTGTGGGTAAGCACATGTACTGATGTCCAAGATCGTTGAGACTCACGAGGGGTAAAGGGGTGTGCAGCGTCGCCCAGCAGTGCCAGCTTTCCGTTCGTCCATGTGGACATGGGCTCCATATCCAGCAACTGCCAGACGTTGACCTCGTCTGGGTGAACCTTCTTGATCAATTCCAGTAGAGCGGGGTCAAAGTCGCGGTAGACCTTGAGGAGCTGCTCAATTGAACCCTTCTTGTTCCACTCTGAGGTCTGTTAGTCGTCTGGAGACGAATGGGTGTGGCACACGTACCATCACTTGCAGTCGCATGAGACTCCTCGTCGGGATGGATGCACACAAAATTCAACATCTGGTTGTCGTTGCATGGGTAAATGACAATACGTCTGTCCGTACCGAACCACATGCCGAGCTGGCTGTGCTTGTCAACCAGCGGGGCGGTGATGGGGTCCTGTTCGGCAGCGGCACGAGGAATGAGGAATCGGAAGGCGGCCTTGCCAGAGCGGAAGAGCTTGTGTTCGGTGCCTGTTATGAACTTTCTTGTCTTGGACTGCAGGAATATCAGCTCCGCCACAAAACTCTCGCTAACTACCTGCTGAACTCACGTAGATGCCGTCGGCGCCAATGACGACGTCCGCCTGGATCGTCGTTCCATCTTCTAGTTGCAGACTGCCTTTCTCAGGGTCTGCGCTGACGACTTTGGATGCGACATGGATCTTCGCCGGAGGGCCCTCGCCGTCTTCCGAAATGGCGACATGACGAATCTCGTTGTGGAGGTAGGCGCGGTGAACCAGCTGCCACGGGTGCTGCCATTGGCCTTGGGATTTGGTGATGTCGACATCGAAGCCGCCCTGGTTGTGCTGGTTCCTCTCCTTGAAGTGATTCGCTGGGTTTGCGCCAAAGGTTTCTGCATAGATGCCGAATCTTCTCAGAAGCCCGTTGGAGTTGGGAGCCAGATGCACGGCGGCGCCAGTCTCGTTACTGAGCCTCGATTGTTCGTACAGCTAGGAACACGACAGTCAGTATGTCTCGGAAGAACCGTGGACAGTTATGAGCATACATCAACTTGATGACCCTGCCGGCGGAGTGCAATGGCGGCACTCAGGCCACCGATGCCAGCGCCAACGATTGCAATCTTGAGCGGCTGGGGATAGTCATGGACAAGGGGATTCGATGAGGCGCCGTTAAGGCGCTGGGCATCACCGTTGACCAGCATGGCGCTGAGTTGAGCCTATAAAAAGCTTTGATTGTTTTTGTAAGGATATGAGACACGAGCAGCTTGACTCTCACGATGACGGCGACGGTATATCCAAAGGGGAAGCCCTGAAGAAGAGTGAGTGAGAGGGAGGAGTCGAAGTTAAAAGCGCGCCGAGAATAATGGCTGGTATAAGAGAATGAAATACAAGCCCATGCTGGCTTGACAGAAACGTTGGTATAGGAGGGTTGAAGTGTGCCAGCCAGTTCGCAGACAGCCACCTCAAACGCTCCCGCTCGGCCGTACCCCATAATCGATCGTCGCGCATACTCGGCCCCTCCCTGTCCCCATCGCAACCACCACGGCGTCTGCCACCACCAGACTTCCGTGGATCGTGGCAAAACTGCACCAATGATACTTGTGGCGACATCCCAGGAGAACAAACGAACAGGCGAACGACCCCCGTGTGCATCTACCGTCCCATCGGGACAGCCACAGCTCCTGGAATAGTCCGTTTCTTAGCCGGGGTGCGCATCCCCCGCATTTTGTGCCGACGAGCGGGAGGCGGCCGGAATCATGGCGGGGGAGGGACTAAAATGGAGCCTCTTGTAGCCCTGCCTCTTTCTTTCTTTCTAAACTAGCTTGGGCAGAAGACCTTCTGTCCCGCCCCGGCTTGAAACCATCTGATGAGCTATTGAGCAGTAAATAAGGTAGAGCATATACAGAGCGAAGCAGCGGGATGCCGGCGGGATGACCCACATAATGATTTAAGAAGGGTAGCAGGTGCACATACGAGAAGAGATTAACCCTGCTTGGTGTTGATCTTGAACGGCGACTTGTGATTTGTTCTTGCCCCTCTTAAGTTCGTTGTTGTCATTGTCTCGGGAACTCTGGGCAGCGAGCAAAAAGTTCGGCTTGTGGGGGAGATGGGGGGTGGGGCCCGGGAGCTGTCAGTCAGCGCTGACATGAGGACGGATATTAGACAAAGCGACCACCAGAGACGTTGCAAGTCACAGCCATTTCTCCCTTTTTTTAGGATGTAGATGTCTTTAGTCTTGCACCTCGGCACGTTCCTGCCACACTAACATAGTAGACGCAGAATCTTTTAGAGCGGGCAAGATGGAGCGAACTAATAACAGAGGTAGTCCCTGCCCAGCGGTTCCTACCTCTTGCTTCCCCATAGGTTGGGAAAAAGGAAAAAAAGAAGGAAGTAAATAAACTATTCCCCAAATTCGGTAGGTGGCTCGAACAACCGTGGATCCCTCGGGACCCGTGGCCCCGTCCCGGTTTTTACCATCCCCTCCGCAAGACTTCGGGCTCCGGGAGTCTACCCCGCCCCGATACCGCTCCGACACACAGTAAAGCCGGGGCCACCACCACTACCCCTCTTCACTCAATCGTCACAACACCCACTCCCGGACCCGGAACCATCTCACGTATACCCGCTCCGTCAACCGTCTTCAACTTCCTCAGCCCCATCAATTTTGCAGCCAAAGAAGAAGAAAAGAAAAAAAAAAAAAAAAGGCAATAATGGCACCGATTCCCACCGCCCTAATAACAGCCAGCAGCGCAGGCCTCGGCGCCGCAACCGCCAAACTCTTCGCGCGGAACGGGTACAACGTGGTCATAAACTACGCCAACAACGCCGAGCGCGCCGAAGCCCTCGTACAGGACCTCCTTTCAGAGTCCCCGCTGGCCGTGGAACAGCAACGGTTCCAGGCCATCAAGGCGGACCTCTCCAAGAAGGACGAGCTGGCGCGGCTGGTAGAGCAGGCCGTCGTCGTGCTGAGCCGCCTGGACGTCGTCTTCTCCAACGGCGGCTGGACGCGCATCCGCAACATCCAGGACCTGGACGACAACGTCGACGAGGAAGACTGGGACCGCTGCTTCAACATGAACGTCAAGTCGCACCTTTTTCTCATGCACGCTGCGCGTCCGCATCTCGACGAGGCCGAGGGCGCCTTTATCACGACAGCCTCTCTGGCCGGCGTCAAGGTTAGCGGGAGCTCAATGGTGGGTTTTATTTTAGTACATTTTGTTTTATTCTTTTTCTGTTTCCCGGCAAATAACTCCGTCATATTATCCCACTCTTTCCGTCTTCGGGTGAAGTAAACCCCCTCACGCCTCCCCCCTCGAGACGGAAAGTTGGTAGTTCATCTTGTTCTAAACCTCAAAACTGAAACCTCCTAGGCCTACTCCGTGACGAAAGCCGCGCAGATTCACCTCGTCAAGGCCCTGGCCGTGGCAGCGGGTCCCAGGATACGGGTCAATAGTGTATCACCCGGTCTCCTTTTGACGGTGAGTTAGTTTTTCTTTCTCCTCTCTCTCTCTCAACAACCCTGGCAGAGCGGCAGCAGCAGCGCCCACACAAACCTAACCCACCTCCGTCTGCCCATTTCCCAAATGACATGGGCTCACTGTTCTTTTTTGGCGCCACATGCAGGAATGGGGGCTGCAGTTCTCGGAGGAGCAGCGGGAGACCGCCCGTGAAAAGACTAGGCTCAAGAGGCTACCCACCGTCGACGACGTAGCGGACCAGGTGCTGTGCTTCGCCAGAAGCAGGAGCGTCACCGGCGCCAACGCCGTTATTGACGGGGGCCTGAGTATCTGAGGGCCACCTCGCACCGAGAGAGGTAGGCCTTCTCACAGGCAGCACTATCCCCTCCCTTCCCCCCTCCCCTAGACGCAAGGGGAAAAGAGAAACAATCAACAGCAGAAACCAAGGCCAGGAACCCGGACAGGAAGAATGAAATGGCTGGGACGGGACATGAGCCAAGGATCAAGCATGATGGGGCAGATGCGAGCTGTTCGCGCGCGGCGCACTCGCAGGAGGGTCTGTACCTCCCCCACCCACCCAGGTGGTGTCGGGTAGGGGGTCCTCCCACATCCCGAAGGGGGTTATCAAAGGGAGAAGGGTGAAGGTTAAAGTAGGGCCCCAAAACCGCCGTGTTTGTAAAGAGAGAGAGAAAAAAATATATCAGCCAATTCCCATACCGAAACGCCCATTGCTTGCCATGCGTGTATCGTATGCGTCGCGAACTGCGTGCCGTGCGTGTATGCGTGTGGGTGCAGTTCGTCGCAGAAACCCAAGAAAGAAACAACAAGCATCCTCGACAATCACCTCGACCATCACCACTCCGAATCGCTTATTCTCCAACCTCCCTGTCTTTGCTCCAATGGATATACGAGACGATGGGCCACTTCCACGACTCATGCCTTACCAACCTGCCCCAAACGAAAAGCGGCACCCACATGACCAGCACAGCACTCGCGATCCCCGCCATCGCTCCGAACGCATTCACGTACCCGGCATCTTCGACCCACGTATTGGTATAAAACGACAACAGGAAACCGAAAAGGGCTATGGCACAACCGTAAAGTCAGCTCTACCGCTCGAACATATCGGACGAAGATACAAGAATGTCGGCACTTACACTTGAAACCCATCACTGCCAAAGTGATTTCTCCTGCCACCGGACGATACGCGTCGATCACATATACGAGGGAGATATTTGTGCCCTGAGAGATGGAAAAGGTCACTAAAAACTGTTAGGAGCGAGCACATATATCAAAGGGCCGCAAAGTGGCTCGACCTACAGAGCCCTAGGCCAATGGTGGGACAGATCCAGTGCAGCTGGTTCTCGATCCCGACGCCGTACAGCACAAGGGCCAGAGGCGTCGTTATCATGGATATGACCATGCCGGGAAGCCGCATTTCTGGATACCTGATGCCGCCGTTGCGCCTGGTGAACCAGTCGGCGATCTTGTCGCCCAAATGGCCGCCGGCCGGGATACCGAGCAAGGCGCCGATAATACCAGAAACGAAACACAGACCGATCTGCCACGCGTCGAATCCATATGTGGTGTTGAAGGCGGAGCTAATATTGGAAGAGACGGCCACAAGGAAGCCAACAGCCAAGGCCTGCACCAACGCCGCCCACAGCACAGGCGGCAGGATAATCAAACCCAATGGGCGGAGGAACAGCTTCAGCAGGCTCTCCTCGGTCATGGTTTTGTGGAAGATCTTCAAGGATGACAGGTAAGAATTCTTTTGGGAGAGTGTGCTTCTCGCTGGCTGCGAGACAAGTTCACTTTCGGACCTCGTCGAGCCGGGCTTGCTGCCACCTATCGACTCCAGTCGATTCCAGTTAGTGGCATCATCTCGGTCGTATGCCGTCTCGGGAAATGTGAAGAATGCCAACGCAAGGACAACACCGATCAAGGCAGCAGAAACTTGGTATATCACTCTCCAGTCGTTGTTTACGGTTATAAGACTGCCAGGTAATCGGTTAGAACAAGTCGGAGAGGAGCAAGGTTTGCTGAGACTACTAACCCTGAAATCACCAGCCCAAAGCCAACTCCAGCAGAGAGAAAAGAGGTATAGAGGCTGCGCTGTTAGCTAAACACCCACCACACCAGGTCAGTCTTTTTGGCACTTACGCCATAACGGTTCCTCTTTCGTGCAGAAAGAAGACATCGGCAATGGAAATAGGGGCGATGGTCTCTGCCGCGCCAGCCCCGAATCCCATCAAGATACGACCCGCCAGGAAACCGGCGTACGAGTGGTCAAATATGAGCCATATTGAGCACGCAAAGTAGATGGCGTAGCTGGCGATATAAACCGGTCGTCGGCCGTACTTGTTGGCCATGGGCACCCAGAAAAAGTTGCCAACGCCTTGTAGAAGCGCGGTCGTTGTGAAAAAGTAAGCAGTCTGCGCGATTGCAAACGAGAGGACTTCATCGTCCGTTGCGGCCGCTGGAAAGAACTCCAGGGCCGTCTCCAAAAGTGCTATCGATGGTCCTGCCACCGATTCTGTCAGAGACCCTCCGCTGTGCGATGGGCGTTTTTGTCGAACTCACCAGCTGCAAGAAAATTGCACATCATCATCGCCACACAGATCAAACCCGCCATGTAATACTTGTACCATTGTGGCCTACACGAGTCAGCCAAGAGCCCCCTGTGGCTTTTCACGATCCCAAACGATTGGAACCTACCAATTCAAGGGATCATTTGGGTCTGCGGATGGCCTTGGGATCAAGATGACCTCGTTCGTAGCCTCATCCCGTAGACGAACGTTTCCCAACGTTCTTGCCGGTAGCGGCTCCCCCCGTTCCTCTCGTGTAGTATGATTCATCAGTATGATTGATCAGTGATGTATTCGTTGGGGGAAAGTCGAGGCGATGGGATGGCCCCCTCGTGGGAGGGTCCGCAGGTGAGGATATGGAGACCTTCTGTGTTGCGACGCTCTTTGCAGACGGATGGTACGGAAACTATGTCAAGACCGGCCGAGAGCTCGGGGAGTAGTAAGACTGACTACTGCCCGGCTCGAGGACGGCCGTGATCGATGAAACAATCGAGACCTGGGCCACCTGCCGTGTCGATCGTTCACCGTTGTTGCATCAAGGAGGGGGGCTAGATAGCGCGTGGTTCAATGTCACAACCTGGCGAGACACCTAAGCTCTGCTTTCCTCGGCACAATACTGACTGGATTGTGTGGGGAAGCAGGGGACTGGGAAAACGATGCCAGACAAGATAATTCGTGGCATCTCATCAGGACAAGGGAGGAAAGGGGGCGGTCACAGAATTCGTGGCCCATCAAGCAGAAGCAGAATGCAGTTGAGGAAACAGGTCAGAAGTTACAAGCCCAGCATATCTCAACCTGACGTCGCAGTCCACCGAAGAAAATATTATCCAGCGATACACCCAGTACAAAATGGTGGAGGGCTTGGGAGGGACTAACGATGGCATGTCTCCAGGATGTATGGGGATAAGAGACGGGCCTAAGCAGGAGATTGTCAGGCCTCAACCCTGCTCACCGATGCAGCACACCAGATGAGTGCAATACTTGGCAAGGCATGGGGGATAGAAAGAGGTCGACAGGGATTTAGGCGCAGCGGCCACTGTCTTATCCGCAACTAAGGGGGTTTTCGGGTTTAGGGGGCAAGTTCCACCAACAAGCCTTTTGCCAAGCTATTCGACATGGAAGAACCGAAACATGACCAGAAAGAAAAGTAATTGGTGGGTTCTGTAGGAACGCTAGCGTGGAAATCAGATGAGGGAGGAGATGAAATGATAAAAAATGTGAAAAAAATAAAGATAAAAAGGGAGAAAAAACGGACAGTTGACAGCCGTCTCAACTCCGAGATGAGAAGGGAATGAAAGCCGACTTTACCTTGGGGGGTTCCATGGCAGGAAATGCACAAAGCAGTCGTACGTAGTAAGCCGGGGACAAGCGCACTCTCGGTGTAATGTAGTGCCTTTCTTCATTCGAGAATCGAAGATCGAAGACGGAATTCCCTTGTGTCTAGCCAGGTTCGCCCCCGCCGCCACCATCGCACACGTAAGGTGTCAGTCTTTGAATAGGTCCAAGCCTTGCTAGAAGAGCCTCAGTGGGAGGAGAACTCGGCGTTGCATGAACCACGCACAGGACACAGTAAACCGTTTTCGGCCATCTGCTCCGCGCTCGATCCACGACTTTTTGGAGACTTTGTGATATCTGTCACTGTGTGTAAGAAGACTACGCATCAGCAAAGTGTGGCTGGCTTGTGCTTAATATGGGGGTTAAAAAAGGGAAAAAAAAAAAAAAAAAAAAGGCAAAGAGGAGACCCAGGCCTAAGGTAGCATGTCTCGTCTAGGACGCGCAACGCGCTCCCCACGCATGATTCCTTAGTAGAGGCCTATCTTGTTGCTGTGGACACTGAGCAAACATAGGTATACATGAAAACATACGGCATGGATCCAGAGCCAGAGCTTTGGAGGCTGCCTCTGTGGTCCCCGAAAGTTGGAGATGATGGAACGGATGACTGCAGCTTTCGTCCCATAGTGTTTGTACTTTGTAATGTACAGCTACAGGCAGTACATGCTACATGCATCACTGCATGCACGATGCGGCGGAGAGCGCCGTCTCTGGCAAGTGAAATCTAGACGACATGCAGAGGTGTTATCTCGTCACCCGCGGACCGAGGGCGAGACTCGGCAGCGTAGGCGTGACCATCATCTTGCCCATGCAATGCATCTGTCGACATTTGATGACAGGCGGAACAAGGTGCCCGAGATGCAAACTAGGGTTCGAATCCGTGGCATGGGCGGCAGACGCGCCGGTATCCCCTCGTCTTTTCAGCGGGCTCGATAGTAAGGAGTGTTTCATAGGACGTTTCCCCGACCTCAGAAGCAGCGGGTAGAAGAAGGTTCATCGGGCGGCCGCTGTTTCTGTTCCTATTCCTAAATGACCATCTCCGCTTCTGGCGCCGGTGTCTCGAAACAATGCGAACTCGTCATGGTCCTAGAGCGGATGGGGTCTTTCTAGACAGAGGCCGCGTTTGCTTATGTTCAGCTTGCCCCAGACAAATGCCCCTCCCTCTTCAGGTAAGGCAGAATTCAAGCTTCATGCCATGGCTCCATGGACTGGCAAAAGATTAGGGTTACCGGGATGCGTTTGACATGACTGCAACGGGGGGACTGCTTTCGTCATCCTGCGACCAGTAAAGTAGCAAATGCCGCTGGCCTGTCATCTGAAGTTGAATTTGTCTGGAGATTGCGCGCCAATGACGGGGCCATGTGTCGTTAAACGTCCACTTTCGCTGTATTAGTGTTTGTTGGTGGAGGAGACGACGTGGAATCAGAGATGCAGTTATCAGATGCAGGGTGAAGGATTAGAGGGGAAGGGACGGGGGGCCAAGCTCCTAGTGGCATGTACTTTGGGTTAGCGGTGGGCACATGTACCGTTCATGATACAAGACTAGCACTGCGGTACGCAGGCGGCAAGTACCGCGTCTTAGCGACATGCTGCGTAAGTGTTCTAGTCAAGGGTTCCATCATCAAAATTAACAGAGGGAATCTATCAATAGCGGTTTAGTTCTTCTATCAATTCATGTGGGTCCTTCATCGGAGTATCCAATGCACCTTGCCTTTTCGGGATTTCCGGACAGGCTTCTAGGATGGCACGGATATTAGAGCCTACGTAATGCTCCTTTCCCTTTTTTCTGGGGGGGTCCAGTCCAATGGGAGTCCTCGTGATAACGCCCTGGCACCTTCTTTTTTTTTTTTCTTTTTTTTTGCCAGTGGTGGTAGGGACCTCGACCAAGTACTTCCTTCCACAACACATTCACACACACTCACTCAAGTCCCTTATACCCCAGCCAGGGATGGTGTCTGCACTAAGGACCTGCAGGGGTCCCTGGATCACAGTGAGCGATGTTCCCTATTGGCATGCAGTAGTGTACTTTGTGCGCTACACGCCTCCAGTCACTGACCTTTCCGCGGCCGGGGTACACCACGTCCCCGTCTGCTTCTCCGTCACCGGCCAGCGGAGAGGAGGATTCCGCCCTTGGACTCAATGACCTCCACTTGGATTGTTTTTCCTTGGGGCAATCACCGCAGATATGGACGCCGTCGACGCGGCGGTGAATGAGAGAAGAGGGTAATTGACGCCTGGGTTGCCCTACTGACGCGCCTTGTTGAGGTTCATGAGTCAAGCAATCAAGTCGATTGGTTTTGCCGCATCATCCTAACCGAACAAACGCGCGACAGACAGGGTCGCCTGGCAAAACGATGATCCTCTCTATGTGATCAGGAGGTGATCCACGAATAGAGTTGATAACCGCTGCTTACAGCCTTCTAGACATCATTGATGCCCTCCCTCAGCAACCAGGTCCAACTAAGCGCAAGACCACGGGTTTCACGGCGGATACTTCTTCGGGCGATCTGCAGATTGTCTGATTTGCTTCCATGCGAGTGGTTCCGTCCAACCATTCCATCCATCCACATGGCAGAGGTTGACAGTTCGGATTCCTAACCTATTTGGATATCTCTGGGAATGGTCCGGGATGGTCGTCTGATGCTAATGCCGGCCCTTTCAGCCTCACGACTGCATCAAGGACACCTACCGAGTGTTGTATGCTTGAATCAGATTTCGCTTTTGGCAGTATAACTGCCAGCTGATGTTCTCAAACGGCGTGGAGAGAGCAGTAGCACTTCGGTCGTCTGGCAGTCCTCCGCGACGTCGATGTCGTCTCAGTGTGCTCGGCCGTTGGAGGATCCTTGCGACGCCTCGGCCGGGATCCAGGTCCCATTTCTCCAGGCGCACTGCATAACTCCAGACCTGGTCGTTCCACCAAATGCAACCAACGACCGAGTTTTGGGTTTCGAAGCTCTGGCACCTCGAGCCTTTCCCTTTTCAGGCCCAGCGCCGGCCAGAGGATGACGAGGCCACCCCCGACGCTGTTCTGTCGCCTCCAAGCATGCGGGCTTAGTAGGGGCCGCCCTCGTTGTGGACTTTGATTTTTGGCTGTCATGGTACTGTGGTAATATAGTCACCTCCAGCAGCCGACGTAATTACCATGTGGCGCTGATAATAATACCTTGAATAATACCTTGATTGCCTGACGCGGCACCTTACCACCCTCTCCAGGTTGGCCATTCTTTGAAGGCTGGCCTTGTCTAAAAGCGTCCCGCAACGAGCCGCAGTATATTCGCATAGCGTCCTCGAGCCCACGTCTACGCCCTCATGCGCCTCCCAGAGAGTGATGAGTGTTGCTTCCGGTACGTACTCTTTCTCTGTATAGAAGCCTTTCCACCCTAATTCTTCCTCCCGACCTTCCCCCTACCTTGCCTTACATTACCTTACCTTGTCTCCCCGACCTACGGGATACCCTTACTCTCTCTGCCTTACCTACTGTCTACCTACAGTACTCCGTACCTACAGTACCTACCTGCCTGCCTGCCTGCCCTTCGCCTTACCTTTAAGGCTACCGCCCCGTCCCTCGATACACATACGGCTCCTCTCCAGCCAACCTAACTGACCTAAGCTAAAGCCCACACGCCCCAAGCAACAGGTCCTAGTTCTTGTCTTTGCGGTCTTGGCAGCAGCCCGCCCAACTCACGCCGCTGTGTGTACCTTGACCTACAGTACTAGTAGTGCCTGTCTTGCTGCACGTTCGCCGCTCTTGGCTTGGCTCACATTTCCTTTTTACCTCCTCTCCCGACTTCCTCCCACATCGGGTGTATCCTTCTCTAGCGAGGCAGCAGAACCTTCTTTTTTTTTCTCCCTTCTGCTATTGAAAGATTTTGATTTCCTGCCATTTCCTGCTTGCCGACCCCCTCCGTCCGTACGGCAGCCACCCAACTCCCGCCTCCCTCCGATCTCTGGTACCGCTTCCGCCCCCCGTCCGGCGCCGTTGGCCAGCTCTGCGGCCAATTGCCGGACCCGCTCCGACGTCACTATCTTCACACATCAAGTCAAAAACCCCCGTTTTTTCTCAACAAACTGCAGACTTGAACCCTTTACCCCCGGTATCAACGAGCCTTCATTGCCGACTTCCGAATGCAGTCCTCTAACAACAATCCATTGGCATCGGGGCCGTCTCCCACAGCCACCATTGTTGTCTCAGCACCGAAATACCTTCCTAGTGGACCTTCACAATCCGTCTCGCCAACGCCGGTGTCGGCATCTCAGCCTAATCAGCAATCATATTCCACGTCTGTTCCCGCCAACCAGAGTCATGCTGCCACCGCCAGCCTTTATCAGTGTGCGCATTGTCAACGAAGGTATTCTCGGCCTGAGCATCTGGCGCGACATATTCAGACACATACTCTTGGCAAGCGGTTCGCATGTCAAATATGCGGGAAAGCTTTTGCACGGCAGGATCTGCTGAAACGCCATGTCACTAATCACGAGAACGACAATGACCCCAACAAGAAGAGACGAAGGACCGACACGTCCCCCGGTGCTGGTCGTGTCTCTCACGCATGTCGGCCCTGCGCCACTGCTCGTGTAAAGTGCGAAGAGGTCAAGCCGTGTACACGGTGTCGCAACCGCAATCTGAATTGCGAGTACTCCACGACCGAGGCCGGGTCTGCCGCTGCCATGCATCTCCTTCATCTTTCCGCCAACGTCAACACGACAACTTCAACACCCGGGTCGCTAGCAACATCACCATCACAGTCCGCCTATGACAGTAGCCCCTCCGCAGCGTATCAGCAACCTCCTCAGCAGCAACACATGGGCATGCCAAGAACGCACATGAACAGTCAACCAAATCAAGGGCACCACGTCAAGTCGGAAAGCGGACAGTTGACAACCCCGGAAAATGGCATGGATCAGGTCTCCGGTGGTATACCCATTAATTACGAGATAGGTGGACAAAATGTCGATTTGACTATGCCCTTTTCCGACTTCTTACAAAATGTTATTTACGAGCCCGAGCTGGATGCATCGAGAATGGCTGAAGCGCAAGGACTTGCCGTCCTGGACTTTTGCGACAACTCAAACCTTGAGTTAAACGAGGTCGATTTCGGCCTTCTAGACCACTGGAACATGGACAACGTTGCCAACACTGGATCAAATCAAAGCTTTACACCACGGACCGACGATTCTATCGACTTGGTGCAGATGCGACAGGCGCTGGTCAAGGTCTGGACCGACTCACCATGGCAATGGGCACCGAACAACAAAGATTCTGGGTACGTCGAGCACGGTAACTTTTCGGTACCATCCGGCGACACGACCAGTGCGGCCTTTCAGGAGAGCCGCAAGAAACACGCCAGGATCGTCAGGGACAAGCTGGACCAATCAGGACGAGACCAAATTCTAGCCATTGTCCTGCAGACCTGCAAGAACGACAGCATCATGACCCGGGTCGCCTCGTCGTTCCCGTCTCTCGACGTCATGGATAGCTTAATCCATATCTACCTGGCATCCCACTTTTGCCAAACATCACAATGGATTCACCATGGCTCGTTTTCCATGAACGCTCAATGGCCCGAATGGCTCGCAGTGGCAGCGGCAGCTGGGGCTACCTTTACTCCCGTGCAAACCTTGCGCAAGTTCGGGTTCGCCCTTCAAGAGGCGGTCCGAGTCACCATCCCCGCAAGGTTCGAGGATGCAAACACCACGATCAAGAACCTGGGTCTGGTCCAGACTTTGATTTTGGGTCAGGATATTGGCCTATGGAGCGGGAACCGACGCAAGATGGAGATTGCCGAGTGTCACCTGCTGATTCCGATCACTGTAAGTAAATATTCTTACCGGCCTGCCCGTGCGGGATTTGGGATGCTCATGCCGCGAACAGATGATGAGGTATCGGGGCAAGTTCCAGCGGGCATCGTACCCCCTAGTTGAAGTCAGCATGTCTGACGAGGGCGAGGTCTTGGAGAAAAAATGGAAGACCTGGTGCGAGCGTGAGTCGTGGAAGAGGTAAGCTTACAGGCCCCCCGAATCTGGGATATCCTTGCGCTGACACAAAACTAAGGCTACTTTTCCACTGCTTCGTGCGAGACGCTCAGACTTCCATGACAACCCTCACCAACCCCTCCATGTCGTACTCGGAGCTCACGCTGCCCCTCCCTGAGGCCAAGGAGTTGTGGTTTGCGAAGACGGCGGCGGAGTGGAAAATGCATTACCTGGAAAGGACTGCTGGACAAAACAAGCGACCCCCCTCCATTGGAGACCTGTTCCGCGACATCAACCTCTTGGCGACGACCCGCCAGAGGCTGGATCTGCAATTCGCAATTTCGATATACCTGCACGGCTATTGGGCGCTGATTCTCGAGTACCTCCAGCTTTGTTCCGTGTTGCGCACCCGGACTTGGCTGAACAACACTGGAGGTAAATGTGAGGACGTGCTGCGCTCAAGGCATGCGGAGCTCTGCAAAGACCTGCAGGGCTTCCTGCTGGTCACGTCGGACTGGCACGAGATGCTCTCCACACAGGAGAGCCTGGTGCTGCACCTCCTCATGATGAACCTGCACCTGTCGCTCAACGACCTGCAGCTGTTCTCCGGAAAGGAGGGCGAGGACCAGGCACGCCGGGTCTTTGGCGACCTGCGCGAGTGGTCGCAGAGCGCCGAGGCTCGTCAGGCCCTGTGGCACGCGGGTCAGGTGCTGCGGCATGCCAAAATGTTCCCGCAGGGCCATCTCAAGGACTTTTACGCCGTGGCCGTCCACCATGCGTCTCTGGCAGTCTGGACCTACGGCGTCGTCACCAGGGCGTCCGGCAACAAGCCGACGCCACAGGCTGGCTATGAACAGGAGAACGTGTTCCTGGACGGCACGGAGTCGACCGTCGTGCACCGCTTCATCGGGTTCAACCAGGGCCGGCCGGTGATCCTGGGTCCAATGAGCCGAGCCGGAGCGATGGAGGCGTCGGTTGAGGACCCGAAAGCGTGCATGGAGGTCGCTCAAGAGATCCTCCGCGCAAACTTCCGCGACTCGACCGATGCCCACCCGCCCATTGTCGAGAACCTTTGCCTTTTGATCAAGCAACTGGGGCACGCCGCTTGGGCTGTTGACATGTCATGAGATTTTTCAAAGCAATGTCTTTTTACTTCATGGAGCATCACATCTTTTTTTTCTTTTACATTTTCATTTCAGTGTTTCTACTTTCTCTGACGGAGTCTAGAGCGGGCAAGGCGGACGGAATGTATACCCACGTACCAAAAAAAAGCAGTCTTTTGGCGTGTCTGAATATGAGGGTGTGTATGTATGTATGTATGTATATGTGTGTGTGTGTTGGTGTGCCTCGCTACATGAGGCCACCCATTCGCAGTCATAGTTGCATCAGTCGTAATCGAACGACTCGAGCGACCCCAAGAATACAACTTTTTATTGCGGAATCCATGTCACGATTCGCATCGTCTTACGAACTCTCTCTCGTCTGTAGTCATTAGTTACTCCACTGACTCCAATGTTATGCTTACTCCTTAGGCGGTTTGCCAGGTCTGGACCGGAATGGCGAGGAACCATCAACCTGGCAGCCGGGCAGAATATCTATCGATCCGCCCCCTCCGGTCCCCCCCCTCGTGACGCTTGGAAAAAGCAGCTCGGAAGAGCCCCACACAGGCAGTGCTCTAATTGAGTTTTGCGCGTCGAAGGGTTCAGGGACATCCCGACCAAAAAAATTATTGACAAGCGGGATTTCCGCTCTTGGGAAACTTATCGCGGGCACATTACATGGTGGTACATAGTAGCAAGACGAGAGTGCCCTCCCTTCTCCCCCCCCCCCCCCCTAATATTAATGAATGATGTTCGAGGACCCACGCGGATGGATTTTAGTATGGAGGTTTCCTTCGCTGAAAGTGACACGGAAATTACGGGGCATATGAGACTGGTTTTTTTTTTTCTTTCCGCTTTCCTTCTTTTTTCACTATCGACAGGCTCCGGCATAGCCGATCACGAAACTGCTCTTCCGCGACTTGTTCGTACAAACTCCTCCCCCTCCCCCCCCCTGACTTGCCTTATAAGGCGAGCGCGGAGGTACGTGCGTCATGCTCGCCCTCCATAAAGAGGTGTGTGTAAAACGTATTCAAAAAGGTTTTGGCACTAGGTCCTAAACGGTATGATCCTGGTTCGTTCTACTTAATATGCCGCGAGTCATTATCACCCGCGGGATAAAGCTCCTACGTACTATTAGTATAGTAAGAGAATCAACCCCCAGTTTTATGGGGACGTTGTCGGGTTTATGAAACAGCGAGAGAAAGGCTTACATGGTATAAGCCCCCCCAACCGGCCGTCGGATCGGGTCGGGTCGGGCGAGAAAGTGAAAAGTGAGAAGTGGGGGCCGTTGTAACAGTGCTCCGATACACTTACTATGTAAGTTTTTTTCCTTTTCCATTTTTCTGGTCCTTTTTTTCCTGACCCCCCTTTGGTGTGACTGCGATGTAGATGAACCCAAACTGTCGGTGCCGGCGGCAGCGAATGAACCCGAACGCGAGCGGATATGCTTTTTTTTTCCTTTTCTCTTTTCTTTCATGTGGGGGTTTTCCGGCTCTCCTGTACCCCGCTGGAGAGCTCCTTGTGTCAACATGGAGTTTCGACCTACTGCCATGGGTGTAACTGGCTTGAATCTGCCTGTGTTTCTCCCACTCCAAGAAATTTTTTTGCGAGAGTCTTAGCTCTCTTCTTATACTCTTACTCCATTGCCATCCATGGTGCTGTCTCGTTTACGGCTGGGGTTGTGTTCGTTGGTAACACGACCGAAGCAGATACCCAAACCTGGCGATGCCAAGACGTCCTTGAAGCTCCTCTGAGGATGTTGCGGAGCTCATGGCTGCCAGGCCTTTCTGCTTAGTTGGTTAAATTGTGTATAAGCTATTCTTATGATCAGGTAGTGCTGCCATGGACTTAGTATTTCAGAAGACCGTTGTTTTTGTGTTCACGCCCTTTATTGAAATCTATTTGATAAGCGATAGAAAACACACTTTAACAACGCCACATGTGTGGTGCTTCGTTTCTGATAGCACAAGACGTATGTATACTGGATCGTTTAGCATCTTGTTATATAAGACCTAGAGAAAGCGGAAGAAACAAGTGGCCATAGACAACCATCGAGAGGGCAAGTCTCGCCTTCAGCGTTGTTGATATTTATCCTCACTTTCAAAATCCAAGGCCAAGTACCGGAAAATCGGCCACAAAGCCAAACACATTATCGAGGGTTAGGATTACCTAACACAGCGGTTCCGGAATCTGGATGACACTCATCTCATAACCCTCCTCACACCATCAAATCAGTGAGCGAAGCCAGGTCTAATCAACTCGACACTCGCTTAATCCACACGGCTGTTGAATCTTTGAATGCACGCAAGCAGATGACCTTGTCAAAACAATCATCAGACTGTACCAAGGCATCATCTCAAAAATGAAGCTATCGCGACATGGACGCGAAACAACTGCCGGGCCTAAATCCAAGCAAAACCTAATGCAAGTCCCGAGCCGTCGTTACCTGTCAATCGGTGCTAGCGCCCCACTTTTGACAGCTCGGGAGAGGCCGATCCACCGGCGACCACGTGGGGCGTTCGATAGGGGTTCGGTGCTGCTGGCCCCCCCAGGGAGGGTCCCTTCCAGGGCCGGTCTCCTAACCTGTCATTGGGCGCAGCCACGAATGGAAATACACCGATCCCGTCCGTCGTCCAACACAATCCACCCCAGCTCCGAGTAGACCCTCGTCCGGCGCCTCTGCGCATCCAGGCACAACAACATCCGCATTCACTTGAAGGGGCTGCATGTGAATCTGTAACGTGACAGGTCCTTAGTCCTTCGTTTTTTTTTAGCTTGTGTCACGAGTTACAATCCGGGGGAGACATTTGGCTCCGCGAATAACAAAAACAACGGTCTCGGACAAGGCTTCGAGGTTTACTCAAGCTCTCAGCCCCCGCCCCGCGACATCCGGCAGACTCTAATCGTGACAACCTCACTCTTTCAACACCAGAAAAAAAAGACGCAAAACTGCGAGGCTCCGACGCCGTCATGGATTCTCTATTCGGACCTTCCCTCGAGACGCGTACAGTGGCAATCGTGGCCACGACCGTCGTCACGACTCTCTCCCTCGTCTCCCTTGTCCGGCTCGGCCTGTACCCCAAATGGGGCACCGCCATCCCCAGCCCTCTCAGGACAAAGATCCCCGAGCTCACAGGCGATGAGATCAAAAAGTTGCCCTATCGCCCTGATCATTTCCCCGGCGCCAGGGACGTCAACACGCCGGTAAGTCACTCCTATGTCCTCCATCTGTCGCTCCCCGCCCCATGAGCCCGCAACTGCAAAATACACCCATACACACAAGATAGACAAACTGACATTAACAGTATGGCATAATCCGCGTCTATGAATGGGGCCCCGCCACGGGCACCAAGGTCCTCCTCGTCCACGGCATCAGCACATCCAGCATGACCCTCGGTCCCATCGCCCACGCCCTCGTCGCCCGTGGCTGCCGCGTCATGCTGTTCGATCTGTTCGGCCGCGGCTTTTCCGACGGCGTCGGCGACCTTCCCCACGACGACCGCCTGTACACCACTCAGGTCCTCCTGGCCCTCGCCTCCTCCCCGCTCGCCTGGTCCGGCACCGACTCCATCCGGGTCATAGGCTACTCGCTCGGCGGCGCCGTAGCCGCCGCCTTTGCCGTGTCCTTCCCGCACATGGTCGAGAGTCTCGTGCTGCTCGCCCCGGCAGGCCTCATCCGCGCGGAAAAGTTCGGTGCCGCCGCGCGCATCACGTTCCAGTCCGGCCTCGTGCCCGACAGGATCCTCGCCGCCATCACCCGCAAGAGGCTGCAGAAGCCGTTGGCGGCTAAGCGGTCCAACGCCGTGGAGGAGGAGATCGATCCCGTGGAGGAGATCGTCGACGTTGCCGCGGCGGAGGTGTCTTCTCCCGACGGCGGCGAGGACGCGCGGGTCGAGTTGAAGGTGCGCGACTACGTCTCCTGGATGGTTGCGCACCACGGAGGTTTCGTGCCGGCCTTCATGTCGTGCGTGCGATACGCGCCGCTGACGGGCCAGCACAAGACGTGGCGTGCTCTTGGCCAGAGGAAGAAGCGCACCACCGCGGTCTTGATTGGCCGGACGGACGAGGTTATTGATGTAGAACAATACACGAAGGACGGGTTGCCGTTGTTGGGTGGGGAGGAAAATGTCTTGTGGAAGGTTCTCCCTGGCGGCCATGACTTTGTTATGACCAAGACCGAGCACATTGTGCGTGAGCTGGATGCATTTTGGGGTATGAAGGCGTCGTCATAGAATAATCTGCACGATATGGAAAGCTGGAGTAAACGGTAGAGATACGGGGGCAACTTGGGATACGCGTGGCATTTAGACGGTTCATTTATCAGGGGTTTTTTTTTTCTTCTCTTTTCTGGCCCCTTGGCCATGTTTGACTAATCTAGTCTCTAGTTTATGGGCTTTTCTCGGCAATGTACAGCGGGCTCTCTTTTGAGCAGCGAGAGTATTCTAGCCCCAGTTCTATCACAACATGAATGATTGTTACACACACACACACACACACACACACACACGCTTCCCAGAAAGATGAGCGGGGTATTCCAGTTGCCACTCTCCTATATATTCCCGTTTGATTCCCACACGTCTAGCGGTCGAGTGCCTGGCTGTGACACTACAGACATTGTTAGTAAAAGTGACAGTAATTGAATAATGACAACTTACCATATGCCAGTATACACCCTTTTTCTTCAACAACTCCAAATGACTGCCCTTCTCCAGGAGCTTGCCCTCTCCCAGCACAAAGATGATGTCCGCGTTCTGCACAGTCGCAAGACGGTGCGCCACAACAACCATGGTGCGCCCCTTTCCTGCTCTCTCAAAAGCAGCTTGCACGAGTTTCTCGGACTCGGAGTCGAGTGAACTCGTTGCTTCATCCAGAAGCAGAATGTTCGGGTTTCTGATAAGCGCGCGAGCAATAGCGACACGCTGCTTCTGACCACCAGAGAGCGAAACGCCTTTGCTGCCAATGTCGGTGTTGTATCCCTCCGGAAGAGACACGATGAAGTCGTGGATCGAGGCATCACGACACACCCGGTGCAGTTGCTCATCCGTTACAGCTTTATCATCCACACCTAGTAAGATGTTCTCCCTGATTGTGCCTTGGAAAAGCGTGGCTTCTTGAGCAACCAAAGACAGGTTCTTCCGGTATTCATAGACGTTGAGGTCGTTGATATTCTTTCCGTTGCAAAGAATGGCGCCTTTGTCTATGTCGTAAAAACGTTCCATGAGCGAGATAATGCTCGTTTTTCCACAGCCGGAAGCTCCAACAAGAGCAGCAAACTGTCCTTTCTCGATTGTTAAGTTGAGCCCCTTGAAGACCGACACGTTTCGTGTCGGATACTTGAAATGTACATTCTGCAGCTCGATCTTTACGCCTCCTTCAGTATCCGGAATTCTCTCCGTCGCCGGGATAATATCTTTGTTTCTGGAATCCCGCATGTTGATTATGCGATTCGAAGCTCCGGTGACTTGTGCCGCATTGGGTCCAAAACTGAGACTTTGCCCGGCCGCCTCCGCACCCTGAATCACGGCCATAAAACAGACGAAGAACACCTGGGGATCGTATTCTCGAGAGGCAAGCAATCGACTTCCGTACCAGAAGATTAGGGCCTGGCAAGCCATTGACACCGAGTCCGAAAACCCAAAGACGAAGCTGGTCCACCTGGCCTTCTTAAAAGCATGGGTGACATGGCCCTTGAGGAGTGTTTCGTAGCGAAGACACGTATGGTCCTCCAGAGTAAGAGCAGAAACGGTTCTGAATGCCCCGATAGATTCGGCAGCAAATTTTGAGCTCTCTGCAAAGACCGCTGCATTCATCTTGTCGAACTCAATCTCGTACTTGAATCGAAGATACCCGGAGACGAGACCAACAGGCATTGTAACGAAGAAAGCTACTAGCGCTAACTTCCAGCCAAACGCGAATGCGATGGCGATAGCGCCGATGACGTTGAAGATGGCGACATAGACCATTGCCATGTTGAGTCCGAGAAGCTCCTCTAGTTGTTTGGGGTCTCCAGCAACTCGAGCGGTTAAGCTGCCGTGTGCGTTCTCCTCTTCGTCATAGAATGAGGTCCGCTGGAACAGAACTGCCTCGAAGTATTGTTGCCGGTATGTCGAGCTGATGAAATGAGCCAGATGTGTTGACACATAGCCCATGAAGAAGTAGGACAAACCGATTCCGATCGCCAAAACTGCCCACATGAGCGACCAGAAGTTACTGTCGCTACGAATCTGGTCGGGAGTCTTAGTTGCGTTGAACACGAGAATGACCTTGGCAAACAGCCAAGCCTGCAACGGTGTTCCTGCCGCAGCACATGCAGCAAATATCACCGTGAGGATGCATAACAACCATCGATCTCTCTGTTCGTACAATAACCGCCCAAAACTCTGGAAGATATTACGGTTTACCGCAGCGTCCTTTTGATGCGTGCTGTCTGCCTCGGATCTTGCAGCGCTCTTCTCGCGGTTGAGAATTGTGCCCATATCTTCTTCTTTGGTATCTGAGTCACTGTCTTCCACCTGATCACCGAGGGATAGCTGCTGGGCATGAACTAGACCGTAGTATACGCCCTCGTCGTTCTCGAGCAGACTCTCATGCGTGCCTTGTTCGACTACCTTTCCCTTCTTGAGGACAACAATTCGATCGGCTTTCTTAATAGTAGACAGACGATGGGCAATGGTGATTGTTGTACGGTTCTTGGAGACCTTGTCAAGTGCGGCTTGCACGATTCGCTCTCCACGAACGTCAATAGCACTAGTGGCCTCGTCCAAGATGACAATTTTGGGTTTTCTGACAATGCTTCGGGCAATGGCAATTCTCTGTCGCTGGCCACCTGAGAGTTTCGCACCACTATCTCCAACTTGAGTGTCATATCCCTATTGAAATCAGTGTTTGTAAGTCTCAAGGTGTAGGAAATCACTCACATCTGGCAAACGATCAATGAATTCGTCGGCGAAAGATTCTTGACACGCTTCCCTCACAAGCTCTCTCTTTTTCTCCTCGGGTGCATCTTCCCACTGAGACCCAATCAACCCATATGCGACATTCTTGAATATAGTGTCGTTGAACAAGAACGGCTCCTGCTGGACCAAACCGATCTGCGACCGCCACCATTTCAGATCAATGCGGTCAAGGGTTTGGCCGGAAGTAGAGACCGAACCCTTGAGTTCGATAGCTGGACCGGTCTCCTCGGGTTCTGGCTTGTTATCTTCGTCATCAGAGTCTTCCTTGCCCTTCTTCTTGTTCTTCTTCTTGTCGGCCTCCTTCTTCTTGTCCTTTTCGATCGCTTTGGCTATAACATACTGGTCCTGCAAAGTGTACCACCGCTCTATCAGACCCACGATAGTACTCTTGCCAGAACCAGAGGGTCCGACGATGGCTGTCACTTTGCCAGACTCGATCGTTAGGTTCAAGCCGTCCAGAACCTTGACGTGAGGTCTGCTAGGATACGCGAATGTAACATCTTCGAATACGATATCGTCGTTGGCTGAGACTTGCGGTTCTTTGAGTTCTCCCTTGTCAGGCGTGGGGGCATCAATGACAGTGAGAAATTCGCAGGCCGCTACCATTGCCTTACTGATAGCCAGCAAGGGTGTGCTGATACGCTCAAGGGACATGACTGTCAGCATGACAGACATGAGCACACTGGAAATTCGTCAGAAAGAACTGTAGCATTGTAACGTAGCTCCATAAAAGGATACCACTTTAAAAGGATACCACTTACATGATTACTTCGCCGACGTTATTTACTCGTCCGTCAAGCCACGATTTTGTGCCGTACCAGAATGCAAGACCGAAGGAACCGAAAAGTGCAAAGAACTGATTGAGATTAGTTGATATCTTCGTTAACAATTGTGCTCAACGTACGATCAGGCCAAATTGGAGAGCCATCAGTGGGGCAGTGAACTGGCCCTTCTGACGGGCAATTTCAACCCAGCGAGCATATCTCGACGCGATACGCTCTTCTGCACCACAAGCCGTAACCATTTTGATACTTGCGAATGCCTCGCTAGCGACAGCAGATGCTTTTCCTTCTGCCCTGGTCATCTGGGTATGGCCTTTGACGATAAAGGGCAGCAGAATGCCCAATACCAACAGGATAAACAAAATGACCGACGCGGTGACTAGGGTCAAAGACCAGCTATAGATGAAGGCGATAATGACGGCTGCCCAAATTGTGCCGTTGAACTCGAGAAAGACACCAAGCTTTTCAGAAATTCCGATCTGCAGAGTGTTGGCAGTGGTAGTAATGGTAGCAGCTGCGGTTCCGGCGGGCATCGAATCAAGGACATGGATGCTCTGGCCAAAAAGGCGCTGGAGATAGTGTAAGCGGATGGCGGAGGACAGCCGAATACCAATCATTCGGAAGGCGAACTTGTTGATATAGTTCAGAACGAAACGGGCCAAAAACAGAATAAATAGATAGAGAGATTGCCTGTCAGCAATTCTCTTGAATTCAGCCTCTGTGGTAGTCGTGTTCGGAATAAAATACCCATTAAATTCGTTGACAAGCTGCCCAAAGATGACTTTATAGCTAGGTCAGATATCAACATGGAAGGTTAGCAAGGGATATATCTTACTGTTCATGAGGGGAAGCGTGGTGCCAGCAGCGATTGAAGCGAGGCCAGCGGCGAAGTACGCGAAAATGTCCCATTTTGTTGCGTACGTGAAGACACGCAGGTAATCTTTAACGGTTGGTTCCCTCTCGGGCCTCATTTTTGCCTCGGGAACTGGGTCTTCGTTCTGCTTGGTGGACTGTTCCAAAGCCTTCTTTTCGTCGATGCTGGCCATCACGGGTGGTACGCTGTCCGGTTGGACAGTCTCTTTACTAATAGAGTCCATACTGCTTTGGGCCTCGATCCGTATGTCAAAAGCGCATGTTCTTCGAAGTGGTCGTGTGTTTGCAAAGGGACAATGAAGTGCTTTTCGTAAATTGTAAAGTGTTCGAATTAGGATCAATGAATAGGTGCGAAAGGAAGGCACCGGTCAGGTGAGCACCTCAGTTATGGAAGGGATTTAGGATAGGAGCTGAAAACAAGAAGAGAAGGTACTCAGAGCAAGATTATGCATCAACGATGGTATATATTATATCACAAAGACAGGGCAACGCCACATCTTGTAGGAAAAAGATATCTTTTTGATGACGGAACACGACCGCCACAAGTCAATGGCAGCTAGTCGAGCACCCCGTTTGATCAATCCTTCGTATTTCGTAAAGCATCTGCAGGTCTCGTACTCTTGGCTATTGAGACCAATCAGGACGCCCTCCATGGGCAACCAGCCGGGGGTGTTCCAATCCAAGGGACGGGAATCAGCTGAGCCCACCCCGGATGGATATTTGACCCGTCAAGGAATGCCCAGAAGACGGGCGCACACACCATTAGCTGGTCTTTCCGCTAGAGGTTCGCTACAAAGTCTAATTGGCTCATGTAACGCCAGTCCCTATTAGGTAGGGGAGAGACTACGTCCTCTGAAGTTGGGGAACGTCAGACGGACTAGGCAGAGAAAAGTACACACATGTGAATAAGCAGCTGGTGAAATCTGAAGAGAAAAAAATCGTCGGAAACATATGAAGCCCCGAGACTCAAAAGCTACGAGCCAAATAACTTTGGCTCCAATCTTGGGATGGTATTGCATGCATGTACACAGGCTGCATTGCCAAGAACCAGGCGTGCTTGAAGCTGTTTTCAGGCAAAACCATAACGACAACAGGAGTCCAACAGGCAACGACGCGTTTTCAATCAGCATCACTAGCTCATCGAGGCACTGAATGTCTCCGGTGCCTATAACCTTACTTTGTCTGCGCCATAGAAAGGCATGCCCCCATGTCTCACATCGACTTTAATGTCGAAGACTCCCCTTAGTGCCGTAAATCATGTTTACGGGCCGTGCGTTTTATGGGCCACATATTTTACGGGCTGTGCATTTTACGGGCCGTGCGTAAGACCTCATTTGCCTTAACCCCCCCCAATTTCTCTTATGGTACTGATATTAGTATGAAATACTCCTAACAGACATACGCCCTAATTCGGCCTACATTTGATTAACGGCTGGATGTAGCCGTACAGCGGGCTCTAGTCCTCCTTTTCCATCTTCTTACCACACATGCTCCACGTGGGTGCCTCATTTTGCCCAAGCCATTACTGACTGATCGCCTATGATAACGTGGCATTCTGGATAAAACCTTTCCCTATGGACACATCTCATTGTTGCCTGGCTCTGCCTGCTGATGATTACGTCTTTTCGATTGGGTCTTCAGCATGAGGTGTTTTAGTGCGGGCGGCATGGAATGTACCGTATGGTCTTGCTACGTAATCTGCTGTGCCGCCTCCTGTCGTGGACTGTCACATTCAACCCCAAGTCGTAGAGAGTCAGACATAGTGTCCCGGCCCCGCTTGATTCTCCGGCTCCCTCTCTTGTGAATTGCTGCGCGGTGCTCTATCCCATCGTCGGGTTCGGACTACTTCAGAACCCCGATACTTCCCGGCGAAGAAAGCGGAACCAGTGAGACAGATTCGAAGACGACACCCGACCCCCCCTACTGGGAAGCAAACGGTTGCCGTTAGACTAAAACAAGTGCATCAAAGTTCATAAGCTTATTCCCCCCCCTCGTCACCCTACAACCCACCATTATCTAATCATGATGCAGCACGCAATCACCTGTTGCTCAAAGTTGATCGTTCTCTCGATGCATACTATGCCAGCCCAAGATCGCATGTCCAACACAGGCAGATCAATTAATGGCAGCTTGGGAACACAAACTTCATTTCATAGTCTAGATGGATGGATGCATATGTTCAAGAGCCAATTGAATTTCTTGAAAGCCGAAGTTTGTTTTTCTGGGGTGTTTTGAAGTACTCTACCTACAGTGTTGTATGGAATCCTGGGGACGGTTGCTGTGACGAACTGTTATTCAACCGTAGAACCAAAACATGCAGCGCTCATTGTAATGACAGACCAGATTATCGCGAAGTCCCGAAGAATTGCCGGCGTCAGCCTTATCAATCTAGCAGGGGTACGGAATCACTCGCAGGACAACATCATTGGACAGCCCGCAAGTGGGCGCATCCCAGTCTAGTCGCAGCCTTGCAGCCATTTTTGACCTCACAAATCCCCCAAAACCAGTCGCAAGTTATTCGGCCCCTCCAAAACTTGCGATTGAGTCACCACTACGATCCGCGGGCCGCTTTCCTTTTAAGTCGGTTCCCCTTTTGCGCAAAGCCCCGAGAAAGCCAGGTGAATGAATATCCAGCTGAAGATTTTCTCGAGGTCTGCCAGACCGGTCTGCCGACTGACTTTTCTTTCTCAAAGCCCAATTTCAACCCCTCTTTTGCTTTCCAGCAGACCCAGCCGTCGCGCCTTTTCTTCGTCGAACCCTCTTTACGAAAACGACGGTCAACAACTGCCCGACATGGCGCCCAAGTCCAAGTTTGAGCTCAAGACCCCTAAGGGCACCAAGGATTGTCAGTCAATGCCGTGCTGCCGTTGCGCCGCAAATCGTACGACCTCGACTAATGTTTTGATTTGCTTCAAGGGTTCGGCAAGGACATGATCATTCGCGAGAAGATCTTTTCGCAATTGAAGGGTGTTTTCCAGAAGCACGGTGGCATGGAACTTGATACCCCTGTTTTCGAGTTGAAAGAGATTCTCTCAGGCAAGGTACGGCCTTTTTTTTCACTTCCCCTCCCCCCACCATGGAGGGACATTTACGAACCCCGCGATCCACTTCCTCGAGGAACCCCGGTCGATGATGATGCTGACCAAGAGCTCTCTTATAGTACGGCGAAGACTCGAAGCTCATCTACGACCTGGCCGACCAGGGCGGTGAACTTACCTCCCTTCGATACGATTTGACCGTCCCGTTTGCGCGATGGCTCGCCATGAACAAGGATATCCAGAGCGTCAAGCGCTACCACATCTCCAAGGTCTACCGCCGGTATGATACACCCAGTTGACAGCGCACTGAGTGGACAAAAGCTGACCCTAAACAGTGATCAGCCCGCCATGAACAAGGGCCGCATGCGCGAGTTCTACCAGTGCGATTTCGATATTGCCGGCACCTACGACTCCATGCTCCCCGACGCCGAGATCATCCGCATCGTCGTTGAGGTCTTCGAGGGCCTTGGCTGGAACGGAAACTACACCATCAAGCTTAACCACCGCAAGATCCTCGACGGTATCTTCGAGGTATGCGGCGTCCCCGAGGACAAGATCAGGACGATATCCTCCGCCGTCGACAAGCTCGATAAGCTGCCCTGGGCGGATGTGCGCAAGGAGATGACCGAGGAGAAGGGTCTGGACGGGGAGATCGCCGACAAGATTGGCGAGTGGGTTGTCCAGAAGGGCAAGCAGGACCTGCTCCGCAAGCTGCAGCGGGATGACAAGCTCGCCGCCAACGCCTCGATGAAGGCTGGTATGGCCGACCTGGAGCTCCTGTTCAGCTACCTCGAGGCCTTTGGCGCTCTTGACAGAGTGTCTTTCGACCTCTCTCTTGCTCGTGGTCTCGACTACTACACGGGTGTTATCTACGAGGTCGTCACCGAAGGTTCCGCCCCCGCTGCCACCCCCGGTGCGGATGACACAACAGTCAAGCCCAAGAAGAAGAGCAAGAACAAGGACAAGGACGACGATGACCGTTCCGACGACCCTAGCGTCGGTGTCGGCAGTGTCGCAGCCGGTGGACGGTAAGTTGTGAGATGATTCAATTTGGTTGTCCAAGCAGCTGACAGAATTCGCAGGTACGACAACCTCGTCGGCATGTTCTCCGGCAAGACTCAGATCCCCTGTGTCGGAGTGAGTTATTACCCATTCTCAAAATCCATAGTACATCATCACTGATTTAGTCTCAGGTTTCATTCGGAATTGAGAGAATCTTCAGCATCACCAAGGCCAGAATGCAGGCCGAGAGCGAGGCCCCCCAAAGCACAGTGGACGTCTACGTCATGTCCTTGGGATCCAAGGCCGGTCTGATCAAGGAGCGCCTTGAGGTCTGCTCGAAGCTGTGGGACGCCGGCATCAAGGCCGAGTTCCTCTACAAGGTCAAGCCCAAGCTGCCTCCTCAGTTCAAGGCCGCCGAGGCCAACGCCACGCCGTTCGCCGTCATCCTCGGAGACGACGAGATCCAGAAGGGCGTTGCCAGAATCAAGGAGTTGGGCCTGCCTGAAGGCCACCCCCAGAAGGACGGCGAGCTGGTCGACATGGCGGCTCTCGTCCCCGAGGTGCAGAAGCGTCTGTCGCGGAAGCGCGAGCTGGACGACATTGCGCGACAGGCCGAGGGCCTGAGAGTGGTCGGCGGACTGAAGGGTGAGGACGTCAAGAGCGCGTCGGCCTCCGAGGTTGGTACTGTCGTCGAGACACCGGCTGCCGACGCCGAGGCGCCGGTTGCCGCTGTTACACAAGAGGCGAAGCCGGCGGCGGAGTCGGAGGAGAGCAAGCCTGCGCCAAGCGCATAAAATGATGGCATTATCAGCGAGTTAGCAAGTCAAAAAATACATAGAATTCTCCTCCATGTTTCGCATATGAATGAGTTTGGTGTGCTTTGTTGTAATTACCAAGATCCCGACGAGCGCCCTTGGCTTCGAGTCTTGCCTGTATATTACCTCTGTATGTTCCTACGATATGACTATCCACATTGCTTGCAGCCTCTCAAAGTTCTTGTAACTTATCCCAGTCCGAGAAAACACTTGCGTTTGCACCAGGTGCGGGATATTCCAGTTCTGTGATGGACGTTGCTCCTCTTGTATTCAGCGAAGACCGTGAGAAGTATCATCCTCCCTCTTGACTATACCTCGACTTTGCGTCTATCCAACTGGAGCCCAGCATCCCAACCTATAACTTGTGACACAAGGCCTCTCCGAAATCTGATACTTGATCAATACTCTCATTGGAGTTGATTCTCTATGTTGCGTCCAAGTCTGTTTCGATTCAGGCAATGGCAAATGTAGCATTACGCCTGACCTAGAGGTCTGTGGTTGACGGGGTGAAGCAATGTCTTACACAACACGTCGTCAGTTTACCGTAGGTGTCACATAATGTTTTTTTTTTTGCCCCCCCTCAAGAGCAGAGACAATCGACGACGGAGACAACGCTGGCAGTTGAGACAAGTGTCGTACAATGAACCCAGAAACTCGGTTCAAGTCACTATCAAAGACAGCATGCGCGGCAAACGCTCGAGTAAAGGGATATATATATATATATATATATATATATATATATATATATATATATATATATATATATATATGCAGCGGACGGTGACAACCGATTCTACGGGGGTATATCAATCGAAGGGCCATTTCTTTCTTTGCGACCATCTACAGTTATTTCCTCGCCCCAACTACCTTCCCCAGACAAGCTCAATGCCAATAACCCAGCGGTCAATGGGACTGTGAACATTCATCATCGACGCGCCGTCTGGGACAGCAGGTCTCTCCCACAACGCCGCCGACGAGCCCCGGACTTGGAGGTTCCACGACGCTGGGCACCGCAACCACAGCCCCGGGCCAAGGCTGGTCTCGGCGTGGTCTCATTGCGCAACTTAAGCCGCCGACAGCACGGGAAACCGCTGACGTGCTTGACTCGGAGCTGAGGACAAAAGGTGAGGGCTTCCCAGCATGTTGTTGCACATGACCGCAAATATGGACTACCCAGACATTGATTTTTCTTTTTTTTTTTTTTAAAAAAAAAACTTCGGTCAACGGGCTGCTCCTGAGCTCCCATGAGAAAAAATAGCGCTTGACCGTCGGCGCGGTTCACGTCGACGCGTTTCCGATGGGCAAACCTACACAGGACGGAGAGACACGACTTAAGTATAGTTCATACGTCAAGCCACGCTGCCGCACCCCTGGTCTAATCACCGTCACATCATATCAACAGTGGCGTTCGTGGTTCTTTGACCACCCACGTGGGATGGGATGGGAGGGGAGGAACAGAAGCAACAACTAGAACCATTATCAGTAATTTCCTACCACCACCCCGTAGGTCCCGAAAATCAAGAATAACTCGACACAACGGCGAGATTGTCAGGCGCGAGAGTTAGGGGGGAAAGGATGTTGGTTGTCGCACCAAGACCCTTAGTGCCGGGCCCATAGGCCGTGGGTAGAGACGACGAGGGAGACCATCAGACTCCTAGGCAGCGCGGGCTTGAAGAAATGGCCTGATGGAGGAGATTGGTTGTACGCGTTTTTAGACAATCAGCAAGCCATGGATGCGTTTACAGATGTTGCGATCTCAGATTGGCAGGACGAGAAAAGAAACACACCAACGCTGAAGGAGCAGAAGGATCGCGATCACTCGACATTTGCTAAATCCTCAGCCGCGAAAAAGTCGCAATACTCGAAAGAAGGTCTAGTTGTTTTTCCCGCGCGAGTTCATGCCCACCTCAATTATGTGCGCAAACACCCCCTCTTGCGGGCTCTGGTTTTTTACCCCTCACTTATACCCTGCTCTAAAGGTGTAAACGGGTGTGGATATCGCGAGGGTCACTGCGACGCCCTGTCTTCAACCTCTCATCAGGTGATAGCTAGGGTGGGGGGCCAGGGGCTGCGGATAACGAGGACTGAAGAAAACGGTGATGCAGAAGGCTGCAGTCAAAGTATGGATCGAACCCGCACGAATCGACTGATTGATAGGTGAAGGATGGTTGATGTGGTGTGGTTTCCACCAGCTACTGCATGACGAACCGAGCCAGATGCAGCGACATGTACAAGTTCGTCTGAACTTTTACTTACTCAGGGCCGGTTCTCGTAGGATTCCACGCCGCACTGCTGTTTATTTCGTTTCCTTTTCTTTTTTCTCTGTTTTTTTCTGTAAAATCTTGTTTGTTTGTTTGTTCAGTCTATTCCATCAAACATGTGAAATGTAGATGCTGCGTATTTGCGGTGTGTTTACGATTTTGTACGCGTCCGTTCTCATACACATGCTCACCTGTTTTGTGCAGCTCCCCTTCGCATCGTGCCCTCCCGCACGCCGCCCCAGCCAGGGTCTCTCGATGAAGTCAAGTCTGGCGGTTTACCGTGCAGCAACGAAACGAGTAGAAGAAGCACGGACGTTGGCGTGCAGCTGAATGCGACTGTGATGGAGTGTCTGAAGGTGCATGCCGTCTGGACTTTTTGGAGATCTGTGCGGAGTGATCCACGATGTAGTATGTGTGGAGTGACGAGGAGGAGGGACGTTTTGTTTCAGTGCTTTTAATGGTCCGGAGTCCGTGAGGGAGAAACTGAACGCAGAGGCCGTTTTCTGATCAGTTTTTCGGACCAGTTTGACTCTCGGACCACAAGATAGACACAACAAACAGCGCTTCTCCTTTCGATGCTCTGTTTGTTTACCCGAGGTTCGAGACTACGAGCACGAGCACGAGGTCGGACGGGGACGAATAGATGGGGAAGGGCGGTGCGAGGTGATATGCTGGGTTGACAGGGTCCCAAAGCAAAGGTACCTCGAAAGCTCGACCATCAGTTTGATTGTCTGACCTGTTTGCCCAAAGTGAGAGAGGCACAGCAAAGTGGTTGGTTGGGGGTCCGGTATGAGAGAACCAACGTCCGCTTTCTTTTTCGAATATGGCCTCGTGCGTTTTTTCCGGTCTGCTTTCTTTTTCCTCCAAAATCCCGGCACCAACCGCAAATGAAGCAAATTTTTGCTGTCACTTCTTTTTTTGTGTCTTTGTGGAAATTTATGAGCTGTGTGACAGGTATTCCACAGAATGTTCTGATGGGGTCAGTCCGCATCTTTTTGATTGTTTACAAACCTTTTCTTAGTACTGGAAATGACACCATCTCTTTGGCGAGAGTTGGATGGATTCAATGATATTTGTGTCAAAGTTACCGACTCTTTGGGACTGGTGGCAATGAGATACGGGCGGGGTTGTTAAGCAGTAGAGTATCCGTACTCGGCATATCTACGGGATGCGGATATCACTGGAGGACCGTTTTTCTTCTTTCTCTCTCACTCTTCATAAACCCAAGCCCAAGCCTGGGTCAGGGCCGGGCACGTCAGCCTTCATTAATTTACTGACTGCCGTGCCGTACCAAAGGAATGCACACGAACCGGTTCCCCGGGGTGACTGGGTGATGGGAAGAGGGGAAGGGGGGGAGAAAGATCGTTGGACAAGGTCCAGGTTCCAGGTCGATAGCAATCCCAACTCGAAGGAACCATCGGGTTGCGGACAAGGGTTCTCAGGTGTGGCCTGCAAGGTGCAGCAGACCAGTGTAATTGCCAGTTGGTGCGAGTGGGTGCTATGCTGTCACTTGTCATGAACCCGGAAATGGGTTCTGGGCCCAAGACATACTGCGTAGTCCTGCGGTGGCTGTGGAAGGAGGCAGGCGAGATTTCGAGAAGGAAGTTGCGAGGGGCAGGTGCAGGGGGGCTTGGACCAGGACCCTGGGAGGTTTGCTATCGCAAGAATACTAGGAAGCAGGAAAGAGCACTGGAAAGTGACGGTAGCCCAAGGAAGGCAACGGCGATGGAGATCTGGTCCAGGGATGGAACTCATGCCCCCGTTATTCGGTTTTCGGTTCGCTGCTTCCGGTCAGGTTTGGTGTATGGAAGATTGGTTTGGAAGGGAAGGACCCGCGGCCACCTCGGGGCAACGGTGGGAAAAGCCGTCCGTCTCTGCCCTTCCCATCGTCCAGGTTTTCCATCCTTTCCATTCTTTTCTTTTTCTCTTCTTGATTTCGCGTCATACCCTCTGCTGCCTCTTTGAGCAAGTACTTCGTGTGTTGGTGTGCGCACGCGTTTGTGTCTCTTCAAAAACCACAATACCACCTTGCATCATCCATGCCATCCTTGCCTTCCTACTGGACTGGTGCAAAATGCTATTCATAACTATACCGTACTACAGTGGACTAGTAGTATTAAGCATCCGTATCAACTTACCTACATAGCACTAACCTCCCCTGTACCGTGTTGTCTCATTCGCCAATTTCTCCCATAGAGTCTTCCTTGCAGGATACGCACTACGTTTCTCTTGTGTGTGGCCCGGGTCAAATTGCTTCAGCATGATCCCTCTTCCAAATGACAAAAATCCTCCAGAGCCTCGCCCGCGCACGAATCATCTCCGTCCGTCCCGTGCATCCACAACGGCACCGCAAATCGTACCCTTTCCACTTCCCCTCCATTCTCCCAAACCTGACTCTCCATCCCTGCTTAGATATCGTGTTCTCGGGTTGCAATAGCCCCAGCACCAGACGCCGCTTTCCACCCGCGTTGGCTTGGACCCTCTGCCGCCCCATCGTCTTGCACCGTTACGGACTAGGCCCGTTGCTGTGAGCTGCGAGGGGTGGGAAGCAAGATGGACACGCCGTGCACCAGTTTTGCCCTCAGTGTGGTCGCCATCCGTTCGTACCTTGCAGACCTTGCCCAAAAAAACGTCCGTGGACAGCTCCAAAAGGCACTAAGGAGAAGGGCGCCCTCCTAGAGCAACCATTCTATCATCTCCTAGATGGTGTTCCGAGTCTCCCCTGATACTAGGGAGCGGCACTACAGAGTACTACGCGTACGTAGTCAGGTACGCAAACACACGGACAACCTGCACCATCGATTGTACTCTAATGCTATGTATTCATAGCAAACAAGCTGGACGGGATGTGCATTCAGGGTGGATAAGTCACCAACCACGGGCAAGGCTAACGCAAGGGTCGAGAATCTGGCGCCGCCGCCCGGGTGCCAGGGGAACACACGCGAAATGGGGACGACATATGCAGGTCCTGGTCAATGACCCAGAAGGACACGACCTGGAAATGGTCGTCAGTGAGGACGAGTGAAAAAAAAATCTCCTTGCGCAGGCCACGCCTGAAGCTTGTTCCCCTTTTCTCCCTAGTCGAATGTCGATGCGCAACCCCCAATCCCACCACGGCCCAGAGGCAAATTCGAGAAGCTCGAGCACCGATTCTTGGGGCCTCGAATCACCTCCCCCCTACCTTTACTTGAATACGGGCCTTCCCCCCGGAGAACCCTTCGGGCCTCTTCCAGAGCTTCTCTTGTCTGGTCCCCAACCTCCCGTTCTTTCTTCTCTTGTGTTTCTCGCAACGCCTCCGGTTCGTTGCTGTATCCGCTCTGCACCTCAGCTCTCGGCATCGCATACGACTAGCTCACACACCATACCACACTCACTATCTCACTCACCTCAGCCTGCTACTTCGCCGCTTTCTTTCCTCGGTCTGTTATTAAGTCACCTCGGTGTGTCTTCGTGCATAATCAAGAATATCATATCCCGTCCGAGTCTCACATCCTACGCCCACTTGTCTCGGTCCTCAGCCGCCACCATCACTACCCTGCAAATCCGACCAACCCGCCTCCGAAAGTCGATCGCATTTCGCCCTGCCTTTTATCATTCCGCCCTTTAGCTAGTATCTTGGTTTTTCAGAGAACCCGTCGGCTCTGCCGCCACAATTTAACACAACCTCATCATTGGTCGCCTGGTCACGTCATTGTTTCTCAGTTCATCTTAATACCTGCAAAGCACAACTGTCGTTCCCTGGCGGAAGACCTGACGTTAGAAACGCGTTCAAAAACCGACCGTCTAATAAACTCAATGCCATTTGACATCTCCTGAAGCAGACCCTTGCTGGAGATCATTGAGTGCATAGACCATCCCGCACGCAACCTGCAAGAGTTTAGACGACTTGAGACTGTTCCCGAGTCCCGGTACATCACTTGTTACGCATCTTGGGGGGTTAATCCACTTACAACGAGAAACGAGTCATCGTCTTCCGACCGGCCTAGACTCTGTTCATCGACTACAACAACTCATTGGCTATCGCTCTTGCTCGACTTCGGGTCTCTTCTCTGTCCATCTTGATAGTTTGACCCCTCCGGCGACGAGTAACACTTGAACCAATTGGCTTCGTCTATTGCACTACGATTCTTCTCACATCGGACGAAAAGGTGGCGACTTAAGTTAGCCCGCCCCCGTATCACTCAGCCAGCCTGGCCACAAGAAAACCTTCTTCCAACAAACACATACTCTAACTCTCACGATGGGCGGTTTGATACCTCTTCTCCTCAAGCCCGCTGCTGCCGGCTCCAGAGGCAGTGTTATCTTCCCCGTTAACAACACCAGTTCTTCGAGCAGTCCTGCGCCACAGTCAACGGCATCACCCTCGATGGCGAGCCCGAGTGGATTACCGAAGACGCGCATGTCAAGGCGATCGATATCGCAAGCTCCGGTTCATCTTCCTGTTTTGCCCTACACCTCTGCTGAGTGGAGCAAGGCCGTCTCTGATGTCAAGCGGCAATACCTGAACCGCAAGTACCGGCCATGCTCTATGCGGTGCTGTGAGATTCTGGACAATATTAAGAACACTGTAAGTGGCACTTGCTCAATCATATAGCCATAATGACCTCTCTAACCCTGTATAGGGCAACATCGAGCCTGCGTATCTTATTTACTTGAACTTCTATGCCGCTAGCTCATTTGAAATGATTTCTCGGCCCCTGCATGGCACATCTCCGTACAAGACGAGACTTCTCCAGCAGGCCCGCGAGCACTATACGAAAGCATCTGAGCTGAGCAAGGCTGCCGATGAGACCATGTCCCGCTCATCGCGGCCGTCGTCTGCGGCAACCACTTCCAGCATGCATTCTCCCTCGAGCTCTATCTCATCTCGCGCCTCTTCCCGGACATGGACAAATTCAACAGCATTTTCCTCGCCCACTCCATCTGTCTGCTCCGTCGAAGATGCCGTTAACAAGCTCTCGCAAACCACGCCCCCTCAAAAGAAGCGCGTGACATTCTCCGACTACCCTGAGGAGCCCATCTTCCGCCCTGATTCCCCCACTCTCGGTTTCGACGACTACCTGTCCGCTCCACTCGAGCCCGAGCCGCGTTATCTTCCCGTGCTTACGGAGCTTCCTGAGCCTTCCGACGAACCCGAGCCGGAGCCAGAAGAGGCTGCGAAGCCGCCCACTCCCGAACCGCTTAGCGAGGACTGTGAGGCCTTCGACTTTCTCCGCGAACGCTCCGTTCATCGCTACTGCGGTCTGCTCTCCAGCCTGCAATCCCAGATCGCAATCCACATCGCCGGCATTGAGGAACAACTCGCCGAGCCGGCTCAAGTCGCCGCTCCAACTACTACCCGCCCTTCTTCGCTCCCACCCAGGGCAGCGACGCCTGACCTCAGCGATGAGCTGCGCAGCCTGGACATCAAGGCGCGGATTGAGCGTCTCCGTCAGAACAACTGGCAGCGTCGCCGGTTTGACGTAAGCCGCTACGAAGCGCTGCGCGAGAGCGCTCTCGCCGACTTGGAGTAAATCCATCTTGCACATCTTTCGTTGTTTCTTTTCCACGTTCTATCGCACTACACGCTTTTCTTATCTCAATTTCCGTATTCGAATGATACCACAAACAACACAACCATTTCAGTTTTACACCGTACGATAATATCAAGACGTACATCACCAGGTCTTACAAAAGCATCCAGGAATCGGACTCGGAGTCGGCGGCACGGAAAACAAAATGGGGGAAAGGGTTTTCTGACGTTCTTTTCCCATCTTGACCAATACTCTCTCTCTCTCTCTCTCTTTCTCTACATCTCTACATCTCTCATCGGTCCACCGGCGCAAATGCATCATGTAGCAAGGACGGCGCAGCGGTGGCTAAACCTGCATTGTTTTCGTTCCTCTTTTCCGGCTTTCCGCAGCCAATTTTGACTGTCTATTTATTTCTGTTCATGTTTTCAGGATATCCTTGTACAAACACCCGTCCACGACTTGTCACGAACAATCATCCTTTACTTGGTAGTAGTCATCATTAGAACAGGGACACCTCCTGAAGGTTCCTCGTAGTAGTAGTAGTAGTAGTAGTAGTAGTAGTAGTAGTAGTAGTAGTAGTAGTAGTAGTAGTAGTAGTAGTAGTAGTAGCTAGTAGCTAGCAACGCGAAACTTGCAAACTAAATTCATTAAATTATCAACATCATCGTCGTCTACTCGCGTGCATGTTTCGATCATTTGAGATGCCACTTAAGGATCGTCCCGTTTCGTAGTTTGAAACCCAGAGAATGGATGACTAGCAGCGGTAAGACGCCGTGGAACATGTCTGTGCCAATTTGCAGGATCGGCGAAAAGGGTCTCATCAGACGTTTTCTTGCTTGTCACTTGCATCCTTCCGAGACGTGGAATCTTATGTTTGTGTGTAATTCAACTGGTGAAGAACGGAAGACTGCTAAAAAATGATGTCTCGCTGCTTTTTCTCCTCCCCTCCTCTCTTCATCACTGACAAAACATCAAAGGGGGAGAGTATCAAAAGAAATCAAGTAAATAATACCAAGCCCCCCCGACTTTGTTCGGTCTGAAATGAAAGGGCGCGCGCGCATCCAAAACAAACAACGCAACAAGACGAAGCAAACAAAAGCCTCAAAAGTTCGCTGTCGAAGCCCGCGATCAAACGGGGCCCGATGTATCAACACGACCCGTGCGTATGGTATCATCCTAGGTACTCAACAGACCCGTCATCACCCACCTCCGAAGAAACGGAGGAAAGGGGGAAAGGCGGCGCCGGCGCATCTCACCCCTGGAAGCTGCGTCTCCTGTGCTCCTTCTCCGCCTCCTCTTTCACCTTCAGGGTATCCTGCTGCTGCTTCATCTCGCGCACCTTAGCCAAGACGACTTCGCGGAAGATAGCTCCCTTGATCGTCCTGGACAGGCTGCGCTTCTCGCCGGCACTGGGCTCGGGGCCGCCCGACTTGGCCTGGTCAGCGGCGCTGACGGCGTCGACCGGGAAATCCGAGTCCTCCTTGTCCTCCTCCTGGGTCTTGAGCAAGTCGATTCTGTTGGCGAGCTTGACCATCTCGACACCACGACGAAGTCTAGCCTTGGCCATGTAAGCCTTGATCTCGGGCAGCAAGTTGTGGTCAGTAGCGTTCTCTCCGCTCAGCCAGGGGTGGCGCAGAGTTTCCTGGTCTGTCTGTTAGTCACTTCCACTCATGACATTTAGGGGTACCACATACCTCGCTGGACCAACGCTTAACGGGGTCGGGCTGCAGCAGATGCAGGATGAAGTCTTTGGCATCGTCACTGACATCCTTCCAGTAGCGCTCGTGGAAAACGACTTGAGCGTTGCTGCACTCGTCGATAAGGTCTTGCAGGTTCTCGGAGCGGAAAGGAGAGTAACCACAGAGAAGAGTGTATGTGATGACACCCATAGACCACATGTCGACAGGCTTTCCATGGCCCTTCTTAAGCATTACTTCAGGGGCGGCATAGCCGAATGAGCCAGCCATTGTTGTGAGGACTTCGTCCTTGCGATCGAGCATCTTGGCAATGCCGAAGTCAGCCAGGACGAGGTCAGACTCTGGGTCTCTGGTCAGATAGAGGAGGTTCTCGGGCTTCAGGTCTATTTCCGAGGTTAGTATAGTACGAATGAATCGAACGATGGCACATCGACGTACCTCGGTGGACGACATTGTTCTGGTGCAGATAGTTGACGGCCTCAAGAACCTGCTTAATGGTTTGCGAGGCGTCCTTCTCCGTGAATTTGCCCTGCTCGCAAATACGATCAAACAATTCTCCACCAGTAGCGAGCTCGGTCACAATGTAGTATTTGTCCTGTACAAGTGTGTCAGAAATCGGAGGCACAACAAACATTTGTCGGGCACGGGGCTACTTACACGCGACTCGAACCAGTCGACAAACTTGACAATATGGGGGTGCTTGAGGCGCTGAAGCATATCAAGCTCATCGTATACCATTCTCTCGTTGCCCTTGACGTTCTTCTTCAAGATAATCTTAACGGCGCACTTGCCAGTGGGACCGTCAGCCTCACGGACGATGCCGTATGTGCCTGCACCGAGAGTGCGACCGAAGCGATATTTCGCCCTATTTAGGACGTTAGGATATGCATTCACGCAAGGGGTCGATAAATGGAATCGCACTTCTTGTCATAGCTCTCGGGTTGGCCCTGGAGCCTGCTGAGCATGTTGGAGACTGTTGCGAGGTTTGTGGTCAGCATGAGTGGCTATTGTGGGCGCGATTTGAAGAGAGAAAGACACTGGCTTAAGCTGGCGCATCGTATGGAGAGAGAAAATTTGCCATAAACCAGTGTCAAGTGCGTATGAAACCGGAATACTCACAACTCATCTTGGGCAGAAGGCGATCGGTAGTGTCGAGTGAATTAAATATCGATCAGCTCTACTAGTTGCGAAGACGATCAAGAGAGCTTTGGCGAAGGAAGAGTCGAGCGACTACAAGACGAGAGAAATATGGCAGGCTTGGGGTGATCCTCGAGGCTGGCAAGAGGAAGAGGAAAAAAACCAAGTAGCCGTCAGAGAAGGCTCGAACCCTGGACTGGCTGGAGAAGCTGAGTTGTTGATGGATACTTGGCTTGAAGGAGGGGGCCTAGTCCGAGTGCTGTGTGGTGGTGGTGGTGGTGCTGGTAGCTCCTGGGCTGAGGGGTGAAGTGGGGTAACAGCGGGAAGTAAAAAGTAGTGGAGGAGGTAAGCTTCACAGGCAAAAAAGGGACTCTGGGGTCCTGTCACACTAGCTGTTGATAAGGTAGTCGTGGGAAAACGGTTTCACGCATTTAACAGCACGACCCAAAGCTCGCCTTTTCAGTAGCTGCAGCAGGCTCGGGAGGCAACCTTACGGCACTTCAATCACTATGGGGAGCAATTAGCAGTCAGGGGTCGAGATACGACAGATGGAGTGAGCCTTGTGGGCTGGTGAGAAATAGTAGGATGCTCAGCCGCACAAAATGAGGGGCAGAAAGAGGGAAGCACGGACATGACCGTGATGAGCAGGTGCCCTAAGTTGAGGGCCAGGGAAACTTGGCCAGGCCAGGCCTGCTAGCAAGCAGCAAGCAGTGGCAGGGTCCTAAAGTGGACCTTCGTATGCTAAACGATACTGGCCACTCAGGGAGTCCGAAGTGCAAACTCGCCCAGTAAAGTGCCTTCACTTGTGGCTGTGAGGCCACTCTTTTGACCCCAAGAAGAATATCCCTCTCGACTACAGCCACAACATGCCGAACGGAGAGTGTGCCAGCTTCGCCATAAGGCTGGAGACCAGGCCTATCAAGGGAGACGAGAGGTACCGCATCTTTGTCATGGCATTTCGGGATGAAGACTAGCTCGTTTGAGCAGGTTCCCTCCATGTGATGATGCTTTAGGCTCAGAATCAACATCAACATCCTCTCCGAGTAGCCCCCAGTGGACAAAGACGCCTAGTCGCATATTGTATCGACGACGCCGTCTATTTCGCTTCTGATTCTTTAAGACTATTGAAAAAGACGCAGGGCTAAGCCCATGATGACGCCTAATATTCGGCTGACAATGATGAGAGTAGGCAAAGACAGACATACCTCGCATGGTGCCTTATCATACCTGAAGCAGTTCGCAATTGCGCAAAAAGATAGTTCGGTTGCTTCAATAGATGGCGCGCTCCCCTGGTGACTACGTTGCGTCGGTTTGGTAGTAAGGTACCGAATTAAATGCTCTGTGCGAAAGGGAGCTGCCGCTGAGTTTAAGTTGACGAACGTTGCCTCATCGTCACATGTCTTTGAAGTTTCAAGTCCCCTGAAAGCAATGACCGGATCCAGCTTTAGTCGCCGCTCCACCTCAGCTTGCAATATTTGATAAACCGGAGATTTCAATATCGGAGGATAAAGCTGGGCAAATTGGTAGACGATAAAAAAAGAAAACTGAGGAACCGAAGGTGGACATCATAAGATGGATTGCGTCGACAGCATGCCTGTATCCCACGCTTTTCCCTGGTTCTGTCAGTCTTCTGTGGTTCAAAGGCTAATTACTGGCCCAATTCCGGCCTTGGCAGATTGTTTGAAGGTGTTTGGAAGTCGTTTGGCTAGTGATTGGGTGCTATTGTCACCAGACCCACACACTACGTATGTGTCTACGCAAAGGTCAGTGTAGTAGTGAATAGAGTGTCTGTAGAGTGGAGTCCAGTCCAGCATAAACACTGAAGCAACCGCCCTACTGTCACCTTCTGTTGCCGTGGTGCGGGTTGCCTTCTCAAGCGCCAAAGAACTTGGACCTCAAAAGCCTTAGCTAAGAACCCTCCTTAAGACGCGCCTACCTTACCTTACTTGGGATATGAGTCGTCTGAACGGAACTAGACCGGCCACTCTAAGTACCCTTTCCTGACACTGACCTTACTTCTCATCCTACCTCACCTCAACTGGTCACATCGTTGTATTGCGTCTCCTCACGTCTTCTGCTCGCTGGTTTTTTTTTTTTTGCTTCGTTGTGTTGATCGACCCGACTTTAATAGTAGGCCAAGACCCCGCCTACCAGGGCCTGCCTCGCTCCGCGCTTACTTTTTCCGAGGTGCTCTGCTCCCATCCGGTTGTTGTAGGTCGGAACCACCAAATCGTGGGGTCCGTCACTGGGCAGCCCCTCCAAGAAGCCCCTCCAGAGTCCAGCCAGTCGAGCCGCCAACTGTATCCCGCCTTCTCGGCGCCAACGCACTTTCTCTTTCTGTCCTTGACTTCGCTCGTCGTGGCTTATCCCTCGCGCCACTTTCAGTCATTCCGATCTCGTCGTCCTGTGCTTCATCATGGCCTCCAGCTTTGCGTCAAAGCGGCTGGCTAAGGAGCTGTCCAAGGTTGGTTGCCTTCGAACTGCCACGATCAACCCCTTCATGCTTTACCAGTTGTGTGCGCGCACGCGAGCGCATGCGCAAATACACAAGTTTACTTGTTTCTGACACTTTACAACAGCTCAACAGCGGCCTACCACCCGGGATCGAGCTCATCTCCGCCGACAACTTCGAGGAGTGGTTTATGGATATACGAGTTCTCGATGACAACCCGCTGTATCGCAATGAGGTATACAGGCTCAAGTTTAAGTTTTCTCAGCAATATCCTATTGGTATGCGCCTCCCACGCGCCCGTTACCACTCTGCTTGTCTGGCTAATCATCTTTCCAGAGCCCCCAGAGGTTACGTTCGTGAAGACAACCGATCGACCGATTCCGATGCACCCTCATATCTACTCCAATGGCATCATCTGCCTTGACTTGCTCGGCAATCAGGGCTGGAGTCCCGTGCAGAACGTAGAGAGCGTCTGCATGAGCATACAAAGCATGTTAACCGGGAACGAGAAGAACGAGCGGCCAGCCGGCGATGACGAGTTCGTGCGGAGCAACCGTCTGCGACCGAGAGACATTGACTTCTACTATCACGATAACACCGTTTGATCTGATGGTGTCTTGTGCGGCAGGGTTGCTTACGGCGTTGATTCGGATTGGCATAGGGAAACCCGGACGGGCTGAATGTTTGGAGTTGGTCTTTTGTGCAAGGCAGAAGAATACCGGCATGGACTTTCTCTCCCATGACTTCATGGGTGGTTACCGGAGAGAGAGGGAGAGGGAGGCGGAGGGAGCATATTTGGAATATGTTTGACGAGCGGAAATAACAATGCGCCCATGGAAAGGCGTTGAGCCATCTATATGTTGATGGCAGGAGGAACATTCATTCATCACATTGAACGAATCTCCACCATAATTGACACCCATAGCAGTGGGCATTGCGACAGCGATTAAAACAGATATCGAAGATTATGATATTATAGTTCCTTGCGTAATCTCTGAAAATATACCCCCGTGCCAAATGTGCTTGGAGACCATCGATCGCCATTGCGCATGCAGCTCTATACTAAGACGAGGGTAGACAGTACCTTAGGATCGGGGCATGTACAGTGACTGCCCCGCTGGAATTACCCGATAAGGCACGGATACGTCTTGAGACAGCGCAGCCTGGAGAATCCCATACGGCAACTGCCCGCTAAAGCCCCGCTGACGCAAATGCTCTCAGTGTGAGGTACCCCGTGCCGCCCAGTATCTAATCTGTTGCCCCGATAGCTCCAGAGCTCGCTTGCTCCTTCCGTCAATACCTCACTCATTGAGCAGCGGTCAGTCTGAGCTGCCTTTGGAAACCTGCTCTCAACCGCATGGAGAGCTCAAAATGGCCCCTCGAGCTGGCTTCAATACGGACCAGATAAAGGACAAAGCCCGCAAGGATCTCCTTTACCTGCTCGAGGCTGTAAGTAAGGCAATCCAAACTGGCAGCATCCTGTCCTCAGCACTAACCCGCTCGCGCAACCAGGTCCGCGGAAAGAAGAACCTCATCCTTGAGCGTAGCTTAGCCGGCCCAATCGGCACCATCGTCAAAGTTGCGACCCTCCAAGAATACGGCGTGGACAAGTTCTTCTTCCTCGAGAACCAGAACGCCGACACCAGCCAGCGAAATGTCATCTTCATTGCTCGCGGTGAATGCGCGCGTCATGCGCAGTCCATAGCAGGTCAGTCATCCCCAGCAAACGGTCCCTATGAATTAAGCCTCAGCCAAAAAGAGCTCTGGCGTTCAGTGAGCCTTGACCACGTCATTGTGCTCAGTTGCACGCGATTGAGGCAGTTTGGCAGTAGACCACGGATTCTCATTCATGCATTTTGACTCCAGGCGAGCTGGGCAACACGCTGACAGCCCATCAGAGCAGATTCGACGCTTACAACGCGAGAGCCAGACCGGTCATGAGTTTCACATATTTTGGGTACCTCGACGTACACTCGTCTCCGACCAGCTGCTCGAGGAAGCCGGTGTCCTGGGGGATGTCAACATATCCGAGCTTCCGCTCTACTTCTTCCCGCTGGAGAAGGATGTTCTCTCACTAGAATTAGACGACTCGTTCCGTGACTTATATCTCTCTAAGGATGTCACGCCATCCTTTTTGCTCGCCAAAGCACTGATGGAAATCCAACAGAACCATGGCTTGTTCCCCCGAATCATTGGCAAGGGTGACAATGCCAAACGAGTGGCTGAGCTTCTGGGTCGGATGCGACAAGAGATTCTTGCTGGCGAAGATGCGAGTGAAACGAACCGAACGGGCTTAACGCCGAGCACATTAACCGAAAGTATCATTATAATCGACCGAGAGGTTGACTTTGTCACTCCTCTGCTCACTCAATTGACATACGAAGGACTTATTGACGAACTATTCGGTATCCAGAACAATCAAGCTGAGGTGGACACCACCGTAGTCGGTGCCTCATCACAATCATCGACTACAAGCGCGCAAACGAGGAAACGAAAGATTCAGCTGGATTCGTCTGATAAACTGTACGAACAACTCCGAGACACCAACTTTGCCATCGTTGGAAGTTTGTTAAATAAGGTCGCTCGCCGTCTGCAAAACCTACAAAAGGACTACGAAGGTCGAAACAGTCAAAAATCCATTGCCGAGCTCAAAGACTTCGTCACCAAGTTGCCAGGGTACCAGGCTGAGCAGCAAAGCCTAAGAATTCATACAGGATTAGCAGAGGAGATCATGAAATATACGCGAACTGATCAGTTCAAGGGACTCCTGGAAGCCCAGCAGAACCTGGCTGCCGGAGCGGACCCCTCTACTCAGTTCGAAGCTATTGAAGAGCTGATCGCGCGCGACACACCACTTCCAGAGGTGCTTAGGCTGCTATGCATCTACTCCTGCATATCGGGTGGGATCAAGCCCAAAGAGTTCGACCAGTTCCGGCGGCTGATTCTGGAGGGTTATGGATACCAGCACATCTTGACTCTCAACAACCTAGAGAAGCTCCAACTGTTCTTGTCTCGATCATCACCATTGGCAGAAATGATCCCCATGGCCGGAGCTGGAGGCAACAATACGGGGACAAAGACTAATTACACATATCTTCGCAAGCTACTTCGACTTATCGTCGATGAAGTTAAGGAGGATGATCCGAACGATATCGCATATGTGTACAGCGGATACGCGCCGCTTTCGGTTCGGCTCGTCCAATGTGTCCTGCAGAAGCAATACCTTCTTCAAGTTACCCGGGGAAATGGCGCTAGCGGTGCGGCAGGAGCATCGGCAGCACAGGGCTGGCATGGCTTCGATGAGGCCGTCAAGCACGTTCGCGGGCAGACTTTCTACGAGTTGCAAAAAGGCGAGGAAAAGGCTGTCAAAGCTCGGGCTCTCCTATCCGGAGGTACCGAAAAGCAGACTGTGTTTGTGGTGTTTGTTGGAGGCATAACGTTTACGGAAATTGCTGCTTTGCGGTTCATTGCGAAGCAGGAAGAAGGTATGTGCCCAGCTTAAGCCGTGTTGTAATTGATATTCGGACTGACCGCTTGCATTTGTAGCACGGAGAAATATCGTCATCTGCACGACATCAATCATTAGCGGAGACCGAATGATGGACGCAGCGATTGAAAAAGAGTCATTCGCCAGAGACAATATTAAGCCTGCGAGCCCAAGCCAGTAAGGTTAACTTCGAAGTGGGCGGCGCTAAAAGCACTTCTTGATTGTCGTAGTAGATAGAAATGCGACTTTAGATAATAAGACTTTGCAATGCGAAGATGAGTTTCTTCATTTTGAGTTGTCACCACCACCAAAATAAAATAAAAATAGAAGTGCTTGCGTCGTTCGCATGCTTGTCTAGTTGATCTGGTTCAATGTCTTGATTGATTGATTGATTGATTTATTCCTACTCGGTTATGAAGCCGCTCTTATGCCAGCAGCTATGCCCGGAAAGCGGGGTTTGGCAGGTAGCCGAAGCGTCGACAATGAACAGCGACGCCCCACTTCGCCCTGATGTTGCATCAGGGCCAGCTATCCCCAAGCTCCCCACTATGTTCTCTATTCTGTGTGTTTGTGCCCTCTGTTGAAGAAGTGTGTTGCTCTCCTGTCTGCTTTCTCGCTTTTGTGTTGCTCTCTAGAATGCTTGTTTTGCGTCCTCCTGCTTCGGTTCAGTTGGTGCTGGTAGCACCGTATCTGGTTCTTTGTACCTACAGTCTCCCCCCAGCGCTCAGCTTTGTCTCTTTGTTTTGTCCGTATCCTCCCGGACTTGTATATGCCGTTTTCTCAGTTGCATCTGTAAATTCTTTGTTGCCTCCTGCCGGGTTCCTATGTGGCCTCTTGTTTCTTGCCTGTTGACCACTATTGCCCTCCACCACATTGGCCCAAGGGTCTTCCACGAAGCACAATGCTCCACTGACTCCGACATGTTCGATTACTGGGTATGAGAGCTCCCGCACAGATTCCGCAGACATTGTCGCGCGTTGAAGGGACACCAATCCTTCTTCGCAAAAGGGGCGACAGGGGACCAGTCTGTCTGTGGTCTGTAGTATTGTGTGGCATCGATCGTAGCATGCCTAATGCCTGGTGCTTTCTCCGTGCGGAAGGTGATACTGTTCTGTCGGACTCATCTTCGTCGTTGTGGGACGTTGCAAACTTTGTCGGGGGTGACAGGTGACCCAAAACCTGTCGGCGGCTGTTGTGTTGAAGTTGATTGTTTGGGCGCAGTCTTAGTGCTTCGTGTAGCGGCTTGTGGCTCGCCTGTGGTGGTGGTAACAGTGTTGTCTATTGATATGTCGTATTTTGCGGCTTGCTCTCAAGTTTTTCATTGTAGTCGGGGCGTGCTCTGCGGCCATCTTGGGCCCCTTTGGGACGTAGAATCAAGGCCGAGGATGGCATTGCATCGAAGGGGGCTCTGTGGCCGCGAGCACGCGTATTTGGGGCCGTTTTTGCTCCGATTTTCAAAAATTTCGTTCTCGCTGTTGTTGATGTTTTTTTTGTTCAATGTCTTGAGTCAGACTAAAGCCCAAGTAGCTCTTGTTGAAGGGATGATGGAGGTGGATAGTCACGTGACTTTTGACATGCGTTTCGAGCGGAGCGGGACTTCTGAGTGCAGAGCCGGGACGTCGAACCAATTGCACACTCAACGGGTCATGTATCTGACGGGTTCGCCTTCATGCATAAGACGTTACTTTTCTCGACAGAATTGTCTAGAACAATAGATCGAGTCCTATGCACCTCACTTGAGAATACTGCGACTCAAATTACCCAATATCGGGACGTTTCAATTCAATATCGAGGACAGTGTGGCCGGGGTGTTGGTGGCGTCTCCGCAGCCAAGGTCTGTACCTCAGATCTGCTTCTTCTTATATCGGCCTTGTGCGAAAATGAAAACTCAAGTCAACTGACTTTTATGAACAGAGCGATTAACAAGGTGCAACTGAGATACTATAACATGATCTCAACTAAGAACTAATCCCGTCACGTCACCCCCCGAACGGGTTTCAGGCCGAGCACCTCTCATAGCCGACGACTCGCCTCTGCCGTAATATATCCACTCCTCATCCTCGAGTTCAATCCAGTCGACGACTGAAACATGAGAACAAGTTTGAGGTCTCGTGTGAAGCAGGAATCTGGATTTGGAAAGGGATCATTGATGGCTTTTTCGCGCCAGGACTCATCACATATAACAGACTTGCCGTCATCAAGGGCCAGTGCTCCCTTAAATCGAATATCGGCATCTAACGTCTCAGAATCGACTTCGTCTCCATCGAGTCGTTTGTCATCAGAGGCGGTGTCAGAAATCGCCCCAGAAATCGTTGTTTGGACGGAAGACATGGAGGTGGATGAGCCCAGTCAAGATGAAGCAGAGCACTCCTCTGTTGCTTTATCCCATGATGAGTAGGTTAATCCTGCGGCTTTCCCTCAATTATAACATTGAGTCTTATGATAATCTGTCGAGTATCGTTCTACTAACACCTGGGTAGTACCCCTATGGCAGAGGACACCCCTCCAGATGCCCTTCGCATTCAGCCATCCAACGCTCCTCACGAGTCGTTCGAGTCACCGATGACCAACCTTTCCGACAGGGAGCAGTCTGAACTATCCTCAGTGCCATCTTCTGTCTCTAGTAAAGCAACGACCCCTGTAGACTTCGATGGACATCAGGAACCATCTGTGCCATCGACGGAGACCCCTCCGATCCGCGAACCCCTGCGACGGTCATTCGACGTGAAGCCGAAATCCTCTATCCCGTCGAATCTATCAAGTTATGAATATGCAAGACAATGCATTGAAGCGGCCGAGTCGTCGAGGCTCAACCCCTACGCCCTGCATCAGGAAGAATATCAGATGCTGCAGCAACACATTAGCCATGTCCAAGTGACAACGTATCTAAATATTAGAAACGGCATCCTCCGGCTGTGGTATAGTAATCCGCGTGTCGCAGTGACTAGAAATGAAGCAGTCGGTTGCGCCAATGCTCGATGGTTCGACGTTGCAAGCGTATGTTACGACTGGTTGGTGCGACGCGGCTATATCAACTTTGGCTGCGTAGAGTTCCCAGCTACAAAATTAAATGAAGAACAAGAGACGGAAACAGAAAACGCTCCTAGAAGAAAAAGGATAGTGGTCATCGGTGCTGGCATGTCTGGCCTGGGATGTGCGAGACACCTGGACGGTCTTTTCCGCCAGTACTCGGATCGATTCCGTGCTCTTGGTGAACCACCCCCAGAAGTCGTTATTCTCGAAGGGCGTGGCCGCGTTGGCGGGAGGGTGTACTCCAGAGAGTTCAAGTCGAAACCGACGACACCACTGTCTGACTTTGTGGGGGAAAGGTTTACTGCCGAGATGGGTGGTATGATTATTACTGGGTTCGAACGCGGGAATCCAATGAACATCCTTGTGCGCGGGCAGCTATGCCTACCATACCGCGCTTTGCGAGCAGACACGACCATATACGATTCGAATGGCAAGCCTGTGGACTATGTGAGAGATCAGCTCGTTGAGAATATGTACAACGACTGCCTTGATCGCGTCAGCGAATTCAAGTGGAAATCCCAGCCCTCTAAACTTATCCAGGGTAACCGGGACTTAATTAATGAAGGGCGAGATGCGGTGAGTGATGGCCACAGGACGATACATCAGGCCGAAGAAGCGGCTGCAGCCCTGCCTCATGCACCTCCCGTTTCTCAACAGAACGTGCCTGAGCGTGTCAACATGGTACCTGTATCATCTGACAAGCTTACTGGCCGTGTCCACACTCAACCGGGAACGCCAGGTATACTCAAAGCGGGAGAAAAAGCCAAGTTAATGGGATGGACCCTCAAAGGCGGCTCATCCAATGACACCAACATCGAGCTCGGGGAGGCTACAAGGCTACCCGACGCGACACTTGGCTCCGTCTTTGATGAAGCAGTTGTCCAGTATCGCAATATCGTCGATCTTACGGCCCAAGACCATCGCCTTCTCAATTGGCACGTTGCCAACTTGGAATATAGCAATGCTACGAACCTGTACAATCTAAGTTTAGGTGGTTGGGATATTGATGCAGGGAACGAGTGGGAGGGCAAGCATACGATGATTGTTGGCGGGTACCAAACTGTCCCCAGAGGTCTTTTGCATTGTCCTACCTCTCTTGACGTTCGAACAAAGTCTGCTGTTCAAAAGATTTCCTACGAAACTCATGATAATGGTCGTGCCTCGGTCGAGTGCGAGGATGGCACCGTTGTTGAGGCTGATTATGTTGTTTCGACGATACCACTCGGCGTGTTGAAGCAGGGCAACATCCAGTTTGATCCTCCTCTACCGGAATGGAAGACGGATGCTATTGCTCGTATTGGATATGGAGTACTCAACAAGCTGGTTTTGGTCTACGACCAACCCTTTTGGGATACCGAGAGGCATATCTTCGGCGTTCTGCGAGATGCGCCGAACCGCCATAGTCTGAATCAAAGCGACTACAGCACTCAGCGTGGGCGCATGTTCCAATGGTTCAACGTCACCCAGACCACTGGTCTACCGTGTCTTGTGGCCCTGATGGCCGGTGATGCTGGGTTCGACACGGAATACAACAGTAATGATAATCTCGTCGCCGAAGCCACAGAGGTTCTGCGCAGTGTGTTCGGCCCTAAGGTGCCGTACCCTGTCGAATCTGTTGTCACACGCTGGGCGGCGGACAAGTTCGCTAGAGGAAGCTATTCTTCAGCCGGGCCGGATATGCAACCCGAAGACTACGATGCCATGTCCCGGCCAATTGGAAATCTGTTCTTTGCCGGAGAGCACACCATAGGCACGCACCCAGCCACTGTGCATGGAGCATACCTGTCCGGACTACGCGCGGCGTCAGAAGTTATAGACTCGGTGCTTGGGCCCATTGACATCCCAACCCCTTTGGTCCTTCCAAAGGAAAGTGTCTCAAACAAACGCAAGGAAATGGAGGAGCCCAAGAACCCGGAGCAAGTTCGTCTAGAGGCCTACGAGCTTGCCGCATGGGAATACATCAAATCCAAAATCGGCGAGCGGCCCGTCCGCCCTGCGAAGTTGGCAGCAAACGCTTACCTCCTCTACAGCAGAGCCTTCTTCGAAGTCGCACGGAAGAAGTGCGAGGAGGAACGGGCCAACAAGAAGAAGCCTGTGCCGAACGAAGTGCGCGTCATGACGTCCAAGATGTGGAAGGCGGCCAGTCCCGAGGAGAGGAAGCCATATGAAGATCAGGCGATTGAGCAGAAGGCTGCTTACGCCGAGGCCGTCGAAGAGTACAATGACAAGTCGGCACAGTGGGACAAGGATTATGTCGAATTTCTAGCGGCGTACCAAAAGGAGCACCCATACGTTCCTTTGAACGAGAGCAAGACAGAGGGTGGATCCAAGCGGGAGAGCAGCGCGAACAAGCACCGCCGGACAAAGCATGTCAGCTATGCCGAAAGTGACGGCAGCGACATGGAGTTCTGATGGGAGCTTGAAGTATCTACTTTGCTAGGGTACTATTGCAAAAGCGTCTGGGGCCTTCTTTGATAGGGCTCATACGGGTGCTGTATATTGTTCACTTTAGTGGGTGGGTGGTTATGGTGCATTTGTTTTTGTCGTTTGTTATACTTGGCAAAGGGGCAAGGGGGGTGCATGATTACTACCATGCATTCTGAGGCAAAGAGAGCTTTGTTTCTTTTTCTTTTTTTTTTCCCCGGCGTTGAGAGGGAAGTCCTGCATACCCCCCCAATTCTGGTTTACGTTGGTTTCGCCTTCCTTTTTTTTTTTTTTTCAACATTGACGGATATGGGGTCATTCGCGCAGTAGTAATTAGGCCCCGTGTACATTTTTCTAGGGACGTATATAGCAAAGCAAACACTGCATCAAGAAGCATAATCGGCGACCTGGGACTTTCAGTGTTTTTTTCAAAAACAACGGGTGAAGGAATTTCCATCCATGTTCTAGATCAGGATGTATTCGCGAGGATTTAGTACACGGAGGGCAATAGCCGCCCTTGGTAGCTTGATACAGAGGGAAGAGAGGTAGTAATCATCTCTATCTGATGTGCGCTTTTTCGCTTCCACCCCTTTACATGTCCGCGGAGGCAGTGGCACCAGTGATAATCTCGACCAGCTCTCCGGTAATGACGGCTTGACGGGTACGGTTGAAGAGAATCTGGTATCTGCTGATCATGTCACCGGCGTTCTTGGAGGCGTTCTGTGGAATTTGTCAGCATCATGGCACGAAAGACTGCAAAATATGTTAGGAAGTGGGTAAAAACATACGTCCATAGCGTTGCGACGGGCAGAGATCTCGCAGGCGTGGCCCTCAGCCAGAGCCCAGTAGATGGAGTTGGCAAGGGCGTACTCGCGAAGGTTGGGGAGGAGCTCCTCGTCAACCTCGAAGGCGGAGAAGTTGGCTTTAAAGACGGTCAGTACATCTTCGCATTACGATTTGATAGAGCTGGGAAGCTTACGGGAAGCAGCAATGGCCTCCTCAGAAAATGCCTCAACAGTGGTGGGCTCATAGGCCTGAGCGTTCACGAACTTGTTGTAGAGGATCTTGATGGAGGAGTAGTCGCCGGGGAGCTGGACAACCTGGTCGGCAATAGCCTGGGCATCGGCGAAGGTAGGAACGTCCTTGCCGACACCAGCGAAGCTGAGGACGATGTCCTTGGCGTTGGTACGCTGCAGCTGGGACTTGCACTTCTCGCCGAGGATGACGAGGTCGGCAGTGGCGTTCTTCTCAAGAAACTGGCGACGGATGGTACGGGACAGACCGGAGTGAACACCACCGCAGAGACCCTTGTCGGAGGAGCAGACAATGATGAGCTCCTTCTTGTTCTCGCCCTCGAGGGGCTTGGTCTCGGCCGATTCGAAAACCTGGTTCGAGGTAGAGCCGTAAACGCGGGAGTCGGACATGGCCTTCTGGGCGCGGTTAAGCTTGGTCGAGGCGACGATCTTCATCGTCTTGGTGATCTTCTCGATGTTGCGGATAGACTTGAGGCGGCCTTCGATCTCACGCAGGGTCGCGAAGGTGGCAGCGGTGCTGGGCGCGTTGGCCGTGACTCTAGATGAGCGATACCGCAATTAGCAATTAATTTCTCCTTCATTTTCATCTCTGTCCTCCGATTCAATTTCGCTCCGAATCTTCTTGATGTCCCGTGTTCTGTCCTCAATCGGTGGTTGTTGACCAAAACACTCTGTCCTTCCCTTCCTCCGATTTTCCGAGCTCAACAAAGTGTGGATTCCGACTTACCGCGAGGGAGCCGCAGCCGCAGCTCGCAGAGCTGGTCTCGCCGCCCGGGAAAGCATTGTGATAGATGAGAATTAAGAGATCGAGGCTCTGCCGTTGTGGGGATCAATTGATCACGACCGCTTCGAGACCAATTGATGCTGCTGGCGGTGCTTCGGGGATGCAAGATTGGTAGGACGAGTAGTTTTCCTGCTCCGGGTCCATCCACCCAAGTTCTCGTTTGCCCCGGCCACGGCCTAAGTTTAACCGGGACCCGGGAAAATGAGCCAACCAGCTTTTTCTCACCAGCCACTTCTACCCTCCCCTGCCACAAAGTTCAGCCACTCTTGGTACACGTGACCCTTCCGCCTTGCATTGCGCTTACCACATATTTATAAATAAAGAAGAGTAAGCTAGTAAGCCGATTCCTTAGCTAACGGGGTCTCCATAAACTCTGCTGGAAGGTGCCGTATCGACGATTCCCACCTTCCCAGTCTCTCATTCCCTCGATCCCTCGTAAAAATCCTGACTTCTTCGCGCTCTCCTCGACTGTAGACGTGGGCTATCCCCTGCGTCACTTCAGCAAGTGGCGGCAATTCGAACCATCCGACTCTTGCCTCTATATCTACGCGATCATTCCGCGCGGATTGGCTTCTACAACTTTTTCTGCTCCACAACGCCCCGGTTTTGGACTTTGCGATTCAGATCTCACTTAACCGTCCATAAACGCCGCGAACCGAGACCTTTCATTATGAGCAGCTCCGACGACGACATGCCTCTTGCGAGGTCCAACGGACACGGTAAGTACGCTAAGACCAACACTTGCGCTTTCGGAATACCTTAACTTTCGTTCTTTCCCATCCTTTGACGTGTCACTTTTCCTGCTCTGCACACAGCCTGACTCGTCGCGTCCCCAACTCGGCTTCGGCAAACCAAGAAAAACTTAGCAATTCTAACTTCTTCAATTCGCAGTCTCATCTTCGAGAGTTTCCAAAGCCGACGACCACGAAATGGATCGCACGGCTTCCAAGGCTAGGGCGGCCCCACCTGGCATCTCTGTTCGCCACGGGCCTGTCGACGACGAGATGGACATTGACGGCCCTTCCACGAACGGCGCGAAGCGCAAGTCACGCTCATCATTGCCCAAGGTCAATTACAAGGTGGAAACGGATAGCGATGACGATGTCCCTATGGTAGGTCAGACATGGTAGATGGCGAGTGGCGGACTCCGACACTGACGACAGACCTAGGCCAAGCGACAAAAGACGAAGCAAAAGCTTGAAGACTCGGACTCGGACGATGAGCCCCTCACAGCAAGAAGAGGCAAAAAACTACCTCCTTCCTACAAGGAAACAGCGCTGCCGGATGATTCGTCCGATGACGACCAGCCGTTGGGAGCCAAGCTGGCGAAGAAGAAGGCCGAGATCGAGAAGGCAGCCGCCAAGGAGGCCCGCAGCATCCGTGCCAGCGAAGCCAAGTCAAAGAAGGCGACACCGAAAAAGGCGATGAAAGATGAGTCCGACGATGATGAGCCACTGGCGAAGTCAGCTATTAAGAAGCGACAATCGAACGGTGCAGGCTCTGCCAAAAAGAAGTCAAATGGCGTCAAGGCTGAATCCGATTCTGACGAGCCCATCGCGGTGAAGGCTAGGAAGGCTGCAGCGGTCAAACCAGTTGTCAAGGGCAAGGCTGCCACCCCTGCGAAGGGACCGGTCAAGAAGGCTGCTGCGAAAGCCAAGCAGGAGAGCGAGGCCCCCGAGGACGAAGAAGAGGAGGAGTATGAGTGGTGGAATGCGCCGAAGAAGGAGGATGACAGCCAAAAATGGACTACCCTTGAGCACAACGGCGTTCTTTTCCCCCCTGAGTACACACCACTCCCCAAGAATGTCAAGCTGCTCTACGACGGCAAACCAGTAAACCTTCCTATCGAGGCCGAGGAGGTTGCTTGGTACTTCGGATCCATGCTGTCATCAAAGCACAATGTGGACAACCCTGTCTTCCAGAAGAACTTCTTCGAGGATTTCAAACAGGTTCTCAAGGAGTCCGGCAAGCACGCAACCGACAGCAAGGGCAACAAGGTGGATATCAAGGATTTCTCCAAAATGGACTTCAACGCCATGTGGCAGTACGCGGAACAACAGAGTCTGGCCCGGAAGAACCGAACTGCTGCGGAGAAGAAGGCAGCCAAGGCCGAGAAGGACGAAATGGAGGCGCCATATATGTACTGCAAGTGGGACGGACGTAAAGAGAAGGTTGGCAACTTCCGGGTTGAACCTCCGAGTCTTTTCCGCGGCCGTGGCGAGCATCCCAAAACTGGCAAATTCAAGAGGCGAGTGTATCCCGAACAAATTACCATTAACATTGGCAAGGATGCCAAGGTTCCGGAACCTCCCAAGGGCCATAAGTGGAAGGCTGTCGTCCATGACAATAAGGCTACGTGGTTGGCTATGTGGCAGGAGAACATCAACGGCGCGTACAAGTACGTCATGCTTGGTGCTGCCAGTGCGATCAAGGGCCAAAGTGATATGAAGAAGTTCGAGAAGGCTCGCGAGCTCAAAAAGCACATCGACAAGATCCGGAGAGATTACACTAGAGACCTCAAGAGCGAGGTTATGGCTGACCGACAAAGAGCCACAGCTGTATACCTGATCGACAAGTTTGCTCTCAGAGCAGGCAACGAGAAAGACGCCGAGAACGAAGCTGAAACAGTCGGCTGCTGTTCTCTCAAGTACGAGCACATTACCCTACGGGAGCCCAATACCGTCATCTTCGATTTCCTCGGAAAGGACAGTATTCGGTTCTACGATGAAGTCACTGTTGAGAAACAGGTCTTCAAGAACCTCAAGCTCTTCAAGAAGCCGCCCAAGACTGATGGCGATGACATCTTTGACCGTCTCACCACAACGCAGCTGAACAACCACCTGAAAAACTACATGCCGGGTCTGACGGCGAAGGTCTTCCGTACTTACAACGCCTCCTTCACCATGTCCAACCTCCTGCAAAAGTTGAAGGTCGAAGACCTGACGATCCAGGAGAAGGTGAAGCTGTATAACGACTGTAACCGTGAGGTTGCTATTCTTTGCAACCATAAGCGTACTGTCGGTGCCGCTCACGAGGCTCAGATGGAGAAGCTTGGCGACCGCATCAAGGGTCTTCGTTATCAGCAATGGCGCACGAAGATGATGATGTTGGATGTCGACCCCAAGATGAAGAAGAAGAAGGGAGCCGACTTCTTCGCTCGTCCGGAGGAACTGGATGATGCCTGGATTCTCGAACACCAGGCTTTTCTGGTGGAGGAGCAGCGCACGAAGATCACCAAGAAGTTCCAGAAGGACAATGAAAAGCGTGCTGCCGATGGCGAGAAGCCGCTGCCTGAGAAGGAACTCAAGGAGCGACTGAAGGCTGCTGATGAGCTTGCTGCCAAGTTCAAGAAGGAGAACAAGTCGAAGAAGGTCGAGGCCGAGGGCCGTAGCCCGACTGTCGAGAAGCTCGATGAGCAAGCCAAGAAGATTGATGACAGGATCAAGAACCTGGAACTCCAAGCCGCCGACCGCGATGGCAATAAGGAGGTCGCCCTGAGCACCAGTAAGATCGTAAGTGCACCTCACACCCAACTGTGACAAATGAAAGCGCTAACGAGGTTGTAGAACTACATTGATCCTCGCCTGACTGTCGTTTTTTCCAAGAAGTTTGATGTGCCCATTGAGAAGTTCTTCTCCAAGACCCTTCGTGAGAAGTTCAGCTGGGCTATCAAGTCTGTCGAGGACGAGGACTGGGAGTTCTGATTTTGACATTTCTGGAGACGGGGCCAAGGCGCAATTATTCGGCCGTGGCCGCAGCCACATCTTTTGCTCCTGTATTTGTTTGTACCAAAAGTATTCCAATTTCAGCATTTCGACTCCCAGCACCAGAGTCGTCGAAAAACGAAGTGAGGGTTTGAGACGCCGCGAAGTCATCAGGCGTTGTTGGGCTTCCAGGGAGGCAGGAGAACACGTATCGAGGGGGGCGGCACAGTGATGCAACGCATGCATACAGCGAGAGACGACACAAAAAGATATACGGAGCTTTTGCCCAGAAACGGTGGCCTGGAGGTATCACCACTGTCCGCTCATTCTTGCTATAGAGCCAGATACATCGACAGCAAGCTAGACTATCTCGATTAGTTAATAAAATAGCGAATTCAGTAAACTGCGCCTTTCGTAAACGCGGTTGAGCGAGCAGAATCGTAATGCAAAAGAAAACAGAGAAAAAAAGAATCGTAATGAGCCTATCCATATAAATGTGAGCTACACTTGAGTAGTGAAAGACAAAAGTAATCGACGTTGGCCTGATTCGAACAGACGCTCCCGAAGGAACAAGATTTCTAGTCTTGCGCATTAGACCACTCTGCCACAACGCCGGTTGTTAATAATGAAAGAGAAACTTTTACTTATATTGCAAAGGCTTGGCCAGCTTCTCCACCAACAGCCACCACCCTAGCCTAAAATCGATCTCCTCTTCTTGGGTCTCCGCAGTTCTTTTACTTAAAGAGAATCGAAGTAGACAGTATATCCGAGTGTTCCAATTGAAATCAAGATATATAAATACAACGTGTGTATATCCTATTTACAGGCAAATATCTTTGTATTTCGCCGTGTACATGATCCAAGCCCAATGCAAAATAAAAACGCCATGAGTATGCAACCGTCCCTGTGGGCCTTTGGACCCATTTTCTAAATTGTTCTCCCGAGACCATGTACGTTTCCGTTCCAATTCATAAAAAAAGAAAAAAAAAGGGGGATTCTACAATTGCCTCTCCCCGTGAGAGCGCGATAACAATGGGTATCATAAATCTCATCGCCCGACCAGGGCGACAACACCAATTACAAAAGATGCTAGCACGGCCAGCTGGGGCCGGACGGAGTTTCCAGCGTCGGGAATGATCTTGCCCTCGGACGTCATGCGCCAGCCATTCGGGACAGATCCACCAGTAGGTCTCGCGCTGGCAACCCACGGCCAGCCGGTCTGCGTAAGGGTGGCTGACGCATCGGAGCCGATACCGCCCACCGGGACCGTCGGGGCTGGAGAACCCGTCTCGGCCGCAGCGCTGGCCGTCACTGTGACCTGGCCGGCCTTGCCCAGGTTGCCGTTGATCTTGCCGTCGACCGCCTGGATCGAGCCCCAGTTGCCCGAGGTATCGGTGTACTTGTACTCCTTGCCGGTCGAGTAATCCGTGATGGAGACATCCTTGACGACCATCTTGAAGGGGCCCTTGGAAAAGTCCGTCGGGCCGCGGGCCCAGTCAATGGTGCCTGGGGCATTGGCGGGGTCACCACCGGACCAGGCGCCGAATTTAACCTGCATTGGTGACTGTGGGTATTGGTTCTCGTCGGCGTCGGCTTGGGTAAGGGTGCGGACGACGGTGCCGTCGACCGTGAAGACGATGCGCTCCGATGTCCAGTCGATGGTGTACTTCATAAATCTCTCCTGATTGTTCGCCGTCTTATGGAATTGGCCGCGGTTGTAGGTCGTCACGTCACCCTTGCCAAAGTAGTTGGACTGCACCTCGGTCGGGTCAGCGCCGAGCCACTCGAGATCGATCTCGTCGAGGGTGTCGGATTGCAGGACGAGAGAGCTGACAATGCCGGCACCGGTCGCGGCCTTGAGGGTAATTTCGACGCGGCCGAACATGATGTAGAAAAGAGACATGAGCTGCGGTGCCTGGCCTGAGGAGGCGACTGAGAAGGTGACACCGTCTCGGCTGTAGGTTGGGTTACCGGAGGCGGCAAAGGAGTTGACGGCGCCTTGGGTGAAGTCGACGTGAATGGCCATACCAAGGGCGGTGCTGGCAGGACATGTTGCTAAGAGCGGAACATGGTTAGGTTTGCGTCGGTTGGAGAGGTGAAGTCTGTGATGTAGTCCAACTTACTTTGATGGAGGGGATTGCACTGAGAGTAAGTCTGCGCCGATGTCGTGGTGGCCAGCGTTGCCGCTGCCGCCGCAGCGATTATTCTTCTTAGAACAAGCATCGTGTGATTATGTGGAAGCGTAACACGGCCGAGTTCCAGCTGAATGAAGATGGAAGTTCCTGTTGAAAGTGGAAGAGGGAGCTGTCACTTGAATAAGATCTATCTCGAATCGAACCACCGACAGTGGGGGTCGGCCAGGCCAAGACTTCGGGAAAGAAGAAGCAACGTCACAGGGAATATGACAAGGATCCGTGTAAGTCCGTGATATGTCGCAGTCTAGTGGCACACGGGAAAAGCAGAGAAACCAGCAGAAAAGCAAAGGCACACACAGGCGGGCCGTGGTGGACGGCAGCAGTGACTGGTTATATGGCCATGGTCATCAGTGTCAGTCCAGCCACTGGCAGATGCAGTAGCGTCATCGGGCCGTGCAAGGTCCCTTTGCGCCCAACCCATGAGTATGTGGCATCCTGAGTGGAGTGAGCTATTGGCGGCCGAAATTAGAGGATTGGGGAAAGAAAAAAAAAACATAAAAAAAAAACCAAGATCTTGGATGCAGTAGTCACCCGAGACCAGACCGTTGGGCGATTCGCTGAATAGTCTTGTTCCTTGGAGTACGTGTTTACGCCCATGTTCGTTGCTGGGTGAAGAAAGTTGAGACGAGGGGGTTGGGACGGACGGTGATTGGCCAGATGGTGGCATAATTCGCGTGGCTGGTATTCTGCGGGTGGCTGGGACCTTGCAAGATCCCTGGTTTTTGACCCGTCGGCCTGGTGCAAAGACCTCCAAGGACTCTCAAAGACAAAGACGCCGGACGGGGATCCCTTCTAGAAAAAGCCTTGGTGCTCAAGACGCCAATTCTCGTATTGTCCATGCCAGGATGGTGACCCTCTTTCTTGGTTTCGACTCGGCGGTGCCAACACCCGGGTTCATGACGCGTGCGCACGTAGGATGCCGATGGGATGGCTGCTTGTCTCGGACGCGGCTATCAGTGACACTTCATCGAAGCTGGCGAAGCCGTTGACGCTATCTTTCTTGAGTTGTTGGCAGATTGTCACCGTGCAATTGTCGGCTTGCTTCCCGACCTTCTAACTTGATTTTGTTTCCAACTCAGTTCGATCACCACGGTACTGACGCATTATTGGCCAATATTACACTGGCTGCCAAACCCCAAGACCAACTAATGTTGTCTCTTGAAGACTGCACCATGCGATGTTCCCCTGGTTTCGGAACAGCAACCTGAGATTGAATGGGGACTCACAAGTAAGCGGGCCGAACGGGTCCCCGATGATAACTCAAAAATGGTCCCACCCGGGGCCGAACTCAACTCACCGGGTTCTTTCATCCCTCATCCGCCCGGCCCCCGCGACCGGCATTGCGCAATCCTTCCCAGCACAGTCGATCTCCCTCCCCTCCTACACGCCCAGTAGAACCGGTCATAACCCCTCCTCACAGCGGCCAGCAGCGGTCAGGGACCCCTAATTACCTAAAAGTTACCGGCGAATGGTAGCACAATGCGGGGGCATGGGTAGCTGCGGGTAGCTGCGGGCTGCCCCACCATAGCCGTCACTTGCCCGCCTGTTCAATGCGCCCTGCGCCCTACGCTCCTTTATCTTGATACAGGAACCATTACATCTCCCTATCTGAACGTTTGATTCCCCTCAATTCTGTACTTGGAACTTACACACTTTCATAAACACACAAGCTAAACATCATGTATTCACGGGCCGCTCGCCGAGGCCTCAATGGCTCCCTCCCAGTGGCCTCGCGTCCCTTATCAAGCTCCCTTTCGTCTCAACTTACAAACCTCCGGCTCCGGAGTTTGGTCCCTGCTTCTGCTCCTGTGACACACAATACCCCCTCTTCCCAACGCCAATTCAATTCAAAGTCTGGTGATAGATCCGTCGCAGATGCCGTTCCCATCGAGAGGGAGGCCGTCTTTGAGAAGCGACAGGCGCCGTCTCCCTTTGATGGTATCCGGGAACGTAGGGCCAAAGCGGGAAAGCTGATAGCAGGAGTGGCCGCGGCATCAGATAGCGACATGTTCAAGGCTCCTGTACGACAATCTCCCCTCTTTTCCGGGACGATATACTGACCTTATCCAAGGCAATCGGCAAGCCCAAGGCGAAGCGATGGGACCGTAAGCTCACCACCCTCCTTCTCCTCCTTCTCCTCCTCCTCCTCCTCCTCCTCCTCCTCCTCCTCCTTGTACCCTTATCACACGCGCTCACTCAACTCACCATCATCCAGACCACCTCACAGCCGAGTCCCTCTCACGTCACCCCTGTTCCCTGAAGCAGGCGGCGCGCCACCTCAAGAAGCCCGGCCTCATCTCCCTCGGCGGCGGCCTGCCGTCGAGCGCCTACTTCCCCTTCGCCGAGCTCTCCGTCCGGGTCCCCACCGCCCCGCACTTCTCCGAAGCCGAGACCCTCAAATCGGGCCAGGTCCTCACCGTCGGCAAGTACGACACCCGCGACCCGGAGAAGCCAAACGCCGAGTATGACCTCTCCATCGCGCTCAACTACACGCAGTCGACTGGCTCCGCGCAGATGATGCGGTTCGTCACGGAGCACACCGAGCTCGTGTACAACCCGCCCTACGCGGACTGGCAGTGCTGCCAGACGGTCGGCAGCACCGGCGCCCTCGAGCAGACGCTCCGCATGTTCTGCGACAAGGACAGGAAAGACAGCGTCTTGACGGAAGAGTACAGCTTCTCCACCGCCCTCGAGACCATCACTCCTCTCGGCGTGAAGGCCGTCGGCGTCCCCATCGACGAGCAAGGTCTCCTCCCCGAAGCCATGGACGACCTGCTCACGAACTGGGACCCTGCCGCCCGCGACGGGCGCAGGAAGCCGCACCTCCTGTACACCGTCCCGTCGGGCCAGAACCCGACAGGCGCGACACAGTCCGCCGAAAGGCGCAGGGCAATCTACGCCGTCGCGCAGAAACACGACCTGTTCATCATCGAAGACGAGCCGTACTACTTCCTCCAGATGCAGCCGTACACGGGACCCGACTCGCCCGCGGCGCCTCCCCCGGCCTCCGTCGAGGAGTTCCTCGGCACGCTGATCCCGTCGCTGCTGAGCATGGACACGGACGGCCGCGTGCTCCGCATGGACTCCTTCTCCAAGGTGCTCGTGCCCGGCTCGCGGCTCGGCTGGGTCACGGCGTCGGCGCAGATCATCGAGCGCTTCGTCCGACACGGCGAGGTCGCGAACCAAGGGCCCGCGGGCTTCTCGCAGATCGCCGTGTGGAAGCTGCTCGACGACACGTGGGGCCACGAGGGGTACCTGCAGTGGCTGATGAACCTGCGTATGGAGTACACCCAGCGCCGCGACTGGCTGCTCGCCGCCTGCGAGAAGCATCTCCCTCGGGATATAGTCAGTTGGACCCCGCCTGCCGCCGGCATGTTTGTAAGTCTCTCTTTCTCTCCCCTTTGTCTTCGTCCCGTGTATCGACGTAATTCGTTAACACCCAGTATAGTTGTGGTTGACGGTAGACCAATCCCGGCACCCAGACGTCTCGTCGCGTCCTCTCCTCGAGATCGAACAGGAAATCTTTGATTCGTGCATCGACAAGGGCGTCCTCTGCGCGCGCGGGTCCTGGTTCCGCACCGAGCAGGACACGCCGCTCAAGGACCTCTTCTTCCGCGCCACCTTTGCATCGGCCAGCGAGCAGGATATGGATAAGGCCATTCAGCGTCTGGGGTCCGCCATCAAGGAGTCTTTCCGTCTTTGATTGTTTTTCTTTCCTTTTTTTTTTTTTCTTCCTCTTATAGTCCATCAGCATCATATGACTACCAAGTCTTTTTTTTTGTGCATTTGGTCGCGTAGCATGCAGGCGGTTCGGGTAGAATGAGGCTTTATTGCATAGTTAGCTAGGTCCCAGGATTTTTTTCTCTGGGATACCCTCACGTCGTGTGTCGGACCCGGAGTATGGTTGTTTATAGTCGAAGTAGATGACTAGACGGCATGATGAAATGGGAAGAATAACGTTCAAGGTTTTCTTTTAACATCAGTTTTTTTCTTTTTTCTTTCTCGAGTCTGCAAAGTGATCGCAGTATCCGCACTCGTCTATCTGAAATGACTGTGCCGTCCAAAAAAACGGAATCCATCAGGCTTCCGATTATCATACATTGTAAATGTCAATTATCCCCCCATCTCAAGAGCCCCCGGGAGCTCGGGAGAAATTCAACTGCCTGATATGCAGGCTGCTACAGGAAATAGACCAATTATGCGCCGACGCCGGTATCAGCAGCCCCTGCGATACCAATCATACTAACCAAACGGCCGCAGACTGCTCAGTCAGACAGTCAGCACCCCCTGGCCCCAATGTCGTTCGTCAGTCAGCCCGTCATCACATTAGCCTATCGGTGATGGGGAACGCTCGTGGGTGTGTGTACTTTGTGGCTGACACCTTGGTAGCTTATTTCAACCGCCCTACCGCCCACCACTTTGGTCTTTTGCTCCAGATGGAGCAGTTTCCGATGGTACTGCATGGATTGATGTAGTTGTGTATGTGCGCGGACCCGTTCGCACTTGTTCGGTCTCGGGAACGTCCCAATCATACATTCGACCTGTCAGGCTCAGTCCTGCTTCGCCCGCCAAAAAGCAACCTTGACGCCGTCGCCCGGTTGCAGCACAATCTCGGCCTTGAGCGTGGGGTTTCCGCCGTCAATGTCGTCCATGTAGCTCTCGACCCTCTCAAACCGCTGGAACAGACGGCACAGCGTGTATCCCATCTCCGTCAGAGCAAACTGTTGTCCGATGCAGATACGCGGCCCGCCGTTGAAGGGGATGTACGTCCACGGCTTCGGCTGCCAGTGGAACCAGCGATCGGGGGAGAACTTGCTGGGGTGTGCAAACTTCTCGGAGACGGGCGGGTAGAGGTCCTCACGCCTCTGCATGAGCAGTGTCGAGTAGCCGATGGGAGTGTCCTTGCATACGGCCAGGGGCAAGGTGCCGTCTGGTCCGCCGCCGACGGGCAGCGTCGTGTCCTTCAGCGCCAGGCGAACGTTGAACGGCACGACGGGATACAGGCGCAGCGTCTCGTTCATGACGTTCTGGAGGTACTTCATGTTCTTGAGGTCGGCGTATGTGGGCTCGCGGTCGAGACCGACCTGCTCGATAATCTCGGCGCGCAGCTTCTGCACGACTTCGGGGTGGCGACCGAGCTCGTAGATGACCCAGGAAAGTGACGAGGCGGTAGTGTCACGGCCGGCGAGGAGAACGGCGACCAGCTGGTCACGCAGAACGGTGCGATCGCGGGTGAAGCTGGCAAGTTCGTGGAGGAAGGTATAACCTTGGTCGGACTTGGACTTGGAGGCCAGCTCCTCGGGGCTGAGGCGGAGAGCGCGCTCGATGAACTTGTTGACGAAGGCGTTCATGACTTTGAGACCGGCGCGGAAGGAGAAGAGGGGGACGAAGCGCCTGAGCTTGGTGGCGCGGGCAATGATGTTCTGGACTCGCTGTACCTCGTTGAAGGCTTCGGCGAATTCCTGTTTGATGGTACTGTGAAGTGTTTCTCCATGTTAGTCGAGCGAGATGAGTGGTGGTGCTAGCTTGAGGAATACGTACGTGAGAGACTTGACGTCTTGGCCGAGCAGGAAGTCAGTGGCAACGTCGAGGGTATAACGGAAGAACAGCTCCGAAATGTCAATAACTTTGCCGTCGACGGCGTTCATGTCGACCTTCTGGCCCTCGCCGTCGAGAGCACCGCCGTTGGCCATGGCCTTGAAAAGGGTCTGGATATGCGACTCGAAGCACTGCAAATCGCTGACGCGGTCCTTGACGAACTGGGGGCGGATGAGCTGTCGGCTGGCGTGCCACTGGTCACCATCGGTGGTGAAGATGCTGTCGCCGAGGAACTCGTGCCACTCCTCGTGGAAAGGCTCGCCCTTGCCGTAGTCGGAGAACTGGGTGGCCAGGATGGCCTTGATGTTTTCGGGTTCGGCGGTGAAGACAATGCGGGCGCCGAGGATCCTCTTCTCGCCGGTCCAGCCCTTTACCTTTGAAAGCATATCTATCCAAAAGTCGACATTCTTATGTGTCATGGCTCCGCGGACAGCCTTGAAGATGAAATCGATGCCTGTGACATGTGAGCGTTGGGTCTTGGCAGGATGCCGGCGCGATTGTCGAGGTCACCCTCATCATACATCCAAGGTTTGGAACTTACCACCGGGAAGACGAGCATTCAGTGTCTGCCCGCGAGTACCAGGCGCCAGACGACGCAGGCGCACAGCTTCATCGAAGCGCTGTACAACAATCCATAGGAACCACGCTACCACTCCGAAGATGGCAACGGCCTTGATGGTGACATGCTCGAGAGCTGTTTCAACCAACCCCATTTTGAGTGTCGACGACAAACAAGAAAGCTATTCAGAGGAGGATCGACGGTAAAAGCAGAGATCGAGGACAAGGTCTCAATACGTGGGGTTGGGCGTAACGGCGTGGTGTCTCACAAGCGTGGAACAGATTCTGTGTAAGACGGGTGTGGAAACGGAGCAGAAGGATATGCGGTAGGCCTTGCTGTGCTGATTCTTTTAAAAAGAAAAGAGACGAGAAAGAAGAAAGGGACCTGAATAAATCAAGAGCAGAAAGGGTAGTAAAAGTGATGATATCACGAAAGGCGGAAACGGATTTGGAGGAAAATCTCCTACCGGGAAGAGGGAACTAAAAAGGGATAAGGTCTGATATAAGAGCGCAGGCCAAGAAAGATGTGTTGTAGTAGGTATGAATGGGATCTGAGCTAAAAAGGCAGCGAGCTAGCAGTGACAGACACACACGCGCGCGCTGGTTCGAGACTGCTCTTGATCCCCACCCGTGGGGGGGAGAGATGGCCCTTGTCCTTGTTTCCGCACTTGGACACAGGTGGGTGGTTCTTGGAAGCGGATGGAGGCACTAACACCGCGGCAAGAAAAGGGCAAGGTTCTGGTAGGGAAGGGGAGCTTGACAAAGGACAATGGCAATGGCAGAGAGGAGAGTGGGCGATGTGCAAGACAGGCGCATATAGTGCCAAGGAGACGCAGAGACCAGTTCCAATCGGCCAGGCGGGCAAGCAAAGTCGTGTCAGTCGTATCATGAATGGTGCCCGCCCGTCCCTCCCCATCCGCCGTCCGTCCGCCGCCGAAACACTTGCCATTCTGTGTGCTAGCGGCCGTGGGAAAGCCACATGGCGAGGTACCTTTGACCTTTGTTGGTTTCTCGTCGTATTACGAGGTGGCAGTCCGTTACGTATATTACATCGCATGACTTACCTTGGGCTGATCTCAGCATATAGTGCACATGTGTACGTAGTGATGCCAGGATCCAGGGTGGCCATATGCACTTTTTTACACATGCATATCGACGGCAAATCGCACCCGAGACGGTAGCAGACAGTACCAGTAACAGTAACAAAAATAATGGCGGCAGCAGCAGCAGCAGCAGTTACTCTGTGCTGCTTCTCGGCTATTCAGTGGAGACGGCGGAGGAGGGAGGCGAGAATTGGGCAACCGAGACCTCATATCCCTGGACGTCCTCGTAGACGAGGTGGCTATCCGATCATAGACTTGCTTGGATGATGGAAACAAGACGAGACCGACCGGTACCAGACGTCGCCAACTTACAGAGAAAAAGAAGTGGATCTACATGGAGACTGGGGAACGGAAACTGGAGACCGCGGAATGCCGCTTACAACCAACCAAAACAAGTCCATTGGCAAAGAGAAAAAAAGAAAAAAAAAAGGAAAAAGAAGGGTACACCAAGCATAGCATGTGTAAGATATGCAGGTATGTTGGTGCAGGTGGTCGTCTTTGTTCCCCTTGGCTGCATGCTTCGTCAGGTGGCTTACCTAGTGATTGGCGTCAGAACCCAAAGCGAACGAAACCCTTACGGGAGAGGAGCGGGAGCCAATGAAGGAGCCGATTGGAAACGCGAATGGGTTGCAAGGTCTGCAAGGAACCTGTCCATGCCGAGGTGTAAATGTTGTCGAGCACGTGTGGGGGTTTTCACACATATGAAATGAAGGATGAGAATTGTCAGTAAGACAAGAGTGAAAAATTGGGAGAAGAAAAGAGAAAAAAAGAGAGACAATTGGACGGCAAGAGCAACGGTCCATTTCCATTTGGAAACTGCAGTTGAATGAACTTGCGAGTATGGTAGCGGTAGCCACAGTGCGCGTCAAGGTAGCTTTCATCTAGTGATTTAGTCTGTTCCAGGATCAAGGATTATTACATAGGCACCGTCGTGTCCCACTCATTCAAGGTCTCAGTGAGAGAATAAGTCTACATAGTAGACAGCATCTGACCTCGATTAACTAACGCCTGCCATTGAATCTGTACCCATCCTGCGTGTGATGATAAGCTGCGCGCGGCTGTTTCGAAACGAAACGCCCATGCGGTTACTGAGCTCAGAACCAATAGATAAGGTATTACCCAGGTTATCATCTCATCTCAAGACCAAAAGACGAACACATGTCTGCGAAATATCGCGGCCTTTTTTTTTATCTTCTTCCTTTTGATCATTGCTTAACTTCCCGTGAGTTCTCAGGAAGAGTTCGATTTTCAATTATTGTAAATAATCAGTAATCCACACATAATCCAGCCAACTCTGATCTGTACTACCCCAGCCTGTGCAATATCAACAACATACGCTGCCAGGATCAGATACCCCTTCACCCTGAGCTCTCACCTATTACTCGGTCCCGTTCATGAGTAACAGAAAGGAACCCACACCGTGCGGAGCCCCGCCTCTTCCGCCGCCACGATCTGAATACCCAGAACGGGAATGTTGCAGCAGCACACCCACACCCCTCGAGAGACCCCTAGCTTCCCCGCAAAACGGTCCTCAACCTCTCTCGGCCAACCTCGCCTAAGCTGCTCAGCCCCGCCCAACCAGGTTTGATGTTCATCCCCCCCCCCACAACTTCCATTACTTGATAACCCCACACACACACACATCACACACGCCAGACCGCAATTACACTCACCCATCACTGTCGAAACGAGTGACGTTTGCTGGTTGGTTACGGTAGGCACAAGGAAAAACGACCAGGAAAAGTAGATAAATAATCAAATAATGAAAAATTCCTAAACCGGATGCGGTGACCTACGACGCGAGCATCTCGGGTTCCCGCGCCCCCGCCTCATTCCACTCGTCAACACCCAAACCACCACCCGCCCTGGACAGATCCTTGATGTGCATCTCCGTCACACCGGCTAACCCATTCCTGGGCACGCCGGCATCTCGTTTGACCAACTCCCCAATCTCAGATACGGTTTTCCCGTCAATGCGGGGTGGAACCGGAGGTTACGGCTACGCATCATTTTGAACTCTGCATGTCCACCGCCGTTCTCCGTTCCCTTCTCCCACCCCTTGTGCTTAATGTGTATATATGCATTTGCGTAGGACATCCGGACGAACTTTTGGTCCAACGGAGACAAAACGGGGCCCGCTCTGAATCCCGTCGGTGACCGCCTGTGTTCCCGGGGAACATCACACCACACTTCGGCACATCCATCCCGGGGAAGCATTGAACTTGAGGCAGATCAAATTAAGGCATATCATTAGAAATGTAGACTCGGCCGTCCGGTTCGTCCCCGCGCGAGCCGCTTAAGAAATGTACACTGAGCTACCTATTCACGCCACCATGTCTGTTGGTTCTGGCTTCATGCGGGGGATGGGGGGGAGAAGCCGAGGTTCTGAGATGATGATGATGATGATGATGTGAACGAGTCCGTATCTGTGCTCCCGGAACTCTCATGAAATCACATAGGCACACTCGCCGGCGTCTCCTTGCGTGCAAAACGTCATCTGCACCGGCTCCGACCTGACTCCCCTCGCAACCATTCTCTCCCTGAACTCCGCCAGCCTAGGTGCCGCGTCGTACTGGCTTCTGTTCTGTCCCGACGCATCCTGTCGTCCAGACCACAACACCTCGCCCGCCGCGCTGGCTCTCGGCCACAAGATGCCGTCGATGCTGACCGCATCGATCGATTCACTCCACGCCGCCACCTCGCCTCCGAGCACCAGCTTCGCTTCCTCCTCCGTCAGGTTCGCCCTTGGATCGTGAGAGTAGATGAGTCGCCAGCCCTTTGCTGGCGAGCACCAGTCGTTGAAGGGGAAGAACTGCTTAAAGGCTGCGCCGTTGTCAAAGTTCATCCAGTGGCCTCTGCCGCAATCGAGATACTATATCAAGTCAGCAGTCTGTCCTTCACATCTTCTAAAGGGGGAAAGGGGGGGGGGGGGGGGGGAATCGAACTAACCCAGTAGTTGTAGTTGCTGTCGATGACTTTGTGGCCCATGCCAGTCAAGTTCTTGACAGCCCCTGCTCCCAACCACGACTGAATCACCACATCTTCGCCGAGGTTGATGTTCCATTCGAGTGCCATCTCCTCCCACACAAACGGTACGAGACCATGCTTGCGGATTCGCGCGTGGTTCTTGTCCATGAACTTTTGAAGCAGAGGTTGTAGGACCTCGGTCGAGTTGGATCTGACGCCCTCGTCCAGCATCGAGTCGTTCCTGTTCAGTTCATCGCCACCAGTGTGGAAGTATGCCGTATAAGGTTTGACCCTCGGCAGCAGGTCGTCAAAGAGCTTGTCCAGGAACTCGTCCACGCGGGAATCGTTCATCTTGAAGGCACCGCAAGGCGGCTCCAAACACCACCATTGGTACGGCTTCTCATTGTAAGCCACAATGAGCTCCGGGTACGCAAACGACACCGAGCCGATGTGGCCGGGCATGTCGATCTCGATGATTGGCTCGATACCACGGTGGACGGCGTATTCTTGGATCCTCGCCAGGTCTTCTGGGGTGTACGAGAGGCCCTTCTGGTAGGCTCCCTTCGCGGACAGATCGGGCATCGCTGGAATGTCAAGTGGCCAGGACTGGGAGTCTGTGACGTGGATGTGAATTCTGTTCAGCTTGTTCCACGACATGGCGTCAATGACCCTCAACACGTCCTGTACGGGGTACCAGTTCCGAGCAACGTCGATGAGAATCCCGCGGTGGGAGTATGTCGGTTCATCTTCGATCGAAATAGGCGCGGATGGCGTATACCAAAACGTCCCGGTAGTGTGCTTGTAGAAGAGCTGTGAAAAGGTCTCGAGTCCTCGCAGGACGCCGACGGAGGACTTGGCCACAATTGTCGCTTCGCCGTCCTCTGTAAGATTCAGCGAGTACGACTCATCGACCTCGCCGGCAAGGGGCTTGAAAGCGCTCGGTTTGTCCTGTTCTGTCTGCGTGATCTTCAAAGATTTTACCGTTTTCTTGTCGGTTGCGTAGACGTCCGGCTCGAATTGGCTGTTTTTCGGGTGGAATTTCCAAGGGACGAAGTTTTGCTGGAAGATGGCGCCCATGGCCCGCGACACGCCACCTTGCACAATGTCTTTGCTGCTGAAAGTCGGTCCTGGAGCAGGGCTGTATCCGTAAGTATACGGGAGCTGCATGTTAAAAAAAGTTTCAGTATCATGTGCCTCATCATGCGAAACGGGATTGGGAGAAGGAAACCATCGTACAGATCCCCCATTGTAAGTGATTTCCAGTGTTTGACTGATATACAAGACACTCTTGCCCGTCGAGAGCTTCTTGGGAGCTGGCCAGATGCTAGCGCCGACCTGGCTCAGCGCAAGAGAGAGGAGTAAAAGCTGGGGCAACATTTTGGGCGACAAATATTAAAGAAAAAGAAAAAAGGGCAGGTGAGGGCACTGATAAGAGAAGAGAACCCAGTTGCTCCGTGCCTCTACAGCAAGACACTGGATCGGCGCGGTTGTATATAAGTAGACAGACGCGCAAATATGCAACAGTGTCTTGCTTGCTACTCGATTAGAGGAAAGCTCCTCATCCACCCACAAACCAAGTGTGTCTCGTACTACCCTAAGTTGCAAAAGCGGGGGAGACGGGCAAAAGAATGCAGAAGCAACTACACGCTGATCTTTTGCGTCTCTTTGCTATGCGAACGGGGTAAATCGACGCAATGTTGGTGGTTGGGGACTAAAGACCAACCCAGCGGCAGTTTGCTGTGATAGGTGGGTTGAGGTTCACGGCGCAACGTTACGTCAAGGTTCGAGATTGAGTTGAGCCCGCTAGATGACCAGCGCTACTGCTGATGACGGAGGGGCCGAGAGATTTATACGAAAGCCTCAAGAATGGGGCTGGCCTGCCAGGTATCGTGAAGAAAAAAGAAACTCCTGTGTCTCTGGTTGACCGACGAGAGGGTCTTAAACCAAAAGGGTGACAGTAGTCTACAGGGCAGGCATGGGCAAATGGTACGATGTATTATTGTGATCTCACCCAGGCCCGTCCGCAGTATCCCTAGGGTGACAGGCTTGAGTGTGATTCGTCGTTGTTCTCAGTATACAGGGACATGCCCTTATCAGACTTTAATAAGATGTAGGGCGAACCAGCGGAAGCAACGGGTTTGAGTGGACTGCAGTGCCACGCCAGGGACTGGATGAGCTGAAAGACTTGGAGACTGCGGACCGCAGACTTTGGTGGTTGGCGTCACGTAAGGTTGGGATGGACAATGGCTGTGCGGTTGTTTGGGTGTTTGGGTACGTTTGTAGATGTTTGGTTGTACTAGCAAAGAGGAGAGCGTTTGTTTAGTTGGAGCGGATAAAGCCGATCGACACCATGGTCACCTCATGGCCAGGTGAGAAACGATGAAGGGCAGAATCTGGCAGCCCTCAGCCTGCTTGGGTGCTGGTAAGTTTGCCGCATGGAACATGAACAAGAGGAGTGGTCATTGTGATCATCATCCCCCCAAGAGGGGGTAATGCAGGAAAACCAAAGAGGGGAAAGCAAGTCAGCGCAGTTGGCCGGCGTGGCGGCGGCAGGGGGCGGGGGAGCGGCACTAGGGGCGCAAGCCAACTTTAATTGCCGGTCGTTACCTTGCTAAAGGGCCCGAGGTGCAGGAGCCTCACATCAAGGAAAGGAAATTCATTGAACAGACGAGGACCCGGACACTGTTGACTGCCAACCTGAGCTCGTTTCCGCAGGCATGTGAGCTTCCTAGTCGCCATATGAGTGGCGGAGATTCGCGCGGATACCAGCGGGCATGACCTTAGCTACATCAACTTCAATGTCGAGGCAGCGCGTGGGCAGGTGGTAGCTGCAGAGGTCTCATTGCCTGCGCTGTAACATTTCATTGACGATAAGAAGGGTTGGTTCGAAGGTCATAGGAACTGACCAATAAGCTGCTTGAGAGCTTCATCCCTCCTCCATCTTCAACAGCTTGCACCACCACCACACTTCAGGTATGCTCCAAACAAGAGAGCTAGCTGCAACCAGCAGGTCGCAGCTCGATTGTAGAAGAAGGCACCAGAACCTGCGACAAGGCCTTTTGAATCCAAAGTTTCTCGCTTGCAGGTCCTAAACACGGGAAAGGTTCATGAGCCAGCCAGCCAGCCTACCATGAAGAAAGAAGATGACTCTCTTTCGACTCGTCTGTCACGTACTTGCAAACAAGGCTCAAAGCAGTCTTTTAGAACAAACTGGGTGAATTGATAGTCTTTTCTTTGCAGCCAACTTTTCCGAAACATTTCAAGTGAATAGAGAGGAAACGGCCGGCGTAGTTGCAACAAAAAGGTGCGACGATGGCTTGGGAGACCGTTGCGCTGAATAATTGTGCCTGAATTAGTAAAGTGGATCGCCACCACCATTGCCATTGCGCGCACCTTCCGTCGTCACCGCACTCACCGTCTCGACTCCCCAAGATGAGTCACGTGCTGTTATCATCTGTCCAATCATCACCCAGGAAAGGTCTTCTGTGGATCAGCAAGAAAGTCGTGGTAGAACCAGTCTTGCCTACCTAACTCTATTGACATACTTCCATCACAACTACATTCTTTAGTTGCTCCCATAGATTGCAACACCCTCAACCGCATAACGATCGTTGGCTTCTATATACCCATACCCAGGCTACCGAAATCGACGCGCGCATCTCTCGTCGATTACGCCAACACAATTCTCTGGCGCCTTCTCCATTATCAACTCTTGCTATCACCAGGAACGCGTCTCTTTTTTTTCTTTGCCGTCGCCCTCCGAAATTTCAAGTCTCAGCTTGCGGTCGCATTCGAAGCTTGATCCGATTCTCGCCACCGCGGCGCCATCCACAATGACGGTTCAAGTCGTCCTCAATACCCCGCTGGCGGATGCCCTGAGCGCCGCCATCCAACCGAAACTCATCGAGGCCGGTTGGGCGTCCGACGATGCTGCGCTCGCCGAGTATATTATCCTCATGCTCGTCAACGGTCGCACGCAGGAGCAGATTGCCCATGAGCTCGCGACTGATCTCCTTGGTCTTGCTCCCGATGATCCCGCCTGCAGTGACTTCGCCGCTTGGTTATTCCAACAAGTAGAACAGCTCAACGCCCAGCTGAATGGTACTCAACCCGAAGGTGGCAATGCCATGGCTGGCATGCCCCAGCAGAACGCTGGATTTGGTGACATGGACACTGATATGGGTGCGAACGAAGCAAACGAGCTCAACGCGTATGTCTCCCCTTTCCTCTGTAACCCGCTGGGACTCATCACCGACTAACTATGTGGAGTCCAACCGGTCCGCGCTCCATGCGAAATGGCCCCAACCCCCGCGGAGGACGCGAAAAGCGCATGCTCGGCCACATGTCCAAGGCTATGGATAGATCAACCGACTCGGTTCTTCACCGTACCCGCGGCAACGACAGAATCAACTCTCATGCTCGGGGACCTCCCACCGGACCGAGAGGCGGCATGGGACGCGGCGGCCGATCGATGAACGGCCGTGGAGTCAACATTCAGGCTGGTCTTAATGCTATGGCAGGGATGAACGGCCAGCAAGTGCCTCCGGGCATGAACGGTATGAACGGCATGAATGGCGCTTGGGCAATGCCAGGACAACAACCCAATCAAATGGATCTCATGGCAATGATGGAGCAGCAGGCACAAATGATGTCTCAGCTTCAACAACAGCTCATGAACCAGTCTGGTGGCCGTGGCGGACGTCGTGGTGGCAAGTCTCTGTTCGACCGAACCCAGAACCGCAACAACTTCAGAAACAACCGTCAACCCAACGACAAGTCGGACTCGGCAATGACGGAAGGAGCTGAAGGCGATGATGTTGAAATGGGACAATCGAAACGCGAACCACCCAACCCCGACGAGACCGTCTGCAAGTACAACCTCCACTGCACCAACAAGGAGTGCAAGTTTGCGCATCAATCTCCTGCCGCCCCCCCTGGCACTACTGTAGACCTTAACGATGTCTGCACCTTTGGCGCCGCATGCAAGAACCGGAAGTGTGTCGGCCGTCATCCCTCTCCGGCAGCGAGACTTGCGCACCAGAGCGAGCAAGACTGCAAGTTCTTCCCCAACTGCACAAACCCTAGATGCCCATTCAGGCATCCTGAAATGCCTCTGTGCCGCAACGGTGCCGGCTGCACCACCGAAGGTTGCAAATTTACACACGTTAAAATCAAGTGTAGATTCAACCCTTGCAAGAACCCCCACTGCGTCTACACGCACGACGAAGGACAGCAGGGAGTCTTCAAGGACAAGGTGTGGACTGCGGATGGCAACAGCCATGTCAGCGAACGGCAATATGTGGATCCCAAGGCCGAGACGGAGGTCATACTTCCCGAATCGGAGAATGCCGTCGGTCAGGAGCAGGGCAACGTTCAGGAAGTCATCAGCTAAAAGGCACGAGTCTTCGGCATTGTAGAGGGCTAAGGGGAATGGGGGTTACGGTTGATACCAAGGCAAAAGCGAGATGGTACTTAGGGTCAATGGACCAAACGAAGCGTGTGTGTGCGTGTGTGTGTGTGGTGGGCAAGAGGTACCCGTCTCTAAAGACAGGTCAGAGGTATCTACAAAAAGAGGCCTGGGCCGGCCGGTAAAGGAGCAGCGACTTCTTGTATGATAATTGGACGATGATGTATGGCCAAAGCGGCAGGGCACTTTCGGCGTTGCAGGTGCGATTATTCTCATGTTCATGTATAGAATGGCTTTGGGCAAGCTGAAACACGACTTGGAAGACACCAAAATTGTGGTCTCTAAGAGCGTTGGGGCAAGCGAACAATGCATATTTTATCTGGCCTCACTCTATGTCTTTGATCTTGATATAAATTTCGTGCCTGTTGTGTATGCAATGCGAGCTACCCTTCACCCGTCAGTCGTATGCGGATACAGAGGGTCGGTGAACAGGATTTAACAAGCACTAAAAAGGACGTAGTTAGGCAGATTTGAATGCGAAAGCCACTGGTGATGTCGCGGTTAAACCAGTTATATCAGTTTCAAGAGGTGATGTTTGCTCAAGGTGGTGGGTCCCTGGATCTTCCCGGCCACCGTAGCTCCCGATCATTTGGCTGCAAGACCCTAGCTACCGTGCCCCGGGATTAGTGACGCCACTCTCAAAACTTCATCAACCTCCTCCGTCCAACACACCCTCTCGCCTAGCCATTGGCCTCTTCGATGGTCTTAAAAAGACTCGACGATGCTTTCATGGCTTTACTGAGGTCCTATCATTCGCAGCGCTTCTGTCGCGCCGCCCTCAGCGCCCGTAATGGCGTTGTTGTAGCGCCACGATACTCGACCAAGGCCTCCTTCGCTGCGGAACGACGAACACGCAAACAGAACCCAGCGCCGCCTCCCAAACCTCAGTCCAAGCCGACACAGGCCCGACCGACATCCTCGTATGAGGTGCAGGCACCGAAGCAGGTCGCTGTCATCGGTGCCGGCATCACCGGCCTGACGACGGCGCACTACCTCGCGAAATGGCTTCCCGAGACGTCCCACATCACCATTTATGACGCCGCCAATCGTGTTGGCGGGTGGATTGATACCCAGACGGTCAACGTCGATGTAGATGGGCAGAAGAGCAGAGTGCGCTTCGAGCGCGGCCCGAGGACACTGCGCGGTATGGGAAAGGATACATGGAAATTTGACGACCTCGTGCTCTGGGACCTCGTATGTTACCTCGCCCGTCGCACTCACAATCAGTGCCAACCGCTGACCATGCCCTTTAACACCACAGCTTCGAGACCTCGACATGATCAAGGACTACAGGGGGCAGAAATCGCCGCCTCGATACCTATACTACCCCGACCACCTCGTGAACATGTCCCCGTTGAACGCATTGCACGAGCCCGTCTTCAAGGGCGCAATACCCGGCCTTCTAACCGCCATGGTCCGCCGTTACAAAGCGCGTGGCCAGCCGCACCCGCCAGACATGTCTGTCAGCGATTTCGTCAAGTTCGCCACGGGTCGCCCGGAGATGACGGACAACATGGTGTCGGCCATGATCCACGGCATCTGGGGTGGCGACGCAGACAAGCTGAGCATGCGTAGCTTCATGCCTGCGCAGTGGTGGCGCTTTTTCTACAAGCCGAGATCGGCGAACGAGTCGTCGAGTGCTGACGACCGTCTGACGATGTTACGGCAAGAGCTGGGCCTGCTGAATTCCTTGGGTACTGACGAACAGTTGACGGCTCTTCTGCAACATACGCAGAAGGACCAGCTTGTTGTCTTTAAGGACGGTATGAGCAGCCTGCCCAATGCCATTGAGAGGGATTTGAGGAAGAGACAGAACGTCACTTTCAAGCTCGGCGATCCGGTTACGGACCTCAGATATAACCAAAGGCTCAACAAAGTCTCGGTGAGTGAACTTTCCTGCCAAAAAGGTAATGCCCACCTGTTCAGTAGCCCCTAACACGCCTGCCAGATCACTTCAAGCACATCTCAATCCCCCGTCTTCTTCGACAAGGTTATCTCGACCACGACGAGCAATGCGCTGTACAACATTACGTCGGGCGCACTGCCATCTCTCGCCCAGTCGCCCAACGTCTCCATCATGGCCGTTAACGTCTGGTATCCCGATCCCAAGCTGAACAAGAAATCCCCCGGCGTGGGCTACCTCGTGCCCCGATCCGTCGAGGACAATCTCGAGGGCCTCCTGGGCGTATTCTTCGACTCCGACGTCCTTCCCCGCGCAGAGGGCGAGCCCGAGGGCACCAAGTTCTTCGTCCTCATGGGCGGCCATTACTGGGACCACATTGCCTCGCCGCCCAGCTCCGAGGAGGGTATCCGCATGGCCAAGGCCGTCCTCGAGCGCCACCTCGGCATCCCCGCAGACCAACCCTGCTTCGCCATGGCCAGGTTCGCCAAGGACTGTATCCCGCAGCACCACGTCGGCCACTGGCAGCGCATGGACCGCGCCAGCAGCGAGCTGCAGTACGCGTTCAACGGCAAGGTCGCCGTCGCGGGCGGCTCGTACACGGCCATTGGCGTCACGAGCGGCATCCGCGCCGCCTACGACCTCGCCATGCAGATCACGCAGTCGGCGCAGGACCACATTGGCGAGACGGGCCTGGGCCAGTTCCAGGACCGCGTCCCCGACTTCTGGCAGGTTCACCGGAGAAAGCTGCACGAGATGGGCCGCGACATTGCTCCCCAGGCGACCTGGTTCCATAATCACTTTGGTTAGAGAAAGTGTCGTTGCGCTGCGCTGGAGAAAGGAATCAAGAAGAAGGGGGGGAGGAGGGGAGGAAGGAAAGTGTATAGAGCGTCTGGATCTGTTGGATATTCACCATCTCGCATCCATACAGAATAACAGTGTATCACCACGAAAAAAATATGTATCATCCTTGCAGACATGGCAAATAGAATAGGCATAACAAGTGTAGTATCAACTGGATAAGTTCGCTTGTTGCTGTTGTATTACACAGCCGCACGAACCCAACACAACCAGAACACGACAACATTGACAGAATTTACAAAATTTAATTCTCGAGGTATCACTGCGACCTATCTAATCGGTCGAGGCCGGCCGGCGTGCTCTTCTAAAAGGCACAATCACTATCGTACCATGTCATCATCTCCCTGCTTTCACGTCCCGTATACCCAGCCTATGGTATCACGATGTCACTGATGACTGATGAATAATGATAAAAAGAACAGAAAGAAAGAAAGAGAAGTTAATGTGACAACCACCTTACTCTGGTATCGGGTATGCGCTTTTTTTCAATAAACCCCCCCATTCGGTCACGGGGGCTACTCTCACCCCCGCCGGCCACCCCATTTATGGCCTTTTGGCCGACATCAGGCGTCAACACCAGCGTCTAGTCGAGTACCAAGGGGGCCTGTTTGCTTCCTGAGGTTCTGTTGCTACCTTGGCTAATGTTTGTCGGCTGCGTACCAAAGGATTGATTTGCTGAGAAAGTCTGGCTTAGTTGTGTCGGCGCTCCATCTGTTGACGGCGCTCCCTCACTATCAGAGGCTGCGTGTGTTCGAACCGCATCGTCCAGCTTCGTCAGCAGGTCCATGGTACTCGGCCCGGGTCTGGCGGCTGCACCGGTCATCAGACCTCTCCACCCGTCGCCGTGAGACTCCCAGATGCCCTTAAGAATCTTGTTGAATTCTTCGTCAGGGCCAACGGGCCTGTCTCCTATTGCGCGTGAGACGTTCCACCACACTTCATTGCGTCTCATCTTAGTCTTAATGTCCAAAGCAAGGATTCGCGGTTGCCCGGACGGGCTGTTGAGTGTGTATCTGATAGAGATCCAGTCAATGGATCTCGTGAACACCTCGACGCGGCCTTGATTTATGGACTCTAAGGCCTCCCACTTGGATTCAATGCTTTCGATAGTTCTTAGAATAGGCAGCAATAACGGCATATAGACAATTAATGCTTTGAGGCCGTCCTGGGTGTTGACCAATCTCATAAGCAGGTCCAGCATTCTTGCGTGGGGGTTTCCTCTTTCCAACGACATTCTAATGTCGCTTCTGGCCAGGTCGAGTGTTGCCCGCCAGCGCCTAGGCTTATGTGCAACATCGCCCTCTGCTGGCATTGTGATGTCGCTGTAGGTGAACACTACCTGGCGAAGGCTCATTTTCTCGCACTTAATGGAACCTCTAGCCTTGCTCATAGCTTCGAGGAAGCCAACAAGTCGGTCAATGGATTTGACGTGGTTCGTCAGAGTGTCGAGAATGGGATGGCCGACCAGTTGTCGAATTCGGAATATAAACTCGCCCTTCTTCGGGCTGAATGATACATCGCGGTCGATGCGGCCCTTAAGCAGCGAAAACTTGGACTTGTCTTTCACCCTAATAATGGCGTCCACTACAGTGTTGAGTTGGAAGTCTTCCAACACATCAGCGTGTGAGACACTATTGGCGTCCTGGGTTTGGGTCGTTTGAGGCTGAGGTTGAAGTCCCTTAAACTTGATCTCAATATGGTCCTGGGCCCACGACGAGCTTCGATCGCCTGACTGGGTGGCATCTCTGGAGACGGCTTGTGCAGCAGGCGCTGAGGGGCGCAGTATTTGTGATAGTTTAAGAACAAGAGAAGGTATTCGGACTTGCTGAGGTAGTGAATAGTTAGTCGACTCCTTTGTTATGTGCTGAACCTCCTTCTGATGCAGGTTCTGCAAATCAGTAACATGGCTGATGATGCCGGTAATGAACAGAGTCAGATTACTCCAGAACGAGTCGTCCAGATCAGGTTGCCCTCGAGTCAGTGGTAGTCGAGTATAGAATTTGATCGGACGTGTCGGCATATTACGGTCGCTATACTGGTTAGTGTCAAGTTTCAAGCATTTCAGAAGCCTTGGACTCACATTTGAATCAACCACCACTCATCGCCACCAAGGCTCAAGGACACCATGACATGCCAATCCTGGTCCAAACTTTGACGCTGTAGAAAGACCGTTTGGAAAGCCTCGCGTGTGCGGATAAGCTGTTTAATATCCTCGCCTCCCAGTGGGCTTTTGCACGTCTTCCAACCTACACTTCGTCCCCGGCGGTTTAGTTCTTCTATCACGTATCCCCACCTAATGTTCTCCAGGCAGATTACTCCATCCTCCGCTGGATCTTTTCCGCCATAATTGAGCCGGTTCTCGCCGGACAACGTGTATTTGGTGTGGGGTTTGATTGCCGAAAATCCTGTCACTGGCTCGATTGCCAGGATGACATTTTCGCGCGAGCCAAGCTGCATGCTCAAGGATGACTCCACCGGTTCCGTTCGGGAGATCTTCAAAGTCATAGATGATTCTCTATTCGCGAATCGAGGGTACGAGAGCAGCTTGCTGTGGATGGATGAGAGGATGTGCTCAACATGTCTGGCAACCGCTGTCTTCAACAGATCCTCGGCGCAGAGATTGTGCACATCGAAAGGTAACAAAACGTCCTTAACTTCCTTGTTGTCTCTGTACCAGCGGGCAACCAGCCGGCTGGAATGTTTCGGATCTGCCTGACCATTGGTCTTCTTAGCACTGTTGACGGCAACCATAACCCAGCTCTTGGGTCCGTTAGGTCCATATCTTGTTGTCCAGTACTGAAGTGCCAGAGCGCGGTTCAAGGGCTCCACCATCAACGTTCCGGTCCAAGTGCTTCGGCTCAATTCGAGGGCTTGCCGCTTGAGTTCATTGATCTTATGCGTGAGAACGAACTCATGGAGAAATCGGTAGCACCCTTCCAAACCATCTTTGCCCAGTATTTCATTGACTTGTCCTTCCAAGAAAGACACCAATCCGTTCGAAAGCTTACTGGACGAGGGGGAGAAGTCGAACCGGAAATCGATGAACCAGAATTGTTTCGAAAAGTCCTCGTCGGCAATGGTCAGATCTACTTCAAACTCTCCCTTCACTTGGAAGGTGACTCTGCCAGAGTGTATGCTGTAAGTTTTGAACTGATGTGGTATCTTGTCATAATCGTCCAGGTTGAGGCGCAGAGAAAGCATAGTGTTGAGATCGTCAATCCATTTCAACTGCTCCTCAGGTGTTAGTGGCGGTGGTGGTATGTAGCCAGGCTGTAGCACGTTAGTAAACGCCATTCCTCCTTCTGCAAGATACTTACCTCGGGGACCCATGTTGCTTCACCAGTTGTGAGAACCTGCAAAGCGGTCTTCAAGTCAGGATTGGGCAGTCTCGCAGACATGAGACCTCGCTTTAGGTCGATCAACATTCCTTGAGCATAATCGTAAAGCACCCGCTTAGAGTCGATATGCGCCTTGATGTCGATGAGCTTGCTGACAGCCTCTGCATTCCTACTCCAGTCTGTTATCACCAAAGCCTTGACCCATTTGGCATGCGCATCTTGCGCAAACTTGAGCATCAGCATTTTCTTCCTCTTGTTACCCTCCGACATATCATCCGGTGCATCGTTGCCATGCGGAGTATTGCCGTTGACTGCAGGTGCCGCCCACTTCACGGCCGCCATGTCCATAATCGTCTTCTGCAAATCCTCATGGGTCCGTTGCGCAAGTCGTGCGACGATCGTCGATAGGGGGATATACCCCTGGGTGATATGGACAATTTCGTCGGGCAAGTTGTTCATCCTCGATTTTGGTTGTAAGGTAAGACCAGTATTCATCTGTGATTGCTGTTTTCCTTGGGAGTCTGCCGGTTGAACATTCCCAGCGGCAGCGCCGTTTGGCAGGTTGCCAGACCCAGGGGCGTCGGCGGGTGCCTTGCCTTTGTTCGGCGATACTTCACCCTCCATCGTCATACCATTGACACCGTTGGCTTTCAGGTTCCTCTCATGATTCGAATGTGTGCCATTCTGACCTCCATTCTCCATATTGACGACGCCAGGCATCGGGGAAGGAGCTTCCCTACCTCGTTGCCTGCCTCACAACCGTCCCCCCAAGAGCTGGGCCGGCGTGTGTCCTAGTCGATTTGAAATACTTTGCGGTCGTCAAGGAGGCCGCACCGAGAGAGCGACCAACGGTATTCAAGAGCTGATCCCAATCCGCAGTGGCAGTGAGATGGGATTCAGTCATCGGCGCCGGATGCGCAAGCCAGCCGGGTAGGGCGATCGCATCAACGGGGCAACCAAATCGGACAAATATGACGCGACTCTGTATCGGGTTTTCTGACTAACGTAATATCGGGATCTGGGGTCGCAAGCGTGGTGTCGGGGAAACGCGATGAGCCGAAGTGATGTGGGCGAACTGCCACGGCGACGATCGTCGAGGAGGAAACGCAATATCGGCGAACGAAGAAGACTTTCGTCGGTGATGTGACAGCAATTCGTCGGTTGAAAAACGGACTTGTGTATAAGTCGGAAACTCTGTTGAAGTCGAGTGCGCCGAGGAGAAAAGATGTGGTGGTATCCAGCAGGCAAGTGGCAGGCGGTGCTGTTGCGATGGGAAGAGCGTGCAGCCAGCCAGAACAACAGGGCAGGAGGTCAAGGTGCAACCTGAGCCTTCTCTTTTTTCCTTGGGCAAGCGCCAGCCAGCCAATCCTGCCTGGACAGCCAAGGCTTAAGAGTGCCACGTGACTTGTCCAATCAGCTTGTCAAGTCCCCACCATATGATATGAGGTACGTATTCTCTTCCTTTACAGATACTAGTCCGGCATTACTACTAAATAAATTAACCTTATCTTATCGCTGGGACGTCGTATTGAGCCGAGCTTCACAATTCTCGCAATAACAGTGCCCTCAACATTAATCTGTCCACGGACCACAAGCTCACGTCGCCAGACTGAGAAGGCATTATGTAGTGGGTATACAGCATGGTCATGGTTTCTCGAAAATATGTTTTACAGATGAGCCAAGGAACAGAGGAGCGCTGGCAAAGCTGGTTGCATAATCGACAGAAACAGGCCGAATGTGTCTATGTGCCCCAAATAATGACGTTTGCCTTAGTGATCTCACGACCCCCAATGACTCGGTGGTCCCCAAAATTGGAGCTCCCCCAGCCAGAAACTTCGTCACTCAATGCATCTCTCCCTGCAGTTCATGGTTCTAGCACTAGTGATGAGGAAAATGGGAAACGTGAATCTCATTGATTTTCTATTCTCCCTAACCCCACCAAGCAAAGCGAAGAAATTTCCATCATCCTACCAGTATCCACCCTAGAGCGTTCTCTCTGGCTTCCCTTGTGTATGTCGTCTTCGTCAAATCTATGCCCTCCCTTCGATGGATATAATACGTTGCGCTAGCGTCTGAAGGCGGCGCAGGGGATATCGCGGGTAAAATGGCCGAGGCGTGCCATTTCGGTTTTGGTTGTTTTTAGTTTTTTTTTTTTGGAATTGATAAGTTTGTGGTTGCTCAACTGTTCATAAACATCATTTAGAATCAATTCTTCTATGTAAGATAGCTACGCTAATTGCGCGCGCGACACCACTTACAACTTGTTGGGAGCCTGGGCAGAGGTAGTGGGCCACTGGTATCCAGCCGCATCACTGAACTTGTAGCCGTAAGACGAGGTGAAGTCGTCAAGTACGGCAGGACCACGGGAGCCTGCGTTCACGTTAGAAACAAAGCCAGGCAAAATAGCAATTACGTAAACTCACCGTAGGGGTACTCCATGGGGATGATCTCCTTGTTATCGTCAAGGTAGTGCAGGAGAGGAGTGAAGATTCTCCAGCTGGCATCGAGCTCATCGTCACGGACGAAGTTGGAGTGGTCGCCCTTGAGGCAGTCGAGAATGAGTGACTCGTAGGCCTCAGGAATCTTCAGGTCGGAGAAGCGGCGGCGGTAAGTGAGATCAAGCTCAGTGACGACAGTCTGCATGCTGAGACCGGGCAGCTTGGAGTTCATCTTGACGTAGACAGACTCGTTGGGCTGGATACGCATGACAAGCTCGTTGCGGGGAATGTCCTTAAAGATACCCGAGGTAACGTCCTTGAATTGGATGCGGATCTCGGTCTTCTGCTCGTTGAGAGCCTTGCCGGCCTTCATGATAAAGGGAACACCATCCCATCGCTCGTTCTTGATGTAAGCAACAAGAGCACAGAACGTGGGGCATCTGGAGTCCTTAGGGACAGTATCGTCCTCCTTGTACGAAGGTCTGCTGCCATCCAGGGACTTGCCGTACTGGCCGATGATGACGTTCTTAGGCTCAATTGCGGGCATAGCACGGAGAACGCGGACCTTCTCATCACGAATGTCCTCAGAGGCAAAAGAGATGGGGCGCTCCATGGCGAGCAGAGTAAGAACCTGAAGCAAGTGGTTCTGCATGACATCACGAATGATGCCGAACTCGTCGAAGTAACCACCACGGCCCTCAGTGCCGAAAGGCTCCTTGAAGGTAATCTGAACGTTGTCGATGTTCTGTCTGTTCCAGGTGGAGCCGAAGAAAGAGTTACCGAAGCGGAGAATGAGAATGTTCTTCACCATCTCCTTGCCAAGGTAATGGTCGATACGGAAAAGCTCGTCCTCCTTCCAGTCGGGCTCAAGAGACTTTTGCAGCTCACGGGAGCTGGCAAGGTCTTTACCAAAGGGCTTCTCAATCTATCATCACCGTCATGTTAGTGGATCAGAGCTCATATGAGCGAGCATACATTTGAACGTACAACGACACGGGCGATACCCTTGGTAGGGTAGCAGCACTTCTTCAGGTGCTGAGAGACAATAGTGAAGACGCTGGGAGGAAGCGCCATGTAGAAGAGACGGTGAGTCTCAGGCTTGCCAGCCTCGAGCTCTTCGAGGTGAGCATTAAGATTGTTGAAGGAGTCATCCCGGTCGTACTGGCCGGAGACGTAGGTGCAGAGATCGCAGAAGTCGTTGAGCTGCTGCTCAATCTCCTTTGTGGGAGTCTTCATGTAAGATCTAATGCGGCGGATGTACTCATCGTGGTCCATCTTTGTCCGCGCATATCCTACAATCTTGATGTCCTTGGGGAGGAACTGGTTTCGGTACTATTCATGCTGGTTAGTTCTCCAGATCTGCGTTGTTATCGCAATACGGGCTAGGGCAGCTCATACCAGACCGAAAAGTGCAGGGTACTATTGAATATGTCAGTAAATTCCCATCTGTGACCAGGGCATTCAGGTCTCGTACCGTCTTCTTCTTGGCCAGATCTCCGGAAGCACCGAGAACAACGATAACGGTGTTCTCCTTCAGCTCCATGGAACTGTTGAGATACGCGAGCAGTTAGTACAAATACGCTCAGAAAAATTCACGCGAAAACCAATGCAATTGTTCGCTCGACAAGATCATCACGTATCGAATCCCGCTCGCAATAATGGGCTCGAGTCTCAAGTCGCACGAAGAGAAGGCAGCTTGGTGGGGTAGGAAGGCGGGGTGACATACGCTGCGGCGGAGCTCAGGTCGGCCATGATGACGATAACTGTGTTGAAGCGGCGCGACTGTGTGAAATCTTTCTAGGAAGGAAGAAATGAAGAAAGGGGGAGGGAAAGGTCTCTAGAGAAAAGAAACCAAAGTTAGCAAGCAGAAGGCTAGAAGAGCGAGTTGGGAAGGTTTTGGAAAAAGATACTGGGCGGAATCCGGGACGGATGGATTGGGGTATTTAGTAATGACGAAGCACAGATGAAGGTAGGGGTGCGTGGTGAGGTATGGGTACAGGTGTGGATGGAGGGGGGGAAGGAAGGAAGTATGGGTAGGGGACGGGTACAACTACAAACAGAAAGAGCAGAAAGCTAAAAGGTACTTAGCCCGAGGTCAGGACGATGTACCCATTTTAGCGCATCCAGGCGAGTTATCAGCGCAAAGCGGGAGCAAGGGGGAGCTTACTCACAGCCGTGTGCCTTGTCTTGGTGCTCTTTTAGCGTGCCATGTACTCTACTTAGGAACCTGATGCAAGTCCCGCACCGTACCGCGCTCGCCTTTTTGCGCCTTGAAGCGAATCAGTCAGTGGGTAAGCTTCCCTTGATAGGTAAGTGGGTAGGTGAGCGGCATGTGAGGTCAAGTCGGCAGGATGGCAGCACAGGTGTGGTGGTGTTTTGGTTTTTTTTTTCATTATTATTTTTTACAATTTCTACCTGTCTGTATCTCTCTGCATCTGCCCAACCCTCAGTCTCCAGTCCGGATTGTCTTTGTCGAGTTGGGGAGACTTGAAGCCAGGAATGAGCGAGGTCAAGAAAGAATCCGAAGTCAAATACTTGTTGGTGAATTTTTCCTGTAGTCTTCGGTGCTTTTTTGCGAGACGCCGACCACCTTCCCAGTAGCCGGGTCTTTTTACCTGGGCTTGGGACTTGGACAGGGTTGATGTCAATGGAGGGGGAAAAGGAGGGGCACTTTTCGGTGTTGTCGACAAAATGTTGAGCGCTGCCGGAGATTCTTACTACCTGTCGGCCTTAAGCCCGCCGCCCATCAGCACCATGTCCAAAGTAACCATCAATATCCGCCCGTCAATCAAGTCAGAGCTTCCTGTCAGTACTCCAGCTTGCACAGAGTCAGTCAAGCCGCCTTAATTCGTTCGGCCCTGACGGCATGGACCTCGGGTGGTGGGCATTATTAGTAGGGGACAGAACAAAGCATTCCCCGTCACTAATATGTAATCAGCTTGGTATGTCGCAAAGCCTGCTCGTTCCCCGCCGGATCAGATGGGAAGCCATGCAAATGTTCATTGTGTGGATTTCTAAACATTCCGACGCGGCTGTCCAAGTCTGAATCGTCAACTTGGTGAATGGAGACGCTTTACGCAAACATCAATCACTTGTTGCCCAGCCTTGCATTCTCGCAGACTATGCCAACTGGCTATTTGCAAGGAGATATACCCATGTACTGTACACCTCCGCTTGCTGCTAAATAGCAGAAGAGGCCCCCTTAGCCCAGTAGTCCAGAGGACGACACCTGGGCAGGATTGGGTACGTCGACTGGACAGAAACTAAAGTACCTTTATCTGCATGCTGCAGCAGAATTGTTGAACTAGCTGCCTGTCAGAGCGCGCGCGCACACCGGAGCTCCAGAAAAAAAAAACATCAGAGGAAAGGGGGTAAAACACAGGGAAAAAATAGAGCATGAGCCCTGTCGGTTACCTGCACAACTTCAGCCCAAGACACAGGCTTCTGTGCTCACACAGACTGCTAGAGGAGTGTGCGGATCAGGACAAGCAAACGTGCATCCCATATGACCTCAGACCGGGCGGGTAGCAAGGGCCCAAAAAGGGTCCAACGCCAAAACGCCAACATCTGGACCTCTTTCAAGACCTGGGCTCCATGCTCTCCATTCTCCAGCTCCAGCTGCTACGGCGGTACTCCCAGACTTGCGTACCCATTTTCCCAAACGCCGGACACCACCGAGCCTCCCGATCGGACTTTGGCTTGGAAGAGAGAAAGTGATCGGCTTGGGGGCCTTGGCCTCGCTGTTGCGAATTCGCGATGGGAAGCGAGGGAAGCCGTGGAAGCGCGTGGGTCATCAGCCAGCCTGTGTGAAACGGTGCTCCGTAGCAACAGGCGGTTGTCACTCTGACTCTGACCTGGACGGTCAGGCCCAGTTCCATTGGAGTAATATTTGTCGGGCTGCAGGACGGATATGCGCAGCCTCTGGCCCTGCGCTTGGGAACAATTTCCTTCCCTTTTTACTTTACCCCCATCAAACTCCGATGTTGTCACCGCGGGGGGCGTTTTGGCAAGGCTCCATGGAAGAGATCCATCTTCATGCCGGTCCGGCCAATGCAACAGTGGCATGAACCTCTGCTGCGATTTACTGGAAATCGGCAGAGTTGCGTCCAGAAATTGCCGCAATGCCCACCCTGTCGAGGCGTTCCAATCGTTGAAGCTCCCAGCGAGCCCAGCACCGGCCATTTATTACCACAACCGCCAACTAAGCAGGACTAGACATCTCCGGAGTCGCTCATGAGTGCCCCCACGGATCGGTCCTTCTTAACCCAGCTCTTTAAACCCCCTATCTAAAGCTTACAAAAGCTGTCCGGCCGAGTCACTCGGAAGAAGGGGGGTAAAAGCTGATGAGACATTTCCTGCGTGGTCGTCGTGGTCTCCCCCTCAACCCCTCCCTCCATCTCTTTATTATTTGTGCCCCCCAAAGAGCCCGTTCCTGTTCAGGAAATCCCGCGAGATTTTAGATGTTGGGTTGTACTTTGGGACGCCGGACCGCCAGCAGTGCCGGGCTTGCAGCTGTCTCATAACTCCGCAAATTCGGCGTCCAAGCTCCCACGGCCACTTGAAAGAACCTGGAACTCCGATCTAGCGACACGTGTTTCCGCGTTTGGGTTTCTCTTCTGTAAGACATGTAGGTAATCTTATTCAGCGCTCGATTACTCGTCACTTTTCATCAGTAGGTAATGCAATGAGCATTGCAGTCAATCAATAGGGTGCCGTAGGTGAGGCTCAACAGTCAGCGGCAAGTGGTATGCAGCTTGGTAATGATGCAGATATTTGTCATTGACGGACTTTCTCTCAGTCGACTCATTCGAACAAGGTGCCTTATCCGCCAGGGACACAAAAACTTCGGGCGAATAAAGGTGCGAGCGAAGACGGTGTGGGTTGGATTGTGGCAAGCATGCGTGCAGGCGACTGATGGGTCCGGTTGGCATCGTAGTTGACCCCGAAACGACCGAGAACCTCCCAGTCCACGGCCCACTAACGTCAGCCGTCTTCGGCAACACAGCGCGGAATGGCGGAATGCAGAACGGAGTCTGGGAGCAGCGCCTCATCTCATGTAATCACATTTTCACAAGCCACATGTGGCGCAGTCTATCGCCATACCCCACTTCAGATAGACACCGATAAGACCAAAAGTTGTGATTGTCTTTGCACACCGCTAAAGTGGATCCTCAGGGCTCGCTAAACGATACGTACCGAAATCACGTTCCCATGGGCAAATTTTGAAAATAGTTGTGCGGCCTTTCGATCCACACCCGAGCATCACCAACACCATCTCGACGACCACCGGAGAATTAGTCTTTTCGCCAAAGACAATCCTCAGCCTTTTCCTTTCTCGAGTCCCTTCTGGTTGGAGCGAGGAGAACTAACCACCGTCAAAATGCCTTCGGAAGCCGGTCACAGATGTGAGTTCAACGCCCTCTTTCCTCGCACCGCATGCAAGTTTCGCGATCTCGATATCGAGCGATGCCGCGCTCTGTTTGGACGATATCGCGATGATATCGATGAGCAGATGCGCCGCGCGCTCATATTTTTGCCTCACTTGGCTGCCTGCCAGTTGTCTTGGAATCTAAACTGACTTGAATGTTCGCAGTATACGTCAAGTAAGTTGCCTCCAGACGAACTTCCTACTTCGCCGACACCGATTACGCATTCATGGGCATGCGACGAGCCACCAAGTATCTCGACATTTGAACATAATACGAATCGGAATCACGCAGCGAAGCAATCAGAAACCCGAATGAACCCGAGACTAACAATGCCTTTTTCAGGGGACGTCACCTCAGCTACCAGCGTAGCAGACATGTCACCCACTCCAAGACGAGTCTGATCAAGATCGAGGGTGTCGACGATACCAACGCCGCCAAGTACGTTTACCCTACAAACCCTCTATCCAGCAGCGAATCGCTAACGTGGGAAACAGCTTCTACCTCGGCAAGAAGGTCGCCTACGTCTACAAGGCCTCCAAGGAGATCCGCGGCACCAAGATCCGCGTCATCTGGGGCAAGGTCACCCGCCCTCACGGTAAATACAAAACTGCCCCTGGATAGCACTACGAATGAGCTCCCAGGCTAATATGGTTAAACAGGTAACTCCGGTGTCGTCCGCGCCAAGTTCACCAACCCTCTCCCCACCCGCTCTTTCGGCGCCTCTGTTCGCGTCATGCTTTACCCCTCGTCGATTTAAACGGCTACCCATCGGACGGAGTTGGTAGTGAGGATGGATTCTGAATTGGTTGCATCGGTCCAGGCAAGGACAAGAGCATAGCACCTTGCTTGCTAAAAAAAAGGCATCAATCAAACTCGTCAAACCACCACATATGAGGCGAAACGCACACCCCGCGGTCAAAACCCCCTCACCTCCCCCCTTTTCGAGACACATGGGAATGATGATTCTGCGTGACTTGAATCCGGTATAGGAGAGCTGTGTTTTATTCTCTACGGGAACGATGACGAGTAGCTTCAAATCAGGGGGCTCGAGGACGGGAAAAGAACAAAAGAAATCAAACATACTTGATTTTTGCTTGGCCGGCTACACATATGCGATAACGACGAACGGTAGATCGGGCGGCATTAATGTCAGGGTGTTTAAAAAGACATGGTTCAGCGACGGTATTCAATGGTTTTTTTGGCAATTTCCATTCGACGTATCTGGTGAGGAGGGGTGCCCAGCTCCCGAGCCATCAGTCTCCCTACTGCGTACGCATTGCCAGATTCGCCCATCCCGTCCTCCCAATGGCCATGTACTCCCAATACGCCCATGATCCTCCCATTCTCGATGTGATTTCTGATATCTGCCAGCGAACCCGTACAGAGAAGCCCCCTCCAATGATTGTTAGTGCGCTAGTGAGAGTAGTATTAGGGCCTTTGACATGTGTAATGTGGAAAATCTGGGGAAAGTCTGCCCTCATACATACCCTGTACATGTGACACTCCCTCATTCTATGCCAGGATACCTACCCAAGTCCCACCAAGTACAGCATGATGGATGACTTAGCAGACTTGCCTTCTGCCCTTTCAATTGTAAGCACGAACATAGACTAACCCCATGCCTCCGACAGAGGGCTCGTCGCGAGCGTAGGTGACGTCAGGGTCGTACTCGCGAAGCGGAGCCCGGGGTCCGGCCCCTTTTCCGGGGCCTTGTCCCGCCTCGTTCCGCAGTAGATCAGCCGGCTCGGCTCCAAGTTTTCAAGCCAGGCATACACGGATTCCGGGAAGGCACCATTGACTCGGATGTCAGCCCCGACAAAACCGGGGCCGGTGATTGCGCTGTGCGGAAGTGATAGGCCAGACATCCGAGCTCTGCGGTTCAACGTTGATAGTCTGTTTTCCCTGGGACGTCCTCCGGGGAGTGCGAAACTTTGTCTCATCAGGAACCGCCATCTTCGCCAGTTAGTGCAGTTTTGAGGCGAAAGTACTGAGAAATCCCCCAGACGCTGCTGGGTCATTGGTCCTAATCATTCCTCGCGGACACCAGATATCAGTGGCAGTTGCTGGGGCCTCCAAGTCTAGCATTCCGTACGTGAGGGGCTTACACTGCGGTTCCGTGGTGAATAATCTGGTTTGAGACATCTCTCTACTCCGTTTAGGAGAGCCTTATCGCGGGTCACACCGGCTTCGATTCTCGTGGTTGGCCTGTTGAGTTGCCCTGAGCAAACGAATGACTAGAGTCGTATCAAGTTCGCGTGTGTAATAGAGCAGTGGGTGTAATATCGAGGCATAACATGGAAAGAACCGACCTGGCATGTCGAGATATAAGCTCGGATGAGAAGAAGACGTCGATAGCCGAATTGACTACAGCATCAGGCCGGCAAGTGGTTCTGCCGGTGAGCCTTGCTAACGACTCAGCGTTATCACGTCGGGGAAAGGTCGTTGTAGGCTATATCGTCGCAGCAGAGATGAACTGTCTAGAATAGTCTACTGCAACTACTCATTGTCCAGCTAGGCCACGACAAGAAAAGCCATTCTGCATGAATCTACGTCTTATGGGGAGCCTCTGAATCCTGCGATCCAGACATCTCTTTCGTTTCTTACGTTTTGTCGAATTGCCGAGCTGCAACTAGGCTTTTCGATGTCGAAGATTTGACTCTTTGCCAGCCGGCTCGAAAATGGAAACCAGATGCCCACCAAACTTCTAGAATGGTAAAAAACAAGTTAGAGGACAATGACGTGGACATAGATGAGAGACTTTGACGCCTTATTCTGCCGTAATTGTTCCACAATGCAAGAAGAAACAAATGCTAAATGGAGCTATTTCTTCGGTTCCCGGCTCAGTTAGTATCGTCCGTGGCAACTACTGAAGTCCTCTTCGTTTGGATAAGACAAAGAAGGTCTGTTGCCCAGCAGCAGTTGTATCTTTGTGAGGCGATGCTAGGTATTGATTAATAATGACACAGGTGGTTTCGATCCCAGAGGCGACGGTCGAAGTAATTACACGTCAAGATATTGATCAGATCCATCACATACCAGGGGAGTATCTGTCTTTCTGCAAAGGCAATCGACTTCCAGGTAACTCATGGCGTTAGAGAGTGGCCGAAAAGAATGATTCGGGGCTTTCGAAATACCAGCTCAAGGCAATGACAATGTTCGGAATCACAAGTATGCACAAGTGTATTAAGTTCAAGACTTGCTTTCTTTTCATAATATTGGTATACGCCCAGACCTCATTATCGAGTATGCTAATTACTCTTTGTCGGGTAGTTCATACGGGCTGCTCATTAAATTATCTCTCATGGGGGCATTCCACACCATCGCGGTGCCCTCCGGAAGATACTACCGGTTTCGCGAGACCTTGGCACAGGTGAACGTCTTTTGGAGAGGGACGCCATCGATTGATGTATACGCTTACTGTAATTCCCCCCCCCCCCCCCTCCCCCCGGAATCCTATGATAATGATTATAGCGTCAGACTTGTTTGACTGTCAAGGCCATGTCATACAAGACTTGCCAATCAGGCATCCATAACAATAGCTATTACAGACTGTTTATACGAAACGTAAACCAACTTATTGACATATGCCTCTGTCGAAGAATTCTCGCCCTAATCACGGTCGTACACCATGACCACAGAGCAAACAATATGTCATCTGTCTGAGCGGGCTTCGCTTCCTTTTCTCTCTCAAAAGCCCTCTTAGTTCAGATTCTATCCAAAGTACTTGACCGCCATCTCGTCCTGCACCTTACTCTACCGCACTGGAGTTTAGAACAAGGGAGAGGCCATGGAAGATGGGAGACCATTTTCCAATAAATCTTTCACTTTTGTTGTTTTTACACATAACTCTGAACAAAAGTATCTATCAATTTTTAAAAATCTGTCATATAAATGCCCAAATTGATAATCATAGTCTATTTTGATACAATTCACCCTTAGATGCCATCGCTGACAACCTCCACCGACATGGAAGAGACGACTGAGTGTTCCGACGCGTAGAGTATTATGTAGCCCTGCCAATTCACACCCACCGCATCACTAATGTGAAGGAACGTAGACAAATTTCAAAAGCTCTTGGTGTAGAAACAAAAGTCATCTTCCGTAGTATTCATCCAGAACACAAAATACCAAGTTGTCTTCTAATTGTCCTGGTTACGATCTCCACCGCCACCAAGACTTTCTCAACTTATCAAAATACATTCCGTCTCTGCTACCGCAACAATCGCCTTTTCTTTCGCCACTACAATCTCTGTCGAGTACCGCACCGTGGCTTTAAAGTCAACATCCGCCATGTCAGTCAGAGCATATAATGAGCAACTGCTAGCGGTGATCAAACCAGTCTTCATCTCAACAATGCGTCGCAGTGCGCGCACACGAGTTCGTATCCCCTGAGCTAACCATTTTAAGCGGTACAACTGATGAGCCGGAACCAATAGTGAAGGCATGGGATAGTACCAGCAGAAGCTTGTCGGATTAGACTCAACATATCTGCAATTCAATAATACATAAGGCCGTTATAGGTGGTCAGAGTGGAAGATGATCAGCAGTAGCTACGTTGTACAATGCATGTATTATGAAGCGGCCTCAAATGGGTATGTTTCTTGCGGGTCGTAGATATCTTATTATAGTCTCTGCCAATGTATGTGCGGAATTACCTTTATCTATATTTTGATATGATCGATACATTCTCAATATCATCCCACACCTACCAATACGTATTAACTGAGTGATCCAGACAAGAACAACTTCGGAACGAGATATATCTGGTGGGATAACAAAAAGATTTCTGTGCTGAATACTGTCATTAACGGTGCCCTCGGCTCTCATCCTCTCGTGTCCCCGTTAAGCACCAACTGTTTACCGTACACCAGCCCCTTTCTCATCCACGTGTCTTTTCACATCGTTATATAGCAGTAATGTAGATCCCTCAGTGATAATAGTGTAGGCTCTATTCATTACGGCATATAGCTCCGTCACCTATTGGTACCGTTGTCAACCCATAATCTACAGAGAATGAAACTACAAATAATCCGTATTCAGTCGACCACACAAAGCTGTTAAGAACGCCGGCAAATCTCAGGCCCAGCCACTTCGACTATGACATAATTGCAAATTTCGAGAGCCTCAAAGCAGAAAATAACCCCTCAAAGTGTTCTCGTGACAAATTGGTAGAGGTTGACGCCGTCTACTACATACAAAGCCAGCACCGCAGCCATGACTGGCCCCTGCTCACAGTCAAGCCGCCGCTCCCCATGGACACCGATATGCAAGCATTGGGGGGCATCGAAGGTGAGTTTTTGAAAGATTAATCCCGATACTGCTAGGTTGCAACTACCTATAATGCTCTTTTCAACCGCAACTCCAACCTCAGAAACCCAAGAAACAGCCACTAAAATGCATGAAGGCATCTCTTCGGTCCAGACTGGTAGAAAGAGAGTCGGTGGTTGCTAACCTATAGGACGACCAGATGTTATTCATTCTAGAAAATAGACTCGTCGGTACGGAGGAACAAGGCGATTGCTACCCTTACGTTATAATATTTCATCTAGTAGTCTTTTTGTTTATTTTTCGACTGATAGAGTTAATCTTACTGCGACTAGAGCGGAGGCAGATAATCAAGTTGTTATAGAATGCCCTCTTGGTAATGACTGCTTCCCGGCTTTAGCCACTACGAACAAAGTACGCGTGGATGGCAGAAATTACGTTGTCAGACCAACAACATCTTTTCTGGCCGACGATATAGTTTCGACACCACTTTCCTGCATCAGGATTGATATCAGGATTGATGGAAGCTTTCCTCATAGAAACATCAGAGTTAGTCCAGTCAAGCAAACTAGGACTGCAGCCTTGTTGACTAGAAATTCTTCTCAAACACTCTGTCCACTTTCTGTCGTGGTTCTGCCTATCCCCGTCATTTTATACGTTTGTCTCAGTCCCTTGTGCATCATTCTTATCTGTCACACGGAGTTGATACCTTGATCACTACAGCAGCCGAGCTATGAATTGGGTTGCAAATGCAACGCTGCTTGGCTCTGGGCAGAAAAAGCTTCATCATTGACACTCGCGGAGAGGCACGTTTTCGGCAACCTGCCCGGGACTGCGTGTGCTTACTTCATCTCAACAGCCTTCCACAGAAAAATGGAAGAAGATTTCGCTGCGCGAGAGAAATTATGGAAAGAAAGGTAAAATTAGTCATGTTGTCAGTTACAGAGAGCATTTCAGACCAACTCAATCCTCCCCAAGTCAGGAGTTGCATTTGAGTTTAGCAAGGTAGAAGTAAGGCGGACGGAAAACCCCTAAAAATGAGTCGAGACAGCCATGGAAGAACCCCGAAAGTCCCGGCGCTGCCAAAACACCCACAAGCGAAAGACGAAAAGGGCCAACCAGAGGGCAGGAAAGAAGGATAAGGGTCTGGTGTCAGAGTCTCGGGGTTAGCGGTCTGAGGAAGACCCGTTGGGCAGCTGGTCCTGGTAGAAACACGACAACAGACAAAACTTGGAGTTTCAGGAAAGACTCGAGAAGCAAGAGAAGGCGAAAGATTAGATAAAAAATGTCCGTCGGGATGAAGCTGTTACGGCCCATGGCGGAGGAGGTCGGATGCCAAGGTTTCTGGTTTCTGCTTCGTCCGAAACCCCCATATCAACTTTTCCTCCCGCTAAGACATGATGCTACCATCAAAACCTGCTGATAGTCAAGTACTCTGTAGTCTTGCCCGCCGCTAGCGCCCTAAAGACATGATCGAGATCGATCCTCTGCCCGTGCGCGACTTGATGAACAACAACCACAATCAGGCGAACGGAACAGCCAGCTGGTAAAGTCAATTCATTCTTGGGATGCACTTGATATAATGCCGATCTGTGACTAT